TTTCCTTCCTTGTAAGTTGTATAAGTAAAATTAAGATTGTAGAGAAGTTTTAAATAAACTTTTAGTTAAAGTTGTAGAATCTTATAAACAATTACACGTCTTTAATGTTCTTTAGTATAAGCTATTCTTTAACAACTTGTACTTTCTTTAGGTCTTGCTTAATTTCTTCTTTCTAAATTATAAATTCTAAAAACTTAACTTGTTTCGCATAGAACTTGCATTTTTCTAGTTATACCTATAAGTTAGCTTTTTATAATCTTTAGAGCACCTAATGCACATGTTTCTAGTGTTTATCTTTATTTTCTAAAAATACAAGTATGTTGTCTAGATACACTACAATAGTAATATCTAGCTAATTTCTAAAAATGTTATTAACAAGTGCTTAAAACGTTGCTAGTGCGTTAGTAAGTCTAAAAGGTATAACTATATACTTATAATATCTATAGCAGGTATAAAATGCAGTTTTCTATTTCTTACTTTTTTTTATTCTTACTAGATAGTACCTGTCTCTAAGGTTTAAAGCTGTAAAGATTTTAGCCTTTGCAAGTTAATGTTGCAATTTTTTAATATTAGGTAATAAATACCTATTTTTTACTGTGTTGTTGTTGGTTTTACAGAAGTCTACACACATTTATAGTTTTCTATTTTTTTTATTTATAAAGAGGGTTTTGTATGCTACTAGCAACTCTAATTCTTAGATGTATTGTTTAGCTAGTTGTTCTTTAATATAGTCTTGTATAGCTGCTAGCTCTAACTTAGATTTTAGTTGTAATAGGTTAATTAGCAGTTTTAATTTATTCTTAAGAATTATTTTGCAATCCTAGAGCTAATGCTTAGGTAATTTAAGCTTAGGTTCTAAGTTTTTAAATAGTGCTTTATACTTTTAATATTGTATAAAAACTTTAGAAGTTGTGCTAGTCTTTTTAACTTTCTTCTTATAACTTAGTACTCTACTAGTGTCTAAGGAGTTAACTGCTCTTTCTAGGCGTATTTTAGGCAATAGCGTTGTTGTGTTAACACTTCTCTTATCTACTACTTATAGCGCATAGTGCGTAGGCTTTAAACTGCGTATATATTTATAGTTTGCAAACAAAAGTATCTTTTTAAACTAATTTATTACTAAATTATGCTTCTGTAACTAGAGGAGTCCTAATATAATATTAAAGGTAGCTATCTTTAAAACATTTAGAATAATCTCTTCCTAGTGTCTACTAATTTCTATAAACGTTAGGTTAGTTTCCTTATTAACCTAAGTTTTATTAGGTAAGCGCTTTTTAGTAACTGCTTAAATACTATACTGCTTATGTTTTCTTTAGGTAGAAAGTTCTGCTTTTTTAACTACGTAGCTTAACACAAAATTAACTAAAGAGCTAGTATTAAGTAGTGCTCTAAAATAGTGTCTGTTAAGCTTAACTAATAGCTTAACTAACTTCTCTAAGTTTATTAAACATACAGTTCTGTATGTATTTCTAGTACTAGGCGTGTTTTTAAAAAAAAGTAAACTAGTTTAAATCTATTAGCGTATTTAGCGTTATAATATTATTTATAGTTATTGCATAGGCAAGTTTACTATATATTATCTTTAATATATTATTAGTTTATTGCGATCTGTATTTCTACAGTTTATTCTAGCGTTTTGCCTAGAAAATTAGAACTAAGTCTTTTATTAAATAGGTAGATAGAATAAAAGTTATTATAGCACTTTATTTAATTGTATTTATAAATCTTGCGTAGATTGTTTTTTAGGTAGTAGAAAGCGTCTTTGTCTAACTTATGTGTCTAGTAAAGGTTATACATATAAGCACTAAAGTATAGTTGTTTATAATTTTAGTTTTATAAGTTAACGTTGTACATTAGTTAACGCATAGATAGTAGTTTAGGTTTCTTAGTTTTTTTGCTATCTTCCTTGTACTTCTAATAATTCTGCTAGTATTTAGAGACATGTTATACATAGTTGTCTTCTTATAAGTTTAAAACTTTTTTTTTAGGTTAGTTCTTTTTCTAATTACTATCTGCTATTTTGTTTAGTAGATTTAGTTTTTTAATTTATTTAGCAAGTTTGTTATCATTGTATTTAATAGATCCTTTTAGGCTATTTAGTTCTTCTAGAAACAGAAATTCCTCCTTTAAGTTTAATCTAAATTTTTATAGATTTTTTATAATATATATCTATTTAGCTTTTAGGGGTGCGTAGGTTCTTAATGTAGGATTTTTAGCCTAGAACTATTATGTTAGACGTAGTTGTTACTTTTCTTATCTATTATTCTTGCTTCTTACAGCAGCTTATTAGGCGTTTTGTTCTACTTAACGTTTTTTAGGTAGTAGTGCATTTTTATAATACTTAGGACTGCTTTCTAAATCTAAGTTATCTACTATAAGTTGTTCTTTACCTAGCGTAGGTTTTAGGATTTTCTATTTTAATTTGCCTTTATCTTCTCTAAGGTATAAAGACTTAGTTGTTATGTTAACAAATTATGTAACCTTATTCTTTAATTAATAGTTTCTAGCTATATAGCTAGTTTTACTACATCTATAGCAGGTAATTCCCTTAAAGTTCTTGCTCTTCTTATTATACTTTTTTCTTCTATTATTATTTTTAGCTTTAGATAAAAATGTTATATTAACGTTGCATGTCTAATTTATTTTCTTAGTGTACTTTACTCTAGGTTAAACAGGGACGCTGCAGCCTCTTCCTTAAGAAAAATAGCAAATAGCTTTTTATATCTTTCTATAAGCAGACTTATAACTATAGATTTTTTTTATTTCTTTAGCAAGCTTAAATAGGTTATTGTTAATGCAAATAGTTTCCTTATAAAGTTGTTTTAGTATATTTATAACTACACTAGACCTTATAAGTTCTTCTTTAACCTTAAGTTTAAGTCTTTAGCAATACAGTGCTATAAGTGCGTTATTATTTTAATTAGTTTATACTACGTAGTGTTAAAACTTTACAGCATAGTTAGCAGCAGACTTAAGCTGTTTAACGCGTTAAATTTTACGCACTGCTTTATTTTTCTTGTTAAATATTTTAAAGACCTAGCAGAGCTTAGTCTTAAACACTCCTTAGTTTTTAAATAGAGTAGTGTTTTTATTATCCTTAATATTATTGTTTAGATATTTAGTAAGCTAAGGTGTAATTTATTTATAAGTATTACCTTGCATAAAAGTTGCAGCATAAGTAGCTTTATTATTATTTTTAATCTTTTTATTAAACTTAAAAAGTAACTTAAGTTGTAGAATTTATTCCTTAAGCTTAACATGTTTTCTATAGTAGGTGTTAGGTTGTTTAGTCTTAATGCTAACAGAGGTGTTATTATCTATATTAAGAGTAAGAGTAGGCTAGTTAGTAGTACTAAAGCTAGACATCTTAAAGGTATTTACAATGTTAAGGTTTTAAAGATCTTTAGTTAAGTTTTACAAATAACTAGCAGGTAACACTAAAGTAATAAAGGTAGAAGTATAAAGTAATAACTAGATTATATTTTTAAGAAGTAGGTTGTAACTTAAAGTAAATATAAAAGGCTATAAAGGCTCCTTGTCTACTAATTATATATATAAGGTTGTTCTGTGCTCGCTAGTAAGCGCGCTTGCTAGTAAGCATACTTATTAGCAAGTATAATATTGCTAAAAGGCTAGTATAAAGTTAAGCTTATTACTTGCTAGCAAGCAGTTACGTGCTAGGTTATAAACATAGTTGTCTGCAGGCGCTAGCAACCTTGTTTTTCTTGTTGCTAGCGCTTGCAGCAGAGGGAGTAAGAGGCTAAATTAAGGGCTTTCTTCTAATCCTAACATTAAGTTTTAATTTTTTAGCTTTAATAATATATTTATATTTTACTAAACTTTTTTTTTACTATTAGTTTATTTAGTTTTTATTTTTTAGTATAGTAATTATTAGCTTATATTAAAGTTTTATTATTTATAGCTTTTAAATTAACTTTTAAATACTTTTTATATATAAAAGTAGCTAATACGCTAAAGTAAGCATAACTACTATAATATATATTACTTTATAAATACTATTATAATACTTTACTACTTAGCTAATTAAGCTATAGTATAGTAGTAATACTATTTACTAGTAAAGCTTATTAAAGCTTAAAAAAGTATATTAAATACTTTTTTAAAGCTATATATATACTTAAGTATTTTTTTTTAAAAAACTTATTATTATTTACTTAATTTTTTTTAATTTATTTATTATTTTTTTAAAAATAGCTATTTAAGTAAAGTATAAAACATATTAAAAAAGTAAAAATATAAGTTTCTTATTATATATTTAAGTTTACTTAAGCTTACTAGTATTATACTAAAAATATTTAGTTTTAAGTACATACTAGAATTTTTAAAGCTTTAAACTTTTAAATAATAAGTTTTATAATAAAAATAAAGCTTATTTTTATAATAATTTTAGGCTTAAGAAATTATTCTGTTAACTATTAAAAAAACTTAAAACCCCTACCTGTACAAGCGTAAGCCCCCCCCCCCCCCCCCCCCCCCCTAGCCCTGTTATGCTAATTATAGTAAGGTCGACTGAGTAACGGTTATAATCTCTCTATTTTCACTATTGTTTATTTACAATAACCTATGAACGCATCTAATATTGCTGAAATTACGAACTAAAAAGCTAATATTTAGACCGTGACGAGCTGCCTGCTTTTGATGAAAACCCTATTATAGAGTTCGCTGTAGTTAATATTGCAATGTCACAATCTGTTACCATATAAGCGCTCCTGTTCATCTTTGTTCTAGCGCTAGACATCATTTGCGCGCATTTGATGTCAACTTCTAGCAGTAAGAGCATATGAAGATCCTAAGCGTCTGCCTAAACATCCAATACGTGATAAGACAATCATTGAGCAGCTAAAATAATTGCTAATAAGAGCAAAGAGAAATTTTCTCCATGACGATAGTACAATCTTTTTGAAGAGAGGTTTGTATCTTTGCTTCCACGATTCTGAAATACTCATTTGTCAATTGAAATGATTTGCTAAGACTCGGACTTAGCTCCCGGCGTGTTGCACTTTTACGTTACTCCGACGATTTTGTGGATTGAAACTTTTCATTGCAGCGGAATTTGAGAGCGTACCGGACCCTTTTCTGATAGCATAGGGATCGACATGATCCACATTCTTGGAAATATCTGTTCCGGGTATTTGGCTCTTCAAAGCGTTCACGTCTTTCTCACGCCCTTGCGAACGATATATGCCGATCAGAAGATCGCCGATCTCAATTGTCCGAGGATTATCGAGTGCTATCAATTTTTTCCTCGAAATCAGATCCATCATCTGCAGGCAGAGCTTCTCAGCATGATCTAATTTGCCCATCTTCACTTTGAGTCGAGCGTAACCGTACAAAGTATGAATACGGTCAGGATGATCTTCGTTTGTTGTGTTAAGTATCAGAAGAACGGTCTCTTCGGCGTCTTTGGGGCGTCCAGCTTCAAAGTATGCTTTGCTCAAGTTAGAACGAGTCAAAGCCATCCCAACGTGCATTTCACCCAGAGTGCGCTTTACGATAGGCAATATGTCTTCTAGCACTTGCACCGCTTCTGCTGGTCGACCCTGTTCTACGTATATCTTGGAAAGATCATTGACGGACCATAAGGTGTATGCATGCTCGGCCCCAAGAATTCGTCGCCGATCCTGAAGTACGTTTTCGATGATTCGTTGGGCTGCGAACAGGTGTCGCTTGCTTGCGCACAATGAAACACCTACTTCATTCCTTGTCATCATGGTATCTGGGTGATGTAACCCAAAATAGTGTTTTTGAAGTTTCAGCACTTGAACAAGAAGCTGATGACATTCAACTTGTTTACCCCCCAGATGTAAATACGTACGCGCTAGATTGAACATAGCGGTCAATGTTTTGGGGTCTTGTGGTCCCAATCTTGATGTCAACCCCGCTACCGCCCGCTCGCCGGCCTTCAAGGACTTCTCTCTCTGGCCAGCAAGCCACAACGTACGTGTGAGATCATCAAGAGCCACGAGATATGGCAAGTGATTTGGGCTCCACAGTGGCCACGTCGCCCATTCTTTCACCGACCCTCTATGCCACATCAAAGTTTTCCAGATATGCACTTGTGTGTCCAGCACCTCTCGAATTTCGAACATATTCCACAGTGTTTGGCTCAGATTGCGCTGCGCATGGAGTGTTTCGTGATTTTGTTTACCAAGTAATTTTCTTCTGATTGCGATGACTTTCTGTTGCCATCTGCGAGCACTTGCCCAATCAGACTGCTCCATGAAGACATAGGAGAATCTTTCGTATTCTTCTGCAAGCTCGAGTGTTTCGGGTAAACTTCTTCCCCCTGCACTGTGTAATTGGAGGCAAGCGTTGATGTGAGGTATCAGTAGAGCTCGAAATGTGCGTCCTGATGGCTCCAGGTACGGTGAAATGCATTGAGCGAGGATTCTCATGGCGGACTGAAGCCATTGCTTTTGCTGTGAGTATTGTAACCTTTCTTTCGCCCAATTGTGAATCACGGGATGCATTGAGCATATGAATTTTGATGGCTCATACTCAATTATAGAGTGGTCGCAAAGAACGCCTATCGCCTTTCGATGTCGAAATTCGGTATCCGAGTTCCATACGGACTGAAAGAAAATTGGAGATTCTTTTTCACTGCTTGATGTGGTCTGCAAAGCCATTCGAGGGCTCTGGAAGATACCGTCAGGAACTGCATCGAAATGCATGAACGCTAATACATGCATCAGGTCAACAGCATCTCGGTGATCAGAAGATGTTCTCCCGACTATCCTTTGAAACGGTATCTCCCAAGTTGTGATGATGTTAACGTCATCCGCCGTATCAACACGCGGATAGCTCATTGTAATCTTGCGTCGTCCGAGATAATAATGCAAATATCTTTCGAGCGTGTATATATTGCGTCGGATTGTGGCTCCAGCTTGAGCCAGTGCGAGAGGGAGAAACCCCAGTTCAATAGCTATACCCTCCGCAAGCTTCCGGCGCTTAGGTGTCGGCGGCACGGCGTCTTTTTGTTCGTCAGAAAAAGCTACCTTGAGAAGAAAATTCACGGCTTCTTCAGCTTCCATGCCACGAAACTGGAGTTGGCCAACTCTGGCTTGTTCAGCTGCTCTTGGGTTACGTGACGTGACGAGTATGTGGCCGCTTCCCCCAGACGGACAGTGTTCCTCAATCTGAAGTTCGGGGTCGTCTGCATTGTCAAGGATAAGTAGCCATGGCTTGGTAGATTTCGTTAACCAATGAATCCCCGCGGATTTGGTACGGCTGCGTCCCGCTTGTTCCCCGATCGAGGCAAAGCCAGAGTCAATATTACTTTGGCTACTAGCATCAATCCAGAAAACTCCCCAATATCTGTGTATACTGTTAAACTAACGTTAAAGAAATCGCAGTGTGTCTGTACTTACGAGTTCCTATTATCTTCGATATATTTGAGACAAAACTGGGTTTTTCCGGAGCCTCCTAATCCGAAAAGAACCAGGATTTTACTTCTTTTTCCATCAGACGGTTTATAAGTTTCCCCTAGCATGTATTTAACCCTCTCGGCATGTTTTTGGCGTCCAGTGAAATTGATACTAGGATTACGAGGGACCATATACCACTCGTTTATATTGCGAACCAAAGAATCTTCGAAGAGGTTCAACGTAGAGTCAGGTCGTAGCAATTCTTTTGCTTCTCTTTGGCGGTCCTTCATTGTTGACTTGTGTTCGTCCATCCATCTTGATGCTATCAATGCTGGTGCATATCGAACGTAACGTGAGATGGCTTCTAGGATAACACGGTATCCTGTGTCTAGACGACTTCCGAACTTTACCATTGACGAGTGAGTCCCTGGGATCCCGCACTTTTCGACATCGCTCCATGTAGGCGCAGAGGACTCTTGGTCGACTATGTATGCTTCGTGGCTACTCGAAGAGGTTTCCGGATCTTCCCAAAAGTTATATATCGCGAATCGACTTGCGACGGGTGCAAATAGGTCTGTGATCTCATTAAGCATTTCAGAACCTTTGATCAAATTGATAGCGAATTGGCTCGGTCCCGGGCTGTTACCATCTTGGGACTGCAAGACCGTTTCCTTTCTAATGCCAAGATGCGGCGTTCCGAGGAATAAGATTCCATAAGTCGACGTGTAGATGGATCGGAGGTGCTGAAGAGCCTTACTTCGCTTCGAGTTGGAATGCACAAGTGCTCTCTTGACTAGAAGGCCTCCAATACCATGACATACGAAGATGATGGGCCGGGTCGAGGCGTTATCCAGTTGGCGGTTCGCAGTCAGTTCGGCGACGAGCGTCTGTGCTTGAGCGAGTATGCGATCAGTTGTTCCCTCTCCTGGAGACGTCAATGCTGCCGCTTTGTACCGGTAAGATAGAACCCGAACGCGGGGAAGGTCGTGTGGTATCAGGTCTCTGAGCCACAGAATGTTCGATTTCTGCTCCGTCCACGTTTGTAGGCCGTCTTCCAGAATGCCATGGATTGCGACTATGCTACAATCGGTCAGTATGTCTGGAAGTGCAGCGTCATTTAAGCGCTTTGCGCTAGGAATCTATGTCATACTCGGCACTCAGAGAATCTGTCTCCCCAAACTGATGCTGGTCTTTGGTAAGCTGAGTGATGGCCATAATAATCTAGCAATGAACAGGAGATCAAAGCGCACTCGTGCAGGTGTCTGCCTGGGGATCTTTTGCATTGAACTTTGGTTCAGCTGGGGCGACAGACGGGATGAGCATGCTTTCACCCCGTACGTGCCGAGCCATGGTTTTGACTGTGCCGCCTCCTTGTGGCAACTCGAGACGCGTTCTGTTGCCTTTCGCTCCGCCCGCATGCAATGTGGTGGTTGCGCGATTAAGCGCTGCAGGAGGATGCACCCATGACCAATAGTAGGCAACCGAAACCCCCTCTTCTGTACATGTCCGCATGACAGGTAGGAGTTGCGCTCATCAGGCTGTCTGCTCGCAATATTGGCAGATACCGAACGTGTGGGGCGAATCCGTCATACCCGTCTGACACAACTGATTTGTGCAGCCCCTAACATCGCGCGATATGACGTTGAAAACCATCTACGGCACTGTGTACTAAATGACACGCGGGACGGGAAGCGCGTTTTTTTTTGTCCAAAATGATAGCCATGTTACACCATTGATTACTCGATACTAAAGTAAGCGCCCTCGACCCGTCGGAGGCGGGACGAGAGAGCCGGCGCTAAAACATGCATTATCACCAAGGGGTCTGCAGGCCCGGCGCACACCCCTACCACCTGTGTGATGTCCCAACCGATGCTGAAATAAATGGGAGAATCCCTTCCTCTACCTATGTCGCCACTATACCTGCCATCCACAGAATGGCTACATACAACATTGTTTTGTCGTTTTTATCAGTCGTTTTCGCGTATATAGGCTTCACTCAATACCGAAACCACAAGCGAAAAGAAGAGGTAGGCGACGCTCAATGCCGCCTCGAGATCAAACTAACTTGAGCCGCCCAGGAGAACAAGGCTGTTGCAGAGCGTCATGGCTGCCTTCCAGCCACACGGCTTCAAAATCAACGCCCATGGGGCATTGACCGCCTGGAACAAATCTTTAGGGCAGATGCCGAGTCACGATTGATGGAGTTGTTTCTATTCCACTTTCGCCAAACGGGCAGCACGTTGGAACAGAAATTCCTGGGTACAAAAGCATACGGTAGGTGGCTGGACACACCATGCTTACAGCTCGGGTGGCTAATGAGGCTGCTGCGCAGGCACCATAGAGCCCGCCAATCTTGAAGCGATTTTCTCTTCAAACTTCAAAGGTATGCTGGCCGACCTTACCTCGTCTTGCTTGAACATCCCAGTCCTGCGAAAGCGTAGCCAACGTCACCCGCTTAACTTCGAGTAGATTTCGGTATAGGCCCTCGAAGGGCCATCACTTTCCCTATGTTTGGGGATGGCATTTTCACCCAAGAAGGCCCAGCGTGGAAGCATTCGAGAGATCTATTACGACCACAGCTGCAGCACAAACAGTACGAAGACCTGGAAGTGTTTGAAGAGGCTGTGGATGATCTGATTGATCTTCTCAAGAAGGAAACTGAAGGTGGTGGAGTCATCGATCTCCAACCATTATTCTTCCGGCTAACCTTGGACATTACAACCGCTTTCTTGTTCGGAGAATCAGTCAGGAGCTTGGTTACACCTGAAGCGGCCGGGGAACGTACATTTGCCAATGCATTTAACACCGCTCAGCAGTGGGTAACGAAGCGCTTTCGTCTTCTTGACCTTTATTGGTTAGTGAATGGCAAAGAATTCCGCCAGGCTTGCGACGATGTCCAGACATTTGCGGATAGCCTAATCGATCGCAATCTCTCCCCCAAGCGAGCTCGCAGTGAGAAGAAGGGCAAATATGTTTTCTTAGATACAATCGCTCAGAACTACTCCGATCGGTCGGCATTAAGAGGCCAAATCATCAATCTTCTCGCTGCGGGGAGGGACACCACCGCTTGCTTACTTTCTTGGACATTGTAGGTGTCACACACAGGCTTTACGTTGATCTTCTAATAGATGAATCAGTTTCTTGCTTATCCGACACCCATCCGTCCTGCAAAAGCTGCGAGACGAAATAGACTCGGTCTGTGGTACAACTCCAGGTCTCACGCGCAGTGTCTTGCGGAAGATGCCCTATCTACAAAATGTGCTCAATGAAAGTATGTACCCCGACATGTTATAGCCCGTATCGTCTGCTAAGCGTTGATGTAGCCTTGCGACTGTACCCTTCTCTTCCCGTCAACACCCGAACAGCTATAAGAACTACGGTTCTTCCCGTAGGAGGTGGCCCTGACGGAACATCTCCAGTTCTAGTACCGAAGGGCAGTGCGTTGGCGTTCAGCGTTTATTCCATGCATAGAAGGCCTGATCTATATGGTATGGATGCTGAATTATTTCGCCCGGAAAGGTGGGAGGAAGAGATGCCTATGCAGAAGGATCACACTAAACATAAATGGGGTTTTCTTCCGTTCCACGGGGGACCGCGCATTTGTCTTGGCAGTAAGTGTACACTTAGGTCGAGCTGTTTCCATTAGAGAAACATCGCTGACTTTACGGTGATTAGTGGATTTCGCGCTTACTGAAGCCGGATATACGGTTGTCCGTATTCTCCAAGAGTTTCAGTCAATCAGACTGCCAGAAGGAGAACCTGTCGAGTTGGTCGGTGTGGAAAAACAGCAGATGACACTCGTGATATCGATTAAAGATGGATGCATGGTGAAGTTACAGTAGAGTGCCTCAAATTAAAGCCTATATGTTTTCGGTACGAAGGTGGAATTCATGTCTAATTCACCAATTCTGCAGCCTCGTTCTGGCGCTTTGTTTTCAGCATTTCGGAAGCTTGTTCCCACCTGGACGCAATCAGGCTTGGGGCTTCCTTCGAATATCGAATCAATGCTGCTGCAACCAATCTGTATCCAGGAGACGATCTATTTTCAAACTTCACCATGTCCCTATGGTCATAAGGGAGTCCCGCTCGTTCGGTATTATCGAGAATCGGGGCTGCGGAGCTTTCTTCGACGATCTGTGTACACTTATTAGCGATGCAGACCGAAAAAAAGATCCATTTCAATATACATAATCCAAACTAGCTCCCATGTCTGTCTTTTCTTGCTCCCAGAAGAAAAACACACGAAAATTCTTCATGAGTGGCACGAACATGTCCGTGATATTTTGCAGGATTTCAGAACCCTCTGACAAAGCGTCAAGTAGCTGCCCGTTCGAGTCCAAGACTCTAGATGGAGTAATAGCATCTATGACACGCCGGCTGAACGAAGCGAGATTTGCCTTGTTGCTCCCATTGTGTGGTGTTCCAAGAAACAGGACGGCGAAAGTGGATACAAAGACCGAGTGAAGGTGCGCAACCAACTTGCTTGTCCTTCCTGCGGAATACACAAGAGCCTGCTAATCGCTTAGTGAAAACACCACACGACAGTTCAATTGAAAGTGCTCGTTACCCGCTTCACAATGATGCCTCCCAGAGAATGGCATATGAAGATGATGGGACGCTCTGTTGCATCTTCAAGCTAAAGTCATTTTTTTTAGCTATCACCTCCCTATTCAAAACGAGCAGTCAATTCATATACCTCTCGATCAGCCACCAGTTCGGCTATGAGTGTTTGAGCATGCTGCAAAATAGTATCGGATGATGTTTTGCCTAGCAGCGCCGTAACATCCGCATTATATCCAAATGTTAGAATTCGGGATTGTGTGAGGTTGGCTGGGAGCAGATCAGAGTCGCCAAGCCAGAATCGGTTTGTGCCGGTAGTCCAGGTTTTGAAGGGATGGCCATTCAGACCATGGACCGCGACAATGCTTTTTTTACTTAGTGCATTTCTTAATCTAGACATCGAACTTACTCTACGAGAGGATTCTTTCCTCTGTATGTCTCATTGAGACCAGGCTTTTCTGTCATTATGCGTTGCATCTCGGAAAAACGCTGTAGCCGAAGATCTCGATTTTAGCTTTGGCTGTCGCACGGAAGAGTGCCGGAGTATACAACTATCAGATTCGAGATAGCAACCATGCAATGCAATGAATTGATATTGTCAGTTGCGGAATCCGGCGACCTGCAATATCACACCGAAGAAAAAATCGAGCAAAAGTTGAGTAAGGGTAGGTCGATAAATGGGTTATAGGCTAGACAACATCATTGCGGCGCAGTTGGGGACCTGGCGGTAACAGTAGTTTTGTGAGTGGTTCAGCTTGTGCACCCCCCCTCTCTTGTCTACGTACCCTGCCCATCACTTCGCTTGGTTAATATGTTTTTGTCGGTCTCGCAAACGAATCACAGGAAGGACTCTTTTTCACGCATCTTTGGAAAACATGATAATCTGTGTGTCGCCGTAAAAAAAGCCCTCACATAATACAATTAAAGGATGAAGTCTGGGATAAAAGATAAGGTGCAATGCTAAAGCAGTCTGAGTGCAATATCATGGATGCTCATGATCGTATGTGTTATGTTTCCAAGGAAATGCGCAATGTGATTGAACTTCATATTGAATCAAACGAGGTTTTCTAGGTTGAAACTCGTATGCTTTTTGTGGAAGGGTGTTGATGTCAAATGGTGTCACCATAAATGATCGTTTTGTCCTATACTACACTTAGCCATTGCTATATTGTATTGTAAGTCTTACTGTAAGTCTTAACTGTATCCCGTTTACGAGTATCCGTACTGCGATTGCAGTAGGTAGGTGGTCTGTGCCTATGGCACTTAGCAGTACCTTAGCTACAAGCCTCTGCAAAACCTGCAAAACCTGCAAAACCTGCAAAACCTTATCCACCAATGATTTATCGCTGGGCCGCATACTATCGCTGCTTTAACAATCCTGGCGCTTGCAAGAAGGTGGCGCAGTACTTCAACTCTGGTTACAGTAAGTAAGCAACATCACCAAATACGGAATTTGGCATCACTCATATACCCAATACGGGAGCCTTGACAAACGGCGAGTCGAACAAGAAAATCTTTGTTCTCCTGCCCTAATGTCTAGCGTTCGCTTTCAGAGACTGTTTACAGACTTGAGTGAACGGTAATTTGCTCTAACCGTGACAGCTAGCGTATTACAATATGATTGGACACTAAGCCACGTTGTTCTGCCAGATTCCTGAATTTCTTATAATGTGTAATACCATTCTATAGGGAAGGTAGAGTAAGATATTAGTTTAGGAGTGTAAAAATAAACTATCTTCGCTAACTAAAAGTCCAATCTGAGACCACATTGCAATATCTCAAAAAACAGCCGAATATATCGCAGCAATCGCAACGCGACATGAAACAGGTAAGGCTCACGGACTAAGAGATCAATTCGGCGCCTCATCCATACACACTAGATTGATTCTTTCCAAGACTTCCTTTGTACCTTTGACTTCTTCTGCCACTCGGCTGCGAAATTCCTGGGATTCGCTGCTTTCAGTTATGGCATGCTCATCTCCAATTATCTGCAAATCTGCTTCAATAAAGACAATGTACTGGTCTGCGGCTTCTTTCACCTTAGATTCAAGACCTTTGGCAGTATCAGCGAAAGCGTCTCTAATGAGAGAATGGTAGTCTTCAATCAGGCGGTCAGAGCCAAATCGCGAAGTGATACGGCCTTTTCGGCGAAGATCGCTTCCCCGACCTATGGTGCAACGCAATGCGTGGTCAGTACTGAACTAAACTTTCCGTGTTTGCCGAACGCTGGCCCGAGGGTGAAAGACGGCGAATATTCTTCTAGATATGCACTTACCATACTCCATATTCGCCTCATGATATGTGACCTCCATAACTTGGCCTAGGAAAGCAGTGCGCAGAGGTGAAAGGCATTCGTTTTGTAGTGTCAAGAAGCTTCCGTCGGAGAAATCTTTCACAATGTTCTCAATAGCACGGAGAAATGCACTTTTACGGAAACGAAGTGTGCTAACTAGAAGCTCATGGAAAATTGGCTTGCCACGGGCTATGCCAGTCGTCAATACGTGATCAAGATGTGAAATGTAGTTAAGCGCGGGGACACACCTCTGGATAGATCCATTTCCAACTCCAGAAAAGAGTCTTCGATAAAGACCCTAGTATCATTGTAACAATCAGTCAAGCTCGATGTGAACAAGGCCCAGATATATTTCATGTCTTTGAACATTGTCGACATCGCTAGTTCATTCCAGGAACAGCGTCGTACGGTTTTGGTGCTGTGCTCCCCAAAATTTAAGCAGAATGCCTTATATGACGACGCGTACCACTACGTATAGTCAGCTATTCAACCCTCATCTATAGTGTAGAATATGAGGACCATGCCTTGTTCCATTTTTTGGCAATCTGCGCAGCATCCTCCACCCACCTCACGGTTCTTTTCTTGTCACCTATTGCTAGTCAGTATCATTTGAACCGATCTAGTTTTGATTGAAGAGCGTACGTAGTTTCAGGCTGACGCATGATTCAAATTCTGAATGGAGAGACTCTGAGAGTGCCGCAAGCCGAGAATCCGGACGAGTTAACTGAAAATCGCGTCAGCAGTGCCATCTTAGGTTGACTAGCAGTCCCCTCAATAGGATCGTAACAGTTGAAAAAGAAGGATAGGAATGAAAATCTTCTTTGGAAGGCTCCACGAACCTTGTTCGTGTACTCCTGAGCAGCAGAGACCACTTGGAGGACCTGCTGGTTTCTCTCCTCATTCATATCCCCTAAACTGGTTTGAGCCCAGAGCTCCAAGGAAGCAACGAATGCGGAAACTCGATGATTGATATATTCCTTGGTTTGCCGGAGATAACTCTCGGCAGAAATTCCCATACAATGGCGCCGCAATTCTATGATTCCACTCAACTGCAAATGTGGCTTCACTTCGGCAACGAGGTCATGGCGCTTCTCCTCATACATCGTGTTGCTTACGCAGAATATTTGCAGATTTCGTGCTGCAGGATGTTCCGCATACTTTTTCCGTAATCCCCTCGACACACTTCTGTTACGAACAGTTATAAGGTGTCGTTGAAGTCTTGAAGAATCAGCCTTTTGGACGAGAAATCATAACAGGCGCGGTAGCTTACTCGAACCTTTTGCCAGCTCTGTATTTGCTGCAAGCACACCACATTAGCGGTTTTGCTCAGATACTGAGCTGAATATTTTGCTCTGGGAACACACTTGGACCTCCCGTTATGAATGGTAGAACGGAGACTACTTACTTAATATCACTACGAGCTTGTTTCATGGCACGAAAACCGATATCAGAATTGGCGTGTTCCATCGCTTCCTCTATGTTGTTTGATATTCTCGTGATCATTGTGATTTCGCTCTCTATAGCGCTGATGGTATCTTGCTCAGATGGCTCATCGGTTTTCACCTCCTGAGCCTTGACAGACTGTGTACTATTAGCAAAATTCCATTGAAAAGCAACAGGTATTACTCAATTCAGACTTTGTGCAAACTACACTAATGTTGTGCAATTTGCCCCGTTCAGCCGTTTCAAAGATCTCTTTCACACTCTGGTGGGCGACTGCTCTCCCGATATCAGCAACAACAAGAATGTGATCACAATTTCTGATGTAACGCTCAGTGACGTTTTGCCGTGCCAAATTTGAATCGCGAAGTCCTGTGCACTATCAATATGGTTCAATCTGCTTGTTGTCCAATGCTCACCTGGGAGATCCACAAGGATCAGTCCTTGGCTGAGAATGTAGCTCTTCGAATAAACCTTCAAATTCTTTATAAACGGCCACGGGCATGCTGGAACGCTCATGTGAGCTTGTGAAAATGTTGACCTTGGAGAAGTAAGCTCAACTAATTTAGCCGAGCAATCTTCTACTCTGACGAATGACATTCGCTTGCTATTAGAATGCGATTTAAGCAGCAGCGAAGCCCAGCATACGAGCTCGTTGATGGCATCAAAAAAATCAAGTTCAGAAAGAATTGAGGGCGTGCTGTTGAGCTTCTCGCCAAAGCTTTCCTTCAAGATTGTGATCGCGATAGTTGCACTGCCTTCTTTGCTGTTATCATCATCTCGTGTGATCTTGTCATCCTGGTACTGTGAAAATGTATGATTTCTGTATACTCGCAGCATTTCTTCGTATTGCAGTCGAAGTTCTTCTTCGTCAAAGTAGTTTACTTCAACGACAAAATCATCTCTGGCGTGATAATGGTATTCGGTAGCAACGGAAGTGCATGCCCCCCCGTTAGAACCCTGCTCATATCAATTAGGTAAGTGAACACAAACAATAAAAACTGACATACTTCTCTAGCAAGGCTTCCAAGATCGAGCAAGGAGTTGATTGTACTGCTCTTTCCAACACCTATATCTCCAATAAGTCCAACAGTACGCGATGAATGGAGCTCAAATTTGCCCAGCTCAGAAGCTTGTTGAAAAAGGTTCTGAACAGCAGGTTTGGCCTCTCTACCTGAATCGTGATTGGAAAGGAGATCCATCATCTTAGACATGATAGTCTTCCCAGTCTGTAAAGCGTCTTGTACCTTACCAGTGTAAAACATGGCTTCTGGTGGTTCTTCATCTTCAACCCGATAGACTGGCCTATTTTGATTTGAATTCGACCGGGAGTGAACTGAAGGGGATATGCACCGGCCTCGGCTCGCTGCGAATGGGCTCGAAGGCTCTGGTGGTGAACTTCCTATCCGAAGATCACCGAACACTCCAGGAAGATGTATAGACCCTGCAGAGTACAAATGACCGGATTTCTCTGAAAGAGTAGCTGGTTCAACGCTGATAGAAGGGGTTGGTGTTCTATACTCTGGGAGAGGTGTAGATAGACCCCCAGGCGTTCCAATCTCACAATTCCGAAAACTGTGGTTCAGTTCCTCGCTCTCAAGACTTCCACGTGATGATTCAGGACTCTCAATCCGTGCAAGTTGCCCATTGGCCGGTGCTGGTGTGTCCTTCTCAATGGATGGAATAGGTTCTTCAGAGTCGCTGTCAGCTCTGGACGTAGAAAATGGTGATAGTCTTTGTCCAAATCTTGTTTCGAGATGAGATCGGTTGGGATAGGCTGAAGAACGAGAGCTCTCTAGATATCCAGTGTTTGCAGGCGGCATTGAAGGGGAGCTGTATTCATTGTACACCTTAGGTGATATCCCAGAGCGCTGCGAGGTTTGTGGCAATACCGATGGGGAAGGTGATTTCTGACTCGGCCCAAAGCATGCACTGTTCATCACTGTTAGTTGCATTGATGCAGCTCGTTTTTCAACATGACAGTCAATTCATACTTCTCAAAGCCAAAAAGTGAAGTGGATTGACCATCAGACCTTATATCAGATGGTTGACTGAGAGGTGAGCTACGTGAAGCAATTTTTCCCCTCGCTGGAAGGATTTTTCTGTTTTGCGAAGCCCTGCCATGGGTCAGTTAAAAAGTTCGATATTCAGGGGCATAATCTCCTGGCTCACATTTCTTGCCATGTAAAGTGATGGGTCTCTTTGTATACTGCCCATTTGCACAGGTAAGAACTCACTTTAATATCACGACAGAGATATCTCTCGGTGTTTCCCCGCCCCGTCTTGCGTACAGTGTGCCGCCTTCGTTTCAGCAGTTTTGCGGCGTAGTTGCGCAATCAGCCAATCACAATCGCACCCCCCCCCCCCCCCCCCCCCCCCCCCCCCCCCCCCTCCCCCTCCCTCCCCCCAACTTTCACCCTTTTCTCCCCATTAATTTACCCGGTATCTAAAGCGAGCCCCTTGATAAGCGGGAAGAACTGTACCTCCTTCCTGAGCGGGTCAAAATGCATGTTTGTAGAGGAAAAGGTGTAGTCACAGTCACTCTTGGACAACTATCCAGCAGCTTGCAAGTAAGCTTCCCCTTTTTAGACCGATGAGACCACCCTCAGTAGTACTAAATGGCTTATTTTTGGGCCTGAATGCAACGAACTTGGGCGCAAACTTACAGCCATCGGGCCATATGAAAAACCCGGCCAATGCATTTCCAAGTTCGTCCAAACTGATGAACATCTGGCCCCCAATCAATAAATCGCGGGTTTCATTATATGCAGCGGAAAATACTTCCGTCCAATTATAGAAAATTTCAGAGTCATCCCGCCATGAGAACTCATGATTGTGGCCTTTGCGGAGACGGGCTGCGCCGGACTTGATCTTTTAGTGACCGCTAACCCCACGTTCAGATGAATCTAATATCAGGGCTTGTTGCCTTCAGATATAATTGGGTAGATTTCAAAGATTTACGTTATTCTGAGAAATAAATTTAAGTGAAATCTAATACAGAATGGTATGCCCTCCCAACAACGTACTATCATATATACCAAATACAGGATTCGGTAGTGAGGTACAACAATTGCTGACTGCTCTAACTATCACCCCAACAGAGATGTGCCGTCCATCCCCTCGCTCGTTATTTCACTCTCACTATCTATCTGTTCACTCGCCCATCTAACTGTTCACCTGCTTCGTATCTACCTAGCCTTCTCTCGCCATCCTAGCAATGACTCATCTTAAAGTTGACACCTCAGACTTACGAAAATCCAAATGAAGCGGGAAAGCATCCTTTTCGAATTGTCTTCAACAGGAGCTTGCAGCACGAGGGAAGATGTGCATAATAATATGAGGCGTATGCCAACAGAAATCATAGTTATACAGGTTAATAAAAAGCTAATGAAACTGCCAGAGTCCTGATACATAGACTCAAATGTGCGGTACTGTATTCAGTAAGGAAATGTTTCCGATGTAAGGTTAGTTTTTTAATTCATTATTTAAGGGCCGGATTTATCATTGGGAATCAGATTTTATGTTTATCTTCTTCGACATAGAGATAAAAGAGGGTGCTTAAGGAGGAGCTTCACTTTGCGTTAGCTAGCATGGTTTATTTCTCACTCAATATCTTCTCTGACTTCAAGGAATGCATTGCGTGGCGCTATGTACCGAAGTGCATCACCCAGGCCTATCGACACAATCTACGCAATTGAAACAAAAGGTTCTCCCGATTCTATGGTGCATTCGTCATGATCCCCTTCCAGCTCCATGTAGGGTTCCAATTTGACCTCAAGTATATCCTCGTCCTCAGGGTCAAGAGATCGCAGTCTGTCGTATTTTTCCCACCATGATTTCTTTGCCAGCGTCATGGTATCCACCTTACTACTTGCAAACCATTTCCAATGAAATTTTCAATACTGCACTGCGATTGGTCGTTCTCTGCATGGCCCCGGATGCCACCGAACCCAGGATCCACTGTATTGAGTGATACGACTACACCCGATGCTGATAATGCTGTCGATACTGGTATTGCTAGGCTCCCACCAGCAACGCTTTGATCACCGGACTATTCCCGGATTCGAGCGTTGAGTAACGTATGAAAAGCTAAAACGACATATATATCTTCTCCTTCGTCGATAGTTCTTTCAATCCGCTTTCGAGTTTCTATAGACTGCAGGGTGTCGCGAAACCACTCCCCTGCATTGTGGACATGATGTTTCTTTATCTGATTGGTCGTGATCTGCAATGACGATTTGAGACGTTTCGAAAATGAGGAGGAGAGGAAATTAGCCAGCTGCGATGTTGATTTTTGCTGTTTGACCAGGTGATGAATGCCGTCGTATTGCTCTTGGACTTGAGATTCGGCAGTCGAGCTGAGAGGAGGATCGTGAAAGTCATGATGAGGATTATCTAGACTAATAACAAATCGTCCAAGCCTCACAGCCGAGGTTGGAAGAAAAAATTGGGGAGTAGGATATTCGGTGACATTGCGGCGGTCGTGTCATTACCATAGAAGGTAGAAGAGCGACTATAACAATAGCCACGCGGTGATAGACGCCACCGATGCGCACAGGACACATTGCTGGTGCAGTTAGACGCGCGGCAGAATTGCGATATGTGGTTGGCTCCTTAGTATCGTGGCATCCCACTTTTTCGAAAAACGACAGGTAAGTGGGCCATGGTTTGGCACCACCCAAACTACGTTGTACGCCTTCTGTAGATTACGAGTTCGCACTGCAACACACTGCATGTATCAATCACAGTCTTCTAAAGAATATCCCAAAAGTAGCAATATACGCTGACCATACGCGGGAGCAGGTTAAGCAACAGGTGCCCAAAAGTTTCAGTTCCAAAGCGAGAATCGCTCACAGAGAGAGGTTGCAGACGTGGCTAGTAGTAGTTAGGCAATCAATACCGTCAGAGAGCTTTTTATACCCCAAGTTAGTGCTCTTTCAGTTTAGATCATCAGCGTTTACAGTTTTTACTGATCAGTGCTCTATATACGTGGGAAAAACTCAAAACAATTATCGAGCAATACATTGCGCTTTCGCTTGAGTCCTGGTTCTCCAGCTCCGGCAATGTATTTAGATTCCACTGAACTTTTCTTTCGGCATTGGTTCATCTGGTCTCTGTTTCTCCGCGCGATGATTACTAGCCCATGTTGAGGTTCTGCTACTTACAGCCCCCAAATTGACCTCCAAACACCTTCCATATGCAGCGGTGGCTGATACGCCAAAGCGAGCGCAACTGCCATAGTGCATGTCACTCCGCAAATACTGTTACAGCACCCTGCTACCTAGCTAACCGAGCTGCGGCACGGTACCAGCACTGCCTACCAGCGAGTCTCATCAAAGCTTGAGGAAGTACGTCAAATACCCTCTCAAAGCCACATACATGCTTGAGCACCCCCTTTTTTTTTCTTTTTTTTCTTTTTTTCTGAAGCTTACCATCATCTGCTCAATCTTTTTTCAATCCGTTTACTGTTTCTTCAAGAACCGCTATTTGAGCAGAGCGTAATATGCATCAAAAGAGCAAAAACGTAGGTCCTCTATGGCACATCCAAGTCTGCTCAAGCCCGTCAGCATCGCGCCAGAAGCTTTTGGTTCCAGGTGCATACCGAGATTCCCAGAGCCCTGAACCTTTGGACGACGAATTCCATGACGAAAATGAGGCTCATTTCCACAACGATTCCGGGCTCAGGAAATCATCCTGTCGACCATCGAAAAACCCTACAACCCCCACCCGTACAAGCGTGAACCCCCCCAGAGCGCCTGCATCTGATCCTGGACCTCGCCTGCGCGCACAAGAAACCCTGATTCACGACAGAAGTCCCATCACGGAAACGAAGCTTCAAGCCCCATGTGGGAAAATGTATGCCCGGGTGTCAGCCTGCGATAGACATCAGATCGGATGTCGGAAGTGCCAGATCAAGCTCTACGGAAGCCCCGAGAAGTCTGCAGAGCAGATTATTCCCATGCCAGACATCGCAGACATCTCAGGCCGGCAGAGTTCCGACGCAGCTAGACCTAGCAATATGAATACAGAAAAGGACGATAAAAGTCGCGTCGAGGAAGAAGTACATCGGACGTCAGAAGAACCCGGGCAAAGACCAAGGAAACCGGACTTTGCTGTTTCGTACGACTTGCACAAAAAACTCAAAAGCGGATTAAAGGACAGGGTTAGCTTAAAAGAGAGTGATGGACTTCTCTACTTCCTTCAAGTTCCGCAAAGGCCTGGTATTGTGAAATTGGGTTTCACCCAAGACGAGTTCAAACGTGGCAAACAACATAAGCAGAAATGTAAACTGGAGACGATCCACGCCAATATTTCGATACAATTCGCAAAAATGAAAATCGCCGAAAAGTTTATGAAGATCGAGCTGGACCACCTGAAGGCACCTTGGTACTGCGGTGAATGCCGTATAGAACATAAGGAGTGGTTTAAAGTCGATATTAAGCAAGTCGACCAACTAGCGGAAAGATGGAGGAGATGGATCAATGACGAGTTCCCTTACAATGAGCTAGGTACTCTTAAAGAGTCTTGGAAATGGTTCATTGAACACGAGATGCCCAGAGAAAAAGATATCAAAAAGTTTACGCATGATTTTCGGTGGAACCACTGGAACCGTATTTTGGCACACACCAGCAATGCCGTAGACGAACAATGGCGAAATTCCAAACAGAAACATCTCTCCGGAGAGCCCCCTAATAGGTACGACGTATCCCATTCCAATGCGAAGTCTGTAGCAGGACTGCGCTACAACAACACAGTCACCGTGGAGATCGTTGTTGTTCTATTGTTGATATGGGCTTTTCTCAACTTCTCCGACATGTTTTGAGGCGTTGTTACTACATATTATCCCCACTGGGATAGAATTAAAGTGCTGTATGTATAAAATTGAGAAAGAGGTTCTTTAGATTTTTGATTTTTTTAGAAAAAAGAAGTTACAGTGGTTCGGGCACTACAAAGAATATCTTCAATGGTACATCGTATATGTTGTATTGATTAGGAGGCCAATTCCTGTGCCTCATCGCTTCTCGTATGTACTGGATAGCCTTTCGTTCTTTGTCCTCGACGGTCGACATTTAAGCAACTCTGGACCAGTTCGTAGGAAGTCGGAGCCCATCCAATAAGTAAATCCATAGGTACCAGATGTGCACGAAACACGTTTTGCCGCGTTTGAGCCAGTCTATGTCAAAGAGTTCGGGATCTGGGGGGGAAAATTGTGCAGGATCTGTGGAGTAAAATGGCGATGGTAGTGTATTTTTCCTACATGTCGGAAAGTGTGGACAAAGGTGAACTCGTTACTAGCCACACCATCAGCTCGGATAAAACTACTCTAGACATACGTTACAAGGCCGTGGCCGAGCACCGCTGATTATGGGCATGCAATGCGACGGAAAACTTCGTTACCAAGTCACGCGAATATCTGCATTAGGCGCTCAGGGAGATTAACGACTAGTTAATACAAGACATCCAGTACCACATTCATCAAAATCTATCTTCACTCTCTGATATAGCCTCAGTCCCCTCCTCTAACCATTTCCCCCAGGCCGTCACGCCTAGATCCTCCGCATCTCTCTTGTTCAATCTTAAATACGTTGTGGTCATAGCTCTTTCGACCCAAAACCTATCCAACATACCAAAATGTGCATACGGACGCTTCTCTATAAAACTTACCCACAACCTAACAGTCTGCTTTGCAAGCTCTTCTCCCACAGCAAACCACTCATTGTGAACAGCATTACACGCTGCACTGCTCTCTGTACAATCCATCTTCCTGCGAAGGTTGTTTAAATGTGCGTGGCACAAGCGCTCAACTCTTCGAAGCTGCTCCATAGCCATGGGCTCTGTAAACCGCATGTTGTCCTCCTCGCGGATCTCAGTCAGATCAAAAAGGCCGCATTGCGCTTTCAGCGAAGCGATGCGCTTAGGCACGTCGCGCGAGATGCCAATCTTTAGCCACGTTTCGTTGCGCAAGGTGGCAGGGGCAAAGGTAGAGAAGAATGCGGGCGCTTTAAGAATGTATATGAAGCCTTTGTTGTCTTCATTGACGGGTTGGCAGAGGATTTCGCGAATTTTTTCGGCGGTTTCATTGAGTGTTTGCGGGCTGTAGAGGGGAGTTACGGGCCTTTCAAGAGTTGATTTTGGAGTTTCAGGGGATCTTGCGGCTAAGATTGGCGTTGGGGTTGAGGGAGGGCTCGCGGATCTGGATTTAGGGAGATAAGGAGATGGCGAGAGAAATCTGGAGGGTGGTGATGAAACTCGATGGTTCTTCGATGGTGGTGTTGCCCTTTCTTTGGACTGTTCATCCGATTGGTAGTTGAAATTGGATTGTGGAATAGACGGTGAAATGCTACGTATAGGAATATTCGTTGTGCTCGTACTAGCTTCTGTAGGTGCTGAACCTGCTGCTGATGTTGTTTTCGGATTGAAGAGGTATGAGCCGTGTTTGGATTGACTCGTTTGGTCTTTGGTTGTGTCTTTACTTCTGGGACTCGAAGATCTGCTGGCAGCCCGTCTTTCTATAACCTTAAATATAGTGTCTTCTCCCTCTTGATACTCAAAGGCTGCATGTTTGAATTGATCATCTCTCTCAATATTGGAAGGAGGATTTGATGAAGTAAGCTTAGCTTCGCGAGAGTCGCTGCTGGACCACCTGGAGGGGGTTCCAAATCCCCCAACACTCGCCTCAGGATCGGGAGACTCGGTCTTGATTGGATATGCGCTATGATTGTTTGGTTCCTGGTTCTTTCTCTCGAGATTCAGTGAGGACGGTGTAAAGAACCGCTCGCCATTGGATAAATCGTCACCTGGGTATACCCACGGCCTGACTGGATCCTCAGGTGATATCATGTCTAGTTTCAGCATCTATGTGGAGACTGGTTAGCTTATTTGACCGGTAGGTGAGTTTGGGCAGTAAATCAGAAGCAGGTAACTACTCACTTCTCGTATAGTATCAAGCGAGGTCTGAGGCTTTTTGTAAACAATCATGCGATACTCCCCTTTACTCGCATCATAAAGTTTTGGTGATGTACCCTCATCGTGCCCATCTGACGATCTGCCTAAGGTATCCTCAACGTCATCGGGTGACATATCTCCGAACCTATGTATTTCTTCGTGGATGTCGCGGAGACCATCTTCAATGGCTTTCAGAAAGGCATCTCGTTCCTTTATGTCCGTCGTTCGCCACAGTTCCCGGAAGAATTCCCTTTGTTTTTCGGTGTACGAACCGGAAACGTCGTGATAGCCACAAAACATGGATCGGACAATGTCGGTAAAGCCGCTCGCAGACACTTCTTCCTTCCTCAGCGCAGTCCAAGTCTTTTTAATCATGGATGGTCTAATCATCATGAAGCCCTCCGCCGACATAGGGCACCGTCTCCTATATTGTTTTGCGAAGCCAAGGCAGTGAAAACGTTGCCTTATACGGTGGCCCTGTGCGTTCAACTGTTTGGTCATGAGCTGCAGACTGTGAATATGTCCCAGCCCAGCTTCATTACGGAGATCGTCTAAATTCATATTGATGCTGTGACAAATGATAAATAGTGGTAAAATATATGCGCAGTTCTCAAGCGAATATGATGTAAAAAGCGAGCAGATTTTCGGACTGTCTGACAGAGGAGATGCGACAATGATCTTATATACAACGTCACTGCTACTGAATGGCTCAGCGCGTTATAAACAGTAACGATTCGATAGATTGAATATGACTGAACATCATGACACATAGATAGTAGACTGAAAGCATCTCATAGGTCAGAAGCAAGGCCACATGCAGACTTCCGGATTCAACTTTGCAGACAATAGAAGTTATTGATCAGCCTGTTGCATACCAAAAAAAAATTGACGGACTTCGGGAGGGTGGTATTTCCAATGAATAAAGAAGCGCCGTTGCGGCACAGCGCTCCAATTACTTGATCCGAGCCAATGGTCATAGACAAACGAGAAAGGCCCTGTTACCCGCCGTTTCCGCCCCCGGGGACCAGAATGTATGTTCCCCGTCGGTTAAATCCTCTTGACGCCAGAAGCGACCTACATGTATGGGTGATACAATCCCCTGATTGAATGTCGGGATCTAGTGCAACAGAGTGCAACAAATTGCATCAATGAAACCTTATATCCTAGCTCCCACAGCGGTATTCAACCTGTTTTGGTAATCTTCAATATTTATCCTTGTCTGTAAGTACTACTCGTTTTAGCTAGGGCAGTTGTGGTTTCCATGGTATCTCCTCAACTTGAACGGATGCCCCTTTCTTCTACCTCGCTCAGTTCCTCCTGTTACACTGTATTCCTTGAACTGAAAAGTGTCAGTAGATAGCTCAAATCTCCTGCGTGTACGATAGCTCGGAAACTCGTGAATCTCTCCAATCTATCTATGCGGAGTAGTTAGCGACGTACCAGTCTAGAGGAGTGCTATCAGTGGCTTTTCCTCCGTTACTTTACGTCCTTCTAGCATCAATACAGACAGTTTATACGCCATCCGACAGAACTGTTAGACCATAGCCATACACTTAATGCCGAACACTTCCCGATTCAATAGATGGTACAAATCAAGCAGTGTCAGCCGCAGGGGATAAGGGATTCGTTTCACCAGACACAAGTTGCTAAGATGACATTTATTACAAAGCGATAGAGTAGTTTGAAAGCAGTATCTAGCATGCTCATAATCGTATAAGATATATCTTCAAAGGAAGGCAAGAATGCTTTTAAGCTCAGTAGTAGCTAACCAGGGATTTTTTAAGCTAGTATTTAAAGGTTCCACGCAGAAGAATAGTAACACCAAAAGCTAAAGTAGCCGTCGCAAAGGCCCGCTCGGCGGCGCCCCGGCCAGACTCCAAGGGCATCTTCCGCAACTTCTGCTCCGTCGACCTGCTCTTCCTCATCGATACCACGTACTCGATGCAACCCTACCTCGACGCCGCCAAAGAACAAGTCAAGACCATAATCGAGGCTATTGAGAGGCGCTTCCTCAACGACGTGCAGGTGCGTGTCGCCGTGGTCAGCTACAAGGACCATGGCGCCTCCCCTCATATTGAGTTTCTTGACTTCACCACGTCCATGAGCGAGGTGCGCAGCTTCTTAGGAAAGCTCCGTGTTGGCAACGGCGATGATTATGCCGAAGACGTTCTGGGTGGGCTCCATCAGGCTACCAAGGCATCCCGGCGTCACCAGTCGCGCTGCATTTTTCACATTGCGGATGCCCCAGGCCATGGTCATGTACTGCATGATCTAGGGGAGGCTAGTGATTCGTACTATACCCCTGGGGAAGAGCCTCACGGCCTGCTATACGCTCCCATAATCCAGAAGCTGGTCAGTCTCGGCATTGATTATACCTTTTTCCACATCACATCCCACACCGACCGCATGCTCTTGGCCTTCTCTTGCATCTACGATTCTGCTGGCGCGGACAGCACATTGCTACCTACAAACAAATACCACGCCCAGGCGATTACACTCGGTACTAGTAGTGCTTCCAGAGCCAGTCACATGGACAGCCCCAGACTGCTTTTCCAGGAGTTGCATCTAGGCACCGACACGGCTAGTCTAATGCCCTTGGTGTTGAAGAGTGTCACCGCGTCCGTGTGCCGTACTTCAACTCGGCTCACCTTATCTCGTAGCTCTGCCAGGCGCTCGTCTCCCCTCAAGTCAGGCTCGGAAGAGTTTGACACTGAGCCGCCCCAATGGCATTCGTCAGGCTACTTCGACAGAAAGGCGGCCCTTGAAGGCTTCTGCCCGGAGGTCGTCGTGTATAGCAACAGCACCCTCATGGACATGATGCATTCCTACGAGCATATCAAGCTGAGTTTTATACAGCATACCGTTCGCTCGCGTTCTACGCCTTTTGCTAAAGGCGCTTCACGCCTGGCACACCATGCTCAGGTAGAGGCCTCGGGTGGCCGCTTTGTCGTCAAATCGTTTGCTGCTGGCGGTCACGACAAGTGCAGAGAGCACCAGATTGAGGAAATGCGTGCTCAAGCCTTATGCAAGGCTTTTGCCCTCGAGTTTAACGGTCTTGTGAGACAAGACCAATGGATAGATTTCATTGTGACGGCCTGCTTACAGCCCACAGCAGACGCTGCTGCTGGACGTGAAGATGGTTGTCTTTCACTTGAGCGTCGCCTTGAAGGCCAATTCGCAAAGTACAACAATAACACTACTTATGTGAACGAGGAGCTGCTTGACAGTGATCCAGTCTGCAAAGTGGCCCAAGCCTTCTCCCACTTCACCTTCGAACGCTCCTGGGGAGACATGATAGTGGTTGACTTGCAGGGCGTAGGCAACATCCTAACGGATCCAGTCATTCACACCAAAGATCCTGAACGGTTCAAGCTCAACGAGATGAACATGTCTACAGAGGGGTTCAAATTCTTCTTCGCCGCACACGACTGCAACGACGTATGCCATCAGCTCGAGCTCGTCAGTAATCGCGAAATGGCCCTCTCAGGCAACTGGCGCTTTCGAGAACGTTGGCCCGCTTTGGACCCGACCCTGTGTTGCTCCAACAAGCTCTGCCAAAGCATCATTCGTCTCGCTGATGCTTATTCATCCCCAGAGTTCTCGGGCTATTATTGGTGCAACGAGTGCTGGCCTGAAATCGAGTCGTCTACCGTCCAATGCATCTGTATCGCTCCTGGTGATACTCACGAGTTCCCTGTGTCGCGCTTCTTCTATGCGTCCCAGGGCAAGGTGCCGCCGCAGAAATGCCCAGAGCACAATGAAAAGGATAAAACCGCACTCGACGCCGCCAGTGTAGGTGGCGGTATCTGGAGTCACATGAAGAATGAGTCTAGAAGAAGTCTTGTTCTTGGCAGCGCTCATTGATCCTGTGGCACGCTCTTACTATTTTGATTTCCTACTCCCGATTTTTGACACGATGGTATGGCAACGGGATTAGCTGAGTGGGATTTAGCTATACATTATCCAGTCATGGATATCAATCTAGCCTTATGCTTTGCTCGTATATCATTGCAGGATACGTCAATCACTACGTGTAAAGTTGACTGCTAGAAGCCTATGTTGGAAATCTCTCCAATACTCTCAGTCTTCTCCAATTCTTATCGAAGCATACTCGCCGTTTTACCCCAGTTGTGACGAGATTTGGAACGTGCAAGATTCTGTGTTCGCGAGAGGTTAGTAATAATGACTTCATAAGTTGCTTTTACAATCACAACATCCAAAGGTCTCCTCGGCGTCGTGCATATACTAAACTCGCTTCCAAGACGTAGCGGGGGCATGAAAATACGAGAAGAATGCAATAAACCCCGCAAGTTCTACCTGAATTGGGTAACGCAGCAAATAGTGACATTTGACACGCAAACACATCAGTACAGAAGATAAGGATCGGACCGGCTATGGTGGCATCGGTCAGCTCGTCAAAGTCAGTCGGTCCTGCTCGAGTGGAGACGGTTGATTTTGCGGTATCCATCGCACGAGCTGTTACCTCTTGGCCTGTGACTCAAGCTTCTCCAATGACACTACGCGCATAGATAGATAGTGAATGCGGTAGTAGATCAATCATTCCTTCGACTGTCGCACATCGATGACAGCATCCCCATAACAAAGACTTTGCCAATCACTGCAACGCCACGTCTACCTTCTTCATCCCCTGAAACACCTGTGATTTGAATATCCTCCCAACACCTACCCTCTCATACGTCCTCCCTCTCACATTTCCATCCCCATTTACAGCCCCCTGCTGAGCCGGCACCAGGAAAATCACACAACAGACACTATTCCAAAACGCAAATTCCCCAAATGGCATTCCGACCCAATCGCCTTTGAAAGTGAGGACGTGCATAGCGTGCAGGACGACACCCGTTCCACCTCGGACTTGTTCGCCTGCTTCAACTGTTTGCTGTATCCGCTGTCGCTCGTCTATTTCTTCGTTGATGGCCCAGTTTTCGATGGACGCCCAGCCCAAGTGACGATCCGGGCGCGATGAATCGCAGACAGCGCGCCACGCGTGTGTGAGCTGATCGGACGAGCAGCTGGTGGACTGAGCGATGTGTTTTATTTCTTCGGGCGTGAGGCGGCGGCTTACGAGGAGAGGTTTCACACATGCGGAGATGTGGAGGGTTGTGAAGCTATTCTGGACAGTGAAGAAACTTGAGGGTGACTGGTGTCCTGGTTGTGATGAGTTGGTGCGCTCGTCGGAAGCGCAGGCTAGGGTCAGGCCCTTGCCCCGTTTCTCGACAGGAAAGGTCGTGCCGTCGGGAAGGCTGAGGGCGACAACATGACAGGCTGGGGTTTGAGATAAACGGCGCGGCCGCCACTTGATCGGTTGGCGATGTAATGTCCATGACCAGGTAGGTGCCTCGCAGCCCAGATGACAGTCACCAAAATACTTTCGCTGTTCCCAGAGGAGGCCATGGTAGATGTCTGTGAGCCACAGACCAGCAACGTAACACGCTTGAGCAATATCTTGGCCAGTTGGGTTGTTCTCTCTCGTCATCATTTTGCCTATCTCATGAGCAATACCTGAGATCGCGACCAGGGTGTCGCATTCCGGTTTCGTGAGGCTGAGTGTGCAGTACGTCTCCACGATGATACACCACAGACCGCCGACGGGATGCGTTCTCAGACTTAACATTGGTTTGAGGGGGATTTTCCAGTTCTCGTGGATCTCTGAAGTTATCCGGCCCGCCTGAAGCTTTAGATCCGCCTCTTCTTGAAACTCATTGACCGGCCAGCGTGACTGACACTCGTAGAATAGTTGGTTTTGAGTGACAAAAAGGATGCGACGGCTAAGAAGCCATTCCTGCAAAACCCATCCACGTTGGAGAAGATTGCTGTTGAGGACAAGATCGCTGTAGTCGTCGTCAATCGTTCTTGGTCTTGCATTCACGTAAAAGAAACCTTTATGCTCGCCCTTACTGTTTCTGTACGGAAGGCAAGCGATTTGACCCAGTACGAATGGATACCTTTGCGGAAAGCATCCGTCGTCGCTATCTGGCGGGCATATGACTCCAATTGTGAGGAGACTGTATTGGTAGTACTCTCCCATCTTCACGGCCTTTTTCCGCCAATCTGCCCCATCGTCGCCGTCCTGGATGATGCAAAGAGAGTCAATCCATAGTAGCCTGTGTCCTAAGAGTCGAACGAAATGAATCACATTCTGAAACGTGCGCGGTAAAGAAGAACCTATGTGTTTCATTCGAGCATCAATGTTGTCAGTCGTAGTCCTGCAGGTGAAGGATCCGGACCCCCATCGATGACTCAACGAGATGTAAGATCCACGTTGGCCGGCAGTTGACACCAATTTCATATTATTCGCGTCAGAGACATCGACACAACGAGTTGGAAGAGGTGCGTTCCGAGCATCGAAAGTATCATTCTCTGAAGCAAGCTTGCAACAGTCGGCGTGGGTCTCTAGACAGTCGTCTAGCCAGCTCTTGACGGCGCTCAAATGATTCTCAGATCGAGGGTCTGCGCCCCGGTATGTCACTGGTATGTCACCTGTTCTTGACGCTTCGCTGCCTGAAGTACGTCAACAGAGTCTCACCATCCAACACAAAACTTACCGATGTCGGCAAGAAGCCGGTAACTTTGACTTCACTCAACAATATCTATTCTACCTTCATGATAATCGGTAAACCATGGAACTTCGGTTCGCGTGAATCCCCAGTAGTCCCGACCGATGCGTACAGTCATGCGATCTAATTGCAATCCATTGTCTTGATGCGATGGTCTTGTTGCACCGTTTGTCGACACCCGCAGATGTGCATAGAGGTCGTCGAGATGCAGGTCTGAAGATTGGCGGAGTTTTGTGAGTGCATTTTCAATCGTCGCTGATAAAGACAGGTGGAGAAATCGGCAGAATGAGCATCCTTCAACAGCACTTAGTGCTAGATAATCCAATCGTCGTATTAGAAATAGACCTCCCAACTTCTGAGCCTTATGAATGTCGGTGCTGGCGCAAAGTTGGCAGAGAGTGAATGTCACCTGCGAGCTTCTCACTTGGTCCACTGAACCTGGCATGGTGGCTTTCATCAAACAGATTATCAAAGATCAGGTAAAAATCAATACTGAGGCTATGAAGTGGCGAGGTCTTGATCTTCCTCCTTTTGCCTGCAAAACCGCTGCTGCCCAACGCTAAATTATATTCAGCCTGCGCTGTACGTAAGTGGCGGTTCACGTGCGCGGTCTGCTGTATCTATACATACATATGTATGTAAGCAGCTGAATTCTACCCCTCATCTTTGTCTATCTTTTGCGTACAATCAACGCTGGAAAAGGTGCCTGTCTCTATACACAGTGGATTTTGTCATGTCTCGATTCAGCGCCAGCTCCATACATTCCACCATATTGGTATATTTAAAAAGATTTCGTTTCCAGCATATCTGGCCAATCAGCATCTATGCAACTGCAGTGACGATTCCCGCCTTCGCGGCAGTGAGAGTGTACACAGGCTCTGACATGAGTCCGGCTTTCTTTCAACGTGAGATTATCTTCGCGGACATACTGTTAGTGTACAAAGTATAGCTATATCGTGATTCGCTGCTCATATTTACAGCTTTCTCCTCGCTGCGCACTTTTTTCTCCCGATCCTGTTCGACTGGTACATGTTCCAGAACCACGTCCGCATCCCGCCACCTAAAGCGCTGCTTCCCTTTCAGACTTTTCACCTGAGTATTTCGATTTCCATCTACGTCGTTTTACGTTCAAGAAATTTCCCAGACACATTCGTATCTACTGTGTGGCTGCTAGTAGTCACTGTACCTGATCTGCTGGCTTGGATTTACGAGTTCCACTTTTATCGAATTTGTCGGCAACACTACGATTTAAGGAGGCCAAAGCATTTAGGACTCGAAGAGATTTCCCTTGACGTTCACCAGGAAGAATCATCAACAAATCATCTGGCTACGCAATTCGTGTTCCAGACCGCAATGAAGGGCGAGAACGTGGGAAAAGCAAAATCTAGATCAGGAGGCGCCAACGAAGGACTCGCTACCTCGGATGAACATGTATCTCCAAATCCGCTCTCTGAGACAACAAAAGCACTATACTCAAATGACAACATTAGGTTCGATCCTTATCAGGAACCTTCAATTGGATTCCTGCAGGACTATCTCGAACGAAAGATGTTCTCCTTCATAATTGGTACTCTAGAGTATCTTTCTCTAGATCAGTACACTGAAACGTGGGTGAGACTGATAGAAGCATCGAAAGACCTCACTCAGACTTCAACTAACAAACAACAGAGCAGTCTCGAAGCTCAGCCTTTTTCTCCTAATCGTAGATGTTGCTTCAGCTTTTGCTCTCAGTGTGCTCGTTAAGTACTTCAATGCGACACCTTTGATACGGAGAACTTTTACAATATTTCAATTTATACTGATGGGCCTCTGGTGGGTTTTATTTGCGGCACTCTGGTTTGAGTCACGGCCTGATTCACAGTGGGACACATACGGTTATAAGCATTTTTTCCTACGGGCGTTTGTCTTTGGTTATCATGTGTTAGTCTGTGATCTTATGACGATTGATTTCTTAGGAACCGGTTGGACTATAGGCTATTTTTTTTATTTGCCTTATACACTTTTCAGTTGAGACAGAACAAGAGGAAGATGTTCGCCGCTTTATGTTAATTCATGACCTGAGGAGAGTTTTCTTTTAAGTAATCAGCTCGCAACGAGGGTAGTCATGCAAACCTGTTCGCACGTTTGTTGGGGAGAGCTTATAGTTAGCTCTTCAGCGCGATTATTCTTGTAGTGAATATTCCGTACAACACTCAATCGCTTCTCAAGTCAACTAGCTAAACCCCAAAATACTAACTCGTCTAGCTGCTTTGATCTGTTATTGTTCTAGGTCCTCCTAGTAGCATATGATGCGGAATAATGCCAACTTCTTTAGCTTAAAAAAACTTCTGCGAGGTTCCTCATCCCCACTCCGCGCCACCAAAAACAGACACAGGGACAAGAAAGAAAGGGCAAAAAAGAAAGGGCAAAAAGACATACAACAGCAGGTATTCGCTAGTGGTCACCCACCTAACTACTAATCCGCCGGTACCATGCTTAAGTACAGCTGAGCGGACGGGAAGCTCTGTTTTCATGGTCCTATGGTCGTATGTGAAAGAAGATGCCCAAAATGAGATTCATGTATCACTTTCTAATCTTATTTTTTGTGGGATTTTGAGTTTAGTGGGTTGATGCTCAACATCGTAAACACCGTTTTTTGAAAAGGGGAAAATGAGGTATGCGATACCCCCCTTTCACTGACTGAGAATACATTGTTTATTGATTTGAAGGTGGAGTCTTAGGTTGATGAGCCATCTCGCTGCAACGGCCAGCTCCTCCATACCTTTCTCCAATCCACATCGTCCTCGTGAGGCCAAAGATGCTTGAAGACCAAGTAGCTCCCTCGATCGTGCCTGACTCCCCAAAAAGTACGTTAGTATAAAGACATGAATTGACAAACTCGTCATAGCCATGCACGCAGATTTACGCGACGTGAACAAGAAGAAAGAGGGAGATGACAGACGTACCCTTTATTTCCATACTTGTCAATCATCACCTTTTCGTGAGCCCGCTGCGTCGCATCCATCTCCTCCCTTTTCTTCCTCAACATCTCGGTGACTTTGACGCCGCCATCGTTGAGAGCCACGGCGCGGTACTTCCGCGATATATGCTGAACAATCGCCATAAGATCTCCCGGGTGAGAGCTCCCAAACGCACTCCCACCGAACGTGTGCACGGTGAAACTCTGCAACCGCTCTGGGGCGCGGCGGCGCCGGTTCAGCACGTCCCAGATGTCGCGGACGAGGTATTCGTCGAGCGCCGAGTTCACGATTGCGATTTTGAAGTGGCCGTTGTATTCCTTGGGGGAGGCGCCGGGCGCTGTTTGCGTGGCTTTGTCGAAGTCGGACCACGTGGGGTCTGGGGCGAGATCGCGTTGGCGGGGGTTCTGGCAGTCGAGGCCGAGGGTGAGGTGTTTGAGGCTGGGGAGGGTGCTGAGGGCTTCGTAGCAGGCTGTTTCGGTGCGGTCACCCATGGAACGTTTGAGGGTTAGCGTGAGGGTTGTTAGATGTGGGGATTGGGAGGCTAGGGAGGTGAGCATGGCGGGTGTGAGGCGGAGCGGTGGGCCTGTTGTGTTGTAACCGTTTGAATAAGGGTGGATGGCTAGTTCGCGGAGGGTTTCACCGTGTGTTGAGGCAATGGTTTCGAGGAGTTTGGGGTGGATGGTTCCGTGGAGATGGAGTGAGGACAAGGGGCGTAGAGATTCCGTGAAGTGCTCAATGGCTGTTTGCCAGCCTGCTGGATCTGTTTGTTGGGCTTCGGTTTGAGTGAGCGTAAGTCCCAGCGACTTGAGATTTGGGAAGACATCGTGGGTAGTGATGTGATTGAGGAAAGCTTCGCCGTGTGTAGAGAAGGTCAGGCTTTTGAGGTGTGAAAAGTCGACGAGTTTGTCCCAGATGGCAAACTTAGTTTCATGGAGATAATCGTCGTAGCCCAAAAAGCTGAGACTCTCGAGTTGTAGCTTTTGTCGGTGTTGTCCTTCACTGTTGATGATCGCGGGCACAAAACCATCCCATCTTGGCAGAGGCTGCCCTCTGGCTTGGTAAAGATGAAAACTACTAGCAGGTCTACAGCCCAGCCATCGCACATGTTTCAAGTTCGGAGCCAGTTCCATAGTGCGCAAAGCCGCCGCGCCGTTGTGATCTGCCATGCCAGTGGATTGGCGGGTAGCGCATTTGATGCTCAGGCTATGCAAGTTCTTGCTCATAGCCAATGCACGCTCGTCCAGGTCTGTTACGGCTTCGTTCAAACTCTGGAATCTGAAACTCCGCATATGAAGACGACAAGTAGGGTGGTGTTTCTCGATAGATGCCATGAAGCCTGGTGGAATAGGGTGTGAAGATTGGAAGACAATATCGGTAAGGTACCTGAATCTGGCAAAGGCAGATACAAAAGGTTCCCAGACCCGTTCTGCCGCTTCGCGATCCCGACCATGATTACCGATAATCACCTCATCGAATTCAGGATAGGCAGGTTCGTCGAGGTCGAAATTCCTAGGAAGGACCGACAGTCCAGCGAAACAAGCTGGTTGGATGGAAGCATCCGAAATGTCTGAAAGTCTACAATCCTCGTCAGAAGGACCCGGCTCGGGATAACGGTACGGAGTATCGCTGATGTGTATGTATCTATGTAATAGCAAGTCAGCACCGGCATCGAATGTCAATAGCTTTCAAGTGAAGATATTTGGCGAGAGCGTATAACAATAGTCAGGCGTGATGTATCATTCATACCTAGCATACTCCAGGAACTTGCTAGCAAGATCATCTTTCGTGAACAATCTCTTCGCATCCTCTTTCAGAGTTTCAAGATCCACTGCCCACGCAAGACCACGATAGATGAACGGTTCAGCCAGATCATGCCAAACCCTCGACACTTTGCGTATTGCGGGATCTGCCTCAGACTTGTACAGCTCAGCCGTAATCAGTCTCTTAACGTCTCCGGGTAAATCGTCGAGATTCGTCATGATCAAGAACTTTTGTTTCTTTGTGATAAGGAGAAGGAGAGTGTGGGATTGTATGTGATATTGATACTTGAGTGAGCTGACAGAGGCGGAGCATTGTTGGTGGCCTCATTCATTGCGTGCCCCACCTATTCGACCTAGCGTAGTCGAGCACAGCCATTGTTGTAAACAGTCACTAGACTACGCTGCTTGTCACCAGGCAGCAGCTGTGAATATTCATTAGATATTCTAAAGTGCTACTATTTATTACGTCACGCTGCCCACGCAATTCTTTTATTATTCGTATCTTCTCATGGTATAAGTATAGCTCCAGGTCATGGTTTTCTACCTACATATAGAGTGACCATGTCTCTACGAATCTCTATAAATAGTGCACCACATTTTCCGAGCATACTAGGTACAAACCTACGCACGCAAAATGATATAAAAACCTACAAAGATGCGCAGGATACCGTGCGCTTTGGCATGAATGACAACAGCCACAACCTGAAAGATGAGCTTTCTGCTCATCTTTCAAGATGAATGCTTACGAGGTGCGAGATTGGGTGTGTTCACACTATCTTACCACGATAGGCCATGGATAATGTTCGAATAACGGAGGAACACAAAACGCAAAACGGACAAACGCCGGGTTTGATGAATGGTAGAGATCTTAGAGAGATCTCTGCTAGATAGATGCAAGTTCCCGATCCAATTCCGTAAACGCCGAGTCACCCCTAGGCAGCCAATGCCCATCTAACGCAGGGGAAGCCATATTTTGGTGTGCTACATGGTGCTTTAATCGTGAGATCTACATTTCTTCAATCGACCGGGGCATGCTTGAAGAGGAAGGATACACTCTCGCCGTTGTGGGTACGTCTACAGGCTTCGGCAAGCTGCAGTGAAACGTTGATTAGCAATGCGCAACCACCAAACACGGGGAGGAGGCATTTCAAACTCACAGTTGGGCTGACATCAATAGTCTCGATGCGGTCACAGCGCTCCTTCTTCTCTTCGTGGGGGACCGTGTTGGTAACGACGATCTTCATAAGCTTGCTGGCGTTGATCTGATCAATGGCGTTGGCGCTGAGAATACCGTGCGTGACAATGGCAATAGCTTCTTTGGCGCCGTGCTGAATCACGACATCAGCCGCTTTGCAAAGCGTTCCGCACGTGTCAGCCATGTCGTCGACGATAATGGCCGTGCGGTCCTTGACGTCTCCCACCAGCACCATTCGGGAAACCTCGTTGGGGCGCGCGCGTTCTTTGTGGATAAGGGCGAAACCTAAATCGAGACCATCTGCAATGGAAGTCGCTCTGTGGTTGCATTAGCTCACGTTCCCCGCTAGTGATTTTACAAATCGGGCTGTCGGGATCTGCATAGACGCCGAGTCTAGTGTCGCGGATTATGGTTTGGAAATATCCCTCATCTAGGGGAACTTTTTTCTTTGGTTCGGACAGAGTCGTGAAGTGGGTACGTGGAGGGGGTGTTCGAACTTCACAGCACCGGACAGGTAGGGGAACAGTACCTCTTAGCGCCGCCCGCGTCTGGGCTGACAATGACACATTCCTTGACATCCAAGTTTTCGCGAATCCACCTCAGGGTACTCGGTTCGGCGTAGAGGTTGTCCACGGGAACGTTGAAGAAGCCCTGGATCTGGCTTGCGTGCAGATCCATGGTGATGACATGGTTGCACCCCGCGGTCTGAAGCATGTTGGCCATGAGTTTTGCGGTGATGGGCGCTCGTGACTTGTCCTTCTTATCCTGCCGCGCGTAGGGGAAATTGGGTAGGACGGCGGTGATGCGGCGGGCGGAGGCGGTTTTGCAAGCGTTGATCATGATGAGCAACTCCATGAGGGCATCGTTGATATCGCCTGGAGGAGTGGACTGTAATATAAAGACTGTAAAGCAAGTGTTAGTCTGGGGTTCTCTCACACAATCGAGTACATGGTGGAAAGCGCTCAAGAACGCAGAAGCAAACATACCATCCTCATCTCGAACGGACTCTCCGATCGTCACAGACGTCTCCTGGTTGGAGTACTGAAGAACCAGGATCTTGGTCAGCTCTATGCCTAGCCTAAGTGCCTGGTCAGCCAGCACCTCAGTCGCAGATTGCATCAATTTCCGGAGAAGGAAGATTGCTCCAGCTAGACTCGAGATGACTCGACTCGACTGAAGCAAACCCACGGCATGGAAACATAGGGCCTACCTTTCAGCGACCAGCTTAGCGAGCTGAGGGTGGCTGTTTCCCGTCAACAGCTTGATGCTATTGGTAGCCATGACTGTCGAAGCCGAGCAAGGGGAAGGGGAGGTGGTTGTGGGGTTGTAGGGATGGGCGGGAGGAAAGGGAGTTGCTTCACATGCTGCAAGAACGCGCAACCAAGTGACCAACAAAAAAATATTGAAGCCGCAACGCAATCGGCGGCGCACGGACCCTTCTCGCCCCGCATTCCAGTCACGTGTCTAGCCAGCCACAGCACCGCCAGATAACGTGCTCCCCAGCCACTCTCGAGTCAGCACATGATCGCAAGCATGTTCCCGGACACCGCGCGAAACGCTTCTACACCTCACTCAGACAAGACACACGCTCTCGCAAAAGATTCTCCGCCCTTGAAGGTTGAAACATGGCTTGCAGACCCTCGGTCCTGTACCGACCGCCACACACTGACTTGCGTGCTAGCTACCTCGCCCAACCCCCCTCTCTGCCTCAGATCAGCTTCATGGATAGTGAAAAGTGTATGTTGGGTCTACATCCCAGGCTGGATCAGAGAGGCAGGAGGGGCGAGCAAGGGTGACGTTGGGTGTCAGAGAGGATAGAGGGGTAGCTGTGTCTACCCTTCACCATTGTCATCAACATGAAGCAATCGAGGCGGGAGACTAGAGTACAAGGACCTTTTGCTATCCTACCCCGTCCCGTCTTTCCATCACGATCCACGTGCACCATGGGAGCGAGCGCTCGAGCGCAAAGGCAAAGTAAGATTGATTCCCCCCGTTTCCCTAGACGAGGAGCAGAATGAGGGGGAACGAGCGGAGTCTTGTTCGGAGTCGGTCAGTCATGCGAAACGGACAAGCGATAAGCCCACGATAAAAAAGACGTTTGGTGGATGGAATCAGACCATTATTGTTTGTGCTGGTTCTAGGGTTGCTGATGTCCGCCCTGAATCTCTGCCATTTCGCTACCTTCCGTGTTGCGAGGCGAGATGGAAGCGGTAGCGGCTCATCATCCTCTCTTCTCTGCTGCGCCATTTTTTTCTTCTTTATTGGAATGTTCCGTTTTGTTTGATGTTCAAGTTTCAATACTTTTCTCCGCTAAGCCCGTTATGGCGAACAACGAACCTTTGGAGTCGGAGAGGAAGAAACAGAAACAAGAGAGAGAGAATGAACAAAACTATAGCAGTGTAGTCAATCGCTTGGAACCGTCATATTTCCTCACATAAAGAATAGCAATGCAACAAAACCTCATCATCCTACAGCATCATAAAACGAGGTCGAAGTACACGCGCGCCAGGTACCTACCTCGGCGCGACTCCCACTCTTACATACGCCGAGAGCAAACATGTTACACACCCTCCACGCTATGATACTCCACTGCCCAAGTCCCCCATCCATCCACAGATCCACACCTCGCGTGTGCAACGTGCGTGCCCAACCTCACCCAAGGTTGAAAAATCCTACCAGGTACATGTCATCCTTGTACTGTATAGATAATGTAAGACGGGAAGCACCCCCCCATTCCCATTCCTCCGCCGACTTCCCGCCGCCGCAAGAACAAAAATCCCTCGAATCTTCTTGGGGTATTCGAAGGTTTTCTTGGCGCAATGGCTGTGTGCGCATGGAAGTACCTATCGCAGCAGTGGGATAGATAGCTGACGGGTTCTCGCTTCGAGGCTGATGCTGATGCATGGCCGAACGAACGTTCGGGTATGATGAAGCACCTCGAAGCAGAAAGAGAGTAGAAAATAAAAAGTTAAGGCCCAAACTCAACCCAGACCTCGGTGTTCCCTTTTTTTCTCCTTTCTTGCTTGCTGCTGAGGTTTCTCACACGCACATCCACGCACATGTGCGTGTATATTCCCGCATCTGCAAGTGGATCAAGTAAGGTAAGGTACCTAGGTAGGTGAGATCCCCACCATCACTCATCATCACAATCCTATTCCTTACCAGGTAGACGGAAAAAAATCTGTGCGGCACCGAAAGTGAAGGACTAAAATCATTTGTTTCTTCGTTCTTTTTCTGTTTCGGTAATAGCGGGACATGTATGTGTGTGGATGTAGGTCCACGGCGTTCTTGTACATACACTTTACATACCTTGCATATGTAGGAAAGTGAAGGACTCAGGTACACTACTCTACCTACCTTATCTAATCTAGTCCGCCCCAGGCTCCGGGAGAGAGGGATACGAACCTACATGTGCTTATGTACCTGTATATGTACGTGTATGGACTTGAGTGTCCGCCGCTGCACGAGTTCGCCGGGATAGAAAAGGGCAGAAGAATGGGGAAGGAGGACGGAGGACGGCGGATGTAGGGATTTTCTCTTCCATTTTCCCTTTGCCGTATTTACTTTTCTTCTTTTCGGGGTTTGTGCGTGGTTGGGTGAGGGGTGAGGGTATGTCCGGTTACCGAATGGATGCTGAGGAGGAGGTGTGGTAGGTACCTACCGAATCCATTTTCCTCAGTCGGACAGGAAAATGAAGTGAGCGATTTCAAACCGGTCGAAGTTTTCCATGAACCAAGAAAAAAAAATTATTCCCGGTTGGAATAAATCTTTTAATTTTTATGAGACTGAGGTATAATGATTAAGGATTGTGTAAAGGTAGCTATGAATGTTTTCTCCCACTAGGTACTCGGTTCCCGGTATTACGGGTTGGCGGGAAGCAAGTATGCGAGCGGGGGCAGGCGGGCGACAAGTCTCTAATGATACCGGCCTTGCGGACGAAACACACGTGGTAGAGCATAAAAAGAACAAGTCTTAAAATACATGGCACATGCTAGCAAAATACGAAGAAGAAGGGCAGGAAACAAGATTTCAAAGCCGGAGACAAGTACGAATGTAGCAAAGTGCGGTTAATCAAGAACTGATGCATTTTTCTTGGTTATGTGGTAATGGTACAAACAAGAGCAGCGGTAGCGCCCCCTGCAGGTAAGCCCGAAACTTCTCGAACCTTTATCGCTACGCTACTGAGAAAAGGGCTGCCTGGGAGCTGGGGGCAAATACGATTGTGAAACGCCGTATCCCCTTCGCCTGCCCCAGACCCGCCACCAAGTCCAAATCGGGCCTCTGTGCCGCGGCTTCCCACCCATCTCTAACTCGACAGAGCAGAACAGACCGCAGACCCGCTTGGTTGTAGAAAGGTATATAAAAAAAAACAAGGAGAAGAGAAAGAAAAGTCAGAAGTTGGTGAATGGATAACGAGCAGGAGAGACAACAGATGAGAAAGATAGCAAAGAAAAAAGGTGTAGAGTAGTCAAAGATGTAAAGCCCAGAAGAGCAGGCTTGAAATTCGGGTATCGCTTGCGAAATGGCGCGAAAGCCAACAGAAGAAGGATCCAATGCATGTTCATGAGAACGCAAGCAATGTTGTCGTGAAGAATGCCTCGACAGATGAAAAAAAAAAGATTGTAAACAAGACATGATGCGAACGCATGGAAAAAAGGAAGTATGTATAGGGGGGCCGTGACAACATGCTACAGAATAATGCAGAGCAATATTAATGGGAAAATAAATAGGTACCATCGACATCATGGTTACCGGAAATTCGCTGGAAATTATGCAGCCGAATAAGGCCTTGGTCGTCCATTTCGTTATTGTTGAAGGGAGTGAATCTCGCTTTAGTGGTTTGTCTTTCTTTCTTTCTTTCTTGATTTTTTTGGTGATTGTTAGAGCGTTCGATCAGGCGGTTTGCTCGCACATTCGGCCTATGGCCTGCTCAATGTCGGAAAAAAGGTTGAGAACTTGGCCGTCGGCGTAGATCTTGATCGACTCAACTTCTTTGCGATCAGCGCGGGAAGGGCTGTCCGCCTTGACTGGACTCCTGGGAGGGGTGCTCTCAGCAAGGTCCGGTGGTGCGGTGGGGTTGAGCACGAGAGCAGCAGCAACATGTTCGAGGAGCTTCTGGCGTAGGCGTAGGCGTCGGTTCTCAGCTTGCTCAAGCTTCTGGATGAACTCATCAATAGAGACATCAAGTTCAGCCAGAGCCTCTTCCTGCTTAAGCAGGGATTCCCTGGAGAAGATGACGGTCTCGCCTCGCTTGAGGTAAGAAATCATGCGTCCGTGCAACTTCTGACGGCCTGCCCGTAAGGATTTGTAGGTTTTGCGCAAGTAATCGCAGCGCTCGTCTAGTGCCCGGAGTTCCTGATGGACACGGTCAGCAAAAGTTACTTGGCGGTGTCTCACAAAATGCATGCTTACTCTAGATGTGGACGCAACATCACGCTTATTGAGAACTTCGAATTTCTCCGCCTGGTCCATGGCCTGCTGGCGCAGAGTCGCCTTTTCGGTATCGCGCATGCGCATGCTCGCTTCTGATGCTCGCATACCTTGAGGTAGCTTCCAGCCATCGGCTGCTGGCGCGTTGGGATCCTGGGCTTCAGAGTTTGTCCGGCTCCGGGGTTTCTTGCTGTTTGATCGGCGGACGGGCCTGCCTCGGTCCATTACAGATGCTTCCGAAATGTTTCTGTTGTGGGAAGCTGAACGGTCTGCGGCGTTCTTGGTGCTGGCGACTGACGATTCTGACACGTTCCTGGCGTGTTGGGTTCGTTCCAACACAAAAGGGTCGCGTCTCTCGGTTCTTGGTGAGCCACGGCGATCAAATGCACCAGAGGGTGAGCCCGCACTAAAAGGGTTCGAGATAGCAGAGAGTGGTGTTGGTAAGGGGAATCCGACGTTGGGGGATCGCCTTGCGTCCAGCGCACTAGTGGGTGTGTTGCCGCTCGAGTTCAGTGTGGAGGGTGTCATGAGCTGTGACCTGCTTGACTTGTTGTTGAGTTTGAGAGGGCTAGGGGATCCTTTGCGTTCTACAGGTGTAGGTGATTTGGGTGGTACCTCTGGGGGAATGTCGCTGGATTGTTCACTGGTGGCAGTGGTGGTATCGACTTTCAAAGACGGCTTTGGGTTGACGCCAGGACTCAGGATAGGAGATAGTGGCTTGCCGTAGTTGCTCGAGGGCTCCAGCTTGTTGCCGGTGAATGAGTCTAAGAATGTGAGTGGTGCTTTCTCGGCTGCCGATGGTCCAGTCACGCAAGAGATCAAGGCGTCCCCGAAAGGACCCGATCTCCAGTTGGTGCCAGGAGCGCTGCTCGATCTCTCATGACCAAAGTTCTCTGTGGAAGCAGCCTGTCGGATAGGAGGGCGACCAGGAATGGTAGCTACAAAATAACACGTTAGCCCTGTGTCCCATATGAGGTAGGGTAGAATCAATGGGGTCAACGTACGTGAGTCAATGGCAGCTTCTTGTACTGTGGTCATTGTGCTTCCAAGCTCGGGCACACTGACCTTTCGCCTGCGAGCGAGAGAGCCACTCCTCTGCCAAAAGGGAACCGTCTCAGAGGAGACGGCAGTGTCGCTCAGCGAAGTGGGTGAGCGACCCATTGATAGAGCCGATAGTTTGTCGGACGAGAGGTTGGGGCGTGATAGTCCTACGGGGCTTCTCGACTGTTGCGAGGATGGCCAAAGTTGGTACTTTCCAGTGCTTGCACTGAAGTGAGTCTGAAGGTTGAGCAGCGAAGGGGTCTTCTCCAAGGTGGGAAGAGGCTGGAGGGTGTCTTCGGAAGCGGCCTGAAGGTTCTTTAGTGACTTTGACCGGCGGGGTAGTCGATAAGTCATTTGAATGGGGACGAGGAATGGAGTGAAGTAGTAAATGACCTAGAGCACTTACGGTTTGAGTAGGGGAGGGTGAGGCAGAGGACTCCATAGCTATATAGACGCTGTTGAGCTCGCCGGTGGCACGCATGCAATTGGCAATGTGTGTCATGGCGGATGTTTGAGAGCTGTGGCTCACTGTGTCGAGAGTGCAGGGTTGATGAGACTCAATGGGCGGGCATGTCAAACGTGAGGGCGTTCCCTGCAGTAAGATGGATGTTTGGCGAAACGGCACCGTGTTGCTTTAAGTGTGGCTCCTTCAAACTACTCTTGCTCCAAGCATGGGCGAACAGGACCCTGGCTCCGCCTGTCTTGTTCTTGTAAGTGACTGATGGCAGGCTAGGCTCTCGGGGGAAGCATCCAAAGAGTGACAAGACTGGGGTGGTGGTCGTGAAACGCGGGCCTGACCACCCATGCGGGGCGATTCGCACTTGTACAGACGAACAGGGATGCAGCTGCGTTTGCTGCACCGTACGCACAAGAGCCCTGTCTATATTTCGCGAGTTCTAAGCTTAACCGGAACCCTTGCGAGTCAATCCACCATGTCAGAGGCATGCAGCAGCAGGTACAGCAGTAACTCAGAGTCGTGGTCAACCTTTTTTTTTTCTCGTCTCTTTTTGGGTTTGCCGCGTCCCGCCGTGACGTCGAGGGCCTGAACGGTGCCTGGGGTCGGTTCACTCGTATACTCCAGTCCAGCATGACTTGACATGGCGAGTCCGTGGGTTGCTTCATGGATGGCATCCCTTGAACCGGCCACTAGATGGCTCGGATATGAGTTGTATCATGGAAGATTTGTGAATCTCTTTCACGGTTAGTAAGTAGCCGTTTGGAGCTGGGGACTGGGTGGAAAAATTGGTCGACCAGCGTAAAGGGAGAGCAGTCAGAGTCCGCCAGCCTCGCGCATGGGTTGAGCCTCGACGGCATCTTTCAGCACCACGATCATCGACGACGTGTTACAAAGCGACCGAGTGGCGGACCAGACCCAAAGTGTAAACGAACAGACGAAGAGGGGGAGACGGACGGAGGGGGTGCTGATTCGAAACAGAGGTTGCTGCGGTTCAGAGCGGGATGCCACGCGAGCCCAACCTGCGGCCAATCAGGGGCGTTGCATGTGACCAGCCATGCGAAACCACTCGGGATGAACTAGTGTTATCATCATCCATCAGCCAAGTCATGGCCATGCTGCTCTTCAGCAGGTATAAACACTAATACCCTACGCAGTAACAATTTGCATCTTGCAAACTCGTAGCGCTCCATCGACGACCATCCACCCAGCTCTCCAACTCACTAACTGGCCGGTCCACATGCTTTGCGGGCCGTGAGGTTCTTCTAGTCATGACCAACAACAGCCTGACCAGACCTGAAGATATCCCTCCGTCCGAACCGCTTGCTGCCAAAAGCGAGCATCATCATCATCATCATCAATGTGCACAAGCGATGCCTTGCCTGAATCCTCCGCCGCATCCGAAGGGGAAGGGCGTCGACAGGCAAGCAAGGAATGCATCCTCCAGTCAGTCAGTCAGTCAGTTAGTCAGTCACAATTGCACCATTTGTGCGGCGTGAACGAGTCCAAGTCTTCACAATTTAATTTCTCTCGCACGTTGTTCATTGTACGCTGTTGGTTCACGGCACGGGAGGATGCTATTGCAGCGATGATGGCGAATATAGCTCGCGGGAGCGTGGATCATGGGTCTTCCCTACCCAGTAGTGCCCTAATTTCTACACCAGCCGTTTGGAAACGGCATGGCGGCCAAGGGTAGCGCCGCGTGCCGGGCTTCCCCTCTACTCCTGACCAGCCGCATCATCTTGGGAAAGATTGGGTGAAGGGAACGGAGGAAGAGAGGGGGAGAAAAAATATTCCATTGCCACGGGAGGCCTGCCGAGTCCCGACCTCCTGAGTGCATACAGGCTCTGCCGAGTATCGCAAAGGGGGGGATCGATGGCAGCAGGTAATATCCGAAGCAAGATATCTTTTAGTCATTACTGATACACTAGGAGAGCTGGCCAGGACCAGGTGGGTTCTGCTGTGTTGCACTGTGTACTCGACTTACATAGCGAGCACCGTCTATCCATCACCTATGATAGCCAAAGTCATAAAGCTACATCCCAGCTGTCCCACCATTGACTTGATTCACACAGCGAGGAATCCACCGCCTGCATCTGCAGTGAGCTGAACACTTTCACAATCCTGCGATCCGCGGATCTGCTCAAGCTCCCGTAGGCCGGCCCTGAATCCCTTTGCTTACTCGAGCCGTCAAGCAGGCCCAACATGACAGTTCGCTACCGAGTTCGAGCAAGCCGGTATACAGACAGACAGCTGTGTAGACAGGAGGCGCAGGCCTGGACAAGAAAGAGGTCACTGCGAATGCCCACATCTCATCTCGCTAGTTGGCCATCGCAACGTTCGCTTCATAGCCCGAGTCTTGGAGGGGAACTTGCCCCGACCAACACGTCTCCGTTATCATCCGCTTGGTGCGCCCTCTGTCTGTTCCATCAGAGTATATCAGACAGAGTATATCAAAGAGAGGCAGCAAAGCAGCAATCAGGCCGATGGCATTGCGATCGTCCCTGGCTCCCATGGCTCCTCTCGCCCATGACTTGCTCGGTGATGGCTGCGATGCTCATTCTGCATTGCGAGGCACGCTAAGCGACCGTTGAAGGATAATAATAAGCTTCCCAGATGATGAAAGCTGCAGCAATTACCTACCTGGCACACTTTGCTGAGGGGAGTCTGAGTCGCGGCCCAAGAGCAGACGCCAAGGGACCTCGCCTCGCCTCGCCTCGACCATGTCCAGCCAGCCAGTTCACCACCCAACCACGCCGAACCGTCTATCAGAAAGCACGTTCCCCCTTCGCTTGCAGCTTCGTTCGTTGCACTGACCTCCCTCCTCCCTCTCCACATGGCTGATGTTCGTTTTTTTTTTCTCGTTTCTTTTTCTTCTGCTTCCCCTCCTGCTGCCGCATTAGTGTCACTGAACGCTATTGAATCGCTCGATGCGGAACGCCATGTTGACAGAACAGCTCGACGTTGGCCGTAACGGGCACACACTGCGACTCTCTCTGGCGCCTCTTCTCCCGTGTATCTTGGCTGATACACACTGCAGTGGCTTAGTATACTAAATCTTCTCCACTGTGGTAAGGAATTGGTGTGGCTAGTACCGGCACGACGGAAGCCAGCTGCAAGTGTGTGATGATTCTGACGACTTCACCCTGTGCCAGCCCGCAATCCGAAACAACCCCATCACCACTTTGGATTCTAGCCTCCCAGGCGTCCTCCAGAACTTCGGCTCGCGGGTGCAGGGAGAAGGATTTCGCTGCCAAGGACAAGAGATTGAAGAATGGCCACTTTTCAGAAACAATCATGAGGTAGTATATTGCCTCTCTCCTCGACGTCACCACCATTCGCTATCGCAGCCAACTTGTTCGCCCACTCAACTTGCTGTCGTCGCGCAATGGCTGTCGGTACTGCTCAATATGCGCGTCAAGTATATTGTGAACGGCAACCAAGGCTCTAGCATGCACAAAACGTGCTTCGTCCCATGATTTTCTCCAGGTCCCTGCGAAGGTCGCCTGAAAATAAATTGTCGCACTCTTGGCGAACGTGGTCAACATAATCCTAGGCCAGACCGAGTTACCACCACATTTCTGTAGTAATTACCGCCATCTTTTCCGAGCACACTATGCAGTTGTGGCCACTGGCGGGAGTGTGATCCGACTTTCCCACGCGCCTTATCAACTGATCTTCCACCCGAATGTACGTGTTTGCACATCATCAACTGGCGTACTACACTGTATTGGATCGAGACTCGAGACCATATGCACCTATCCATTACCCCCCACTGTTCATACTCCACCATGGTATATGGAGCGGGGTCCTCAATTCTTTCCAAACAGGTTCAACCATCGTGCTACAGTTGTCCAGACTGTTTTGTTTGGTCAAGGAAACAAAACGCATACTCGCCAACCATTCTTTCCCTGCCTCATTTCCCCCCGCAGCACGCGCAAGGGTATGCGCATCTCGTCACATTCCCTCTAAAATTTGAGATGATGTGACAGTCCAGGTTATTTTTGTCGCCCCGCACCGCAAGAAATTGTCCGCGAGATCACCATCAATGTCCTCTAACCCTTTGATGATGTTTCCCAGGGTGCTTAAGGTAGACGTTCGCTACGTCTGTAGCATTGACTGTAAAACAAATCTGTCAGGGTCGAGGTCCATGTCAAAGCAAAGTACTCGACCAGGTGTTCCCTGCCTGTCTACCCATCTCCTCCCCTCAATTCCAAAACATCAAACGAAACCCTTTTGCCACCCCCGACTCTATTGTTTCTCAATCCTGCGATATTCCTTGGGCGAATGTTCTTCCCATTTCCCCCATTGTTGTTCATGCAACTTGTTTTGCATACCAACAAACGGAAACAGTTACATCATACACAGTCTATGCCTGTCTTCCGGATAGACGCATGCCGAGAAGATGAGTAGTGCAGTGACATGATCCCCCACACATCAGACCATTCTTACTCAGTACGCTGCTTTCGTACAAGCACTACGCGCCACTTCAGTTGCAGAAGTTTGGATCGCACCTGCATCTACTAAGTACCTATGTGCTGCATGTCTGCCTTATTTCGCAGATCTGCTAACATTAGTGTGGACACGACAAGTCAGTTTAGGCTCGACGGTGGTATCAAATAGCAACGATCGTTGCTTGTCTGGATTCACATCCCACCGAGACTGTCCTGCAGGTTTTCTCCCCTCTACATTGTACCCACCGGAGGCTCGCATGGGCAATACTCTGCATGTTCAGCATACGATTGACGGTCTAGACAAGTAGCGTTGCGTTTGCTACTGTCCGATGCAAGCTACACATCTTCACAGCACAGGGGAGGGACGAAGCCAACTCTGGAGCCGACATATACCCATTGAATCAAACAACCGCAGTACCGACATCAATCGTCCTGCGTCACTGCATTGCAGCCCAAAAACGGACCGTGGTACGTTGTCGACCAGCTCCAACCGCACTTGTAGCGCATCTCGCCCAGAGTAGAGTAATCGCAACCATATTTCATTCGCCATCTGCAGTCGTCGCACCGCGTGTCGTTGAACATCACATCGGTAATCGCGTTATTGGGGTAGTAGGCGGACCGTCTATCCTATAGCTTCTTCACCGTTCATATCCCATCCATGCTTCATATAGACAATAGAGGGCAGAAAATATGGTCTACCAGACACCGCCCCCTCTCTTATAGCCTTTCGATATTACTCACTACCATCCGAACAGCAGCATACCCTGCGCTGGCGCGCGCCGTTCGCTACCAGACTTCTTGTACTGGGCGTCTAGCGATTGTATTGGATCGAATACGAACATGTACGATCCGATCATATGAGCTTACTCTTATCATAACATATCGGTATATCTTGATATTTTTTCCGGCACCTGCCTACATACACAACATCTTTGCCTGTTTGACGACACTACAGCCTCCATCTTGCATCACCCAGATTTTTATTCTCCTTTTGGACACGCGCAATGCGCGAATGGGGATGGATGGATGCCGCCTGCGATTGAATTCGGCTAAAACCACACGCAGTCGCACACCCACCCACTCACTCGTTGGCGTGGAAAAAAAAAGAGTGCGAGGTCGCATTAGCCCTTGCGATACTATGAATTGACATGCAATAGCACGCAAAAGACCCGGTGCTGGGAAAAAGAGTAAATGGTAGCTGCCGACTGGACGACCAGAATCGAACAACGCAACTCCGTTTGCGGCTGCGCCTGCTCTCGACTCTTCCCTGATGCATGTATGTTGGTAGTGTGACCATGCTTTTTCATATTGTCTTCTGCAACGACTCTGGGGAAGGACAGAGCTCTAGCCTTAAAGAATTCTCCGGCCGCAGGGTCTCCATTTCCATTTCTGGTTTCTGGTTTTCTGGCTATTCTGCATTTCTTGTCGCGGGGAAGGGCGAATGTGCGGTGTGAAGGGAGTGCGCTGGCCAGAGAGTAGCTGTTTAGTTGGAAGACATGATTCCTTTGGTGTCTGTCTGTCGCTCACGCACGATAGCTCACTCTGCATCTACCAAGTCAGTCAATCAAAACCCTCTGATGAACGGTGACCAGCCCGGAAGTCCACTGCATCATACGTCGTCTTCGCCATGGAAACGCACTTTTGTGCGTACTCATAGACTCGTTCTATCTCAGACAATCGCACATCTCTTCCTAAAAAAAACCTCAACACCATCGTTTGTCACGTATATAAAAGAAATATATCCTCTCAGCACCGACTACAACATCTTCCCCGGTCCCTACTCCGGATCTCGACACCATCTATCGAACCCGAGATCCAAGCAGCAAACCAAGTGACAAGAATCAATGTATATCCGATGTACCCATCTATAACGAACCCCAGGACGAGGGGGGGAGCACATGGCAGACCCCCGCCAACATAAAAACCGTGGATGCAACCACGGCACGCACAGCCCACCACAACATCCGTTTATCAAGCTTGCGCAATAGTATAGGATAAGGTAGCTATATCAAACAACACCAACAACCAAAAAGAAAAATCGCGTTTTTTTTTTGTGTAGATGGGTGGGTACCTCTGTAGGAAGGTGTGAAGTGTCGATCTTTCAAATCTGGATAAATACGAATAGACGTTGTGCACACTATTTCTGAAATGATGGACATGTTTTGATTCCGCATTCAAGAGCTGTTGCAGGCAGTCTCGTTTTCGGTGTTTGCTTGCGCTTATAGGAAAAGGCTAATCTACTCATCTGTTGTACGGTGAGGAAAAACTTTGATTTTTCTCTTTGGAATTCTTGTTGTGAGGGTTCGAGTTTTCCCGGTGCGCGGTTTAAACGGCATGCGGTCGAATGCGGGGTGAGGGGATGGATGGATGGAGAATACGAGGTGTGCTGCAGTTACGCAACTCCGTACCACTCCGTATCTACATACGCATACGCACACACGCACAAGTATATTGTCCGTCGCCCCCCTCTGTGCACTTTGAAAACGTCGAGCAAGGAGGTAGCGGTGAGCCGGACTCCAACCTCAGGATACAGAACTGAAGGCGGGGGGCGAAGATATCCTGAAAAGGAAGGCCAGGCACAAACGACAAAACTTTAAAAAAGATAAAAAAAGATGAAAATACCGTGGAATGAGGAAAATCGAACCACTTTCTGCACCCCTGGATCAAGACTTTTTATGTACGCGGTACGTGATAGCGGGTAATGCACGCCACTTGCATTGAGAGTCAACGGCACATTGGTCGAAGCAACCTTGCAGCAAAGGGAGTACCGCGACCTCCAGACCCAAACTCTGGTTGAATTAAGAATGTCGAGGAAAGCGGTATAGTTCCCCTCGGGCCATCCGAATGAAAGGAGTCTAGCTTCGGAGCTACACACGTTTTTTCCCTTCCTTTTCTTTTTAGGGATCGCACAATGTGTAAGGCTCTGCTGCTGTTTTTGACACTGATCTGCATACCTTTTTGTCATTTTAATTAGGTACACGGGGGAATATGTATGGGTGTACGTGAATGTACATGTTTGGGTTTAAATTTTTTTCTCTCTTGGAACTGGGTAGAGCTGGGGGGTTTATTGGTTTGACCCACACCCCACGAGGTACATGTACATAATGTACATAGCGGACCTACCAAGGCCCGACTACTACCTACAAGTGTACAAGTTTAGCTCTAATCTTCACCACGTGCGCTTATACGACATGAGAAATGGAGATGTGAGGTGGACATTATACCTATAGACTAGACTAGAGAGCATCACGCGCGCTCGAGCACAAGAGACAACAGGATAACGGCCCGTTTGTGTGCACAAATCTCTCTTATCCATTATGTGTACTTGTCTTAGGATCACCCAAATTCCAACTCAGAATCCAATTCATAATTCACAAATAAGCCGAGCCAAGCCCTCCGCACCCGCAGAACCCGCACACAAACCCCTCTCCTCCATCCCAGTGGGAAACGAATAAACCATAAGCAATGGAAGGATTCAAACACACATATGTACATACACAAACGCCTACTAATCTTACATGTACTCCCCCTCTTATTTCTCACGCCGTCCAAATGTACCCCAACCTCACCAAATCCTTACCCTACCCTCACCACACTATACCGAATCCCCCCCTCGCTCCGCTCCCACGCCGCAGCAGGGATTGATGCAGTTCAACGCAGACCCCAATCTAGCGCTAGCACTAAGTAACAACACACTGGGCCTGCGCTCGGGCTCGTTGCCTTGTCTTTTCGCTCGGTTGGTTATATTTATACACGAATGCTACACGACCGCGGCCTGCTTGTACGCGGTACGAAGGGTGAAACATGCGCGATGAAGTGTGTGATGTGTAGGTTTACGTCCGGGGAAGTGGGCTGAGGGTGTTGTTGTTGTCTCTTTGTTACATGGCGCCGTCTATACATATTATGGGAGGGTGTATGGGTATGCACATGGTAGATGTAGGGACTTGGGTTTTGGGCACGGGATTGAGAATGATGGGTATACTGCGTGTCTGCTTGTACAGGAGAATATGCTCGTGGTATATCTTGGTCACGTTTGGCATCTGCCTGCAAGTAAATATATGGAACAGATATGTGCATGTGTATCTGTCTACGTAAGATTAGTGGGAAGTAAAACATGTGTTGTCTTTTACTCTTAATTACTAGTTATCAGTCTATTGCATTGTCAATCTCCCCCTCAGGGACAAAAGTCAGACCAATGATTAAGTGATTAATCTCTAAACCGGGTAGTAGGGATACCACGATGTCTGTACCTGCTCACTCTCTTTATTCGCCTCCCGCGTTATCTGGAGGGGGGAAGGGGGGTGTCTCTGCTGCAGGAGGGAGAGAGGGAGAAAGAGCCGAGGCGGGGTTAGGCACCTAGCAGAGAGAGGGAAAAGCAGGGGAATACGAGGGGATGGTGTGTAACGCTGCATTTCTGCAGATTATGTACGTGGACTTTTTGTTGGTTTTGTACACAATGTTTTAGACGTAGGATAAGGCAGATTATTCGGTAGAATGGTATCTTTTTTTTTGGTTGGGGGAAGGGGCTCACAGGGATAGAAGATATCTAGGGAGTAGACTGGAGCAAAATAAATAAATAGCTGCTGCTGCTGCTGCTGCTACTAATGGCTTGACCGAAGATCTAGTTGCGAAGAGTAAATACACTAACAAGATTCATTGCTAAAATGATTAGAGAATAGGTGTGCTAAACGTGTTCAGCTATCTTGACTTTACTGACACAGGTCTGAGTCCTACTTTTCGCTCCCATGACAAGCCGTGGTGTACGGCAGATTATCGGCGTTTGTGTGACGTGTGAGTATTGTACATGTGCATATATGCATGTAGGAGAGAATCCAAATGGGTAGTTCCGTTAGCATCCTCGTTTTCGTATGTTGGAAAATACTACTGCATGTACGTGCGTACAAGGATGTGTCGGGTCGCACAGTTTGCAGTTGTCCAATCATAGCGGAGAGGCGTGGAAAGCGAGAAAAAGAATCGGCGAAACCAATAATATAGCATGACGGCTGGTTTTTTGTCATCTTGGCCATGGAGCTTCGGGAATACGAAAATCGGGGAAAAGATGGAGTTTGAGAGAGAAGACTAGAGTGGACTGCCGTGGGGTCAGCATCACACCTAGGAGACCACGGTTAAGGGAAGATAACAACGTGTACATATCCCTACTTGATCCGTTACCGTTATCTCCTGTAGTAATCTACCCAAAGCACTTCACAGATCGTCAAAACCATGTCGCAAAGCGACGAAAAAAACTTGTTTGAAGTGGCGAAAAATCCGAATCCGAACCGACAAAAATTTATCCCTCAAAAATCTGCTGATAAACCCATCTCACAGTCTCAAATTTTTCTCCATCGGCGAGCCCCGAATACAGCCTTGGGGTAAGAGCCGAAAGAGGAAGACTGGATCTCGTGTGTATGCGAGGACAGGGGATGGCACGGGTCTGAAGGGAGGGGGGCACACACATGTACATATGTAGGTACATATGTAGATGCAAGAAAGCAGATACGAAAAATAAGGTTTCCCTTTTCTCTATCCCCTGTCTCATGTGTCGGAAATAAAGAGGGACAGATGGCACGGGACTACACGGGAGGGAAAGGAGATCAAGTGTTGAAGATGGGCTGGAGAGATACGGATGCGGGGTGCATACGGCTTCAAATTCGACCCCGGGAGGATGAAGGCGGAATGTAATAATACAGGGTGTTATTATTTGAAGATTGAGCTACAGGAGGGAGAGAGAGAGACCGACCCAAGACGGACGTTACTGTCTGGCTTTTCGGCTAAAAAGGGAAACCACAAACCCCGGAATCGGGTATGCTACAATGATGCTACAAGCGTAAAAGTACACGAAATGGGAAAATGGCTTCGCACTACCGGGTACAAGGGCGGAGGGAAGCAAAATTATGGGGGGAGGGGTAGAGCATCTACCGGATCTCCACACCCAGCTTGTCCACGAGCTGCTGCGTGAGCCGTTGGTGCAGGCCGTTTGTTTCGTCGTTGGTCAGCGTGCGTTCCAGGCTGCGGTAGTTGACCCGATAACACATGCTCCTGCGCCGGGTCTTGGGATGCACGAATTCATCCACCAGCCGTACATCCTCGACCACGTCCCCGCAAACGTCGCGCGCGACCTCCATCACGTCGTTTTCGTGGAACGCCTGACCTGTAAGGGGTGCCGTGGCTATCGCAGGAGCGGCCGAGTTGGCCGTCGACGACTGCGACGACGACGATGGGGCCGGGGTCGTCCCTGCAGGGGCTGCAGCCACGGTAGTTGATGGCGAAGATGGCAATGTACCTGCACCGCCGGCCGCGCTGCTCGAAGACGAAGGGGTCTCGGGTACCCAGAAACTGACATCCTTGAAGCAGGCGGGATACTTGCTGAAAGGAACGAAGCGTTTCAGTGGTGCGTTTGCATCGAATTGCGAGAGGAAGCGCGGGTCGGTGCTCCAGAACAGACGAATGTCTGGGATGCCGTAGAGGAGCATGGCGATGCGCTCGAGGCCCAGACCAAATGCCCAGCCGAGTCGATCAGGCACATCGGCTGAGTTCAAGATCGCCTGCTGCACCACACCGCTGCCTAGGACTTCCAGCCAGTCGCCTTGCCAGTAGACCTCGAGCTCCCACGACGGCGAGGTGAAGGGGAAATAGGCCTCCACCCATCGCATCTTCAGGGGCTCAGCAGTCTCTGCCGACGGTGCAGAGGGATCCGAACTCAAAGAGGTTTGCCTTGCCGCATCGAAAATGGTCACGACGACATCCTCGAGAGATCGCTTCAGATGTGTAGATATAGCAGCCACTTCTTCAACCGAATGGGGTTCTTGCTTGGGGTTTCTGGTTGCATGGAACGGTGTGTCTGGGTCTTCGACATCAATGTTGTGTTTGGGGATCTTAGCAACGTCGTCGTAGATCACTTCAGCCAGACTCTTGCCTGCCTTCTCTGATTCCTGTCGGCTCCACGTTCGGGCCCCCTCCATTTGGTGGAAAATGGGATAGTGTGTCCTGTCAACGGCATCGCGGCGATACACATCAGCACTGATTAGATAGCCCTCGGTTTCGTTTGCACGGAAGACATCCGCTTGGTGCGCCGACGTATGTGTCCGAAGCACTGTGTCCTTGTTGAGATAGTAGGTGTCGGTTCTGCTGCGGCCCACATGATCCTGAGGAAATCCTAATGAATCGAAATTTTGAAGCGTAGAGACGATAGGAAAGAGCGTGTTGTGTGTTTTGTAGTTGGGGAAACGAGATTCGATGAGCTGTCTGGTTATAGTCAAGGGATGGTTCGGCTGGGTATGTAGGCGGCGAGGAATGGCTGATAGAATGGTAGCGGGTGTGTTCATCCATTCATCTGTTTTGTAGTTTTTGCCTTCGATGCTGACTTCGTGGGGACGTGTGCCTGAGTTGCTATCAGTTGGAGATGAACGAGTGGATGAATGAAGATGGACCCAAGTCCCATGTGCAGCCGGTACTCTGACAACCTGCGGTATATATTTCCTGAGCAAGGACACCTGGAATCAATCCACCACGCCCGTCCGTTTGAGCGTTTTCGAGCATCTTCAAATATGGGAAGGAGAGTCACGTGATCCAGCGTACCTGAGGAAATCCATCTTGACCGCGATTGCCGCAGCCAGGGGACGGCGCACGTTGCTTGGACTCTCGGCCAGCTTCTCGAAGTCAATTGACGGCACAGAGCCCCCGATGTTGGCCGAATCCACATGCTCCCGATGATATTCTGATGATTTCTACTCGAGTGGTTTAGAGTTGCGCATCGCACCCCATGGAAAAGCCGCGCGAAAGCCAAGCCAAGACACGGGCGGGTAAGTAGTGTAGCTCCATCGGAGTCAGAAATTGAAGCCGACCTGAGCTTCAATTTTTACCATGACGTGAATTGAGCTCTGTTGCTGACCAACATCGTTTCCAGGGTCCTCTGCCCGCTTTCACACCTCGCACATACATATTACAGTACCTCCCTGTCCCAGGAGCTCCTGGTAACCTCTCGTGATATCTGTGTGGCCTACATGCGGCGTGCGTGCAACTCCCATACACAATGCCGGCGGCCGTTACGAAGCCCGTGAGCGGCAAGGAAATGCGCAAGGACAATGATGTCGAGGTCAAGATTCTCAAAGCCACCCATATCGCCTACCCGTTCTGGTTTGGAGGTACCGCAAGTTGTTTCGCGACTCTGTTTACACACCCGTTGGACTTGGTCAAGGTCAGGCTACAGATGCAGGGAAACACCGGCGCGCGCTTGAATATGCTCAGCATGTTTGGTCATGTCGCGAAGACGGATGGCGTGATGGGCTTATATCGCGGTGTAAGAAAATCTCAAAAATCGGACGCGAAAGCATGAGCTGACGTAAAATTACAGCTCTCTGCCGCGCAACTGCGACAGTTGACCTACAGCATGACGCGATTCGGAGTCTACGAAGCCCTCAAGGATCGCTTCACGACAGCTGATAAGAAACCGTCGTTTCTTACTCTCGTCGCCATGGCCTCCGCATCCGGCTTCGTAGGCGGCGTGGTTGGAAACCCGGGCGATATCCTAAACGTACGCATGCAGCACGACGCGGCGCTTCCCCTGGAGCAACGGCGGCAATATAAACATGCCCTTGACGGCTTCATGCGCATGGCGCGCGAGGAAGGAATCGGGAGTCTCTGGCGAGGAGTCTGGCCCAACTCTTCGCGCGCTGTCCTGATGACCGTTGGACAGCTGGCTACTTACGATATTTTCAAGCGTTTGCTCCTCGACCGCACGTCGTTGCAGGACAATCTCACCACACATTTCACCGCCTCGTTCATGGCTGGCTTCGTGGCCACTACCATCTGCTCGCCCGTCGACGTCATCAAGACTAGGGTCATGGGCTCCACCGACAACAAGAGCCTCATCAGGCACATTACAGACATTTCGAAACAAGAGGGTCTGCGTTGGATGTTCAAGGGTTGGGTCCCCAGCTTCATCCGTGTCGGTCCGCATACTATTCTCACCTTCCTGTTCCTGGAACAGCACAAGAAGATCTATCGCCAGCTCCAGGGCCTCTAGTGGATAAACTCGGCCACCTGCTTTGGATCCCGTGCCGTGGCTTTGCGAGCGTCTGTCTGAAGACAACACAAAGAAAGAAGGAGAAGAGACCACCCGACATGTTCAAACTTTTCCTCTTGTAAAGATATCTACACTACTTGCTTGCTTCATTCATCGTGTGTGTTTGCTCCAGGATCTTTTGCTTCTTGCACTTCTCGGGTTTTTCTATTCTCGTCCATTTCCTATTCCATTCTCACGTAGTACAAAGCATCATCGTGCGTAGGAAGCTGCATTTGAACCGGCGTTTGCCCTTTCTTTTTCCTTTCTGTCGAATCGGTCACGTTCTAGATCTGTATGTACATATATGCACAATTCGAGCTTGAAATTCGCAGGTACAAAGTCCACATATTGCCTTCGAGTTTTGCAAAACATTCTTTGACGCGGTTGCTAACCAACAAAAGATAGCATACCATGTCTAACTGTGTTGAGTCTGAGTGTGTGATCTAATTATTCTTTTTGGAAAACCCCAGGAGTACTATATAGGAAGACGTCGCACGGTCTTTTAGTGTTTCGACCTTTGATTGTGAGCGGCTACGCCCGAAGCCTACCATTCTAGTTTCCATGCAAAAACGTCTATTTGCAGCGACTAAGAAGCACGCATAATTCGGCTAACCATGCCGCTAGACATCTCAAGATATGTAGCCTCTGCACCCAGATACCGGTGAAGTATATCTTGACCACATCATCTTTCGCCGAGGAAAAATGGAGTCTCAGCATCCGTCAGTGTTCATAATGTTCGCACGAAAATCACTGTGCCGCATGAAGCTCTAACGAATAGGACTGCGCGGGTAATCTCGAGACTCTGTCCAGATTTTCGCAATAACTTATTGCAGCAATGCTTGATGTATTGGTAACGTAGTTGTATGTATTAACGCACGGCCTGATACTGCTGCGTTGAGAGCTAGGCTCGGTATAGCTGTGGAACGATAGGCCTTAATTTTCTTCGCCGGTGTTGATATGCCCTATCTTTTCGTTCTTATGAGTATCAAATGCATATTGGTCCATCCTCAAAGCCGCGTATATGCTGCGCCGCTGGATAATAACACTTCGGTAATGTGTTAGTCTTCGCCCAACTGATCATTTTTCTTGATCCTTCCTCTTTGAAATTTCTTATCCTGATGATCGCTTTACAAGATTTCATCCCATTTGGCTGTTGTTATATGTCATGGGTTCTTCCACAACGCTGCTATCTACCAGCCTCTAGTCGACGCCTTCAAATCTCACGGCATTGACGCCCACTGTCCTCAACTTCCTATATCCGATTTGTCTAAGCTCAATGTTGGTGACATCATGTCTCCGAATTTTGACCTCGATCCTCCATCTGGCGGTTATCCACAGGGCGAAGAAGATACACAGGCAGTACTTGCAGTTCTGAAGCTTCTGATAGAGAACCAAAACAGAAGGGTTCTTCTTGTCGCTCATTCAGGTGGAGGCTTTGCCGCAACTCAGTCTGCTATCCCAGAGTTACAAGAGAAGCACCGTCGATCTCGTGGTCTGACTGGAGGACTTTTTGGCATCTTCTATTACGGTGCCTTCATTGTGCCTCTGGGAGAATCTTTACATACCACTCTTCAGCCCAAGGATGGCCAGATTGTGACGCCACCTTGGTTGCAGTTCCATGTGAGTCTACAGTAACAGCTATCTGTGCATCCTGTTTTCCCTACCGATTGTCTCAAATCGCAGAAAAATGAACGAGCTGGCATCGGGACAGTTTTTGAGCCCGAGAAATACCTTTTCAATGGTCTGGATGAGGGGCAGATCAAGAAGTGGAAACCATTGTTGACAGGGTCTCCAATGTGTATGACGAAGCTCACCAATAACGCATATGAGACGCTTCCTTGTGCATACCCCTATTTAGAGAATGATCGCATGCTACCGAAAGCAGTACAAGAGCAATTGGTGGCTGCGCAGAGCGAGAAGACAGGGGCATTCAAAGTGTACAACTGCGCGTCTGGGCACTCTCCCCATTTGAGCCATACACAGGAACTGGTGGACAAGGTCCTGGATTTTGCAAACGGGCTGGTGTCGTGAAGCTGATTGAGTGCTCACTTAGCGGTACTGCGACGAGTTTTCTAGCAGTGAATGTAATCCCCGGCTCCGTTGCTTGTGTCTTGGAAGTTCGAAATTTGGTGTTGCCGCTTCATCTTCTGCCGAAGAAGTAGATCGTTGAAGTTCTGAATTCACAGATCTTAGTTATTAAGAGCACAATCCTACAACGCCCGTCCATGTATTAAGCCCTGGGTGTGATTGCGCTGTAGCCGGGCTTTTTCCTCAGCTGATTTGTGAGCATTAGCATATGGGTTCCCTTTAGTATAAAGTACTTTGCATATTCTAATGAGCTGCCAGTGTGTATACTGCTGTCATACCTAAGGTCCCAGCATTCAATGGTTTTATGCCTCAGTGATATATGGTAAGGGCTGAATCTACACAAATGTAAGTAAAGTCATCTTTGCTTAATAGAATGCTTCTATTTGACCTCACGAGTTTATTCACGCGAAAGTAACAACAAGTGTCAACAGCTGAAGATATGGGAACAACGGAAGGTTACCCGTACCTCTGATTCTTCTCGCTTTCAGTATTGCTATCTATAGCACGTTTTCATTCACTCCTTTCACATACGACCATAGGATCATGAAAACAGAGCTTCCCGTCCGCTCAGCTGTACTTAAGCATGATACCGGCGGATTAGTAGTTAGGTGGGTGACCACTAGCGAATACCTGCTGTTGTATGTTTTTGCATTCCTTTTGCCATCTGTGCGGGAAGTGGATCATCTATATACTAGGTCGTTCCAGGATAGTAATGTATCACGTGATCTTCCTGCCGCCCGACGCTGTAAGCCTATCACTGTTTTAAGTATTGTAAATGCTTCTGTGCAATTTTTCGAAAGCAGTAGGCTATATGCAGGCTTTTTGAAACACCAAGTTTTTTACTTCAGTGCTCACTCAGCACGTAAAAATCCATAGCAGTAGGCTACACTAAGCTCAGACGTTTTCCACCTTCCAATTGTCTTTTTTAAAACTAAATAAAAAAAAGCATTATTTCTTTTAGATCTCTAGCAGTTTCCAGATTTTATGGCTGTGTACTGGCGCTTATTTGTGCTTGCCCGTACTAGATTAAAACAGGAGTTATAACAAAATGCTTCTAATTTGACTAAATATCCTTAGCATCTAAACCGCAGGGCTGATGCAATACATCTATCGAGCAACCGGCAATCACTCGTCTCTGTTATTTGTAGAATTGCACTCCAAGTTTAGGGTTACGCGGCGGCAGAGTTGCATCTAGTGTGATCAATGCGAGCATTGTAAATGGTTTGAATGAGGAAGGGCACACCGCTGTGACTGGTAAGTGTGGCTGAATATATGAATGCTCCAGTAACTTCATAAAAGTTAGGCGTTGAGTTGCATAGAGCGTTAGCATTGTTACTTGTGCATTAGCAACCTTCGCTCCATTATGCTTCTATTTTGCGTTGGGTGCATGATATGCTAGGAGGCCAGCAAGCCAGACCGACGCTCAAGTATTGTCAAAACTAGTTCAATTAATATTGGTTGATTAAGAATCTGGGGAACATACAAATAGCGCTCGCTGACAGCTGCCGGGACGGATAGTAGAGACAATACTTCTTCTTCGTCGGGCGTAGGTAGGTGCATTTGCTCTAGCAAGAATGAGAACCAGACAGGATCCACGGGAAGGAGGTCTCGAAGGTATCGTATTTCGAATAGCTCTGGGTAGAATCCGGCGAAGGCCCAGTCTAAAAAGCATATCGAGGAGTCGGCCATGAGAATGATATTACGGTGGACCAAATCCATGTGACGCATGGAAAGTTGGTGCGATGTCAAATCGAGTCGTTCCTTAGTTACCACAGCCAATCGTGTATTCATCCACTGTTGCATGTCTTCGACAGAGTTGAAGAAGGCTCCTTCTGACTACAAATATCCACGAGATGCGCCTTGACCAACAGGACCGGGAACGTGTGATTTTGGAGCTGGAATTCTGGAGAGATGTTTCACGGCACGGGTGACGGCCATCATAGCATCAGAGTCCGCGTCGACTGAATCGAGGGGCGTGCCAGGAACATATTCCATGACTAGATACCCAACCCTTGATCCCTGAGAAATATCGTCAAAGTAGCGGAACACCCTAGGCACGTAAAGGATAGATTTGTCGACGTGTGCGTAGGCGTATTCTTGGTTTCTTGCCTCTTCACGCCAAACACCCATGCCATACTTTGCGACCAAAGTATCTGAAAGCCTAACGATTCGATTACCGAAGGACGAACCAGCTATTAATGGCGCACGCTGGCACATCTGGATCAAAGCAGTGTTATCGGGCTCAGGAATATCGGAGTCAGTGTGGGTCGCCATGTTGAGGTTGTCGTAATGCTCAGAGGTGAGAACCGTAAAACAAAGATAGAGCTTCAGTGCGTTCGACCTGCGCAAAACTTCCAGACTAATATACATCCGTTATGTCTGTGGGTGCAATGCTAGGTTCTGAAGGCAAGTAGCTTTCCCGTGTCTTCTTCACGTCGGCTGCACCTCCCCATGCGATGTGTTTGGGTGATGCATGTAAGGGGCGGGGCGGGTTACCGAGGCCTGACATTGTGCGTTGTTCTCCATCCTTGTCGCACCCACTGTTCAGTCATGAAATCAAGTCTACAAACACCACATCACAGATAAACTAGAATACACCGTCATAATTCAACGCAGACATGCCGCGACCCAGCCAAGATGGGTTAGAGTGGGAAGAAAAAACCTTCGGCATCGAGCCACGATGGACGCGGGAGCCAGCCATCAAGGCCATCGAAAACGTATGCCGCCAGCGACTTATCATCCCCCCTGACGACTCCTGCGAGATCAGTTTTCACGCGTCTGGTGCATTCAATAAGCTCTACACTGTCGAATCGTCTGAACAAACCCTTATCATGCGCGTATCGCTGCCCGTCTGCCCGCGCGACAAGACGCGTGGTGAGGTATCTACTTTGCAATGGGTCTCCAACCACACCCAGGTCCCGGTTCCAAAAGTGATTAGCTTCGACGATAGTAGCGATAATGAGATTGGGTTTGAGTGGAGTTTGATGGAGTTTGTCAGAGGGACGTCTGCGTACACACGATGGCGAACTTTGTCGATGGAGCACAAAGTCGCGATTACGAGACAGCTGGCGGAGTTTCAGGCGGAGTTTTTAGGGTGCAGATTTGAGGCTGTAGGAACGCTTCAAGAAGGCGGCTCGACACAAGAATCCGGGATTTTCCGCCCCGGCCAGCTTGTGTCCCATGGATTTTTTATGGGCGATCGTCTGCATTACAACATCCCACGAGGTCCTTTCTACTCCAGTCACGACTGGATGAGCGCACAGTTAAACATTGTTCTACTTGAACAGACGGCAAAGTTGGAGAAAGCGGAAGATGAAGATGACCAGGAAGATGCAGAGGATTGTCTTTCTACAGTACGGAAGCTTCTTGACCTCCTCCCTACAGTGTTCCCTCCTGGTGGGGGAGAGCCTGCAAGTCTATATCATAACGACCTCCACCTCAACAACATCTTCATAGATGAAAACGGTAAAATCACTAGTGTTCTTGACTGGGAATGTGTCTCAGCGGTGCCTCTTTGGCTGGCAATCACGGCACCCAAGTTTCTTGAAGAAACCCCGCGGGAAGAGGAGCCGCAGCGAGACGAGTACGCTGACGAGTCTGATGCAGAGCGTGAAGATCCACACTCCTTAGACAACGAGGGCAAAAATGACCTTTACTGGATTCACAGAATGGAATATGACGCCACGCAGCTACAAAAAGTCTACAAAGCCAGATTAGAGGAACTAACGCCGGAGCTACCCCTCAAGGAAAGTTTTACAAAGGTAGAATTCTTCCGAGCAGTCGAACAGTGTGATGGAATATGGGTGAAAAAGGCGGGCAGATGGGCTGATCGTACGAAACAAGGTGAGGTCCTTCAATTTGTAGATGCGTAGCGGCCAATGCAGTATGATTTGTACTGGGACATGCATCAAGGGCATCGATCTTTCGACTGTTTCTTCTCGCCCTGGCCGAATGGGTGGGACTTGATACTTCCATCGAGAGCATCCTAGCATCATAAGTCATAAGATTTAATAGACGACTAAGGAAACCAAATGTTCTCGAGTACACTGTCCTACTCTTTTGCATGCTACAAAACCTCGGTATTGTTTGGAATCAACGTTTGGAATACTATAAACATCATGTGTGAAGCCCTCTCTCTATACTTATAAATTTGTAAGTTTGGTAGATAACTATGAGGGTTGAGAGGTAAACAAGTAACATCGTCTCTCGTCTTTCCTTGATAGGTACTTGTATAGACTCGTTGAGAGAGTCACGGGATGTGAAAGAAACTGCGCCTTTCTGCTGTAGTGGCATTTATATGCTAGATTTGTTCTGAACCCCCCTTCCATCCTAGGAGTTGTGTGGGGTTTCAGTGATCGTGATGCCTTGTTTTTGGTCCCTGTCTGTCATCAGTAAAATGATTAGTGTGCATAGTGTAAGCAGCGTACCGATATTGATATCCCTCTGCGCGGAGTTGATGATAGTGCCCTTGTTGATAAGTTATGGAGGCGACTAATATCACTGAAACAAGCACGGTAAGAACAGTCCCGTTTCATGTTTCCGTTAGCAAAGTCATGCTAATGCGAGAACAGGGTAACAAAACCTACATTGTCAATAACGACGGCACAGTCATAAATTCCTCTCAGGGCGATATGAGAATCGTTTAACAGACTATTAACTATGGATAGATTAGGTAGAGCTTCGATCAACAAAGATGCGAAACAAAGAGTAGAATGTGGACCATATCAGTTGAACAATAATGATACACGCAAACTATCTAGCAAGTATTTCTATAGTGTACTAGATTTTTTGGGTTATGGTGAAAGGATGAAAGGAAGAGTTTACCATGTAATTAATAGAACGAATCAGTTCTTCAGGAGCAGACTACCCTTCGACGCTGACGAGCATGGCGAACTTGGCGTCGACGTACCGGGACCAAGGCCGGTGGCCAGAAGCCGAAGCGCTGGAGATGCAAGTGATGGAGACGAGCGTGAATAACCTAGCGTTTGCATTTGAGGCTCGTGGCTCAACAAGCAGAGCTATTTCTCTAATAAAAGACTGCTGCAAATTAGGCTTAGCAGTCTTTAGCCTTCAGCATTATAACATAGTATTGTCTTATAAAGTCCTTGCAACATGGCAGGGTAAAGCTTTAGAAATTAAAGAATAAGAAAAATTGTAAAAGGAGAATTGTAACGAGTAGATTCTTGAAAGTAGCTACGAAATCAACACAAAGTATGTCAGCGGCTTAGATGATTGTAAATCCTCATCGCGCAGGCGTGCCCAGTACCTCGCGAATATCTTGAGATCTTCATCGGTCTTGACAAGTGCGACGTGATCCTTCGTTCGAGACAGCGCCACGCATCTGCCCAGCAGATTCCCTCTATGAGGTCGCAGCATATGGCATCTGCGGGAGCGAACCACCAATCCTTCCCCGTGGACCAGAATGTACTTGAAGCCGCCGCTCAACACAGCGCTCCAGCTCGCATGTTCGTGCTCGGGAATCCTTGAGAGCCTTTTGTAACAAGTCGCGTTTTGTAGCTGCTCGTAGAAAGCTGATGGGGAAATGAACGTGTGTCCCGAGTCCGTACTTATGCGATGTCTCACGCACAGATGTGTTGGTTCCTCGTCGACAACTAATTGCGACTCGATGCGAGGCGACGTTGTGTCGGATGCAAGACTATCGATGGATTCCACGACCTCGACTTTCCGCGCAGAAGATCCGAGGAATGCTTCTTGCTGCCCACTAGTGTCGTATACAGCACGGTAAGGGCGAGAAAGGTACTCGATTTGACCGGACCCGACGTGTATCTTGAATGCTTCTTGCGGGTCGTCGGTGAGTCCCTCGAGCAGTTGAGTATAACAATAAATCTTGCCGTCGCTTTGCGCCACCACGCCGAAAATATCAAACGCCCAGTCTTCGGCAGATGAGAACATCGCTGCTGTTGTAGAGAAAGCTTGGCTACAGGTCTGAATGACGGTATAATCCAGGTCCCGTGTAATTGCTTCTGGGCTGGGTGTATCCGGCCAGTGCTCCTTTCCTGCCGTGGAGTGGAATAAAGAATACAGTCCGTGGAAAGTCGGTTGAATGGGCGTGTCAAGAACGACATGATCTAGAAGTACCATCGCCCGAAGTATCGTCAGTGCCAGTCTCGTCAAGCACATTTGGCCGTTGGAAGTGCCGTCAAGGTGTTTCTTGTGCACTGCACAGCCGCAGAGCGCACCTAACTTGTGCATGTATTGGATGAATTCATACGCTATGTTTTTCAGCGATGTAGAAGTCTCTCCAGTAGTAACGTCATGGAAACAGTCCAACATCAGCTTTTCGCCACCGTATATGGTGCAGAAGACCTGGATGGCGGATAGTGTAGGTGTACCCCACTGTCGTAGTTCGGGGATACTGCCCATGGCACGCATGCAATAGCGGCTCGCACTCGTAGCACAAACCGAGCTTTCATTGCTGTTAACGAGTAAAATGGCTGCTAGAGCAAATATTCGTTCAACGATCTGAGGATACTCCAGGAATAGGTCGGGGGCATGCGACTCCAATGGTCCAAACGAGGACGAAGGAGAGCTGTTGGTGCGGCCAAATAGTATTTGGAAGCTGGGTCCAAAAGTGTCTGAAAACATCGTATCCCATTGAACTCGTCCGCAGGAGAACTTGTAGTCAGCTCCCCAAATTGTAGACAGCCGTTGCCTGCCAAAGCTCTTCTGTATGAACTCAGTTCCGGATCGTAGGACATGACTAGTTTGGACAACAAGCATGCGCCCTTCATCTTGGTGTAAGAAAGCGATGTTGACTTGTGCATAGGTCTCCTGGACGTTGAAGTTGGCGTAGACGACGGTGCCTTGCGAGTCGCGTACAAGCACTCTCAAACCCAGCAGAAAATCTGCCCACGCAGCGATCCAACTACAGCAACATCCTCCTTGAATTGAGATACTCTGCAGGGAGCCTTCGGTAATACGGCCGATTTCGAGTAATAGCTTCGCAAGATCTGTTGGGTGGGGGTTGGGAGCGAGATTCGGAATCGTCCTGCTTTGAGACTCCGAAAACTTTGCGATTTGCGAGATGCGCAGCCCGAAGGTCGTTTGGTTGAACACGGATGCTGTGACTCGGATCAAAGCCTCCCATTGCTCCAGTGAAGGGGCCAGCTCCGGGGGTCCTCCACACTGCTTGGCAATCTCGTATAACACCAATGCACTGACAGCAGTCGAGTGGGACTCGGTGAGTGCCGCGCAGAGGGCCACAAGAGAGCATCCTTGGGAGGTTTGTACCATTTCCCGTAAGATGTGTCGAACTCCGATTCCAAACCATATCAAATCCGCTCCGATGGATTTTGCGGTTAACTTGCTCATGGATTCCGCAAGTACCTTCTCGCCATGTGACCCGATCGGAAGTCTCAAGCACAAGGCTTGTCCAAAGGCGACTGTCAATGAATCAATTCCAGCTTTGGCCAAACGCCCGAGAACTGCGATCGAGGCCGAGTACTGCGTCCTTCCCAACGCGACCCAGTCAAGACTACCTTGCTGCGCGAAATTTGAACCATTTCCACTAGCTTCGATTAAGGAGTTTGAATTCTCTAAGAAAAACATTTTGATCATCCAAGATAATGGAATAAGGAAGACATGTTGATATAAGATCTGAATTGGTAGAGATAAGGCAGCGCCCCCCACTGCGCCCCTACTAAGCCCCACCCCTAAGCCACGTTGCCTTCCCTCCCCTCCTTAGAACATCTAGTTATCGATTGTAGGTAGATATATCATGTCTAAGTAGGGGAATGTATCACGTCTTTTCTGTTAAACAAACTGGTCTTGTCTAAAATAGCGAGCAATGTAACGAGCGAACCAAATAAGCCTCTTAGAGAGATGCGTACGATCATATACGCATACAAGAGTCAGCCGTGGAAAAGAAGGCAGCGAAAAGTGCTGTTTATTAGCTCGCTCACGTCATGTGCGTTTATCAGCATATTTCTAGCTTTGGTATTCTGTATTCTGTAACACTACATCTAGTTATAAGCCGTTTGGGTGATGGCAGTACCCTACTTATTTACATTCTCTTAACATCACAGCGAATCTTATCACTTCGCTATCTACATCTGTTCTCCGATAGTCCACCTTTGTCCTCTTTCTATTATGGGGGTTTTTTTGTGCAGAAGTATATAGTCTGGACACTCATTATATTATTCTGCAGGTAGATTGACAGGGGGCGGGATGGAGACTGCGGGGCTTTGCCCGGAAGGCTGAGGAGATACACCAAGTACTGCCAGTATAGGTTACACTCTATAGCAAGGCAATTTGCCGGATGTATAGATCCCGATGCTCTCACATCATTAAGAAATTTCTACAGCCTTGCCAAGGCGCCTTCGGTTTGATACGAAAGTCGGGTCAATTCGACGCCAGTGAGAAAACAAATCGATTTCGTGATAAGGCGAATGTCTACTCGGAGAGACGAATGCCAGTGGGGGTTGACTTCCGCAATCAAGGATGCATAGATTTTAATCTGCGTGAAAAGAAAGCCTCGTCAGTTGGTGAGCGACATGTTATCCCGTGGCTTGCATAGCTGACCCGTATTCTCGTATACCATCCTCGTGCGGTGGCGAGGTATAAGAACAGCAAACTCCTACTGAATCGTTTTCGGGTGCCACCCGTTACTTGAATGTTGTGTAGCCCACCGATCTAGCTGTTCAAGATTAAGCCACGCTTTCCGGAGTCTCCTTGCAAGTCTCGCTGCACGCTGGACAGGTCTTGATGGCGGAAGGTTCTCATACACAACAGGACGTGTTAGTCCACGTCAGTTGGTGTTACAACTGTTTGAGCTTATACGGCATTCGAGACGAATCTCCATCAAGGCGAAGATCCGATTCTCGCCCACTCGAACAGTTTCGTGACAATCCAACGGAGGCCCGAAGAAGCGAAAGGTACCACGATTCTAGTACTCGATCGAGGGTACAGAGGCGGAATACGACCACCACAAACTCTGGACTGACTGTTGAAAGTGCGAGAGAGGAAAACATGGCGAATTTGAACATGCCGGTCCTTGGTAATGAAGACTTCACAGTGGCTCATGTGCGCTCTTCCGAAAGAGTACAATGCCATGGCATCCGTGTTGGATTACTTCAACAACGTGAATTTACCTCACGGTGATTCTGAGACTACGGATTACATGTGGGGTACGATACAATCAACGCTAGTTGTGCTGTGTCTGCCGGAGAAGCCTGGAAACCTCCATGCTGTGGCGGCAGCACGGAACCTCCGAACTCGGGAAATGGATTCGTGCTATTCTCTCTTGCTATTCATCATCTACGTATGCGTTAACCTAGGTATGTAGACTGTATATCTCCAACTATCAAAACGGGAAACCAGACCCCGCGCCATCCCTCCGGCAATCCTCCACAAAAGCCATCCCAAGCGACTCTCCACTCCCTTCGCACCCCCCACCCTCCCCCGCAACACCACCACCACTCCTCTCCGAATCAACCCAATACATGTCCCCCTCAAACAAGCGTTTCGCCGTCCGATACACACTCGCCGAAAGCGGAAGCACGGGATCCTCACGGTGCATAACGGCATCGACTTGCACCCTCCCACTCGCATGCCCAATCGTAATCGCACCCTCGACGACCGGAGTCGGCGCCAACAACTCATGAACAACGGATCCAGGAATCCGCGCCGCTATGGCGGTGGTAAGGGCCGCCGTGAGAGGGACCGCGCGGTGGGGCTGGGTATCCGACAGGAAGCGCACCACGAGATCGGTCTCCGACGACGGTAGTGTAGCGCCCGATAGAACTTTGTGCGTGGTGCTCGCGGACACGAGGCCGATTTTCGGGATCGTGCGGGCGACGCTGGATTCTGTTGCTACGAGACCCATGGCTACTGCGGCTTTTGCGCGGATCTGCTCGAGGAGGTGTAGTTGGTCGGTCAGTTTCGCGAAGGCGTTGGGTAGGATGGCGCCGTCGATGCCGAGGTCCGCCGCGTGGATGAAGATGGCTGGGTTTGGCCCGTCGATACATGATACTGTGTGATTGAGGAGTATATCTGTTTTGTTGCCTGTGGGGAGGACTTTGCCTGTTTTGCTTCCGTACGGGTGTTTGAAGGCGAGCTTGATTTTGGAGCCTGGGGTAGAGACGCCGTCGATGGAGTAGTCTCCGGCTACGGCTGCTTGGCCGTCGATGATGGAGAATGTGGAGTCGATTAGTTTGTTGGTGTTTGTGTTGCGGATCGTGATGGTGATATCTCCGGATGTGGTGTTGAGAAGATGTGCAGGGAGGAGACCGGCGTTGAAAGCATATGGTCCAATCGCACTGCTCATGTTACCACAGTTGCCGAATGTGTCGACTTCGTTGTTTTCAATTCCTAGACCGACGAAAGTGTAGTCTACGTGAGCAGGACTGTTCGAGGAGTCTTTATTCCGAGTGTTGTTAGTTCGATACGGTTCGACTAGACATATTTTGCTCAAGCTTGAGATGCCAGCTCCCATGCCATCCAACTGTCTTCCGTACGGATCTCCTGAGCCCATCAACTGTCGGAATATGGTAGGCCATTTTTTACGGTTCGCTGGCAAATGCTGCGGTTGGAGTATAACAGCTCGCGATGTGCCACCTCGGTAGTATGCAGCTCGAAGAGAGCGCTGAATCAATCTTGAGTTCGCCATGACCAGTCTGGCTGCATTTCTTACTTCCTGAATCCTGATCTCATATCACCCAGACACAAAGAGAATTGGAGGTGTGCTGTAAACACCATGCACTGGTGTTGCAGCATGACGGAAGTATGCATGTAGTCCATCTATACCGACTGGACTTAAGTCGGAACAAAAGCCGAGGGCGGCGGCGGCGAACAACCCCTGTCCAAAGCTTCGGCCCGCACGAGCCATGACATGCAGCAACTCTCTTCTCCGATTTTTTTAACCCTTCCAGAACCAAAAACCACAGCTTGTCTTTCGCCATCGTCATCCAATCCCACTTCCCCCATCTTCGCCTCCTCCTCTCTACACCATCTCGCATTTCCATCATATTCCCATCTCCTCACATATCCATAATGTTCCAACGAACCATGCTCCGCGCCTCAAGACAGGCCGCCGCTCGCCCCGTGCAAAGAATACAACCTGCTGCTTTTGTCCCCATACGGCAACAAGCTGGCACGCGAGCTGCGCCCGCCATCAGATGGTATTCCGATGCTGCTCCGGCCGAGGCCAAGGGTAAAGAAGGTGGAGCAGAGGCCAGCAAGGACGACGGCGCGGCGCAAGTCAAGGAGCAGTTGGAGAAGAAGGACAAGGAAATTATTGATCTGAAGGTTGGTTAAGCCTCAATTCCTTACCATCTGTTTAACTATATCTCTCTATCCTAATGGAATGATGATTTCATAATCTCCTCGCGTCTCCGAAAACGGTGGAACCCCCAAAAATTAGCAACTCGTCCATTGGAAAACAAGGAGAAGAAAAACTGACAAAAGGTCAAACAGGACAAATACCTCCGCTCCGTCGCCGACTACCGCAACCTCCAAGAGCGCACCAAGCGCGAAATCAGCGCCGCAAAAGACCTGGCCCTCAAAAACTTTGCGCGCGACCTGGTCGAATCCGTCGACAACCTGGACCGCGCCCTGGGCACCGTCGAGCCCTCCAAACTCACGGGCGAAGCTGCAAACGCCGACCTCGTCGCCCTCCACGACGGTCTCAAAATGACCGATCGCATCTTGATGGGCACGCTGAAGAAGCACGGGCTCGAGCGATTCGATCCCAGCCCCGACGCCGAGAAGTTTAACCCGAATGTGCACGAGGCGGTTTTTCAGACGCCGATGCCGGATAAGGAGGACGGGACGTGCTTCCATACTCAACAAAAGGGGTTCCTGCTTAATGGCCGCGTGTTGAGGGCTGCCAAGGTTGGAGTGGTGAAGAATGCTTAGGCGACGTCTTCTTTCGCTTTGCCTACCTTCCTCTTCCATCGCTCGGTCGTTGCTTGCTAGTGATGAGGAGTGTAGGAAGCTTGGGAGCGGAGCTGTGTACGATTATGTTTGGACCTCTCCTTTTGTGCAGGGAGGTGGTGTTACATATACGGATCTGGCACACCGTTCATCTCGTTCGTCTTTTGGTACAATTTCGCGGCACGCATCTCGAAAAACCACCTTGTTTTGCTGTCTACATATCCATTCGGAGCTCTTCAGAAAACATGCGGAAAGAAGGGGGAAGAGCTTCTCATGGCCTGGCTTGGCCTGGCGTTGGAATCTCTTTGGTATTGTTCCTTGCGTTCGAACGTCGGCATATGTGTAAGATGATGAAGTGTGTGGTTTCCTGTTTTTCTTGTAACCTGTATATTCCCCTCTCTTTCTCTTCTTTAGTTGCGCCGAGATGGAAGCGCTGCTGCGTTCCACTCAAGCTCATTGTACTTTATAACAGCATAGTTTCTCATGACCAGGGAAAAAGAGATGATGAAAATTAGGATAGATCCAGCTGAGACTGGCATTGGGAGAGATGGAAGAGATAAATGTACGATTAATTCAAGATGTTGATATGACACTCAAATGTGTGAAGAGAGTCGTGCCAAAGAGGTTGTTGTTCCTCGAGAAAGACGAATGAGAAGTGTTTTCGTGCCTTCTCCTTATTGCATATGTTCCTACTTGATTTGCGGGAAACTCCGAGTGAGAATAAGTTTTGAGTATAAACGCCGTTCCTATGCTGAGTTTTTCACACATGCCAGCCAAATGCTCGCGGGGTACTGAAGAAGAAAAGGAAAAGAAGAGAAGTCGCCTTGGGAGAGTAGGAGTCACCACCATTGTGGCAATCTACCATGCGCTGCCACCATACGGAGTCGCTCCGTATGGCGTGGTCCCGCCAGCTGTTCCTCCTGGCCCCCATACGCTTCCGCCGCCGCCATAGCCCGGTGTTGTGTATCCAGCATCGTTTCCGCCGAAACCGCCTCCGTTGAGTGTCGGACTCTGCGCACCACCGAAGTCGCCGTTTGCGTTGTCACCACCATCAAGTTCGTGAATCACTTCGGCGAGTTTCTGTTGCAGGCCCTTGATGCCTCGGTTCACGATTTGGTCGGGATCGAGACCACCAACGGTTTCCACGTCCATAAAGAAACGTTGGGGGACGGCATCGTAGTCAAAGGGCTCGTCTTCGGCCGGGTGGCCTCCGTCCAGGTTCACGCGCTCTTCGTCAACGGGCCTGCAATGATGTTGTAAGTAAGAGCGTATTTGAAAGAGGGTATATGTTCAGATATACACACCATTCCTGCTTCGGATCATCACCTTCGTACCAGAGGTCGAGGTGATGCAGTTTGTTGGCGGGATCATACTCGAATCCAATGGCTGCGCTGGGCGCCCACTTTGCGTGCTCCTTTGCAATGCCCTTCTTTGCGATGCAACGCATGTGGATCGCTTGTCCCCGCCTCAGCTTAACGATGCAGCTGCCTTGTCTATCCTCGTCTGTGATGACGGGCTGGCCGATTTGGTCGTTTGGTGGATTTGAGGCAAGAACCAGATCACGCGCATAGACCTTCATGATCTCGTCACCTTCGCACTTCGCATTGAGCTCGAGAGTCACGGAGCACATGTCGCAGTAGTTTTCGCAGTCACAATCGCGCGAGTAGATCAACTCATCCACGCCGCGGCTGTTGAGGGGGATGAGACCCAGACGGTGGCAAACGAACTCATCGGCAAGCACGGAGGTGTTGTCGAGGACCTCTACGATGTCGATGGCTACGGTGGGGATCTCGGCAAGCATGTAGCGCCGCAGCGAGTTTGCGGATTCAAGATTGAAGTTCTGGATGATGAACTTGGCACGTGTGGGATTCGCCTACAGTACGTCAGTCGCCAGAGTCAAAGGTGAAGTAGGGCGCGGGCGCAGCAGTCTGCGACAGACCTCCAGGAAGCGCACGTGGATACCGCTGCCTTCGACGTCGTAAGGATCCATGCTTGCGAGGGCGGGCCACGGGGCTGGGATCTGGTCGAGATGCGATTTGGGGAGACTGGTGGAGATGACGAGTCGGTGCGTAGGTAGAGAAGAGGCGGAGTTGGTGGGGTTGAGGTGAGTTGGACTGGTGTTGCTTGGTTGATTGCTTAGTTGAGGTCTGGACGTCTCTCACTTTGGACAATCGCGTTTCTTTGACAAGGGAAGAGGCGCCGGGACAGGCTAGCTCCAGGTGGCTAGCGCATTCGCCACAGCTCAAGCCACAGTCGCTCTCATGCGAGCCGAGGTGGTGAGTGGGTGACTAAGTGAATGGCGGCTCCTGTCTGGCTGTCTTCGCGAAAGGGGGAGGCTATGTGAAGCAACTTCGATTAGACATTATTTTGACTAAGTCTGTCTGTTACCTACTGAGGCTACACGTACACGGTACCCGCTGGGCCACTCTAATCGCCGTGCCGATACAAGGCGCAACCAAGTACTCAGGTACCGCACCTCTTACAAGGCCGAGCTCGTCTAAGACTGCGAAATGCTACCGAGACAGCGATTCAACCATGCCCAGGAGGTCTTCTGATATGAGCCTTGCGTTGAGCAAGCAAGCAAGTGTGCGGCGATCAACACACTGGGTTGATCCTGCTTATTGGTTGAGTCAACGACATGACAACACTCGTTTGCTCAAGGCCTAAACTACGCCTCTGGACAGGACGAGGTGAGGTCGACCTTTGTTCATTTCCGAGAAACACTCATTGGGGCGTATTGGTAGACCTGATGTATATATGACTCTTGAAATAGCCATAGCAGGCGTACATTGCGTTTGCCCAAGCGACGGACGCAGGGAAATGGTTGTATGTTGGTATTCATGCGTAGTAGCATGTTACGGTGGAAGTGCAGTTGAATCCGCCAAGTCTTTTGCATGCACATATATACGGACGTTCAGAATATAGATGTGTCGTTGGCGGTTTCATCGCGATTTCAAAACGAATATCTTCACTCTCGACTGGCAGCAATCAAGGAGGTGATTGACGGGAAACGTGTAATCATCACACAAAACGTGGATGGCGAAGGCGCAGTACTCCCACACTGTCTCATCCACACATGTGCGTGTCGCACATCAACTCCATCAGGAAATGGAAATATGGATTGCCGGATGCGAACGAGCGTGTGCGTATCTATTTCCCCTTTCTTTTCAAGGCTGAGTCCAGCGCACTCGTGGTCGCTTGCGGCTTTGAGTCAGCCGAAGGGGACACCTTCTGCCAGTGGACATGTGGAGAGACAGCAATTGAGACGTGGGAATTCGGCGCCGCGCGTTCCGCCGGGCTCCGCTTGGAGGTTTGTTGAGCAATAACAAATTCCTTGCGAGGCAGTGCAGAGACGTCCAAGGTCAGCGGCCAGGCCAGACTGGGGGAGAATCATGTCGTCTGGCTTGGCTCATCGGGGCTTAGTTGGTGACTGACGTTTGCCCATATAACCCCATGTCCTTCGCCCGCTTCTGCTGCTCGACAGTCAATAACAAACGACAACCACCTCCAAGCGCATCCTCTCTCTACCTGCTTGTTCCACGACACCTACGGAATACAGAAGCTGTAGGATACACACATGCACGCCATCATGTCTACCTCAATACCCTCCCCGCAGCACTCGCGAACCTCATCCAGATCCAAGTCGCCACTGTCTATCGATCTCTCAGACCTGCCACCACTAGTCCAACCTTCGCCTCCCTCCAACACCCTCATAATTACAGTGAGTACTGCTCTCTCCGGAGTCAAATCGGTTCTGCATTCTGACATAGCCCCAGAACCTCATCGAACCCGAAATCTTCCAACCTGCCAACCTCGTCCAGATCCGCGAGACAATAAACCTCCACGGTGCCGTACACACCTGGGCACCCCTCAAATCCTTCAAGCGCATAGTCGTTTCCTTCTTCGATGTCCAGTCCGCCATAAATATCCGCCAAAAAGTTGACGGCGAGCAAATCATGGGCTGCAGAGTGCGCGTATACTTTGGCCTCAATACCCCGCTCAACCCCAGCGACCAGCACCTACCCCTCCCCAAATCCGACAAGCTGTTCTTCATATCACCACCGCCTTCGCCGCCCATGGGCTGGGAAATGCGCGACGAGGAGCCCCCGAACCAGATTGTGCACGCCGAAGACCTCGCTGTCGCGCTGTCCAAGCTGCACGCAGACTCTCACGATTACCCCATCTCGCCCGATACAGAGGGGGATGCGCAGTTTTCCATGACGAGGCGCAGGACGGGAAGTTCGACAATTCTATACCACCCCGAAGACCACGGCGACAGCCCCAATCTCCCCGCCATCGCTGTCGTGGACACCACCGAGAGTCCTTCACCGGCAAGCCCCGCCGATCTCATGGAGGGTATCGAGGGCCCGATCGCGCAACAGAAGGCCCAGGGCAAAACTCTTGCCACCGCCAGACCGCCGGTTGAGCTTATGCACTGAGCTCCACTCTTCTCTCCTTTTCTTTTTCTTCTCTTCTTCTGGCATGTACTATATATCCACCAAAGGCACCAATGGGAGAAGTGCCTACTCGGCGTTCTGGGACGGGTTACCGAATTGAAATACATTCCATGTTTCATGTGATTGGGAGTATTGGTCAACGGGTTTGAATGGGCTATGGCTAGAAAATGATATGAATACCAGGACAGTAGCTAGCTGCACCAGAAACGTACGCAAGCATACGGCGATTCTGAGTCTCTTGTGATTAGAGATTGCATGGAAATAAAAATATGTTGTTTGACACAATTCCTGAGGCAGGAGAATGTATTTGAAAAGTGAAATACTGCTATGTTGAAGATCAGTGGTACCTTGTAAAGCATCTGTAATCTTCCAGTTCGCGAATGAGTCTATAATATGTAGACGGCATTGCCCAAAACACAGCAGTGGTTTCTTCTTTGTTGAGTCTACTGTTTAAGCAGCACGGCGAGGTGGTGCAGTACGACTCTAGAAAGACTAGACGAGGCGGCGTTGTTAGACGCACCAGATCGCTTACCACGCTGCTAAAAGTGCTGCTAAACGGAGTGTCGCGGCGCACCTGGCCGCATTTAATTAGCCATTAGATTTTAGCTGGGAAAAAGCAGGCCTTAACGTACGCTATAAAGCTGCTTACTATTATAAGGGAGGGATATTGTGTGATAGGTGCAGCAGCTAGAGGATTGTACCTTGCAAGCGGCAGAGCGCAGAAGAGAACGTTAGCATACACAACTGGCTCTTGATCTTTGACAATGTCGACTGCGACTTCTACGACAAAGATGACCCACAAGCATACAACATCAGGAACTGCTCCCCTTGCCTAGATCGTAGCTCGATTCTCATCACCAGTCGGCTGCACCTAGCACCTCTGCCACCAAAGATACTCTGGGAACTGCCGAGAACTGCAGAAGTCGTCCGAATGAAGCATCAAACTTTATCATTGGTTGATATAAATAACATAGTATGCTCTTTCGTACTCGTACTACTTGTTGCGAGTTGGCAGCTCAGCCTTGTTGTTGCGGCCTAAATGTCGTTTCTGAGTTTGACTTTACAATCATCTCACAATCTTTCATATTCTGTTGACACTGCGAATCTTACCGACATTGGTTCTCATAACTCCAGTTTGGCCCACTGACGATGCCGTTCATACGCCTTTTGCAGCTCACAGGGGACGACGACTTCAGGCTGGTCCAACCTATCGTGGACACGGTTGCCCCACCATTCGCGATTCTCTCCCACACCTGGGGAGGAAGAGACGAAGAAGTCCTGCTCCAAGACTTGAAGGACGGAACAGCAAAAAAGAAGACTGCATGCTATGAAAACAAGCTCAAATTCTGCAGAAAACAAGCTGCTAAAGACGGGTTAGAATACTTCTGGGTGGACACTTGTTGCATTAATCAGCAAGACTCCGTTGAACTTCAAGCCTCTATCAATTCTATGTTTAAGTGGTATAGCACTGCTGTTAAGTGCTACGCATACTTGTCTGACGTCTCAAGTACTGACCCTACTCTCGATATTGAGGAGAAGATTAAGAAGAGTAGATGGTTTCGTCGTGGTTGGACACTTCAAGAGCTGATCGCGCCTAAAGAAGTCGAATTTTTCTCAAGAGAAGGAGATCCACTAGGCGACAAGCAATCTCTACAACAAACAATCCATGAGACAACTGGGATCCCTATTGAAGCTCTCCAAAGATGCCCTCTATCGCGGTTCAGCTATCACGAGCGAATATTATGGGCAGAAGGACGGCAGACAACACTTGAAGAAGATGCGGCTTACTCATTGCTAGGCATTTTCGCCATTCACATGCCACTACTGTATGGGGAAGGACGAGCAAATGCCTTCAGACGACTGAAGATAGAGGCGCGACAGCATCCAACAGACGAGGTGTTTACGGAATGGTTAACGCCTACAGACTTCCACGCTCAGCACTCGGATACCATCAACCGTTGGCAAGACGGAACGTGCCAGTGGTTTCTTGATTCGGCCCAGTTCTTGGCGTGGTTCGGCCCTGAGAACAGAAAATATGACACATCTTGTCTGCCTTCCCGCCCAGGAAACAAAACGCTTCTTTGTACAGGGAATCCTGGTGCGGGCAAGACAGTGATAGCAGCTGTTGCGATTAAACACCTAACCGACAAATGCACGGATTGTACCTCTGTCGGAATTGCGTATGTGTACTTCAATTACAAAGCTCAAGAACTGAACATCTCGGAAATGCTAGCGGCCATTCTCAAGCAGCTAGTACAAGCACAGTCTTCTTTCGCAGAGCCTGTAGAGCAATTATATCTGCGGCATATCAAGGGGACTAGACCATCACTGAAGGAAATATTCAACGCGCTTCAGGCCGTTATTGCAAAATATTCGAGGGTCTACATTGTCATTGATGCTCTGGATGAGTGCCAAGAGAGCAATGGTACCCGCAGACGGTTTTTAACCAAGCTTCAAGATCTCCAAAATCTGAAGACGGAGACGGATGTTCGACTGATGGTTACCTCGCGTGATATTCCGGATATTGTTGACCAGTTCCAAACACCAGATGTACTGAGGCTGGAGGTGAGAGCCACTCATGAGGATGTAAAGCGATTTGTTGAAGGCCAAAGAGACTCACTGCCGAGTTGCATTCGAAACGTTCCTAAAATGAAGGATTCAGTAAAGGAAAAGATTGCCGAGGCGGCAGATGGCCTGTACGCATTACAAACAGCCCTATGAGGTGGCATATATACTTATCAGTTTTCAGGTTTCTTCTCGCAACCTTACATACGGCGTCTCTCCATGACAAAAGGACTCCGAACGATGTGAAATTGACAATGGATGGATTCTCCAGTGGCCCTAACGCCCTCGACAACACATATAACCAAGCAACCAAAAGAATTAAAGATCTGCCATCGACGGACTGCAAACGAGTCCAGCAGGTTCTGGCATGGATTACGTACGCAAAGAGGCCGCTTTCTGTAGATGAAATATGCTGCGCTTTAGCGGTCAATCCGGAAAAAGAGAAAAGGGAGTTAGACGATGGCGATAAACTTGATGTCAAGGAATTGGTCTCTATGTGCGCCGGCCTTGTCATCATCAACAAAGAAAGCACTATACTTCGCTTTGTGCACTATACTACGCAAGAGTACTTTGAAGGAGTCAATGAGCAATGGGACCCTCGAGCGCAGCAAAGAGTGGCTTCGACATGCCTCACCTATCAATCATTCCGGGTTTTCGAGGAAGGCGCCTGTCTATCAGACGCAAAATTTGAAGAGCGTATGATGTCAAACGAGCTCTATGACTATGCTACACACCACTGGGGGAACCATGCTTGCAGCTGCGAGGCTGAACTGCAAGAAAGGATTTTATCCTTTTTCGAGCATGACGCACTTGTCTCTGCTTCGAGCCAGGCGCTGATTGCCTCCAAGCGCTATCCAAGCGATCGCAATTATAGTCAACGTGTGAGAGGGTTGACCGCAGTACACCTTGCTGCATATTTTGGACTGAGCGATACACTGGCCAAACTGCTATTCATCAGGGATTATTCGCCCCGTTTCCAGGATGGATACAATCGAACGCCGCTATTATTCGCTGCCATGAACGGCCATGATACAACAGTAGCGATGTTACTTACCAACAGGCAGGTCGATCCTAATACCAAGGATAAAGGCGGCCGCACTCCGCTGTCATGGGCTGCCCAGAATGGCCATCAACTCGTCGTAGAACGGCTGGTCAGTGATGACAAAGTTGACTTGAACTCGGAAGATCTAGACGGTAGGACAGCGTTATCATGGGCCGCAGGACAAGGGCATGACAGGACTGTGAAGATACTCATTGGAGCCAGAGGCATCAACCTGGGCTGTAGGGACAGTGCTGGCCGAACGCCACTTTCTTGGGCTGTACAGAGCAGTCACAAGGGAGTCGTAAAGATGTTGCTCGCGAACAAAAGTATCGACTGGGAATCAAGAGACAACAGCAATAGAACAGCATTATCGTGGGCTCTAGAGAATGAAGACAAAGGGATCATAGATCTTTTCTTGGAAATGAGCAGCATTAATCCAAACCTCAAGGACACAACTGGCCGAACACTACTGTCTCGGGCGGCACAGAGCAGTCATATACACGTGCTAAAACGGCTCCTCTCGGATGACTCTACGGACGTAGAATCCATGGATACGGACAATCGCACGCCGCTGTCTTGGGCTGCCGCAAGTGGCCGTGAAGAGGCTGTACGGATGCTGCTAGACAAGGATGCATACCCACGTGGCAAGGACAAACACTTTCAAACACCACTTTGCTGGGCAGTAAAAAATGGACATCAAGGGGCAGTAAAAACATTCCTTGAGTACAGTGGCACTGGTCTGAATATGAAAGATGGACATGATCGAACAGTTTTATCTTGGGCTTCAGAACTGGGGCATGAAGCGATAGTAGAGCGACTTCTCAAGAAGAAAGACATCGATGTCAGTTCCCGAGACAAGACCGGTCGATCGCCTCTATTCTTGGCATCACAGAGAGGCCATGGAGCTATCGTTAAGCTGTTACTTGCGACAAGCGGTGTCGATCCGAACTCTGAGGATGATACCGGACAGACACCGCTGACAGTAGCTGCGGGGAGAGGACATAAAGAGGTAGTAAAGGTGTTTCTGGAGCAAGATATAGGCCCAGACTCAATAGATGCTGCTGGTCGAAGTCCTTTATCACGGGCTGCACAGAATGGCCACAACGGAGTAATACAACTGCTAATCGATAGTTTCGGGGTAGATGCAAACTCAATAGACAGGACCGGCCGGACTCCTATATCACGGGCTGCGCAGAATGGGCACGTGGAAACTGTGGAATTGCTAATAGGGCCCTACAAGGTAGATCCGAACATAAATGACACCGTCAAACCAAAGTATGGTGGCAATTCAAAGAATGCTGTCAGCCCAAAGCATACTGTCAAATCAAAGGGTACTCCACGGACACCGTTGATGTGGGCTGCGAAGCACGGCCAAAGAGACATGGTCAAGCTGCTACTTGGCTCGGCCGCGGCATCGACAACTGTCAAGGACAATATTGGGGACATGGCGTTGGCGTGGGCGGTTAGAGAAGGACATGAGACTATTGTCAAACTTTTCCTTGATAGAGGTGACAGCACACATAACAGCCAGAACAATCGTGGATGGGCACCTCTATTATGGGCAGCTGACCGGGGCCACGAAAGAATCGTCAACATGCTCCTCGATAAAAACGTAAAGCCAGACACAAGAGGTTATGACCAACGAACAACCCTATCACGAGCAGCTGGGAACGGTCATGAGGGCATTGTTAAGACCCTACTTAAAAGAGGAGTCAGCGCAGACGCAGCAGACGTGGAAAAACGAACACCCCTCTCATGGGCAGCTAAGAAAGGCCATGAGAGAGTCGTCAATATCCTACTCGATACGGGTGAAGTGAGTCCAGACTCCAAGGATAAGCAGGGACGATCACCTCTCTCATTTGCAGCCGAGGAGGGCCATAAAGGCATCTTCGATATCCTACTCACTGCTGGCAAAATTCGTCCAGGAGACACAGATGACACTGGGAGAGCGCCCCTCTCATATGCAGCCGAGAAGGGGCACAAAAGCATTGTTGAGACGCTAATTGAGAATCAAGTTAGTGTAAATGCGAAAGACGATACAGGACGGGCACCCCTCTCATATGCGGCTGAGGGTGGGCACAAAAATATTGTCGAAACACTCCTCAATACGGGCAAGATTGATGATCCAGATTTCAAAGATACATCGGCACGCACACCCTTATCATTGGCAGCTGAGAATGGCCACGATGGCGTTGTCCAGTCACTGCTGAAGACGGACAAAGTTAATCCAGATTTCAAGGATAATTATGGAAAGACGCCGCTATGGTTCGCAACAAGCAACGGACACACAGCTTGTGTGCGCCACCTCCTTGACACAAAGAAGGTCAACCCAAACATCAAGACGCTAGAGGCTAAGCAGTCACCACTAGAGATCGCGGCCATGAACGGCTACGAGTCTATAGTCAAGCTCTTACTCGGTACCGACGAAATCAACCCAGACGATACAAATCGTAGTAGGCAATCACCACTATCATGGGCGGCCAGAACAGGACATGAGGCTATTGTCAAGTTACTACTCGCCACAGGGAGAGTCGATCCGCACCGTGCAAGCACTTTCGGCACCACGCCACTGTCTCTAGCAATTGAGCACAACCACGAGGCAATTGTCAATTTATTACGGGCTTATGAGGGACCCATGTCTAGTTAGACATCGAGTACATACATCTCCCGCGGCCGCGTTGTACACCTATGGTGTTTATTGCCCATAATTTAGAGTTAAGGTGCCGGAGACATCTTTATCTGCTGGGAGGGGATTGAACTAAGGCCCTTGGCCGTTGAAAAGTATGATTATCTGCTAACATTCTCTGTAGACTTGCTCTACTATCTGCTCCACCTCACTATGAGTCCTACGGATTCGACTATTTACTGGAACCTCCCTTGAGAATAAAAAACTACAAGATTAACGGCTCAACATAATTCGCTGTTGCACACTTTCCCGTATCTCTTAGGTAGTCTCAATCGTGTCATTCTAGGGAGAATGTTTTGCGTTTAAGTGACACGCTTATGTTATGTGATAAATACAGCAAGTGGATTAATCAATCACACTATGTGTTGCTCGTCGTACCGAAGAATATGGCACCGTGCTTTTCCTTGCCGGTCGCACTCATATTTCTCGATGTCGCCTGCCGCCTGCCTTCTTGTTATTTTGAGTTGTCGTTAGCGCCCTCGTGGTGCATCTTATCTTATCAGATGCTGATGCGCTCTGCCTCAACCAGTCTCAGTCGCCACAATTGCATCCAACAGAGGAAAGCCACATTTAACGGCACCTCGAGACTGACGAAGTAAATCAGCTGCATATCTAATGCCTCTACCTTGCACGCCTTGGTGTATTTTATTGTCGCTGGTGACCAGCCATGAAATGATCTTATCTTATCAGATGGATGACTCAGCCGGCCATTAAGCGAGTCAACCCACAATCTCTATCATCGTTTTGTTTTCAACTACAGCCCCCATCGACAATTCACGTACAACCGGCGCCACCGAGACTTCACGCGGTCCCCCATCGACACAATGAAGCTCAACATCAGTTATCCTTCAAATGGAACCCAAAAGTTGATTGAGATGTACGTGACAATCGCTACCGATCGCACGCCCTTGAGCCTGGCTTCGTCAATGCTCCAGATAACGTACACATGCTAACGGCCAGCGCAGCGAAGATGAGAGGAAGCTTCGTATCTTGATGGACAAGCGCATGGGACAGGAAGTGAGTCGATTTTCCTGGTTTCTTTCTCGCCCACTCAAAACTCTCCCGGCTTTTCGCGCTATGTCGAATTTACGACTTTTCTACTGCCTCCGTCCTTCACTTTTACACGTCCTTCGTGGTTTAATTCGCTCTTCACATCGTCTCTCGGCCTACACCGCTACCGCCAACACTTGTCTAACCACAATATAGGTTCCCGGTGACAGCATCGGCGATGAATTCAAGGGCTACATCTTTTCCATCCGTGGAGGCAACGACAAGCAGGGTTTCCCCATGAAGCAGGGTGTTATGCACCCTACCCGTGTGTCTCTGCTCCTCGGAAAGGGTCACTCTTGCTACCGTCCCCGCCGCACCGGTGAGCGCAAGCGCAAGAGTGTCCGTGGCTGCATCGTTGCCATGGATCTTTCGGTCATCGCGCTCTCCATCGTCAAGAAGGGTGATGAAGACATCCCAGGTGTCACTGATACCGTCGCTCCCAAGCGTCTCGGTCCCAAGCGTGCCACCAAGATCCGCCGTTTCTTCGGTCTCAGCAAGGAAGATGATGTGAGTTTCCTCATAGCTTCTTCGCCAATCCTTCTTTACAGCAAGGATTGAGTCTGACGACGTGTTTTCTGTGATATGTAGGTCCGCAAGTTCGTCATCCGCCGCGAGGTTCAGCCCAAGAAAGAGGGCGCGAAGCCATACACCAAGGCCCCCAAGATCCAGCGTCTGGTTACGCCCCAGCGTCTCCAGCACAAGCGCCACAGGGTCGCACTCAAGCGCCGCCGCGCAGAGGCTTCCAAGGACGCTGCCGTAAGTTTTACCTCCCTTTCAAATTGACAATTCATAGTCATCGACGAACAATTACTAACATACTGGCTTTTCCCATCCATAGAACGAGTACGCCCAGATCCTCCAGAAGCGTCTCGGCGAGGCCAAGAGCGCCCACGACGAGGCCAAGAAGCGCCGTGCTTCTTCCATCAAGCACTAGAGGGTGTCTCAATGAGAGGAGGATGAAAAAGGGGGATGGAGATCAATGGATACGATTATACATGACTTCCTGGAAATGATCCTTTTTTTCTTTACACATGGCGTCGGCTCGAACATCACGCTTGCGCGCACTCGATATCCATGGGTGTGTGGGGAATTCTGTGTTCGAGATGATCCGGGGGGAAATATCAGCAAAACACCACCGGGGGTTATCATGGAAAGCTACTGGGAGTTTACACCTGCCAATTGCTACGGCCGGTCGGGTTTTCAAAAGAATTCAATCAATTTCATCATTCCACGGTTGTCGAAATATACTGGCTTCGAATGCGTGTGTCTTTTCAGCGGAAAGGGCGCAATCTTGATATCGTGCTTCCTAGCATGGGGGCTTGTCCAACTCTGCAATGCCACTTCATAATTTGTTACACTCATCGTTCATCACACTGCTCAAATCGACCATGAATGGCACTAACAATGAATTGGATCTACGTACAGCGACAAACTGCAGCTAACAGCGCATAGCAACACCGCAGCAAGAAGATTGTGAACCCCTTCGTCAGTCACCCCGTCATCTTCCTTGTCGTTTTCACCGTATCATCAATCCATCTTTATCAATACCATGCAAATCCTCCAGAATGTCGCTTCCTCCAAGCAGTCCAGGCCCGCCTCCAACCCCCTTCTTTCCACCCGTCCAGATTTCGTGAAACCGGATAGCCGCATCGCTAGCAGCCACGACAATACACCCCTCCTCGACGCTTCTCCACCAGACTCCATCTTCCGCGGCCCGAGCCCTAGCCCTTGTCTCCGCATCTGCAGACGTACCCGCCGAGTCCGCGCTACCAGGATACGCAACAGCAAACAGGGCGCGATTCTCGTCGAACCACGGCACAGAAACCACCTGCTCACAGCTCGGCCACGCAAAGACGGCGATGCGATATGGATGCTCGGGCTGCGCGAAGCCAAACGTAGCCGCAATCTCCCGGCGCGTCTGACTCCAAATCAAGCTCGTGACTTGCGCGGCGCAGTCAATGGTTGCGAGACAAGCACCGGACATGGTGTGATAAAAATGGATGCAGCGATCGTTGGACCCACCACCAATGGCCAGCAGACCTCGCTGCCAGGGACAAAATGCAATAGCTTTGACGGCGGCGTGCAGTTCCCATTTGTGTTTCGCGTGGGTGGCTGGAATATGCAGGACAGCACCACGACCTGGTGTGACTGTGTAGATGCTCTCGCCGTTGGGACCTTGGCGGACGTTGACGCTGTCATCTGCGCGTTCAACTTCGTGATTGGGGGGCTGGAGGACCGTTTTGCTTTCAAATAGATAGCAAGCATTATCATTGCCACCACTTGCGAACAATTCCCCATCAACGGACCACGAGAGACCACAAATTTGCTGTGAGTGGACTGCCATGCGAGCAAGTAGGGTCATTGCTCCGTTCCAGCCGAACAAAGCACTTTGCGTTTCTGAAGGCCACTCGACGCTATAAAAGTAGATATGCCCCGCTTCATCGCCTACGAGAAGCTCTTCTGTGGGAACAGAGAGGGCGCGGTCACGCAAAGATGGCCTTTTCACCGTGCTCGGTCTGAAGGAAACGCACGATATGGCTTTCGGCTGTGTGGCATCAAAACGAGGCTCTGAATCTAATGGACTCCATAACGCGATTCGGCCATCGGCGCGTCCAACAGCGAGGATTGCCTGACCCCCTTGTGTCGATGAGAAGGCCAACGAAGTAACATGCTGAATGGGGTTGGACGGAGAGACAGTCAAAGCGTTGAGTGACTCTGGCGTATCAACTCCATTGTGTTCAGACCATAGATGAACAAAATTGCCTAATCCTACCGCAAGACACTGGGCTGTGTGAGAGTAGGCGAGCAGGGAGCAGTAATAGTCGTCGCGTAGTTGTGGTGCATCAAGGACTGTACATCCAATTAGCAGCGTACAGATTGCTATACAAAGTACCTATCTGAACGGTAGGATTGGCACAGCCTTCCTCGCTTTTGGAGTACTTCGTTTCTTTGCTTCAGGAAGTTGTTAGCAAACATGAATAGGTCGAAGATCGAGTTACAAACGAGTAGTAGCGCCATCTCTGGTCCAGGCACTGTCTTTCCAAACATGCGCTGTACTCCCTAAAGGCGATTGTGGACTACTCGGTACAGCTGTCGAGGAACTACTTGGTGCAGAATGGTTCAGAATGCGATCATCCAAATCAACTTCGAGGGCCAGAGCAAGGCGCTTTTCGTAAGCCTCAAGTGCAGCTTCAGGATCAGGACGACTCAGAAACATTGAGGTGTACAATGGTGCGTTTGTCCCACTTCCAAGCAGGCCTCCTCTGCCATCAGGAACTCCGACTACCGTATCACTCATTACGGACGAACCACCTACGTTCCACACGGCTCCCGCGCTGACTTCACGGTTCCAGGCTGCAAGTGAGCCGCGTCTGAGACTTGGAATAGCACCACGTCGATTTGGGTTTGCTCGACCGGTGAGAATGGTATGCGTTTCTCGAAGGTTTCGGAGTTCTTCGTTCATTCTCACGCTCCGACGCAGTCTTTCTCTGAACGGATCTGTATGAGAAATTTCCCCTCTGTCGGCCAAACGTCCATTGATCAAACGCTCTGATGGCTTGTTCAATTCGAAGCTCTCTCTTGTAATGTTAGGTGGTCGACGCGAAGCTACGAAACGATCTGGTGCACGGAATTGATGTCGTGGAGAGCGTATTAGCCCACCACGCGCCGCCCATTGGCTGGGTCGAAGAGGGGAGCTTGCATGACGCACGGGAAGTGGACTTAGTGTCCTTGTCAAAGGCGGTGTCTTCATGGTATTTGGGCTTGTCAGTGGCTGGGTGTAGTGAAGTCCGACATGCGTTGCTGAAGTAGTCGATGCGGAAGGCGAGGGAACTGATGATGCCTTGACAGGCGATTTCAAACAGAAGATGGCTTCCTTATTGCCAGATGAACGGAGCAAAGATCGATACCCAGTTGCGGGCCGATGTAGAGGACCGTTCGACCATGAGTCTGAACCTCGAGAAGAACGGATGTCTGCGTCCGACAAGGAACGAATACGCACCCGTGAGACAGCTGTGGATAGATGTAAATCTTCCCCTTGGCCTCCATCATCGTCATTACGGTTTGATACCTGGTTGTCGGCTTCATCTTCACTAGGTGGTGATAATGCGAACTGCGGAAATGGCTTGATGGGGTCTGAGGACTGCAACTGTAGCCAGGTAAAACGAGATGTCTCTTTCCCTTTGATCGGGGACTCTGGTGGTGTTGAAAGAAAAGGATCCACATCTGAATCGAGAAAGGAGAGGTGATGGTGCATTTTCCGTGGCGACACGGGGGTCTTTGGGGATAGCCATCCTTCAGTACTGATAGTTTTGGTTGGAGATAACGGCGGTGTAATGTAACCCAGGTTCAATGTCAAATCGGTTTCTTCTGCGTCTGACATTCTGCGAACAGCGCTGCGGATATGACTGGCGTCTGGCAGCTAAGACTCGATCATGTCAAGCTGAACGAAGGTCAATAGCACAAACAAACAAGGTCGATGAGGGGTAACGGAGTGAGGAAAACACGGGGGAGAGATGTGCTGCTGGCGAGTTAGTGCTGTTGGTTAGTATGATTGTAGCTCTTAGGTTCATTCCACAGGAGAAGAAGGTTGGTCAAGAGGTTTGGCATCGGCCTTTGATTAGGTCTTGCAGTACTTAGGTCGATTAGACGTCAGGTGGGTGTGGGAAGGGGCTTGGCGGGGGAACATCGGCAGGCGTCACCGGAGACAACTACCACCTCACAACGCTCTCACCACACGTTACCCAGGACGATATGGCGAGCGTGAGTGAAGATGCATAAGACATGTTGGGGAAGCGCTAACACCGCATTCAGCACGGCGTTCCGCGCACATCGGGGAGTGCTGTTCGCACAGAAGAATCTCGGCAAAAAGAGCTTCAGCAAATTGCAGCCTACAAGGATCTCACGGCCTTGGTGAATACAAAGGTGCGAAACGCGAGATCACGATCCCTCAAAATCCGGTTCTAAGTTTTACAAGATAGCAGAGAAAGAATATACAGTAGAAGTGCTCGGTCTCGTGACCGATTTATTGAAGGAGAATCCGGAATTCTACACTATATGGAACTATCGGCGGCGCCTACTGGGCGCATTGTTCCCCAAGGTTACCACAGAGAATGATTCGACCGCAAAGTCTGAGCAGCTGATACAGGACGATTTACTGCTTACTTTCTCATTACTGAGGAAATTCCCCAAGTGCTATTGGATCTGGAACCACAGAAACTGGTTGTTGAAGCAAGCGGAAAGTGAACTGGGTTCTGAGACGGGACGTCAGTTATGGGCGGGTGAATTACAGATCGTCAGCAAAATGCTGCATGCTGACAATCGTAATTTTCACGCATGGAGCTACCGGCGGGCTGTTGTACAGCAGCTCAAGCGACTGACTTCCGCTACAGCAGAAGCCAAGTCGGCGAAGAGCCTTACGGAGTCCGAATTCGACTACACCACTAAGATGATCAAATCCAACCTTTCCAATTTCTCAGCCTGGCACAACCGGAGCAAGCTAATACCACTCCTTCTAGAGGAACGAAACGCTGACCCGACAGCGCGGCGTGCCTTCCTAGCTTCAGAATTGGACCTGATATGCGAGGCAATCAACACCGATCCATTCGACCAGTCCATCTGGTTCTACCACCAATTTTTAATGTCCACTCTGTCACCGAATTGTCCACCTCAAGATCTTATTGTCCACGACCTCAGCAATGGCGAGCGACAAAAATATTACGAGCACGAGATGGAGTATATTCGAGAGATCTTGGACGACGAGGCAGATTGTAAATGGATATATGAAGCTTTGTTGGCTTTGGCACCTGCATACCTGGAAGTCGATGCTGGTACGAAGCTTTTTACCACGCAGGATATGAGGTTGTGGTTGGACGAATTAAGTCGATTGGACCCGCTTCGCAGAGGACGATGGCGCGACCTTGCGAAGCAACTCGAGATCTGATATGATATTGTTATGGCTTTTGTTGTGGCTGGTCCGACGATGAATTGCTTGGTGAAGCAGGATTCGTTGATGCGTTTGGTGACTTCCATGCCCACAAGCCTAGATAGGATGATAGTTTGGGCGCCTTTGCGGATTCGGTGGTGGCTGCGGAGACTTGTTCTGATGCCGGAGCACGGGTTGCACTCGAAGCCATGGGCGATGGTCCTTCACTGTTGAGGGCTGATACTGCAGCCAACTCCCTGACTGTTTGTGAGCCAAGAACGGGTTGTATATGATAGCGACAGGCATGCATACTGCTGGTATTCCTGCTCCAAACGCTGCCTTCTCTGTTCCTTCAATTCTCCATCCCACGTTGCGACACCGATTGAAACACCAGAAAAGATTGCTAGTGCGACAGGAAGGATTCGACCTGCCATTGTGGATTTCAGATGGAAAGTAAAAGTGGGAGCTGTATTTGATTATAATACATCAATGATGGGGTCGAAAGAAAGTGAAATTGTTGATTGCATCGTCATTGCGAAATCTATACTATACAAGGCTAGCGCATCAATCACGTGCAGCGCGACAGCGTGGACGCGTCGTACCTATACGGTACGTGATCTCACTTTCGACCCCACACAATTCCACAACCTCGACCGATATGCGCCAGAGCCCCAATGTCCAAATGGCGATTGAAGGGGTACGTCCCGGACTCGGATGAAGAAGACGAAAACTTGGAAATAACCTCATCCTATCCGAACCGCGATGAGTCTCAAGTCGCGTCGCTTAAACACATCAATGGAGCAGCCTCACCTCCAATTCGTGATTCTACCGACCAAAAGAAGGATGGTAATTTGGAGATCATCTCACAGAAAGAAGATGGTGCGGATAACACCGTTACATGGAGCCAACAGGCATCGCCTACGCCATCTTTCGCGCCTGTCGTACCTGCGATATCCACAACAGTACCAACCACCGCCAGCACTTATACATCGCCGCCACAACGTGTCTCTGTGTCCGAAAGAGACCGTACAGAAAGCCCTGATATACTCCAAGCCTGCTTAGTCCCCAACGTACCGTTACAAACGAAACCTGTGCCGTCCCAGGAAGTTGCTGTCGATACTATAGCTGCACCCAGCGCCCCTCTCAACCGAAACGCCTCGACCGTCAATGCGAATCTTGCGGCCTTTGGTCTCGACAATGGCCTTTTCTCGTCTTCCGATGATGACTTGTCTGATCCTCCTTCTGACATGGAAAGCGAGGGTATGGTCGAGAAGACTGTCTTTGCCTCCCCAAAGCAAAATCAGCGTGTGCAAGTGGTTATACCAACGTTTGCTGGCGCGTCGCCCGAAATTCCACAGGCCCCACCGAACAGATCTCTTAGGGCACGACGACCAGACCAGCTTCATCCATATCTGGTTGAAGATCAACGTTGGCGACAGAAACTTGAAGAGAGCGGCTACAAGAATATTCCACGATATAGATCTCCGGTTCGACAGCCGGTCAACCGTGATGCAGATACCCAAGACACCGAATTTGAACCGGACAATGAAGAAGAATCGATAGATCCGTCTATGGGCCTAGCCTCTTCGCCAGTAATCACAGAAAGGGCTACCGATGATCTCCGGACTTCGACACAGCGGCGACCGTCATTGGCGTCAGCTCAAGATTCTGCCCCTCGACCCCCCAAAAAGAGGAGGAAATTGCAACGGCATACATCAGGGAGACTAGCTCAACATCCACAGCCGTCTTTGCCCGATCCTTGGGCTTTACCTCCCTCTCCGCCACACGCTGCGGACTCTCCTGCGAATCAAACCATGCCGGGTCTAACAGTACCTACTACGAACTCCCCTGTGATCGACTTACCCACCCCTTCCCATTCATCTAGCCTTCAAGGTCATGATGATTCAGATAACGATGTAGTCCAGCCGTTACGTCGATTAACACAAAGGCGTCGTTCCCCCATCACTGTTTCTAGCGACAACTCCAGTACTAGGAATTCATCTGATGAAGCAGAGCAAAGCGACTCGGAGATCAGACAAATGTCCAAGAAAATAAGAGGCGTTCTCCCAGCTTCATGGCTACGGATCGATGCTCAAAAAAAGAAACCCGTTTCCTCATTGTCAAGAGAATTGTTCAACGATGCGAGATCGCCTGAGAAGTCCGGACCACAAAGAGGCGTAGCACAAAAGGTCATACGAAGCAAAGGTCTCATCCAACGATCACCAGCACAAACAATCCAACATCGAATCCCAGATGTTGTTTCAGATGAATCAGACGACGATGGTGTCGAGATACCAATCCGCTTCTCCATCGAGGCCCAACAGGATGCTCAAGCAGCCACCAACCTCGCAGCTAGGCTGGACAGACAATATACCGGTGATGAATCCGATATGGAGGACGATCGTCTGGATCTATTTCCCTTAGGGGGCTCGAGTCGAAAACGGAAACAGCAGACAAAAGTTACGGATGCTTTTCAAAAATTTAAGAAGCCTAAACTGTCTAGAAATAACGCCAAGGGCTCCACAGTACCTACCGCTCGTACGTTGGGTAAAGTAAAACACTCAACCTCACGAAGACCCAAACGCACACCGCCCCCAGCTCTGAGTGTTCTAGATTACGGGAGCTCTCCTACAAGTGGAGATCGCAACATTCCTGACTTTCTAAAGTTAGCCAGGAGAACAGCTCGTCGAAAGCCAGATCTGGCTCGTGGGCAACCGAAAAACAAGCATATTCGGCTGCAGACGGCTCGTGACACCAAAGATGCCTGTGAAACTCTGGAACAGTGGAAGAGTGGTGTCTTGAAGCAAAAGGCGACCGCCAAACCGCCAAACCTCCACGCAGTCCCCAGAACACCTTTGCTAGATATCCATACCAACCAACACATTAACAGACATCCAGTAGACTCCCCCACTAAGAGCCATGTTTCTGCGGGCTCGAAGTCAGTCACATCTACCAAAGAGAAACATGTGCGGCGGAAAAACAACATTCACCCCAGTCTCTTGGTGTTTCAACATAAACGATCTTCGACGCAGGCAGAAAAGAGTCGCCGAACCACGCAAGGGAACCCACTTCCGTATCGTCCCGCCCAATTAGAAGGCAGTGAAATGCAGTTTCAGCATGTCGATCGTAGATTTGCATTTGTGAGAGGCTTGCAGAATGCAGATCAACAGTACAGCCTCCATTCAGCAAACCATGCTCCCCAAAATCCGGTCATGGCCCGATTTCTTGCCAACGATGACACTCCACTACCTCCGCTCCCGTCAGCACGTGACATCGAAGGGGCATCTGATCCTCAACCCAGAAAGACTCGTCGCTTACGTAAACCAAAAGCTCACAGGATAGATGTCGAAGTAAGAGAATATCGACAACCGAGTGAGCCAAACATCGTTGAGATTCTTGGTAACGATGATAGTGCAAATGCGGCACAGATCGAAACGGAAAGAGATCCTGACTCAAATATCTTGGAAGGACTAGGCGCTTATGGAACTCGATATTCAACAAACTTCGATGTTTCTCCTCTCAAAGCGGGCACGTACTTCCACACGTCCACTTTTATCGGCTCTGGCGAGCTTCGCCGGGCTTTATCAGACAAGGGCAGTGTTGGCAGAGACTTCGATGAACCTGCTGGTCATGTTTTGATCAATTACGGTACCACAAGTATAAGATGCGGGCCTTGGAACGATGAGACCTTTGTAGAAATTTCGGCATTCTTCAGTGGTATATGGAAAACCCTGGACCCACAAAGCTCACCAGATGATGCTGCGATTGCGCTACAGGATACCTCGAGGCTTTTGCGTTCGCTCATCAACTATGTGGCAGTCAACCTTAGCTTCCTCGATTCAATCGATCGCCAGGTGTTTTGTGCAAAATTGAAGAAAACGATCGACACGCTTTTCTCGCATGCAATGCAAATCAATACCGATACCTCTCTCCATGAAGCAAAACAATCCATACTCCGGGACAAGCTTGTGCGAATGGCTACGTATCTTCTAGTGCTTAGCTTGCAAACCCGCCAGATTGCACAGCATCCCGTTGTTGATCAGAATATCGTGGTCGAACTGACTGATCTTGCTTCTGATATATCACGATTTGTTGCAAGTCATCTAGTCCGCGAATTCCTACAGTTGAACGACTTCTTGGAAAGAAATAAGCGATTCAATGAACGTGAGAATGGAATACAGGATAACGACATCTTAGTTGAAAGCGTGGTGGTCTGCATGCACGTCGATCTCACTGGTGTGACGTTTTGGGATGTTATAGCGCAAGAACTTGCACTCCGCGCAGAAAATGTGATGGATGTAAAGAGCATGGAATCGGTCTGGGCCACTCTATTCACATTTCTTCCCTTTGCAGAGATAGATCATCATGGCATCTTGAACACAGGCACAAGGAAGCACTTCCGGAACGACAAGTGGTCGCCTATCACCGCGATGCTTAAGCAGTTATTTCGACTTTATCCGCAAACGTATCGAGTTCGTGGTCTTTCGTTAAATGAATACGTTCGCGCCTCTCTGACAAGGGTTCATGTCCTGATCCAATACTGGCATTGGCGTCGGTGCGAATCAGTCCTAAGAGCAATCTTCGACTTCTTTGCGACAAACAGTCTACGCCTATTGCGCAGAGAGGAAGGCAATGGCTCCGCGAACTTCCTCGAGGATCTCACTAAACAGCCCACGCTGGACCTAGGGCCGCGCGATAGCTCATTCCAGATTTTCCTCAAATGCCTAGCCTTAGGTTTGCAGACCATGCGCGACGAGTACCCTGATAATACACTTCGCAGCATTGTCTTCCGTCTGACGCCGAACCATGGTCGTGTACACCCCAAAGATCAGGGACTTCCCAAGGAGGATCTGGAGGCCCTTCGAAATCATCATGATCTTCTCGCTACATTGTACTGGGCGTCCAAGCCCCTCTGTCGGCCACGGTTAGAACTCTTTCGCGATCTCGCCGACCACGAGAAGTCCCACCGTGAAGTATGCAAGCTCAATGTACGCACGTGGGCCAACCTCGCAACGTTCCAGTTATCAACCAAGGAACCATACTCCACTGTTCAACTTTTCGCTAAATGGCACAAAGACATGATGGTGCAGGCGCTAAAACAGTATCGTCAGGCTAAGACTGACGTTGAGGAGGCACTTAAAGGCGAATCTCATGTTGGAGATAATGCCAGTATGCTGATGGTAAAGCAGACCATGGAGAAAAATCAGGATCAGGTACTTGATACATTGTTAGACTGTATTGCAGGAATACAAAGGGCTTTGGAAATCAGTCTGAAATTGGCGGCTTCCGAGAACGAGATCTTGGTTGCTACTCAGAAATTCCTTGCTGATTCCGGCCTTCTGACACTACTCGAGCTTCCTCACTTGGAAGACAAGCGCCTGGTGGTTGTTATTCGCAAAACGCTCAGCGTGCTTTGCTCATACGCAAAACTGATGAGACAGTTGCCAAAACCCGAGCTCGAACAGCCCGTGAGTGAAGAGAGTCAAGATTACGGAGATTCATTGGACCTGGATGATATTGCTGAATTCGACCCTGCACCTGTCCAACCCAAAGTCCCCCAACCTTTGGATTTCATCGAGAGCGCTCTGTGGCGCCTGCTATCCAATGCATTTGGTGCCGACTCTGCTCCCGACGATAACCTGCTCATGGACTGCATCGAAACATGGACAGTTCTCGCGAGCTGCCAGGTGTCCATGGGGCACTGTTTCTGGTCGCATTTCCTAGACACGTTCAGCAGTGTTTCATGGCAGCAACTCCGCAGCACAGAGCAGACACAGAAATACGGTCCTTACTTCATGGCCTCCCTGATTGATTGTGATGCAGCAGCTTACACGGGACACGAGACAGAGTTCATGACCATGCTATTCTCCTGCTTGGTGGACCGAGAGTCTAGATTACGATTCCAACACCGTTTACTCCGAGCTCTTATCCGTGTTGACCCGACACACCCACTCATGAGGAATTTGCCATTTTCCACGGACAACAAGTCGGGTGAGCTTGAATTCACGCAAGAGACATTGCGAGCGCGGCGACTCTCGCTCCTATCCAGCCTCCTAGCGAACATGTGCGACGACTTTCATACCAGAGTGCACGACAACCCTGCGAAGAGAGAGCAGATTCAATCAGAGTATAAGCCGATGCTCGATGCTTTGATGACATCGATGAAGAACAACTATCTGGAACTCGGCCCTCATTCTGGACCGACGGGCGCTTATGTGGGATTTGTACAGAAGAATGTACAATTCCTGCAACAATATTCTATTGATATGATAAGGAAAAGCCCCATCTTTGAGTTCTTCACCAACTCGGTCACGTTTCCGACTCCAGCTACAGATCCTACCTATGTCATTGGACGACTATGCAGCTACGCGCCCAAGCTTTGTCGTCAGTCGGGGGTTGTCAAGGAACTTTCGGCTTTTGTCCAGAGAGTTGCGCAGCAATCTGCAGCGGATGGGCGACAACCCCAACTTGTGCATCAACTCGATACAGTGATGGGACGCGGGGAGATGCCGACAAAGGACAGGATTGCCCTCCGTGATGTCCTGATGCAAGGCGTGTTTCCGGCGTACGTGGAGGTTGCTTTCACATCAAGGATCGGGTTTGTGGTTGCGCTGCCGATTCTTCAATCGCTGTGTGGCGTCATACAGAACATGTTGTTCGATGTGCGGGTGATGAATGAGCTTAGTGCTCTGTCTACGTGTGAATCAATCATGTCGATTGTACATGTGTTTATACAGAGCACGCGAGCACTCAAGGCCGATACACAGCTGCTGAAGCAAGCGCATATTCTCGCGGCAGTCAGGTACATGCTCGAGACATTCATGGCAGCTGTACCGGTACTGCAATACATGTTGAGTCGACGCTTTGGATCCACAGCCAAGCCAGCAGTCGTCAGGTACTTTGAAGAGTTCAGCGTCTGGCTCACAGGAACGCTACATGACGTGGAACCAGCCACAGCCCCGTCGTATGAGGGTGATTCGGGTATTTTGCAATGTACGCATGCTAGTCTTCTCCCGTTTTCCAGGAGTGAACTGGGAGACGACCTGCAAAAACACTGGAGTATGCAAATGGGCAATGTATATTTTGGACATGGCCACGGGAGACGGGAAGTGCGGGCTGTTGATATCGCAAGCGCAGAAGAAGAAAAGGCCATGCTGATGGGTCGCATTGAAGCGTTACATGGGGTTATTAGTGACGAGTATAGGCATGACGGTGTACATGGGGTGGAGGGTAGATTCTTGGGTGACCTAGACGTTTAGACGCATTTTTTCCTGTAATGAGGTAGTAATGAATTGATGACCACATTGAAAGAAAGACATTTGGGCAAGCGAGATAAGAATGCAAGAGTGGCAAAGCAAGATTCCATGATTCAATGGTGGAAGATGTGTACTTGGGGTCAATTAAAGTGGATGACAGCATCGTCACACGACATGACACAGAATTGCATGGCATGGGGACGTGGGAATGATAGGCAAGCAGGTAGTTGGTAGGGGGGGGATATAAAAGAAAACGCCCCGTTTCCCCGCAGGAGCTGGCACGACACAACACAACACACACATAGACACAAAAATACACAACCACCTAACCTATCAACTCCACACCCAAGCGTCACACCATTGCTAAACCCTCCCCCGCAACGCGCTCTCTTGTCGTCCCCAGCAGACAAGCCTCCGAGGGCCCAGAGACTAAAGAGAGACAAGCCCGCCAATCCCGACCCACTGTTCCGACCAAGACAGCCTCTCACTCGTCCCGTTCCGACCTTGCCGCCATCGCATGCATGCCTATGCTAGGGAGGCACTCGTCCTCGTCCGCCATGGAGAACAATCACTCTGCCACCCGCGCTGCCCGCCGCTTTCTCGAAGACCGCGTCCGCACCGATTGGGACTGGCCCACCCCGCCGCCATGCTTCTCCGCTTCCGATGAAGAAGTCCGCGGCGTCGAAGTTTTTCGCGAGCGCTACTACGCCGACTCGACCCCGTCTTCCGGCCCCTCCGACAATGAGGATGACCCCGAAAACCCCTACAAGTTCGACAGTCCGGACAGCATTGCCGGCCTGGTCGAGCGCAAGGCCGAGCGCAAGAAGCGCAAGAGGGATGAGCAGCTGCGCAACGAGATGGACGAGAACGAGGGTTTGCGCATCTTTGTCGCAAGGCGAGACCGATGGACTGGCGCAGACGCTGTGAGGAAATACGGAACTGCAGCGAGACCGATCCAAGACGAATCCTCCAATCCCAGCGAAAAGACGACAGTGATACCCGATAGCAGCACAGGCGAAAGCGCAGGCCGTGACAACGACGACACGCACATGTCATCTCCCGGTTCCTCCCCGACCTCAACGACAACACCGCCCATGGACCCCTCCGACTCCCGCGCCCTCACCACCGGTGCCTCGATACCCCACACAACCCTCATACCTGTCGCGCCCCCGCTCCTCCCCACAAACTCCATCCGCGCCTCGATCACCTCAAGAACCTATCCAGACATCTACTCCAAAATCGTCCTACAAGGCCGCACCCCAGCCGTTCCCATCAACCTCGCCGACATGACAAAGGCCCTCGTCAAAGGCTGGCGCGACAGCGGCGAATGGCCACCCAAACAAGGTGCGCTAGATCCTCTCCCAGGCAGCAAGAAGCGCGCGCTGGGTGGTCTCGGTCTAGGATTCAGCTTAGGTGGCGGCGGCGGTGGTAGAGGTGATGCCGACCGCGCTCACAATGCTCACAAGGCTGGCGGGGCTGAGGGCGATGCATTTCTCGCACATCATCCGCATTTGCAGAAGGGTGTCGGCGGGTTAAGACGGATGCTGCATTTGAGCGGCCATTCGGGTCCTATGGCTGCTGCTGCTGCTTCTCCATCATCTTCTGCTGCCGCTCCCACCACGCCGGCAACTAGTGCGGAGCAGAACGTCAATGACAGGAGGCCGATGAAGGATGGAGGAACTCCATCGACGACAGCCGGGTAAAGAATTGGACATTCTCATAAAACATCCTGTGTTAATAAAAATCTTGTTCACTACCAAATTTGTTGACGGCAAAGCCCAAGGAACAAAACAAGCAAACAAAGAGACGAATGGATGGTGAAAGGGGGACTGACCTCCCCTGTTGGAGATGGCAAGTCGTAGTTAATTATATATACCCCCTTCCGCTCTCGATCTTCAAAAATACTAATACGCATTACCTTCCCAATAACTGAACTTGGTATCAATAGCGACACGGAAACACAAATTTGCCTTTCTGGTTTTATATGGCTCTGTGCAGAGAAGTTGGAAAGCGGGACTCGGTATACGATCGTTAGCCTTTTCTGCTATTGAAGTTCATGTACTTTGGTAGACAGAAAAGGTCGGCATGGTTATATGTTGCAGGTGTGATTGTTTGCCAGCCCTGTAAATCGCGTATGTAGAACCGCTTAGTACAGAGCCTGAATGATGGTTTCGCTGTATATTGTGTTATATTTATGAACACATTATGGACTTTGTGTCTCCCTAGGTACTTGGCTACTTACGCGTCTTAAGATGTAGTACAGTGAATTGCTAAGCCTTTTTAAGGTTAGCTCTTAAACTTCAAATAGTTGCAGCCTAAACGTCCTTATTATTCAACTAAACACGTGAATCACAATAAACAAACAATCAAATTCAAGACAATGGAACCGATCAAACTACACACTCTCAACAGCGATATCCTATGCGATATTATACTTTCTTGCTCTACTCTCTCAGATTTATATAACCTCATCCGCACCCACCCCAGACTCTACCGCTCCTTCAATGACCGTCGCCGTCTAATCCTCAAAACCGTCTTCCGAACGCAGCACCAAGATGCTGATATCGGCGGTAAAGGCTGGGAAAGCCGAAGATATCAAGACGGCGTCGACCTCTATCTCAAGAAACTCAAGTGCAAAAACCCCATTGACCAAGTTGCGTTACGAGAGGCGCTATGGCCGCAGTATCAACGCACCATACCGTCGGAACGATCATTCAAGTGGGCAGCTTCCCTCCTATCATGGTACCAAAAAACCGGCCTCCACCAAGACGCCCTCTCCCTCGCCGACAAAGCCCTCAAAAAGACGATCCGCAAACCCACCTACGCCACCTTTGAAACCCAAGAATTCCTAAAGACAGTCGCCACCCTCTACGCATCTTGGAACCGCATCCCAGAACTCACCCGCCTCCTCCAATCTACCATCAACCGCCTGCAGCCCAACTCCCGCAACCAAATCTCCTGGATCAAGCAACTCGCAACCGTCTACCGCAACGCGCAAGACCACAGCGACGGCCCCACCGCTTCTACATACGCAGAACAGCGCCTCGAACTCCTCCGCGTCACCTGGGAAACATGCAGTCAGGCCCTCGGGCCGGGCAACGAAGACGCAAAGTACTTTGCGCGCGAACTCACATCCGAATACCGCGCCCGCGGCGACGACGGCGCCATCACGCCAATCTACCTCGCCGTCCGCGACGCCATGGCCCGCGGATCCCCAGAGTATCTAGCCTGGTCGCGCTTCGTCATCCAGCAGCACCGCAAGAACGCCGACGATGCAGCTGTCCTTCGCGTCCTCGAGGAGGTCTGGCTCACGGTCCGCAATGGCGTCAAAGGGTATAGGGTGTGGGCTGATGAGCTGAGCAGGCAATACGAGGCGATGGGCAGGTGGGAGGATGCGCTTGGTGTTTGGGAGTTTGTGTGGAGCGGTGTCGAGGTGAAGTTGAAGAGGCGGTTCGATAATCAGGCTTCCAAGTATGATGGCAAGGGGACTGCGTTGATGTTGATCAAGTTGTATCGCAGGTATGGGAAGATGGATGAGGCGAGGAAGGTCGAGGATACGTGTGAAGCGTATGGAGTTGGTTTGTGGTGAGCTAGGTTTGGAGTATGTTGCTTGTGGGATGGGATGGGTTGGTTAAATTGCAGTATGCCGCTCGAGAGCATGTAGTCTACAATTGCTGAATGACAATCTCGCGAGAAGAAGATTAGTATGCAACAGTGACATGTACAAGAAAATTGAAGCTCTACGAATTCAAAATCGAAAGCTAACACTCCACCTCCATAACCCTGACCACACAACTTCACTGCTTGCTGCTCTGCTCACTGCTCACTGCTCAACCCACCCTTCCCTCCTCATAACCTCCACAGTCCAAGCCTCCAACCTCTCCGCAAGCTCCCCATCTCTAGCCGCCCCACTCAACCACCACGGCTCCAACCACCTCCCCAGAATCTCCCTATACCCACCACTCTCCTCCTTCTTCATATCCGTCCCCGCCACGCAGTACAAATTCGTCCACGACCCTTTCTCCGCACTCACAAACAACCTAAACAACCTCGCTACATCAAACATGCCCGCCAACCCCGTAGTATTCTTCTCCACGGTCCCCGCCAGCCCCGTCTCCACCAACCCGGGATGAACCGACGAAACCCAAACCTCACCCTCGCCGGACCGCGCCGCCGCCGACCCAGGACCGTACAGTCGATGCAGCGTGTTTGAGTGCAGGATATTCGCGAGTTTGCTCTGCCCGTAGCGCGTCCACTCCCCTCCTCCTCCTTTTCCGTTCTCACTACCCCTACGAGCTTCGAGAGCAGCGAAATCGATACCCCCCTTAGGCGCCCCCAAATGCCCCGACGACGAAACATTCACGATCCTTACCCCGCCCGGCCCCGCTGCCTGCGACGTCTTCAACAGCACCGGGAGCAAGTGGCTCGTTAGCACCCAGTGCGCGAGGTAGTTCGTCTGCCACTGGATCTCGTGGCCGTCGTTTGTCTCGCTGTACGGCACCGCCATGATCCCTGCGTTGTTGACGAGGCCGTGCAGCGAGGTTTCGAGAGAGAGGAAGCGCTGCGCTGCTGCGACTACGCTGGACAGATCCGTGAGGTCCATTTGCAGGAAGGTGATTTTGGAGGTTGGGTGTGTGGTTTTGAGGGAGGAGAGGGCTGTGCTGGCTTTTGAGGAGGACCGCGCGCACATGTAGACGTGTGCGTTGTGTTTTGCTAGGTGGGAGACGGTGTGGTAGCCCCTGCGGTTTGTTGGATTTTTGTGTTAGTGGAGGGATAGGGTGGAGGAGGGGAAAGAGGATTTACATTCCGGCGTTGCCTCCTGTTACTATGTAGACTTTTCCGGTGAGGTCGGGGAGGGAGTCGGGATGGAAAGGCATTGTTCAACGTCTATGTGTGTGTGTGTGTGTAATCAAGTTTGTTGGGGTGTGGATTCGTGATTGGAATTGTGTAAATGACAATCGAGTATATCTTTGATCTCTTCGTTGAATTCGTATGCTATGATGTTATGGGGGAGTTGATTGAAATGCAGCGACCACTATACTTATATACACGCATCTCGGAGATAATGGTACGTTGCAAGCTCAAGTCGGAGGAACACAGCATGGTGGTGATAGTGGCTCAACGGAATACGAATTCCCGAATTCAGATGCCATCATGAGCGTCGTCTGGACAAAAAAAGACGCTTGAACACAAGCAGTGGATCGGATGCATAGATTGATGTGTGTGAGCCAGCTGCATAGCCGTCGACATGGTATACTGCTCGCCTAGCCCCATGCGATGCTGTGAGCAGGTTGCATGACGCTAGTCCACTGCAGGCTAGCCGTGTACACCTTGCCCAATCATACTTCTCAGACCCCTTTCAAGCCTTTACCTATCTAAGTAAAGCTCATGCCCTGCGGAACTCCACGATAGTCGGACATGGACCAGCACAACCAACCTCACCTCTTCAGCCCCCATTGTGAAGTTCGGCGTTTAGACATGAGCAGATTGCTCCCGCCTGTAGAAACACCAGCTGCGTGCATCAGACTCGCCGTGAAGCCCCAATTATCCGAGGCGCGTTTCTTTCTATAACGACGTTTGATCATGCCGTCAGCTCACTCGGTGTGTAGGCGAAAAACCCCGAGGACGATTGGACTGGGAAGTCGGATGCTGCTGCGCGGAGACGGGCGCAAACTAGACTCAACACGAGGGCATATCGTATGTATCTACGGGTTTTCTCCATCTCGTCCGAGTCGAACTCGCTGCGGGTTGGTCCGCATATTCACTCAATGATCATGGTGATGATGGACAAGACTCTGACTAAATTGACAAGGAAAACGCAAAGCTCTGGCTAAGAAGACGAGAAGTGATCTCGTCGTTCCGACTACCAGCCATGTATCAACAATGACAACAACAGTAACAACCACTATCAAACGAGAGCCAATGGTAGAATGCTGGGATGAATCGCAACAGACAATCTCCACAATCCCATCCTCCCACCTCCCAGCCCTCTTCAACCCCAAAACCCCCCTCCTACCACCCCATCACACGATCCCAGACAAAACCCAACAACCACGACAACAGCAGCAGCATCAGTTCCGCAGCGTCGTGTTCCCCCTCTCCCCAGACCACCTCATCACCCTCCTCCAATACAACGCCCTCCGCGCCCTCTCCACAAACCTCTCCCTAATCTCCACCCTCTTCACCACCCCACCCTCCTGCAACGCAACCGAAGACACAATCCACACAATCCCCTACCCAACCACGTCCGCGCACCTCGTCCCGCCCGCGCTCCTCCCCACCGTCCTCCAGCAAACAGTCCCGCATGCCGTCTGGATCGACATCTTCCCGTGCCCCGTTGCCCGCGACCGCTTGATCCGCGCCGCCGGCTCGTTTGACGAAGACGACCTGTGGCGCGATTGCATTGGTGGCTTGTTCGAGGGGTTTCCCGATGATGAGATTTGCGAGAGGGGCGTGGTGGCGTGGAGCCCGCCGTGGGAGATTGCTGGGTGGGAGATGACGGAGGGGTTTTTGAGGAAGTGGCGGGGGTTGTTTGGGGGGTTGCCTGGTGGGTTGGAGGCGACGAATCGGTGGAGACTGGAGAGGGGGGAAGAGGTGCTGAGGGAGGTGGAGTTTGGGGGTGATGCTTGATGAGGTGTGCTTTGTAGATTTTGTTTCTTCTTCTTCCTTCTTTTTTAAATGGTTGATGGAGATGGGTGTACTGGATTGGGGTTTTTTTTTGGACGATCGATGATGGATGGTAGTTACTTACATTTATTGGACGGGCGTGTCATGTCTCCTTCCTCCTCCTCTTCTACATCCCCTTCTCCCCTTTCCCGCAAACGATAAAAACGCAGGTATCGCTACATATCCCCATTGTAGAATCAACATCTCCCACTAGCACAATTCACATAATACTCCATCTACACTAAAACAACTGCCTCGTAAAAAAAAACCCCCCTGCCCCTTAATACTCATCAAACACCCCTCACATCACCTTACCTCCGCCCCAACCCCACCCTCGAAGCCAAATCCCCAAAAACACTAAACCCACTCTTCACACTCCCCGCCCTCCTCCTCCTCCTCTTCTTCTTCCTCTTACCCGTCCCACTCCCCAGCGTCTCGCTTCCCCGTCTCTTCCCCACCCTAGAAGCTCCACTCCATCGCCCCGCAGAAGAAGAAGAAGAAGAAGAAGAAGAAGAAGAATACCGGGAAACGGAACGCGAATGCAAACAAGCCCCATCCTCTCCACCATCGTCTTCACAACTAGAATCACTCCTCACAGACCACCAATCCGTCACCAAACTCGCCGTCGTACCAATCGAGCGAACCTCCGCATCTCCTTTGCCACATTTAACCCTCTTATCACAGGAATCTCCACGTGATCGAGACGCTGAAGATGAAGAAGATGAAGAAGAAGGATATTCGATATCCGGGGTTCTGTTAAGAACCTGCGGAGAACCCGCGCGATAGGGCCGCGGTTCTGGCGTACGCAAGTACGGAGAGGAAGGGAACAGTGGGGTGATGTAATCGCTATCGCTATCGCTATCGTCACCGCCTCTACTACTGACAATACCGACGGCGGTAGCGATGGGTTCTGCTATATAAGGGGATGTGATATGCGGATAGCGAGATGGGCGTGGTGAGGAGGGGAGATAAGTGTGTATCGGGCTATGGTGGGATGGATGTAGGGATTTATAGGGTTTAGGTTGGGCTGGGGATCTAGCAAGTGGGTATTGTGTGTAATTTGATGGATAGGCGCTGCGGGAGTGTGTATGCTTTGATGGAGGGATTGCGCGGGAAAGTGGGGATATAGGGACATGAGGAGAGTTAGAGCGGGTGCTCAGGTGGAGAGGGGGGTTCTGATTCGCGTTGGGTTTTACAGTATGGTTGGAGTTTACGGACGTGCGATGATGACGATGATGATGGTGGTGGTGGTGAGCTGGTTTTGGGGGTTGCAAGGGGTGGTGAGGGTGTGTGTTGAGTGGGGCTTGGACCGCTTGGTGCTGTTTAGTTAGTTTGGTGTGTTGGTATGGAGGGGGGAAGAGTGGTTGATGGTTCTTACAGTGCTCGGTATGTCTGGCGTCGGATGGTTGGGGAAGTGTCTGCTGGTGGTCATGTTCATCTGCGATGGGGTTTTGCACTGATTTTGCACTGCTCTCTACACGAGGCTCATGAGGCTCATGATATTTTCGAAGACGAGTTCGCCCTCGACTATGTTCTCTAGTAGGCGTGCTTTTGTCGTGTCTTTTGCTGTTGTGACTTTGTTCACTTTTCTGACGCCCCTTTCTCTTGTCTCTCATATGCTCTCTCTTTTCGCTCTTGTCATATATCGCCTTCTTTTTCTCTTTACCCCTCTCGCTATTGTCATACTTTGTTTTCCCCTTCACCTTCCCTTCGTCCACTTCGTGCTTCTTCTTACTCGGTCTACCTTCCCTTATCCTCCTTGCTTCCTTTCTCTCTTCCAGCGTCCCCCTACTTCTCCTCTCCTTTTTCCGTTGCTGGTGCTCGTAGTCCTTTTTCCCCCATTCCATGCAGTTCTTGATGTGCGTAGCATACCCGAGCGTCAGGTCCTTTTTGAACTTGTACGTGGGCGGCGGTCCTACAGGCGGGTCTTTCCAGCCACGTCGACCTCGGACGAGCGGCTCTCCCTTCGAGTTGAATCTCTGTTTGTGTTTTCGCTGAGCTTGTTTTTGCTCTTTGGGTTCTTGGGTATGTTGCTCGACGTCAGGCGGTTGGTGGGCAGAGTCCCGTCTGTAAAGAGAGGCGTTGCTCGGAGCAGCTGCTCCGCTCATCATATATCGCGGATCTTTGTTATCGAAGTTTGTTACGCCTGATACGAGTGAAGCCTCCTCAGAGACTGGATCGTTGTGCCTGATCGATGGGGCTTGTTGTGGACCACTGCGGACTTGTGATCTTGCTTGTTCGGAGACGTATCGTTCTCGTGATCTGTGTTCTTTTGCCCAGCCTTGCTGTTCTTTTCTCCTTGTCCGGTAGATTCTCAAGGCTTCGACTAATGTCTCCAAGATGTGTAGGCAGGTGATCGAGCTATCAGATTTCTTCTTGCGGGTTTCGGTCATTCCTGCGTGGGAATTTGCAGTTTTGTATGTCTACGCTTCCGCTTCATGAGTCTGGAGGAAGTCATTCCTTTGTGATATCTAGGTATAGTCATCGTGCAAGTGATGGACATAGGAGAATATCACAAGTCTCCTAAACGCGTGACAGGAAGTTTATGATAGCAGTTGAGCTGTCAAGATGTGAAGAATTGCTGTCGCGTATATTGAACTTTGAAGATAAAATGGAATGGAAGAAGTGGCTCTCAATGGTAGTGACAACAACTAAAGGGTACAGCGGACTAATGTGCATCAGTAAGTGCAGCTGCAAGAGCAAGCCTATACTTCAAGAAACATAATTCATCTAAAACGCGATCCGCCATTGAAACCCCAGCAGGTAATTATTTTTGGCGACAGCGAAACGATCGATTTGCAAGCTACGAAGGCAACCTTGTGAAGCACAGTTCACATTAATCGAATAAAGCGACAAAACCCGACCTTCATGGGTGTCTTGGTAGGTCCATAAGACAGCCGTACAAAGTGCCTCGAAACGTGCATGGCATAACCATTCGCTTGTGGGGGCGGAGTTGCAAACATTCCCCACTGGGTTAGAGTTGACGAGACATCAACTCAAGCAAGTTAATTCAAAACGCACGGATCCGCGGTACATTCCCCCATGAAGATTAGACGACCCGTAAAAGACCCATCGATCTATTCGACTCTTCAAAGGGGGCATTTGGAGGATTGAGGTCTGAAGATGAAGTCCGAAGTGCGCGCATTTGCACTGGGTACGTGTTACGCTTTCGAATAGGCTAGTCTCGACGAACCGCACATCTCCCTATAAGGCGGATTGATACGAGGGTTTCCGTCCAAGCATGCCCTGAGCTTAACTCGTGTTGTTCCGGATTCTGCAATTGTTACAACTCGGCGCTCGCCTGCCATGTTTGTTCAGCTTGCACTGCTGCGGCCAGCGTCAAACAATGGATATAGTGGTGTCATCTCGTGTTACCAAACATTCCAATTTCCTCACCGGTTCAGGGTAACAGAAACGAGACGCAACCGCATAATCCGAGGTTGGCGGGATAGCTGAGTTCAGCTCGCTCACGTTGAGCAGGAGATTGTCAGTAGCACGAGTCTTGATAAACCCTAATAATATGCTTATTATTTGAACTTCCTTGTAGCGATTTAGTACAACTTAGCAGCGGACTTCGCATCTATCCGAGTGTACAGGACCATTCGGTGTGGAGCTCGACGGTCGGTTATAACGTGATATTTCTCTTGGCGATTGATCGCCCCCTCGAGATGATACTATAGTTCCAGGTGTTTGCTGATATTGGCAATCCTGGTATCCCGAATCGATTTTTCAATCTCCTATTGCTTTGCTCTGCTAGATGTGAGGGAAAATCATGAGCTTCCTCTTCTCCACAGCAAGTTCTTTGCGAAATACAATTCAACAATACCAAGTATCCCATTGCGGTATGCCTGGAGTCGAGATCATACCCTGGTCAACTCCACATCTACTCTCATGCTACGCCGCCGGGGCTGGGGCTAGCACCCTAGCAAGCGAAGGATAGTACTTTGACCGAAACTTACTCCGATGGTGGGAAATGCAACAACGGGTGCATCGCAAATTAGCCCCAAGCTATGGACTATCAGACAGAATCCTTCGGAATAGCCCTAGGAAACGTGATACAGACCCGAAGTCTATGCGTTTCTTCCAAGCTGGAGAGATACTTATAGTCGTATCCTATCGTGTTCATCATCGTTCTCCAGTATTTTCTGCCTCACCCGTCTTTCGTTTAGCCCATCGGCATAGTCACTCGCTTCATCAGTTCAATTTGAACTAGTCACTCTTTTTTTGCTTGCTTTATTGACGTTTTTTGCTTCACACAATGGCAATGTCTTCCAGGCCGCTAGGCGGCGCTGTTTACAGCATCATTCTGCTACTCCAGTTCATCAGTCTTGCATCTGCCGTCAAGATTGACTCGAAGAGTTGTGCTCCATTCAAAGTCCATTTGGATGGTGCGTTGAAGGAGGCAGATGCCATGGTTACCTTTGCCGCAAAACGTGCGTCCGACAAGACGTACAAGAGGCAGGGAACTCTGCTCCAGGATATGCTCAAGGCCTCAAGTGAAGACGACGAGGCAGTCTTGGGCAAGGTTGCCGGTAACTCGAACCCATTGATGCATAGATTTCGCGAGCGTATATCTGACAAAACAATCAGCTGGATTCACCAAGGCTCAGCAGACTCTGCAGGGTAGCAACGTGGTCATCCACTGTGATGATAAGCACCTCACCAAGGGCAACAGTACCAACCTGTTCATTGACAGTAGCAACGGAAGGCAGGCACGCATTCAAACACCCAGCAGCACCAAGTTCGATGCGAAGCTCGGCGCTTGTGGTGGCGTCCAGAGAGCCTTTACCTACTCTTTCTCTGATGCGAAGACCCAGCAGGCCGCTGGCGAGGTTATCGTTCTCTGCTCTGATTCAAAGGTCGGAGCTCTCAAGGCCGCTAACCCCGACAAGACAGTGAGTAAAATTTGCTTTGCTGAACGTATCACAAACAAAAGCTAACTTCTACAGCTGGGAGATTTCAGGGCCAATGACCTTAGCAAGATCGAGCAGGGTCTCGACATGGCTGGAAGCTTCTTGTCTTACATGATCGTGCATGAGTTGATGCATGCTTCCGATCCCAAAGCCTGTGAGTACTCTTACGGATCCATCACGTACTCCTGGGGCTAACTCTACCCAGTCCCCGACGCAAAGGAACTATACGGCTACCAGGATATCACTGGCAAGGCAGTCGGTGCCTCCGGAAACGGAGGACCCGACGCTGCCACTCGCACTGCCAACGCCGACTCGTGGGCTCTGCTTGCTGCTGGTATGTTCATGAACAATCACATGGTCGAGAACGGCGCCTGGAAAACTCTCCCCAAAGCCGACCGTGTTCCCGCCATCATGAAGCGCTCCCTCAACGACCGCAGCCCCAAGAAGGCCAAGACCACCAAAGCGAAAACCACAAAGACGAGCGCTCCCAAGACTACAACCAAAGCAGATATTACAACCAAGGCTGCCACTACAACCAAGGCACCTACTACAACCGCAAAGACTAGCTCCACTGCTAAAACTTCGTCAACTAAGAAGTCTTCGTCTTCCAGCTCCAAGGCATCCTCGTCGAAGGCTTCTTCCTCGTCCTCTGTCAAGCCTAGCTCCACCGCAGTGGCCTCATCGTCTTCTATAAAGCCTAGCTCTACCGCAGTGGCCTCCTCTTCGTCATCTGTCAAGCCCAGCTCCACTGCAGTTGCTTCATCGTCATCTTCTATCAAGCCCAGCTCCTCAGTAGTCTCTTCCAGCGCAGACCCAAGTGCCAGCGGAGCCTCTTCCAGCGTCGTCTCCAAGTCCTCAACAGCCTTATCATCAGGCGTAACCTCCGCCAACCCATCATCAGCCACATCCTCGGGCGTATCCAAATCCTCCCCCGCCACAGGCTCATCCTCGGCCTCAGGATCCGCCCAACCATCCTCCTCCTCCTCCTCCTCCACCGGCCCAATCTCCAGCTCAAAAATCTCCTCCTCCATCTCCGCCACAAGAACATCCTCGGCCATCCCCTCATCCTCGACCTCAGCAGTCCCTTCGTCCACCGAAGGAGACAACCCCGTCCAGACCCCCGGCACCTCCTTTGTCGACAAAGTCGACTCCATCACTGCTAAGATCGAGGCCGTCAACAATCTACTCGCGGCCACGCAGACAACGCTCGATACGCTTGTGCCGTTGATCCAGGATCTCGAGGCGCTTACGCAGCCGCCTTCTCAGGAGAACATGGAGAACCCCGGGACGTGGGAGGAGGATTTGACGATTGAGGGTGGGGAGACGCCTGTTGTTGAGGGCGAGGGGGAGACTCCCGTGGGCGAGGGCGAAGGCGAAGGCGAAGGCGAAGGCGAGGGAGAACAGATTGAGGGTGAGGGAGAACAGATTGAAGGTGAGGGAGAGCAGAATGGTGGGGTTACTGCGAGGGCTGTGCCTACGGCTGTTGGAGCTGTGGATAGCAGACCCACGGGGTTCAAGACTGTGGTTAAGCGCGCGTATTAAGTCGATGTTGTGGGATGGCGTTCTTTTCGTCGGTCATGTATTTGGACGTGTGGGGAGTAGTATCTAGACTTCTTTTTTTCTGTCCCTTCAAACCCTTAGGGTGGAGTGTTTCTACTTCTCCAGGGGATGTGGGGGATTGTATTCATGACGGGATCGGAATGGGACATGTGAGAGTCCTATGAGTATCTCTTGACTTTTTGGAAATATAATTGATAGATTTATTGCTTCACTTGCTTGCTCTTCTACTCGTGGACTGCTGTCATGAGCTTGCAAAGTTTTTGCATTGCTCTTTTGTATCCTGTGCCTCATATCTCGCCGTGGTGTCGCATATTGACTGTGATATCTATCTAAAATCACGTACCAGCGTCAGCCCATTATTCCACTGCATTACATGCTCTAGTAGATTGCAGATACACAAGTAGCTGGATTCTGAACACTGAAGTGCGCTGCACAGTTCGGTGGATGTGCGTGGATCCGTGGACGATGTCTGTTCGTGTATCCAAAATGCTCATCATACCGACTCTTCACTCTGTCCGATGCACGCATGCACTGATCCTCACGCGATGCATGGCAAATGGAAGGGGCAAAAGCACACGGACAGCACAGTCGAGATGTCCGGTCATAGCCAGGCATTTCTCAAACACTCGCAAGCGCCTTCTTAACAGCTTCCCATCTCTCAGCAGCCCTCATCACCAACGACCTCATCTCCCCCCTCCCAACAACTGCACCTCCATTCTTCTCGACCCTTCTCACCACCGCATCGGTCGCAGATCCTCTCTTCCCCGTACCACCACAGTCCACAACTAAGCACACAGCTTCCCTGCAAACGCCCTCCTCGAACGCATCCGGGTCAGACAGAACCCAGGAATCCTCTACGTCTTTGTCATCGCCGCTCTCATCCCAATCACCGCGCCCCTCGAAGACAGCAAACGAAGCAGGTACGGGTAACCCGCGGAGCGCGAGGGCGCGGGCCTTCTTCGGATCGTCGTCGCATAGCACGGTCTCGAAGTCGGGATCCCATGATGCGGCGGGGAGGCGAGTGTTTTGCAGCGCGGCGAGAAGAGCGAGCCAGGCGGCGTCAAATGCAGAACCATCAATGGAGATGAAGAAGATGTCGATGTAGAGGGTCCAGTAAGCTTTCAGCTCGTCGTCTGCTTGCTCTTGCTCTTCCACAGGGACGGATGGATCAGAAAAGGAGGGAGGTGTGTAGGTAATGCGTAAGTCGCGGGCGCGGATGAGCGAGGTGGAGTGGAGGAGGGAATGTAAACGCGTGAGAAGGGTTTGCGCTGTAGACGACGGCGCGTTGCCGGGGATATAGGCGGGGGTGCTGCCGGTGCTGAGTTCGACATTGGGGACGAGCAGACGAAGTGTTGACAGCTCCTTTCGTTCCTCTTCCAAATCATCTTCCTCTGTGTCATCGTTGTCTCCGTTTGAGGGCGGTGTGTAAGTGTAGCCTTGGGCGTCCTCCGCCTTTAGCAATTCGCCGCGCACACCGCATACAACGCTCGTATTGCCCAATCTCACGACAGCGCTCCCGTTACAATGTGTTAAACTTCCTGTATTTACTAGCGGCGCGCGGAATTCGTGAGCGGTACGGCCGTTGGCGCGTTGACGGGATTTGGAGGCGGAGAGATGGGCTTGGAGAAAAGGATGCGGGGAGACGGCGGCGAAAATGGGGCGTGGAAGGGAAAGGCTCGCCGGGTGAGCAGCTTCAGTAGTTGATGCCATTGTTGTCTCGGAGGGAAGCGACTGGTGTTGAGAATTGTCTTTCCTGAATGGCGTTTTTTTTTTCTTGGGGTAGTTGAGGTTCAGGACTTTTGCGAGCAAGGTTAAGCAGTCGATTGGGGCACGCTAGCTAGCGCCTTAAGCTTTTGGCGGGGCAGCTTTCACTATGGCGATCCACAACTAAGTAAGCATATATGGATGAACTGATCCATCTATGCAACAATCAAATATCAACTTCAATATAAAAAGAGTCTTGTGGATTTGCAAATGAACAGCATATTGTGGCTGAGTTGAATCTGGGGGGAAGAACAATTCAGATTGGGCAGCCAATACTCATATGTACATGTACCCTCTGAGACTCTTGTACATGGTGCGAGAGGATGGATCACAAGTGAACAAATCTCCATCTACATACCTGGGTGCGTACCTATTCGTCCAAGTAGCTTCTTGATCGAAGTGGATCTCGAATCATGTTAGTCTTGGATTTCATTACCTTGTTGTCTGGACTGCAGTAGTCACAGAAACAACGTGACAAATATTCTCTACCGTATACCCAAGGATGCGAGTATGAGCGATATCTCCAGCTTGTAATGATATTTCACCGATATATGGAAGTATGACCGGTAAAGATATAGATGCTGCATTACTGTGCATAAACGAAAAGTTTAGTCATTGTATTGGTCATCAAGATCGACAAAACGTTAAAGAACCATGGTTCGTGAGATCTAGGTAAGCGCGTTCAAGTGCTGATATAATAACTGCGATGGCATAATCTCTGGATGCAAGGTTGCCTATGCTCAAGGAGAGGACAATGAAGTCGTCAAAGAGACATTCCTATATGTACCAATCGATAAGAGAAAGGTTATTACTAGGCTGGTCTACAAATGTAGCTTGGCAAGATCATATGATTTTTTGGCCATCCTCCCCCAAAACTCGTGGGGTTTGAGATTACCGCAGTTAGTTGGATCTAACCCTCTTTCCGCTTGGAAATCCCCGGCTGCAGTGAAAAGAGTCTAGATAGTAGATGCGAGAGCGAACGTTCTTGGTCGTCTATCTCCGACAACCTTGTATCACAAGCCAGCCAAGCGATTAACACGCACGAGAAATCAGGGCCTTATCTTTTTCTGGGTTGATTGGTAGGATTCCAATGGATCAAATGCGCGTACGCCGCAAATATTTCTCGTCCAACAATTATGCCGTTAAAACGGCCCGGACGAAGTCGGACGATGATTACTGATCCTTGCGCACCTGCGGTGACATCGCGAAGCCGTGCTGACTGAATGCTGTACAAACGCAGGCTGCATTTGTGGAGCAACATAGACGACTCATCCAAGTTTTGATGGTTTTGATGGTCTATTTTTTACTTCAATCCTCAAGTGGGAAATCAGCTCGCCTGCATAAATTTGTCTACATCGACGCCGAGAAATTGAAGAAATGCTGAACCATCAAAACTTGGAAAAACACGTAATGTCTGTCGCCGTCTACATTCAGTAATAGCTTAGTGCAGCTTCTATCAACATTTCTAAGCCATAATTATATAAGCGCACTCTGTGGTATGACGTTCTACAAGGTCAATTCTTCAATTTAGATCGAATCCTTCTACAGGGATCCACCATCTACGCCGTAGTAGGCGTAGGTCCGTGGGTCACGCCCTATTCGTCCGAGATTGTGCGACATAAATACCATTTGAGTAGTAGTATTACAAACCCAAGAGGTTGAAATACATGTATATAAAGAAGAGTCAATTTCGTGATACAATAGAAGCATCACAGCATTTCAGGATTATACTTCAGTTGGCAAGCTCATCCTTCTACAATTTGAATTCACTTTCTCCAAGATGCTCTTCTCATCCCCAGTACGGAGTGTACCACTTCTCTCATTGCTCATTGCCAATGTTCAATCAGCAAGTACAAATGACTCCTCAAATCAGCCTCAACCATACACGGTCGACGTCGATCCAGCCTTCATTGAGAAAACCCGCCAAAAGGTCGCCAACTTCCGCCCTACAATTGAAATCTCTGGGCCTGACTGGTATGACGGTCCGCCCCTCAAAGATCTGACAGAGATAGCGGAATACTGGACGGACTCATACAACTGGTCAACCGTGCAGTCTAAACTCAACTCGGAGGGTTCTCAGTATATGGTCACTCTACCACCACCCGGGGGAAAGTATGATCTACCACTGGATGTCTACTTCAGGCACCACCGCAGCAACCGAACTGATGCCATTCCTTTGCTTATGGTACACGGTTGGCCTTCAACATCTATGGAATGGGAAAAGGTCACCCCAGACTTGGTGAACCCAGCAAATGCCAGCCAACCGGCATTCCACGTCGTCGCCCCTGACCTTCCCGGGTTCGGATTCTCACCAGCGGCAAAGAAAGCAGGTTTAGGTCCTGCAGAACATGCTACTCTCTTGATCACTCTCATGGAGACACTCGGATACAGCGAATTTGGATTGTACAGCACCGACCTGGGCGTGCCAATCGCTCAGGATATGGTCGTATCCTACGAGCCAAAGATCCTCAACCACATCTCTGACATGCTGCTTCAATTCCCCAACGACACAGACACGGCTCGGTATGCGGCGGGCCAAACCACGCCGGAAGAGACCACCTATCTCATCTCGGCTCTCGACTTTTTCACCAACCATACAGCGTACTCGGCTCTTGATTCCTCGTTGCCTCTCTCGCTCTCTTACGCGCTAAACGACAGCCCGCTCGGCTTCTTCGCGTGGATGTATCAACTCTTTTTCACTGTTAATGATAACTCATTCGCCCACACTCCTTCCGAAATCATCACTCAAGCCCTTCTCCTCTACATTCCCGGCGTCTACGGCAATCTGAGGAGCTACAAGGAGTTGTACAACGTGCAGTATTTCGCTGCCAGAGAGAAGGTATCAGTTCCTGTCAGCGTGCTGCAATACGGTGGTACCGATGGATATCCTCAACTAGCCAACTTCAATCTTGCTGTAAGTTTTCTGTTCCCTTGCTTTTGGTTTTCGGTATGTTTACTTGACATTTGCTGATATCTGCTTCTAGCCTCGTGACTGGGTTGAGCGCAATGCGAATGTGACCTATTTCTCTAGACACGAGCGTGGAGGGCATTTCCCTGCTGTTACCGTGCCAGATTTGGTGGTGGATGATATTAGAGCCAGTTTTGTGGCATTGGGTTATTAATGATCGGGAGTGACCAAGTCTTAGTTAGTACCCTAGACTTCTAGAAGTAATAATATATTTACGTGAAATTCTCGGTGTATCTTAGTCTTCCTCGGTACGACAGTGATCTCGAGACTTACTAGGTGAATGAGACTGTGCAGCAGCATCAGCTCCGTTCACACTGAGGATCCACACTACGAATTTGCTATTTGATCTGCCTCGTTCTCTTCAAATACTCATACAAGCCCCATGCTGCCAGTGTCTTTCCATCCCTTGTGCCTACGTGTAACAGTTTCTCGTAGTTGAGAAGCCTAACACGAATCTTCTCTTGCTCGCCGCGCTCACCCCCGAGCCTTCCCCTCAAGCCATCAATCTGCATCCTGTCCATATCTCTCTCCCACAGATAAATACTAATGTATTCATCACAGCCCCCAGGGCTTGGGTACATCGCATCTTCCAATCTCTCCTCTGTACTGTGACCTCGAAGCGCGAGCTCGGTCATGTCAATTAAATCCTCCTTCTTCAACTTGAGTCCCACCTCTTCTTCGAGTTCCCGCGCGGCAGCACCCCCAAAACTATCATCCGAAGGGTCGATCATACCGGCTGGGATCTCCAAAAAGCCCAGACTCCCCGCGGGGATACGAGGTTGCTCGGTCATGATCACATAACGCTCATCGAGAGAATCGCTGGGCCGAACAATGATGAGGACAGTGACGCTTCCTCCGCGCAGGAAAACCACACCCGGCAGCGACCCGCCTTCATCGTTCTCCACTTTTGCGAATAGTTTGATGAAGAGAGGGCGTCGTTTCTCTTCCTTGCCAATCATGTCGTAACTCTGGATCTCTATGGATTTGAGGCTGTAAGGCTCTTTATGGAACTCGTGATCGCTGAACTTTTGTCGTTTGATGGATGATTGAAGAGTTTTGCTCCATGTGTCGAAGCCACCGAAGTTCAGAATCTGGTCCCGAGTGATGCCGGGAGGGTGTGTGACTTGAACGGGCGGATTCCATCCCGGAAGCTCGAAGTTTCGTAGGTTGTTGGTAGTCTCAGCTGGTGCCGAAGGCTCTTTTGGTGAATCCATGACGAACAGGTCGGATTTGTGCCGATGCGCGCGATCAACACTGATAGAAGATAACGCAGCCGAATATGAGCGTGTAGTACGTCAGCTCGACCACCAGCCGGGTGCTCTACATATATACCTAATACGAAGGGTCGCAGCCACTAAATGTCGGCAGATGGTACTGCAGTTTCTGATAACGATGTCAGCCTTTGGATGGATGCCAACGAATTCAGCTGAGCGCTTCACCCTGTCGACGTGAGGGGAAGCGAGGGCCGGTGAGCTGCTGTGGCGTAAATACCACCAATTAAGATGAGAGAGTCCTACTACACAGGTGTGTTGCACACGATTATGATTGTACAGACTCCGCTCAATATATTAGCCAGCCCATGTACGTTCGACCAATGGAATGATGCGATTCTACCGAGTATTTCAAATCGATAAATATGCCTCTACATATTTCTGCGTACGGATATAACTTGAATGCGTCTCCACGCATTTCTCAGCCTGATTCCTGGATTTTCATTCCACTATGATTTGCACTGCTTGTTATTGTATGTTGCGTGGTCAGACGGGGCGACAATGGCGCGGGACGTTCGATCTCCACTTCAATCATCATACGACCTTGTATAGTCTCAAGCGCTCGGCAGCTATGAATTGTTGCATTTGCAGAATCATATGGGATGAGTTGACAGAAAACTATCAGGGAGAGAAACTGGCGAAAGTGTTACAAAGAAATTTACGAAGTCCATCTGATCTTGATGGAACACTCGATACCGTTCGTACTCATGCCAGTTCAGATCGCCAAGTACATTTCTTGCGAGCTTTCCTGTCGGAAGTCCACGGTGAACGTAACACCAACCTTTATCGTCTGGATTTCCGACTAGTAGATTCAGATTCCAGGAGACTAGCAACGTTTCTTCTAGAAAAGTCGGGTAAGTAACCCTGAAATTCATGCTTACTTTAGACTTGAGTAACAATTAGAAAGACACTGAGCCTGATTCGGAAATATACACACCTCTTACCGATACTACGAGCTCTGAAGAAGTCCTTCATCTGGCACGATTTTGGCTACACAGGTGCATCGGTCCCGACCACCCGGAATGCCCGAGTGAAACCTTCAATGACCTCGTGCGCAAATATCCGACGCGATTGATTGAGCTTCCCGCCTACGATGAAGATGAGAAACCCTTTGGCTTCTTATCAAAGAAAGTTCCCCCGCGCGAAGTACGAAGCGAACGTCAAGAGCGTGTTCGTTTGATCGAAACCGGACGCTGCAGGATTCGACCATTCCAGATCCATGGTGACGAGACCCGTCGTTCGCGACGAAACACTTTGTCAGAACTGGGATCGCCTACAGAAAAGAATCCGTTCGCTCTCGCTAACGGCATGTCATCACCAACCAGTGCAATGACACCCAAGAAGTTAGTGGTGCCGACCCTGAACGTCGAGGAAAAGAAGGAACGCTGCCGCGGGCAATACGTAACGTTGAGTCATTGCTGGGGGAAAGCGAAATTCGAGAAACTCACAAAGGAGAATTTGAATAAGTTCAAAAAAGGCATTCCACTCTCCGATCTTCCCTTAACGTTCGTTCAAGCAATCGATTTCGCTCGCCGGCTGAGTCCTTCAATTCGTTACATATGGATAGATTCCTTCTGCATCATACAAGACGATGACGAAGACTGGAACCATGAATCAGTCCAGATGTACGACGTATACCGCAATTCGTACTGCAATTTATCAGCGACGGCCGCTTCCGATAGCACCAAAGGCCTGTACTACACTCGCGATCCTCAGAATCTATGGGAAGATGAAATCAATTTGAACACTGAAGGTATCCCACGCCCACTAGATGAGCGAGTCCCAAAACGACATCTGGGTCTCGAGCCGCTCATCAGACGATGCAAGATCCAAGATGCATCCTTCTGGGATAGGCAAGTGGACGATGCTCCCGTCAATCGCCGCGCGTGGGTTCTTCAGGAGAGGCTGCTAGCTCCGCGAGTGCTGCATTTCTGCAGGGATCAGATTGCGTGGGAGTGTCCACACATCGATGCAGCCGAAAGCCATCCGCATGGCGTTTCGCACATGGAACTCAGAGCCGGCACTGTTGGAGAGAGAACACGGTTGAAGGCTTTGATTCCCGGCGAATATGGCCCCAAAGCGAAAGCTGCAGGGTGTGAGAACAACGCATTTACAGCCCACGAGAACTGGAAGAGCATAGTGGAAAGATACTCGACCACCAGTTTGTCCAAACCAAAGGATAAGCTCATCGCTCTTGCCGGCATTGCTGAGCTTACTTCGGAGCGAATGGGCGAACATTTGATCTACGTGGCAGGCATGTGGGAGAAGTATCTAGCTAGCCAGTTGTTATGGTACGTCGAGCCGAAGTATGAAGACGAGCGATTCAAATATCCTCAAAAACGTCCCGACGGTGAAAACCCAGTCTTTTGGCGTGCGCCAACTTTCTCCTGGGCAGCGGTGGATGCGCCGCAAGGTATAAAATGCGCAGAAACTGCACACGAAGAAGACATGCAGATATCAGTCGAGAAGATAAAAGTACAGCCAGCGCGGGAAGATGGCTCGCGGTTTGGCGCCATCTCTTCCGATTGCTACATCGACCTCAAGTGCTCTTTAATCGAAGTGCATATTAAGAAGACTCTCGGGCCGCCAAACGAAGAGATTCTTGACGACGGTGTCGAGAGAACTGTGCGGTACCACTGGAAAATGCCGGGAGATGATCGAAAATCCATCATTTCCAATCTCTACCTGGACAGTCCACATGATGATTTCGAAGCGATCGACCAGGGAGGAAAAACGTTCTGCATTCCAGCGCACGAGAAACCTAACGGACAACTGATCTGTCTGCTAGTTTGGTTGTTTGAGGAAGGATCTCCAGCCCTGTATCGCCGCATAGGAGTTGCCAATGTTCCTGCATTCTGGAGAGGTCAGGCTTCCATCATAGACGCGGACAGGAAGCCGGCGGTTATACGGTTAGTTTGATCCTTTGATGCAGTATGTTTGGGCTAAGAAGCCTGCGCAAGGCAATGTCTGTTTGAGATATCATGTATTAGCCATCTATGTTCGGTGTTAGATAATATATTACGAACAGCATCAGGAGATAACTCGAGCTTGCGATCCTTGTATTTTCGACCCTTCTTTGTCAATGTTTACCAGGGACCTTCCATTGTCTTTCCCACCATGGCTATAGCCTGATCCTCTTCCAGATGTCGAGCTAGTAATACGACCCTGTATAAGCTGTTGTCCTCGGAGGCAATGCACCGAATGACTACATGTGACTACAATCCACCAGGCGTATGATCCTGCTAGTGATTTGCAAGTGCTCGTCAATCTTTCGTCACCTAAAATGCGACCCAGCACAATTAAGAACGAATCGAAGTCTAGAAATCTGCACGCAGCGAATCGATTATGGATACTGATATACATTTTAGTGGGCTTTTCAAATGGCTATGACGTCGAAATTACCTAAGCTAGCGAGATGAGTAAATTCTACAGCATTAATAATTGACGAGACTACATACACGTCCACAGCGACGTGGTGGAGTTAAGAACAGATATTACAAATACATCATTAAAACCGTTGGTTAGGCGGTTCAAATAGTACCCAAAGCCACATCGTTACTTACCACTAGTGATTTGTTCGATACACCAACATGATAGCTCTCACCAGCGCAACCGGCAAGCTTGGCTCCGCCGTACTCAACGCCATACTCGACAACAAGTTCGTCGAACCCAAGGAACTGGTTGTTTGTGTGAGTTTTGAATAGACTGCACCTCAAATGCAAGTGGCATTTATCCTAACTCACCATTTCAGACCTCATCGAATCCAAATGACGCACGTTTCGATGCTCTGCGCGCCAAAGAGGTCACCATCCGCTACAACAATTTCGATGAGCCGGAATCACTCGAGAAGGCTTTCGCAGGATGCGACAAACTCTTTCTCGTCTCCACTCCTCGCATCGCGATGGACTACAACGATGCGCCGCTGTGGAAAGGAAGAGAGGCGCACCATCGAGCCGCAATCGATGCAGCAGTGAAAGTGGGTGTCAAACACATTTACTACACCTCTCTAGCGTTTGGAAATCCATCTAAAGCAGGTGTGATGCGAGCGCATATTCGCACCGAGCAATACTTGGACGAATTAGCGAAATCCAAAGGTGCTCAGTTTACCGTTCTACGCGAGGGACTGTACAACGAAAGCTGGCCGCTGTACTTTGGGTATTTCTTCGGTCTTCGAGAAGACGGGCGAAACGAAGTCGTTGTAGCAGGCGACGGACCGATTTCTTGGACCGCCATCTCTGACATGGCATTTGCAACGGCGAAAATCGTCAGTGCGCCAAGTGAAGAATGGGCAGGGAAAATGGTCTACCTCTCTCAGAACAGAACGTGGACGTTGGAGGATATCGCGCGCATGGTTAGCAGAATGCTCAGCAGAGATGTGGGCCTGAAGGTCTTGTCGAGGAAAGAGCATGAGGATTTCTACGTGAACGAGAAGCAGATGGAGCGGCCGGCAGTTGAGTGGTGGAGCACCACTTACGATGCTGTCAAGGAAGGCGAATGCGCAATCAAAGACGATACCCTAGAAAACATCTTGAAAGCGTCAGGGAAGACACCGAAATCTCTTGATGCTACCATCAAAGAGATGCTTGCGGCGTAAAATCATTAGGTTACCTTGCTCCGAGCCAAGATTTCTTCTTCCAATATTCTTGTTATTGAATATTTCAATCCACAATCTGTGCTGCGTTTGGATTATACTATGGATATGATATGCCGTGCAAACGTGGTCTCCATCTTCCTGAAACGACGGTATTGCTTTTTGCGCTTTCGTGTGAAAAGTCGTTTCGGATCACGAGTTCTAAAATTGTATCACGAAGCGAATCCGACTTGGAACAGCAAGAATGTCATTCTTTGCACAAAGGGATTATTTCTCATTTCAAAGAGACGAGGTGATGACAATGCTGCTGCTGTACTTTGGGAGTATATGTCCTTATGCCGTTGAGATATCAATGTTCAAAAATTTGCTCGTTAGATTGAAGGTAAAACGGCTTATAATAGAATGTATGCTTCGTTCCAGCGTAGATATCGATTGTCTGCTTTCGTCATTGGCAACGCTAAAGGTTCTCTAAATGATACTGGACATCGATTTGTGTACGAGATCGGAGCTTAAGTACGGTGCATACGGGGAGCCTTTTGTTGCCGAGGCTCGATGCAATCGTGTAGGGCTTAACAGGTACCTATTTCAATAGAACGATCTGGAGCTATACCCACCATCCCGGCGATGATTACCACGATCCTTCCAAATCATCAGTCCCATAACTAGCTCTCTACATACCCATCAACACACACCCATCTACAGCTTATATCAACATGCATGAATTGGCGTTAGTCTGGAATCAATTTTGTAACGCAATAGGTGGTGATCATAACCGCATGCAGCTAGCCTAGCAACAAATCTGTATGAACGTCACTCTAGACGATTTCCACAACACAACACACTGACAAGTGCGTCACAAGTGCAAGGAACCGGGAAAGCGACCTCGACATTGAATCTACCCTATCAACATCGGATCCCGCAAAGCCATGCCTCGGGACAAGCCGCCAAGGGATCGATCTCCCGGGTAGTTCCCTCGCGCTGCCGTTCCGGCCGTGTCACACGATGCCAGGCATATACCGTTTCGTGTTGTGTGTAAACATGGTTTCCATGCATCTCCGTATACACCTATACGATGTCGAAGGCTGTGGGCCAATCGTCGGAATTGCGTGCCTCGGCATAGCCATGTTCTTTTTGGTCGACTAGCCCGGGTCGGTCGAAACTGGTCTGTTGTGATGTGAGAACGGTTCTCTCTGCGCATTGACTGCTGAAGTTTGTGGTTTCATCGCGGGGGGGGAGAAGAAAAAAAGCACGGTTTCCCGAGATTTCTTTGGGCGGTGATCAGACAGACGAAAGGGTTGGCTGGTAGGCAAGCAGGAAAGAAAATCGACATGACATGGCCCTCGATTCCAAAACATATCCCCTGGGGTATGGAGGATATAAAGTAGCCTCATCGCCTTCATTAGGTGTCAAGCCTCATCGAATTCCCATCCTTCAGCATCCGACTTGTCCATTTGCCTATTTTCGTTCATTCTTTTTTCTATTCGCTTCAGTCCAATCCATTCACTTACCACTATTTGCACCATGTTTAACAAAGCGTTGATCGCATTTGCTCTATCGAGCCTGGCTGCTGGTACACCAATCGCAAAGCGAGCAACCGGAACAACTTCCAAGGAGTTCTCTCAAGGAGGCTGCAGAGATATTCTTTTTGCCTGGGCTCGCGGGTCAACCGAGATCGGTAACATGGTGAGTCCTGTCTCCTCAAAAAACCACTACTCTACTCGTATATCCCTTCATCACATTCAGAAGGTCTACCTGTTCGGATGTTGAACAAAACGGACTGGAACGAAGAAAAATAGTACATGCCTTCGCCGCTAACAACAGACCTCGATGTAGGGAACCGTAGTAGGCCCACCGACCTCGGACGGTATCAAGAAGCAATTCGGCGACGCCAACGTCGCAACCGAAGGCATCGACTACGACGCTGCGCTCGCCCCCAACGCGCTCCCCGGCGGCACCGACTCGCAGTCCCGAGACCTCATGATTGACACCATTACGGCCATGGCCACGCAGTGTCCCGATGCCGTCATCGTGGCCGGCGGCTACTCGCAGGGCGCAGCCGTCAACCACCGCGCCATTGAGAAGCTGCCCGCCAACGTCCAGAGTCGCATCGCGGGTGTGGTTTTGTACGGCGACACGCAGAACACGCAGGATAATGCGCAGATTCCGGGCTTCGACAAGGCCAAGACGAAGATTATTTGCGCTCCGGGGGATGCGGTGTGCACTGGCACTCTTCTTATTCTTCCTGCTCATTTGAGCTATGGGGCGGATGCGGATGAGGGGTCTGCATTTCTCAATCAACAGATCACTGCGGCCATGGGCGCGGCCAAGGCAAGGAAGGCCAAGAGGGAGGCTGAGAAATTCCTCTAGATTGTTAGGGAGGTTACTGCTAGCGAGTTTGTAAATAAGGTTACAATAGAGGAGGGCGAGATCAGAGCATAGTCTTCGCAAACTGAACTCCAGCCGCCCAATGCCAAAGCCTTGCATCCACCATCTTTCCTTCCTCGCTGTACTTCTGCAATCTCTCGTACAGCTCATCCAACGGTACAACCACGCGCTCGATGAACTCGCCATCTTCCAACTGCTGCTCGGGCTCCTTCTCATCTTCACCCAGCTCCACCTCAACAGTCGCCAGCTGCATATTCGCCGTGCTCATGCCCGGATCACTCACTATAGTCGGGCTAACAAATTTCAGCCTACCCTTATACCCCGTTTCCTCCATGAGCTCCCTCAGCGCGGCATCGCCCGGCTTCTCCGATTCGTCGACCAGACCAGCGGGGAACTCGACGCACACGGCATCCACAGGAGGACGGTACTGCAGGATGACGATGGTGCTGGCGGGACGAGATGGGTGTCGGATAATAGTACTTATGGCCACGGCATCAACGCCGGACTTGCCTCGCGTTTTGCGGGATGCGCTCTCCCAGATTCGCGATTTGCCCGTTTGGTCAGACCTAACATTGGAGGTCGGGAAACCAGGTAAGCTTATGAACGAGCGTTTCCAGAGCTAGCTTCGCATGGGATATAAGTACCAAGTGATTTTCTGGAATTCAAGCCATTTGGCTTCATTGGCAGGGAGCGCGTCGACGGAGGTTATTTTGGGTGAGGACGGCATGTTGTAAGCGGCCAACCGGCGAGGATACGCGTGGAAAGGTCGAATATGAAGACAATTGGTGAATTTGAAGACGTCTGGTCTGGCACAATGAAGTCTAAAGGTATGTCTGGCGAGAAGATGGCAGGTGGAAGTGTTCATGGGATGTTTTATGGGGTGTGTGGTTGGTGATGCACTTTCGGAGCTCTGTTGATGCAGGTGGGAGCTCCCCACATCATCTGCGTCATTACATCGTTTTAGCATCTCGCGTCATCACGTGCATACTACAATCACAACATTTGAATGTTCAAATGTTTGAGTATCTCAAAAGTTGAATATTCTATTCTTGCCTCGGTAGCAACTTCAGGATTTCTCGTAAACCAAAAGAATTCAACCCAAACCATGTTCGAATGGTAGTGGAACAATGTGACTTCTCCAGATCCGATCCGCACCAATGATCCCCTCCCTTGGCCAAAAAAAATCCATTGATGATGATAGAATGCCAACCTAAACAGCCACAACAGACTCCTTCATCTTCAAGGCCGCTTTCATATCCTCCTTCTCAAACCTCCTACGCCACATGCCCACGTAGTTGACCCAGCTCTGACGCCACCAAGCCACAACCCAAACCTTCTCCACCCACTTCACCAAAATCTCGTCGCTCATGATGCTATCGGACCAAGACATGACGACTGCCTTGTCCCGAGGGGTACCTCCAAGATGAAGTTGTCCAGTGATTTCGCAGAAGCGAGTCCAGCGGGCGATACAAGCGAGTTTGGCTGGGCGAGACATGTCGGGAGGGGGTGGACGGAAAGAGAAGGTCGTAGGAGGCTGGCGTGGAAGATATAAGTCGTCGAACGGGGCCACTCTGATACCTCCTTCAGACACTAGAGCGGGTAGAGTTGTATTGGAGGGCACTCTAGGTGGCGGAGGTGTCACGGGCGGCGTGGGAGGTTCAACCTCGAGTTCACAGTCGGCCGGCGTCTTGCTGATACTCGAAGTGCATGGAGCTTCGCACTGGATGAGAACTCGGGGACTAGAGAAATTGGCAGTGTGATTCTTGTCCCAGTCTGGTATGGCATCCATAAGAATTTCGCAAAGGCGCTTCTCTTCGGCTTCTTTGAGGTGCTCTTTGCGCTTGGTGTAGTATTCTGCTGTAATGTGAGGAAAGAGCGTGAAGACCTTCTGCTGGATCTTCACTCTATTCTCCTTATACCACTGCTCTAGAGGTATATCTTTGTCGGGAAACGAGTAGTCAGGATAGCGGCGGGGGATCCACTCTGTGATGAATTCGATCCAGGCGGCAGATCGGTCTTTGTGGTGCTCGGCGTATTTCTCGTCCTTCAGACGCTCTGAAGTATGCTTCGGGTGAAATTCTGAAGAAGAGACAATGTAGCTGTATACTGATGCAACGAATGTCAGGTAGGGGTGGCTCGCAATGAAACAAAGAGAAAAACTTACACTCCTCCCGCGTCTCCAACCCAGCCCAGAGAAACCTCCAGTCCAGACCCAACATATTCAACACATCTCGCGGCTCCATACTGACAAACACCATACTTCCCGGGCCATTTGTCTCCTCCATCTCCTCGACTCGGATATGCATGCCATCAGGGTTGATCGTCAAGCCGAGCGGCTTCGCAAAAGACGCCAACATCTTGAACCCACTCGCATAATTCAACAATAATCGAGACCACTCGAAGTTCTGCAGACCAGGTATCTCGCAGACCTTGACATCGACCTGGATCCACACCTGATCTTCACTGCTCTGTGGTATTTCACCTGCGGGGATGGCAAAGTACATGATGGAGGGCTCGTAGTGGCCACGCTTACCGTAATTAGTGTTGAGATTCTCCTTCAGCGCAGATACCATAGCAGACCAGTCGAGTGTGGAGTCAGTGGGCTGTCCGGTGTACCCGCTGACAAGGTAGTCGATGTCGCCAAAGTCGGGCTTCTCTGGCATTTCGGTAGGGACGGTGACATGGTCGAATAGTTTTTGGAGAACAGATGTGACCTTGTCACGCGACTTGTGATATAGATCGGGGGAAATACGGGGACAATTCAGAGAGCGAAAAGCCCTGCCACCCATGTCGTGTGTGGTGTGTGGTGTTTGGGGTATGAAATGGGAAGCCGGTGTATTCGTCGATAACGTCGTCACAAAGGGAAAAGATTGAAGTAAGAGAAAGAAGGTGGAATAAGGAAGTGGGTTTTTAAGGCCAAAATCTCTTCCGAGAAGTGATCGCTATCATGTGATGAGGTCAGTCAGTCCTTTGTTTGTTTGTGTCTGGATGCAAATGATGTTTGCTTAAGGTGGCGTGGGCGAGCTGATTCGGTCTCGTCTTCAGTCAGATGAGCTGCAGGTTGTACTTGCCAAGTGAGATATGAGATGAAACCATTGTAAATTCTAAAAGACAATGAGAGCTCCAACCTTGCCTCATATAAGAAGTGGAGAGTTCAAATAGTAAATAGACATCGTCAGTAATCTAGCTTGTGCCAACAAATAAGTGAGACTGCCTTACTGAGCCAAAAGGCAACCCAAAATCGAGGTTGCTTGCTTGACCTGCTTTGCGTACTACTACTTCCTCATCCCAATCAGATTAGTTAAATAGTCAAACATGTAGGCTGGTAAATTGCATAATGCTTTAAGAGAAGCGGTAGTAAGATCTTTTTTTAATCGAACTATGGCTTTGCCTGGGAACCTTGGTAAAAGAAAAGAACGGTTTTCAACTTTGACAAGTAGAACAGGCGGACAAATTATCAAGTCCTCCATCTGACCACTCCCTCTTAGTTCTCACTTTAGAAGAACCACGAGAAGAGGAGAGTCAGATTAATTTTTCGCGTATAATTTTCCAGACACCTCATGTTAGCTTAACACTTATTAACTTTTCTACAACTTAAGCTTTTCGTTGTTCAAGTACCTGTAAGGAGAGACAATTCCTCTACACGTTGACATGTACTTTGCAATTGCAGAATTGATTAAGATTTAGCATAGTCTCATATAGAATATATCTCAGACATAAGTTGGAACTGATCGAACATGAAGATGAGTAATTGTGAATGCACGAATATGAGGATGAGATCAACACCCTCAATGATGTGTAGGATTTTTGTTATTTCGGATCGGGTATGAATAGATGCTTTTTTGTAAGGTCGACTGCGCCCTACCAATGCAATCGTTCTTTTATCCTCCTTCAATCGTGTTCGACCACCACATGGCTTGTCCACCCAGCACACACCAATTGCACGACCTTCTTCCCTCTGAGCATCTCCACCTCTGTGAAGTCCTCAACAAAGTCTCGACTCTTCTCCTTGCCCTGGAGACCCAGTTGCTGTTTCCCGTTGCATCCTGCAGCGAAAACAGCCCTCAAAATCTCCTTCTTGGTCCCCTGACGTTTTGTAGCTTGAGCTGCCACGAGAATGTGTCCCCATCCCACTGCCACATCCATGACATCAGCTGGAAGATCGTCAATTCGAAGATCAACGCATTTCACATAAGGATCTTCCATGGCTTCTTGATCATCACTCGACGGCGTGGTCCTGAGGGCGCTCAACTCTCGATTTGTGCCGGGAGGAGCTTGCCCCCATATATATAATTCACCACCAGCTTCTTCGTCGTCATCTTCGCTACTAGACGGTGACGCCTTCGATATGACACACGTATAATATCCACCCGAAGCAATTTTCCTGGCCCCGATTTCGGAAAGATAAGACACTGGATGTGCTTTCCCCCAATCTGGGGGATCAATATCCTCACGACCCAGGCATCTAGGAAAACGTAAATCGAACGCATGTGTGTGAACCTGATGAGTGGACCGATTTAATGCAGTCATCGTTGGTGCGTTGGCGCAGATGTCAATGGGAAGCGGGCTATGAACAGTCGTGTGTGGGTAACCCCATTTGCCGAATATCTCTCGATATTCATTTAGGGATATGTTTGTGCGCAGAAAATGCAGAAATGACAGGACAGAAGCAAATGCCACGACCATGCCCTTGGCGTCTTGATCCTCATGACGAAAAATCTCCGACCATGTGGACACGAATATCTTAGATCCACTGAGGCATTGCACACTTCGAATCTGCAGGTTCATATCTTCAAACGATCTTGTCACTGCGCCTTTTGCTTTGCCGATGCTTAGAAACCGGGACCCGGGCGACATAAAAATGGTCAGCTTTCGCGTTCGGTTGACCACGAAGCCGCGCACCCCGTCATCGAGTGCTCTCCCGAAAAAAACAGGCTGATCGGAGGACCGTAGTTGGGTTATGTGAGCAACATCGTCGGGCGTTAGGCTAGTGCCGTAGTACTCGAGGTGGGCAGACTCTTCACGAGCGACTATAGAACAAGAAACCATTAGTTTATGCGCATTCTCTCCCCTGAGCCGAATCGGGAAGCAAAAAACAGATGTTTATTACCTATTAGATCGCACCATGACGCCCAGAGGACGGAAATGGCGGGCGCTTGAAGAACGTGAGGCTGTGATCGGGAATCATGCTGAATGGGGTTGTGCCCGAAAACATAAAGAGATTTCATGCCCACAAGGTAGGTATGCTGAATCGCGGGTCGGGTGCAAGAATTGTGAATAGTAATCTCTGTTGCCTTGATTGTCCGTACTGAGTGAGAAGTTCGGCATGAGATCCGTCCGGTGCCAACCGGGATTAGCGTCTTCGGTCTCTAGACCCCGTCGTCGCGTGCTAGCAATAAACGGTAAACTCCACGCAAACAACACTGGACATAGACACACGACTCTCCTACACAGAGCAACTTTTTTGATCTGACTACCTCTTTTTTGCTATCTTGTGCCATTGCGAGCAACGCCCAAAGCATGCGGCCCTCATCATTCATGCTGTATACGTGGCAGCATGACATCATCCATCATCCTCCATCAAGAAAAAGCAACCAGGGGTGATCCCCAACGCACTGGGCAAGTAGAGCCGTTCACGAAATAGGGCAGGGGACCTATGCAAACACGCGCCCAGCACAGATAACGGTGACGATGGAATGTTGAATGGCCAGCCTACTACCCACATAGCCGCCCAAGGCTGAAGTCTCCCAACGGGTAGACACCTGGAGTAGGCGCCTGCACTATGGTGCCTGAATCGCAATTTCGCAATTTCGCATGCCTGTGTTATGACGACACACGAGGTACGAGCTTCAAAAAAAATATTCAGAGAGCCAGCGCAGCTTCATGCCTAGCCACTGAAGAATTGAGAAGAGAGAGCCTGGGGGGACGAACCCTTCGTAGAATGACTGCCACCATGCTGCATATGAGCCTTCGAATCGTCAGTACTTCAGGCTTAGACAATGAAACGTGGTTTTGTTCAATTGAGATATGTTTACCTCCGATGGGACCTAGAGGTCCGAAACCTATGACATTCAATACATATGCCATGAAAGCTACGATGAGCGGCGCAAGTATCACAAGTAGGCCGAGTGCAAAGAAGAGGTAGAACATCATGTCCGAATCAGTTGAATCGTAGCACGAGCTCCCACCACCTATGGCGTGTCTATAAATACAATCTTGCGCAATTGATTGATTGCTGCTGAGGAACACGCGCAAACTCATCATGATCTGTTTCACCTTACACGTGATTTGTGTGCAGTTTGCTACAACAACCTCATATCACGGAGCAGGCGAATGGTCGTAAGCAAGTGACGATGCTCTTTGGCTGTCCAGCGTCGGGCAGTTAGGCTACCCGTTGCTGGCGTGGCACACTTGCGTTTCGGTCACCAACGATGACGATCATCAGAAGGGGCTACGGCCCTACGGGGCACAGCGGTAAGCGTACATCAGAATCAGGCAGTGAGCAGTGAGCACAAACATCATCCTTACTTCGTGTTTCCCCTTCCGAGATTAGTGGCGCAACAAGCCCAACGACTTGTGGGTGAGGTCCGAACTCATGTGACTGTGACTCGGATGTGCTGCGCCATGGCAGTGAATTCAAAAAGTGGAGATGGATGCGGGGAGACGTGCAAGGAAGATGCTGATAGATTGTCGTCCAACGCTGCTGAGCGAAGGTCCGTGGAATTCAATTGCAGTCGTGGTAACATGCCACCGTGTAAAGTCGGGTGTACGTGTAGTTTACAAAAGAATCAAGTAACCATGGTAGATCTTGAGACGGGCAGCGATGGTGTACCATGGCTTCGTGCGCAGTGGGGTAAATTGCGGGTTTCGTGTTGTTGATGTCGCCTCGGGAACGAACTGGCGATGGATTGGAGGTGGAGTCGCAAAAAGAAAACCAATTATGCTGATGCTAAAGCAAGACGGCAATCGAGTCTTCGCGTAAGAAGAACAGTGGCGTTATCACGGGTCGCGACGCAGGAATGATGCAAACGTGATTGAATGACACCAAGGAGGACAGAGCTGGTATGAAATCCAGACCGGTGTTTCTGAGCATAAAGCGCGCGAGGAAAGGCAGTTTGAGGCCCTGATTCTGGAGCTGACTACAATTTTTTTGAAGCTGGAGATTACTGTAGAAGGAGGTATCGTCACTTGTCATGATAGCGTTGACGCACGATCCCATTCGACACAGCACATACCACAACCATCGCCACAGCGCGTGAAACAGCAGAATTTAGGTTTAGAGCGATGTGGTTCTGTGGTGGCGCTGACGAGTGGTGTGTTTCAGATGTCCTCTAGAAAGACATGTTTGTTGCAATCGATGAGGGACGATGGGATGAAGTGTTGGGATATTCCTGTATGCGGGTCCGACGGCGCTTCATGTCTCGCTTGATCGCATCGATTGATCCCTGGGAAGATCGCCATCGCCAATTGCGATCGGTGTCGTTGTGAATGCACGTTGTGGACGATAGGGGACGATAAGGTCCGCTTTTTCCTTGGGTTTTTTGGGTTTTTCTTCTTCCTTTGCAAGCCAAGCTCAGCGATGAGCAAGTAAGCACTCAGTGCTCAGATAGTCAGCAACCGAGAAACAATATCCTTTCAGTCCGTATTAGAAGATATCGCATTATGGCAATATATCGTTCCCATCACGAATCTGGTGAATATTCTCTCTCTTCCTCGCTGTTACTACTACACATGGCAGCTGATGCAGGCCCTTGGCGGCAAAAAGCCCAAGTTAAGGGGGGAAAATGCACGGCGCAGATCCGAAGGCGGTAAAGGGGCAGGATTACTGGCTGGGCAACGCATCAAAACCTTGATTTTTTTCGCCGCCGTCAAACTCTCCTGTTTTTCGACGCTGCTCGGCCCGCTGTCTCGCTTCCCTGATGTCGGACTGGTGCCTTGTTAGAGCAGCAACGCCATGCAGATAGCGATTGGTCAAGTAGAATGTGGAAGTGGAACTTGTAAAAATTCCATCATACAGTTCCCTCTAGAACTTTGGGTTGATATGGATCCCTCTCTCTCAATCGATTGGCAAGCGTAGACTGATGGAGTGGGCATCCATTATGGTTCGCCGTCGCACTTGAGACTCCAGACTGCGAATCAGCATACAGCCACTGTGTATAACATGGGCTTGCACTAGGTTGTTTCTTGTGTAGTGTACAACTGCGCACATGTACTAGGCTGAATGCACATATGCGCCGTTCATTTTTCCCCGCGGAGTGAGCCCGCGCAGTCGGTCACTGGGCCACGCTGCCAGGTACAGCCGCAAGGATGAGAGACGCGAATCTCAGAGTGAGTCTTGGAGGATGGCCTGCAATTTGGGCTCGTATGCTGACAGGCGTTTGTTAGACTGGTTGGCAACTTGGGCCAGTCATCCGTCACTGGACAGTGGGCGAGGGGATTGCGCAGGCAATAATGTCATCATGAAAATCATGGAAGATGTCGTGGCAGGGCTGATCAATCACTGCTCAATCTTCTGACAAGGGCGCGACACAGACACATTGTCCTGGGGCAAGGATTGTTGGCGATCTCGGTGGAATGCCCGAAACCTCGTCTGATTCCGATCGTACAGTGAAAATCAGGGACCTGAGAAGACAGTTCGCATGCCACCGGCCGGAGCTGTCCCGTTTCTCACAGTCGTAGTCGTAGTCGTAGTCGTAATAGACTGAAGTGCGTGAAAACCCAGTTGAAGCTGTACACAATTGCACGTCAGGCTAAACGCTTTTCCAACCAGACGCTGGCTGCACTACGCGTGCTACGGCAGAAGGAAGAGACTGCAGTTGCGCACGCTATTGCCGTAGCACTGCGTAGCACATGGAGTATTCATACTATACGGATAGTACAGTCTGATTCTTCATCAGGAGTCGCTGGTGGATTTGACGCCACAGCAGAAAACATTAGCGGGATCCAGCAAGCTACGAACGGCTCCCACGATTACATCCGCCGCCGACTCAATAATGACTGGTCTCTGTAGACTATTATCAATAGTCAGCTGTTTTTCCCATTCGTCTACATTCAGGTTTTCCGCCACCGGAGCCCCCTGCTCATCGCCCCTGCATCCTCCCTGGAGAACATGTCCAATGGAATTGGGCTCCTGTGCCGATGCTGATGCTGATGTACAGTAGATCTTGCTCGCTTCAATCCACGCATTCATTCATCGTTGCAAGATGGCACTGATCACCCCGGACCAACAAGGCACAGCGGGCTGCCAACGTCATGTGCTCGGTTTCGTTTTTTCCCTTTTCTCTTTCTGCCTGCCTGCCTGCCTAACCCTTAGCTCAGTTATTAAACCCTTGATGTGGGCCATGCCCTGGCCTGCTATTTTCAGTTTCTAGCCTACGACGCACGTACGCACGCACATGCTAAGAACTCTATGCGATGATGGTACAAACGCTAAGAAGAAACAACCAGCAGACCCACTCGCGCTGGCCGACGAATCCGTCTTAATCGGCCCTCGTTGTTGCGAGAATAGTTATACCGCCTTTCGGCCTGTTCTCGTGGCACCGAATACCTCTTCTTTCTTTTTCGGTTTCTCTTTCTGATACCAAACTTTATTCACCTTCGCTCCTTCGCCATTGTTCGTGTATCATACAAACGCCTGATGTTGATCTTCATTTAGCAGTCGATCGGTCCGCTCACTCCATTCCATCACCCCCCAGGCACCCTTCCAGAACATATTTCCGCCTGCTACCCCGCGATATCCGCTTCCCATCCGTTCTCATCCTGTCGCTTCCGACATGGATTCTTCAAACACTATCAACAATCGCCACTCTTCACCACCTCCCATGTCAGATTCACTTCGCCCTCCAACTCAAAGGAAAAGGAGCAATTCGGTCCCCATCATGGAAGCTCTGGGCTGCTCCACACCAGAGGCACGACTAATATTGGCCGAGGGACGAGCGGCAGTGAGCCACCGTAAAGAGTCCGCCCGCCGCCGAGGACGTCGCGATAGGGACCAAGATGACTTGCCCAACTACAACCCGAGAGACCATATGCAGTATCTGGATTCTCAAACGTATCATACTTCGCACGAGGAAAGACAAGACTCCATGTGCGCCACAGACCGAACAGTCTTTCGACATTCGAGATATCCATCCAATGCAACCGACTCCAGTGTATCCACGGTGACTGCAACCCATGATTCACCAGGCGAAACACATGGCAACCCCCATATTGCGATAAAGAGCCCTGTTGGAGATTATTCGGCAAACCTGGCTAGGTTCATTCGTGCTCAATTGAGCTCAATACCGACTTACACATCCGTCCAGTTGCCTCTCTCTCCCAGTTCATGTCCAGACTTGTCATACACAAATGAGGCCACACCGCGATCGCCAACCAAAATCATGCACCGCAGTATCGAACCACCACGCATCATCAATATCCCGGCAGTCCGACCTCCGATGCGCAGTGCTTTCTCAGAGTGGAGTTCGACCGACGAGGACGACAATGATGAAGATTCTGACGACGAACTCCCTCATATCCCGACTTCTCAACCAACCATGGCCACCCCAGCGTCAAAACCCTCCTACACACCGTCGCTACTTCATTACTACGAAAACACCAAGGACTCATCCTTCTTGTTCACCGACACACCGCTAGATGAAGACCCATCTCAGGGTTTTTCGTTTCCAGCCACCACCTCGGCCAGACCCGCCCGCTCCCCTGCCCCAGTTCCATCTTCTTCACCACCGCCACCTATGCCGCCTTTGCCCGCAATGTACGGCCCCCCGTCTCTCGCCACCTCGTCTGCACCCTCCATCTCCACCGTCTCCACCGGCTCGTATTTCGACTCCAGCCTCAACCCCACAATGCGTGACCGTGTCATCGCAGCCGTAACACCGCCAGCCAACCCCACGCGAGGCAAGAGTCTGACTTCCAGCCCGTTCGAGGGTAAGGCGCTGGTGAATATGCACAATGCTCTGGTGGAGTCGCAACACCGCGTGAACATTGACGGAATGTCGTTTGACATGATCAACGAGTACTCCAACATGAGTGCTGGAGGCCGGAACGGACAGAGCGGAATGCAGAGGGTTCAGACGCCTTGCTGAGTCGTACAAGCAATGTATGCGGTTCATTCCGAAATCAACTAACCGACGCTCCTTTCCGTCCGGTGTGCCATTACATCTCACCACCCCAGTGGTGGCCTACACCCCTCCCCACTGTTGTCCACCGATCAAAACGACCACATGCAAACCATGTTATCAGTAACGGTTCATGTGCTTCCTACTAGGAACAAACATAACTGCATTTCACCTCATGCTTCGAGTGGGGATGAGAAGAGCGGGCCTCTTCCTCTCTCCTCTAGTCCATGAGTGACATTCACACACCCAAATACGCATATATCGAGGATGCGCGCAAGACCTCAGAGTCTTTTGCTCGCTCTTTCGAACAATCCGACTACAAGTACCCACACTGCATCTCTTTGTGCCTATCGAGGCTACATGCCACAACACACATTCCATATGTCTTCCTCACACATGGATCCGCTTCGACAAGGCAAAATCAACAGCCACCCACCGACTTTCCATCGATCTCAATCGACACAAAACCATCCCAATCGTCGTCTTCGGACCGATTCCACATCTGCACTGTCTCTTTTCCTTGTCTGTTCTTTAGTTCGGTGAAAGTACACCAGCAACCAATCCCTCCACTTTTCTCTGTATCCCTTTTCTTTCACGACGAATACGAAAAAGCATATCTCTCATTATTATTATTTTTCGTTGTGGTTCAGAACACTGTCTGTGTAATACATCCTTACATCTCCTTTATCTCTTCCGTTCATCTCGGGGCTTTCTCTGATATCTCTTATCTTGCGGCACGGTGCTCGGGGCGTGTGGGTCGTTTCCAGCGGTACTACATTTCGGTCTTCTTGCTCGAGTTCATGCTTTTATTTTTCTCTCGGGTTCTTTCCTAGTCTTTCATACATAGTACACATATTGTCTTTATTGTTATTGTTTTATTAGCTATTTCCCCCGGTTGGGGTTCGGGAACAGATTGGGATGGGTTTTAGACTGGAGGCTGGATTACTCCACTAGGACATATCAAGGAGAAGATACACTTGGGGATTCTTTCTAGGGAAGGGACTGAGGTTATTCCCAGATCCATAGGGTTTATTATATACAGATTTGTGTGTTGGTATCGTCGCTGTTACGCGCGGTTCTTTTAGAACTATTCTTTGTTAGTGTAATCATCTTTCTCAAGCTCCACGATCGTGAACTCTCTCCCGTTCTGTGCCTTGCTTATTGCCATCCCTAGCATACCCGAGGAGGAGGATTCACAAGGCACATCTAGATAAACACCGAAACGTGACGGGACAAAGCCATGGGACAGGATTAATAAACTTCCTCTTGTATAATTGGAACCTTCAAACTACGGCCCATTCACTCCTCCTAGAATCCCTAACACCATCTAAACATCTCAACGGCGGCCGCCCAAGCACCGAATCTTCACTAAGAGTCCGCAGATGTCTCAGCGGCGGCAGGTGATATGGCAGTTGCTGCTGCGGAGGCTTGGGGGCACAGTGCTGGCAGTGGATCGCATGTCGGTCCTGATTCACCAGAGTATCGCTATCACCTTCGTCGTTCCTGTATGGCGTGCTGCTCATATTCTCCTCGGTTTCCAGCGAGGAGAAGGTGAGGTAGTGGATCACGAGGTAACCCCAGAACACTACCGTTTCCAAAGTCAGTAACGAGATATACAAGGAAAGCTGCGAAACGACATATAGCCCAAAAGGAAAGAGACGAGGGAAAAGAAAAGAAAAGAAAAGAAGAAGAGAAACATACCATCCCCAAGACACAACGAACTGCAAATCAACGCCACACCTTTCCCTCCGTTCCCAGCCAAGTACTGCGCAACAAACAGCCCAAGCGTCACAACCGTGATGGCAAAAGCCCCCGCGATAGTGCGCCGCAACAACGTCCTAATCCCACGCTGCACCGCCGACTCCCCTCTCGACTCCCCTCTCGACCCCCCTCCCCCTCTTTCCGCACTCGCTTTCGATCCCTGCCCCGCGCCTCCACTGTCCGACGAACTCCGAATCGACATCCCAACAGAAAGAGTCTGGGACCAGCCTCCCCTGACGAACGGGTGGAGGAGGTACACGAAGACGCCCGTGAGGATAACGTCCATGATGATATCAATGATTAGGAAGGGAATGGTGACGCGCTTGCCGATGCCGTTGTGGCAGCGGCCATCGTCGGGCGACATGTTGGTGACGGGGTTGAGGAAGGCGTTGATTACGACGGCGCCGCACGCTGCGAACATGACGGCCATGCAACCCAGGTAGATGTAGTCGCCGCTGCGGGTTGGAGCGTACGGTGCGCGCACGATGTGTACACGTTCTACGAGGAAGATGTAGCTGTTGTGTGCTGTTAGAAGTTTGTACTTTGGCAGTGTCGTGGATTGGTATGGTTGGTGGGTAGAGTGGTGTGGAGCGATGCTTGAGTGGACTGCATAGTCAAGATTTCAAACGGAAAGGACTGGAATAGGACAAGTCGTGTGGAAAGAGACTGTGGAAGAACCATAAAAGAGGAAGATGAGGGGATGGTGAAAGTTGAAAATCGCAAATGTCGCTGCAGTGAAGGTGGACAGGGCCAATATGAACTGAGAAGCAAGGAAAAAAAGAGCCTCGAATTCTGAACAGTGGACGGGGTGACTGACATTACGCTCTTAGCCATTGCGTAAAACACAAGGCACACCCAAGTAAGAGCAAAACACAGTTGGTAAGTGTACAAGCCCTGGCCGGTGTGCAGGATGAGGAGGCCGAGAAAGAAGCCCATGACGAGGACGTAGAGCGAGAGCACCAACATGCAGGTGAAGTTTCGCTTGGAAATGGCTCGTTTCTTCAATTGACTGAACCGTGAGCCTGTGACACATTATTTGCGGACTGATTAGTTTGATATTGTTGTCGAAGCATGGTGGTCATAGTGTATGCATCAGCTGTCGTGGACAGTGCTTTGGTGCAGAGGGAGCGTAATGCCCGGGGTGGGTATACCTAGTAAAACGGTCATAGTGGTCATTGCCACCAAGGACAGCACGAGCATCAGAGTGCGATCCTGAGGCCGTTCGCCCGCATACTCCATGGGAGCGCGCATGGAATTCCGAGGGAGAGGAGGTCGGCCATGGGGTGTTTGGGGGATTGGAACAGACTCAGTGAAGAGGTCCATCGTGGGCATGGCATTTGCGAGGACTGGAGACGGGGAGCCCTGGGTACTTGCACGCCGCCATCAAAGACTTAAAAACCAGACAACAGGAATGTGAATGGGAACTGTCATCGTCGTGCATAAGAGCAACACTAAGGTAGCAAGTCTGCATCTAGTGGCGTGCAACGCCTCTCATCACTATTCCCCCCATCCATCTTTACCCTAACCGTACCTACTCACATGCAACGATCCTCCGGAAACAATGTATTTCTCTGATTAGGTATCTCTTCCTGTTTGGATGGTACTATTGTATCAGACAGACTCAGTCGCATGTGGTTATTCCCATATCATTCACTTGCACGTGGAAGCCAAAATCCATCACTGGACCGGATTTCGGTCGCGCGCGGAAGAAATACAATACCAGTAGAACTAAAGCCCCAGATATCCGAAGCGCCTCCAAAACAACAAACGGAACTCTGTGGTTGATCAATCGCGATCTCCCACACGGTATCCTCCAGCTCTCAAACTCACCTCTCCCTCATCAGAAGAATCGTATCATCACCATCAAAACAGTTCGAAACCTACCAACACGTTTTGTAGCTATCGTCAACGACAATGATGTGCTCCTTGCCTAGCGATAGCCACCAAACGCATCTGCAGGCGTTGGATATAAACTATGAATATACCTCGTTGAAATAGATCAGGTACTTACATAACCCCATAACCAAGTCGACAGCAACCGCATCGATTCCCCCAAAAGCCTCCCATTCATCCCATCTAGGTAGCCGTTGACGATCAATAACCAGACGTTTCGCACCCTGAGTCAAGAATCCCATAGGGACTTTGATCCCTTGCATTCATACAGCATAGATCGCCATCCACCATCATCTATTTTTACCCAAAAGCAGAAGCACGAGCACGAGCATGAGCATGAGCACGGCCACGGCCACATCCGCTCCCGAAAGGATAAGACAGACGAAGACATGAAGAGAACACCTGGGGCCACGCCATGCCACCCGTCTCCACCGGATAGTTCACGAAACGAAACAAAACGAAACAACCACAACCACAACCAAAAACACCAATAAACCTGCAGCGGAACGCGGTTCATCTTCGCCATATAGAATTAGCGGTGGCGCAGTCCAAGACCGAAATCCCCAACAATCGGCGCAAGTAACATGTGTAAAAAGGCTGCAAGGAAAGAAACGCGAGCGCCACCGTCCAAGCTAACACACGTAGTGCACCCATCGTCTATCCGTAAGACGGGAGGGGGAGGAACGAGGCATCCGGAACTGCAAGCAACATCGGCAGTTTTTCCCAAGCTAAAACTATCGATAAAGTTGTATCCATCCTATTCCGTGATGGGGAAGGGGAAGATGGGAGGGGAGCTAGACGAAGTTGTTGAGGAGGTTGGTTCACACCTACGTAATCTTCTTTATTTCAATGCACGACATTCCCCCGATTCGCTGACGCGATGAGATCTGGGAGGGGTGGGGTCGATGGCTGGATCTGCGGGATTGTCGGGAGGGGGAGATATGGGAGGTTGGTGAGCCGTGGTACGGTGGTGGGATGGTTATCCATGGTTCAGTTTGCACAAGAACAACAGCAGCAGCAGCATAGGAGCGCTTGTATCTGCAGAGACGCGCAGACTACTGGATGGCGTATTTATTAATGTTATAAGAAGATGTAGCTAGAAGAAAAGAGCAGGCAGTGTACACATACCCTTTACAGTGCACGTACGTGTGCAACTACGAAGACAAGATAACAAAGAACCTACATATACACCATCATCCATTCCTAGAAATATACAAGAAAATCTATCAAGTGCTCCATTTCCGCGTGCAAAGAGACTAATCCGATCCTAAGCCATGCAATCCCCCCCTACCCGTCACGAACCGTACAACAACGATGAACAACTACACGCACGGCAAACATGTTTTACACTTGCATCTACAGTACTTCTGACCCCGTAGATACATACAATGGTCTCTTTGCGTATGTACCACACACGTAGCTGCATATTCACGCCTCTGGAAAACATTACCAAAGCCACGCAGAAAAAGAAAAAAAGGGGGGGAGGGGATCTACATACCCATTCCATGCTTTACCTTTACCGGGAATGAAGCAATGATTTTTTTTGATCAAGAGAGATTTTTGGTATTACCTACTTATGTATACACTACAACAAAAGAGAGGGAAGTATGCGAAAGAATGACTGAGCAAAAAAAGAAGCACATCAGGGTGTGTGGTTAATCACATCACACCCTATTCTTCCTCTGTCCCCCCCTCCCCTTTCTTTGCATCCCTTCTTCTCATCTGCTCTCTTGCCCCAGACTCACCGGCTCCGTGTCAGGCTCTACTAATCTCCGTATTCCTCGCTCACTCGACTCTTCGTTCGCAAAAAAAAAAAAAAAAAACTCATCTTGCATGCTTCATGTCCCAACGAGACGGCAACAGCACCACCCCTGGTATATACCTGCGTTTGAATGCACATACAAAACATGTACGCACGTGCGGGCGCGGGCGATTCTCCTATCATCACAACACCGATTCCCAACATTAGAGGTCCACATGCAACCTGTTGCAGGTAGTGGGGGAATTCGACGCCAGGTCAATTCCTCCCCTCCATCCCATGATTCTCCAGAACTTCACACCACCCCTACGCTATATCCAACCCACCACGTTGCAGTCCATTGTGTACGCGGTGAACCGTACCCAATGCCGTCGAGAGCAATCGAGTTTTAGTCTTTCGAAAAGAAGAATCGAGGTCGAGCTGTGGAAAGTCGTTATTCCCAGTAGCCACCCAAGCAAAATAAATAAACAAATGACCGCACCACCAATAACCATCTAACCGACCGAATCAGACTGGAGGAAAGGGTGAGTGTAGTCGGGTGAACGAGCTTGATTTTGGCAAGCAAATGAAGATGATAACAAAAATCCGCACCATCCTAATAGACAACGCGAAATGCAGAGCAACCAGCCGAACCAGAAAAGAGGAATAGATAAACAGAACGCCTTCAAATGCTCTCGTATAGACAGGACATGCAGACATTATATGTACGTCTTTAAAAGACCACCTTGATTTGCCGTTTCATGAATGGGCTGGGTACGTCGGGATCGGAGGGATCCCAGACGGAGGGTTCCTTGGGCAGAGCAGCCATGGGTCCACTGGTGCGTGTCTTGGCCGGACTTCTAATACCAGACCTGAAGGCAGCCTTTTTGCCTTCATCCCCACTCATTGCTTGCGTTGGAATGCCTCGCGCTTGCTGGAGCTCCACGAGCGTACGGCCCTGGGGACCAGACCCAGCGTTGTTCTTGAGCGCTTGAGCTCGCATACCCTCAGTCTTTTTCGACTTGAGGCCGTATTCGGGTGCCTTGGGTGCCACCTTGCGAACTGGACTGGTCGATTCTGCAATGGAATTGGGACGAGCCCGCGGACGGGAGGGGGATGTGGTTACTACGGGAACAGTGGAATGAGGCCGAGCCTTGGGGCCCTTGGGTGGGAAAGATGGTGCACTTGCAAGACGTGGGTGAGTGGGTTTCGGTGCCAGGTTGGTATTCAGAGGTTTGAAGGGATCCGAGTTCGCCATGCGAGTTCCACCTGAAGCGCTGCGGGCACGTGTAGGTGAAGGTGGCGCGGGAATCCCGTCGTCCTCTTCGACATCGTAGTTCCAGTCAGACTCGGTGGGTGAAGATGGAACATCGTTGGCCCATTTCCTTGCTCCTTCTTGGGCGGCGGCGAAGATGTTGTTGCGCGCATGGTTGCGGCGAGGAGACAATTGCAAGGGCGCTAGAGATACAGGAGCCGGCGAGGGTTCGGACATGTGGACATCCATGGGAGAAGCTGGAGCGGCTCGTGTTACAGGGGCAGCCATGGTCTGAGCTCGAATGAGGTGCTGTCGGCTTCGGCGCCTAGGAGCTGGCTTTGTTGTTATAGTAGAGTCATCCGCGGCGGAGTCGTCGAGGGACAGAGCTGAGAGATCGGTACCGCTTGTAAAGTTGGAAGCGGTGCCCAAGGTACTTGTCGATTGGTCAAGCATCGTCGTCTCTCCTTCGTTGGGGAACAAGACGCTGTGCTCTTCCGGCCCAGTGGGTGTACTTGAACGTGGTTCCAGCCTGGGGGATTTGCTGGGGCGGCCAGGGTATTTCTTCAGCGCCTTCTCGACTTGAGCTTTGACTTCAGCCTGGAATTGGCCTTGCAGGCTCTCGATCTCATGCTTGACCCGACGCTCGACTTCAATCTTGACTCGTCGTTCAATCTCCAGCTGGGCCTTGACCTCCCATTCTCGCCGCAGCTGATCGTTCATCTCTCGACGCATCATGGTGCACTTGGCATCCAACTCTTGTTTTTCCCTGATCAGCTGTGCCTGCTGCAATTTGACTTGTTTGCCCAATCCAGCGACCTCCTGTTCCTTGCGCATAAGCTTGACAATGGGCAGGTTCAGCAGCTGCGCCGTATCGGGCCTGTTGTGTGGTGCTACTTGTAAGCATTTGGCGATGACCTGGGCGAGGTCTTGAGAGTAACAAGATGGAATGGCTGGATAGCGGCCAATCTTGATCTTTTGAATGAGCTCAAAGTGCGACTTTGCGTTGAATGGCGGTGTTTTTGCGCACATCTCGTACATTATGCAGCCGAGGGCCCAGATATCCGAGTGAGGGCCGTATTGCTCTGCTTTGCAGATTTCCGGTGACATGTAGAAAGGGGTTCCGACGTAGGTGGAGGCGAAGTCGTGGGATTGGAGGATCTTGGAGAGGCCGAAATCTCCGAGCTTGACCGAGTTGTCATGATCGAGGAAGACTGTGTTACTGTTAGAGGAGGATGGGGTAGAAAAGGGTGGGCAACGTACTATTCTCGGGCTTTAAATCGCGGTGCAAAATCATGGGCTTCTCACGATTCCGCACTGGTTTGGCATCGGCTCCCAAGCCCATGACATTGTGGCCCGGAGGTGGAGCATCTTGACCGTAGTGGCATCTATACAGGGCGTTGACAATCTGGCTGAATGTGCTCCAGACAAACTCCTCGGGGGCCATGATGTTTTTGTTCTTGTGATCTTGGATGACGCGGCCCAGGTCGCCATTGCCGCAGTACTCCATGTACAGGTGTAGGTCTTGGGTGGCTTTGATGTGGTTGCGCTCGAAGTATCGGACGATGTTGGGGTGTACCAGTTCCTTGAGGATGGATAGCTCTGCCTGCAGCTGTTCGCGCTCCTTTTGCGACATTTTGGAGTAGCTGATTTCTTTGCGACACATTATCTGGAGGACAGGGTGGTCAGCTGGTGTGGAACGAGAGGATATTCAATGGATGGAGAGGCACTCACTTTGCCGTCTGCTTTCCGCTTTACGCGGCGGATGATTCCAAACGACCCATGGCCTGCGAGGGGACGGTGTCAGTAATGATGATGATGATGATGACAATGCAGAAGATCAGAAACAAAGGGAGGAGGGAGGCATACCGATCTGTTCGAAGACTTCAAACTTGTCGTCCTCAAGCATGATGATGTCGAGATATCATGCAGTCAGAGGATGTGGAGGATGGGGATGTGTATAAGAAAACAAGTAAAGTAGTAAGTAGGTGAGTAAGTAGGAGGTGTGGGTGGTTGAATGTCGAATGAGGAGGGGGTGTAGGTATGTATTGGCGGATTCAAGGTTGTGGGTTTTAAGGGTGCATGTTAGGATGTATCTATGTAGCAGGCTGGTAAGAGGGTTCAATGTTTGTGTGTGCTCGCGGTGGGCCGGGCAACCGTGCACGGGCCAGCGTCTCCCGCTATTCCTTCCTTCCCTTCCATCGGGCTCCCCTGTCGCGCCTGCCAGCACAGGCCCACTAGTCGAGTCTCTACTGATGTAATGATTGTTTTTGTTTTTGTTATTCACCCACTATTTACCTGCTAACTCATCGCGCTGATGACGATGACGATGCCCGTGTCCCTGTTTCGGCCCGTTTGGTGAAGAATGCATGACCTGCGTGTTCGCTTTGGCGTCATCCTATGAGGACGTTCGCACGTGCGGCAAGTGCACGTGTGTGTCTCTACTGTGTACAGTACTTATCGCCGAACTGTCCCGCAACGACGCCACTTTCTCTCTGGCTGATGACGGAGGATTATTGCTTCCTTCTTCCTTCTTCCTTCTTCCCTTCGAGGGACCGCTTGGATTGCATCAATTTGATAGACACCATTTGGATCAATCTTTTTTTCCCTAATGCCTCGCTAACCCCCGTTTATTATTCCTCTCAATCTATCCATCCATCCCTCCCGCCGTGCCCCACTCTGCTAATCCTCCTTCATCACTATGGACACCAAGAAGAAGCATGAAATCGAGGTCGCCCTGGCCAACGAGGCCCGCGCCATCTCGTCGGGCAAGCTCAAGGAGGACAGTCCTCTAGACACCAGCGAGGAATTTCGTCTGTTCTGCGAAGCATGCAGGCGCGGCGACTTGAAGGTCTGCCAGGAAATGCTCCAGGCCAACATTCAAATCAATGCCAGAGACATTTACGACTACACGCCTCTGATCCTGGTAAGCCACTCCTCATCCTCCTTCACCCCAATCTGTTATTCTACATCCCATTCGAGTCGCATCCTCATTCCCCCCTTTGCCGATCCGTTACCACACCCTGTAAACTCATCCTATTCAATCGTAGACTTGCCCGTAATTCATCATATATACAGCGTACGTTAACAATCGCCCGTCTTGCCCCCATAGGCTAGTTTGTGCGGACACTACGAAGTCATCCAACTCCTCCTCGAGAATGGCGCCTTGTGCGAGCGCGATACTTTCCAGGGCGAACGGGCTCTCTACAACGCCTTGAATGACCGCATACGCAATCTGCTCCTCAGCTACGACTACGCAAAGTCCACCAACCCTCTGCAGCCTCTTGCCGCCCACATCACCTCGCTTCTTACCCGCCCCGTCCCCAAAACCGACGACATCACCATCACCGCCTACGACGACCAGACCTTCCACCTGCACAAGTTCCTGCTCGCCGCCCGCTCGCCTTACTTCGCAAAGAAGCTGGCTGCCGCCCCAAACACAGCCTCGTGGAAGCTGCCCAGCAATATACCTGCCGACTCGCTGGGGGTTGCTTTGCAATACCTCTACTTCTCCGAGGTGTCTCTGCAAAGTGTCACGCGCGGTTTAAGCGATGAAGAGGAGTTGGTTGTTCTCAATGGGATCGATAAAATCGGTCGCCAGCTGGAAATGGACAGGCTGTTTGAAGACATCACCGAGATCTCGGACCGGCGACTACTGCGGCAGAAGAGGGCAGAAGAGTTGGATCGCGGGCGAGAGCAGTTGGAAGACTGGTTCAAAAACAATGTGCTGAGGAACAAAGTGGTAATAGACACCGAAAAAGTGGACAGTATCCAATGGGATAGAGACAACACCATCTTCGCCGATGTACTTCTGCGAGCAGACGATGAGGATGACGAGGATGACGAATTCTCTCCTGGCCCCTCGGAATCATCGACACCACGCTCGCGTAACACACTTGGGCCACTGAACGGGATACCAGTCGGCCCCGTCAAATCGCGTTCACCCTCCCGCCACCGGAAGCCTAGAAAATCGACCGTGTATGGGGTGCACAAGGCCATGCTGCTGAGGTCAGAATATTTTCTGACCATGTTCAATTCACCGTTCCGCGAAGCTCAATCCACGCCCTACCTGCAAATCATCAAGCTAGATTGCACACCCCAAGTGCTAGAAACCATCCTCACGTTTATTTACACAGAGAGGTCGGATTTTGGGCTGGACATTGCAATAGACGTGCTCTTCGCAGCGGACCAGCTTTTCATCGAAAAGCTAAAGCAACGCGCCGCCCTCATCATATCCTCTCTGGGCAACGGTACCACATCGACGGTGGAGGCCGAAAACCCCCGCGGGGAGACGGACCAAGAAGACGCCATTGATGCATACGAAATCATACGGGCTGGCTGGGACACGCGAGTGCAACGACTCGAAGAGTTTGGAGCGCGCTACATCGCGTACAGGCTGGAACGATATATTGACGAGCCCGAATTTGCAGAGCTAGTGCAGGAATCTGCAAAACGCGTCACAGCCCGACAGGAGACGGACACGGTCGAGGTAGTGGACGATATACGCTGGTATCTGTCTGAGCGGTTCCGGTTGCGGTTCGAGGACACGCACTTCGACGAGATGATGGACGAGAATAAAATTCACGACAGAGATCCGCTTGCAGCTGCAGTCAAGGAACTCGGTCTCTCGGACTCTGGTGCTGAGGCGCCACCGCTTCAAAGTGTACCTGACTTGGAGACTCAGCTCGGTGCGGGTGCGGTAAGGACTTTGGATGGTGAAATCGCTGGCGACGAGTTCGCTCAAGATGCCATCAATTATCAGATCCTGCTTGGGAAAATAGACGCTTTACTAGAGAGACTCAACCTAGACGCATAGAGGAAATGGGATATAAGCATTTTACAGCAACTCTAGCGTGCTCTGTGGGTACATGGCCCAGTTGCGCTAAGAAGCCATAGTGAAAGTCAAACTGACACTCAGAGTCAGTGACAGCGATGCAATTGACCCCGCCACCCCACCACGTAGATGACATCATACATCTTGACTCCGGCAAGCCTCATCGAAGCAATGTGCATCGGGCAGGCCAACTCGGACCCCGGACCCAAGCCAGTCAGCATCTGAATGCGTGTTAAGCTTATCTAGTGCCCCGCTTCTTCGTTCCTGCCGTGTTGCTGCTGTCAACTGTACCCATCCGGTGCTCCCCACATTTCCCCGAACCTCGACTGCGTCCATTGCCTTGACGTCTTCCACTCCAACATCCCCTCCTGACACCACGTGAAGCAATTTCCAACATGTCTACGAAAGCTACTCAATCTGAAGCCTGTAAGAGCCCCATCTCCTCGTCTCGCTCTACAACGTTCTCAAGTTAACCCCCTCTATCAAGGCTGCAACACGCCCGCCGTCGTGAGCAAAGGCTACGAGCCCAAAGGCAGCTACATCACCGTAGACGGCCTCAAAACCTGTAAGTCATTCCCTTCCTCTTCCATTCTACCAACACCCATCCTAACCCCCGCATCCCCAGACGCCACAGGCTCCCAGTCCAAACGCGGCATCCTCGTCATCTACGACATCTTCGGCTTCTTCCCGCAAACCCTGCAAGGCGCCGACATCCTCTCCACCTCGTCCACCCAAGTCTTCATCCCGGACTTCTTCGACGGCGCCGCCGCAGACATCTCCTGGTACCCGCCCGACACCCCCGAGAAGGGCGAAAAGCTCGGCCACTTCTTCCAGACCAAAGCGCAGCCGCCCGCCGCCCTCGCCCGCCTCCCCAAGATCCTAGACTCCCTGCAGGCCTCGCACGGCGTCGAGGAATGGGCCGCCATCGGCTACTGCTGGGGCGGCAAGATTGTCAACCTGAGTAGTGCCAAGGATACGCGCTTCAAAGTCGCCGCCGCCTGCCATCCCGCTATGGTCTCGCCTGAAGATGCAGAGAACGTGTCCATCCCTTATGCCATGCTGCCCAGCAAGGACGAGAGCAAAGACGATGTCGACAAGTGGGAGCAGAAGATCAAGACGGAGCACGTTGTTGAGTGGTTCCCTACGCAGGTCCATGGATGGATGGCGGCGCGCGCGGATCTGGAGGATGACGAGGTGAAGAAGGAGTATGAGAGGGGGTATCAGTTGGTGCTGGATTTCTTCGCTAAGCACTGGTGAGTGCTTTTTTTTTCGTTTCTTTCTCTTCTCGCCCATCTGCCGTGTCGATTGGTCCCGTCTTGGTGTCTGGTGGACATTTTGATGGACAAAGTGAGAATGACACAGAGAGAAAGCAAAGCGTAGTTGGGGGGTTTGGAAAAAGACTCCTCCACACGCAGAGACCGTAGCCACCCCCCCCCCCCCCCCCCCCCCTCATAAAAAAAACGAGAATCCAAAAATCAAAGCCTTTCTTTCACAAATCAACCCAAAAAAACAAGACTGCGTATACATGAATTAGAGTCTTTTGCCCACATCTGACCTATTATTTCCCCCCACACAGGCCAACAAGTGCAAAGCTCTGAATTGATTTCAACATGTGCATCCTGGGGAGCGGGTTTGGATAGTGTTGAAAAGATGAGCCTGGGACTCAATGAGTAGGTAATATCTTATGACATGTCAAGTTAAGTTTTTATATCAGACTTATGAATCTGGCGTGGTATAAATTATTGACATGTATACATTCGTCTTTGGGTAAATAGTTTCAAGTATACCAACCAAATATCTCTTCAAAAAAAAAAATCCGCTTCCTAAACAACTTTTTCAAATAAATTGAAATGACACACTGTCAATCACTGGAAGAGCCAATAAACAAATCCAAACGGTAAAACGAACAAGAAATTAAAATATATATACAACGAAACTCGTCGTCGCTGCTTCATGGCTACCACCCGAACCCTTCGGTATGCAGGAATATACCCTGCGCCCCCGTTCCCTTATGCACAGCGCGCTCATCGCTCAGCGCCACGACATCCCTCCTCACATCCGCCAGCAGTCCCTCAGGCCCACAAGCCACGACAGCAGCCTCGCCACGCGCCTGCTCGAGCGAGCGTCGGATCAGCGAGCGTGGGTGAGGGCGACCCGAGAGGATGCGGATCGGCGGTGAAGTAGAAGAAGGAGGAACAGGTTTGCGGGGGGTATCCTCCGAGGAAGAAGATGAGGAGGGGGAAGAAGGGAGCGCTTGAGGGGCTGAGAGGGGAGGATTTCCTTCGCCGCAGCGACACACGGTTTGGATAGCATCTGGGGAAGCGGACTCGTCGATTGTGGTCTTACAGCAACATGAAGATTTGTTGAGCCCTGCGCTGTTGGAGGTTGAGTTTGATGGCACTTCTCTGATGGCTTCGCCGTACTTGGTGGTGTTTTGATTACTTTTCTCGTCGATCACCATCGGCGAGTTATTTCTGTATTGAACGGATCCATGCTCAGGCTCTGCAGAGACTCTGGTCTGCGCGTTGGGGTTCGGCGATGTCATGGACGGGAGAAGGGTTTGGTGTTCCTCTGTGAAGGACTCATCGCACGTGACGTAGACGGTCATTTCGAGCTTGATATCTCGAGCTTGCTCCTGCAGGTTCTGAAAATCGCTATACACGGTCGAAAGCTGCTCCGAAAACCATGCCAGCTGTCCCTGGCTCTTGACAACCCACACGAAGCGAACATAGCGGGTAACTGCACCCCTCGGTCTTTGGAAGAATGACGTCGAAGGTTGTGCTGGCGCGACGTTCTCTTTCCAGCCTTGGATGATATCGCGGAGGAGGGGGACGACAAAAGTAGCGCCCGTGCTACCCGCCAGCAGCACTACGCTGTCGAACTGGCGTAGCGGTCTTAGAGTTCCATACGGTCCTTCCACTGTCACGGTTTTGACGCTGCGTCGATCCGTCGTTGCATGGAGACTTTGGGCTTTCTCGGCGTGTTTGAAAAAGCGATGAGTACCCCCCGTTTCAGACTTGATCAATAATTCCATCTTCCCGTCTTTTGGTAGAGACGCAATGGTGAAAGGATGACTTTGTAGCGGCGCAAGGGAGTGGCATGACAAAAAGACATGTTGTCCCGGTGTCCAGCTTATAGGCGGATTCTGTATAACTACTCGAGTGGTGCCGTGCGCAAGAGGTGTGAACTCTGCTTTGCAGGCCAAAAGGCCATTTATGTCTCGTCTGGGATGGAAAAAGGACAAGTTCGCATAGAGTAGGCGCGCTACCCGAAGGACTCGGTCGAAGAAGAAGATGCCCACAGGCAGCCAGACATAGATATGCACTTCCTCGGGAGTATGTATGTAGATGAAACCGATCATGACCGCAAATGACACCAAGTGCTGTACAACGAAAAACTCGTAACACCAACCCCGGATGGGCGCCACAGAACTGAATACAATCCAAACGAGCATGACCCATGCGACGAGACCTTTCCAGACAAGAGTGTTCTCCTTGAGTTGAGTTCCAATGTAGTCGAAGGGTGCCCACGCCGAGAGAAAATAGCCCATGTGAAGGGTCGCAGTCAACAACAGGCATCGCGCGCACCAGCGGTGAAGCCAGTTGAGGCGCTCGTAGCCGATACCAGTGAGGGAGCCAATGATGTTGTTTTTGCCGGCAAGGAGAAAGATGAGTGGCAGCTGGGCGATTGAAACAAAGCCAAGCCGGTACCCGACGGTTTCCCTCTCATACATGTCGAAAAGGTCCAGATCGGAGAGGCCAAGAACCAGTAGGACGATAACGTTGATGATGATCAGACTGGAGCGACCAAGAGTTGGTAGTCGCAGCATTCGAGATTTGATGGGCAGCCATAATGAGTAATTGGAAAACTCTCGAGTGATTGCGTAGGTAGTCGCAATGGCTACCAGAGGCCAGGCTTTTGGTTTCGCCGGCTGTAGCGAGCCTGTCTTTGCCGCGGATAGTCTTGCCTCATGTCAGCCGACTTTGTGGGGTATACAGCCTTACAGGGACTCACCTTTGACGAAAGAGAATTTGATTGTAAACATTGGCCAGAGTGGCGACACCGATGGCGCTTCCGACCACTGCCCAGTAGAATTTGGGGTAGTCGATGAGGGGGGCAGCTCCTCCCATGGCCATACTGCCCATGGCGGCATGATTGCTGTGGGCCATGAGGCTTTTGGGGTTGTGGCTTCTTTTCAGACAGTGGACTCAATCAAACGTAACAGGCAGAGTGGTGGGCGCTTGGCGTGTGAAGTTGTGCTCAACGGAGGGAAGGGTGCGAGACGGCCAGCTGCCATCTATGACATCTGGGACAGTGATTGTGTAATGGCTGTTGAGCAGGTTTGATCAAGTTGATGGATCACAGTGACACATGGGTTTGATCCATGAGCGACCAAAGGGAAGGATGAAGCAAACGGTGCGAGCTGATATTGCGTATGTACTGAGGAATCAATGTATGGATCAGGGTATATGTAGGTGGAGTAGGCGAAGGTGTCAGTGTAGGAGGAATGCGCTCAGAGAAAGAAGAGAGTCGTGAGTGCCGCCACCACCACCACTCTACGCGTGCACATGAATGCAATAGCGTCGGTGTGTGGCTTGTGAGTACCCGAGTACATACACATGCACACGGATGATGGCCTCGTTTTCGGCACAGGATCCATCTTGCTGCTCGCTGTGAAGAGATGGGTGGTGAAGCTGATGGCGAGGAGGCGTGATTGGTGTCTTATTGAGCAAGTTTTGCAGGGGCTTCACGCCGTGCTGCTCTTGTCCCCCAACAACTTGCTCACGCGCTAAGCCCAATCGGGAAGCCATTCTACTCGTGCTCGTAAGGAACGGTACTCAAACTGCTATCTACGTCTAATATCGGTCTTGAACAGTCGAGACAAACGACAGGCGAGAGCCCATGGTAGACAGAGAGGCTGGAACCCACGATGCTATTTATCTCCTTAACAACCGGGCATCCCACGCCAGCTTGTACGCCTCTCCCTCCGACGTCCTACGTTCCGTGATTCACCTTTCCCCCTTGTGCCATACTTAGGTGTCGCAAGATCGCCCGCATTTGCTCTCGATTCCTCGCAGGCCATCACATTTGTCCAAACACTGCGTCTATGCGTCAATGCTAGCCATTTCTCGGTCCTCCGTTATCCCTCAAAGCCAAGGCCTACCAGCTCAACCTCCGACATCTCGCCCATACTTATAGCACCCGTGCGCTCCTGCTCTGTGACTCCTCAGTCTGGTACTCACAAAACTCGCCCATTCATCGTCCAACTCACCATCTCGGCTACGAAAAATAACCTTTGCTCTTCACTTGTCTTGTCCCTTGGAATAATCCTAATCTTCCTCTCTCACAATGGTTGCCCACGGTGGAAGTCACGATACTATGGAGGGGATGAGCGGCATGGATATGGATATGGGTTCCGACAGCCACTCTTCTGGCTCAATGTCCATGGCCATGTCCTTCTTCAGTGCTACCGACACATCTCTCTATTCCGAATCCTGGAAACCGTCGAGCGCAGGCGCTTACGCCGGTACCTGCATCTTCCTTATTATCCTCGCCATTATTCTTCGCGCACTTTTCACTGCAAAGGCCTTCTTGGACGCAAGGGCAATGCAAGCGGCCCTCAAGCGAAGATATGTTGTGGTGGCTGATCAGCAGCCCGTCGGAGACAAGGCCTTCAACGATGCCGGCTCCATGGATGGCATCTTGACCACAAACGGTGTGCAAGAGAACGTACGTGTCGTGTCGGCTCCTGTGAAGACCATGCAGCCTTTCCGGTTCAGCGTCGACTTACCTCGCGCGGCTATCATGACGGTTGCTGCTGCTGTTGGGTACCTTCTGTAAGTTTTCCATGAGCCTATCCATCTTCTTAGATCCAAATCCCCTAACCATTTCAAAATAGCATGTTGGCTGTCATGACATATAACATTGGTTACTTCCTCTCGGTCCTAGCAGGTGCTTTCATTGGGGAACTGGGCTTTGGCAGGTTCAACCAAGGGGCCATGGCCATGTGAAAGTGTCGTTTCCCTACTTCTCGTTTTTTTTTCTTCTCTCTGTATAACTTAATGGCTTATGAGTTATGGTGGAGTCGTCCGTCCCTTGTTTTTGTGTTGTCGTACCCAGTGCAAAGACGAAGGCAAGAAATACCGATTCAGTTCAATCAATCTCGGGTGTTACCCATCCTTGTTCCAAAGATGTCAAATAAATGAACCCTAGATTTCGTTTTTGGTAGCCTCTGATACGCAACCTCACACTACAAGAATAGAGAGATGATTCAAAGCCACCAAGCCACCCCCGGGTAGAAATAAAGCTTGATTCTTTACCAATTGGAATTGTGAGGAGTTGTCAGAATGCCATATATGGTACCGGATTCTTGGTAGAGATGTTGTCACATATTGCGGGGGTGTTCGCAGAGGGTTCGGGTGAGGGGACCCTTAGCAGCTCCAGCCAATCAGCGACGTCTGCACGTGCAGGCATACAAGAGCCTTTTATAAAATACAGCGGTGCATCGGACGCCACTAAGGCAGATAATCTGCTCATACAAGCTCACTTGCCTTTTCAACACTCTCCGCCACAAGAGCCTAGCTTCATGGCGGCGGGTTGGATTAGACGCATGTCGGCAACAAGCTCCCTTCCCTCGTGATGAGCGCGTTGCAGGAATCTGCTCTGGGGGGCGGAATGCACGGCTTGTGGGGATAGCAACAGCTCCTGCTCCTTGTGTTGTACCTGCTTTTCCGCGTGATGGTGAATGAATAAGTAGGATCCAACGCCCAGCTTTTGAGCTTCCTGGTTGTGTACGATTTGCTCCTCTTCACAACCAATCATCGATACCCTGCACTTTTATATAGTTTCTCCTTGACCTCGGTGGATTCTTCTCTTACCATTGATTCCTTTTCACATCACCACGCCCTCCAATATGCACTACTCCACATTCAACCTCCTTGCGCTCCTTCCATTTGCAACAGCACACTTCACCCTCAACTGGCCGACAGCCCGCGGCTTCGATGATACCCAAGCAGGCAGTTTCCCTTGCGGTGGCTTCGACGAGGTGAAGAGCCCACGGACAGAATTCCCACTGGGCGGAGGGCCTCTCCAACTGAACCTGGAGCACACAAGCACCCAAGTGGCCGTCTACCTCTCTCTCGGATCAGACCCAGGGAACAACTACAACATTGTTCTCCGGCCGCAGTTCAAGGAACAGGGCCCCGGTGATTTCTGCTTGGGCGAGGTGGGACTGCCCTCCAGCCTCAACATCACATCCGGCACAAACGGTACTATCCAGGTCGTGACCAACGGGCATGCCGGAGGTGGTCTCTACCAGGTAAGCAATCATACTCGGCTTGACAGCTTCTTTTGCTCGTGTTTCTTGAATGTACGCTGACGATTCGGACGTGATAGTGCGCTGATGTCACATTCACCAACATAACGCTGTCGCAGTCGGACAACCACTGCGCCAACAACACCAATGTCAAGGTCACGCAGGAGAACATGCCAGGCAATCCTAACGGGACTTCCTCAGGTACTGGCACATCGAGTGAAACCCCTGGCCCGAACCCGTCCAGTGCGGCGGCTCATGCGACGGCGGCCGGATGGCTATTGGGCGCAGTCGGTGCTGCAGGACTGGCATTACTTTAAAAGATACCAGTATAAAGGAGTAATCAGGAAAATTGTATATAGTGAAAATCCTTGACTTGAAGTCCTACGGACTAGTGAATATTTGCGTGGATGTTTGCGTGCATGCAGAAGTGATTGAGTACTCGTCTGTAGCTCGCGTGTGATTGGTCAATTGGTACTGACGACATGAGCGCTCTCGTTGAGAAGTCAAGGGACTCGAGAAATGCGTCGAACCGACCGAGCGATTGGTGAAGAAAGGACTCTTTTCACAGAATCTAAAAGTCCAAATAATTTTTGCAGGGGCGTTTATTTCAAGAAAATGCTGTGAGAGACGACGAGAGAGCTGTCCAGCGAAAATCAACAAGCGAGGCCACACTGCGGAACTTTCGGCGCAGTTTCTCCGACGCAGACGCTTCGACACCATCACCAATCCTCACCTGTAGGCCTACACTTACCTGCCCCCCCATTCCGGTTCGTACACCCCTCTGTTTCCGTGGAAACTTGCTGGAGACGTTGCCGGCTGTTTTTCTGGGATCGTTTACTGACTCTTCCGCTGCCGCAGCACCTTTTCCCACGTCCGTTTACCTCTTTCCACCGCAAATATGGATCAAGCAAAGCTGGCGCGCATGCAAGCGTCGGTACGCATTGGTGAGTCCCGGCTCTCCCTCTTCAACACCGCAGCAGGCATTGGAGAAATATACAAGAAGGAAAAAGACAATGCCAATATGCACAAAGTTCATAGCTCGCAGTCATATATGCTAACAATCACCGATAGGGTAAGCCATCTTCCACATCCACCCCCGCGACAAACGCACAGCTATTTTGCTCCCGCCCCACCATCACCCGCGACCGCATCTACCAATGTCTAAAAACCACCGCAAACCGCAACTCTCTCATCGCCATGCCGTGTTGGAATTATTTAGCTAATCGGGTTCATTTAGTGGCAAGGGCACTCCCCGCAGGAAGGTCAAGAAGGTCCACAAGAGCGCTGGTACCGACGATAAGAAGCTCCAGACTGCCCTCAAGAAGCTCAACGTACAGCCCATCCAGGCTATTGAGGAGGTGAACATGTTCAAGAGCGACGGAAACGTCATCCACTTCTCAGCACCCAAGGGTACGTCATTTGCAAGCATGCGCACTTGGATTCCTGGTCCTTATACAGGAGCATCATCTTCTCTGGTCTACGGAATCCGGGCGAGAACCCATTGCCACCATTAAAAGATTCTACAACAAGGTCATTGCTGACTGAAAAAATAGTGCACGCTTCCGTGCCCGCCAACACCTTCGCCATCTACGGTAACGGTGAAGACAAGGAGCTTACCGAGCTCGTCCCCGGTATCCTCAACCAACTCGGCCCCGACTCGCTCGCGTCGCTACGCAAGCTCGCCGAGAGCTACCAGAGCATGCAGAAGGAGAAGGGTGAGGACGGTGCCAAGGATGATGAGGACGACGACGACATCCCCGATCTTGTAGCTGGTAAGTTTGGCAACAGGGACTAAACACGGGAAACCACATGGCTCACCACACCACAGGCGAGAACTTCGAGCAAAAGGCCGAGGTCGAGTAAATCAGTCGGCGAGAATGAGAGGAGAATCCGCCCACTCGGTCGTGAAAGACGGGTTGGGTCATGGCATGACATGAACCACGTTTCGGTGATGTCAAATATTGGACATATTGCATTTCCGTTCAATGTCTTTCAATGGGTAGTCGCGGTGGGCTTCATGTGGCATGTGGACCAGACTGGCGTTATCTCGAATGATGTGGAAATGGAAATAAAAAAAAGTACCAACATACCAACCACTCTCTTGCTCGACCATGCTGTGATGACGGCATGTCCGCTGCGTGTAGCCGTTGGGGCGAAGCTTGTCACAACGGTCAATGGCTGATGTCGGAGGATTGGTCACGTACTGGTTCCTCACGTCGTGTGCATAAGGGGCTGCTGCTGCTAACTAAGACAGTGGGCATGCTTTGAAATGCTTGGCAGATGGCATCCGACGATGTCGAATTGTAGCGTTTGTCAGCCAGCCTGCCAGCGGGTCATTCGTGGCACCGCTCCGCTCCGGAAGCCTACTCTACTTAGTGCCGACCACATAGTAATCCGACTAAGTAGTGTACATATGGCCCGACCTGCCCAGCCGGAGCGGTCAGTGTCGATCCGCTTCCGAACGATATGGTAAACAGGTGGATCGCCCTCTGATCCTAGCTTCGATATTGTTTTATTAATCTCTACTGCTACCTGCCATATGTTGAGAACCATCCGGCTTTCATAATCTCACACACATTCCTTTCCAGGCGGCTTGTTTTCTGTTAAATACCTAACCTAGCAGCTCCAGCGCGCTTCGGTTCCCCACCACCGATTCCACAGCGATTCATTGCTACCTTTAATTGCCCCTTTCTTGGCTGATTGCTTCTTTGCTCGCTCCCACAATAACAGCAGCAGCAACAACAACAGTAGCAATAACAAATCGCAAACATGTCCACCGAAACGATAGTCATTCTGGGTGCATCTTTCGCTGGCCTCGGCGCTGCGCACTATGCATTGAGACACGTGCTTCCACAACTCCCCAAGAAAGACGGAGTCACGTACGATGTCACCTTGGTGAACCCTTCCAAGGACCTCTTCTGGAGGCTTGCCATGCCCCGCGTGGCTGCTTCCACCAAGCTTCTACCGCTCGATAAATGTTTTATTCCCATCGAACCGGCTTTTGCTTACGCAAAGGGTCGTTTCAACTTCGTCCAAGGAACTGCAACGAGTATCGATGCCGAGGGCCGAAAGGTCACTGTCCAAACAGCAACAGAGGAGAAGACCATTTCCTTCATCTCCCTCGTTATCGCGACTGGGGTGTCGACACCCTCGCCCCTTTTCACCCTAACCTCCGACCGTGCCGCACTCGAGGCTGAGCTCGACACTTTCCACAAGGCCCTCGGGAAAGCCACCTCGGTAGTCATTGGCGGCGCAGGACCCGTGGGCGTCGAAACCGCAGGCGAAATCGCCGAATTCCTAAACGGCAAACCAGGCTTCCTCGCCTCGGCCCCCAAGAACCCAAAAGTCAAAGTCACCCTCATCTGCGCCGAGAGCAAGATGCTCCCCGTCCTCCGCGAATCCATCTCCAAGAAGGCCGAGAAGTTGCTCAAGAACCTAGGCGCCACCGTCCGCTACGACACCAAAGTCGTCTCTGCCTCGACCCCCTCCGAAGGCGCCAAAACCGCCGTCCAGCTCTCCAACGGCGAAACCCTCGAGACGGACATCTACATCGACGCCACGGGCACACGCCCCAACACGAGCTTCGTCCCCGGCGCCTGGCTCGACACCCGCGGTAAAGTCTCGTGCAACCCAAAGACACTGCGCGTCGAAGCCGCAGGCGTCCCCCGCATCTACGTAGCCGGCGACGCTGGATCCTACACGCGCGGCGGCGCCATGGATCTGCAGATCGCGCTCCCCGTCGCCATGACGAACCTCAAAACCGATCTGATTGCCCATGTTTCCGGTAAACCCCCGGGCCCCGATAGGCACTATGCGGCGGACCCCAAGGAGTCGCAGGTCGTTCCCATCGGCACGAGCAAGGGTGTTGGCGCGTTCGGTGGCAACCAGCTACCTAGCTTGATGGTGTGGGGAATCAAGGGCCGCGATTACATGCTGGGTATGTTGGCGCAGCCCACGCTCAACGGGGATGCGTACAAGAAGGAAGGAAAGTGGAAGCCGCAGCCAGTCGTCAACAACGGCGTGGGGTTGAGCAGTAGTTAAGCATGCCAAGTCGTGGAGAAGGAACTAGCGGGATATAGTTCAGATTGGATCTACACCAGGGGTTGCCAGGCTCAATCCTTGTCGTTGGGTAATCTGTGGTAGTAGGTGGAGGATGTAATGTTTAGGTCTCTCTCCTTTGTTTCTCTATTTTTTTTTGTTTTTCCTTCAGATTGAGAAAGTATACCCTTTGGTCATTAGTGGCGTTGGTCTGATCAGACACGGGCGATATAGTAGTTGGATTGCCGATAACAGTTTGGGGAGATAGCATTACCAGTTTGTAGCTTCTGCATCACTCTTGTTCTCAACACCTCCTCGGTTCTTTGCAAAGTGAGTTTCCATGCTCCTCCATTCAATACTCGTGAACAAATTGCAAGTACGTGTGTTCGTTACCATTCTGCTCCACATAACAGTCTACGCGACAATACTTTCTCAAACATCTTATAGCTTCGATTGCATATCTACCTTGAATCTTCTCGCCCTCTCTACGAAAAAATAAAACAAAAAATGAAAATAAAAATAAAATCTTCAAACAACAACAACCCTCTTCACGAGCCTCCCCCCAACACCCTGCTTCTCCATAATCCCTTCAACAAAAACCTCACCTTGCAGAACCCATCCCCCCTTCTTCACCCCCTTGGTCAAAGCCCTATTATACCCCCTCCTCAACCTCACCCACTCGTCATCAAGTTTCCCAAGTTTCCCCTTCCCCCTCCTCCGACTAACTACATCCACGGGCGTCGGAACCCACTTTCCCTCAACATTCCTCACATTCCCAGCTTCCTCTTCGTACCTCATCTCGTTATCCTCAATATCAACCTCCAACCCTCTTAACCGCTCCTCGCGGCTCTTCTCCAGCGCCCGAAACGCAAACGGCACCGGCGCACCGCCGATAACCATGACGACATCGCCGCGCAGAAGCCACGTCGGCCCCAGCCCGACTCGACCTTGCGCGGTGACGAAGATGGCACTCCACGCGCGTTCCGCGTCCGCGAGCGCAGAAAGCCGCGTGTATGTTTGCTGATCTGCGGCGCAGAAGTCGGGTCCCAGCGCGCATTTTTCGCCGTTGGGTAGCGGGCCCAGTGGGACGGATTGGCCTGGCAGCACTTGGACGGTGGTTGTGCTTTGTGCGTCTGGAGCAGCGCCAGGGGCTGGGAAGGCGTCTGGGTTCGGGAAGTGGCGTGCGAGGGATGTGCGGATCGCGAGGTCGAAGGCGCGGGCGTTGGACCAGTCGGGCCAGGGGGAGGCTGGGTATATCTTCTGGATCTGCTCGAGCGGGGCGACGATGCTGGCGGGCTCTTTGAAGGGTTTGTAGGTCCCGGTGGGGTCGTGTTTGAGCTTGTATGCGCGCCAGTGGATTTGTCTGTGCCGGATGAGGATGTTGTTCAGCACGGCGTAGCTCAGCGAGTGGCAGAACCACGTCGATGCTTCTTGTTTCCCGCGGTCTTGGGATACTGAAGGTCCGGACGGTAAAAAGAGCACGCGGCTGAGGGATTCTAGGAATGCGGGGGTGGGGTTTTTAGCGCTGAAGGTGGTGATGGTGTTGAGGAGCGCTTTGATGGCGTTGTAGTCGAGGCGGTGGATTGGGTCGGGGGTTTTGATGAATTGTTCGATCGAATCATACTCGATTGCGTCGACGAGGAGGGATGTGCCGTCGGGGGAGATTGATGGGTTTCCTTTGAATCCGAACCCGGCTTCGAAGAATTTCTCGGGTCGGAATGCTAGAGGTTGTTTCAAGGTAGTCTGATGTAAACGAGATTAGTAGACGTCGTTCTGTTGAAAATAAAAGGAAAATATTGTGTAAGAACGAAGGGGGGACATCAACCTACTTTCCACGACCCTGGCGCTGGGACCCACGACGGTATCTCGTCAAGGTCAATCTGATCGCCCGAGGACTTGATGAAGTACTCCGACCATATATGACGCGCTTCCGGTCGTTGAGCGAGCGATAGCAGTTCCTTCATTCCCGTGTTGGATATAAGACAGCTGGCAGTATTGACCAGCACCTCTGCAATATCCACCGTGTACCTAGCTTCTAATCTAGCCCAAAGACCATTTGGTATCAATGATTGCCGTGCTCCTGGAGTGGATGCTGAAGTACCATCATAATTGAGATTATGAATCGTTCTTGCTGGGTTATTCGAAGGTTGTATTTTAGGCAGACGTGTTCCTGGCTCAGGGCCAACGGATTCAGGTTCGGAGTTGCTGAGAAGGTCACTGTTGATTTGTAGCTGCTGTGGGTTGATGAGGGACAGACCACCGAAGATGAGATCACGTGGGTTGCTGGAAAGCCGACCTCTGCATACCAGAAGCCATTGTCGAAGAGACCATAAGCCGTCGTGTTGGAAGTACTCACGAGCACGCAGTGTCGCTGGCGCCTAACCTGGAATCAGAATGCACCCCAAACAAATGGGTGTTTCCATTTCTAGGAATCGCTCGCAAGTTGTGGCTGACTTACTAAATATCAAATGTTAGCTTCTCGGTGACGCTTTTCTAGCAGCCCTAAGTTGACGACGTGAAACGTACCATTCTGAATCTGTGGAAAATAAACCGGAAGAACCTGTAGAAACTGCACCGGTATGATTGTCCCCCCGCGAAAGTCTTGCACGTGCAGCAACTTCTCGACAATCTCGAACGCTTTCAACACCGTCTCGGTGCTCAATTCCATCCTGTCCAACACAAAGACCACGTCCTTGGCCCAACAGAATTCCTGGATCACCCATATCCGTCTAAACCACTGGTTCAGAACAATCAGCAAAGCGCTGCGGCACATTTTCTCGACCGCGGCCTGGCTGAGTCCTGGAACCGAAATGCTGCTTTCACCTTTCTTCTTCTCATGAGACGTGTCTCTGACGGGGTCGAACTCGATTTTGTTGTCTACCAGGTGTTGGATATCGGAAATTCCGAGGGTGTACAGAGGCGTGCTTTTCCCGAGCCACACCACTACCATCTCCGCGGCTTGATAGATGCGGCCCATGAGCTGTACTTGCAATGCTTTTTCCTGCAGATCGCTCTTCGCATGGTAAGCTTTCTTCCTGGCCGCCCTCTAAACCATGGCGTGGAAACAAACGGAAGAGAGCCCATCAAGTGAAGCCGTCTTAGCCAGAACCAAAGAATAGGAATAACTTGAACACTTCTCCACCAAACTCACCTCTGATTAATGCACACTGCGTCGATCCAATAAGTACCCGGCCGTCTCCTTCTCAGCTGCAGCAAAGCGTCGTAAAGATTCGACTGGACAGCAATGCTTATCCCATTACACACAATCGTCTTGGAGGTCTCAGGCTCGCCTCCCCCAAGAATATCACCAATATTGAATGCATCGCCTTGCAAGTATGCCTTGGCAACTCGTTTGGCGCTTTTGAACATCTCCGTCGGAAAAAATACATCTTTACTCCAAGTATAAGAAAGCGCGGTGTAGGCTGGATTGTCGCCCGAGATCAGCATCGTACAGAGAACAGCGGAGGACGGATCCTTCAGTCTCGGGCAAGATGTCGAGAAGTCGGATCTGTGATGCTCCTTGGAGAGGGTCATATTCAAAATCCTCGATTTTCCCTTTGCGGGACTGCAAAAGATTCCGTCCTATCTGTTCTGTTTTGTTCCATAACCCCGCAAGGAGATTCTCTTGGTGCGGGGTATCCATTAGTTACGAAGTAGGAAACGGTGTATTTGGGTTTAGGAGTTTGAGGAGCTCACTTTGAAGTCCGCAGCAGTTCGAAAGAGGTAAGTAGTAGTGGGGTTCCCGGTCAGCCAAGGACATCTAAAATCACTTGGAATGAGCGTGAAGCTATATGTCTGACAACGGATTGATCGTCTGCGTCCTTTGTCTTATCTTGCCATGTGTCGCATGTTCGTATAATCATGAACTACATTCAACAGGAAAAAAAAAGTGGGAGAATGCATGTCTCAATACAACAGCCTACAATATCATGTATCAGTGTAATCTCTCTGATGTAGTCGAATTGTGATGAATTCGATAAAGCTTTAGTGTACATATATCGCCTACCTTCTTACCTTCTTACCTAAAAATCTACAGTTTCTAATCATCAGAAGCAAAATGCTCAAGCACAAGCATGTATACTACGAGGGACGAGGGGGGACGAACAATCAAGAACAGGGGAAAAGTGGGGTAACATGTAGGATCCGCTGCTAGTCTCAATTGATGACACCTGAAGTGAAGAGAGGTTGGCAGTGAGTCTCGAGCTTTTCTCAAAGTGCAACAAATGTAACTTTTGCAACTCTGTGCTCAGAATAGAGCCGAATCATCTCATAGCTGATTTAGTATGGTTCTCTGTTTATACGATACGCCGTAGGGGGTTTTTTTTTTATAATGGAGCGTAGTATCCTAGGTGATCGACGTATGCAAGCTCGCTTCTTACGAGAGAAAGGTCATCGGATATCCCGAACGTCCATCTCATGAACATGTAGATGTTACGATAACACGGTCTGAAAGAAGTATGATAGGTGCGATGTACGTCATGGCCGTTGCGCTTATACGCAGTGTTTATGGAGGGAAGCTAGCGGACCATGCATCTGCAGCAAGCTCATTACGCTAGGGAAACTGACGCGTCTAATTCACCTGTTCGGGGCGTCGCTTGCTTTTGATTCGGTGAGACATGGCCCAGAGAAGTAACTTGCACATCTAACCTCAACGAATAGATGGAGTAAGCAATAACATTTGCCGATCATTGGGTATAAGTACAGGTTCAGAGACTCTCTGAAGCATTTGTGTATCAAAGAAAAAAAAATTCCCTCACTTACTTGAACGTATATCACATCATCGTTGTTTCAATCGGTTGCGGTTGAGCAGCGACTTGATATCTAGCTATCATGCCTTCGTTGTCTTCAATGCAAAACCCATCCGTCATACTCTACGGCCCTGAAAAGGCGGAGATAGAAGATAGACCGATTCCAGAGATTTCGGACGGCCATGATGTGATTGTCAGGATACGCTTCGTTGGCGTCTGTGGTAGTGATGTATACACATTCTTCCCTATCCCTCTCGACCCCTCTTCTGATCCAACACCTACACGTTACAGCCGGATGAAAAACAGCAAATTACAAACTCTTTTATGAGCACCTCGCTAACATCTCCAGGTGCACTTTTGGAACCACGGCGGAATAGTAAAACACGTCGACCCGTCCGTCGGCCTGACAATGGGCCACGAAGCCTCGGGCACCATCCACGCCATAGGACCTCTCGTGACCAGCCTTTCCGTCGGCGACCGCGTAGCCTTGGAGCCCGGAACCCCCTGTCGCTACTGCATACAGTGCAAATCCGGCTTCTACAATCTCTGCAAGGGCATGCGATTCGCAGCCGCTCCTGGACCACCTGTAGATACGCAAGGCACGCTGAGCAAGTTTTTCAGGATCGCAGAGGATTTTGCGTATAAGATACCCGACTGGATGAGTTTGGAGGAGGCGGTTCTGGTGGAGCCGACGGGCGTTGCGGTGCATGCTGTGAGGCTGGCCGAGGTAAAAGCTGGAGAGGTCGTGGTTGTGATGGGGAGTGGAACGATCGGGTTGCTTGTTGCGGCCGTTGCGAGAGCGTTTGGCGCATACCGTGTCTTGCTGGTTGATATACTGGAGAAGAAGTTGGCGTTTGCTGAGGGGTTCGTCGAGTGTGAGACGTACTTGTCTGATGCGGATTTGGATGTCAAGGGGAATGGGGAGAAGCTGTTGAAGCAGCTGGGCGTGGATGGAGTGGATACTGTGATTGAGTGTTCTGGGGCGGCTGCATCTGTTGATTTGGGGATTCATGTTGCACGGGAGGGTGGGAAGTATGTTCAGACGGGTATGGGGCGACCGAGGATTGAGTTTCCTATTGGTGTGATGGCGGAGAAGGAGTTGACGGTGAAGGGGTGTTTTAGGTATAACGCAGGAGACTACGAGCTGGCGATCAAGCTCATGTCGAGGAAGTTGTTCGATGTGAAGAAGCTCATTTCTTCGACGTCGTCTTTTGAGAACACCACTGTAGCGTGGGAGAAGACGAAGAGTGGACAAGGCATCAAGAATTTGATTCAAGGGGTGCAAGATTAGAGACCATTATAATCTGCTGCACTGAGTATGTGGGCATGAGCAGTCCAAATTATTCCATGTCATATATTCATTTAATTGTGGTCATGTGCAGGCTATCACGATATACCCATAAATTATTCCTTGTTCGGATCGGCGATCTGCAAGATGGCCTTGCCAAAGTTCTTTCCGGTAAACAATCCCAAAAGACCGTCGACACCGTTGTCAATTCCCTCCGTCACACTGTATCTGGCGAAGAACGTGCCTTCGGACAGCCACTTCTGCAGCTTCTCCTGGTGGTCTTTCCCATACTTTGGCCCAAAGTTGGGGTCACCGACAATGAAGCCTCGCATGGTGAGTCGTTTCGCCACAACTTGCATAAGGTTCCTGATAGGGTATACGTCTTCAGGCTTCGAGTTGTACTGAGAGATCATACCGCATGCAACTGTCCGTTGTTAGTACTTTGTCCTAGGACCATGAAATGGAAGGCGGGGAACTTACCAATGCGACCAAAGTTGTTCATGGCATTGATGGCTGCTTCGAGGTGCTCTCCACCAACGTTCTCGTAGTAGATATCGATACCGTTGGGTGCAAGACGAGCTAGGGCGTCCGCAGGCTTTTCCTTCTTGTAGTTGAAGCCAGCATCGAACTTGAGCTCCTTGAGGATGTAGTCGAGTTTTGAGTCGTCTCCAACACTTCCGATGACGGTCAGACCCTCATGCTTGGCCAACTGACCTACCAGCTGACCGACAGCTCCCGAGGCAGCCGAAATGAAGATGGTCTCACCCTTTTTGGGTTGACCGATTTCGAAGAAAGATGACCATGCGGTTAAACCTGGCATAGACAACGCGCCGACGAAGTGCTTGAGGTCGAGGTTGTAGGGGTTTGAGAGTTTGTTGAAGCTATCGACGTATTTCTTCTCGTATAGAGTGTATTCCTCAGTTGGGGAGAGACCCATGGTGGTGATGAGGTCACCAGGAGAAAACTTGGAAGAGTTGCTCTTGAGCACCTTCATCAAGGCCGAGTTGGTGATGGGCTTTCCTAGCTCAAAGGGAGCAGAGTAGGATTTGACGTTTGCGGCCCTCATGCGACCACGCTGGTAGGGATCAAAAGACGCATACAAGTTCTTGACTATTATGCCGCCCTCGGGAATGCTCTGGTCCAGGTCGAATGGTCGGTCTTCCACGACCAAGTCTTTGCCTGCGACGGGCATGCCCTCGGGGACATTCTTGAAGATGATGCCCTTGTTCTGAACCATGATGCAGGTTATTCGGGCTATTACTGGATGTTAAGAGTGTTGGAAAAGAGAAAGATAATCTAGGGGTATCTGAGAATGATAGAATGGATAGCAATGGAAAAATGGAACGGTATGTAGTAAACTGGATATTCTGGGCGAGAAGAGGTGTTTGAGGCGTTTATATACGAGACAGGCGGAGGAGCCGGGATACAGCAATGACACAGATTAATTGCATCATAGTCAGAAGAATCGGCGAAAAAGGGACTTGTTCGGCGGAACTGCTAATGAGCACAGACGGATGAAGTGAGGCAAGATGGGGAAGGGCAGGTTGGTGGACCGAGGTCTGCAGTAGGAGATCAGTAGTGTGGCAAAAGAACAGCAACGGTCGTGCCTGATGGCGACGGATGCTTCTAGTCATCCCAGTTGTGCATTTTCTGATTACTTTACATTTACGACAGGCGCCTGTTTCTAGTGGGATCGGATGAATAGCTAAAAAGAAGCTTGGTGCCGATCCATCTCACGTGTCGGGCGATCCAATGTGATTAGATCTGATCTGACCTGATCTGATCTGATTAGATTAGCAAAACCTCCAAATAACCCTTTTGTGGTTGGTACAATATTTGGTACGTTTGCTCTCTATGCATCATCGCAGCTCAACACCATAGAAGTTCGTCCTCCTTTTCGTCCATCCTCTTCTTCCACATTCCCTCTTTCCCCCCCCCTTTTTTTTTCTCTGCTCCTCCCTCTCTCCCCATCCATGGCCAACCCTACCCACCCCTCGGCCGAAAAGTCAAACATGGCGGCCATTCCCAGACGGGGTCCACCGCCGCCACAACCCCTCGACCTACCTGCCCTGACCGAGCTGCGTGGGAAGCGTGTCGTGCTGGCCTCGGCCTCCCCCCGCCGCAAGTTCTTGCTGGGCCTTGTGGGTATCCCGAAAAACTTCGGTTGTGCAAAAAGAGGGAGCTGACAAATTTGCCAGCTCGGTCTAACCAACGTCGAAGTCATCCCCTCCAATTTCGCCGAAGATCTGCCCAAGACGCTGGCCCCACACGAATACGTACAGCGCACCGCCTCTGAGAAGGCTGTAGAGGTGTACAAGCGCGAGGTCGACAATGGCGACTTGGGTATTGTCATTGCTGCTGATACTGTCATCATCAGCCATACTGGCCAGATCATGGAGAAGCCGCGAAACCCTCAGCACCATCTCGAGATGCTGAAGAAATTGAGAGACGAAGGCACTCATCAGGTCGCGACCGCTGTAGTCGTTATGAGACCTCTAGTGAATCCGGTCGATCCTGGCTACCGCATGGAGAGCCGAGTTGAGTCGACCACCGTCAAGTTTGACCCCAAACGTATGTCTTCCTCTCATCTGGTCCTCTCTTGAACTGATGCTAACATACCCAGTGACGGATGACATAATATCTGCATATGTAAAAACCCGTGACGGCAACGACAAGGCCGGCGGGTATGGTCTTCAAACTGCGGGCTCCATCCTCATTGAGCGTATAGAAGGCTCCCATGACAACGTCATTGGCCTGCCTCTGCGTGTTACCCTCCAACTTATCGAGCTGTGCATGGAACCCGACGTAGACATGGACGACGAGGACGATGATATGGACAACGTGTTTGAAGGTGCTATATAAATGAGAAGAAGCGCAGTGTGGAAAAGGCAGCTCAAGGTCGCCTTCCCCGCGCAGTAGTACACGCCATACACTGGGCGTTCGTGTTTGTTCGCATCGACGCAGAGCTACCCAGGGTTATGATCCAATGCCACACAGGTTCTCTTTTCCACGGAACATGCTAATGACCTCTAGCTAGCTTGTTGCTTGCCCTGCCTTCCACCCATGTCGCCTGCAAGAGGAGAAACGCGGATACCGACAGCTGCTGCGTAAACACAATCACAGTCCAGGCAGATGACTGACGGGTCAATGTGCCTCTGTCATATGGACGAGGAACTTTGAGGAACCGAAAAATTCACAATTCAATCCCATTGAACAACGTACGCTCGGATACCTGCAAACATGCCCCACAAGTGAATGGGAGAAGAAGCATTCTGATTGCTCGGATGACTTCTGCTCATTTAGTCACACCTTCCTGTAATGAGAGTAGACGACGTTCGAGAAGATCCATTATCAACATCCCAATATGTCGCCCTATAGTGATACGTTCCGTATGACGTTACCTTGATCCCACCAGCCCCTCATCGCGGTTCGGGAAGCTGACATTTCAGTGGGGGTGGATGCAGGGCAAGCGAGCAGGGCATGGTCAGCACAGGGGTTCGCCAACAGAGGGGGCCGAAAAGCAGTGGGATCGGAGATCCGCTTAAGTATATATATATATACGAACCCAAGACAATTAAGGCACTACTCTGTTCCTGCTTCCTGGCTGCTTACATGCGCACCTCCTGCTGCCATCACATCGCGCTGACAGGCGGTCACCGGATGCGCGTCGACACATCCCATACTTACCCAAAGAATGGGTCGCAGGCGATGAGTTCTGTACTCCCATGCGCTTAAAATCGTCGATTTGCTACCCAAGATGCGCCCGTTGATCTTCATACTCTATACAGCCTCAGTGTTCCTCTTCCCCGCCACCAGTATCGCAGAGAGTTGTGCCGCGCCTCCCCTGAACATTCCTCTCCGCAATGTCTCTACAGCGCCTGGTCTATTGCATATAGGGATCCCCATCGACTTTGGCTCGACACGACAAATTGTGGCTCTCACACCCTCTCTTCAGCTCGACAATACCTTCATCCCTCGCTACACGAATACGTGCGTCCACAACGATGTGTCGACCGGGGCTAGGCGCGCGACCCCTCTTGTACTCAGACGTGACGGATATCCCGGGAGGTTAGAAGAATTAGGCACGACATCCAGCAATGCAAGCAATACAGACACGACCAATTGGTGGGTCGAGTGTGCGGACATGTACGGAGGTGGCTACGATCCCTCACTCTCCCAAACGCTGCACGACACGCGCACAAATAACAACAGCGACTCGGAACCGTGGTTTGCAACCATTAAACACACGTCCTGGACCTTCGTGACTGAGCAATTTGCCTTCAGCGACTATCTCTCCGTCTATACGGCTACCAACGAAGCGCTTCCCCCCAAAACCAACACAACCACCTCGTTCATTCTTAGCAATGTGAATGCGCAATTTGGCTCGCTGGGGGCCTCCCTCTTGGGCCTAACACCTTCCTCAACCCTCCTCCGCTCCCTCCACGCCGACAAACTCATCCCCTCCACATCATGGTCCCTCACCAACTCCTCACTCTGCCTAGGCTGCATAGACACAAAGTCATCTCAAGGCGACTTCCACACCTTCAAACCCGCCAATCGCACCGCAAACCCCAAACTCCCCTGTCTCCTACAGACCACAATCGAAGCTCTGAATTGGCATCCCGATCCTACCGTCGAAGGCGTATCCCTCATCACATCCGCCTTCACCGCATGTATCGACCCGGGCGTGACGTTTCTCGTCCTACCCCCAAGCGTACGGCAATCCTTCACAAAAGTGCTAGGCCGCGAAGTCGCCGCCGAGTACAACGACGAAACAGCGTTCAAAGGCGCGCCACCCAACGCTTCGGGCATCGGGCTGTTGACGGTAAGGGTAGAAGGCGGGCTCGAAGTCAACGTCAGCATCGCAGGCGCGGCGTCAAAAGCCACGGCATCCACGCCCACGGCCGCAGATCTCGATCACGACTCGCAGCAGCGGTGGCGAATCCCCATCGGCAAAGGCGCGTGGGGCGCGTACGGCGAAGAGACCTGGGTCCTCGGGAAACCGTTCACAGACGCCCTGGTGCTGCGCTGGGACGCGGAGACGCAGGAATTCGGCCTGGCGAACCGCAATCCGTCCTTCTCTCTTCTTCCTCCAACCTCTTCTTCTTCGCCAGCGGAGCATCGTGATGATGATGATGAAGATACCATCAAACCACTAGGCTGCACCTCGTTCCCCTCCATCGACAAACTCGTATCCACGTCCCCATCAACCGGCATCGTGGTCGGCACCGCCATCGGCGGATTAGTCGGCGGCATCGTCTTCGCCATGGCCGGCCTCTTCTTCTTCAGGCGAGGCGTTAAGGGCGCGAGGAAGAAGTACGAGCCTTTGACCGGCGGTGCTCCTACCGCCGCCGCTGATAACGTATCCCTACGCACGCTGCAGTCGCAGCAGCATCTCGTCGAGCACCGCCATTACAGTGCGGGGAGCTGGGGCGGTGGCGCGTACGGAGCTGGCCCGTTGAGCCCGCCTCCTCCGAGCCTGAGGGGCAGTTTTGTCAGCGGCAAGAGCGTTGGCGAAGTCAGTGCCGATGATGGCGCGATTTACGAGGCCCCCGAGGGGGGGACGGGGGTTCCTACTAAGAGGGGCCAGGTTGAACTGAGCTGAGTTACGTTGCGTTGCGTTGACAGCTGGTCGCCCGCTTGGAGAGTCATTTGATCGTTTGTGTATGTATTCCTTGCCTCGAAGAGAAAGGAAACCATGTCTTTTTTTTTTGTTATTACCCTATATTTGTTAGGATGAATACATACCCGTTCTTGTACCATGGGAGAAACAAAAAAAAATTAATGGTATTGGCTAACGAGCAAATCCATATATTTTCCCTTTTTCCATTTTTTGAAGAACAAGCATAATTATTGTTTCATTTTTTTCCCCGATTCGTGAATGTGCATCTTCATCTCATATCTATCCATCCATCCATCTATTAAAACCACCAACTTCGCTGCAAACAACCCAAACAACATTATATTAACTCTTTCCTCCCCCCCCTTTTTTTTTTCTTCCGGATCCTCCGCTTCTGTCCTCAACCCCTTCTTTTTTTCTTCCCCTTCTTTCCCTCCCCCATCAACGTAGACATAAACAACAGTATAGTAGAGAACAAAACGCTGCAAAGCTGTTTCAACCTAGAATCTATGCCCCCACCTCTAGCCTCCCCTTTTTATTTCCTCTCTTTTCTTTTCTTCCCTCTCCTCATATGAGATTTTATAGAACAAAAAGAGAAAGAGAAAGAGAGAGAGAGAGAGAGAGAGAGAGAGAGAGAGAGAGAGAGAGAGAGAGAGAGAGAGAGAGAGAGAGAGAGAGATGTAGAAGTATTACACTTTAAGAGAAGAAGAAGAAGAAGAGGAAGAGGAAGAAGAAGAAGAAGAAGAAGAAGAAGAAGAAGAAGAAGAAGAAGAAGAAGAAGAGGAAGAGGAAGAGGAAGAGGAAGAGGAAGAGGAAGAGGAAGAGGAAGAGGAAGAGGAAGAGGAAGAGGAAGAGGAAGAGGAAGAGGAAGAGGAAGAGGAAGAGGAAGAGGAAGAGGAAGAGGAAGAGGAAGAGGAAGAGGAAGAGGAAGAGGAAGAGGAAGAGGAAGAGGAAGAGGAAGAGGAAGAAGACACCATAGCATTCAATCAGATGCAACGACTTGCTAAATTTCTTGAACAATAATGTGATATATAGCCATCTCTCATACAGAACACATGCGCTTGTGATGACTCCACTCGGACGCTGATTGTTTTCCAACTTAGAGATGCGGAATATACTCGGACCACTCGGGCGTCCTATAAACATCGACAGGCGCGGACCTCAAGCTCAAAAAAGCCTCGAGCACGATAAACACCCTGCCGACCAAGAAAACGGGGATCAAAACGCCGAGACCGAACCACCTGGCGACGCGAGAATTGCGCACAAAATGCTCGAGGTGTTCGAAGGCGGGGAATCGGTGGGTGGCGAGGAAGAAGAGGGCGAGGAGGATGCCCACGGCGCCGGTGGCGAGGGAGCAGGCGATCCACAGCCAGCGCTCGAGCGGGGAGGGGAAGTGGTCGTTCCAGGCGGAGAGGTGGAGGCCGCCGTAGGCGGAGCCGGCGACGGCGACGACGGCTTTGAGGCGGTTGTGGTGGACGTTTACGGAGCCTAGGTACGAGAGGCCCGGGAAGTTTGGGATGACGTCTGCGACGTAGATGAGTTCGCCGACAAAGGTGCCGAGGGTTGAGGTGGTGAAGAAGAAGGCGCGGTAGGCTGGGCGCTGTTGGCATGCGAGCCAGAGTTTGTCGGTGAGGTGGTTGGCTAGACGCCAGCGGGTGATTGCGCTGGGTGGAAGGGGCTCGTGGTGCGTGCAGTCTCGGAGGGCGCGTCGGCAGTAGACGGTGGAGTGTTTGAGGCCGTAGTTGGGCTCGGTGCGTTGGAGAGAGAGGAAGATTTTGTGTTCGTCGGCTGGTTGGAATGATTGTTTGGGGATCGAGTAGGTTGCGTTGTGGGCTCCTCGAGCGGCGTCTGCGGATTTCTCGGTCGCGTCGCCGGCGACTTGGAAGCTGTCTAGGGGTCCGATGAACTTTTTGGGGTCTTTGGCGCCGATGGAGCCAATGGAGAAGTACGTCTTGTCAAGTTTGTCGACTGGTCGACCGACATCATTGGGAGTGCTTGCAGAGGTTTCCCGCTGGGAGGGGGGCGTGTACGACATGCATCTCATCTCGCTGATGAAGTCGTTGTTGTGCCATGAGACGGGGCTACACATGTAGAAGAAGGCTACGAATTCGTCCATCCATTCTTCATGTCGGATCAAGGTGGCATCTTTGATCTCGAGCGGTTTGCTCCACCATAACGCATACAGGGCAAAAGCGCACAGGACATGGCCGATGGTGTTGATTTCGAGCAGGGTAACGGGCAGTTTTTGTTGCACGCGAGCCAGAACCTGTATGATCATCCAAGTGGCCTGGAGAACGACAATCGTCTTGGCCAAGCCGTCAGCTTTGCTCTTGTCACGGATCACGTTTTTTGGGACATGTGGGAGGCGGCCTAAGAAGGAGAGCATTCGGACACCCTCTGCTGTTAGACTGAGTCTTCGATCGTCATCGATGCAGTCGCCCGTCTCGATACGGATTCCTCCCATGACGGCATAATAGCATTGCGCTATGGTCCATTCTTTCAGCTGCTGCTCATTGCTCCAGGCCGCATTGGTGCCCTAAGATTATCAGCCTTGTCACCAACATGACTCCAGATGAGTACATATGTAGCCATGGTTAATGAAACGCCCCCAGCAGCACAGTTTGTGATTTATATCTGCTCTTACCATCTCACTTGACCTAAAAAAAAGTAATTTCGGGGGCCCGTGGGGTCTTGAGAGAAACCGGCATGCATACCTCTTGCCGGCGATATTCAACATCCTTCAAAATCTCGCGGCGCAACCACGAAGCAGTCAAGAACTGAGCAAAAGCAGACGAAACCACCAACTCGGGAGCAAAAATACCGAGCACGATCCACCTCGCGCGTTTGAGGTTCCGCTGGCGGAGCTTCGAGTGCTCCGTGGGGACATTGAGATGCAGTGCCGACCAGACGCAGAGGACCAAGGTCAACACGCAGGATACTACCAAGTCCCACGTGCCCCGGAAATTCGGCGGGTTATACCATGATGTAAACTCTGCTGCATCCGGGGAGGCGGCGGTGGAGGATGATACATGGAGAATGATGGCCGTCAACAAACAGAGCGATAGCATCGAGATGGATCAACGACGATAAGGCGGAGAGGGCCCACGAGAAAGAAAAAGAAAAACTTGGTTCAGGCATGGTGGTTGGTCTCGCCAAGTGGGATGCGAGGTCTCAAAGCAAGAGTGCAGGGGTTTTTGGTTAGGGTTGCGCTTCCTTCCTATCCATCTCTCTGGGGGCTGAAAGTGGTTGGATACAGGGACCTTTTCTGCAAAGCGAAGAGCAATCTTCAATGAGACTGAAATGAATGCCTGTTCAGAGGATATAGGAGTAGAGGCGTTCTTTTGGGAATATGCACATGAGAATATGGTATCAGAGACATGTGGTTTCCCTTGAATAGTGTCCATTGAGGCGGTAGCAGTCCGGGTTCTGACCATGGCCACAACGGTCATCCGGGAGCAAAATATAAGAGGGTGAAAGAAGGCGAGCATAGCGGAAGTGTGGGGTTCCATGAGAAAATCCAGGCAAACGACGACGAAAGGGAAAAAAAAAAAAAAAGAAAGATAAACAATAAACAATGATGTGGCGCGGAGTGGTGCAGATGTCGAGATGGGCATGTTCTGATTCGGAATATTCGGAACCCCAGGTTTCCTCTCGGAGCCTGCGCACAGTCTTGGTTCCCACGCACTCAACGTGCGCCTTGGGTGTGGCAGGATGAGATTCGCAGAGGGGATTGTGCTCCCCCCGCAGGTGCGAAGCCGAGCCGGGAACGATTTCTGGGTCTTGTTCACCCCCCAGAGGCACGGTGGGCGTCTCGTTTTCGTGGTACGTAGGCCGTGGCCCGAAGAAGGTGGGGACCCGAAGGGACTGTCCGCACAAGATGGCTGTGGAAGAAGGTCTGTATAAAACATGTTTGTAGGCAGTTTCATATCGATGGTTTAGCAATACCATTCGAACAGAAAAAAACTCTTGTTCCAATTCTACAAATCAACCAACAAGTGCAAAAGAGAGCAACCCCCGCAACGGAGAACAAACAACCATGGCGAAGCAGCAGTTGAAGCCTACCTTTGATGGTGAGAGATGAAGCCAAAGTCAATGGGATCATGGAACCTTGTAAGACTAACAAGGAGATTTACAGATGTGATGGGTTGCCAGGCAGCGTGCTACGAGTGGGCAGACAGCTACGACAGCAAGGTGCGTATGAGGTCCGCGCGCTCGTGCACACATTCGCACACATGCACACAGATGGCACGCAGCAGTTTGGACTAACATAAAAGGTGATGGTTAGGACTGGGCGCGCCTGCGCAAATGCGTGGCACCCACGCTGAAGATCGACTACCGATCCTTCTTGAACAAGCTGTGGGAGTCGATGCCCGCCGACGAATTCATCACCATGGCATCCGACCCGGCGGTTCTGGGAAACCCACTGCTCAAGACGCAGCACTTCATCGGGGGCACGCGGTGGGAGAAGACGGCCGAAGACGAAATGATTGGTTATCACCAGCTTCGTGTGCCGCACCAGAGATACACCGACGATAGCTTCACCAAGGTGGCCGTCAAGGGGCACGCGCACAGTTTCAACCTACACTGGTACAAGAAGGTCAACGGCGAATGGAAATTTGCGGGACTCAACCCAGATATCAGATGGTTCGAGTACGATTTCGACAAGGTGTTTTCCGAGGGCCGTGATAGCTTTGGAGAGGCCAAGAGCGCGGCTGGGATCCCCGAACAGGCGAAGAACATTGCTGGAGTCAAGTAGAGGGGACAGCAACAAGGTCGAAGGAGTGAAGGGGAGGAGAGTAGGTAGTTTGGTGGTGTCAACTAGACAGGGGGGGAATGGTGAATTGAACAAGAACAGCATGTGTTGCGAACGTCTACCGTAGCGTGGGTCCGTGCAAGAGTGTGATGGTGAAGTGATGAAGACGATGAGAGCAGCATTCCAAGTACCACGGGGCGCGAGTATTGGGGATCTGCAGCATAAGCAGCAAGACGGCGGGTCTTGTTGGGCCAGGCAGAGCTTGGCCGCTAACAGTTGGGAGGAGCTAGAAAGCAACGGTTCACGAATGGCGGTGGTGGTGCAGAAGCGCAGCCAGTGGCATGGCCGGGCGAAGGTTCCATGTTTTGCATGGACGCAGCAGCGGTTGCGGGGGATGAAGAAGAGATGTTGTCGTTGAGTTGAAGGACCCAGGGAATGGTTGTCGAATTGACGGGCCTATTCCGTTAGTCATGATATGCCCCAGCCAGGCAGCCAATAGCCTCGCGCGTACGTATGCGGCACGCTGGAGCAGCAGTAGGTACGCTGTGTAAGTACAGTACTGTACTTGGGCATCCTTTTGCAGACCGAGCAAAGCAGATGGATGGTTTGTTGGTGGATTGATGTACCGTTCATCAGCGTCCGTCGTCGAGGGCGATGGCCAGCCAGAAGCCATTGGGATAGAAGGGGGGCCTTGCTGCAAAGGATCAATACACACACATACATAGTAGATGCATACAGACGTACAGGTGGAGAGGGCGAGAGACGACAGGGGGAGCAGTCATGGCATCGAAGATCCGAAAAAGCTTGATTCAGCCCGGCCAACCGCCGCCGTCGTTGGGCGCTGCGTCGCAGGCGGATTGGCCGGCACGTAGCGGAGGGCCTGGCTGGCTGGCCTGCGTCTGCTACCAAGTTCCGCCCTCTTCAACGCCTCGTCTACCCCACTCTCTCTCCCTCTCAGTCAGTCTATTCACTGCCCCAAGCCTGCCCGCTTGCCAGCTTCTGCCAGCCTATTTGCTTGCCTGCTTGCCTGCACCCTCCTCCTCCTCTTCTTCTTCTTTTTCTCTCCCTCCTTGCCACACCACCCATCCACGTCCGTGATTGTCTATCCTCTTGTTCTCTTTGCGTCTCCCTTCCTCCTCTTCCTGCCTGCCTGCCTGCCTGCCTGCCTGCCTGCCTGCCTGCCTGCTGTTTGCTGTTTGCGCGCCTGGGATCCTTTTCTTGCGACCTTTGTGGCCCTTGCAGGTACGTACATGGTTTTGTTTCTCTCTCGTGCCCTTTTCATATCTCATTCCCCTGTCCGCCTGCTTGCACAAATTTCTTCACCTTGGCATCCGTCCACAAAAAAACATTATACACACAATCGCTGCAGGGGGGTTGCAGAGAGAAGACCTCCAGACACCACGCCGCCCGCCTACCGCCGCCGCTGCTGCTTCTGCCATTTGTCGTCATCATGGCCTTCGCCTCGGTCGTCGTCGTCGTCTGTTTGTTTGGCCCCCGCCCGTGGCATTCCCGATGCCTGGCTGGCTGGCTGGCTGACGGACTGATCCCATCGACTCGACATGGTCAATTGACAATGGCACGCACCGCGCAGTCGAGACATGCATGCATTTCTTCAATCGTCCGTCGGTCGGTCGGTAGGCAAGGCCACAAGGGACGCATGCGAAAGTCAGTCGGTTTGTCTTTCAGTGTGTGCGTGTGTGCGTGGTCATGGCGCGCGGTTGGCGGCTCTGCTGCCCTGCTGCGATTGTATCGGCAAAGCTGATCGCGCGTGCCCGTCGCACAGCTTCACCCATCCATCCACCGCCGACCAACCTACCGACCTACTTACAGCCTGCACACCGACCACCACCACCACCTCCTCCTCCTCTTCTTCACCTTCTCCCCCTCGCTCACCTCATCTTCACCCTCTCCCTTTCACTTCCACACCCAACCGTCCACGCTCTCTCTCTCATTCTCTCTCTTTTCTCCCCACTCACCTTTTTTTATTTCCAACCACACCTGCCGTCATTGTCGGCTCTACTTATTTCCTTCCTCCCATCACCCCCGCCCTCCTCTGCTCTTCCCTCCTCATTGACGCCAGTAGATCTCTCGTCACCACCTGCCATTCCTCTACGGCTTCTCCTACCTCAGCTGCTCTACTCTGCTCTGCTCCTTCTCACACTCTCTTTCTCTTCCCGGCGCAATTTGGCGTCTGCGACAACCAACCACTTACCTCGAGCACCCACGCTCGTCCAGCCAGCTCTCCCCCAACATCTTCATCATCCCGTCATAGATCCAAGACTGTCGGTTTGCTTCGGTGAGTGACTCCAGCAGCCCGCCAAACTAGCGCATCGCCCGCCGTCTTGCTCCGGTCCTCTTCACCCCGCCTACCCGTCCGCCCGCCCGCCAGTCCAAGTTTCGCCGACGCTAACCCACCACCTTTGCTAGATATTTGAAAACCTTGTCCTTCCTAGCAGTTTTAGACTCGACAACTCTTATTCACTTCCACCGCACTCACACCTGCCCACGATCGCAAGAATGAGCTTTCAGAATTACGACAACTTCCAGGGCCAGCCCAGCGCTGAGCAGCCCGGTGCGCCCGCTCCCCAGTCCGACATGGGCCAGCAGCTCGACAACAACCAGCAAGCTTTCGCCGCTGGCAACATGGGCGGTCCCGGTCCTTCCCCCCAGGAGGGCCAGCAAGACGGCAGCAGCAAGACCACCCTGTGGTAAGTCGCCGCGGACCTACCTGCGTGCGCGTGACGGACGCTAATGGAATGCGCAGGATGGGCGAGCTCGAGCCTTGGATCGACGAAAACTTTGTGCGCAGCATATGGTACAACATGGGCGAGAATGTCAACGTCAAGATGATTCGCGACAAGTTCTCTGGGTAAGCAGCTACTTTTTCCCCCTTCTCACGCCACATCTCACTGCCTGACCGTGCCCCTCCCATGTACGCAACGTCCTAATCTTGGCCAGAAGCAATGCTGGGTACTGCTTCGTTGATTTTGCCAACCCTGCAGCTGCTGCCAAAGCTCTCCAGTTGAACGGTCAATTGATCCCCAACTCCAACCGCCCTTTCAAGCTCAACTGGGCATCCGGTGGCGGCCTCGCCGATCGCAGGTTAGTAGCACTCCCATGCTGTGCGCCCATGGACCTTGTGCTAATCACAAATCAGCCGCGACGACCGCGGTCCGGAATTCTCCATCTTCGTCGGCGATCTCGGCCCCGAGGTCAACGAGTTCGTTCTGGTGCAACTCTTCCAAAACAAGTATCCGTCGTGCAAGTCCGCCAAGATCATGTCGGACCCCATCTCTGGAATGTCGCGCGGCTATGGCTTCGTCCGATTCACTAGCGAGGATGACCAGCAGAAGGCTCTCAACGAGATGCAAGGCGTGTACTGCGGCAACCGCCCCATGCGCATTTCGACCGCCACCCCCAAGAACAAGAGCGGTGGTCCCGGAGGTCAGGCCATGGGCCAGGGCATGCCTCAACAGGGTGGTGGTCCTGGCGGCATGTACTCCATGGGCGCTCCTCCCATGGGATACTACGGCGCGCCGCAACCCATGAACCAGTTTACGGACCCAAACAACACCACCGTGTTCGTCGGTGGTCTCTCTGGTTACGTGACTGAGGACGAGCTCCGTTCCTTCTTCCAGGGCTTTGGTGAAATCACCTACGTCAAGATCCCCCCCGGCAAAGGTTGCGGTTTCGTCCAGTTCGTGCAGCGACACGCAGCTGAGATGGCCATCAACCAGATGCAGGGCTACCCTATCGGTAACTCCCGCGTTCGTCTGTCTTGGGGTAGGAGCCAGAACAATTCGGGCCCTGCCGGCACCCCTTACCGCCCTGCACCCCCACCCCCCGTCTTCCCTACCATGGGCATGCCGCCCTCCCACCCTTACGGAAATTTTGCTCCCATGAAGGTACGTCGTATTCTTATTCCCGCCCCGGATTGTTGTCGCTGACTTGTGCCACTGCAGTAAGCTCATTTCCTACCCAAGTCTCTTTCATTGCACGGCGCACTCATTATGAATTCACCGGTTGGCTTCTCACAATGACCCCCTCCCCTTTTTCACGATTACCTCAATGATTTAGCGATCTGGCTTTCTCTATTTTTTGGGCGGCCTCTAAAAGTTTCGATTTTGACGACTTAATCTTTGAGATGTCTTAGAGAGGGCACTTTGTATAACAGCGACCGCCAGCTCATAACTGGTCTTCGTATGGGTCTTCTTTTTTGGGTTGTAGCTAGTGTTCCCTCAGCCACTGCCGGATGCTTTCTGCCTTTCCTTATGAGTGCGCAAGATTGGCATTCCAATCCGACAAGAATCTTTTCCATGTTTGTTTCCTCGGTGCTTGACGGTCGACTTATTTTCCTTTTTTATTCTTACTTTCTAGTCTGGTTCCCTCAGCCGCTGTTCTCACTCCGAGGAGCCCTTCCTTGCCGTTTTCCCTGCAACGCTGTGCTCCGGGAGATGCGCTGCCAGAGAATCCATGCTAACCGTGTGCTCGCAGTTATGGCGGTGGAGCCCATCAGATGCCGACCGGTATGCCGAACGGCCACCCGAACGGTCACGGCGGCGCTCCTGGCATGCCCGGTGCTCCCGACGGCATGAATGGCCAAGGCAACGGTGACGATGGCGCGTTTGCCCAGCAGCTGGCGTGATGTTGGTTGGGTGCGTAATGGTGGCATCACATGCCAGTTATGGACTCGTGAACAATGGTTGAATATGAAATCCTGTCAATCTCCCGCGATTTAGCAAGGCGTCTGGCGCGACAACAATACCCGATGGATTGGATGAGGTTTTGCATGCGCGCGCTTCATCAATAGAAGGTTGCATCCGACTGGCCCAATGGGCTGGCCTTTTCATTCTTGTCGCCCTCCCTCCCGCTCGCTACATGGCATTCCTTTTCTACGGATGTATCCACGAGGCATTGGGGCGAATTCTTTCCTTCTTTCTAGTAATGACTTTGCTATCTGAGTACCACTGGCTGAATGAGTGTTGCTTGTTGAATGTTTGTTTCTTCTCCTACAGCATGGTGTTGCATTGATGCGGGGAGTTTATCTTTTGGGTATGATTGATTCTTTCCACGTACGCATGCATTTATGACCATTGAGTCGTGCGGTAGCGATTCCTGTACATCACCGGGTCTTTACCTTTATACAACACGAGCTTGTTCAATCAGAGTAATCGTCATTGCAATTCGAGAGGCAGGCGCGCTGTCTGGGCGCCGACCAACATTCATCCATGCCTGCCAGTTGGAGTTGATAGTTGTTTCCCTATGGATAGCACGCTTTCCATGTCTCGAGCCGAACCAAAGCACGCAACGCAGGACTCCTGTTTGCTCTTGTCACTGACATCCCTCAACACTACTATTGCTGCTTGATGTATTGACCTATGCTGCAAGCAAGCCCACCATGCGCTACAGCAATTGGGATGTAATTTTGTTTCCCAGAGACTCGCCTGTTCCGATTCAGGAGTTCAAGACTGCATGTTACACCTCTGAGAGCGAATGTGTGTGGAGTTGCTCTTCACCACCCCTGTCCCTAGCACTGGCCTACAAATGCATGTACATATACTGATACAACTCCAGCTGCCCAACCTCTGCCGACCCTCGCGTGTTACATCGCTTCTCAACCTCCGTCCACACCGTTTCGGATCTCTGTCCATTCATGGATAGCCCCAGTCAAACCCTCACCAGCAATCGAGTCATGTCGGAAGCCGAACGAACGAGTGGTATTTACAGCCCAAGTCTTGGTGGATGGCTCTAGGGTATAGTGAGATGCATCTCTCTGGGGACTTGAGCACTATGTTGACAATCCACAGTCATGGTTACTACGAAATCGAGACCCAGTGGCCAAAAGAGATAGGTAACTACACCAACCTTGATTGAACCGCACAGACACCTCATATGTACGTAGTGAACGCAAAACCAGCGATCAGGGACCCGAATACAACTAGCCAGCATGGATCGTTCCTGGAGTTTCCACCATTCCGTTTTGGCGTTCTAGGGCAATATTCGTGGAATGCTCGAGAGAACGCGGGTCGCATCAAGTTTATCTTGTCGGAGCAGCTCGTTCGGAACCGCGGTCCTGACCTTGAGCTTGGTGCTTCGAATCACGTTGTATGCTTCACTTTTCAACATGCCCCACGCGGTATCCTCGAGCAAGCGGGCATCGCGTGGCCGATTCTCAATCCGCTGTTTCTACCCTTATCTCAAAGGCCTGAGTGGCCACCAAGCTCACATCATTTCGTGTCCAAATCTCGTGACTTCTCTGCTGAGCCTACATTTATCGGTGTCCGTAACGGTGAACCACACACGCGCTCTCGAACCGGTCCGCCTCCCAGATCATCTCAGTGGCCAAGACCATCCGAGAAGGATTTCGGCATGGGTACCTGGGATGCCTGCTTCGCCGGCACGTATGAATTCGCTCCTTACTCCAAGCCTTCGGATCCCTGGGCTGCAGCACCTTTCCAATCAAAGGAAATGAATGAGACTCTTCGGAAGCACCCGAGTCAAGTGCTTGTTAGTTTTAGAGACGACCAACTAGATCAAATCGTACGTCAATCCCGATTGATTAGATGTCGTGATCCTCCATCACGGTAAAAACCATCGCTAAGCTTGACACATGGCTGACATTTACAGATCGAAGCCGTAAGCCCTTCCAAAAAGCAACACAGGCGAAGCTCTCTGATATCTGGTACGACCTTGGCATCTAAGATGCAAACCTATGCTACCCGGTCTTCTGCGGCGGCTCTTTCGAGAAAATCTTCCTACCAAGGACAGAATCCAAAGACTGATAACAAACTACCAACCGGACCTCCACAAGAGCCTCGGATCCACGATCCATATCAAGATTCAAATGAGATATTTACCTCTCTCTCGTTCATGCCTCGACCAGATAGGAAGGACTCTGATGTCTCGATGCGAGATCCGTCCTCGATATTCTCACCGGTGCCGGTAGGAGAACGGAGTAGCCCGGCACAGCTTCCTTCTGCCCAAGGTAATATTCAGTCCCGGAAAGAAGGACATTCTGGAGTTCCACCTACTTTGGATGCGGGACAGTTACGCAGTTTGCTACCTGACACGGATCTACCGAAGAGCAGCGAGCAACATTTCAAAGGTAACTGCATCAACGCCAACGGTGCACGTGAAGAGCGTGATTTTGTGCCCGGCCACAAGGGCATGTCAAGTGTCGATAGCACTGTGCGTTTGGAGAGACAGCTGTTCAGTGCTTTGGGAGAAGAGCTCTCTGGGTTCAACGAGGAGGTGATGGAAGACACGCGAGTGATGCCCCTGGCGGATGACTTCAGCACCCCGGCGAGTAAGCGCAAGAGGCAGGGTACGACTGATGATCGGGATGGCAGTCCTCTTTGCAAGGTCGCAAGGGAGGACGACCGAGGAGTTTCTCACTCACGAGGAGAGATTTGATCATGAACCCCTTTGGGAGGCAGGGCGCTTCTCTGTGGAAGCTGAGGACGGACTCGTTCGATAACGAAAGGTTGATTATGGCTACTCATCGCATGCACCATATACTTTCAAGGACAGGAACAGGGCGTCAAAGTATCAGATATCAAGTGTAATATTACGGTTGGTGTGGCTAAGAGATGGCTACGAGATGGCTACAGTAGGAATTGACAAGTTGCATTGGTTTACATGAGGAAAACATGAGTGAAGTGGCAAGTGGTACATGTAGATGTTACTGGGGAAAAGAAGAAGAAGACAAGATGTGGATGCTGAACATGGTATCTGCAGGAACTTAACATCTCGTAAAAAAAAACGCCGTCGAATGCTCCCGTCCGATACAAAAGGACACATGATGAAGAAAACGAATAGAAAAAAAGGGGACTACATGAGGGTTTCAGTAAAAGGAGGAGAAGGAAAAGAAGTAAGAAGAAAAAAAAAGGGAAATGAGGGAAGTAGACAGGGGGTCCAGGAGTCATCTGGTTCTACCATGTTGCCTAACTCAACCTCAAAGTTTAATGACCCCGGTTTGTTAGTGGGTTGGGAGGGGTGCAGCAATGCGGGAAACCCTTGTTTTCCCTTTTTCCCTTTTTTCCCCTTTTGACCTTTTACCTATAATGCTGACCCGGCACACCAGCCGGTGGTGGCGGTCCTCCATAACCTCCCTGCTGTTGTTGGTGCGCAAATTTCTGACCCCCCGGAGGAGGAGCGCCGTGTTCACCACCGCTCATGGCGTAAGCCTGAGGCTGTCCCCCGTTGTTGATCATGGCCTGCACGTCTGGCCTGTACTTGATGTCTTGGAAGAAATTGCATATGTGGCAGCCTACTTCTTTGTAGGGTTTCAGCGAGAAGGGGATTATGGGGATGAAGCAGAAGGTGAACCATTCCCTAGATTTTTTTTTTCGGTTAGTTTGATATGCATATTTTTGGTGGGGAGAGAGACGGGAGAGCAAGAGGGGAAATGAGAGGAGAGGGAAAGAGAGAGAGAGACGTTACCAGCGCTTCATGACGCGGCCCGAGTGATTACCGCAGTTTTGGCATTGCACTGTGATGTTTTCTGCGCCCGAGACTTTGCTGGTGAAGGCTGTTTTCAAAAAAGTAATCTTGTTAGCTAATAGTATGCTATATGGAGGGAGGGTTTATGGTGGAACAGGAAAGGGAAATCAAGGAATGGGAATATAAGTGGCGAGGGAAAGAAAGCCCAAACGCGCAACAAACAGCAACAACGGATAAAAGAACGGAATTTGAGGTGTGGGGGTGGGGATAAAAGCGTACTGTGCGTGCCGCAGGTAAAGAAGAAGAACATTATGACTGTGTTGTTGTAATAATGTTTCTTGCTGGCTTGCTTGCGTGGATGCTTGCTTTTCCTTCGGAGTCTTAACGGGTCGGGCGGTAGATGGGGCGGGTATGCGACGACTGTGCTTTCTTGCTTCTACAGCGTTCTCGTTGTGTTCTAGTAATCGCGTGAGGTTTCCCTTGGGAGATTGGAGCAGGAGATGTGTAGAGCAGACAATGAGCTCGCGTGCGTGTGTGCGCTCGGCGCGATCCTTCCGGTATTGTCGTGGCGGGTCTTGGAGGTGGTTGACGCGGGTTCGAGGAGGTGAGGCGCTAGGGTATGTGTGTGTGTTATGCGGCGCCGGCAACTTTTCAAAGTGATGTGTGGGTGTGATGCGATAGAAGAGAGAGAGGGAGCGGCGGCGGTATAGGTAGACAGGTAGTCGTAGTCGTACTGGTAGGTTGGTGGCGAATAGAGGCGTGAGGAGGTGGAGGTGGTGGTGCTGTCAAGCAAGTACCTAGGCGCATTTGATTTGATTTCATAACGCCAAGGGTCGGTGTTGTCGTAACTCATCTCAGCCACGCTCGGCTCGCATGGGCTACCTATGTATGATGCATCATGTGTGTATGCCAGGGGCTTGTCCAGGTGATTCAATTACTACATACACATGTATACATGTAAATCACCTAGCCGATGATAATGCAATACTCCAAACGTACTCTTTATGATACGTTTTGCCTTCAAACTCATTACTTGCTCTACAATGACCTTCTCTCCTCCAAAATCAATCATATCCCGCTTCGTGAAGTCGTGCGAAATGGATATAGCGTGATGGATTGCCCTTCCCGCGCAATGAGGCTCGCCGAACTACAGACACCAGCGCTGCAACGGCGGTGCTAACTACCGTCTTTTCGCCTCCACTACGCTCCGTGCACCAGTACACTCGTCATGGTTACCCTGATTCAGCATCTGCGAGGCCAGTCTCCTCTACGCCAGTACACTCGTAACGTCTGCAAACCGCCCCCAATCCGCTCGTTCCCCATAGAACGGGGCGAGTGATAGTCTTGCTTGTGAAAGCAACAACTTGGCTGTTCGCTGTAATCGGAAAAAGGTCCAACAGCACCATAATCACAGCCATGGATTGGGCCGCTCGGTCAAAGACGTGCTACCTCACCCAGGTGATCAAATTAGTGGAATTCGAGGGGTTCATATTGCTTTCAATTCTAATCATCACAATTTTTTTGGGTCTCACCCAATGAATGCTTGAAAAAGTTTGAGGAAATCAAGCTTGCAACATGATATCAAAGTCCTCCTCAGGCCACATATACTTGACCTTCTCTAGCCGCGACCATAGCACCCGCATGGCATCAAGTAGGGGACAATCACCCTGAAGCCTGGATAGACATGAAGACGCTCTTGCAACGTAGACGTGCTCCGAAGCCGTAGTCCTCGATGCTGCACATCATCTACTGCGTTTTGAAGAGTAGGATGGCACAGTGACCGAGATAGAAGTAGATGAAGTGCTTCGTCTCTGCACACCATTGATTTTAGCGTCACATCATGGGGCTTCCGATGCTTGTTTGTACATACCATGGGTCACGAAGCTACCAAAGTTGCGTCCCACGATGCAGTGCCATGTGGCACCCTTGCGGCTGTCAAACTAGCAAAAGAGTCAGTAAGATTTCGAGGGGAGTATTGCGTGCGCGGTTGCTTACCTCCTTCTTGATGTACTGGGCAATGTCCTGTATGGGGTAGTTCTGTCAGCGGACGCACTACATGATGAGTAGGTATGAACATCATGCCATAGCATGAATACAATATCATGTACACATGCCTTTTCGATGGTGAACTGCTCCATGGCTTGCTGCGCTGATTAATGTCGTTAGAGTTGGGAGTCTACATTGCATAGTGGGTCGGTGCAGCCTTACAAACTTCGATGGCTTCCTGCTGCATCTCGTCGCTCTGTAGATTAAGCCGGTTAATTGAGGCACCATGCGAGCCGTAATATATTTTTGAAGAGACATACCATGTCAGCAGACTTGATCTGAGCTGAGCATTATTAGCGACTGGTTTGGCATGTGTTGTAGTTATGCGTGTTTTATGCGTACACACCTTCTTGCTTGCTGGGGCTCTTCTCGTCGGCCATGGTGAAGGATGAAGAGAAGGATAGGACAGTAGAAGGAGGCGGCGAAGAGAATATGGGAAGGTATCGAGGAGGAGACAGCGCCTGAGTATACACGTTCTAGGACGAGGCAGTCAGTATGTGGTGGATCGATGGTTTACTTTAAGGCTAGAGCTTGTTGTCGCCCGCCCCATGGGACCCTGCGCCAAGGCCCTAGCGAATAAATTTCTGGCCGCCTGTCTACTCTTCCTTCACTTCAAACTCTACACCACCTTTTTCTTCTTCCTTCACTCACAGCCTGCCACGCCTCACTTTCCGTCTCCTTACAAATCACAGCGCTGCTATATTGAGCAGGTCACAGCTCAAACGTCCCACAGAAACACGATCAATGGCCACGGCCATGGAGTCCTCCCGCATCTTTGTACGCGGTCTGCCCCCCAAATTCACCGAGGATGACGTCCGGAAGCACTTTGGCAAATTCCCAGTCACCGACGTCAAGTATTTTCCTGCGCGCCGCATTGGCTACGTAGGCTACAAGTCCCCCCAAGATGCCTCATTGGCCATCAAATATTTCAACAAGTCCTTTATTCGCATGTCCAAAATCTTTGTCGAGATGGCTAGACCGGTATGCATAAATCGCTATGACTGTGCACGTATTCATTCACTGACTATCAAATCAGATTGCCGATAAGGAGCTGCACATGTCACGTAGAGCTCAGAAGGAACAGAGGAGCCAACCTAGGCACGACGAGTACATCCCGCCTTCCTTCGACAACAACCTCAAGCGAAAGCGTGAGGAGGTGCAACAAGATCCCAAGCTGAGGGAGTACCTGGAGGTGATGCAGCCTCGCTCAAAAACAAACGTCTGGGCCAACGAAGAGGCCATGATCGAAGGTGCTGCGGATCCTGCTACACCCACGCAAGATGCCGTTATCGACACTCCAGCTGGCGACAGTGACGATGAATATCAAGTCATCGCCAAGAAGGTCAAGACAGCACAGCCGACTCCAGCTTCTGAGAGAGTTACTGTAGAGGATGTGTCGGTGGTCAACCGTCGAGACGAACCAGAGCCCGAGCCGGCTACGGAAAGTCTTGAAGAGGACACTGCCACCGAACAAGCCCCATTGACAGATGCAGACTGGTTGCGGTCACGGACAAATCGGGTACTAGACTTGGTGGAAGACGATGACGAGGGCGTTCCACCACCAAAGGCTGAGCCGCAATCGCACCATGTGGTAGAAGACAGCCCAGAAACAGCAGAAAAACAAACTGCGGAAACGTCAAACGAAGCAAAGGCCGAGGATGTGGCGACTGAGCTCACCGAAGAGGAGAAGATCCGAGAGACCGGTCGGTTGTACCTCAGAAATCTCTCGTATGAGATTTCGCAAGAGGATCTTCGACAGCAATTCTCTAAATACGGCACACTTGACGAAGTAAGCACCATTTTTTTCTATTCAATCGTGAATTTTTTTGCTATGATGAACATCCAGATAGGGACAACTGATGCTTTGCATATGAGGTCCACTGGGAGAGTATTTTAGTAGATGTCTCTCTTGTCTGAACGCACCGTTTTTGCGATACTCTGTTTTTCTTCTGCGTTGTGAATTTAGCGCCGACTGACAATGACCAGGTCCATGTACCGTCAACCAAAAGCGATGGCAAAGGCAAAGGATTCGCCTTTCTGCAATTCGATGACCCCGAGCATGCGGTCGAGGCGTACAAAGAGAACGATGGTGTCATCTTCCAAGGTCGACTGCTTCACATCCTTTCTGGAAAAGCGAAGCGCAATGATGAACTGGATGAATTTGCGATATCCAAACTTCCATTGAAGAAGCAAAAGGAAGTCATGAGGCGAAAGAACGCCTCCGCCCACTCATTCAACTGGAACTCGCTTTATCTGAACACGGATGCCGTCATGTCTGCAGTTGCACAACGGTTGAACCTTAGCAAAGCTGATCTTTTGGACCATACCTCTTCTGACGCAGCTGTGAAACAGGCCCAGGCAGAAACTCATGTCATACAGGAAACCAAGAATTACTTTGCTAAACACGGTGTTGATCTTGAGGCGTTCAAGAAGAGCTCCAAAGGCGACGTGGCTATTCTCGTCAAGAACATTCCGCATGGCGTAAGTGCTGTCGAAGTTCAGAAACTCTTCGAAGAGCATGGCGAAGTGAAGCGGTTCTTATACCCACCACTTGGCATGACGGCTATAATTGAATTTTCGAATGCCACGCAGGCGAAAACCGCATTCGCGGCCTTATCCTACAAGAAAATGAAAGACTCTATTCTCTATCTAGAGAAGGCACCCAAAGACCTGTTCAAAGAGGGCGCGGTTGCACCAGCACTGCATGCCGTACCCTCTGACGACAAGATCGGCGCCAAGCTTTCAGCGACTGACCTGCTTGAGGAGGAGTCAAGACCAGAAGCTAGCAATGTGGCTACACTGCATGTGAAGAATCTGAATTTCTCGACAACAACGCAGAAACTTACGCAGACCTTCTCACCTCTGGCTGGGTTTAGGAGCGCTGTAGTAAGATCCAAAATCGATCCAAAGCGGGGCGTATTGTCCCTCGGATATGGATTCGTCGAATTCAACAATGTGGAAGCTGCTACGGCTGCTTTGCGGGCCATGGACGGACACAACCTTGAAGGGCACGCTCTGAAAATCCAAGCTTCTCACAGAGGTGCCGATGCTGCTGAAGAGCGGCGGAGAGATGATGCGGCGAAGAAAGCGCCCGGCACAAAGATTCTCATTAAGAACTTGCCTTTCGAAGCTACTGTCAGTGTCCCTTTCCACCATGAACTATTTTACCGTGTGCTAACCCCAGAGCAGAAGAAGGACATTCGCGCGCTATTTGCCCCTTACGGAGCCCTTCGGTCGGTCAGAGTGCCCAAGAAATTTGACTCGTCATCGCGTGGTTTTGGTTTTGCCGAATACTCGACGCAACGCGACGCAACGAATGCCATGAATGCACTCAAGAATACCCATTTGCTGGGCCGTCGACTGGTCCTCACATTTGCCGAAACCGAATCTGATGATCCAGAGAAGGAGCTGGAAAAGATGCAACAAAAGGTTGGGTCGCAGGCCAACAAGGTCGCCCTCCAACAATTAACTTCGGGTGGGCGCAAGAAATTCAACGTTACAGGTACCGACGATTTAGATGCCGCCTAGATGGCAAATTTGGGCAATCATTTTGGGGATACCACTTTGGGTCCTTGTAGGCGACGCCCTTGCCTGTCCCTGACTAACGGCGACGCGGCGCTCATTTTAGGCTCGCCCTTTCGTCTAGATACTTAAGACATGGGCGTCACGTAACTTCTTGCACGCTCCCGAAATGTTCTCGCCCTCCGCGCGACACGGAGATTTTGCTGCCTCTCCAGGTCTGAATCATATGCGTGGCCACCACACCGCGTTGGCCTGCCTGTCCCTTGTCTCAGACGCGATAGACATGCTCTGGCAAATATCGTAACGTTGACCTTTGTTTACTGTGCTGACATTCTTTGGATATCAAAGCATTCCCGTGTCCCACTCCCTTTGCACAGGAACACGTGAGCAAGATTACTCCAATAGAGACATTGGACAGACAGCAATGCCCTTGCTCACCCCACTAACTACGATTGATGTAGCAGTGTTATCATTCCTAATAGCACACCTCATAGGGAGTAGATTACCTGGTCGACGAGCGAGATAGTCGTGCGCTTGATCATCCATAGTGTGTTAGTCTAATTTGGACGTCCGCGATGTGACCACACCATATTGCTTGTAGCTTACTATAACCCACGAGGGGCGAATTCCATTGAGCAGTCGTCTGCCTAGACTCTATATCATTCTTTTGGTCCTCATGATTCCGCACAGCATTTCTCACTTGCCACCCACATTCTCTTCACACTTCCATTCTTTTGCTCCAACGCTTCACGTTCCTTTCTTTGGGTCAGACATTCTTTAGATTCCATTCTTTCTCAGCCGCTCCAATGATGGAGCTACACCACACTCCATGCCTACTTGAGTCAGCCTTAGCGGAAGCGAGTATTCTAGGCAATGCTTTGCAGACCGGATCCGTCAATCGTGGTGGTGGGGGATCCTTCCTCGACGTCTCTCCCGCCTACGCAACGTTCCGGGAAGACGGCTGTTTGACTCGCTTTGGCGAACAGTTCCAACGAGAGTTGAGCCCACACTTGAGCCATTACCACAGGTCCGAAGCAGACATTGACCGAGAGCTCAAGAAGGTGATAGGGTATCTCGCCAAGAGCGAAAAGTATCAAAAGTATCGGGAGCCTCCCACCACCAAGAAGCAAAAGGAGCAGGTATGGCCCAATCACCGCGAAATCGCCTTCTTCAGAGGTATGGCTGGCAATCTGCGTCTTCCTTCCCCCCTTGGTTGAGTGCGTGCACGACAACTGAGCGCCTCTAGCTTTGATCCGCTATCCGCCGACGGGACGCAAGAAGTACATGCGAGATGGTAAACCTCGCGGACGCAACGAGCTTGTGGCGGATTCGATTGACCGCGAGACGGGTGAGAAATGCGACAGGAAACACGTGTCGAGCCACTTGCAGGTGCTCAAGAAGATTCTGGTCGATTGTCCAGAGGGTAGGTGTACACTGCTCATTTGGTAGTGATGAATGGCTAATTGACTGACTTGAGCAGTCCTAGTTTATATGCCCAAGGGGAAAGACGACAAGAAAAGTAGCAAAAGAGTTCGATACGGTTCCCATCACCACCATCGGAGCCGGCACACTCGGCTCAAGTACGGAGAATCGCAGGAAGAATGCGGCTCGCACGGTCATTATGGACACATGTCGTCCTCGACTGCTTTATCCAAGTCGGAGAATCGACGAGATGATGCGCTATTCTCCGTAGCCAGCTTTGTCATCATAGTCATTGGAAGTGGTGAAGCCCACAAGTTAAGAGAGGTACACCGCTACACGGAGCTGGCGCAGGACCCCCGGCTGGCCGACGTACGGGTTCGCGACACGACGTCCTGGCACAAACAGTTCCCCGAGTTCAACTTCCACAGGATAGAAGAACTCAGCAATCGCAGCATTCTTGTCTGCGATGCTACGATCAAGGTCATGACCAGGGCTCTCCCCTCCGAGGCCGAGTTGAGCATCACATTCGACTTGGCTTCACCGCCTGCACTGGCCGCCTACGATGATTTGGAGTGTTCAACGCGCTTCTTCGAGGATGGGAAGCCAGTGGAACAGGATGACAACCACCATTACCAAGCCAAGCAGGCAAGCAAAGGGGTGGATAAGCAAATGGGGCACAAGGGCCTGCTGCGCATCAAGTTTGGAGCGGGCTTTTGGGCACGCCAACTGCAACGATTGGGCAACTTGCTCTGCAAGGCTAGCGAAGAAGAGCCGAACATTCGCAGCAGATACGAGTCAAGCGTGAGACGTGAGCTACAACAACTCACGGCTGCCCAAGACATATACGGGGTCAAGGATGGGGAATCGAAGTGTCTTCTTACCATACTCTGGCGGTTCAGTCAAACCAGACACAGCCAGGACACTGGGAGTGTGAAATGGCGAGCTGTTCATTTCGAACAACCAAAGGATAGAGTGCACATCAAAGACGAGGCGGTGAGCAACGCTTTGGGGGCTCTCATGACACCACCGACGACATCGACGACTGGGCCTCCAACACCAATAGCAACGTCGGCATCTTTGATCTATCCCTCATTGCCATTGGAATTCAACCATGCATTCCCCGAACCAGACCCACCGCTCGACATGGACCAGATCACGCTGGACAATATAACGGCCGACTTCTCCCACCCGGCTTCCACGGCATCGGGGATAGGGCATGATTTTTCACAGTTTCAAACGACGCTGTCTTCCATGACGGACTCACACAACATGATCGGCACTCAAGGTCAGGGGTTGGAGGAAGCCGACAATTTTGATTTTCACGGAGGGCACATAGCAATCTCTGGGTGCCTCGAGCCGGCCGTCAGTTTTGAATCGTACGCATCATTCGAGGCGCAGTCGAACGCACAAAGCTTCCAGAGTCTACCTTCGCTGGCGGATTTTGAACAAACAGCTCAGGCGATGCAGGCGGAAACGACGTTTGAAGATCTTGCGCTCGGAATGAGCATGACGGGCAGTACGGATTACGTTGCGGCTCCCAAACCATCATGGCCTCATCCAAGCTTGATAGCACAACTAGGACACGCGGCGGAACATTACTCTGATTTGATGGCGCAGACCACGACAGGGGGGCAGATGGATTTGGGAGAGGGGCTTGAACAGGGCGGTGATGACGGCGGAGGGTCATCGTTGAGCAGCCATGGGCTATGGAAGCTGCAGAGTGGGTTCGACGAGGACACGATAGCAGCGGCAGCGGCAGCAGCGGTAGGACATGATTCGAGGAAAGACAGCCTGGTCGGGAAAGGGGATGATGGGGTGCTGAGAATCATGGAGTTGGTTGGGGGCGAGGAAAGAGTGGATAGGTACCGAGAGTACTAGACGTTGTTTTGGGCTGATGCAGCGGACTCGCTGGTAGATGGTAATGATGCTGTGCACAACGGCACGGCGAGGTGGATAGTATCTGGAGACGATGGTAGTAATTCATAATAGAGAGTGCGCCCGACCACGGCGGAGCATAGAGAGCAAACAGTTCAAGACATGTTTTGTGTGGTAGTCATGTCGGTGAGGTGTCTCGAAATCAGTGTGAGGTGATAGCAGTGACCCGTCTCGGGGTGGCTAGGACAAGGCAAACGACGTGGCACGTGCAAATTGTTGGTGGTACACATGTACATGGATGATGCAAGGAGGCGAGAGGCAATTGAGATGCGGGATGCTGAACAAGATGGTTGCGATTAGACAATGAGTGATTGAGTGATGTTGTAGGAGAAGAGGAGCAAAAAGAAGGCGACTTCCCAAAAAGGCAATGTCTGGCCAGGCTAGCCGTCTTCTGCATGGCTGCTGTTACCCCGCCAGACCGCGGCTGTTCCTTCCTTTTACTTGCTTGGCTGGTTCCTTCCTTCCTCTTACTTGCTTCATTACTTTATTAGCTACTTGACTACTTACCTAAGTACTTATCTATTACTTAGTGACTGCTGAAACCTGGACGAACAGCCCCAAGCAGAGTACCATTAACAATGACTAGACAGACCACAATTGTCCGAGACCCACCGCCTCCAGCTACCCGTCTTCCAACGCCCGGATTGATGATCAAACTCTCGCGCCCTGGCTGATCTCAACTCAACCGCACTGCGCCCACCGCCATGGCCCCACTTGATCCAGCAAACACCATGGGCCCCGGCCAGGATTTGCTGCAGCATTTAATCATCCCCTACCACCCACCTTTTACGAGACCGAGCACAGGAACAAGCCCATCTTCTCCTGCAGACAACGACAGCGCCGGTGACAACGACAGCCAAGACCATCCCGAGTCGCAATATTGGCGCTATCGCGGTCGTTTCGCCCAACAGGCCCTACAACCATCCTCCAGCATGCAAGCTGTAAACCACTCACCTACATCTACATCACCATCTGTGCCAGTGGATCCCACCGTGGAAACTGGCACTGCCCTCTCTCTCGACGACTATCTCAAGGCACACCCTCCCCCCACACCAAGATCAAAATCCTCCGTCACTCATCACCCAAAACCAGCCAAAGTCACCAAATCAGCCAAGCCAGCTAAGCCTGCAAATGCCACCCCCGTTCTCGTCGGTGCACGCTCATCCAAGCACACCATTGAACTTCACGAGAGGTACCAGGCCCTCGCCATTCCCCAGCCCGAATTCACTTTCCAGGGCAGCAGTGTCGAAGGTTGGTGGGGCAGCGTGACCTTTCGAGCTATCCTGGGTGCCGACCGCTCGACTCAAGATGATGACGTCCTCGACCTACCGTCCGAAGTGAAACTGAACGAGAACGGCGACGTTGAACTCTTCAAACGAGGACCCTTCACTAGCAAGCAGGAAACCAAGGAGAAGCTGAGCGAGGCGGCCTTGCCGGTGCTGGCAGAGCTGGAGAGCAAGGGAAAAGTCTGCAAGCCCCCCAAAAAGACGAAAGCGAAGGCGTCGGCCCAGGGTGATCAGCCTGAAATCTCAAAGAAAGAGAAGGAGCCCATCGTCAACTATGTGGGCCAGCTACTCGAGTTCCAGCGCAGCAACGATGCCTCTCAGCCCATCTACGCCGACTACCAACTCGGTTCAGGTTTCTTCTGTCTAGCCACCATCGACGGTTATCCCGAACCATTCGGCTCCCGGGAACCTCCCTACTTCTCCTCCAAAAAGGCTGCCCGCCAGGACGCCGCCCGCCACGCAGTCGAGCACTTCAAAGCCGAGGGACTCTGGCCCGAGACCTTCACCGAGTTCGGGGGCATCAAGAAGAAGAAAGCAGCCAAATCCATCGCTGGAGACGCTGACGCCCATGCAATCCTCTTAAATTCAACCTCACCAGCAGCAAACCTCGACTCAACTGCCAGCCCAGGAGGCAGCTACGCGCAGCGCGTCGCGCAGCTCGCCGGAACCCTTGGCCTTCCCACCCCGCAATGGCAGATTGAGCCGTCCCCCGCCGCCCCTGGGTTCAACACTGCATCGTGCCTTTTTAAGAACTCGGCACACCCGGGTCCTTTTGGCGAAGTGCGCCACATCCTCGGCAAGAAGAAGGCCAAAGAAGAGTGTGCCCGTCTGACTCTCGACTACCTCTTGGGCGTCAAGGAGCAGCGCATGGCATTTGGCCGCAAGATGATGGAGGGTGTCAAGGGGGGTGAGACTGTCCAACAGGTGGCCTTGAGCAAGCCCTTGGGTGGCGATGCCGAAATCGAGGCTGACGTTATGATGAGTCGGAACGAGCATAAGAAGCAAGCGTCGCAATGGCGCTCATATGATGGCGGTGCTGACAGTGAAACTGAGGATAGCGAAATGGGGTTTGAGGATGCCGTTGAGGAAATGACTTCTTGAAAATCTACCCCTCTCCCCCTCTTTACCGCTGTCCCAGCGATTCTTAAGTCATGACTCTTTGGTCTACCAAGCCGCTTCTTTCTTTTCTCTTCGAATGTCATATATTGAATTCTGGCACGGTGTCTGGTCTGGTCTGCCAGGTCTACAAAACATCATTGGGGTTGAGCGTCTTTTGGCCCCCAGCATCATCTTCCACATTCCATTCATCTCCCTCCGCTAGAGAATGGGTAGCAGCCAGCAAGAGAAGTTTCCTTTCGCCCACCTACCCTTTCCACGAGCATCAAATTTCTTACTTATCATCATGATCATTGCCGACAAACCAAACGTGTGCATCTGGCGCTGGCGTTTCTCAAGGTCAGCATTCCTTTCATTATGGTGGGTAATACTGGTGTGGGGGGGTTCACGATGTATCCACGACACGAAATATGAGAGGACGGAAGGAAACCATGGATCAATGGATGAAGGTTCAGGCGGTGACTATTGTTTTCCTTCTACTAGATATCTTTGTCCGAGGGAAGATGGGGCTGCCCTGGCCCCCCATCACTCTCGCCTTGCACATAAATAGAATCACGTATTAACAACAATACAAATACAAATACAAAATTTTAAAAAGCTATGCTTGCCATTTTTTTATTTCTTTATAGTTTGAGTTGTAAATAGATGAGAAAGCTAAGAGTAGGTGGTTTTTTGGTGTTTGGTGCGATTGATGCATGGCGATGCGCGAACATGTTCTCTCTTCCGCAGAACGGGGAGGTACATATATGTAACTCAACCAACTACATGCTAGCTAACTCATTGGAATGTTTGCTAGCCAACGGTCCCCATACAGCGCTCTTTCTTTTTCTTTCTTTCTTCTACTTTTTTCTCTTCTTCTTTCAATTCAATTGGATCCATGTATGATGACGACTTTGCTCGCTTAAAACATTTGAGCTACAACTTTGAATGAATATATATGGAAAAAGATAAACTAGATACTTACCTATGTTATGTATACACCTATGTACGTTATCTGTCTTATGCCCCAGTTACCAGAGATGTATAAAGCAGTCAGACAGGCAGGCAGGCAGGCAGGGAGGCAGGGAGGCACTTCTACTACTAACAGGACTAAGACTCATAACTAAATGAAAAAAAATAAAAAAAAATTAAAGCAGAAGAAAAGCAAAAGAAAAGATGGATTTGCATTTGCTTGATTTTCTTATTCTTCTAGTTTTTTTTTTCGCAATTGGAACTGGGAACACGACGAAAAGCGACCATAGGCAGCATCAGCACTTTGAGAAAACAACACGCCAAGTTTGAGTTACACATCTAGTTCTTCTTTTAGGGGGGGGGGCGGCAATGGCAATGGCAGTGCAAGTAGCAGTGGCAACGGTTAGTTATGGCTGATAAGGCGAAGTACACGTTTATACATACGCATGCACATGCACATGTACATATAGACTCGTTGTGAATATATAAGGCAGTACAAAAAGAGTGGGAAGAGAAGAGAGAGAGATATTTTGTCTGTGTTTGTTTCTTCTGTAGTATCCTTTGCCTTGGTTCGCTTTTTCGCTTTGGGCTACCAAGCAAGCAAGTAAGTTGTTGGATGCCCATGTCCTCCTCTGCACCCTGATGGTTTTTCTGATGGGGGAATCCCTAATCACCTTCTTATCCCCCCTCACAGAGAGCTGTGTTCATGGAAAAACAATGGATAGAAGCTGTCTACATGGAAAGCTCCACGAGGCACGACGAATCAGGACGTGTAGAGGTTACATGTCGTTGGACTGAGTCGTCTTTGGGGCGTGAGCAAAGGAGAAAGAAACGGTACAGAGATGAACGCAGACAGACAGATAGAAAAAAAGAAAGAAAGACAGACAGACAGAGACGCATAACCGCGAGAGGGAACAGTGGAACAGGATACACGGGAATCAAAGAAACAAGGCGTTCAAGCAGCGCCAGCCTCGCTCTTCCTCTTGGAGCGGTCCCGTTTAGACTTGGTCTTGGGCTCCTTCTCCACCGTGGCCGGCTCGGCCTCGACCTCGGCATTGCGAGTGCTGCGGCCGCTCTTGCTCTTCTTCTTGTCGTCCTCGGCGGGCGTTGCTGCTACCTCGGCCTCGGCGGCGGCGGCGGCTCCCCTCTTTTTCTTGTCCTTCTTAGCCGGTGTGCTCACGACGGCATTGTTGGAGGAATTGGGAGGACGCACCTGGGTGACCTGACGAGGCGGAGGCACGGGGGTTGGAGCAGCGGCGACCGGGGCGGCGGCAGTCTTCTGGCGCTTGTTGGCACGAGGGGTCTTGCCGTTGACGGGGAGAGGGCTGGGGGCTTTCGCGACAGGCGATACTGCGTTGGCCTCGTCGCCCGACTCGGATTCGGCGTCCGAATCGGCGGCTCCGGCCTCGGCTTCAGCTTCGTCAGATGCACCATCGTCGTGGAGTTCCTCGACATCAGCAGCGGCACCTTTGCTTGCTAGATAGGTCGCAGTCTTCTCCTTGAACTCCATCAAGGATTGACGATACGAGGCTTTCCAAGTCTGTAGCAAAGGTTAGACGTACATGGTATGGCGAAGGGGAAGTTTAGACGGGTACACTGACCTCCTTCTCCTCCTCGGGCATTTCGTTCCAGCGCTTGTTGATTTCAAAGTTGACGGCGTTGGGCTCCAACTTCTGGCCAGCCGACAGCTCAGACTCCATGTCACTCTTGACGACGGGGCGAGCAGACTGGGCGAAGAGGAAGGCGGCGGTGAGTGGGCGCTTGGGCGCATTGGGGTCCTTCTCCTTCTTCTCCTTCTTTTCGCGTTTGCGCTTCTTGGCCTTTGCAGCATCGGGCGCAGGAGCTGGGGTGGTGGCGGCGGCGGCGGGGGTGGTAGCAATGATTGTCTGGCTGACGTCGTTGACAGCCGAGGACGCGGCGGCCACAGCAGCGTTGACGTTGTCGACGGCGCTTTCGGGGAGCTTCTCGAGAGCGCCGGATTCACCAGCAAGAACAGAGGCGGTGTGGTTGATGTAGGCGCTCATCAGACCGTTGAGGCCATTCTGAACGTGGGTGAGGCCCTTCTGGACGTTGGACAGGGCGAGAATAACTAGAGCATCTTCGCGTCAGTATGCGCTCGCTGGCGAAAGCAGGGTGCTGTGCTGTGCTGTGCTGCGCTGAGGTTGGACGCGTCGACGGCGCGCAACGTCGCAGCACGGCTGGCGGGCTCGAGGGCATTGCGCATGGCGTCGCGTGGCTGTGGCGACGACAAAGCAGTAGCGGGGAAGGTGGGAAGATGGATGAGATGGATGCATGGATGAATGCGCTGGGCGGGTTGATGGATGGCTCACGGCATAGCAAGCGCGTGTCGACAGGTAGAAGAACAACAACAGAAGCAGAAGAAATAGAAGAATAGACAAGGAGAAAAAGGCTTACCGTTCTCCCGTGTTTTCGAGTATTGTTCCAGGCTTATGAGAAGTTCTGTCTTTGCAGGTGCAGGAGGTCCTGCTGAGTCCTTTGTTGTTCGGGCCATGGCTGGTAGTGATGGTAGTGATGGGGTGGTAGCAGTCAACTGGTGTCGAGAGCGAGGGAGTGGAGGAGAAAAGAAAAGTTGGGCGGGCGGGGGGGGGGTGCTTGTGTTAAATCGCCCCGTCTGCGTGGGCGCGAAGCGCCAAACAGTAGGCTTGCTGCCTGGCTCGCTGGCTCCCTCTGCGGCCTCCTACAGCACCAACCGGCAGAATTCTTCTACATAGCAAATTTGAAAAAGCTACAGCCCCCTCCTATGACTAGGTTATAGCTTTTTTTTTTCCTTTTCGCATCAGTACGATGAAAAGCTCTATCAATGCGCGTATACAAAAATGGTCAGTAAACAGTTAATGTATTAGAAGGGTTGTTGTTGTTGTTGTTGTTGTTGTTCTCGTATGCGCGCGCTGTACCCACTGTACCATGCTGCTTTTTGAATGTGAGCACGGGGGGATCGCGCCCAGTGAATGCGCCATTGGAGCAGCCTGCCCATGCCCACCCGCCTATGCCTACCCGCCTGTGCTAACACGCCTGTGCCTACACGCGCGGGCTCTGCCAGCTGGGCCCCTTTGCCCTGTACTGGTAGCCGCCCAAGGTATTGTTGCCAAGGCATGCAATAACTGCTCTCTCATCCTACGTATACTAATTCCAAGTATTACACATGCACTTCCGAGCTGTAGTCTACTGTAGAGGGCCGGTGTCCTTGAGCCTCCTGCCCTACTTAATCATTATGAACTCTCCGTCCATGTGAACAATTCGGTGGTGAGACTATGGGACTTTACCACGACCTAACAAAGCAAACGATGACCAAGATTCTTCCTTTACTGAATTGGAATTGCGCATGTGGCGCGTATCAGGATCCAGACATTTTTGAGGAGATTGAAGAAGACGGCGGGGGTGAATGGGAGTACACATCGGACTGCAAATGGCCACGCTCCGAAGGCGCGACAACTTCAGAGCCAGCCCCCCAGTCTGCCAGATACATAATTGTGTCGACTAGGGAATCTTTCCGCTCCCGAGTATGGGATGTTGTCTACGAGAATGACCCAAAATTAAGAAACTGAAAAGCGACTACGCGAAGAAAAGAAATCCCCGATACACCAGACAAAACTATGCATCAAGGCAAGAAATTAGAGAGGCAACTGGGGACACCCTCAAGAGGAAGTGTAGCTCGGACGGCTTTCAGAGCTATCAAACTATTCGAAGTGCTACATGGATGCAGCAAAAATGGCAAGTCGCACAAGATTACAATGATGGCAGAGATGATCTTCGCGTCTCTGGTTGTATTCGATGAACTACACACCGCTGGAAACAGGAATACGCAAACGTACACGCATATTCTAGAACTATTCCAGCGAATGATGAGCCCAGAATCGAGACCTGCTGTTATTGGCATCACCGGCTCCCCCCTGGCTTCTGGTATTGATGTCGTTATGACATTTGCGGACAAGGCACTTCGCAGAGAAGATGCAGAATGGAAGAAAAGCAACGACGGGGCGATTGAGGCGATCAAACACTTGAACACCAGTGAGATTCAAACAGCCTGGAAGGAGTTTGATAAACGAGTCCGACTTCAAGCAACAACCACAAAGAAGATCTCCGTGAAAACAATGATGGATGAAGACGAGAAGATGCAGAAACTTCTACGAACTTTTGGTTACATCATAGGCACATATGGCATAGACCGAAACCATGAGTCTGTTGACCCGTGGGCGAAGCCGTTGCGTCTGCTTGATCTATGCGAGTTGAATGTTCAATACTGCGCTCTGAAGTACGATCCTGATCACCATAGAACACTTCAAGAGGTGGAAGACGGGCTGAAGACCAAAGAGAAAGAAGCAAACGAGCAAGCAAAACTCAAGTGGGAAGATGAAGGAGGTATACTTTCGGGGAAGCCCAAACCCAAACCGAAGAACGCCGCTCAATTGGACGCTGCCGCTTACAACTCTGCGTTGAAGGTGGCAAGCTTCCCAAATATCTTCAAAGCCATTCGAAAATATCAAGAAGACCATCCAGATCGGCCGGTAGTGATAGGAGCTACTGTGGAATGGGGTGACAGCCTAGGGAACGACAACAAAATGATTCACAGCATTGTGGACCATCCGGAATCTATTCAATCTTCCTGGATCGTCGAATGTATTGATGATATCATAGAAGGTTCAGCCAAGATGGATATGATCTTTGAGGCAGTCAATCGAGCGTACAACGAAAAGTCAGCCATACCACATCCAGACGAGAAGCGCCACCGAGGAGAGCAACTTGTATTTCGGTCCAAGTATTGCCTAGGCAGCAGCAATCGCCTAGAAAAGGCGATTGTCTATTGTGTAAGTTCTTTCCGTCTTCTAACATTGTTAACTTATGGCTATTAGCCTGATCTAACAACACGCCAGGCACTTGGTCGAACATACGGCTATAGGAACATTGCCTTTGTCTCGGGTAACGGCAAAAAATAAGAGGCAATATCGTCATGGCGAAGGGTTTACGACTTTGACACTGGCAAGACATCTTATCGTGTGTTTATAATGGTTGCTTCCCTTGGTATCATCAACTAGTCTGTTGATCTAGTTGAAGGTCACTACTTCGACGGATTCGAACCACAGAAGAAAAATGCTATCGCCAAACAGTTCGTTGGCAGAGGTCGTCGACCAGGGCAGACATCTAGCTTCATAAATGTTCGATGGCTCTACCATGAAGGATCCTATTTAGAGGAGAAGACCGTGATACGCAATCTCAAAAAAGGACGAGTTTGCAGACGGTACGCGAAAATCGCGTATCGTGAAGGTTCAAGCTTTGGTTCAAACTATGAACATGAACGCCAGCGAGGCAGACGCTATTGTACTATAGATCGTGAAAGGCGCTGAGAATACTCAGTCTAGGCATTGAAAACTAATGCAAAGTGTCTTTTGAACTCTCCCCTCGTACTCTTCCTCTGACTCTTCATCTTTTGAACTCTCCCCACGTACTCTTTATGTTTTGGGCTCTCCCCTGTTGAACTCTTCTCTGGTACTCTTTGTCCTTTAAACTCCCCCTCGTACTCTTTAAACTCTCCCCTTGTACTCTTAATGCTTTGAACTCCTCCTATGTACTATTTATTTTGAACTCTTCCTATTGTACTCTACCTCTATAGCATTTATGTCAACTCTCAATAAGGTGCAGCATCACAAGACAAAGGTTCACAAGAAGAACAATAGGTCAACATAGCTGATTATGCTACTACTAAATATGGACTAATAAGGTATTTTTGTTAGTTTACAGTCTCCGATTGTTGGCGAACTAAGCCTTCTGCTTGTAAACTTTGTAGAGTGGCAACCAGATTGCGATGATGCTCGTCTGCCACTGGCAACTTCGAGACAGCAGCCTGGATTTGACGAGAGATAAATTTACCACGGAATAAACCCTCGCCATTGTGGTCCCACGTTTCGGTGTCTAGTGAGGAAAGTGCATTCTATATTCTCCGCGAGGGGAGAACAATGTATATCAATTGATAGTGACATCGCCATCTCTAAAAACACGACTTGAGATTGTCCACGGAACACCCAAAAGCATCCAATCCCATCAACACCATATTTTGGGTGTCGCCGTCAATATGAGCAAGAACTTCCGTCGTGAATCTTTTTATACGACTGTCTGTACTCGCATCATAATTCCGATGTTGCTTCTCTTCATCGTGAGCACGCTCGGTGATTTTGCTAAACGACTGAGAGGGAAGTATACTAGTCTCTAGTACTTCATTGTTGGTACGAAGCGATATGCTGCTTGTAATTGAATGTTGTATCAAAAGGTCGTACATGTGCTGATAAGTTGACAGATGCCCAGCAAATATGGAAATAGGCAACCTAGAGTAGCGTACGCCGGATGAATTTGTGCAGGTGCAGGAATTTGAAAAACTGAAATTGTGGTTTCTCATAAGATGCCCGATAAATTTCGACATGAAGGTTTGTAGCTTGCACCTGCGGGTAATAGGATTTTTTTGTGTTATTAGCATCTCACAATGAGGACAGGCAAGTTCAAGGTACAAAGGCGATTCAGGTAATTCCAAATGCTCACTTTCAACGAAAGGAGTGTGTTTGGATTTAATAAAAGATCCAATAACAAGAACAGCTTTTTGATGGTCAGGAAATTCCCCGGAGATCGCGTGTATGGAGAGGGCATCTCGAATTCGGTCCATAATGTAGTTCCGTTCGTCTTCATCATCGTAGTAGAGGTGGTGTTGACCGCCAGCATGGTACCATAACCATGAGTCTCTCCAAACTACAACCCACTTGAAGACTTTAGGTGGGGTGAAGAGAGAGTGGTATCGACCAAACATATCTCGGGTTCGCTTCGAACCTCGTGAAAGAAGACAAGTCTTCCAAGGTAATAGTCTGTGGATCTCCATCCCCATTATCATCATCATTCTCGTCATTATCATCAAAACGGAGTGGAGATGAAAAGTGACCTTCCCAGTCATCAGGTGATAATTCTCCTGGGGTTGAATGGTAGTCTGGCTCATCGTTGTCTGCCTCCTGCCCGCAAGACTGGAATTCCAGGTCCTAGTCATCAGGCAAAAATCCTCCTAGGTTTGGATGATGGTGTGGCCCATCGTTGTCTGCCTCTAGCCCGCGAGATTGGGCTTCCAGGTCTGGGGCAGAACGCAGTCCTCCTCCTTGGGTTGAATGGTGATCTGACTTATTGTTGGTTGTCTTTTTACTGCGTTTGAAAATGGAACTGTAAGTACGCATTAGTAATGATAGCCTGGAATATCACTCTGTTCCTTACTGTATATATTTTGTTGGGTTGTTCCGTATTGACCTTGCAAGCCATCCTTGTTCAAGCTGGTTGCGTGGCAAGCGCTCGTGTTGCTCAAGTGCACGCCGATCGTTTTTGCCAGGGCGTGGTAGATTTTGACGTTGGATTCCATGAGGATTAGAACGCTCGTTCTACGAGCGCCCTAGGCCACGGGACAGTGTCTGTGGAAAACGACTGAGAGTACTAGGAGAGCGACGATGGGAGTGTGCATGTCCATTGTCTTTATTGGGGGAGCGGCTTCGACGGCGAGGATCAGAGCGTGCATATCTGCTGTCTCTATCGGGGGAGCAGCAACGACGGCGAAGATAGAAGCGTGCATGTCTGTGGCCTTCAGCAGGATTATGGGCTACAGCAGTGAAAACGTGAGTTAGTGTATCTTTAGCTTTAATCGGGAGACGGGCTACAATTATGATGACGATATCTGGTGTATCCGTGGCCTTCATCGGGAGAGCGGCATCGATTTCGATGGTAATGAGAGCGTATGGCTATCGTTTACACTCGAACTCTTCACACAGCGCCGGACATGAGCTTCACGCCATGCCATCGAAATATCCACCAAATACAAATTTATCAAATTAATATCATCATACATGCATTCGACAAACACGCGCCTATCCAACCCCTTGATTTCAGTCCATGTAATGGCTGCCTTCTAATAGACAAAATATCCTTGCGTCAGAGGTAGGGTCTCTGCCGGCTCTGCCGTACACACCATTCCATCTGCTTCGACTGTATACCTCTCCGGGTCTACCTTCATCTTTGGCCGCGTGTCGTTGAACTTCATATCGGCCTTGCTGATCTTCCGACAATTCTTCACAGCTTCCACGCGCTTCCGCAGCCCATACGACTTTGCCACGCCGGAATCAATCGACGCCTGCGAGACAAACGTGATGCTGCTCGATGGTACAAGAGGCGCAAACATGGGCCGCATAATGATAGGCTCCACCGTGGGGATGGAGGCATTAGGATCACCCTGCATCATGTTCAGCGACGCTCGTCATCATGTCTGGGACGTGGTTTGTATGCTTACCATCTGTGCGTATGCGCAGAAACCGCTTTTGATAACCAGCTTCGGTTTGACGCCAAAGTTTGCCGGCGTCCAGACCACCAGGTCTGCGACTTTCCCTACTTCGACGCTGCCGATGAGATGACCCATGCCCTGTGCAATGGCTGGGTTGATGGTGTATTTGCTGATATATCGCTTGACTCTAAAGTTGTCTGCATCGGTCCCTTGGTCTTCTTTGAGCGTTCCCCGTTGCACTTTGTTCTTGTGCGCCGTGTTCCATGTTCGCAGGATGACCTCGCCGCAACGGCCCATCGCCTGTGAGTCCGAAGACATCATGGAGATGGCCCCGAGATCATGCAGAACGTCTTCTGCCGCAATCGTCTCCGCGCGGATCCGCGACTCTGCAAATGCGACGTCTTCGGGGATGTTTCGGGATAGATGGTGGCATACCATCAGCATGTCAAGATGCTCGTCCAGAGTGTTTTTGGTATACGGCCTCGTGGGGTTCGTCGACGATGGCAGTACGTTGTCGTGCTCTACTACGCTGATGATATCAGGTGCATGTCCACCGCCAGCCCCCTCGGTGTGGTATGTATGGATTGTTCTGTTTTTGATAGCTGCAATCGTCTGCTCTACAAACCCGGATTCGTTCAGAGTGTCGGTATGGATGAGCGTCTGAATGTCGTAGTCATCGCACACGCTGAGACAATTGTCGATGGCTGCTGGTGTGCTACCCCAATCTTCATGTAGCTTCAAGCCACAAACACCCGCCTCGACTTGTTCCTGCAATGGCTTCTTTTCAGCATCGTTTCCTTTCCCAGTAATGCCGTAGTTCAGAGGTAGCTCATCGATAGCCTGGAGCATCTGCCGAATATGGGTTTTGCCAGGTGTACATGTTGTCGCGTTGGTGCCGGTGCTTCACCATTGTCAGTTTCGAGATTCTATCGCTCTACAACGCAGGTAGATACACACCTTGGTCCCGTGCCCCCGCCTAGCATGGTCGTGATACCAGAAGCGATCGCTTCATATGCTTGCTGAGGACATATGAAGTGAATATGTGAATCATAGCCCCCTGCTGTGACAATGCCATGTTCGCCAGCAATCACATCGGTACAGGCTCCCACGACCATGTTCGCATCAACGCCATCCATGATATCCGGATTGCCTGCTTTACCGATGCCCACAATGATACCGTCCTTGATCCCAATGTCAGCTTTGTAGATTCCGGTCCAGTCGATAATCAAAGCATTCGTAATGACTGTGTCTAAACTGTCATTGTCCGATCGCCCACCAGCTTGACCCATGCCTTCTCTTATGGTTTTGCCGCCTCCAAAGGCACATTCGTCGCCATAATTCGTCAAATCCTTTTCTACTTTGACCCACAAATCCGTTGCACCGAGTCTCACTAGATCGCCGGCTGTTGGCCCGAACATGCTGATGTATGCTTGTCTCTCCATAGTGCACATGTCGATGTGCGCTGCATCGCCGACGGGCTCGGGCTTGTGTAAGAAGCCCCCTTCTTTGATCCTCTCCATTATACTCTGCGCGATGGAAATATCTTCAATAAAGCCAGATGCTAACTTGTTACCCCCTTTAATGATTTTATTTCCGGCGATCTGTACCAAAGTGACCGTCTTAGTATCACCAGGTTCAAAACGTACCGATGTGCCAGCAGGGATATCAAGACGATAGCCATGAGCACGCACACGATCAAACTCCAACTGTGGATTTGTTTCAATGAAGTGATAATGAGATCCGACCTTGAAAATGTCAGTTGCGCTGGGCAGTGCGTAGGGGTGCGATAACAATGCCGCCTTACCTGTATCGGTCTATCGCCTGTGCTTCTAACCCTCAACTTGATTCTCTTTCGGCCTTGGTTCAGACTGATAGTGCCAGACTTCCCTTTGACTGCTACAATGGCGCCGGGTTGGTTTGTGCTTTCATACACGGCTGGGTCAGGCAGTGGGAACATTTCATTGTCAGGAACAGGCAGGAATGAGCCGTAGAGGGCCTTGGCGAGGTCTCCATCGTCGGTGCAAACAGGATTGTGTACAGTGACGAGATATGTGCCAGTGGGGAATGTTCCCTCGACCATCATTTCAGATAGGGAGGAGACGACCGAGGGAAGCACATGGCGACGACCGAGCATGGTCTTGCCCATGGACATGAGATCGGCGACGGTGTGATTGCCATCACGAATGAGCTGAGCAGAGTTAGAAACCAGTAGTTGAGGTGCCAGACGGCAAAGAATATCTGCTTGGGTATATGTACTTCTTGTAGGTTGTTGGCAATCAGGGCCTGGACTGGAGGTTAGTTTGGACTCGACATTTGGCACCCGAATACTTTGCTGCTGGACTTACGGTAGCTTCGGAATGATTGAGCTTCACACCTCTGGCCAGGCGGCGTTGGGCTAAAAGGCCGAGTTGGGAGATGACCAACTTGTCAAGCTACAGGTCCACGACGGTAACAAGTGATTAGTCGAGAAGGGCATCATACGAGTTGATGGAGGGGGGGCAAGCCAACCTCTTTCGGACACAGCTGCATCCTCGAATCGCGGCAGGTAAGGTGCCGATGATGGATGGGCGGATGATGTTGATGAAGCGGAAGGAGATGAGAGGATGAAGAAGAAGGATCTGGAGGGGATGTCGAATAACTGCCTTTGCGAGTGTTTCTAGGAAGGCTACTATTTGATCGAGTATTGATAAGTGGTTATATAAGTAAACATGGGGATTGACTCTCTATATGCGTGGTCTAGAGAATTGCGTATATACGCCGCACCCCATCGGCCAGGGTGTTGAGGGGTAACAGGGCGATAAGACGAGATAAACATGACACGGCGCTCGTTATAATACATAACCAATGTTTCCCCACTGGTTTTTTCAGTTGCAGGTCTACCGTTTCCACGACAGCGCTTGTACATATATCACATTGCAATAACCATGAGTCTCCATCCATTGTTTCCAAAGCTACCACGCAGGAATGCCCATCATCAAATCGTTACGTTGCACTGGACCCCCGCCATTTCTACATGTAAAGTCGGCGCCTAAGAGACGCTAGCCTGTCTGGGGCTAGCTCCATCCATTCATCCATCCGACCCGGCTGACATAATCTTCCTGCATCGAAACAATGGACCCTACTGTAGACATGGACATACATGTGTAATCTGCCCGACCATCACAAACAATCATCGCCGTCTTGACCCATTGCCACTCATTCAGCATTGAAAGGGAGCCCAAAGATATCCTCTTGCATCTTCTCTTTTCACCAACCTGCATCTGTCCTCTATCAAGCCACCCCAACAAATATGCCGAGCGCAAGAACATACGTCAAGGCCATCAGTGCGTAAGTTGCCTTGACCTGCACGCTGCCATCCATCGTCAAACAACCGATTAACATGTTCTAGTGGAGCAGCTCTCTGCGTAGGAGGACCAGCGCTGGTATGGTACGTAACGCCTACAGAGGAGGAGATTTTCAAGGTAAGCCGGCATGCTGTCACGTGCGTGGCCACCCCCAGCCACTGACCGTCCTGCCAGAAATACAATCCCGAGCTGCAAAAGAGAGCCCTTGCGCAAAGGAAGCAAAGAGAGGAGGAGTTTGAGAGTTTTGTTGGCCATTTGAAGGACGCGTCCAAGTCGGATAAACCCAGTGAGTTCTGCAACCCCATGCAATAGCCTGGTACGAGTTCTGAGAGTCTGTACAACTAATCACATTCCACAGTCTGGACCGTGCAGAAGGACTTGGAGAAGAAACAATCCGAGCAATATGCCCAGAGAATGAGGGATGAGCAAAATATGCTCGCCGCCGAAGTGGAAAGACGGCGCGCAGAGGTGAGATCGAGTACGAGTTGAGAGAGCTCCGCCCTGCTGTATGTATAACATGTTGTTTTTGTAAAGATTGTAACATTATCCATTTGTTTGTACGAGCATGTGAACAATGATTGAGACTATCATCTATTATTTTTATCTTTGTTCTTCACGCAAGCTATACGAGTATGGAAACGCATGTAGTTCAAATGTTGTATTACGTGATGGCGCCCTTCATTGACGCGCACGACGCCAACCCCAGCTCACCTTGGACCTCGAACCCCACCGCCGCTCGTCATCTCCGACTTCAACTATCACCAATGCCCGGCGATGAAAGAACCCCCGTGAAGCTGTCGCTGCCTCTCGTAATGATCAATTCATTCCCCTCCTATTGTGTCCGATGCTAATGACGTCAGGAATTCCAACAAGACATATTCAACGAGCTGCGAGACGAAGATGAGCTCGTCATCCTTGCTCGCGGCCTCGGCTTGGTGCGCATAGTCACCAACCTCCTTCACTCGTACGATGCCGCCGGCAACAACCTGATTCTCTTGGTCGGCGCGGATGAGCGTGAGAACATATGGATTGGCGAGGCGCTGGCCGAGCAGGCTGCCGTCAGTATGGCGCCCAAGGCTCGCGGCTTGAGTCTGGTCAACACCGATCTGATGAGCGTGGGCACACGAGAGAAAATGTATGCGCAAGGCGGCATATTCAGTATAACCTCGCGCATTCTGATCGTCGACTTTCTGTCAGGCCTCCTGAATCCTGAAACGGTTACCGGCGTGGTGGTGCTACACGCTGAAAAGGTGGTAGCAACTTCGCTCGAGGCTTTTATACTACGCATATATCGACAGAAGAACAAAGTGGGCTTTCTCAAAGCCTTCTCAGACAGTCCGGAGCCTTTCACAACCGGCTTCGCCCCTCTAGCGAATATGATGAAGAATCTTTTCTTGCCAAAGCCTGCATTATATCCCAGATACCATGTGACAGTCGCCAAGTCATTAGAAGGGCGCAAGAAGGCAGAAGTCATTGAGCTTGAGGTGCCAATGACAGATGCAATGCGATCGATTCAGAACGCGGTCCTGGAATGTGTGGAAGTGAGTATCAGCGAGCTTCGGAAAAGCAATTCGGGTGTAGAAATGGAAGAATGGACCCTGGATAGTGCATTGCACAAGAATTTCGACACCATAATAAGACGTCAACTTGATCCAGTATGGCACAGAACCACATTCAAAACCCGTCAGGTGGTGCGCGACCTCACGTTGCTCCGAACGATCCTCCACGCACTCCTTACCTACGATGCTGTCGACTTCAACAAGTACTTAGACACGGTGTTGGCGGCCTCTCAACCTCCACCAGGCTCAACTAAGCACAATCAGTCGCCCTGGCTGTTCTTGGATGCGGCTGACACCATGTTCACGACTGCAAAACGGAGAGTATATACTGGCAAAGTCACAAGTGCCGACCTCGCAAGCAATACTGGCACCACGCCGGACGGGCTGCAACCAGTTCTTGAAGAGTTGCCTAAGTGGGCTCAACTCGCCGAGATACTCCAGGAGATTGAGCAAGACGCCTTTCTCAATCCGAAACCTCAAGACACATCCAACGGGTCCATTCTCATCATGTGTGGCGACCAAGGCACATGTCGCCAGCTGCGAGAATATCTCCAGGTAATGTATGTGAAAGAAAATGACGAAGACCCTGATCGTGAGGAGGATGAGCCTTCTGGAAAACTCATGATGCGTCGCAAGCTCCGCAACTACCTGAATTGGAAACGTGATTTTACCAATGTCAGTGCCGCCCTCTTCTCCGAGAACCAAAAGGCCATCGACAACAATGGCAATCAAGGTACGAAAAGCGGTATCAAGAACAAGGCACCGCCGGCCAAGCGACGGCGAGTGCGGGGCGGAGGAGCGATAGGAGCAAGCGCAACACGCACGGAATTCGGTGCTGTGCGTACAGCAGGAGACCGAGATGCTCATATCGCCAGTCTGATGGCCGAACTGCATCCCACAGAGCTGGAGGCCATGCAGAAAGAGGAGATTGCAATTGATCCTTTACACGATATGGATTCCTACTACTCGCTGTTCGAGATGGATTCACTTGTTATCGTACATCCCTATTCGGGTGACCTGGACGAGCATATCCTGGAAGAAACAAAACCTCGATATATTATCATGTATGAGCCGGACGCAGCCTTTATACGACGCATTGAAGTGTATCGCTCATCCCACACGGACCGAACTGTCAAGGTATTCTTCATGTACTATGGCGGCAGCGTAGAAGAGCAGCGCTATCTATCCGCTGTGCGCCGCGAAAAGGATTCCTTCACCCGCCTCATTCGCGAAAGAGGGAACATGGCAATGACGATGAATCCCAACGCAAACGTCGATCCGCAGGAGTCATTCCTTCGTACTATAAACACCCGCATAGCTGGCGGTGGCAGGCTGGCAGCAACAGCACAACCTCCCCGCATCGTCGTCGATGTCCGTGAGTTCCGCTCATCGCTGCCATCGCTCCTCCACGGGAAGCAGATTGTGGTAGTTCCCTGCATGCTTACAGTAGGTGATTACGTTCTGACGCCCGAGATCTGTGTGGAACGTAAATCCGTGCGCGATCTCATCGGATCCTTTGCCAATGGCCGTCTCTACAACCAAGCGGAATCTATGATGGAGCATTACAAGTCGCCCATGCTGCTGATTGAGTTCGACCAGAACAAGTCCTTCACTCTCGAGCCGTTTACGGATTTCTCGGCGCGAGACAACAAGGACGGGTTGGGAGGAGCACCTGATTTGCAGGCAAAGATAGCCATGCTCACACTTGCCTTTCCTCGCCTGAAGATCATTTGGTCGTCATCTCCTTATCAAACTGCCGAGATTTTTTTATCGCTCAAGTCGCAGCAAGAAGAGCCGGAACCGCTCACAGCGGTTCAGAAAGGCCTTGACCCTAACGAGCAAGGGGGCGATGCTATGGGACAGCGGATCTTCAATCAGACCAGCCAGGATATGTTGCGGGCGCTGCCAGGTATCAATGAGAAGGCCGTGGGAACGCTGATGCGGGAGTTGAATAATATAAGCGAGCTTGCAAACATGGAAGAGAAGGACCTTTGTGACATGATCGGAACCGAGTTAGGAAGGCGGGTGTTTCGGTTCTTCAACCGGAGTGTGTACGAGGACTTCACGCTGCCAAACTTTGGGGATTAAAACAAAAAAGAAGATTAGCAGGTTCAATGGAAAAGGCATATTGATGCATGTATTGATGCTCCCGAGTCGCGCGCAGAACGCTACGCCAATAAAACTAAGCCGGTATCACGTGCATGCCACCAGATACGCCCGCAGGGAAAGAAAACAAAGATGGTGTGAATCTAACAATCCGTCCGCCCGCCGGTGTGCGCGCATTTGAGCCGAACCTGACTTCCTTTCTATTTTGCACTGGCGAGTAACAGCGCGGCATATCCTCATTCGCGGAAGAGCCAGGGACAGCATGGCGGACCGTCTCGGGTCCCTTTTTAAATATCGTCAATGTCGATATCCTTTCCGTCCTTGCCTGCCTCGTCCTCGGAGCTGCTGTCGCGATCCTCGTCGAACTCGAAGCCGATGCCTTCGTCGCCCTGGTCGCCGTAGGTGTCGGTCTCGTTGATCTTGGCATTTTCGGGGAGTTCACCGTAGGCTTTGAGAGAACGAGCCTCATCGGCGGAATATTTGAGAATGACGTCACCCTAAGAGACGGCGTCAGCAAGGCAAAGTGGAATGAGTAGGCCGATGGCATGTGAGCCTCGTAATTACCTTTTCGTCTTGGTAGTCTCGCAGCGAGAGAAGTATGATGTCGCCCTGGTTGATCCAGACCTTCTTGCGCAGTTTACCTCGAATGTGACCGAGTCGGCGGGTACCATCGAAACACTGTGCTTCCAGACGTCCGTTACCTATAGAAAGGGACAGTCAGTCAGTATGAGTATATTTGCGACATGGGCTTTTTGACGCCCGGTGGGGGCAGAATCAGCGTTGGCAACGTACCCAACATCTTCAAGACCTGGGCATACTCCTGGCCCTCCTCCTTGAAGGTGAGTTCTCGCTTCTCGTTGTCGTTCTCGTTCTTTCCCCTACGTCTGTTCTTTCCTCCCTATTCACCCAAAGTCAGCACAGATGTTGCGAGGAGGTGGATGGCGGGGTATGAGGCGGGGCGAAGCGGAGTGGGAAACGTACCTTTCCCTTATTCTTCGGCATGTTGAGAAGGTAGGTTGGTTTATTACTCTAGGTCTTGCTAGCGGTTGAGAGGTGAGTTGTGGTGCAAGTCTGAGTAGCCAAGTATTATGTAGTGGCAGAGTGAATGAAAAAGAGGGAAGAAGCGGCGGCCGTGGTTTGTTTCGCCTGCGAGTCACCACTCGATGTGCGCTGCGGGCGCTAAAACTCAGCCCTGCTCTGCATTGGGTTAGCGTTTCAACCCTCTCCATTCTTCACCTCTTCACGTCTCATCCTTTTTGTAATCCAACGGAGCCCATTCGTCCCCACCTCCAACTGCTCTGTCGTCCATGGCGCCATGAAACTAGCTGATCCGAAAGCCTTCACCCGCCTCACTCCCCGGCTCAATATTACGACCTTCCGCCTGAACTACAGCCCTGGCTACAACACCTTCATTATCAACCGTGTCATCGATGACCGCCAGCACCCTCTCCATATCTTGCAGACACGCCTGAGGGATCAACGGAGAAAGGAAGGCCTGTGGTGGCATGCTACAACCGGCACGGAACTGTGCAAGTCCAGCAGGATCAGGACCTGGTGTAGAAGGCGGCTCCGCAATGCCTTCACTGGAGCGCTGAATGAACGAGGGTTTGATCAGTATGGGCGACTGGTTGATGCGAGTGCTCTACAAGGACCTTTGGCGCATCTGGGGCGTGCGTTAAGACAACACAAGGACTTCAGCCTCTCAGGGAGTATCAGGATGCATGCATTGGTACCTCTGATTCCAGCCAAGTACACCCTTGTGCAGCGCGAGGTGACGGAGCTGCTCGACCTGTTGCTCTCATGCTATCAGAATGAGATAACGGGTCCTCGCCCCAAAGGGAGGCTTGACAACAGAAAAAGACTCTGAATCAAGCTGAAGCTCCGCATCTCCGGAAAGGTTATAGATTCACCACCGGTAGGATTCAGCATCATGCAGCATATTGGAGAACCTCTACACTCTGTGATGACACAGTCTGTAGGATAGCTAAAGCAGTCCATGGCAAGACACCGCTGTTCCAAGATTAAAGTAGCGTCCTTTATTGCCTGGAGCATCTAGGCAGTTGCCAGCACTAGTGTAATCACCATATGTGTTAGCGTGGACTTGCACTGACTCCCCTCGCGCATAAATATCGTGCCATTCCCTTCAGTCGACTGTACCTGAGACATTTTACCCATGCAATTGGTGGCCACCGAGCGTATTCCCTTTGGAAGAGCACGTCAACAACTGGAACAGCATCAGCCAAGACCGTGTGATGCGATACGTACCTCGTCACGCCATCATTCACACGCAATCGGATATCGAGGACCATGGTCTGGACAACTTTAGAGAACCCGAGGAGGTTGGCGATGATTTCAAATGTGTCCTCGCAACACCACCAAGATTTTCAAATCTAGATTCTGTGACGATTGCCTTTACCCCGGAATGCGTGGGTGTCGACAAGAAATACTGGCAGGTTGTGGCCGAAGCACACGTCTAGCAGCGCCAAAACATGTTGAAGCTTATTTTTCAGGTCATTTAGGACCGGGCAGCGGAAGCGAAGAACAGAGCTGTTCGCAAACTCACCATAATCAACGTCCAGAACTGTCCAATCCCGCAGTTCACATCTTCTGCTCTCTTCGGCGATGTTATTAGCAACTTAGAAGAGCTACATGTTTCTATCGTCCACGCAAATAGAAACTTGGGTCCCTTTTCTGGCCACTCCAATCTTATAGGCATATCTTTCCTAAAGCTCGAGACGCTGGCCCTAGGCTATCATACTTTTGCACACGACAATGACCTCGATTGGATTCTCGCCATTGGGTCTTTACGTCACTCGTTCTGCACAACTGCATGATTGCATCTTGGATCCGTATTGGCCATGGAAACATGGACCAGTGGAGAGTTCCGACATACGATTGGATCAGGCTATCCAGCTTCCGCGCCTGTAATCGATGCCACGTTCGCTTATAACGGCATATGGAGTCTGTATTCAGAATGTATTGGAGAAGCTTTACCGGATTTACAAGACTTCAGGTTTGTCCGGGTTTGAACATACACCACTCACATGGACGAGCCTCTGTACGGCGTGGAACACCGCGAGTCTTGTGGAATGAGTTTCTTCCCTCAGAGATAAATTTTTTTCGATAATGGCATTTTGCCAACACATTGGCCAGAGGCCGAGGATGGTGGCAATGTACGTTCATGGCTTAATGGTGGATTCTCAGAAAACTTACATATGAGGAACTTAGAAGCAGATCAGAAGAGCTTAGAAAGACTACTTTGCAAGCTAAGCTAGAGATTAGTCTAGTGAATAAATATACGAGTATTTACAAGGATCAAGAAAAAAGGTATATAATTATAATGATGTTTAGCGTTTGGGAAACGATAGCATGATGCAAAAGTAATGACGTACATGATTACATACAAACATGAACAACCAAGTTATCTTAGTACAACTCAACACGACTCACGCGCCAACTTCGTTTTTTTCTCCCCGCTTGATAGCCTTAGGAAGTCTTAATTGCTCAAGAACCACATTCCAATGCCTTTGCTCCTGCTTCGAATCTCCACCTGGAACCTGCATTTCATCGAATACATGTTCTTTGCCTCAGTCTGGGCGTGAACTCCTCCGAATAAACGCGTTTTCATAACAGCCAATGCATTACAACACACCATCATAAGCTCACTTCATCGGTACTGGCACATGACCACACACATCTCTGGAACCAATCTTCCCTATCATAATGTCTTCCTCACAGCCAGCCCCGCGCCCAGGTGGCTACATCGACCCCAACTTTCCGAATCCCATGGGGGAGGGTGATGCGACTATCATCATCTACGGGTACACGCCGTCGCTGGCGGTTGGTGTCCTAGGTGTTGTGTTGTTTGTTCTTGCTGGGATTGCGCATGCAGTTGCGTTGGTGAGATGGCGCACGTGGTATTTTTCCACGGTCCTAGTGGGGACTGCATTTGTAAGTCTGAAGTTTTCTTTGCTCTGTGTTTGGGGTTTAGGGAGATGGGGAATAGGGTTAAGGTGGTGGTGGTGGTGTGGTTGGTTCAGGATCTAGACAATTAGTTGAAGGATCAAGGTGGAAAAGAGATGCCTGATTGTAGGTTGATTAGAAGAATTTTGATGAAGCGTAGCGAAGAGAGTCTTATCAGACTCTTCCACTCTCTTCAATTAACAAGGAATGTCTAAGTCCAAGCGAGCTTCGCCGGAACGATGAAGAGTGGCACAAACTGAGAACACATTCTAACAAGCCGGTACAATCCGATATGGCATGTATAAAAAAAAGACTAACCACAATCTCGACACCCAGGAAATAGTGGGCTATGCATTCCGCATCCTCTCATCGCAACTCGACCCATACCGCGTAGCATACTTTGTTGTACAATATTTCTTCATCGTAGTCGCGCCTGTGTTCTTCGCAGCAGCCATCTACACCATCCTCTCAGTCCTCATCAGACACACGTCGCGACACTACGCACCGCTGCCTCCACGCTGGATTCTCTCCCTCTTCATCACAGCCGACGTCATCGCGACGGTCATACAAATCGTCGGGGCGGCCCTCATCGGTGTCGCGGAATCGAACCGCAAAGACCCCACCACCCCGAACAACATCCTGCTCGCGGGCCTGGCCTTCCAGGCCTTGACTTTCTTAATCTTCATCGTGCTGTTCGCGGTGTTTGCGGCGAGGGCGAGGCGGACGGTTGCGAAAGTCGGGGGGAAGAGTTTCTATGTCGCGTTCTCGGTGGCGGTGGTGCTGTTGTACGTGAGGGTTTGCTTTAGGTTGGCGGAAACGGCTGAGGGGCTTTTCAGTGAGATTGGGACTCGAGAGGTGTATTTTGGGTGCTTGGAATTCGCCCCTGTTGTGTTGGCGGTGTGGGTTCTGGCGATATGGCACCCTGGGAAATTTCTTAAGGGGGGAATGGGTGGGTCGGAGGTAGGTGATTTGGAACGTTTGTGAGAGTATCAATACGAACTGAATTGATATTTACAGGATGTTACTGACAGAGAGGATGAGAAAGGTGAACGACCGAGTTTTGTTTTCCTGAAAAGAAAATGGTGACGAATGGGCATGTTACATGGATAGGATCCCGCGAACCTCTTGACATAATATTGTAGGTGTTAACCATGTTGGTCACCACCTGTTTTTTGGTTCCTTTATTGTTATAAACCTATCGCCATGTGTTGGATCACCCAAACTCCAACTTAAAAACTATTACCAATGAATTATAGCAGGTGTAAACTCTCACTGCACCAGACTCATAAGCAAGCAAACAGTCATGGAGAAGCTTAAGCCGAACACACTCTTTCCCTTTCAACACTGCACAAACGTCGACACTCCAAACTGCAGAAGGACGACGGACTCTGCGTCAAACAAAAGTGTCCGTCTATTTTTGTGCCGACCTATGAAATACCTTGTTCTCCGCAAAACGTGCTGGCTTTGACACAAGTCTTACAAGTAGGCGCTTATCGTGGTCGCGAAAACGGCAACCGCCAAAACCGTAGGATTCGAAACGTCCGTGCTGTCGAAAAACAGAGACACGGGGCGAAGCGATTTTAGACGTATATGAATCGAGAATATTCCGGATAGATCTACACAATCCCGACATTTTGTTCTTGAAAAGCGATTCGTGGACGCTGGTCTGTCCGTTGGTTGTTTTCTGTTCTCTACGATCTCCACATTTTTTCCCGATCTTCTTCGAAATACAAAGTTGAAGTTATAGCCGAGTCTATTTCACTCATACAGAACTAAAAAACTGGACTTTACAAAGTATGACTCTTGGCATGTATAGAAGGCAGTCTATCATACTAAAACTATCTATCACTCACCTAGAAAACACAGCGATCCACCCTCGAACAAGGCTTCATCATCACAAAGAACTCTATAATGTCAGCTTCGTCTTGTACGTACGCCGACATATTCCCTAAACCCCCAACCAGTGCACCTTCTTGCGCAGTCCGAGTGGGCGGCGCAAACGCGACCATTCTCGATACCTGCTGCAACGGAGAAGTCAATCTCATCAGCACTTATGCCACACCTGGTAGCTCTAGCGATTGCTACCAATACTGCAACGCCCCCGACGTATCCGCTGTGCAGAGTTGCCTGGGTGAGAGCATGAACATGTATGGCGTTGCGGGAGCAGGGTATCAGTGCTTCAATGCTGCGGAGGAAAGAAGCGTGGGGAGTGGGGGACTCGCTATACGGTTCAGGCGCGAGAGTTGGCTTCGCAAATTCGCGTTTGGGGCTTGGATCGCTTGTGGTATTCTCGCGTATACTTGATATTGGAATTGAGATGGTATACTATGATGTTATTTTTTCGTTCTTTTGGTTATCGCTCGTTATTTTGGTTTATTTATCGTCGTCACCCATCGCTATTTGTAGGATCACCTTAACTCCAACTCAAAACAAATAAAAATGATATTATTCAATGGCAGTCAGCTTATCACGATGTTATTGAACTAGACTATATGTCTGTCTCGAATAAGCCACGATTGACTTCAGAGCTTGGTCTATTTTAGCTCTCATGAGAGCTAAAAAAACGGACATATATCTATGATAAGAAAGTTACAACGCCACAATGTTTCTTTTCGCTTTGTGAGTTCTTCCGAGTAAGTGCAAGCGGAATGGATTCTGTTATGATATTTATTTATAGGATTCTAAAGATTAGTGGCTTATGGTGGAGGACTGTTGTCCTTCTCTACTGTACTATCTCGCTTCTTGAATATCTCGAAAGATTAGTGGCAGACAACTACCCGGCTTGATCCCAGTCTTGTTGGAATGACGACAATGACTCACAGAATAAAGATTAGAAATTGCTACAATGTTGGTCGTACTCTAGCTTCAGCCAACGACCATATCTCTCCGACACGTGGTGGAGTCCAAATCGACTAGTTCCCGAGTTTGACCAATCAAACGCTCGAACGAAAGTCTCCGCGCGCGGAGACATCCTGATAGTTCCAAACTTTCAGGACACATTTATGTTTATAAAGAAACACGGCACGCTCTGTTGATAGCAATCATACCAATTCGTGTTTCAATCTCAGAAAAGTATACGCGCCCGAATAAGAGAATCCCTGGAGCATTCGACAACAATCCACGATGTCTGCCATCAAAGAAGCAAACCGCAAGTACTTCGAGTAAATATGCCCCATGTTCTCGTCAAGTATACACGCATGAACTGACATTGAACAGCACCATCACAGACTCTTACGACTCAAAGCCATTCTTTATAAAGTGTAATGAACAACTTACCACTCATCTTCGCGACAATTTGGCCTGGGTCGGGGTTCCCTTTGTCGACAAGGACTCCAACTCGAGCAATGGAGACCAGACCGTCAGGCTTCTAGATTATGCTTGTGGAACTGGACTCATGTCCCGGGTATGTTGATCAAATGGGTCATCAATATGATATATGGTCACATCATCCAGGTCCAAAACTGACTTTGAATCAGATATTTGGCCCCTACGTTACTGTTACCCGTGGCATCGATGGTATGTACCACTTCCCCTTAGCATAGTGAATACGGTGCTGAGCTATGAGAATCCGCAAGCTAACATCGATGTGCGAATACGCAGTGTCCCCGGGGATGGTCAAGACATTCAACAGACGAGCAAGCGAGGCATCACTTCCCACCTCGACAATACACGCAGTGGAGGGCGACCTGCTCGACAAGAACGAAGTTTCGCCCGAGTCTTTATCCGGTCCCGAGTGGAACGACTTTGACCTCGCCACCGCAGGCTTCGCCTTCCATCACTTCGAAGATGTGGTTTATGCTGCTCGACGCCTGAAAGAGCGCCTGCGGCCGGGAGGTGTACTTCTCATCAGCGATTTTCTGGAAGGCGGCGATCTTAAGGCCGACGAGAACGGCGATCCGATTCCGGGATCTGAAATGACTTGGAGTGGGCATGGCCATCACCACCACGACCACCACCACGGCCACCATCATGGCGGTCACGATCACATGGGCGAACACAACCATGTTGCCACCGCGCAGGATGACGACGACCCAACTGCCAATGTGCGTAAAGAAATGAATGCTTCCATTGTCACGACCCAATTCTCCCTTGACAATGTGCGCAATTTCTTCACGGAAGCCGGGCTCGTCGATGTGGACGTCACGACGATGAAGGACAAAGTGTACATGGAATTCGCCGGCAACAAGATGTGGCGGACGGTCTTGTTTGCGAGGGGGCGAAGACCGTTGGCGGACCAGAACAAGTCGGAGTTGTAACTGTAATGGTTCTGGAACGTATGGTGGCAGCTTTTCTTTCCAGACCTTTTATAATTACTGGGCAGGCTGTGTGGTAGACTATGGGGGCGGGAGTCGGCTTACATGAATTGTGTTGTATGCGTTTTAGAATAGTCGAATTGGATGAGAATATGTTGGGCACGATGGAAGTGCGACACCCCAAAATCTGACTCCTCGTGAGACCGACTATACGCAGGTCCTTTTCTTCTCCCTTAATGTTAAATATGGTTATTTTCACCTTATACTAAATAATGCAGCACAAGTTATCTCGATACCAAGCGCGCTCCTTTTCTCACGAGCAAGCAGATGATCCTCCGTTTCAAGAACTGGCTTAACTTATACTCGGTTACTTGCCTTGCTTACTTCCCTGCGCCCAAAAAACCAGCGCGGATGCACAGAACTAGGCGATGTTACAAGATAACGTGAGACACTTCTCTCACATTTACGCGCCCTCTGTAACTTGGCCCCAACCGCCCTCCTCGCATAGAACTCACCTCAGCATGAAAAGCCAAGCAGCCTATCATTGACCCGGATATGCTTAGTATGTAGTACGTAGTTGCATTTTTGGTGGGGTTTTTTTATGTCTCGCTATATCGGCGACGGACTTCGTTGAGATTCCAATCTGATTGATTTCCACGCTTCTCAAACCATAGCGCGCTGTGCAGCTTCTTGCGATGTTGTAACAGTCCGATCTGCGCCAATGCAAAAGTTGCTGGAAAAATTATTGTGTAACAATAACATCAACAGCCATCTAAAAGGGGGTCGTCGGCCCTGCTGCTCGAAAATGAATCGTCTCCTTCATCCGCACGACCGCATCGAGTGACATACTGCTTCCCCACATTAGTATGGCCAACGATTTCGATTTCGCCAGTCTGACGCCGGAACAGCGGAAGGCGTTGTTGGACGGCCCGGCGCTGGCTCCCCCAGGAAACGTCCTGCCGCAATTCGACAACCCTCCCAACAGGACCGCGCTGGGAGCGGGCTTGATCATTGCGTGTGCCAGTATCTGCATCATCGTTGTTGCCATTAGGATCTACGCCAAGGCGTTTTGCTCTAGGAAGATGGATGTCGAGGACTGTAAGTTTTTGGGAGCTTCCTATCAAAGATGTTCTTCGAAAGCGATATATAGCTGATGATGATGATTTTGCGTGCAAAGACCTCACGCTCGCGGCGCTGGGCGCATACGGCGGGTTCCTATACTTTTCCTACGAGATCTTGTCAATGGCGGGACTGTACGTGAATCAGTGGGACATCAGGCTGAAGGATCTCGCTGGAATCATATACGTAAGAAATACCCACTCCGATATGCTATCCCACAGTACAAACAACCCCTCATCACGACAAAAGGAAACCATACACTTACTCTATACACACACCCAGAACGTCAACAACTCGTACCTAATCTACGGTAATATCATCATGCTCCTCAAAGCCGGGATTCTCTTCCAATGGGTGCACCTCTTCGTCCCCTGCAACGTGCGCAACCGGTTCTGGTGGATCTGCCACATGGCCATTGTAGCAAACGTCCTGTTCTACGTGGCGTGCACCATTGTGGAGAACTTCAGCTGCACGCCGCGCGAGAAGATCTGGAACAAGATGGTGCCGGGCCACTGCATCAACAACCCGGCGTTGATCATGTCGAGCGGGATCCTGAACCTGCTATCGGATATCCTGATTTTTGTGCTGCCGCAGAAATTGATCTGGGGACTGCGGATTTCGACGCGCAAGCGCGTTGGGGTTGTTGTTATTTTTGCTACGGGGGTTTTGTGAGTCTTCTTCTTCTTCTTCCTCTCCTTCTCCTTCTCCTTCTCCCTTGTCCTTCTCCTCCTCTTCCATCCAACCCGACTCAACTAACCCATCCCCAAAACCCTCCAGCGGCTGCATCTGCGGCGCCTTCCGCCTAGAAACCACAATCGTCGCCCTAAACTCGGACAACATCATCTACATGGTCGGCCCAATCGGGCTGTGGAGCCACGGCGAAATCACCGCCGGGTTCCTCATCCTCTGCGTGCCCTGCATCCCAAAAGCGTTCAAGGGAACACGCATCTTCGCGGGCTCGAGTAAGCTAGATTCCAAGGAGAACTCGAGGCACGGGTTACCGTCGTGGTATAGTCACAAAGCTGCCCAGAAGAAAATCGACGATGATGAGGGGAGTGAGATTGATTTTGGGAAGACATTTGATAGCGTGCGGGTTGATGGTGGGGATGGATATGGATATGGATATGGATATGGTGATGAAGGGAGGAAGGAGGTTAGGAGGACGGATTCAGCGAATTAAGTCATGTTATTAGATAAGAGGTCAATAGTTATACCATCTACTTCAGATTACTGTTGGGATTTCCCCACCTAGACTTTCTCTTCTCTTGGGGGTTGTAAAGAAGTCCTCGCCTTCCCTCCAATCATTGCCAGCAACAATCACTCACTCCTACATGTCCCAGGCTGTCCAAGTATATATATATATATATATTATCTCACCCAAACCCAACTCCCCAAAAAGTCAATCACTAAACCCCCCAACAAGTTACAAGATCATACTAAAGTTACAAGATCATACTAAAGACTCGAGGTTTATCTACCCAAGTAGATAACTTGTCTTCGCAAGCATATATTCCGATTAGGCTAGTTTCCCCTAGTCACTCCCTTTTCCCCATCCCACCGTGATTGATCCCGTTGCTCCCGAGGGAAAGGGAGAAGATCGCTGATATTCCCCCGCGAGACCCCCAAAAAAAACAATCAATCCGAGATATATAACGGTGGCGCCAGAAATACGAGCTGAGGTGAGAGAGAGAGGGAGAGGATAAAGTGAGGTCATCTGCCGCCTCCGTTTGAGGGAGGGGGGAATCAGGCCCCGGTATCACGCATGCATCAGGGCATGCAGGGAAGGGTACGTACGTTACGTACGTATATATATATATGTAAGTATATACGCACCGACGGAAAACAAAACGGCTACCACGCAGGACGACGGGTAGTAAAAATAAAAAATCCTTTTCAGGGAAAGAAGCAATAAAAGCCACAGGCGAGAATTAGGCTATGTGGGGTATGTATGTATATATTTGAACGTTTTGTCTTGGATCGATTTCCTGTTGGATTTGTTCGTTCGTATAGAGCTATCCAAACAACGCGTTGCTCATAGATATACTGTGTAGTTGGGCTATGTTAATCCACGACCCGACCAACACACACTGCTGCCCAGCAAGCAACACATATGAAGAGAGAGGGAGAGATGGATCCAACAACAACAACAACAACAACAACAACAACAACAACAACAACAACAACAACAACAACAACAACAACAACAACAACAACAACAATACGAAGTCTAACAACCCCCTTGTCTCCCAACAGAACGGCGTGCAAGGGAAAGGAAACGGGGGAGGGGAGGGTGAACTGCGATTAATATCCGTTCTTTTCGTTCCAACACACACAGAGAGAGACGGGGCGGGCGACAGACAAGACAAAGACAAAGACAAAGACAAAACCAGAGACACCCTCACCTGACCGATGAAGCGAAGTTCGTATTCCGGGGACTGGGTTCTCCTTGCATCCGTCCATCCGTCCATCCGTCCATCCGTCAATATACAAGAGAAAAAAGGATGATAGAATCACGCCACCATCGCGTATATATGTACGCCGTAAGCCAGCGTATATTGTTACAAAAAGAAAACTTCTCTGCATGTTGCGCCGCGCATATGCGACGTGCGTTCATATGTAGGTGTGTGTGTGGGTGGGTGTGTTATATACACACAGCCAAATTAAATCCGCGAATTTCTTGATGCATGGATGGATGGTGCAAAGAGTAAAGCAGGCAAATACAAATACAAAAATAACTAACAAAAAATACATAAGGGGGAAGAGGGAGGGGTGACACAGGATTTGTTGATATTCAGGATATGTATGCTCGGAACTAAATCTGTGGGTTGCAAGCAAGCATAGGGGAGTCGTGGTGTGCTGGAAGTTATATTCCATATACCACGGTGCATTTTGGAAAACCCGGGCACGATGCGAAAACTTGAGCATTTCGTTGTCGTCGTACAAAAAAAAAGAGGGGGGGGGGGATCAAGTCATGGGAAAGTTTGGGTTCAATTGTGTAGCTAGTTATTGCCAACAACACAAAACAAAAAAAAAACATGGGTAGTTACAAGAATGAAATACAACAAAAACGAGGGATTACAACGAAATCAAAGCGATGAGGAAGGCTCATCGCTTTGATTTCGCTTTAATCGCTCGTTTTTGTTGTACCTCTTATCGTTATAACCCATCGCTGTGTGTAGGAACACGTAACCTCAAACTCAAAAAACAAGGTTACAAGATAAGAGAGAGAGAGAGAGTTGGACGTATATATTTCCAGATTCGGGCAGTATTTTCGCAGCAAAGCGAGCGGTAAACAGGAAATAGATTAGATTAGAAAGAGAGAGAGAGACGCAGGTAAAAAAAAAAAAAAAGAACCGAAAAAGAAACCCCCGCCTTCTCGGCCGGTCAGCAAGCGCAAGGCGGCCAAAGTAGAGGGAGGGGGGGGGGGGCCAGACAAACAAGCGCGGCAGACCCAACAACGGGGCGGGATATGCACAACGGGACGATCTGGGCTTAGAGGCAAGGGTGGGAGAGAAAAAGTACGAGCAAAGAAACGATGGGTAACGGCGGCATATGATGACATCAGGCGTTCCATTTGACGGGAAGAGGAGGGGAAAGAGAGATTGGGTTGCTCGAGGTAGCTAGCTACGAGGGGGGGGCGATCGGTGTGCCGAGTAGATTGGAAGCAACGTTGGTGGAGAGGGGACGGTGAGGCCAGGTGAGCAGACGAAGTTGGAGGAGGTGGAGAGAATAGGGGACGCGGGGATGGCTTGGTACACGAGACTGCTGTGGGTGCGCGCACAGCGTACTGCTGTTGCATCGTACACCGGCAGGCGCAGAGAGAGAGAGAAAGAAAGAAAAAAAAGAGAGAGGCACACATGGGTAGACACACACCGCTGTTGTGAGGGCGGGTGCATTGCTTGACAGCCAGATCCTTTGGCCAGGGGTTTGCTGACGTTGGCAGTTCCGCCGCGTGCATGTACGTACATGTATGTATGTATGTATGTATGTATGTATGTATGTATGTATGTATGTATGTATGTATGTATGTATGTATGTATGTATGTATGTATGTATGTATGTATGTATGTATGTATGTATGTATGTATGTATGTATGTATGTATGTATGTATGTATGTATGTATGTATGTATGTATGTATGTATGTATGTATGTATGTATGTATGTATGTATGAATGAATGTATGCATGTGTGCATGCATGTAAACAGGACATGTGAGCAGCGAGGCGGCGAAGGCAATCCATCAATCTATGTATATTGGGACTCGGGTATTCCTTTGGTTGGCCATGTCCTTGTTCGTGGTTGCTCGATAGACTGTTTGTGTAGTATCGCTACTCTGGTTGCGGTGTGTAGGTAGGTAGTGGATAGATGGCAGATGGTCAAATAATAAATAACAGTTGAGCAAGTGAGTTGACCCACCAAAGCAAGCAAGCAAGCAGGCAGGCAGGCAGCTGGCTGGCTGTTGACATAGATAGATACACAAGTACAGATGGAGCCAAGGGTTTGCTTATAGTGAATCGAATCAATCAAGTCTCACCGTCCGCCTAGCCAGAGCGAATCGATCAGGCATCGGCAGGCAAAAATGGGTGGAAATCAACGAGGGATGATGGATGGATGGGGTAAGCAAGCAAGCAAGCAAGCAAGCAAGCAGACGACAGCGGCCGGCTGCGGCTAATATTGGCGGGCGGGCCGCCGTGTGTCTGTCCGGACGGAGAGCCAAGTGTGCGTATGTGTGTGTGCGTGTGTGTGGACATAACATGGGGTGCCTGCCTGCCTTCCCTTGCCTCGCCGGCCAAGCACAACCCCGCCGACCGACTCTGGCTCGTTTTTTACCTGGTCAAGATTATTTCCAATTTAATTATCAAAGATTTTTTTTTTTGCTTGCTTACTCACTCTTCTATTACGCTTCCTTGGCGCTACGATCTTTGCTGGGGGGGGGGGGGGGGGCTCACATGGCCCCATGAATGAATGAAATGGCCGCTAATGCAACGCACGCAACCTCCTTTTCGTCGCCGAACATGACGACTGCAACGAGCCCACTTTTTTTTGCTGCTCACATGACCGAACTTGAATGCGGCGCTTGTCAGGCAGGACCTGGCCCATGCACGAGGGAGGGAGGGAACGAGACGGAGCATGCCTGCCCGCCTGCACACGCTGGATGCAACCACCAGCGCCACTGCCCTCGGCTGGCCACATCATCACCACCACTACCACCACCACCACCATTGACAACATCAACGACCCCATCCTTCAGTCAATCTATTAATCAATCAGTCAGTCAATCACTGTGCATGCGTACAGCACGTCACACACAGTCGCCCAATCAACATGTCCAACTGTTACGCATCATACATATATACCTGCTGCTGCTGCTGTACATGCATGCGTGCATGCAATTAACCCAAGCAGCGCTTACAGCGGCGCCGCGCAACCGCCACCCAATCGCCGCCGTCCTTCCCCATCTTCCTCGCCTCGCTTCATTCCACGCTAGCCGACCCGTCCTCGTCCTCGTCCTCGTCCTCTTCCGACTCGTCTTCGCTCGACCCCGACGATTCCTCATCCGGCATCACCACTCCGTTCAGGTAGCTAATCTACATGCTGCCTGTTAGTCCTTGCCGTCCACCCAACACCCTCCCGTCTTGCACTTACAAACGGAACCATGGAGCTGATCACCCGCGCAATCCGATCCAATCCTCCCGCTCCCACCACTTCATCGTCGCCCAGCTTGGCACCCACCGTGAAACTTCGAAGTCGAAGCAGCTCGATATCTTTGTGACTTGCATCGTAGCCCTGCGTCAACATCATCACCAAGTTAGCATCTTTGCCTCGATGCCTGTGTGCCCCTTCCATGGTATCCCTGTGTGACCCACCTTGGGATGCTTCTTGAGCGCCGTGCTGCTGTTCATCGACTGTCCCACAAACGCCTTCACCGTCTTCTTGTCATTGGCCCCAACCCCGCCGAAGAAGCATTGCCGCATCCCCGCATCGTTGAGGACCTGCTTGATCCTTTGTGGCCTACGGTCGATGTCGCGTCTCAGTGCGCTCAATGCCCCGGCTTCCGGCTGCCAGAGTCCTCCGCCTGCCAAAATGTCAGTTGACCGGTACATTCTCAAAGTGGAGCTAGCCCAACAAAAGGAATCAATGCCCCTCACCCACAAAGCTGCCACCCCCGGGTTCAATCTGGACGTAGTAGGCTGCGTAAGGGCCTTTTTTGCCCGTACTGTTTCCACGTCAGCAATCTCCTCTTCCATCCCATCACGGGTACTTGAACGTGACTGCGGCATCAGCTTACCGACTCCATGCAGCTGAGAAATGAGTCTAGATCAACGTCAGTCTAGGCACTTCGCATCCGTCTTGATCAACCGCCATGTGCAGTATTCTGAATCCATCGTCATCTTCCATAAACTGTAAACTTACTTTGTAAGGGGTCTGGTCTTTTGAGAAACGGACGTCTGTGACCTTTGTTAGAATCAATTCGCCATCTGACCCCTTCAGCTTTCACACAAGGCAGGCTGTACCTCGATATATGCGGAAAATCTGCCCCTGTTAGCCATTTCCAAAAGAAATAATCACGTAGGAGCGTCTCGTACTATATCCTTGACCGGAAGTTCCGGGATAGTCGTGTCGACTTCCGAGATCCTGTCCGTTAGCTTTTCTAGGAAAGATGTAAAGTCTTGCAGCGACGTCCGATAATCGGCATCGTGGGCTACCATAAATATCATTAGCTTCTATTCTATCGTTACAAGCAGCGAAATTGGTAAAGTCTAGGAATGAAATCCCCGCCTACCCTTCAGCCACTGGCGCTCATTGTGGTTGCGAAGATCTTCCAGGAAGAGCATCGTGTTTGGGTGGATGGTTTCGTCCGTATATGCAACGTTGCCAGCTTCGCGTGCTTTTGGCTTTTTGATGACGACTTGTTTCCCGAGTTCGAGTTTCGCTCCGTCTCTCCAGAGTTCTGCTTTGCCACTCTTGGTTCGTCCCCTGCTGCCGGTGCTTTTTGTCGGTGGGTCATTTGCCTCGCTATCCGACCCCTCAGCATCGGATTCAGATGTTGGCACAGCTTCGCCCACTTCATCATCATCAAAGTCCGACTCTTCCCTGGTGCTCCTGTTCTTCTGGGGTTTCTGATTCATGGCGTCGTCGGCCCCATCGTCGGATTCAGGCTCGGCGTACGACTTCCTAGCTGCTTTTGCCCTCTTTGATTGACGGCTAGGCGGTTCAGGAGCCGCACGTTTAGACGAACTGCGCGCCATGTCAAACAATCAAATGCGAGCGTTCGCGGCCTTATGTACTGCGAATGCCTGATGGTGTTTACAGCGCATCACTGGGATGATGGATAGGAGTTTGATGTTGTTGCTGTGCTCAACGCACGGACCCGCCCGCGACGGAATCGAAAATGACGTGCACGCGAAGCCAGCCGCGGCGCGTCCCGCCCCCGAATTTTTTCTCGGACAGGGCCAAAAAAATAGAAATCATATGAACTGACCGCACCGATTGCCCCTCACCAACTCCAAGTACATAACCATTCCAGGTGAAACGAGACAAAATTGACATAGAGAAGAATTCTCGGGTGCCAGCAGTAATGGCGACGCGATTTGGAGCGCGAAAAGCGGGGATCCTGGAGCAGCTGAATGCGCCCGACAGCGACTACCACGATCTGTCGCCCAAGGGGACCGTGGACGAGCCGATCCGCGCTCTGATTCACGACATTAACAACGTGCGAGGCTTGGTGACTACTAGCAGCTGCTCTGGCAGGATCAGCGTCTTCCTCGAAGGGCGGAGAGCAGACCCCAATTGCGCTGAGCACCACCAGGAGACGACTGTTGCGGGACCTGGTGGCAAAGGAGGCGGCAGCTCGTGGCTTTTTATATCCCATGAGAGGGTACCTCTGCCCGCAGAAGCTACGGGGGAAAGCTCCTTCCTGTCTACATTCAACTTGAAAGAAGTAGCGACGTCTCTCGACGTCTCTCTCGACGTGTCAACCCGGTATATACATTTGAAATTCGAGCCAATGGTGAGAACAATAATTTCCAGTTTGAAGAAATATCGACTTCGGTATTCACTGATTGCGGAAAGATTCTCCACATTCTCACGGCATCCATGGAGGATGCGCAAAGAGTGCTTACAGCCGCTCTCAGCGGCGGGTTTCGAGAGAGCGGCGCCGTCAGTCTGCAGCCAGCAGCCAAGTCGGGCGAAATGAATCCCATGGTGGCTGTACGATCAACCGGGTATTCCTTCGATGCCGTTATCGGGTATCAGAGAGACGACGGCGAGAACGTGGCTCTGGTGAATGAAGTCTATCTACGCACTCTAATCGCCATGGCCAATGAGCGTTTCAACACCAACAGCGAGCGGATACGAAGATTCAGAGATGCGCTGCTCGAGCAGTATGCGCAGCCTTCCCACAAGACGTCCACGGACCTTGGGGGGACGAAATGGGAGGATGCAGAGACGAGGAGGCACCGCAAAAGAGAGGAGGGCTTGGCACGCCAGCGGGCATTGAAGGAGGAGCGACAGGAGAAGAACGACGCCATGGATGATGGCACTTTAATATAATCAATCCCCACGAGATGGCGCTGCATGGATCCGACAGCAATGTTTTGGCTACTTGCACGTCCATTATTCTTGAGGAGTGGTTGCACAAAGCCCGGCGACAAGGGCATCGTCTTACTTTCATAAATGTTAGCAACAGAGAGAGAGGTGTAGGGCATAGATGGGCCAAAGCTCGCACAAAATGGCTCATTGCGGTAAGAAGAAGAGACCCCCAAATGCGCAGACCCACTCTTTCACCGTGCCGACCCGTGATCTCGTGCCACAAACACGGATGCAGGTAAGTGAATAGGTGTGCATGTTGGTGGTGTGTGTGTGTGTGTGGGTTGCGGGCTGGGGGATCAGAAGCAGGTAGTATGTGCCAGATGGGCTCCCGGGATTCACCCACTGGGCGGGCAATAAGACGATCCATGACGTTCACCGAGTACGAAGGAATACGACAGGAGATTGACATGTTTGACGGTACATGTGGGCGCATAGTTCGTTCCCACGTACGCAACTACCGGAAACGCAGATTCGTGCGAGATTGCAACTGCCTCGGTCTGTACCCGCCGACCTTCCTTCCCTCGCTCGCTCCCCATAATTTAAATATGGGCGGACAGGAAGGTACGGCCGTGCTACGACGATGGATGGATGGAAGCCACATGGCCGAGTGGGTCTCGTCACGATGCCTCCCTGCTCGCTGCTTACAGGTGGGCATGCCATCTTCTGGGGGGCCCCGGCACAATCGACTCGCTCTGGTCAACGACTGCGTGCAAAGATGCGGTCGAAACAAGACAAAACAGTGAACCGCCGTCGTACACGACAACTTTTCGGCCGCAAAGCCCTGGACTGGCCCCGTTATTGGCCGTGACGAGGGAAAGTGGGTGGTGAGCGTTGGGAAAGCGGGCGCGGGCGGCATGGTGAGCGAGCGAGCGAGGACCCCCTGACCGATCAAGCAGAACAAGACCGTCTTGTGACTGACTCCATCGACATGACATTCTGTGCTCTCTCTCGCCTTTTTCTCCCCATTTCGCTTCCTGGAGCGTCATGGGAAAGAGCTCGAGATTCCCATGCTCGTTATGTATGCATGCGACGAGCGCCCACAGCTTGCACCTATGTCCTTTTCTTTCCACAAGTAGTGCATACATACTTGGATATGTACGTGTACCGGTACATGGAGGACGCATGGCACGCGGAGCAGGTGGACGTGCGTCCCTGACTCAGCGGGCCGTCAGCCTGCATTTCCCGCCGTCTGTCATCCAACACACTAAGTCGACACCACCTGATGGGCTTGTACACAGTGAGTAGGTCGACCGAGCAGACGGCCAGGTACGCACAGCAAAACCCCTCTAGGCGCCGCGTAACATTGATGAATGGATGGAATCATGGCGCCCTTCATTCCGCCATTCGTTTCATGCCATGCCTTCTCTGGTCTTGCCAGCCCTTGCCCCCTTTGCGCCATAGCATGTCAGGCCAAAACCGCCTGTTGCTCCGTGTAGGCGCTGCAGCCACGAGGGGGAGGGGAGAGGAACTGAACCATGCCTCTATCGATGCTGGGTCTCTGGAACGTGGGATAACGTGTGCCCCGTCGATCCCGCTTTCCAAACCTTGCGCTGGGATCCGATGCCAAGTCAACGGGCAAGGGAAAGCGAGCTGAGCGTGTTGCTAGGAGTGCCGTCCGTCATGACGCATCTATCCGCAACCCTCGGTGCGTGCTACCACCCACCGTCACCTGCGTCTACTGTGTGCGTGTACATGTATAAACCGTGGTGTGCAGCGCTGCACGGTGCTGTGGTCTGTACCATGGTCCATGGCCCAAAAGCAAAGCGCGGTGCGGTGCGGTGCGGGACGGTCGGCACCATGGCCGCCTAGAGCATCTTGCCAAACTTTGTCTTCACTTGCCTCGCCCACACAACTGCTAGCTTCCGTGCAATCAATAACCAACGCACACCATGGCATGGTTAGCTGGGCTGCCAGCTATCGCTTGACTTGTCCCTCGAGCTGGCGCCGGTGCCGGTGGAATCCGCGCCGGGACGGCTGTCAGACGGGAATGGGTCGTTGAATGGGTGCAAGAAGGGACGGAAGCGGTGGAAGACGGCGGCGGCGCGAGCAGTTTTTTTTTTCTTTTCTTCTCCTTCCACGTTGCTCGCTGTGCGTCCGTTCCCCCATCTCGGCAGAGAGGCCAAGGATGTTGCAAGCGGTGCAAGCAGTGCGTCCATGGACACCGAGACAGCTATGCCGATACTTGGCGGGTACAAGAGTGCCGTGTACTGTACTCAGTGCACTGTACATATATGTACATGATAGCGTAGGCATGTTGCAGCAGGGGCTGAATTGGGGAGCTAGGCGGTCGAACATTGGTTCTCCGACGATGGCATGCAGCATTGCCCCGCCATCCATTACTGTCCCCCCCCCCCCTTCGGACCTATCAATCCCCCGCTGACGAGGGAAAACGCCTCAGGTCGGCGAGTCAGGACCAAGGACAGAGGGAAATTATCATGGGCGACTATTAATAATGACCAACACCAGCGAGCGAGTGGAGGCGGGCAGATAGGGCTAGCCTCGTGCGCATGACCCTTGCTGCTCGTTACATGTGGTCGTGTACCGATGCCTAGGATGTGGAACACCATGCGCAGCTGGTTTGCTTTTCCACACCCCTCCCGCCCCCTTGGTCAGGATCCCCCAGGAAGCCAGCAAAGGAGCAAATTGCACAGTAGAGGGGAAGAGGAGGGGGCGGCGGATTGCCCGAGGACGGAGTGACAGGCTGGCAGGATGGATGCCACCTTTTCCGACGCGCAGGGCAGGGCAGGGCAGGGCAGGGCAGGGCAGGGCAGCCGCCGGCATTGACCAGCAGCAGCAGCAGTAGCGGTGGTGGTGATGGTAGTATTAGTAGTAGTGCCGTGCACTGAGCAAATGATGATGGTGATGATGATGAAGAGGAGGAGGCACGGCGGGTAGCGGTAGCGGTGGACAAAGTGAACCATCTGGCCACTAATGCTGTCGCCCACCCACGGTTCACTGTTGGAACCAGCGTTGGGAGAAAAGGCCGGCAGAAGCGAGTCGCGTTATGGTGATGGGGGACTTATTATTAGGGGTGGCGGCTTCCGGCCGGCGAGTGGAGCATGGCGGGCTACCAGGCTGGACGACGGCGGTGCGTGTTGGTTCATCCATAGTACGCGGCCACTATAGTGTTCAGACGGAAAAGGGACAGGGACATGCTTTCCGCTAGCATGCAGCTTTGCGGCGTGCGACCAGCGGATGAGGGCGAGAGAGAGGCGAGAAGCGGTAAGCGGGCGTCAGTTGTGGGAGCAGGCAAAGAGGCGGCAGACACACCGGCAAACGGGCGGGCCGGCTATCAGTGTGTGTGAGCGTGTGCAGAAAGAAGAAAAAGAGAGAAAGAGAGAGATGGAGAGAATGACGATGATGATGATGATGATGATGATGATGATGATGATGATGATGATGATGTCGTTGCTGGTGTTGTAATCCGCCTTGCTTGCTTGCTTGCTTGTACTCTTGTACTATCACGTAGCGGCAACCACACTGGCAGCAATAGCCTTTTGCATTGTATTCCTGGTTCGTCCATTGGCATCCAATGCTCGGAATTGGAGTGCTTGCGGTCCGTGGGTTGATGCAATGATTGAGGTGGTTGACTGAACGAATGAATGAATGAATGAATGATTGATTGGGTTTTTGCCGACGATCGCACGCGAGGCGGATACAGCCGCTGCTGAATCCAGAGGAAGCTGACTCTCTCGGGCCGCACAAACGCCATCAACCACCCAGCCCACATCCATGCACGAGTGCTAATGCCATCCCCGTCTGTCTCGTCACGCACACGCATGCGCCCGCCGCCCGCCCACCGCCGGTGCCCACCCCGGCCATGCCACCATGCCCTGTACCGTATGTATTGATTGTATTGCACCGCACGTACCCGCTACTCCTGTCTTTGTACTCCGGTACGTACCTTGGTGACTGACTGTACTGTTTATTCCCAATCGTCTCCTTCCTTTTCTTCCTGCCGTCCCAAACCGGCTTTGATTACGGACCGTCTCACCACACACCGTCTGTCCGTCCATGGGAGAGAAGTAGGTGAGCGAGAGAGGCGATGACGAAGGAGTGACTGGTGGTCTGCTTTGCTTGCTTGCTCGCCTCTCTTCCATCCCACTTCTCAATCGCATTACAATCCAGAACGCCGTGGTTCCGTTTCGGAAAATGCAATATAGGCAGGTATACATATATCGCATGACTGTGCTGCAGCGGTACGGTATGGATACGTTGTACGAACTGACCAACGTCATGTGTCTACTCTTGTAGGGTTTGATCTCTTTTTTTTTCTCTTCTGCAGCTCAGATAGGACAATAAGTACGCAGCCATCTAATGTCACCTGTGTCTGTGGAACGTGGTAGGATGATATGCATAACCCGGAAATGCACTGCAGGTCTACCTGGCCGGCTACATGTACCTCTTGCTCTCTCATCAGCAGCAGCACCACCACCACCAACACACGCCCCGCCATGTGGTCTGGCGGCGGCCCCAATCAACGAATACATACATGCCTACACAAAAAAAATCCCCAAAACGCAAGGACGGCAGGCTCGATCCGCCCCAGGCAAGGGGGCCTGCCGTGCGGAGTAACCACCCTGGGATTTTTTTTTTATTTTTTTTATTATTCCTTTCTTACTTGGTTAGTTAGTTTGCGCATATAAGTTACAGCCAAGTACGCACACATAGTTGGCAGTCCAGCAGCCGTAGCGGTAGGCATGTAGCGGTAGCGGTAGCGGTAGCTGTGTAGCATCCACCCACCACATGTACCCAGCCCTGAGCCCTAGCAACATGAACCTGGCTGGCACCCCTGCCCCTGACCGCCCTGTCCTCGAGCCCGCCCGCCGCCGCCGCCGCCTGCTTGCCTGCCTGCCTGCCAGCCAGTCGTCTGTGTCTGCCTGTCTGGCTTGTAATGTGCGTGCGTCTGAGTGAGTGAGTGTGTGTGCGTGCGCCAGAGAGAGAGAGAGAGGGAGTCTGTGCGAGGTTTGGCGTGTGTGCAGTCGAAATAGTCAAGTGTGCTTGCCCTTCCGCCCAACCCTCCTTTCTCTTTCGCCTCCAAACTCCTGGGTCTCTCGCGCCTCTTTTTCTCCACGTCTTCGAGAAGCTCTCCTCTCCCTCACCACCAAGTGCTTGCTTGCTGGCTCCTCGTCTCCATCTTCTTCATTCGCGCCTCAACATCCACTTCCCTCGCATGCTCTGACCCATCGACGCCCTCCATCCCATCGACTCTCCTCTTTCCACCCTCGACGCCGCCGCCATTGGTCTCTCTCTGCAATCCCCTGCCTGTGTCACCATCACCATCACCACCCCAATTTACTACCCGCGACGGCATCCTCACCAGACGCTCGATATATCCAACAACAGCGACCACTACAACAGCCTCCACACATACACACATGCCCACCTAGCTACCACCCATACGTCACCCAGCTAGGTACATGCAAACCAGCTGCTGCGCGCCCTCTCTCTGTGATCCTCTCTCACCGTCTATCCAGCTCACCTACACCCTCAATCTCCCTCACCCGCTTGCTTGCCTGATCGCCTGCTCCCTGCCGACCGAACCCACACCAGCCCAACCATCCAAGCAAGCTAAAGAAGAAGAAGACGACCACCCAAAAAAAAGCCAACAGTAGTGCTGCGCTGCACTGCATTGCACCTGCACCTGCGCCTGCACCTGCACTCCGCTGCACGGCACTGCGCTGACCTGCACGGCCTGCACCCGATCCCGCTCATCGCGGCCCGCCTTCATTGTACCACCGCCTGCCAGCCTGCCATTCCTCTCTTTCCCCCGCAACCTTGTGTCACCACCGCCATCACCACCTCCTGCTCGTATTAGCCCTCCCCAAAACCACCGCCAGCATCTCCCCGCAGCCTCTTCACCTCCTGCCCTCTTGCCTTACCTTGTGCTGCTCTACCCCTCCTCGCCGTCGCCATGTTCCCGCACCAGGGCGGCCACGGTCAGCTTCCAACCCATTGGCAGCCGCCCACTTCTCAGCAGCCTGCCAACGGCTCCTATCCTCCGCCCCCAACTCACCATGTAAGTCGATTGCTGTTGCTGCCCGTCGTCGCGTCATGTGCCCACCACCCCCCCGATCCATATTATTCCTGCCGCTGACGTGCCCTTGTTTAAAAAGATGAGCTCCTCGCATCCCCCTCCGCCTCCCCCTCAGCAAGACACACGCTCCGACATGGCCGCTCATCAGCACCACCAGCAACAGCAGCATCAACAGCAGTCCTACCACCTGCCAGGCCCCCATGACTGGAACCGAGGGCCGCCTCCTCCCGATCCCTACCGGGCACAACCTCCCCCTCCACCTCAGTACATGAACCATCAACCACCTGCCCCACGACAGCGGACTGCCATTGCCTGTCGCTACTGCCGGAGACGCAAGGTAGCTATGGACCCGCCCCCATTCCAATCCCCTTGGAAGCAACCAATCCCGCTAACTTGATGCCAGATTCGATGCTCCGGCTTCGAGGCCACCGACGACGGTCGCTGCGGCAATTGTGTAAGATTCAACCAGGACTGCATCTTCACTCCCGTCTCTGCCCAGACCCAAGCCTTTGTGCCAGCTCATACCGTCTGGCGCGGCGTCGGTCAACCCCCGCCCATGTATGGTGCTTACGGCCAGCCGCTACCCCCAGCAGCGCAAGCTGAGGGTTATGGTCAACAGTCGCAACCGCGCCAGCAGGCGTATTTGCCCAGCCCTACCGGCGCTCCAGGTCCGTACCCAGCTCATTCTGCTCATGGTTCGTCTGCTAGCCCGCTCGATGAGGGAAGCCGTGAATCGCTCAGTGGTAGAAAGAGAGCTTATCCCGAGCCTCATACTCCCACGCTGCCTCCGCCAAATCCTGGCTCGGCTTCACACCTACCTCATCGGGGCGCTGGCCACGATTATCCTTACCATGAGTCCTCTCTGACCCGTGCTGTCTCTCCAGCCACTTCTGCCACTTCATACTCCAGCGCTCCCCCACCACCCGGTTCCCAACCCTATTACGCTCCCCCACCCCAGCGCCGAGCGTCCCCCCAGAGCGCCTACTCCTATGATGCGAGTCGCGCTTCATCTTCACCACATACTCAAGCCCCGCCCACTCCCGGCGCCACTCCATACTATCCTCCTCCACAGCCCAACGGCGCATTGCAGCCGCCACCTCCTCGAACCGACGGCAGCACTCCACCACCCCCTCCCCCAACTTCGCAACCCGCAAGCAGGCCCAGCATGCGCATCAACGATCTCGTCAGCGACAATGGACCCCAGCGCAGCTCCACCGACTCCAATATGCTTAGCATGTTGAATCGCCGTCCCATGTAAATCCAGGCTGCGGGGAGGTGCTCTCAAGAACCGTTCCGGAGCTGGTTCTCGTACCAATCGGTCTTGGCGACACGCAATTCTCCCTGAACGTTGAGGTCTATCGCCCGCTGTACCGTCAAATTCTACATTGCTCGGTATACGCTACCATCTCACTGGACCATGTGTGCAAATCTCTGGTCAATCTACCCACGGCTTCGATTCCTATTAGTGCGGACTAGTAACATTTTCATCCCCATCTTTTTCCAACATATCTCTGATGCGTCCCCTGCGCCCCCACTTTCTCCCCATCGGTACCTCTTGCGAGTCCACTTGATCCGGAGTCCGTATGGGGTAAAAGCTTGCTCTCTCGCCACTTTTACCTACCGCAACCGACAAGGGCGTTTCCCTTCCATTTATCACGTTATGGACTGGAATACGCATCACTATGACATATAAAATAAATATGGAGGCTGTTTGATCAACTTTGGTTTTTTTTTTTCCCTTCGTCTTTTGCCCCTCTACTTGGGGCCCGCACGGTGTCGGAGGTGAGCGCTGCACAACCATCTCCACAGGTTTGGCGGTTTTTGTCTCTGTTTTCTGTTTCCTGTTTCCTGTTTTGTTCGATTTTCTTTTTGCCTTGTTGCCCCCTACTTTTGGCCTGAACAAAATGATCTTAGACCGGAATTATTGCATATCAAGGAACCGGCTTCATATGCTGGTAGTGGCTGTTTGTGCTTTGCGGAGGTTTTCATTCCCCGACGCATTTTGTTGTTTTTTTGTTTTGCTTATCTCGCGCTCTTTTCATTTGTCGAAGCCTACTTTGTTAGTGAAGCGAAGCTAGCATTGTCGTTTTCTCATTCCGAGTCTGTCAAAGTCATCATGATGGGTGGATATCTGTTTTACGCGTGTTCATTGTTTGCCATTTCCTTCATATTGCTCATCAACTCGCTAGTCGCTCTCTATAGGTGCGACTTGACCATAATATTGTCGTTAGCCTTCTACATACTATGACTATAACTATCATCCTCACTCGCGACCCACATCTTCTAGCATCAAGACTGCGACCATCCGCTACTTCAAGGTTGCTTCAGTTTCCGAATCAAACGTACACACATGGGCGCAGTCTGACAGAGATTGGCCCCAATATCCAACGAGAGAAAGTTGTGAGCAGCGCTGCCGAGGTGCTCGACTGATATTACCTCATTCCGCGTATTTGTCCGAAACAAGACGCATAGGCCGGCTAACGTCAGCTCACCTTCCCAGTTCCAAACCGATCCGTGGCCACGGCGTTGGTTTCCAAAACGCTGCCACACTTTGCACAGTTGTCTCTCTGGGAGCATCCTTCGCGTCGACTTGGCTCCAAAACTCACCTATCAGAATCGACATGGCGCTGCGCCCAATCGCCCAATGTCCCGGGGGTGGGAACGCCTGGATGCCGTATTCGACGAGCTACCCCCCCGATAATGTGGCTTGCTGAGTCTGCTGACGGCGGCGCCTTTTTATTTTGAGCGCGATAAGATGGGATTGGAGGCGAAGGAGGAAATGGGGTGAGGGCTAGTCCATTCCATTTATCCCATTCCTACGTTTATTATTTTTATTATTTTTATTTTAGGCACAATAACTCGTTTTTTCGCCCTAGAGTAACTATGTACGTATAAGTAAGTGGGTAAGCTGTTTGATAATTTTTTTTCCCTTATCTTTTTTGGCTCTCACCTTTTTTTTTGGGTATCGTTGGGAGCCCCCCCCCCCCCCCCCTTCAAGCATGACGAGATATCTCACTTTTTTTTTGTAGGATTATCGGTGGGACTTGATGTTTGTTAGAGGGTTTGAGAGAAGAGGGGGCCCCTTCTCTAGCCATTTACCGTTTTTGGCGCAGGCTGTAGTTTGAAGAAAGAGAGAAATCAGCGGGTTTTGTTTGTTGTAATGGCTATGTTACCCCCCTACTCAAGATCCCCTTTCCCCTCTTTCCTTTTTTTTGTTTTATTATAAAAGAAAAAAGATTCGCTTTATAGGAGTCTTTTTTGTAAGTCCTAGTCTTGCGCTAGAGTTGACACCTATAAATCTTAATAACAATCAAAAATGCAGTTTTTTTTTTTCTTTTTTTCTTTTTAGAAATTCTATTCACCTCTTCAAAACCCCTTTTTTTAGTTTGCTAAGGGGCTTTGTCTAGAGACATAGGTAGGTAAGATAAAACACTAACTAGTACTGTTTTCATATAACAGAGCTTGCTGGTGCTTATTTACTTGTGACGCTGAAGTGAGTAAGTAAGTATATAGGTAGATTCACAGTTGTTGTTGTTGTTGTTGTTGTTGATAAACAAAGGCTAATGAGCTCATGAATAGGTCTGACTGATTACAAGTTGTGTACCACGGCAAAAAGGAAATAAATCTAACAACCAAATGAAATTATATTCTACACGAACAAATCAAATCCAAAGAAAACGCGAGACTTTTTCCCAACCCAAGTTTATGCCACAGCGATGGAGCTAGCATTCGCAGAGTTAGCAAAATACGCGCAATTCAGCGTATACGTCGCCGTCTGATCGCTGAACCCATCCAAAACAACCGCATTGATAGCCTTGAGCAGAAACTCTGCATTCTGGCCCGCAAACGCCGACAACGGGATGCTCAGAAGAACCGGCCGACCAGTCATGGCGCCGTACGAAGCACTCGCGACGCTGGCGCGCTGCAGGCTCGACGAGTCGGCGCAGTCGCTGCCACTGCTTTGCAGCTGGATATTGAAAGTCGCGCCCGCGTTGGCGGTGACGTTGACGTAGAGCGTCGACTCCGACGACACGTCCATGCAGTTGAGCAGCGAGTACCAGTACGACGAAGCGGACGCGGGCTGGAGCTGCAACGCGTTGTTCTCGATGGCAGGGGTGGCTTTCATGGTGCCGTCGTCGCTTTGGATGCCGCCGATGGCGTTGCGGTCGGGGCGGCCGCCGGCGCAGTAGTTCAACCACGCCGACGCCGGGCACGTGCAGGTCAGGGGAACGATTTCGTCGGGGATGGAGATCAAGCTCACGCAGCCGAGTCGGACCATGTTGGAGGGGGCGAAGCCAGAGAGCGAGACGGTGCTCAGTCTGCTCGCGTTGAGGCCTGCGAAGTCGGACAGCGGGATCTGCGCCACTTGGTAGCTGGCGTTGCCGCTGAACGTCACGTACGATGTGATGGGCAGCGAGACCGGCGAGGATTGCGTCGTGCAGTTTGCGTCCGTCATCCATCGCAGCGTCACGTCCAAGGTGGTGCCTGAAGGCGCTGCCACCGAGATCTGCAGGCCAGTCGCGTTGTTGCGGTTCGCGTTGTAGCATGAGTCTCTGCCGAACTGCGAGTACCAGTAGGCGGTGGGGGTTGTGCCCAGTTCAAGAGATCCGTCCGTGTTCACGGAGTATGAACTCAGGGTGGATTCATCCGAAACGACGCCTTGTAGTTGGTTGGTGGTAGGGGGAGTCGATACGAATGCACACGTGTTTAGAAGCGTGCCGGAGCAACGGGAGCATCCAGGGCTGTCTGATGGTCCGACGAGGGCCAAAGAGTATAGACGGTATGTTTGACCTGCGTCGCCGAAATTCGTCATCACAAACGACTGGATGTTGTTTGGATTGAAGGAAGCCGGGAAGCGAGAGAAGGGGATGGTGACGTCCATCCGTGGTCCATTGAGGGTTATGGGCACAAGCGATGTCACGACGTTGGTATTGCAGCTCGCGGCACCGTGTCTGAATCCGACACTGACTGTTGAGCCCACAGGGCCGGCTATAGATAAAGTGAAAGCGTTGTACGAGCTGTTGACAGTGGCGCATCCTCCGGGTTGTGAGAACAATGTGTAAAAGTACGAGGAAGTGTCGCGGGGAACAAGATCAATATTTCCAGGGGCAGTCTGAGTATACGTCTGCATCGTGTTGTCATCCGAGAAAGGAGCGTCTAGTGCGTTGGTTTGTTTCCGGAATTCATCTGTGTCACAGAAGTCGAGCACCACGTATCCAGTAGCTCTTGTGCATTTCGTCCCTCGAGGAGTCGGCTCCTTGCCGCCCAGAAGGGAGATCCAGCGAACTGTGAAGACATCGGCCCTTGAGCCGCCATTGGGAGTGAAATTCTGTAGTGTGATACGATTGATAGCTGCGGCATCAAGACCCGAAAAGGCCGAGAGAGGAACCGTGATATTGGCAAAATCATTCTGACTCAACGAGGCATACGACGCAGTGTTGACGGTAGAGTTTGCGCCGGCACCAGAGGTAACGACAATGTCGAAAGAACCACCAGATGGGCCCTGCACGTTCAACGAGAGTGATTCGTACGAGGTTGCATCCAGGTTTTTTCCTTTCACAACGGTACTCGTGTAGAAATAAGAACCTGAATCGGATGGGAGCAATTGCATTTTGCCCAACTCGGACAATTTGGCAAAAGTCATGGAGTTATCGTAGTCAGTCTGACCGTTTATGTTGTTGATTCCAGTGATCCAGCGATCGACGTTCTGGAATGAGTCGATTGAGAGCCCCCGCGTGTTGTCGTCACCCGGTGCTTGTGAGCATCTCTTCTGGATCTTGATGTTATCGATGTAAAGTGGCGTCTGGACTGGGGATATGTTCCCAATTCGGATTCCTCTGACTCGGGTCATGTCTTGACCTGCGAAATCTGCCAGGGGAATGGAGACGGTGTGGTTGGTTCCATCAACGGCGGCATAATCCGTGATATCGAGGTAAGTCTGGCTTGGTTGCTCCTTGTTGCATCCTTCATCAAAAGATACAAGCTGGACATAGAAGCGCGTACCTACCGACGCGACCATATCGAAGAACAAATGTGTGTACAACGTAGCATCGAAGCAGAATCGGGATATTTCAGTGTAATACGAGTTGACGCCATTGGCGGTGTTGTTGTTCGCCGTGAGTTGTAACGTTCCATCCACGTTGTTTGACGAAAGACCGACGGTCGAAGTCTGAAGGAGCAGCAAGTTCACGCCGTTATTGTAGAAATACAACTCCAGGAAATCATCGACAGCGACGTCCCAAGCTACACATTCTGCGATTGGCTGGGGTGTGAAGTCAGGGCACGTCGAGGCTGATGCATCGGATGCACCGACTGAAAACTTAAGGGTATATAGCCCTTTAGCAGTACTTGTGAGGACCACAGCATTCGTCAGTCCATCAAACGAAGGCTGTTGGCATGCATTCAACGGCGATTGAGAAGACTGTAGGACATAGTTGCCAGGCACCTGCACTGTCAGCCCTTCGACTGGTCCGTCGAGACGCACAGTCATTTCAACCGCAGTGTCGCTTGCCGAGGTGATGTCGACTTGGGCACGATCTCGAAGCGTCCACCAGTTGGCAAATCCCGTTTGGTTGAAGAAGACTGCATAGGGTCGAACTCTATCATGGAGCGCTCTCTGAATCTGGATTTTATCGAGGACCGCGTCGGATGGATGGATCAGGATATTGTACTGACCGCCATAACGGGCCATTTTCTCAATGCCAATGATCTGGTTGGCAAAGTCTGAGCCGGGGAAGTCCGCACTGCTCATGTTGCCATCGCCGTCCGACCATTGGAGAGGGAACTCGTAGTACGGGAGTTCCTCGAATGGCTCTCGATTGTGGGTAACTTGGAAGGGGAGATGGGTAAGATGGGCATTTCCGGAGCATGACGAGCCACCGATGATGCCGTTCGCAACACAGTGGTTGGCTTGATACTTGTTGAAAGCCAAATTACCGGGACGATACGTGGTCATGTTGTAGTCGGTTTTGAACTCGGTGTTCAGGATGTGACGAATGAGGAACGCACTTACGCGGACCTCACCGGATGCGGTACCACCAGCGGTCCAGAAGGAAAGACCACTTGTGCCTCCCCTCGTACACGATTGGCCATCATCCGGTGTTCCATGGGGTGCAGAGGGATCACACTGATAGATTGTGGGTGCGTAACCGTCGTAAGATCCCTGGATGAACCGCTCGTTTAGGGTTCCGTAGGGAAACTGCACCGCATTTGGCGAATGGCTAACAGTATGGCTGCCGAAGTCGATATAAGGATACCCATCAGCCGCTGTTCGGAACCCCGTAATCTGGTAGATATACGGGACTCCGTACTGGAAGTAAGCGGTTTCGTACGCATCGGTGATGTATTTGGTGTGGAGATTCAGGTTGCCATAAGCGCCCCGTTCCATAGCAGCTGCGGCGATACCCTGACCATGAGGATATGAAATGTAGGTGTCAATATCCCACGTAGTGGTGAAGGCAAGGCCCTTGTTGTATGGAACAGTCCATAGGCTTGCAAAGTGGGCACTCGAAGTGACAATGTTCTTGATGACTCGGTTTCCGATATCGTATCCAGGATAGTAATGTCCGTCATACCTGAGATTCGATTAGTAAATATGCATTAACATTATAATCACAGTTCCATTGAGTATTCCGCATATTCGATTATGGGATAGATCATGCAGGAATGGAAGAAGTCGTGATGACCACGTCGAGTCTCGGAACAACCAACATGCTGGACTTACCAAGGGGATAGACCGTAATTCTCGCTTTGAGCCAAATTATAAAGGTATCCAAGGTCAAGCCCAAAGCTGTAGACGTGTCCGGTTGCGCCTGAGGGTTGATGTTTGACAATGGATGCCCGTGTATCAGACGTATCCGCGCTGTCAACTCCATTGTTCCGAACCAGGTACTGTCCTAGAACCTGTGATTCTTGCACGGGCGTGTATCCGACATTGACAAAACCTGATTCGGTGTAGTTGTCGTAAAAAGGCATGCTGATGTCATAGAAATCACCGAATTCGAATCCCTTCAAGACTTGTTCGGATGTTTCTGCATCCTTGATGAGCTGTAAGACAGACCGTGAACCAGTGTTATCTATGGTAGACGCAGAAACTCCAGCAAGAGCTTGAAGCGCCGTGGGAACTTGGTTCATGAAGATAAGATTACCGCCCCCATTGACGAAAGATGTCAACGTTGCGACATCCGATGGGCTAGGATTGTAGGTCACACTGGGCGACGTGTAGATGAGCAGGTTCCGGCATTGAGATGAGATATCGAGAGATTCGATGACTTTCACTTGCAGACCGACTGTCTTGAGAGAAAGAGTGAGAGGTAGCCTATGTCTTGTTACTTGGTGTTGGAGATGCTGCGGTTGTTGGCTTTTTTTTTTACCAATTTGGATCCACTTGATAGTTGGGGAGAAACAGATTCAGCCCCGAAGCAGGCCCAGCAGCATGCCTAGATGGTCAAAATTAACAGATATTCTCGTTTCTACGTCATGGTAGATTCTCACCTGGATTGAGAAGGAACAGTTGGTGGCCGACTACTCTGCCCAGGGTCTGGGCTGGGTGTGTCTGGCTGTACTACGGTGTAGATGTCAGGAGAGACAAAGGCTCGGCATAGCTGCGCCAGAAGAGGCAGCAATGCAAAAGAACGCATGATTCCCGTTCTGTTCTGAATGGATGAACAGGTCTCGACACGATAGCAGAAAAAGAATACATGTGCGCCGGGGGGCTAAGCTCTTTATACAATATTGGAGGCGGTTGGGTTCATGGCGACGGGTTCATGGGTAATCGGTGATGAGCTACAGACTACAGTAGACTATGGGAAGGTAGCGCGCCGTACCATTTTCAGGGCAAAGCTACGCACTAGTAATAACGCAATGTTAGTGTACATGTTCCCAGCTGAAAGAAAGGGGTTGCGCTCATGTACACATTCATCAAATTGCGAGTTGATGGTGTGTTCGTTCGATCTCTGTTTTGCTGGAAAATTACACAAGTACAGGTAGGCACATGTTTTTCGAGAGCAGCGAGTGAAGAAATTGGAAAAGTGTGTACAGATGACTGCAAATAGCGAAAAAGAGTATGAAACAATTGGTGCACAGCTCAAGCCTCATTGCGACATGCTTAGAGACTACCAACTGGCGAAGTTTTTTTTAGGACTCCCATGTGGCCCTCATAACCCACACAACAAATCGATAGTGGGTTGTGTGGGCCATGCACACGGGCTGGAAGTTCCGAAGGCCCAATAAACTTTGCCAAGGGGGTTAGCTTGGCCGATTTTTTGACAGCCACCCCGGGTTCCTGCATCAAAAGTTCCCAACGTGCAAAACTAAAGAAGTCGTCGTCCGTCACAGCCTTCTTTGCACGGCGAGCATTTACGATTCGAAGAATTCACGGATACTATGCACAATTGGCATGCATCAGACCTGGGGCCGTACCGTTTCCCTTCGCATCATGGCTCTTGAGAAACGGCCATTTGGAAGTGGCGTTTAAGCATCTCATCGAAGAAAGCAATCCACTTCTGACGGTAAACGGCACTATATGGGTGCGGGCGGGTTGTCCTGACAAATGCTTACGCCTTATATTGACTGTTCCGAGGGGCCGGGTGACAGTTAACGTAGCTTGATTCTAAGTGCTGTTTTCGAGAACTGATCGTCACTTCAGCCCTGGAAGTGTATCCTGATAGCCATATTATTAGACCAGGTCATGGTTGGGCGTTCTCTGTGACCTTTAAATGATCTACCTTGGTATAGCAAAGAGCTGTTATTCCATAGTTCCTTAGCATCCGAGCCAATGCCAACCCTCGATGGTGAGACGGGTAGAGAACCCGGTCCTGTTGGTAGCTTTTTCCATGGTTTTCGTCCTCGTTGGGGTGACGGGAACAAGTCTACCTGTGATAGTTTTAAGCTTTTTTATCTACGACGCTCCTGGTACATTCGTTAATAATTGCGCATGGATTACCATCTATCTAGCAATTCATAGCTCAATCATCAGTTGAGAGTGAGAATTCACGTGTTGCATTCCAGTTCTTGTTCTTTCCAGAACTAGAAGCATTTTGCCTCGAGTTAGAGTTACGACAGCCGACCTCAGTCGCCCAATGCAAGGGGGCGCCACAGAGCGCTGTGCCGAATCAACCTACAGGACCATTCTCACGTTCACTCCATTCCTCACTCTCTTTTTCGTATGTTGAAGTCGATTGGGTGCAGCTTGCCGCAGTAGTACTTACCCCTAGTTTTTGGTGTAGCGGTGGCTGGCCTAACATGACGTCTAGCCTAGCTTCTAAAGCAATCTAGACACGCCTTGGCGAGCCTCTCGTTGACTTTTGAGCCAGCCACTTTTCAGGGGCATGGTAGAACATCACGTGCAAATGAGCCCAAATATGCATGCACGTGTATGTCACAGTTTGGCACGCGCGAAAGCCACCGTGGACTGATGCTGAAATTTAGTCGAGAATCATAAGAAGAAAGATATAAGATATAAGATCTCGACTCTCAACCCCTGAGATGCAGAATGGTAGCTTTCTACAGGAATTGAAGTTGCTACCGACATTGTCCACCTGTGACGCGAAATATGAACAGATATGATGCAACTGGTTAAAGCTTGCTGAGACTGCTATCACGCACTAAGCGTGATGTTGTACGATGTTCCCGCCGTTGTTGGGATAGGCGTACCATAACTTTTGCCGTCGACAAAAAATTGCGCCCCGTTAGCAACTCGGAGGGCGAGAATCCCCCCATTTCTCGAGAGGACGGTTGCAGACGTCAATGCACCCCCAGCCCATTTCATGTCAACAACAAAGCTCCCCCGTGCCACAAGACCCGAGACAGAGCCATCTTTGACAGCTGATGGTAGAGCTGGGAGAAGATGAACCACATTATGGCTTTGCAACAGCATTTCGGCAATCGCTGCCGTATATCCAAAATTGCCGTCGATTTGAAAGGCTGTTCCAGGACCGCCGTCCGTATTCCAAAGGTTTGGCGACGGATATTTCTGCAGAAACGCGACTGCGCTGCTCCAGACAGCGTTGCCGTCAAACAATCGAGCATACAAGTTCATGACCCAAGTGCGGCTCCAGCCTGTGCTACCAGACCCAGACTGCATGCGATGGTCAATCAATTTTCTGGACGCGGCCGCGAACGTCGAGGAATTGAGTGGTGCGAATTGGGAGCCGGGATAAAGTCCCCAAACTGCAGAGAAGTGACGATGCCCTGGCTCTGCTTCACCATACTCTCTTCTCCACTCCAGAATCTGTCCGTAGGATCCGATCGAAGGAGGTCTGATCTTCGAGAGGTAACTCTTCGCGTCGCTGCACTCAGAGTTGTTGAGTCCCAATATCTGGCATGTCTGGATGACAGCCGTGAATAATTCAGTGAGTAAAGAGTTGTCCATTTGCACGCTTATATCAATACCCTCGCTTCTTCCAGCCGTTTTCATATCACCGGGTACCACGAACGGATTTTCCGGGGATAGACTGGGACCTGTAGTTTTATAGTTGTTCCAGTCGAACATGTAACAGAAATAAAACTGGGCTGCGCTCTGAAGAACAGGCCATGCGTCGTTCTGGAGGAAGCTTCGATCGCCGGAATAGCGGAAGTGCTCCATCATATGAAGCGAGAGCCACGCGCCTCCAAGAGGCCACATAGTATATGGTGTCCCGTCTGAATTTACAATCGATTAGTCTTGAACTTGAGCTGCTCGTAGAAAAATGTTGACTGGACGGGTAGCTTGACGGGCAGACAAGAACAGGGCCAACTTACAGTCCACAGGGGCGGCATCTCCCCATAGATCAATGTTGTCTGTGTCAAAAACATATCAGTAAACTTTTGGATGCACCAATATAATGACAAAGCGTTGCTATGCTCGTTCACTGGCTAGAGAACTGAGAAATGCTTACGATGTAGGACAAAGCCGCCGTTGTTGCACCCGTACATGACATTTGCCATCGTTTGTCCACGATCTTTTGCAACTTTGATCAGGTCAAACAGAGGTTTATGCGTTTCGGCCAGATTCGTGCTCTCTGCGTGGAAATAGTTCATCTCCGTATTGATGTTGATCTGCTTAATCAGCAACTCAATCCTTCAGTTCGTTCCAACAATAGACTCTCTCACCGTGTATTTACTGATCAAAGCTATTGTCAGTTAAGCTCAATTTGTGCGGCGACCGAAAGCCAACATACCTGCCCCACGAAGGACTGAAGTCTTTGTTCCACAGCCCTTGGAGATTAGCGGGCAATGACAGAGCGCCAGAATCCCTGGAAGAAGCCACCAGTGAATGTCTTCCAAAATTGAACATCAATGTGGCCAGCTGCGGGTCTCCGTTTGGGTTGTTTTTGTAGTTGGATAGGCGTGTTTTGGTGTCCAGGTTCCCATTAGACCCTGAAGATCCGAGATTGAGATTGACTCTACCCGTCAATTTTGTGTTGTCGGATACCGAAGCAGCACGAACGGCAGGGAAACCATCGCTAACGGCTTTGTTGAGGATACTTGTCATGGCTGATTCCCAAGCCGTTTGACTCGAGTAGCGATAAGACGTTTGAGCGTCGAAAAAGATATCAACGGTATTCGCGCCGCTTATAGAAATCGATTTACCGTCGGAACTCACACTTCCTGTACGCTATTCAGCAATGTGACGACAAACGAGGCATTGAATAGATACCTCCGGTGTTGACCACACGTGCTTCAGAGGAGAACGTTATTGCTCCAGAGCTCTGACCACTGTTTCCGTTCAACTTGACGGCGTTAACCCCGTTTGAAGATGATGCTGTTTGCGAGGTTGCTTGTTTGCTGCGCGAGAGTGACACCTTGATGTTCAGCTGAGATGGTTGGCTGGAAGTGAAGCGCATCGCGAGAACACCATGCGTATGACTTGCAACATATTCACGGCTTTACGAGCATATGAAGTCCATCAGTACCAAATCTCACATTCCAAATGAGAAGGGTCATCTCACGTGTAGTTCACGTTGTTGTAGTTGTAGGTAACGAATGCCGTGCCTTGATAGGTATCAAGATAGCGGACATAGTTGCCTCGATTGTTGCCGTGGCCAAATGTAATCATCATATCACCCAGAGGGTTATATTGTCGCGGAGAATTAGGGTTGCCAGCCACTGCCAAGTTCATTAATACCCGCAAGTAATCGAACGCGATGATGTAGACCAACTATTTTGTAAAACCGATTGTCCAGCACCCGTAATATCGCCACTCATAAGCTTTGAGCGAATGTCATTCAGCGCATTCTTCGAGTTGCGGTTCGCACGGTCTTGCCATGGCCCACTCCAGATGGAGTTTTCATTCAGTGATATCTTTTCATCCCCCGTGCCATACACTACTGCACCGAGCCTGCCATTTCCTATAGGAACGGCTGAAGCGAAATCGTTACCTGCATCCGTACTGTACCAAGCGAATCTCGAAGCATCCCATTGAGCGAGCGACTCTGGTATGCACGCAAGCAAAGTGAAAAGGAAGAATAAATTCATGACAATGCACGCTTTGGTTCTTCAAGACTAAATCAACAAGTAAAAAGCGAATCTACAATGCTTGCTGGTGGTATTAGGAGAGCTTATATGTCAAAGTATGTAGTGCGGAGAAGATATCCTGGTATAATGAAAACATATGAAGTTTATCCGAGCCATGTCAAATCTGCATGGATTTTCCCCAGACCTATTCGCGGAAGAATCCCCAGCACATCAGTCTAGCCAGAAGTGAGCATGAACTATCCCCACATTAAGCGGTCGCATGTCGTACTATTATATCATAGTAGCCATGCCAGTCCTATATAACGGTAGATCACGAATCTTTCATTGAATACACAGAGCTTTATCCACCTTATTTTCCTTCCAATAGCTGCCTCGCAGATCTTAGCCACATTCTGTCGTCTGTCCTCGAACTAATATGTATGCGCTTTGAACTGGGTGCTTGAATTAACCTGGTTTTAAGAGCGTGTGATACAGTAGCCGATATTTCCTATGTAAACCTTCCCACTTCCCGGTGCCGATGTCGATCGGAATATTGAATCTACTCCGCACTTTTCTTGGTTTAACCTTTATAGAACATAAGTTTAGATCTTGATACGTATTTTATCGATGTCTATAGCTGTTGGAATGGCATGTGTCATCCATTGATGTCTCAAGGTGCAATGATGTAAATTCGGCCTCGGCGAACACGCTGTGGTCTCTCACTGAAACCGAACGCTGCACTAGATCTCCGCTTATATCAATTATTATTGAGTGCGACGGCATAATTATCTAACAGAATATTGCGGGAAACCATTATAGTTAGTCGCTTGAACTAGGTAGTGCAATTGCTGTTGCGACCAAATCTTCTTCCTCATGATTTCGCTTTTGATCATGCTTGGCCCAAACAACAATAAGGCTCAAGATCTGTAGCATATGATTCTTCGAAGGCTTTTAAAATTAGTTGTATTCCCATTCTTCATTTATATTCATTTAGTAGCATCCTGCGTTTGCTCCGGGGTATCCGATGTCCAACAATGTACATGATATCCAGTGATATCATATCGCCTTCAAAAAAGACGTGCCCCATTATTGTGATAGCCGTTACCAAGCTATAATTTCCTAAGTCCGAATATGCCATCTTAAGTTGCGTCACTATTCCCCTCTAATCCACCAATGAGGTAAACAAAAGAGACCAGACCCATTCCCGACTGTCCGACAAACGGTGTCGAAAAACCATACAAATACTCTTTTCAAAAAATTAAAATTATAAACGAATACATGTTAAGAAAAACTTTGAGCTTACGCCGTAAGCATGTTCTAGTCCAATGACCAACTATGGTGTTGCTTGAATAACGCCAACTTTCCTCAACGGAATTTCATCTCCAAATTGTGATGTTGGCGCCTCATTCGAGCTTCTCGAGCTACTCCTTCTCTTCTGATCAATATCACTAGTGTCATCTGAGCTGACGTTTTCTATCACCACATTGAGATCTGTGCGGCAGTGGATGCCTCCCTCCGCATCCTCGAGCGATGCATTGTCGGCACGCGATACCGTGTCACGTCCACCTTTGGCGTTGAAAGAAGCCAGCTGGAAAGTGTTCCCTCTCTCGGCAAAAGCAGTGTGTTGCGCTGATTGTAGATCGAATCGTGGGTTTGTGCCTGTGCCTTTGGAGCGTGGGCCGCTGGAGGAATCGAAGTGGTGTTCGGGATACATGTCGTTTTTGCTTCCCCCCTTCGCCACGTGGGTAATCAACGATGCCATGGACATCTCAATGTTGAGTTTGACGAGATAAACCACAGGATGGAACATGACGTAAACCACAGGGTTTCGCAAGAACATGAGGCCGATGAGAAGACCCTATCATATCGTGTTAGTGGACTGTGTGCTGAATGTACACATGTAAGGGGGTACCATGTGATAATGGATGAACGCATGAGCGCATGCCCGGGTGATAAATTTGAACAGATGAGTGTAGTTGTAGAAAATGGTGTTGACAACTTACGTCCATGCTGATAGAAAGAATCATCAGTTTAGCATTGAATGCAACCAAAGGCGAGTATTTGGTCAGGCGATGTTGCTCCACCAAGCGGAGTTTTACGATTCTAAGGAAGTAATAATTGAGCCCAGCATCGACGAGGAGAATGACAACTTTTTCGATCTTGTCCCATACGTTGTTCAGCTTGACGTATAAGGGACTGGCTGGTGGTGAAAGGTGTGCCGGAATCCAGATGCAGAATACACTCAGATTAACAAGTGTAATTAAGATGGCAGTTCCGTATTTGATTTTACGGACAGTGCCGCGATGCTCCGCGATAAGAGCAATTCGATTGATGATGATCTGCATGAGAAATTGGATTTGAAGGACCCATGAGAACAGAATGAAGAACAGGACCGGTACACTGGTTATATTGAAGTTAGTGAGTGAAATTTTTTTCTTTTGATTGAAAGTTGAAGTGTTTCCTACACTCAAAAAGCTGACAAGATGAGGTGACAAACAGGTTGAGTGAACTGTAATCGCACACATATGGGATGTACACTTACGTAGGACCAAAAATGCCTTGGAGAAATAGCCATCCCAATACTCCGATGGAGATATTAGCCAATAGCTCACCCCATATCATGTAGATGTATACCGAGCGGAGGGGGTTGCGGTTTCGGCGTGTCTGTTTGATTGCTTCCCATACTGTCAACACCCCGTATCCAAGCGAGAAGCCTGCGGCCAAGGCTGCTATTTGGAAGTCTTGAGAGGTGGTTTCCATGATAGCGATTGACCCTTACAATCAGGGTTAAGTTTGACATCTGGGGGGCAATGCAGGATAATGTATCCAGGAATGCAACAGCCCTTGAAGTGGACCCCGTTTGTGGCCCCCCTCCGACATTAGCGGAGACATGACAGACAGCTGTGGCCTCATGAATCGCCGTGAGTCAGGATGGCATTAGAGTTTGTAGTAGCACTGAGCCTTACGGTTAGGGAAGGCTCATGATCCGTGCGTTCATACAAAAAGTACGACACGTGATCTGAGCAAACTTATTCATCAGCTAAGTATTCGCTTGAACCAGTAAAAGGCCGTAATAAGGGATAGCATAGACAGCTTTTCTGAGTACAAGACAAAAGTATTTTATCCATCGCCACTTACAATGCTAACGTGGCGGGTACAGAGTACCTTGAGCCCATGATGGCCAATGCAGCGGCTGGAATGATACCATTCAAGCATTATCTACCCGCTAATCATCTAGTTCATCTTTGGGTTGCGAAGATCAGGACTATCACATGGCCCATTGGTTGATCGTGCTCGCTCGCAAGGGCGTGATTGCAGCTATTGTTCTAGTCTCACTAAATAACTATCTATGGTAATCCACGCCTCTGCCACATTTAAAATACAAGACCAGCAGAAACTGTAGTATATCATCTAGAAGCGTTCAAGTCGCCGAACAAGCGGTACAAGATCAGATACAAATCGCAACACAGCTATCTCATTGCGCTTTAACGTAACATGCCAGATGCGAGAAGCCTACAACCGCCTGTGTTTCTGCCAGGAACAAACTGCTAGAACAATCCAACCCAGATTGAACTGTTCTCCCACATGGAGACTCATTGCTATATGAGGGCACGGTATCTGGCTTCCCGCGAAGTCTCAGCTCGCATTCAGCTTTTTTGCTCCTCTCGCGGAAGACAGGGCGCCTAAAGTTGCAATGTGCATATGGTCTCGCGTGTCGATTCGTTCCCCAAATTACCATAACGCAGGGCTTTGGGGGTTGTTCCAAAACACTGGGTTTTACAGATGACATCGGAAGAAATCAAATTTTGGGCGAATTACACGAAAGATCCTGTGGACTGGGCAGAGAAGGTTACGAGATGCCGCAGATCCGCACAGAGCCTCAACCTGGACGCCTTGCGGAAAGAAAGAAATCTCAAGGGGTGCATACGATGCTAATGTGCGACTAATTCGTGTCTGGACGTGTGTACAGTGGTCCCTTCTTTAGCATTAGCGCTTGCGCCTCGTGGCGAAGAGCCGGCGCAATACAACCAGCCAGCCAGCCAGCCAGCCAAAGCATTGTGATCATGGATCGCGTATGCTGCCGTTCCCTGCCGAGAATGCGGAATCAGGGGTTGGGTTGCAGATACTACCAGGAGGATTTGCAAATGATTCCACACTATAGAAGTAGCAGCCCACATCGTTACCCAGCACCAAATGACTGGAGGGCAGATCTCCTAGCGCAAAGATCTGATTGATCGCGTAGATCTGCCGGGTGGCTTGCCATATCTAATTGTGGGGATAGAAGAGATCTATCATCTTAGAGTGAGATTTCGCGCATTCTGGAAGGTTACTTGTCCACGAGACATAGCGCAAGAGCGTGGTGTCGAGATAGGACACCAAGCTATGCCATTATGCTGACCATTATCCCTTGATGAAGTACAGCCAGGATTGATCAGGGACACTCGATGGACGGGGCTGATGGTTGCTTCGCCGGTAGAATGGTAGACATCAGATAGCGCAAGGCCTCCTTTCCCAAGCTCCGGCCGAGTGGATACAAGCGCGAGATTAAGATTCAACACTGCGCTGAACTAGCTGTCGAGCTGAAAAAGAGATATTTTTCACTTCCACCAACAAACGCGTGGCTGTCCAAGATACAATGATGGAGAACAGTTTTGGTGTGGGACTCGCTGCATAGTTGCGGTCTAGACACGTACAACGGTAGGATATGTACACATTCATAGCGGACTAGAAAACCGAAGTTGCTACAGTGCGATACACCTCGCATCGTGCCAACATAAGTTAATACTGGACCTATGTTCATCAACAGCGATTATGATGTTGGGTTTTTCACGAACAACGACTGTACAGATAAGATCTGAGATTGTCTGTTCACGCATTTAATTGTTCTCAACCATAACGTCTTTTTTCAGATCTTATCGATCGTCATGGCCACAATCAATCAAGCTAGTATCCAATCATACCCAGGGAGTTTGTAAATTGTGACGATGAATGGGCTGTTTGTCGTGAAATATCACGTCAAATGATCGGCATGTAGCTTCCGTACGTTAAACCTGACGCTATCAATTTGAAGGGCACATGCCATTGCGCTGCCTTCGAGCCTTCTCTTATCGGGTTAAACTATGTGGTAGACGTGGAGGCGGGGAGATCTCTCCAGACGACCTATTAGTCCGCGACAACCCTTTTCACAATCAAGAATCTCATGTGTCATGAGAAAGAGAATCATGTAGATAGAATCAGCCCCTTTCGTGAGTGACGGCGTTGTTGTATCGGGCCGTTTCCAACTACATGTAAGACTTGATTCATCACAGAACGGGGGCACAAGCTACCGATAAAAATTCGTTCTATCGGTCCCGTGTTTTACACGACAAGGCTGGAGTTAGGGCCACAAGTTGCTCACTGCACGATGATTCGGGGATTTAAGCGCATATATGTAGTAGAACCTGTCCCTTCTGTCCGAATTGGTGGAGGCTATTTTGCGCGCCGACTTAAGCTACGCGGACTGAAGCTGACGATCACCATCTCAACAACAATTAAGCCTATGTATTGAATCGTATGGAGGTCGCAAGAACTACCCTACTGGTATCCCCGCTGAAAATCAGTGTCCCTGAGGCTTGCCATTTCATCGGACCCCTATCCCATTTTACATCGTCATTCTATACCCTAACATGCCCTGGACTCGGCGGACCATCTTCTGTTTCCCAGACCACATTCTCCTCGCCCAGCGTAAACTCAATAGTTCCACCCTCCACCATAACATCGTCATGCAAGAACCAATTCTTTTGCCACTCTTTGCCATTAATCTTCACCCCTTGCACAAAATAACTATCTTCACCTAACCCTTCCGCCGTGATTCGGAGCGTGCGATTGCCGTTGATGGTCATGTTGATATCGGAGAACCAGGGCGAGGAAAGGAGGTAGACGGGTTGTGTTACTATCGGGTAAAGACCGAGCATTTGCCAGATAAGCCATGAGTTCAGAGCTCCTGAGTCTGAATTACCAGGAACGCCGAAAGGCGCGTTTTTGAAGCTAGAGCCAATACAATCAGCACATTAAACGACGCTCACATCGCAGGTACAGGGTCGTTATAAAATATCCAACCGTCGTTTAGTAGGTTGTAAGTATGTAAAACTGCTATGATTAGATATGGATGGGATACGTACAATTGCCGCGCAAGTGCACGAGACTGGTTCACGCTCTTCCATTGCTTGTTGATGTAATTGTAGAGATATGGAGTAGCAAAGTCTGGTTCATTGCCGATATTCATAATCGTCGTAATGCCCAAACCATTTGCGCCGAGATTCGTTTGGCTCGTGTTAGGCTGGAAGATGTAATCTAGACGCGATTCGAAAGAGGTTTGCCCTCCCATGAAGTCGATAAGGGTTTCTACGTCGTGCGGTATGACGAATGAGTACTCGAAGGGGGTTCCCTCGTATGTGACGGATGGCCAAGAGCATACATCACAAGTGGCTGGATTGTAGTTGGTTGTATTGAAAGTCCCATCGCCTGTGAAGGAAAATCAGTCTGCGACCATGTGCTCTCATCGCTAGGCTGGGAAGAGACATACCAGACTTTGGAGTCAAAAAGCCCGTGAACACAGGCGTAGTTTTTACGCTGGGCGTATCATGATTCCATAGATGCTGCCATCCCGCTGAACGGTTCAAGTACTTTTCCGCTTCTTCTGGCTTCTCCCCTTTGGCCACTTGACTTAGCGCAAAGTCGTTCAACGAGTACTCGACGGAGCGAGAGATTGATCGTTCGCTCGCTTCGGTGACATAGCCGTAGGTCAGCCAGTCATCCAGAGCGCCTCGACCTTCTTTGTTGCTGCCGTTTGTCGAGACTTCAGCGTCTTTCCGCATCGCCGCGTACCCGTCGACCCAATTGACATCTCCCCGCATTCCTTTGACGTATGCATCTGCAAGCCAGTTGTCCGCATTACTTCCGCCTTGACTAAGACCGTTGTCATTCCCTGACCTTCCATCGGGCATGTAGCCTTGATGCCTGTATATATCGATCAATGATCGGATCTGGCTTTCGGATGCTTCTGGCGTAATCAAATGAGAAAGACTGATGGTGTTGCGAAAGGTATCCCCTGGGTATTGTCAGTCATGAATAGATGTTTCGAAGGGAATCTGCGCTCACAAATGCAGTAGAAGTCATCCCAGGAAGGCTCGTCGGATTCCCAGAGTGGATTCTCTCCCGTCCGATTAGACGGCATCAAGTGCATGAAGTACAATGAAGAGTACAGAAGGATCAGGTTCGTCGCATTTGCAGACTCTCCAGTGTCTACGCGAATCTTGCTGAAGACGTCTGCATTCCATTCTTTTCGGGCTGCTGCGACGTGATCGTCTTCGTTCCACGAGGGAAGCTCGGTGTCCTTGAAAGCGCATGCTTTTTCGATAGAGATGAATGAAATCCCGACTTTGGACTGGATGGTAGAGCTGCTCACGTCTGTCCAACTGAAGATTGCGCCGACTCTATCGCCATTTGGTTTTGCTGTCACATTTCTCCCGCCAATCGTAGGTTGCGGAGTTGTTCCGTTGGCAACACGAGAAGTGTTCAAACCGTGCCAGGTTTGTGCATCTTGAGGCGCAGTGTCAAATTCGCCGCAAAAGTAAACAGTATAAGGTGCACCAAGATTGAAGCCGCCAGCATATGTTCCATGACCAGTGTATGTCTTGTTATCTTCAGCAATACCAATTGAGCCGTCTAGATAATGCTGTGTGCAGAAGCCGCCAGTAGGCTCGGGCAGAAAGTGTGAGACGTCGACGAGAACATGTTTTTGGTCACCGGGAAACTCATATCTTAATTGACCAGCATGCCTGCTGCCTGTCAGGCTGATGTGGACTCCATTTTCCAAATCGGTTGCAAAAGATCCCACGCTGGCTTCATCTTGCCCGACTCTTTTCTGCCAATATGTTGTATTGTCGAGAAAGTTGATCGGCGCCCCAACGTTTGTCAAAGGCATCTGTGAGATTACACCGTACTTGGGGCAACCTCCCGTCCCAGATTCGTGCATCATGGACACACCAGTTACGAGACCTCTTGGAGTGTAGCCGCCATTAATCGTAGCGATGGTCACATTGTCCTCTTGGGTGTCGATACCCAGCTTTACGACACCGAAAGGCACCGCAGCGCCAACGAAAATATCTCCGCCCCCATAGGCATATCCAGGAATTGGTCCTTCGGCACCGATGAAAGGATTCACAAATGGCGTATAGTCCTGTTGTGCTTCCGATGGTCTGATCGCAATACCGAGTAGCGTGAGAAACGTAAGTTGATTCATTCTGATGAGCAAAACGAGCAAAAAGTATAGAATGCGAATCGTGGGGTTTGAGGATCAGAGGATCTTTGGGAGTTACACAGCGTTACATTGTTATAGACAGCCAATTGCTCCAGTGCCCACGCTTCCCCGCATTGTCGATGCAACCGTGATGATCTGCAAGCATGCGTAGCACTGTGCGCTGGAGACCTTATTCCTGCCCTGTCTAGGAAACATCATTAGATTTGCGAAGGTGTGAGCAACACAAAATTGTTTTGGTATTCAGAGTACTGAGACATAATTTTAGGCAGATCGAAGCACTCTCAGATAAATAAATTAAAATAAAGAAGCACTCTCAGAGTATTCGAAAAGCGGGACAGGGGGTAAACTGAGGATTCAATAGCTCTCTCTAATAAGTACTCAAAGTTCTCACTATCAACAGCATATATGACACTTAAACCTATTATACTGCATCTAGAAAGCCTCCAGTTGGTAGGAAGAGCATAATAGCTACAACAATTGATATGTGTCTCACTGTTTGGGTGATTTGAGAGGAAGCATTTGGTGGGTAAGCTGTCCCATTTAGTGTTAGCGCCGTATGCGAGCACCTGAACCAGCGTCAATGGTTGCCAATGACGTCAAGTCGCTATTGGAGGGACGAATATTCAGGTATAATTATGAGTTCAATAGTCTATCACAGCCGTCGAGAATCTCGACATACTGAATCCAGCCGAAACATTGATCAATACACTTGCTAGCTCCCCTTAAACCTCCACTTTCTTCAACAAGAGATTCTTCGTGGCATCCACCGACACCGAGCCTCCATATTCGTGGTTGGGATATCTCCCCACATGGTCGCCTTCGTTTTTGATATCGTAGTCCAAGATCAGCCTCGCGAGAATCATCTTGATCTCATTGGCTGCAAAGAACCTGCCAGGGCAAGCGTGTCTGCCGTACCCGAACATGGTGCTTTGATCATTCGCCGTCACGAATTGATTTCTGGCATGATCCGTAGCATTTCCGTTCTCACGAATCTTGGAGTAACGGAAACCATCAAATTCCTTGGGGTCGGTCGCCTCCATCGAGAAATTGGCTGGATCGTTGTAGATTTCGTGGGTAGGGATAACAACGGTGACGCCAGCTGGGATGTATTGTCCATTAGAGAGGGTGAAGCCTCGAAGGACCTTGCGGTTGAATGATGTGATACTGATGGGATCGAAACGGACGACTTCTTTCATGTAGCTATCCAGCTTGATCATTTGTTGGAGAGCGCGGGTGGTGATTGTTCCGCCATTCTTAGCCATAACAGTCCGGATCTCCTCGCGCAGGGGTTTCATGTACTCGGGCTGCGAGGCAAGCGTGTAGAGGCTAGTTTTCATGTAAGTGAATCCTCGATGTAGAGGAGGGAGGGAGAGCTTACATGTTAGTTGCGGTCAAGGTCGTCGTGTGGATCGCAGCGAAGATCAGGCCGAGTTGCAATTTTGCTAGTTCAAGATTCGAGTGGTATCTGTAATCTTTGCTTCGAGCCATGAACCAAGCCAACATATCGTCGGGCCGCTGATAGTCAGGATCATTGGCCTCAGCGACTCGCCGTGCTTCGATGATAGGCTCCAGAAGAGCTTCCGCGTCCTTCTCCCTTTGGCGAAGACGCTTATACTCCGGAAGGCGTGGCGCAAGTATAGGGCGCAGCCATGGATTGATCTTCTTTGCGCCTTGCTGGACGGCTATCACGTCCATGGTATAATTGATCGCACTGTCAATGTAGTCCTTGTGTCGACATAGATCAGGACCGACAAATAAGCGCCCAGTGATTTTGGCGACCATGTGTACCAGGGTGAAGTAAATGTTGATTGAGGTCCAATCCTCACATGCTGGTATATCTTCGGATACGGCTTGTTGGACTTCTTCGAAGACTACACTATTCAAACGTGCTATGAACCGGTCAGGACAGTGGGATTACTGGTAGAATGCATAGGTCTACGTACATAGATTCGGTGTGAGGTCAGCTTTGATAGAATGGGACATCATTTGCGATTCGGTGATGATTTGCGTGTAACGAGTTTCCATCAAATTCTCAACAGCCTTTGGGAAACTGAGAACCGTATCTGGAAGCTTGCGGACCTCTGCAAGAAAAAGCGGAGGAAGCACGACATGTGTTTCATCTGAGATGCGAATTAGTGACACGGTTCTCGAAGGGTGATGACCCGAAGATGGAATTGCAGCACGCACCATCGTTTGTCTTGACACGGTAGACGGAATCTTTGTACTGCCATGGGAGTTAACAGACTGGTCGGGTATCTGGTATGACAAGAGAGCCATGTGGTCCAAGCATACTTTCTGATAACCTTCGGCGTATATCTTTCTCGCGGAACTGATGAAATAGCTCTTTTGGCTGTCCAACGCAGGTAGCTTCGAGATCTTTCCGTAGTACATCAGTTTTGGGAAAAAGAACACAATCCCAAAGAACAAGGTGGCAACAGCCACCGTTTGCAGAGTGTGTGCAGCATTACCCAAGACCTGGAACTCCATGGTGATATCGGTGTTGAGGCGAAGACTGAGTGTGGTAGAAGGGGCGGGCGGGGCTTTTTATTAATCGTGATAGTTACGCTGCAGGTCTGTCGCGCTGCAGTCAATGCGGTATTCCCTTCGCACAGACCCGAGCAGCAGAGATGGCAATACGGTGCATACGGCAGGCAATGCAGCCGAACGCAGGGATGCGTGAAACAAGGTCGTTGCGGATCAAACAATGATGCAGTAGCGTGTTGGGTCAACCAGTCGCTGCTTCTCGAGGCAGTGGGGTATGTTCAAGTGCGGCGGTCGTTTGTATCCTGCCGCCCAGAGTGAAGTTGGAGCTGTCACAAGGTCGCATGGTATTGGCGTGTGCGAGGTTTGTACCCATGTGTCCGAAGCTCGTTTTCCTGTGAATTTCCAAGCCAATGGTGTTTCGCGTCCACGAAGCCAAAGCTGTATATGTGAATATGCGAGAGAAATTGGCGTGAATTGACCCTGGAATAGTTTTGGCCATGTCAACGGCTCTTAGTTACGTAGCCATGCTCCATTCCGTTTTCAGTTGATCGACATATAATCTCCTCACACCCAATAGGAAGCATGCCTATACGCCGCCACGGTAAGCGAAAGCGACGACTCAAGTACGGCATCTTGCATCGGATCATCGGACCTTGGTCTTCCGGATAGTGTGCCAACATACCCTATGGCAGTGTATGCGCTGTGCGGCACTGTACAGCACCGTACTCGTTTGTATATTCAATACGGGTACGCCTTACATATGTCCTATCGTGCGAGGAGGTCATACAGCCGAGCAACATTCCCTTACGCTTCTACACGAACTTCAAACCCTAGATCCTGCGTAAGCAACCCTGCAGCTTTCGGAGAAGACAACTCCGTCATCATCAGCTTCCACATCTGGCAAACCAAGAGAGGTCCATCATAACACGTGGATTTCATTGGAGTATCTGCATACCCATGTGTAGTGCCATTAGTACTCTTGGACACGAAAATCTCACAGGTCACACCGTACTCGACTAGCAATTGCCATTTCGCTTCTAGGTCCGTTCCGTGCTCCAAACATTTAACCTGTGTAGGTTTAGGTATTCTCCTTTGTCCAGTAGTCGCTTTTGTGTGAATACCGAAGAAATTCCAGCTTCCTTTCTTCAAACCAGTATATTATGCTGTATTCCATTTGTTGGGACATCGTGCGTTTACATTTGATCAGTACCATTCGCACAGGTCAGCCTTCATCCGCCCTCGGTGGATTGGCCATGCTCCCGGCCCAGCTGGGCATCTAATGCAACAGCAATATATGCATCCGACTGCTCGCTAAACTTCCTCATGTGCAGAAGGCCAGCCATCTTTTCCCCCCGACCCCTTGATCAAAGTAGGTGACCAAAGGCAGTGGAAATGACAGTTTTGGGAATCTTGCACACCAGTCTTGGAGCTTTTAGCAGATTTAAAATTCTTTAATGAAATTAAGAAGCAAGTTGTTGAAACCTGAAAGCCTGTGAAGTGAAAATAAAAGTCGGGCTTGAGACTCGAGGGACCAATGGCGCTTGAGCTTAACTGGGTTAGTCATCATCTACGCCAAGATTTCGGGCGGAAAAGTGTGGCAGAAATAATCTCCATCCAAAATTTGGATTCTGCGCGGATCGATAGACAGACCAACGGCACGGAATAACGATTCGCGGGTATTCCTTTGCGAACCTGCAAGGCTTTTCTCAGCACAACAGCTGCTCACAGTCAATCGCCATAATGGCATCAAACCCGTCACCACGGTCTTCTGCGCCTCAATCGAAGAAATCCATCGCCGGCCCCGCCGACAGCAATAGCGACGCCGTGAAGCGCGCCGAATACGCAAAAGCTGCCAACGCGCAATATGGGCGCGGCGAGAAAATCCGCACGAAAGCGGTCAAGGACGTCAAGTTGCGCGCAAACCTCAAATCCCTCGAAGCGAAGAATCGGGAAGCCACCTTCCAAGCAAAACAGGCCGAAATTCTTCTAGAGCACGAGGCCGGTTTGTTGGAGCCGGAACATGAGTTGGAAAAGACATATAAAGTTAGGCAAGATGATATACAGAAGGAGGTCTCGATTGAGACCGCGAAGAAGCGCTTCGAACTGAGATTGGACATGGGCCCATACGATGTGGGCGAATACACCAGGAACGGGCGCGATCTTCTGATTGCGAGCCGCAAAGGGCACCTAGCATGTCTAGACTGGCGCGACGGAAAGCTGGGATGTGAGCTGCAGCTCAACGAAACAATTCGAGATGCCAAATGGTTGCACAATAACCAGTCATTCGCTGTGGCGCAAAAGAATGCTGTCTACATCTACGCGCGAGACGGTGTCGAGATACATCAACTGAAGAAACACCAAGAGCCAGCGTACCTAGAATTCCTTCCATACCACTTCCTCCTCGCCTCCATATCGACTTCGGGTTTCATCCGCTACACCGATACCTCGACAGGTAACATGCTCTCCGAACTCCCCACCAAACTCGGCCCACCCACTTCTTTCTGTCAAAACCCCCACAACGCCATTCTTTTCGCTGGGCACCAAAAGGGCCTTGTCACCATGTGGTCACCAAATACAACCACTCCGCTCGTCAAGATTCTTCCTCATCGCGGACCCGTACGGGCCATGGCTGTCGATAAAAGCGGAAACTACCTCGTCAGCACATCGCAAGACCGGCGCATGAGCATCTGGGACATACGAATGTTCAAGGAGCTCCACTCGCACCATCTCAAACAGCCCGCCCACACAATCTCCATATCTGACCGCAATGTCACCGCCGTAGGCTGGGGCTCTAACCTCTCCATCTACAGCCCTTCCATCTTCTCCCTCTCCCCAGACTCATCCGTACGCGTCCCCACACCCTACATGACCTACTCCGAAAACGGCGTGGCCCTCTCTCGCGCACGCTTCTGCCCCTTCGAAGATGTCCTCGGCATCTCCCACGCCAAAGGCTTCACCTCCATTCTCGTCCCGGGCTCCGGCGAACCCAACCCCGACTCTCTCGAGCCCGGCACAAACCCCTTCGAAACCACCAAGCAGCGCCAGGAGTCCGAAGTCCACGCTCTCCTCGAGAAGATCCAACCCGAAATGATATCGCTCAATCCCAATTTCGTCGGAAACTTGGACCTCGCGTCCGACGAGCAGCGCAGGCGAGAGCGCGATCTCGATGCCAAACCCGAGGATAAGATTGCCGAGCTCAAGAAGCGCAAGCAGAGGGGAAGAAATAGCGCGCTTAAGCGATACCTGAGGAAGAGCGGACAGAAGAACGTCATTACAGATGAGAAGGTCAGGGCGAGGGAGGCTTTGGAGGCACAGAAGGAGAGGAGGAAAGAAAGATACGAGCATGAGAAACAAGAGTTTGGACCTGCCTTGGGGAGATTCGCTAGGAAGTGATGAGGTATTGGCCCGGTAGAATCCGTGAACAAAAAGTCGGTCTTCTTTTCTTTGTCTTGCATCAGCGTTTGGCGTTGTTGGGTCGGAAGGGATACATATGTGTAGACATTTTGGTTGGGGTTTTTTTATGAGGTTTCCCAGATCTCACGACCAATTATATACTTAGTTCCTTTACGGATCCAAAGGTGCTGCTTAGTGATATGTATGCCCTTATGTGAGATAGGGTAATCAATGTCCAAGTAGAAATGCATGAAGCATTCCACTACTTATAGACAGATACACAAATGTACACTGACTCACCCCATCAAACGGCAGATATCACAATCCCAGCCCGTACTCTTCTCACACAAACCACACATATTATCATTCAAAACATTAAACCTAAATACACATTTGATCGTAGTACCCATCAATCATCAAAACCACCCCCACCACCCAGGGGTGACCGCAAAGAAAAAAACAACGCTACGTCCTCAACATGCCCGCGGCAACCAAAATCGCCTGCGCAGTCTTCCCAACCCAAAGCTGCGCCCTGTCGAAATCATCCGCAAACGTCACACTCTCCGTGATAGCCGGATAAGTAACAGGCGCATACCCGGTATCCAAACCCGGCGCAAACAGCAGGTTTTGAAAAAACTCGCGGCCAGGCAAGCCCCCTTGCGAGGTGAAGCCGCGCGAGAAGTCGCGCGCTTTGTGGTTGGTCACGGTGAGCAGTGCGGTATCGTTGGAAGCAATCGCTTGCGCGCGGAGCGCGGAGAATTCCTCTGCGGCGGTCGCGAATGTAGAGATTGCGGATTCTAGGGCGGAGAGGTCGAGAGTCGTTGGTGAGGAGGTTGTGGAGTTTGAGGCGGCGGGGGGTTCGTAGGAGGCGAGTGTTTCCTCGAGGTCTGAGAAGTAGGTTCGGAGTTCTGGGACGTAGTCTTCTGGTTCGAGGGGGAGGACGGGATCGGTGGACATGTGGTAGGCGAGGAGAGTGAGGTACTGGCCGAATGCTTTGTGGGTGTGGAATCCTGGATCGCCGAATGTGGACATCCAGTGGTAGGAGTCGTAGTTGCTGTGGTAGTGGTATACTGGATCGTTGGGGCCCTGCATTTTGGATCTGCTGTTAGAGAGAGGGATGGGGATGGGGATTGGGGAGGGTGACGAACCGGTCCAGCGCCCATGTCTATGGCTGCGATTCCGCGGTGTAGGAAGGCTGTGTAGTCGCTTCCGCTGCCGAGGACACCGATTTCACCACCGCTGATGCTGGTCCAGACGTCGTAGAGCGTGTTGTTGGTTGCCCCGTGGAAGGGGTAGACTACTTTCTTCATGGTGGAGGTTGCAATTCGGTGGAGGTCGGGCGTCGCTGAGAAGTCGGGAATCGGACCGGAAACAGCCACATCGATGTTCAGGTAACTGATTGCAGCTGTCTTAAGCCAGGGGATATATTCTTCGACCCACTCAGTGCTGTTCACGAAAGCTGTCAGTATGATGGAGAACGATGAACTGTCGTGTCAGTGGCTGATAAACTAACCTCCCGACTAGTCCGTACTCTTCTGCGTCCCATGAAGCAAGAACGATTGTTCGCAGGGGCTTCCATCCAGTCTCAGACAAAGCGGAGAAAGCTTTAGCAAGCTCGATCAAAACCGCACTTCCAGAGTTTGGATCCGCAGCGCCACCCACAATCCATGCATCACGGTGGTTTCCAATAACGAGAACCTCATCTTCGTTAGTTCCGTTGATAATACCGACCGCATTCCAGATTGGGTTGTAGGTGTCGTTCATGATGTTGGACATCTGAGTGTATGATCAGCAACCTTGAATAGATACAGCTATCACAAATTGACTGAATGCTGGGAGTATACCTACCGAAAGACGAGCTCCCGAACCCACTCCTGTGCTGTACGTGGCACCTGGAATTGCTCCAACCCATCCTAAAGGCACCTAGTCAGTGTAGTTCACAGTCATGAAATGCTGTGCGGCATTTCGGGACATTTCACATACCGGTGCGGTTAACATCAGTGCCATTTGTACCGTATCCGTTCAAGGCTTGAAGGAGAGGCTGTGCATCAACCCATGAGATGGGTATAGATGGGATATGAGGAACACTCCCACTCTTATCTGCCCGAGGCGAGTCATGCTTTGAAGTATAGCCTGGCGTCGTGGGGTCTCCGGGATAAATACTAAGGAACTGAACACTACCTCTTTGCACAGAGGAAGGGTTCCTAGCGGGCCCATTAGGGTAAGCCTCGATGCCCTTGGCTTCGGTCATATTACCATCATCAGCGGGATCGACGAAGAGAACAGCGCCGATCATGCCGTGCTCCTGGGCATTCTTAACTTTGAGACCTCGGAAGGGTCCACCGTATTTGGCCAAGGCAATCTTGCCCTCGAGCTCGACACCCAGAGCCTCTAGGCGGTTGAAGTCGACCTGTTGTCCACGGCCTACGTAGACGTATTCGGCTGATGCATTGCCGGTAAAAGAGTAGCCGTGGAAAGTAGGGATGCGGTCAGGGTAGCTCGATGTGTCATCTTCCTCCAGTACGTCTTCGGTGAGCGAAGCAGTATGAACGGAGCCATTCGCATAAGTCAATGAGAGCGAGTGGGATACCGGGTAGTTGAGAAAGACATCTGAAAGGGTCAGTGCTTTGTTCTTAGAAGATCAATTAGTAAGATACTCACAGTACTCGTCTAGTCGAGACGCGAACCCATATTCAGTCCACTTGTCAGCTGTCCATTGAGCCATTGTCTTGTTCAGACCAGCAATATGATTGCCATGAGCTAAGCTGATGGTTAGCGTACCTGGAAAAAAGAAGGCATTGGGAGCAATACTCACTGTAGTAGTATGACCATTCTGAGATGGAGGTGTTGTCGAAAGAATTGATCAAGATTTGCTCATTGGCATCGAGAGCTGGAGGGAAAGCGGCGGTAGTGTCTTGTCTCTTGACATGACGATGCCCGTGAGCAAGATTCAAATCACGCTGACACGCCTGAGCGCCAATTGCACCCAACAGAACGAGAATAGACTTCATGGCACAATCAAGGGGAATGAGGATGCTCCGGAAAGGATAGCAGGCGATAGGCAGCAGCGGGGCATAGGTTGAGATTTAAGCAGAAAGCAAGCAGCAACGAATAGCGAGTGGGATCAAAGCGGGATAACGTCAATGGCATGGGTGGTGATAGCTAAGGCGCCTTTGCGGCTCCCAAGGTGAAGGACAAGCAATAGAGAACAGGCATAGCTTCCAGAAGACAGGGAGCTCGAGGCTGAATGAGGCAGGTGGGTGAGGTGTGAGGGCGGGGCACAGCTGTTCGATATCGCTTGGCCTTGCCATGATGACGGTTAGTCTTGGGCAACAAAGGCGATGCGGGAGCTGAAAAGTGGGCATTGATGGTGGGAAACCTGGTGTTCGTCCGGTCAAGAATTTTTCCACTCCGGGTGGACCCGTTAGGCCTCAAGATACGGGACGATTGGTGATGTAAGAGGTATTCCGATCTCAAAAGTGCTCGGCATCGTTACTTGGATTGGATATAGCGGCGTACAGCTATATAATAATGTGATGACTATTATCGAGGTACATATGTACACAGATGATACGATGAACTGTGAAAGTAACAATGGTGGGTGTGAATGTACAAACTTTGGATATACAAGAAGTTTGCTGTACGCGAGATGTGATTGGAAAGTCATTAGCTAGCCATCCGGAAAAGAATTGCGGATATACGAGAGCGATGATGATAGAGTTGAGCAACGAGCGGGTTGGCGTAAGCTCAACGTGGGGTAAGAAGACTGAGGATTGCGGAGTAATAGCAGCGCTAGCCCGATTGGGCACAGGCGTAGGTTCCTCGGTATAGACATTGAAGATGTCTAATGTGTGCGTCGATGATGTAACAACGTGTAGCAGTCGGCGAGTAAAGATAGTTGGGCTGGAGAATTACGGAGCATTTCTTTTGGAATGATCTTGAAAAGGCTGAGTACTCAGTCACGGTCGGAACAATCATCTGGTAGCGGTTCCCACGGCTGATCCAAGCATTCAAATGTTCAAAAGTTGGGTTGAACGAGGATGAGCCGTTTCGAGCATGAAAAAACATGCGTACCCGTTCATTGATGCAAACTCCTGAATCCACATAGGCATGCACGAAAGGACAGATGTTGCAGTAATTTTTCTCGCCGGTGAAATTTGCGATGCAAAAAGACGCGACGAAGAGGCCCACAATTCATATTGGCAGCAGCTATCGGACGAAGACATATTGACGACCTGGGTTCGGGAGTAACAGGTCTCGGATGTTTTTCATCAACCGCAGCAGACATGAGTCGATGAATCCAGGCCGATGGATGTCACCATGAAGACATTTGTGCATCTTGTACAAGAACATGTACGTCGGTTGGCTGCGAGACAGATTGGTGGCTGGCTCTACATACAAAGTAACAAGCAGTAGAATGGACCCCTGAAGTCTTAGCGAACGCGATCTAGTCTTGAAACAGGCACCGTGTTTATCTGCGACTCCGCGCCAGCGACGGGCTTACTATCTTTTTAATTGCCATCTCTCCCCGGCTGTTTCGCACCAGACATGACATTTGACATGATTCATTGATACATGTATGACATCGATGGATCACCAACCCACCACCGTTCTACACAGGTAGCCCAGCGGGAGGAGAGTCCTTACTAACCCGCAGCATACACCTCATCATCAGCATCATCCATCATCACCACCACCAATAATCCGCCACCCTTCAACACTCAGATCCACCAATAAAGCCACCGCTGGCGTCACCGGCGCTGCTACCACGCAAACAAACAAACATCCGCCCCTCCTTTTCTCGTCCTTAGCATGCTTTCTTACAAAAGGTCGTGAATGTTGGGTACCATCGCGCCTGTCTCTCCCGGCCGCATGACGTCCTCCTTCCCCTTCTTCAAAACCTCAGTTACTCACGACGACCGCCCAACATGCTCTCCAGTCCGCCGCGTCTTCTGGCGCCCACCTCCTCGCCCTTTCGCCCTCCATCCCCCACCATGTCGCCCAGCGGGAGACGGCACCGCTCCCATGCCACATCGGATGAGACCCATCTCCGCCAGCTGTCTCCCGAACTCACCCTGCGCGCCTTCACCCAACAGCCCATGCCCTTCGACACTTCTCGCGACGAATACAAAATTTTCGCCTGCATTCACACCCTCACCCCCGCCGAACGAGATCTGGGCGCCCGCGTCGCCAAAGCAGCACAGCGATTAAAGAGCTGGACCAGCGAGCTTGCACAATGGAAGTGGTCCGGCTCTTTCCAGCCGCCCAGCGAACAATTCCGCGAGCAGCGCCGCAAGAGCCTAGAGCTGCGCATCCGCGAGCATATCAGAAACCCGGATGCTTCTCAGGTCCCCGTGCTCGAATACTGGGGCTCCATGCTGTCCGTAGAAGTGGAGGCACACGAGGCGCGCTTGGATGAGATCAGTGACGAACTCATACACCTGGATATTGAGGAGCTCAAGGAGCATGTGCTGGACATGCACCCTTCAGGCAGGTCACCTACGCCTTCGGCCAACGTGGAGTCCAGCCGCCGCGCGTACACCCCCGTCGACGATTTCAGCTTTCTCATCACCCAAACCCTTCTATCTGCGCTGCCCCACCATTTCCTACTCAAGGACCGGTTGAGCACCTGGACCGCCCGGGTCACCATTCTTCGCGAGGCGCCACGTTTCTTGGAAGACTTGAAAACTACACAGAAAGCCATGCGATTAGGATGGAAGACGCTCAGCGCTCCCGAAGATAATTCAGATGCCGCCTTTTCCACGTGGAAACATGCCGTAGATACCGTTTCCGAAGTCCTACGTACTAGGACCGGTTCTTTGGGTCATCTGCTAGATAGGTGGCTGGATACATTAGAAGGCCGTGACGATTGCTTGCCGGACGAGTGGATCGATAAGTTTGAGGGACTAGAAACCGAGTTCACCAGATGGACCCAGGATGCACATGCAAGGAGTATTGTATTCGATGTGCGACGAAACACACCGAGGGATACCAGGGTAGATTCCGGATCTAATCTACGGACCCCCTCGCTCGAACATGGTCCAACAGAAGACGAGTCCCCCATGGAAGGCGCGGTAAATGACCCCGCTTCTATTGCCAGTACACAGAAGGAGGAAACGCGCATAGCCACAGCCTACAAAAGCGATATTCCTCAACTATCGTACACAGTTCCCGAGGAAAATGGCACCGAGGACAATAATTTACCGAATAACTCCGATGAGGACTCTGTCTTTGAGGAAGGCGACACCGTGATTCACAACGACCTGGAAGAAAGCTTTGTGGAAGACGATCGATCACAGCTGGGACCCGATTCATCATTCATCTCCTTCACTGACGAGGCGGACGCCGGGAGTGTGAAGCGCCCAGAAACACCAACCTCTCGACGTAGCAGCATTCACTCCATCACTTCCGACATGGATGTCTCGTTTTCGTCCAGTCCTCCTGACGATGCTATGGACGAATCGCCTTCTGCTAATCGGGCTGTTCGAGCGCCACGACCTGCTCTCAATGCTGCAATGCGCAAACGTCGCACGAATAGGGAGTCCGCTGATACATTTGTTGAAAGCGCCCCATGGCCACCCACACAATTTTCTCACAAGGCCCCCCATACCGCCGATGATCTTGAGAGCAAGATCTCTGATATCTTGACGACTATCCCGGCCTACATTCGCTTGACAACGGGCGCTGGAAAGGAAGTTCGGAATGCAAAGTCTGCTCGTAGAGTGACAAGTAAAAGTAGTAGAGGTTACTTGCGCGCTCAGAGTTCTTATAGCAGCATGAAGTCACCCGAACTTACTTTGTCGCCTGCGAAAAATGACCCGGACTCAAACGCTTTCTCGGGTCGCAAGTCGACGTCAGCATTGCGTGCTGACAACGACATCAAGTTGTATCACTTGACTCAGCCTGGCAAAGAGAAGCCACAGAAATTGTTCATTCGTCGTGTCGGGGAGAACGGAGAGCGGGTGATGGTCCGAGTAGGCGGTGGCTGGGCAGATCTTGGCGAATACCTGAGGTCGTATGCGGAGCACCATGGTCGTCGGACCGTTAGCAGTGACAAGTTTGAGATTCTGGGTCTAGAGATCCCAAATTTCGAGTCTACACCCAGTCGTCCAGGGAGTGTGATGAGTAGGGGGGACAGACGGTCTAGCGGAACTCAGGCAGGCAGCACTCGTACCACGCCAGTGAAGTCGTTCGAGTCTACCATCTCGACTGAAGAACCACCACCACCTATGCCGGATTTTACACCCGCCGCACATACCGGCGGTATCGACGAAGCATTGGCCTCGTCCACCGGCTCTGCCAAGTCGTGGCAAGGGAACGAAGTCGGGCTTGCAGGACCTAAAGCGAGAAAACTCGATCTCAGCGACGATAAGCTAGAATGGGTCGACAGCATGATGAAGCAGGCACGAAGTGTCAGTGGCAGTACCATCCCCAAACCAAGCATACAGCAGACCGATCGAGTGGGTGGGACAAGCCGGAACGAAAGTCGCACAGAGAGCCGCAACGGATCGCGGATTGCTAGTCGCAACGGAGGGCCGAAGAAGCAGCAGAGCCAGGAGTTTGGTACTCTGGGCAAAGTCGGAGGGACGAAGCGAATTTTCTTGCGCGGTGGCGCATTGAACGAGCATTAATCGCTAGGGCAGCCCGACGGGTTATTTACAGGAGTTGCTTTCGTTGTTTGTTGTTGTATAAGAAGGAAGCATCTGATACCCCACACCTTAGATGTCTTAATCGGCACATATTTTAATTTGTCTTTCTCGTTATTGGGATTCATTAGGGCTTCTAGATATTCTTACCTGGCGGGCAATGGGTGAGATATTCCATATGGTTAGTGAACCGGCGTTACATACCCCACTGGTTTCGGTTTATATTGCAATAGATTGTATGTATGTAAACCTTGGCGTAGCATGCGTATGTTAGATGCATTACTTTTGAGCGTTCATGGTCTCTTGAACGAAGAGGCGGGTAGAAAGAGGAGTTGTGTTTCGAAAATTAAGACCCGACTTTGTGTTTGAGCATTACTAATTAGGACGACTGAGAGAATATATTGGAAAACGCTGGGTGTATCTAATAGCTTGTGAATATGTAGAAGATGCGTGTAGATAGATGTCAGACGCCTTGTATTTATTTAGTATGGAGCAGGGGTCGGCAACAAGTAAGCTTCACTGATTAGGCAGCTACCGGCAAACGAGCTTCGATCCCACATCCACCCCTTCATATCTGATAGCCATAATTTGCAAGCCCAGTGGAACGTTGTCCTGAGAGAAGTCTTGTAAAAAATCACATCATGTATAGTCAGTCTATCCGCCTGCTGCGCTTCTCGATGACCCACGATGGCAGATTCACTGGTCGCCTAACCGTGTTTCCGCTTGCGGAGGCACCGCCTTTCTACACCGTCTCGTACACTTGGGGCAAGGACAAGGAATCAAACACAACAATCGACTTGGACTCGATAGAACTCCCTGTACTCCCAAATCTCGTACCCTTCATGCGCATGGTATCTCAGCACCCTGATTTCTCAGACAACCAGTGGTGGTGGATCGACTCGCTCTGCATCAATCTCACGGACATCCGCGAGCGCGAACAGCAAGTCCAGCTCATGGCCAACATTTACAAAAGATCCAGAAGCGTAATTGTGTGGCTGGGCAACGAAGTCGAGCCAGGGAGCGATTGCACACAAGCTCTCGACTTCTTGCTCTACCTCAGCACTCTTCCGCTTTCGCCGTCGTGGTCGTCCAACCCTGCAGCCAGAGAAGACCAGAACACTATTCGTCAGGCTCTTCGCGATCCAAGATATAGTGCGCAATGGAATGCATTGAGCAATCTACTCTCTAGGCCATGGTGGTCTCGCGTCTGGACTCTCCAAGAGTTTGTCCTGCCCGCAAAAGGCAGGATCTGCTGTGGTACTGAGAGTATGGGTCGCAGCAAATTCAAGAGCGCCATCTACAAGATCTATCAGTGTAGCTTGCAGATTAATCATCAGATGTACGACCTGATTCCAAGGAGTGTCTTTGATTCTGCATTCAACAGGCGGAGGATCCATCAATGGCATGGCAGTCCTGACGCGAGAGGCATTAGTTTGGTCGCTATCATGGCGTACATGGGAAACCAGCTTGCAACTGACCCAAGAGATAAGATCTACTCTGTTCTCGGCCTGATAAACGCTAGAGATCGAGCGATGGTGGGAATTCCAGAGTACACGTTCCCTGTGCAGACGCAATTTGCAAGGCTTGTTCGCTCTTTCTGGGAACAGTACTCTAGTCTGGACATCATCTGCTTTTCGCATATCTTTAGCAGATACTCCGACTCTTCTCCTATTGTCTCCACGCTGAGAGTGGATGAAGAGACAGATGATTGGCCATCGTGGTCACCAGACTGGAGAGTATCCATCGATTATATAAGTCCGGTGCCTCTCCTGGCAAGCCAAAGTGCGAGCGAGCACGTGGGAAATTTTAGACCGTTGCACTCTCCTACGTGGAACGCTGCTTATGATGCTCCTGGTCCCTATCTTCGAAGTAGGGCACGCGTCGAGTTCGACGTCGACCTCACTGAGATCTCGTGTCACGGTGTTATACTAGATACGATTGGCGAACTGGGATCGTTGGAGGGTTGCGAGACAAGATGTAAAAGCTTCATATGTGCTTCCGATAGACCGTTCCACGGTATACTGAACGGGCAAGACCAACTTACAAGACCTTCTGGAAGAGAAGGGGGAGACGAAGACCCCCTTGCCCTCGTCACCGCACTTACCCGCTCCCTCTCCCTCGACCGACGAGACAAATATCTCTGCTTCTCTGCACCCATAGAGATATATGTCTCCGAATTCCTAGAAGCGTGCTACGCCTGCCTCTCCACTTCCGCCAACCACACACGCGCCTCTTCCTCCCCAATCGACCCAATCTTTTCAACATGGCTCACCGCAAACCTCCCCCTCCGCCTTAACAACTCGCACACCTTGTACTCCCTCCTCAGATCCTCTACCTCCATCCCACGCACCATCCCCTCAAGAACCCCGGTTAAACCCGCATCAAGACCCTTCCAAAGAGCCCCCTCAGACCTAGAAGACCCAGGGTCAAACCCAGAATCTAACCCCGACACCTTCCTCTCCCGCTTCCTAGACACCACTACCAAGAAATCGCGGCGTGTCATGGTCACGCGTGCGCACCGCTATATCGGTATGGCTCCGTGCCGGGCGAGGCTTGGTGATGCGATTGTGGTGTTGTACGGGTGTAGTATCCCTTTGATTTTGAGGGAGTGCGGAAAGGAGAAATGGAGGGTTGTGGGTGAGGCTTATGTCAGTGGGTTTATGAACGGGGAGGTTGAGGGGGGGTTGTTGGAGGGAGGATTTACGGGAAGGAGGTTTAGGGTTATTTAGATGGAGAAATCATTCTATGGGGTTGTTTGTGCGCACGGATTTAGTGGTTGGGATGATGGATATGTAAGTTGCCGTGGGATTACTGGCGGGAGCTTTGTTGGCTATTGTTCAGTGCTCTCTGTTTTTTTTTCTCGTTCGCATTCTTAGGAAAGGTATATACAATCATTTATCGCAAGCAGTGCTGGCCTTGGAAAGGATATTATCATTTATTGGGGATTTGCGGAGTGTGGAGGGTCGGTTAACATCGGAATATAAAGTCGTAGTTGCAGGTAAGTACAGGGGGTTGCGCATCGGGGTGCGCTACATCGGTCGCCTGTAGTCATCATCGATCGATGATTCTACTCAACCAGCACATATCAACTGCAGAACGCGCATATGCCTTGAGGTTTCGAGCGAAATGTACGCGGTATTATGAGCTCTCCATCGTGATGTGCTCTTTTGTTTTCCTAACGATTCAGAAGAAACCCTGTATATAGACCATGAAAAACAAGACTTATGATCTAGGTCAAGAATCGACGTACTTTGCATATGCACATTCGCATTGCATTGCAGCAATTTGTTGGTGGCTCATGAAACTAACGCCGACCCTTCACCTTTTCTTCTCTTTGTTCGTTATCGATCTGGACCCCATGCCGTATAATGTACGTGATTGCATCGAACAAGCACGATTGCAGCCACATAGGTAATAAAATTAAGAACTGTTTCCATGTTCCCTCTCGCCCTTTACCAAGCTCTTAAAGTGAGTGTTTTTGACTCATCCCAGAGTGACTAAGTGCCCAGCAACATCAAAATAATTGATTAATAGCACCACCACCTGCTCCATGACGCCATCCACACGCAGCTTAGTGAGTGGACGCCCTACGCGCCCTACCCTATACAACCGTAGAAAACACTCGCCTGGCTGACAATCTTTCTGTGGGGTTCGGTTGGTTCGTAAAAGAGCTGCTAAGTATCGTAAGGATTAGTGGCGTGCCTATACGTGCACACACCCACACCGCCGCTGGCTCCCCCACTTTGAAGATTTATAAGTCGGAATAGATGGAAAAAAAATCCCCTTGGACTTATTAATCCCGACTTGCGACGTCTTTTTTTCTCTTTCCTCGTGGAATTCTTTCCTTAGCTTCGCACTTTCAAACAACGACTTCCCCTTCCTCGCGGAGCTGTCTGGCTCTTTTCGTTGTTCCCGTGTTCGTCGGCAAGGAAAAATAGAAGGAATTGGGTGTGCGATCGACTCGGAATGAACGCCGTGGCTGACGAGCAACGGCCGTTGCTCGGGCCTATCCTGGAGGACCCTGAAGACGTGATTTCGATTCGCCATTATGGTTCTACTGAAGCTGTGGAGTTTGAAGTTGGCGATCCCGAGGACCCTCGACAGTGGACGAAGCGATTTCGATGGGGGATAGTGTTCATGCTTGCGTTTATGGCATTTACAGTGTAAGTCGTGAACCTGATTCATCTGCGCACGTACATCCATGCAACTGGCCCTACCGATTGAGGAAGAAAGAATGATACAAGGTTGGTGGTTGAGCAATAGGGATTAACTATTTTTTATTTCAGGACATTTACTTGTATTGGCGTTGTACCAGTCGCTTCACGCATTGTGGAGGATCTCGCGGGCCCCAATGAATCGACATCATCAACCAGCGCGCTCCTGGTTACGATCTGGGAACTTGGTGAAGCCGCTGGCCCGCTCTTGATCGCTCCTCTCTCTGAATTGTTCGGTCGCTATCCTGTCGTCAATGTGTGCAACTCATTTTTCATCATCTTTACGCTGTTGGCTGCCACGAGTGGGAACACCACACTTCTCATCGCCGTTCGCATGTTGACCGGAGTAACTGTCGCATCCAACGTATTGAATCCAGCTATTATCGGGGACCTGTTCGACAGCGAACATAGAGGCAGTGCCATGTCTCTGATCATGTTGGCCCCGTTGGTTGGAGGCGCGATTGGACCACTGATCAGTGGAACCATTGCTCAAACGCTAGGATGGAGATGGATCCTCTACATGGCTGCCATTCTAGCAACAAGCTGTGAAGTGCTCTTCCTCACCTGCTTCCGCGAAACCTACAGCCCGCGCATCTTGAGAAAACGTTCGCAAAAGCTAGTACAAGAGGGAAATGGCTTCGAACCCGCTATCACCGAAAAAGATGCGCACTCAAGCATCAAGAAACTCGCCCACGCCATCACACGACCATTCACCGTCTTATTCGGCTCCAGCGTCCTCATGCTGCTCTGCCTATTCGCATCCGTCTCCTTCTCGTACTACTACGTCATGTCTGTTACCCTCGCGGATATCCTCACCGACACGTACCACTTCACGCCCGCGCAAACCGGCTCAGCGTTCATGTGCATCAGCTTAGGCTCTTTGCTCGCCGTCGTCCTCTCCAACGTCGCCCTCGACAGAATCGCAATCTACCTCCAAAACCGCTCTGCGCGCCGGACCACCGACGACACCGCGACCGCCCCGTCATCTCTCCGTCCGGAATACCGTCTCCCTCTTACCATTTTCGCCGCCGGTCTCCTCCCACTGGCCATCGTTCTTTACGGGTGGATCGCGCAACTCCACCTCCCCGTGCCGCTATTTCTCTTTTCGATCGGGCTACTTGGTTTTACGTTGCTGTTGACAATTGTTCCCGTCTCGGCTTACATCGTCGATGCGTTCGGGGAGTTTGCGGCTAGTGCCATGACGGGTCTTATCGTTACTAGGTGTTTGGTGGGGACCTTTTTACCGCTTACAATTGGGCCGTTGGTAGATGCTTTTGGGTGGGGGAAGTCGTTTACTTTGCTTGGGGGTGTGAGTTTGGTGCTAGGGATTATACCGGTCTTGGTTATGTTTAAGGGGGAGAAGTGGAGAGGTGCATAATCTGATGAGATTTGGAAGTACGTCGTAGAAGAATTAGATGGGAGGAGGGTGGAAGGTAGGGAATGGAAACGGGCAGGTTGTATGAGCTTTAATGTTTCCCATGATTTGGCATTCTCTGGAGCGTTTGTTTGGATTTTTGGGTTGGGTTATATTTAGATGGCGTAGCTAGGAAAATAATTATGCAATCATGAAATACTGACTTGAAGTTGAACTTACCGTTGGCAAAGCCCCCCAATCGGTCATCAATAGTGCTCAAAGAGTGATCAGATACAAGTCCACTTAAACCGGCGACGAAATATGAATATACAAAAACCGCGCGATGCAAAAGCAAACCTATGACTTCATCCCACGAAGAAAAACCACGCAGAAGTCTAAACATGCAGCTTGCGGGGGTACCTAAGGCCATCCATTGGCAATATACATGTCGAATGTACCTCATGCATCTACCTACTACCCATCAGGCAGGTGAAAAAAACAACCCAATGCATAAAACGAATCACACCTACACGGCAACGCAACTATCCACAGAATTCGCCATGCATATGTTCCACCATCGTCATCTCCCGCAGAACCTCGCTCCACCCACAAACTACCCTTCCCCGCAGGAATGATTTCCCCTCTAGGACATCTATCCACAACCTTTTCTCTACACCCCTTAGGCGAATCTGCAGTTTACATATAACCGACCAATAAACGTGCAAACGATCCTTGCTACTCCCCGCATCTGGCTACGTCGAGTACGAGCGTATTGAATGATTGATTGGAATGCTTCCTCCCATATTGGATCTACGTTTTGCAGTTACGTAGGGGTAAATGCGGATTTTATGTGTGTATTTCCTGGTGGGGATACGAGGATCGAGCCATTGAGGAAGGGGTTTGGGAGAGAGCATATATTATGTACGTGCTGTCGCTGACAGTATGTTATTGTTTCCTGAAGGTTCCTGCATTTGTTTTTGTCCAGGGGCAATCTTCGACCTCAGCGTCTCTTTATCCTTGAACAGTGGAAAGGGGGTAAAACGTGACGACAGAACTCAATTGGAGTATATGCTAAGCTCCAATTGAACGCGCCTCGCTCTTGAAAGTTGAACAAAACGACAAGATCAACCAGCCGATATGACAAGAATGGCACTCCACACGACTATCCTGCTCTTCGCGAGCAAGCTAGCTCAAGCGCAGCTTGCCAACACTACCTCGACCACCTCCACACAACCCACTCCCACCGCCATAACACCATGGAACGTAACACACTACGGCGGCACCGTAAACATCACCAACAATCTAGCCGCTACTCCGCCCATGGGTTGGAGCTCATGGAACCACTATGGCCCGGACATCAACGAAACCGTAGTCCGCGACACCATCGACGCAGTCGAGCGTCTAGGCCTCAAAGACGCAGGCTACGTCTACATCAACATCGACGATGGATGGCAGCGGTACAAGGGGTCTCGGGAGGAACACCCGCTTGAAGTCGACCCTGTAAAGTTCCCGAATGGGATTAAGGGTGTTGCGGATTATGCGCATTCCAAAGGGTTCAAGTTGGGGATTTATAGTGGGCCGGGGGTGGATACGTGTGCTGGGTATACGGGGAGTGAGGGGCATGCGGAAGAAGATGCTAAGTTGTTCGCGGAATGGGGAGTAGATCATTTGAAGTATGATAGTTGTTGCTCGCATGGGTACGTTTTGGGATCCTTTTCATCTCCTTACCTTTTTGGTAATGGGATCTTGACTGACCTTCTGTAGAACTGCACCACAGGCCGAAGTCCAACAGGTCATGCTCGACATGAGTAACGCGCTCATAGCCACGAACCGCTCCATCGTTTTCCACGCGTGCCACTGCGGATGGGTCAATGTGTGGGAATGGGCCGCTGAAGAAGGTGCGAATCAGTGGCGTATCGGACAAGATATTTCCGACGATTTCAATTTTGTCGGAAATCGCGAGAAGTACTACTTCGATGTGCTGGACATGGTGGATCGAGGGAACGAAGTGGCGCAGTACACAGGACCAGGCCACTGGAACGACTACGATATGCTAATCGTAGGGCTAAACGGTGAGAGCAAACAGCTCGTTGGCACAGGATTGTCGGATATCGAGTATCGGACGCACTTCTCCCTCTGGGCTTTGGCCGCGAGCCCACTGCTCATCGGGGCGAATGTCGCGAACTTGTCCCAGTACAATCTTGCTACCCTTTCAGCCAAGGAGATAATTGCTGTGAACCAGGATCCTCTCGGTGCTCCCATGTATTTGCAGTGGTCTGCAAAGGACAATAGCACGCAGATCTATGCGAAAGCGCTGAAGGACGGCGCAATGGCAATTGCGTTATTGAACCGAGGTGGTGAGCCTGCGATGATAACGGTGAGTATGCGTGAGCATCTGACGGTACCTTGGGATGTATACAAGTTGAGGGATCTGTGGAAGGGGCAGGATAGAGGTCCTTATGATATTCCGTTCACGACGGAAGTGAGGAGCCATGAGGCGAAAGTGTATAGAGTTGAACAGGTGGCTTGTACCGTAGGATGTTGAGGAGAGGTTAATTTAGTCGGTGCAAACCAATTTCTCTCCAGGTGTATATTCACTTGAGGTGATGTTATTCGAAATGGACTATTAATTAGCTGTAACTTGAGTTGTGTTCATGCCCCCTTAGTGTTATAGGTAATGTGGTGATAGATCTTAGAGCCCAAACAGCAGACACTTCGTAATAGAGATGAGAGAGAGAACCAAAGTGTGAAAAGTTGCGATACGAGCCCCTAACTCATATATATGATCTTCAAGTTGAACAATTGATGGTAGAAGGCGAGGGGTAGGGAATTGATGCATCTCGGCAAAACCCCGGCATCGCGGCGGTGGGCTGTCCGCTGCGAAGTGTACCTAGCTTCCACGTCAATGGACGCCGCCCATCACGTCGCTTTCACTCCTCACACAAGCCGCCCATTGACACGATGCTCGTTTCTCTCACCGTCGGCAAGGTCGATGCCGGCGTTGCTGTGCTTCTGACCGAAGATAAACGTCTGGTATGATGCCTCATGCCCGCAATTGCGCCGTATACAAAGATACCCCTGCAAGCCATTCATACAAGGGAACGACTGACTGACTGACTGATGCTATGTCTGTAGATCGAGTTCCCTTCCATTCTTCTCCCGCCAGATATCTCCTCCGGCAGCATAGTAGACATCACCGTTTCACGCAATCACGACAAAGAATCATCCTCCGCCGCCGCTTTTCACGCTCTGCAATCCAACATCTACCGCACCTTTGGTCAGCGCACCCCCTCTGCGCCCATTCTACGATGTCGCAATGCCACACAAACCTCCGTCGTACTGGAATGGGACCCCATTGATATTGCTACGGCTGAGTTGCGCAGTCTGACCTTGTATCGCAATGGCAGCAAGGCTGGGACGATACCCAAGCCCACCGAGGTGCACAGCACCAAGCTGAGCGGTCTTGCCGTGGACACCGAGTATCAGTTTCACCTGGTCCTAAGAACAAGCGCAGGCACGTACAGCAGCGAAAAGATCAAAGTACAGACGCACAAGATGACGGATCTCTCTGGTATTACCATCACACCAGGCCACATGCCCGCCACACTCCGAGAATCACTGCAAAAATCTGTCGAACGCATAGGCGCTAAGATTGTCGACACGGTCAGAATCGATACCACCCACTTCGTGTGCACCGAGGGCCGCGGCCCGGCGTGGGAGAAGGCAGTCGAGAACAATATACCCGTCGTGGTGCCGGATTGGATCAAGGGTTGTGAGAGGGATGGTAGGATCGTCGGTGTGCGAGGATATTATCTCAATGCAGACCCGCGGTTGCGACAGATTGGTCCAGGTGGAGCGCCAGGCCAAGGGCCGCCCCAGCAGGTGACGAGCCCAAGGACCGAAGTCACCCCTCCTACTCCCGAGAGGCCCACTCGCCAAAGAGAAGAGGATAATTCTGCGCCCCCTCCGCCGCCCCCTCCCAAGGATCATGAAGATGAGAAGAGCGACACATCAACCCCTCCCGAACCGAAGACTCAAACAGAGGAGCAGAAGGTGAGAACGGAGGATCTAAAGCCGACTGCTGGAGATTCTGAAGACGAGAGTGACGACGAAGATGAACAACCGAGTAACGAGAAGGGATCATCGTCTGATGCAGACTTACCATCACGCGAAAAACCACCGCCTCCCACCGTAGAAGAGGACGAGGACGACAAGGGCAAGTTTGAAGAGGTTGCATTTTGAGCAGTAAACAATAATCCTTTACTTCGATTCTTTAGCGTGGGGCGTCGGACGGACCGCACAGCGAGTGTGAACTTACGTCTTGTAATTCAGAGCCACCAATAAATTCTGTATGCGCATTCCCAACATGAATCAGTCCTGCAACCACTCAATGCCTGAAAGTCAAGTAGTTTCATATTCGCTTCCGGTAATTGGACAGCTCGCTTTCCCCAGCTTCGCCTATTGAAGCGACCTGACCACAAAAGAAGCGATGAGAAGCTCTGAGTGGCGCTGTCACAGTAAGCTGAGTAGCTTGACGAAAATGCTCGTCTTGGGGTTTGTCCCGCTCGCAGGGTTCAGACTAGCTTATTCGAACCATTCAGGTCAAAATGCACGATGCGGACGAAAAGTAGGGATGCGATGGCCTATTATAATGCTTGTTTACACTGCCCTACGCTGTCATAAATTAGTGCTCCTGATCACATCCCTCGAAAAGTATTATCAAGTAAACAGCTACGCCACATTGGATGCTGTCGGATGTTGCAAGCCAGAAAGGCATCGTCACCAGGTGACTACTTTACTTCACTACTCCATCTCAACGATTTCCCAATCCGGAATGATATGCCTACTCCAGGTCTCCTCTTTTCCCTCCATGTTCGTACTACCCAATGCCTTATCATTATTGTCTGATCAGTCGGCCGTATAGTATTGAATTTTTCAGTCGAAGCTTTCCTTTCCACTACAAGGATCGGGAGAAGACGCATCTGTCTCACACCATCGCCCACGTAATGTGATCAGTCAACGACGGCTGACCACCCCTTTGCGGGAACATGAGAACGATTACTCCAATGGAAAACCTCATCTTACGTGCGAAAACTCACGCCCCATCAGCAGAGCTTTTTGATTGTGATGGAGGATCGCCTAAATCAGGCACATGTGTAAGGGTCGGCAGGTCCGGTCTGCTGTATGTGAATGGAAAAGCGGTCCAGTTTAGCCCTGCGACCAATAGAGCATCTTTCACCGCTTGGAAATAGTGGGCAAGATGCCCTTGAAGGTTGGTAATCTTCCAGCAGGATGGTGATGATGGGCATGAGCTCGCGAAGGTTCATATCCTATTCGTCCCTAGGGGGACAGTAGCTCTGCTGAGCCATTTCAGGCATGTTCGCCTTTACCGATACTCTAATCAAGATAGAGCATTTTCGTACTTCGAGAAAATGGGCAAATATATAAGGTGAATAGATCAGGCGGCGATCTGACTGTGTCATTCATTCATCCCGTTGTTTTTCACACCGATCCATTTCACTGCCGCCATGTCTAAGAAGAAGATTGAGTATGAGATTGAGTATGAGCATCATGCACGTTACGATAGAATGGTTGGGCGCATGAAAAGACATGAGTATCCGATGCTTAAAGGTGCACCACTACATCTAGAACACAAATGTGCTGCCAGCTAACCCATACCGGTAGGCATCACCTACCTCGACTATGCTGGAACTGCTCTCCCCTGCTCGTCCCTCATCCAAGACTTTTCAGAGCAGCTGAACAAGCGCCTCATATCCAACACTCACTCCGCCTTAGCTTGGACCCCCACTTCGCCTCAGGCTATCGTTGATACTACAAGGCGAGATGTTTTGGCACTGTTCAATGCCAGCCCAGCACACTGGGAAGTTGTCTTCACATCCAACGCCACAGGTGCAGTCAAACTCGTGGCCGAAGCTCTCGGTGGCCACGAGGAAGGCTTTGACTACTACTATCATCGGGACTGGTGAGTTGGAATGAGTCACGGTAACTTGGACACACCAAAAGTTGACAACCCCCAGCCATACAAGCTTAGTAGGAGTGCGAGAACTGGCGTCCAACAGCCATTGTCTTACCTCGGATCAAGAAACGGAAGCATGGCTAGATTGTCCCGACAATTCTTCAACCCGACCAACCCTTCTCGCATACCCAGCCCAATCTAACATGAATGGTCGTCGACTCCCGTTGCACTGGTCATCCCGCATCCGCGAGTCCACCGGCCACGCAAACTCGTACACCCTTCTCGACATCGCGGCTCTCGCGTCTACTACCTCCATCGATCTCAGTAACCAAGCTACCGGCCCAGACTTCCTAACCCTTTCTTTTTACAAAATCTACGGCTTTCCCGATCTGGGCGCCCTCATCGTCCGCAAATCCGCATCCCACCTCTTCTCTAAGCGCCGCTACTTCGGAGGCGGCACAACCGACTCAATCTCGAAGTCATGGGTGCTTCGGAAGTCCACCTCCCTGGCCGCGAGCCTGGAAGACGGTACACTACCGACCCACAATATACTCGCGCTGCAATGCGCGATCAAGACCCATGCCAGACTCTATGGAGGTCTCAGTAGTATCTCCCAGCACGTCTCCTGGCTGGCGCAAAGCCTTTACTCGCAGCTCTCCTCGCTGAGACACGCCAATGGCCAGCCAGTATGCACCATCTACAAAGACTCGTCATCTTCTTACGACGATTCTAAAACTCAGGGTGGGGTCGTGGCGTTCAATATCTTCGATGCCTTTGGTAAGTGTTTTCCTACATCCCGCGTCGCAGCCCTCGCACTCCAGAATGGTATACACCTCCGGGCCGGAGGCTTATGTAACCCGCAGGGCATGGCACATGCGCTGGGGTTCTCTGACGAGCAGGTGTACGAGGCGTTTGAGGCTGGGTATCGCTGTGGGCAGGATGCGGGGCCTGAGGGTCGTCCTTTTGGAATGGTGAGAGTGAGTTTGGGAGCGTCTAGTGTGATGGAAGATGTTCAAGTTTTTATAGAGTTCATTAGACGGGAGTTCATGGGACAGAAGGGCAAAGGGGTCAGAGGGGTGTGGTGGAACGCTGTGTTGATCAAGGCTAGACAACGAGGCAAAAATGGGGTTGGTGGTGTTGAGGGGTATGAAAAAAGTAAGAGCGGGGATAGTGAGAGTGAGGATGGGAGTGCGAAGACTCGAAAGGAGGTGGGTTGTATGGGGATGGTGATCAAAAGGTTCGCGTAGGTGAGCTGAGTTGAGTTCTTTTTTGTTGTTTCATTATCAACCTTTGCTCCTTTTTTTCTTTGTTCAATCTTCATAGAATCGGTGGGGAAGAATGTAAGGATAAGAAACATGTTGCAATATATACAGAGGATGGAAATATGGACACAAATATAACATGGAACGAAACAAGATTTTTCAACTTTCTTGACGTCGTCTCTTCCTGTGCCTTTAACCGTGCCACAAAACATAGGCGTTTCAATCTTGACCTTCTACAGTTCTCAGTTATCACAATCTTGAAAACCTCCATAATATATACATCACAACTGGCGACTCGCTGATCGCGATAGCCTCAATCGTGATAAAGCGTGCAAGGATCGTTCCTATAATTCTTTGAGTTAACGCATGAGGCGTACCACTCTTCACATATTGTCGCTACTTACTGTGCCACACCGATGGTAATCAGGCGGTCTAAGGCAAACCCCACTGGATTACTATAGTCGCACGGCTTATGGAAACCTTACTGCTTACTGGCTCATGTATGTAAGCTTTGCATGTACCTCCCATGCGTCAGTCAACCCGGTCCTTGGTAGAGTGATACCGGGTAATTTTGTGTGGGGGCGGCACGGTGCTTGCCTGTGTAACCACTGCCCTGCAATCATTCGAGGCTTCGCATCGCTACGTGTTAATCTGTGCGGTTGCTTAAGAAAGTTTTGATCAATAAGATCCAGCACAGTCGCTTCAAGTACGAGCCGGGTGGCAACGTAACTTGCGACTCGAAGAGCGCCACTTCACATGCCGGTGACACACTCATGAGTTCCGCATTGTACCAAACGCAGGAACGCCACGACTCTCCAGCTCAGATAAGGCCTCTTTGGCCAGACTCGGGGTACTGATGACAAGCACAGCCTCCGCCTGTGCTTCGAGATACATGGGATGTGCAAGTGACGCGAGACTCGGCATTCCCTGCCTCATTGTATCAATGATAGCCGCATATGGATCAACGCCCTTCACACAATCCACAATTTCCTGTCCAGGAATATCCATGGGACTGGGCGAGCACCACAGAACGCGGCACCGTGTGCGACGATGTGGGGAAGCCAGAATTGACAGACAAGGTACGGTGCTTACGCCCGTAGAGACGATAATGACACTTTTGAAGATAAACGACATTCCAAGGATTCTGGATCTCGGAAACCATTCAACCAAGTGGGATGATCTAGAGTCCTCGACGCTTGCCCTGTTCCAGGTGTTGGCCGGCAGCATGGTGACCATTCCGCCTGTACGCTGCTCGATCTCTGCCGCTCGGATCCCTGCTCTAAAACCTTCGCGAAACGGATTGTTCAGGCTGTACGCGTGTGCTACAGATACAGACTCAGTTGTCTCACCATCTTCAAGTTGTGATTGAGAGCGCGGTGTTAGTTGGCTGCAAAGCCATACCCCAACGGCAAACCGGTGGGAGATTGAGTACATGCAGATGATGACAAGGAACCAGAAGGAAGGTTGTGACGTCAGGATTTTTCCGATGGAATCTGTGCGTACAGACCTTGTGATGGAGGCCAGAAGACTGAGCTCGACCCCTAGGAGTAACACTATCATCCATCCAATGAGACGATGTGTTATCATAAACAACTTGGGATGTCTCGATTTGAAGTTTGAGTACACGCAGACTAAAATAGTCATGCACAGCATTTGCAGGACATAGGCTGTTGCGAGAACCGCTACGGATGTGGATAATAGATGCTCGAGCTGGAAGGCGAGTAGCACTGTAAATGCAGTGAGCCAAACTGAGCCTGCCACGCCACAAACAGAGTGTAGGCCATTCTCGTAGAGTGTCACGACCATGCGGCGCAGATGCAAGGGTGTGGTATGAGGAAGAAGCCATGCAAGTTGCAGCAGAATAATCTGAATGTTGTCTTGTCGGGCAATTGTGCTGACAAGCAAATTTGCGCTCGCAGCGGTGATCAAATCCCATGGGTTGATTTTGATAAGGTCCTTCTCCGTGCAAAAAAGCCAGATGGACGCTGCAATGTTTGCCATGATGACTAATAAGCACAGAAGTCGGTTGGCATCATTGCAGATGTTGCGGATACCGTCGATCCATCGGTTTTGGCGGTCCGATGGACGATTTGGTTCATCTTCTTCCTGGCCCGATGGAAGGGTTGGGGCATTGGCAGAGCTGTGGGGGATATCAGACTCTGTTTGGATCTGGTCCGGAGCCGAGAGGGAGTCAATCGAAGGAGATCCAGTCCTCATATCTTCGAAAAGGCTGTTCCGCCCTGGTGCTGGACGGGGGCTCTCATTTCCTGACTATTTCATCAGTCAGACATGGTTTACCAAGGAAAGGTTTTGTACAAGACTAACTGGCTCTCTCGCTTTAGACACCATCGCGATTTGTGCGTCTTCGTGGCCTTTACTGTAGCTATTAGGGGTGTGATCTGTTAGATTTTGCGGCTCTTGTTTCTTTGAACTTGGCCTTCAAATCGTTTGATGTATGACCTGTGCGGTATTCTCGGGTTTCCTTTCAGAAATCGATGCAGACGAAGCTTTTGTGGCGAAAGATGATGGGTGCGACCGTTCGTAATTTCCATAGAAGACCATCGGATACAATGGAGCGTGACTCTCAGAATTCTTCGCTCTGTGCCAATGAATCTGGGTTGATTATTGTGAAGGTACCGTCAGTTGAGGACCCAGTGCGGTGAGAATCAGTTGAATCATACTAGGCACGATAGTCGGGAAGTCATGACGAAGGCTGGAGCAGGCACATAATAGCTCCTGCTTCGAAACCTCGAGATCAAGGCACGGCTACCGCGATCGATGACGTTTCTTCTGATGTACGTAATGGCAATTGTACATTCGCGAATGCCGGAGGCTCGACTTTCCTGACAAAATGTCTTTTATGTCCCAGCTTGATGGTCCACCATCTCTCAACAGCCAACATCACCATCCAATCAGTTACGATGCAGACTTCAAGTCTCCCAATGAATCTAGGAGTAAGGGTATTTCACATGGTAAACTTTTTTAGGTCATTATTGCGTGTTTCTTCTTTGCCAGTGTCATTTTGAGAAAGTCATGGAAACGAAGACGGGACAAGGCTAAAAGTGAAAGATAAACCCAGGCATATTGAAGGCTATACAATAATATCTCACATGTCAACTGTAATTGGACGGGAACGATCATCGCATTGACTGTTGTCCAATCGTAGCTTGCCATTTACTATTCGCTCGGTATCTGAACGCCGTAGTTCCTCCTTTCATTTCAACAAGAGAAGCCTTCTGATGTCTCCAGTAACTCAGGTGAGCATCATAGACTTTCTGAAATATGCACGACCAAAAGTGGAGGTACTGGGGGGTCATCACATAACTGGGGCTATTATCGATTTTTACGTGCTGAGTGAGCACTGAAGTAAAAAAACTTGGTGTTTCAAAAAGCCTAGGTGTTTTAATATAACTGGGGCCGAGTCACCCTGAGCATCACCCAAATGCTGGTACAATACTATCTTAATATTACTCACTCGGTATGGAAATGGAGATCAAACAGTTCTTCATTGATTAATATTATTGAAGTTTTCATCCCTTCGATGCTATATATAGCGAGCTCTACATGAACCATGTGGAAGGAGTGAGAACTCAGGATATGGGGAAAAACTGGTTGAATTTGGCTTCAGGGTCCCATTTGCTCTTCAGTTCTCGGAGATGAGGTAGGCTCTCGCCATAGATTTCCTCCAGTGGCTCATCGCCGTGGGCGAAATTCAGATAACTGTAAACTGTTTGTTAGCCATCGAATTCATGCGGTCATAGAAAGCCAAACCAACTTACGCTCTGGATTGCTCAAATCCACTGCTCGCTCTCCAAAGACTCCTCACTTCCCTGCCGTACTCTTCAACCACGTCATCAAGCGTCTCGTCCTCCCAAAATGACAGCGACCATGCATAGAAGTTGATATCGCGGTGTGCGTATGACGCGGACTCTCTCGAGGCTTGCTGCGTAGCATATCCAGAGTATGTTTCGACTAGAATGGTTGTGTCAACACCAGTTTCCTCAACGAACGCCACCCAATGATCCCAAATCTGCTGAAATGCTGGATAATCTAGGGTCTTTAGACCAACGTGCCATGCAGGCTTACGACCACCATCCTCGCAAAGTCCGATGGTATCGTCATTGAGATGATTGTATTCCAGAATGCCGGTTGTATCGTTTTCGGGATGCAGCGCGTATAGCGTCTGACATGCTGTTCTTGCCGCTTCGACGTCGGCACGCATGAAAAAGACTTCCGCCGTGATTGCTGGCTGATTCTCCGGTAGAGCGTGACTAAACCCCCAGTGAACTGTCATGTCTTCAGTCATGATCAAGGCCCCCATGGCTGCAATGAATCCCTCGAGCTTGTTCCCCGTGAAAGTCAGTGTACCGGCCCAAACAGTCCCATTATTTTTTGCCGTGTACGCATTCATAACTGCAGATATAACGATGCCAAAGTTGGCCCCAGCTCCCCTCAAAGCCCATAGTAGGTCCTCGTTCTCTGTAGATGAGGCTACGACTATAGACCCATCGGATGTTACTACACGTGCGGAGACCAGGTTATCCGCGGGAAGACCGTAGAGGTTCATGTTGCGGCTTACTCCGCCACCGAGGGTCGCCCCCATCACTCCAACACAGTTACATCCTCCATTCACTAGCGGAAAATTGTCAGTAACGTTGTCCTTGTTTTATCTTCGAGTTAAGTTATTGCCCTCTTACACACTTGAAGTCCGTTGTCATAGGCGATTTGAATAAGCTCCTCGTTTAGTACTCCGCCACCGATTCGAATTTCTGTCTTGTTCTCATTGAGTTTCATTGAGTTGAGTCCTCGCATGTTGATGATAACATCTTTTCCACTCATTGAAAAAGTGTTCGCCCAGCCATGGCCGCCTGATTGGGCGAGAAACGTTCTGTTGTGCTGGTTGCAGTATTTCACCTTTATTCGTGCATGTAAGCAAACGCGCATGACTGAAGGTTGAGTATGATATGTGAAAGTAGCATCTTACTGTCTCAGCAACGTCTGAATCCTCAGCTACATGAACAACATATCCCGCTTGTGGTGCGTGATAGTCACTCCATCTTGGCGCTGTAGATATGTTTGCTGTGATGATAGCAGCCGGAGAAAGTCTACTTCCAAGTTCAGCGATGATGCCAATTGCGGATACCGAGAGGACGCTGGAAGCCAGAAATACAGAGTATTGCATGAACATGACTGAAGTTTTTTGTTATATACGAGTGTATGAAGATATCTATTAGCAGTCCTACTTGCGACCTTTATGCAATGAAATACAGGTGCCTGCTCTACAGCGCAGATCATATCTACACAAAGTTACATTAGAATATACAGCTGCGCCTTCCACCTGTTCCGTTATTATGCACTCTGTTCTAGGCGCCCAGTTCGACGCGTACTCGGAATGTATACATTTGGTGTCATGATTGGCTGGTTATGATTGCACACCTCCGGCTTTATAGCGCTCTGTATCTCCGCCCTTGGCGCATCGTGTTATTTGCTGTATACACAAGTGAATGATTCATCGGGCTGAGCAAAGTGAGATTTCTTGATCTTAATTACCGAAATTCATCGGAGTTAGGAATTTATCAAGGAACGGTTAGATGTACTTTTCGTTAGAACTTGACCGATTGTACGATGAAAGGCCCCGTCAGCTCTAGCTTTTCAACACAGAATTACCCGGACGTCAGAAGACGCGCCAGTGCCTGGAAAAACTACACAATACATCTCAAATAAAGGTCAATACAATTTTGATAGCTGGACATTATGTTCAGTGTCCATACTGTTTGTCGCATACCTTGTAGTCCTTGGTATGTCGTTGATCCTGACTTACAAAGATCTGCTTTGTTGCTATTGTTCCAACGCTCGACCGCCTCCAAGTCTATGTTTTTAGTTACACTGTGTCTTGTGATCGATGCTATGTTTCTCTACTCTGTGTTGTGTCAGATCTCATTAATCGCGATGGCAAAGATTATAAAAAAATGTATTCATGCATTCTTACATACACACATTTGCAAGCCCATTCGTTTAATGGATTTGGACCATGTTGAATGGGTACCTGATCATCATAGCTCTCACACGAATTCAGAGCATATCAGCCATTCATTCACTGCGGCTTGATCTCTTCCGTTGAGTTCTCGGCTATGTCAATGTTACGATGACCAACCCTCGAATAATCGGCTAGATATTTCTCGCCCCAGTCTCCGACGAAATTATCATAAGTGGTCGCTGGCTTTTTACGACAGAGATCGATCATCAATTCTCGAAAGAAGGTCAACGAACCAGCTCGTGGAAACTCCAGCGCTATAGTTTCCCACTCTTCAGGAGTGATTGTGATGAGATCTCCGTATACAGCCTTTGCAGATTCTATTCCGTTCCATTCGAGGAGTGTGCCCGCGCCTACCAGCATGACCTCAAAGTCTTTGTACCGTGCTATATTGATGATACCGTGGAGTGCGATAGCATCCCACACAATGCGCTGACGTTCCTTGTTCCAGCTATTGCCGCCTTCTTGTTGAATGAATGCACGTGCTTCAGGAAAAGTCAGCCAAATATTCAGTTTCGAATAATTAGCGACACACTAACCAACATCGGCCCCATCGACTTCAAATCGTTTTTCCAAAGTCGAAAAATGGGGGTCTTGGTGCCTAAGATCTGTTAGCCTTTCTGCAATGTATTGGAAATGCTTCATTTGCACATCACCATCCTATGTCGTGCAATATCGCCGCTACAGCAAATGCTTCCTGGTCGACCATGGAGCGATTTCCGGCGGGCAGTCTATTGATAATGGCTTGCCCATTGAGCCAGGTTCTCATGGCATGGTTATAGGTGTGGCTTGGTTGGTTGTTGTATGCGAGCTCAATGGATGCATTGACAATAGGGCTGTTGGGGACTTGAACTCCCGCGATGACACGGGTCAGGTGACCGAGTATTGCAACCATCTCGATGAAGTAGCTGAGCAGTATGAATGCTACTATAAATTTTCAAATTGAGCTGCATTATGGCTCTTTAAATCCCATAATTCGACGCTTTCCAATGCCTAATCAATCGACAGAGACTCAATAACGCGCGGAACGGATAGATGAAATACACCCGTGCCGTTTTTCGTACGGGAAAACAGAGAGCAGGATTGAGCTCGATATGCGGACTCAATATTCCGGTTGGTTCTCTTAACAAATAGGCATGCGCACTTTTGAATGGACTGACTTGGAATGGTTCAAAGGTTTACGTGAAAGTGAACACCGAGAATCGGCAATTACAATGTTTTGCGATCTTACTTACAACCAAGTCCCTGGATCACTCAAAATCGCATACAAGCAAGATTGGCAACCGAAATAAGCAGATTGAGGCAGTGCTAGACGATCCACAACCGTTTGATCGAAAGCTATCGTGGAGAAGGGATAATTTCGCAGTTGAATAAAATGTTGAATTGCATGCAACGTTTCTTCTCACGCAGCCTTATGTGAAGCTAAGTCTCCAAAATACTTGCACAATCAAACGGCCTCGTCAAGAAGACATACCGCTTAGGGGCTGGTAGATAACAGCAGAATAGTCATGAACGAGTGGTATAGGACGGCTCATAGAGCCAGCCGTCCTTGCAAGGGCCCCACTTTTCTTATGTACGATCAATTGACCCTGGCGCTCACCATTCGGCCCAAGATCCAAGTCAGGCTTTAGGGATCAATGCGGCAGTCTTCGGTGTCTGTAATGCGGCCTAATCGCAACATACAATGATGAAGTGTGTGGACTGTAAATCTTTTCCAATCTAAGTGACTAAGGCACAAGTTCTAACGCAGCCAATGTAGCACATCAACTGTAGCCGCTCCACAGCCTTTCCTGAGAAACGTACGAGACAAATTATAACGTGGAACTTGGTGCGTCCTTGGAGATTGTGAGATTATTCGCTTCCTGTAAGCCCCATAGCGTAGAATCCAAGGCTGTGAGAATGCATGTTCATGTGGGGCAAGATGGGTATTGCAGGAGCACCAACTCTACTTATGTGCTTGTATGCCCACATTAATGCTCGGGTTGTCTCGGAACAGTGCAAGCGGGAATTGGCGTGGGATGCAAAGGCGTGCATGTTGTGTACCTATCACATGAATCACGCAGAAGTAATCCTTATCATACTGCGGACAGCTACATGTGATGATGATTAGTTGAGCAACTCTGATGCTCTGTTCTGTATTGTCATGCATGATGTCGTATTTCGATGACGATACCAATTAGTTTTCTGCGACATTGGACTACTTTTTGTGGGAGCACTCAGCGATGGACATCTCTAGTAATACGGGATGCCCGAACAGTACATATCAGTACCAAGAAATTCTACTTTGCGACGACAAGCTCAGTGGTGTTGTACGTGTGCTCACCGGACTACAAACCCGGGGGTGAATACAAGGTCTTCACTGAATCATGTCTTTTGAGGGGCCAGTCATGTGCTTGTCCCAGCTCAGGCAACCAAAGGTTTACCGACGCTTGTCAAATCTTCTTTTCCAGAGGTTGCATTCACTCCTGGAACAAACAAAAATCCCGCCGGTCTTCCACTAGTGATTGTTACGTGTCAAACTCGGAACTCGGAAGCGCAACAATTAGAGACGACCAGCGTGCGTTGACTCCTGGGGAGGAAGATATGCAGGGAACGAGATCGTAACAATGGTCGCTCAGGAGCCTTTCACCGGACAAGATAAGCGGGAAACCAGGGTGACTAAGCGGTAGCCTTGCATACTTTCCACTTTTTCTGTCCAGTAAGAGTTGAGAAGCGTGACCGCAAATTAGAGGATTTGAGCCTCTGGGGCGAAGACGGGGGAGGCGTGGGAGGGTGGGTCCGACCGGAGGATCGTCATAAGCATGGCCCTAAAAAGCGTGTCACTAAGTCCAAGACAAGTAAGCCGACGAGAGTTCGACCGAGCGATGACAAGCAGCAAAACTCGGTAGTAGCGCCGACGAGCACATGAAACCTGCTAGAAACTTTTTTTTCAAAAATAATTTTCTCCCACGTTTTCGCCATGTTCATCCCGCTATGATTTGCCAGGGCAAGATTCTTCACCAACCTACGTCATTGAGGGTCCAACACTAACACAACGCCGTTCACGCCAAGTGCTTTCACGGTTTGATAAGATTGGCCCAAGACATCTTGATCCACCTTTAGACTATGTTGAATACAGCTTATCTCCACTCGATATCCACATATTCCCCATCGCCGCCCTCTCATGGTACGTTGTATCGTTCAGAGCAGCTAGCCAAGTCCGAGTGCTGAAAAATTTGTCATCTAGGATACTCCACATGCTGAGCCGCAACGATGTCATTGTGGGTTCGTTGGTCGAAGCAGGGCACTCCATCTACTACGCGCCGTTGCCGATTGCCCTCCATCCGAGGTGGTACTCCAGACATTGGAAGTCAAGTAGATCTATAAAGATGGGCCTCTTCCCCGTATTCTGGAGATTACAGTGCTTCTTTGTCTCCTTCTCATCATGGCTCCCCACAAAGAATCCAGCAGTGGCATCCCCACCTATTGGGGCGCTTCCGGACGTCGCTTACAGCTGTTGATTACTCTAGTAGCTGTGACGGACTTCTTACTCTTCGGATATGATCAAGGAGTAATGTCAGGCATTATAAGTGCAGATGAATTCAAAAACGCTTTCCCGGAGGTCAAAGACGATAGCACGTACGAGGGCTTTGTGGTACGTTTTGTGGGGTGGCGTTTTGAGACCATCACTCACAGAATCACCTCTGATTGGATCAAGCTGACTTTTTACCCGAATTTTAGGTCGCTATCTATGCTGCCGGCTGTTTTCTTGGTGCCCTTTTCATCTTTCTGGCAGGCGATAAACTTGGTCGCCGCAATTCCATATTCCTCGGAGCCACAGTCATGATCATTGGAGTCATTATCCAGATCACTGCAATGCCAATCGGAGGTGGAGCTACTGCGTACGTCTCTCCCGAATCAGATGCCCTCTGGGGCTGCCACTTGATTGAACTCTGATATCAGTTTGAACTCTTATATCAGTCACGTGACACGCTCATATCGTTCACATCCGCTAACATTCACGCAACAGCCAGTTTATTGTGGGACGCGCTATCACGGGCGTTGGAAATGGCATCAACACGTCAACAATTCCTACATGGCAAGCTGAGTGCTGCAAAGCGGAAAATCGCGGCAAAGTCATCTGCCTTGAGGGTGGCATGGTCGCCATTGGTACTTTGATCGCCTACTGGATCGACTACGGATGTCTCTACGGCCCAGGATCCTTCAGCTGGCGGTTCCCAATTGCTTTCCAGTGTGTCTTTGCTGTCATCGTCCTCATCATGATGATCTCTCTACCTGAATCGCCTCGCTGGTTGCTTACCCACCATCGCGAAGACGAAGCGGCTACCATTCTTGCAGGGCTGAACGGGGTTCCACGCGACGATCCTCAGGTAAATTTGCAGATGAGTGTGATCAAAGAAGCCATCGAAAAGGCTGGCGGAGGCGGTAAGGTGAAAACCAAGACCGTTCTTTCCAACGGCCGCAGCCAGCATCTCCGCCGCACGATACTTGGCGCCTCTTCTCAGATGATGCAGCAGCTTTCCGGTTGCAACGCTGTCATCTACTATTTCCCAATTCTGTGCCAGGATGCTTTGGATACTGATCATAACTTGGCTCTTCTTTTGGGAGGTGTCAACATGGTCGTTTATGCTCTCTTCGCCACTACATCTTGGTTCCTCATCGAACGTGTTGGACGCAGAAAGCTTTTCCTTATCGGTAAGTCGCTCACAGCTACTCTGTTCTGCTGGGACCACACTAACAAACCCAGGCACCGTCGGTCAAATGCTATCAATGGTTCTCGTGTTCGGCTGCCTCATTCCAGGTACTGAATCGGCTGCTAAGGGTGCTGCTGTTGGATTGTTCACTTACATCGCCTTCTTCGGTGCTACTTGGCTCCCCTTGCCATGGCTATACCCTGCTGAGATTAATCCTCTCAAGACTCGCGCCAAAGCAAACGCATTCTCAACCATCAACAACTGGCTATGGAATTTCTTTATTGTTATGATTACGCCAATCCTCATCAACAACATCGGTTGGGGAACCTACCTTTTCTTCGGCGTTCTTAACGCCATCTTCATTCCTATCATCTACTTCTTCTACCCCGAAACCGCTGGTCGCTCCCTCGAAGAGATCGATCTCATCTTCGCCAAGGGCTACCACGAGAACAAGAGCTATGTCCGTGCCGCGAAGGAGTTGCCGGCAGTGGATGAATCGGAGATCAGCCGCTACAACCGTATGTTCGGCGACGACACTTCCGACGAGGAGAACAACCGATCATCCGGTTCGTTCAAGGAGAGCAAGCGTCAGGAGGAGCTTATGTCTTGAGTTTCCATTACGAATTAGCCATGACAGTTTTTGCTTTTCAAGATACCATACATCATCACAGGTCGTGATTTCGCGATCTTAGCGCATTGGTTGCGCGCATGTTTATTTGCATAGTCAGTGTCGATTGTTGCCTTAGTTCTTCAATTCGTATGCGTACACTAGATATTATAGATACCACTTGCAATTCAATACCCGCGTCTACATAACTGGAACATGTTCTATGATTTGACCCTTTTATACTCTCATTCTCCAGTGAACAACAAATATTGTCCATAGCAGAGCAACAGCTTCATGCTTTATCTTATAACATTGTGTCGACATACACGCATAAGTGCGGACGATGCATGCAACTCTTGGCCATGATGTCTCTATTTACGTTCAGAAATGCCCCACCTCCTAATAATTCATTATCCTCCCGATAGTGGTTGGGCATAGCTTGAGTTCAGATCTAAACCGTACTTCGAATGACAAGAGGCCACGCGCATCGCAGAAACATGTTAGCCTCACTCCTTTGATCACACCCACGGATATGTGTTTGTCAGTTTATTATTGATTGTTAGCCGACCTATTATTATACTAGATCTATTGAATGATCATCGCATTTTCTATGCGGCACAAACACCTGGCATTATAAAATCACGATGGAACTGTCTTCGAACTCCAGGCTGAACAACACATGTTCCGTGCTCATCATGAAGCCGATCCTACTAGGGCGTCTATTCGGAACCGTTTGATTGATTTGGGGATTATTGTTGGAATGATACTAAAACTGGAAAATAGACAGAAAGATTCTACGAGCGCGAGAATTTGAGATGTGTCTCGTGCCAAGACATTTCAGATGGAATGCGAGGAAGGCGCGCCCACGTGGGTAAACCTTAAAGTAACCTCGCGGTGCATCTTCTCCCAGACTATCATGTACGTGTTTAGGTAGCTTGTAGTTCTACTCAAGTAAATTACTATAGCTATCTCCAAATTCCCATTCAGCGGAGCAACGAGGAGACATCAGGAATAATGTAAAGCAGTCTTCATCCGCCCATTTTGCATCGGATTCACATTCTCTTCATATTCCCAATCGCCCCACTTCTTCACACTGCTCCTCTCGAGTAGCTGGATCGGTAAACGAGGCCGCGCTTTGCTGAATTTTCTCATCTCGGCGAGTGCTTTTGGATTGGGGTTATACGGTTGGCTGATCTGTAACTCTTCAGTGTTTGCTGCAAGTACTGAGCACATGAATCATACATACCCTCATCTTTTTGAGGTTAGGCGCCCATTCCGGATGCCTCGTAAACTCTGAGAAGTACTCATCCTTGAGCGGTACGCCAATGGCTTCGAAGTATGTAATTTGTGGACAGAATTGCGCAAAAGCAAAATAACCGTCCATTTCTCCCGCATATGTGTCTTGGAGTATGACTTTCTTCAAATTGGGCATCGCCCGCGCAAGGCGTTCAAGTGCTGCGCTCGTCACTTCACCCATGCCGCTGCGTGCCGAATAGCTGTTATCGGTGGAGCTGAAATGGAAAGTCGCAATCTTGGCTGTGATATCTTGTCCCAAGCTGAGTATGTCGTCTATGTGGGTGCTATAATGCAGTCAGGTCACTGAAATTAGAGAAATGAGGCGATGGTCATACTCGTTCATCTTGAAAGAGTATTGGAAGAACAGTGTTCGTGTCGAGGTACCGATCTGTTGTTGATACTGTTCTGTCCAGTCTTCTCTTTCATCTTGAAACACGGCTTTCGCTTTGCCCTTATTTTTCTTCCCCGCGGCCTTCGGAGCGGCTCGTTCGGGAAGGGCTCGAGGTGGCAAATTGGACGTGAAGCCGGAGGCTGTAAGCGTCGCCTGATTGTTTTTGGCCGTTCGAACTGGTGGCACCGCGAGAACTAGACAGTAGAGAATATTGATGTTAGTGATGAATGATGAATGAAACAATTGATTGTAGGTGGACACGCGGAGGAAATGTCAGTTGACGCGTCGCGAACGTGATTGGGCGGCATGGGCCGTCCTACCACTCGCGTGGGCCCTGTTCCGAGGCTTTGATGGCCATTGGCCAATCGTTCCTTAATCCTAGCTAGCCACATCCTCGTATGATAAGCCACGATCTGAGAATTTTATTTGAATTCACCCTCGCTGCATCAGATTACAATGTCTAACCCATGCCTGGTATCTTGAAGATTGATAGTATTATGAATGGAAGCGACGGGAAGTGATTAGTACTTTACTACGGTTGTGCTGTTTTGCTCTAGGCCGAACCAGCTACTACTCCAACAATCTCTTCCTAAGGCAAGTCTGTGAACGTTCAATCGGTTCTGTATTGCCTTTTGAAGAGAGCTATTGATGTATGACCTGAAACCACATTAATCTCCGTTGCAGGAAACACAATGATGAATGGTGCTACTAAATACCTAGGTATGTTGCATGTTTACATCTCGTGCTTATGAAGTCCTAAGAACTTTGCCCATCATCATTGCCCATCGGAGGGAACGTCTGGCCAGGGTGTTCTTCACCACAGTTTGTTATAGACATATATGCGGTCGGCCCGTAATCTATTCTTTGATGTCTCGAAACCATATGCTCATAATGTTGACGATAGACCAGCGCAGTTATTCTAGCAGCAATTGGTGTAGAACCGGTGTTGGGCATGCGACCCGTGGCATACCGCCTTTGTCGTCAACACATTTGAATCTGGCGTACAACAGTGTAGTTGCATGGCGATCGTGTGCAAACTGTCTGTCCATCCTTTTGTGTGAAGTTCAGAGAGGGCGAGGAAATCTATGAGCTTGGAACGGCAAAAATGCACAGCCACAGAACTTTTCGCTGCAAAATATAGCATAACGGCTGTTGACAATGAGCTGCACACCGAATTGGGATATGCACATATGGTAGGTAATAGGTCCGACCCGGAAGCGCCCCACTTTCCCCACTTTCCCGGCTCCGGGAAGGCCGTGGTGACGATGCGCTCAACGGAGTAGACGTTTTCTGCTCCCGCTCTTCACGAACCCCAACTGCACATCATATACGCAATCTTGACGACAGAATACTAATCCGCATGATACTTCGCTCTCATGATTGCGTGATGAGACCCAGAATATCAGAATGTAGAGATAATCATACGCCCTCTCCCATCTCGGACACAGCCCTGACAGTGTATAGATGAATCTGACCTGATAGACACGATTAAGATCTGCAGAGATGCGTGTACGTGTAGATAATAGTTTGAGAATGGTGATCACGGTAGGCGAGCGATTTAGTGCGCTAATTAATACACGGACGAAAGATTTCGCCCGTCAATATTCAGCTCGGACGAATTGTGAAGGCATAAAGGAATACGCCTGATTCGACCGCAGATAAATGTTGCGTCACTATAGTGGGACGTTACGCGCAGTGGTATGATCATGATAATGAGAGAGTATTGGGTGGCACGCAGGGATAAGAAGACTGAGGCGTCGATCCGTGGGGAATTCGAACGGGGAAGGAATGGCGATAGCAACAGAGACTGATAGCTTTGACATGCGCATGATCCAATCATAGTAAACGTCGGCAGAGACTGATATGCCTGCTCTTTACCCCAGTTCATTCCTGATGTGTAGGAAACCAAAGGCTATTTTAGGATATACAACTATTATGGGCTCCGCACATTGGTTTGAGAGTGTATCTGGAGAAACGAAGATGACAAAACGCTGATGCAATATGGTAGGTCGAGACAAAAGTTTTGTTTTTTCCTAGAGACAGAAGCAGACTGAAAAGAACTGATCGATATTCGGGGATGGCTGGCAACCAATAAGAGAAACATACTCGTGAGTAACCAACCTAGTGAAACGTCACTTACTAAATGATGTTGTGTACAAATTTGCAACTCGCTGCACCATTGTGATGAGCCATGTGCCTATAAGACACCGCATGAAGAGGTTGCATATAAAACCACCGGCAGGCTGGAACTAAGGCATCCGAGTAGGAGCGAGAGCTTTCTGTGCTGGGGTGAACTCACGTTAGGGTTCGGCCCGTTGGCATCTGTGACATCCTTACCAGTATACTCGGAAGTGTACAAAATCCGGTATCCGCTTTCGTCCGCAAACAGAGCTCACGACGTCCATCTTCAAATGATTTACCTGTGAACACAATCGTGTGTAGTCCAGTCCAGTCTACTTGACATATAAAAAGGCAGCTGTCAATTAAATTGAGAAGCAGGCTTCCCAAGCAACTACGAATCATCACATTAACAAAATTCTTCAGAAATGGGTCTTCTCTCACAATTCGAAACTGAATCTGGTCCAGCCAGCCATGGATATCTCTTGAGAATCATTACCGCCGTTCCTGCTTTTGTAAGTACACTCAAATACTCTTCAAGGCCTTAACAAATCAATAACACAAGCAGCTGCTGTTGAGATTTATTGTTAGTTTTACATACAATATCTACTTTCATCCGCTACGCAAATTCCCCGGGTCCAGATTAGCTGCTGGAACAAGCCTCATCCATAGCTATCACCACATCACAGGCAACGAAGTGACTTGGACCCACCGCGAGCACGAAAAATATGGCGATGTTGTTCGGCTCAGCCCCGATAGTCTGAGTTACATTAACCCCGAGGCGTGGAAAGACATCAATGGACACCGCACGGGGGGCCGCAAGGAAAACTTGAAAGACGACCGTTTCTATCAACTGGAGTACAACGGACAAAGAAATCTCGCCACTGAGGGCGATCCCAACGAACACAGACGAGTTCGAAAGATATTCAGTAATGCTTTCTCCGATAAGGCATTAAGACTCCAAGAGGACATGATTCGAGGCCATGTAAACAAGCTCGTGAGGAATATAAAAGAGGGTATTACCAATGATCCAGCTGCGCGACTCGACATTGTCAAGTTGTACAACTGCACGACGTTTGACATTATGGGCTACCTGACTTTTGGGCAGTCACTGGGGATGTTGGAGTCGTCCGAGTTGACGCCTTGGGTCAAGACTGTCTTCGCAAGCATGAAGAGTGGTTCGATAGCCCATCGCCTTGGATCAGAGTACCCTATTATCGGCTATCTCATGAAGAACTTCATGCCGGAATCTGTTCGCGAGATGCAGCGTGCGCATTTCGAACACACAGTCCAGCGCGTGGATCTTCGTCTGGAAGACGATGGAAATCAAAAGCACCCAGACATCTGGAGCCTTGTTTTGAACAACGGAGACGAACAATTGACTGTCCCAAAGATGCATGCGAACGCAGCAATGTTCATGGTTGCAGGTACAGAGACCACTGCGACACTCCTGAGTGGGCTTACATTCCTTCTACTGAAAAATCCCGATAAAATGAAAAAGGCCATCGACGAGGTCAGGGCTTTGGCGCTGGAAGATCTGAATCTCGAGAATCTACCACGACTTTCTTACATGAACGCTTGCTTCGAGGAGGGCCTCCGATGTTATCCACCAGTGCCCAACGGATTGCCACGCGTGGTCCCTAAAGGCGGCAATGCGATCTGTGGCGAGTGGATCCCGGAACGGGTGAGTGCTCTGAACCAACTAACTATTAGTTTTCTATCGCTAAACAACATGGCATACAGACTCGCGTCTACGTATCATCAAAAGCTGCGTTCAACTCCTCGTCGAACTTTAAAGATCCAGAATCTTTCGTACCTGAGCGCTGGCTGCCCAACACAGGCTATGGAACAGATAGGAAAGATGTGTTCCAGCCATTCAGTCATGGGCCGCGTAACTGCCTTGGTAAAAAGTAAGTGAGAACATCTTCTTCCATAAGAAACACTAACGAGTTCCAATAGCCTGGCATATCACGAGATGCGGATAATTCTTGCCACTGTACTTTGGCACTTTGATTTGGAACTTTGTGAGGAAAGCAACTCATGGTCGGACCAGAAGTCGTACATACTTTGGGAGAAGCCAGAACTTATGGTGAAGGCTAGAGCGGTTCGTTAGCTGGGTTGCAAGGGCAGGAATTCGCACAATTCTGATGATAAGCGCATGATATTATGTCACTGTCGATTTTGTCTCTCATTTGGTATGCGAAAGGGTATACGAACATCACTTCACATTAGCGTGCTTAAGAAACACGCAATGCACGACGGAGCGGTATTTGAATATTACGAAGCAGATATTGTTTTCTAGAAACTACTTAAGTACATATCAATTGCTTCACACATCGTTGCGAAGTTTCCACAATGCGGTTAGGACCTCTTCAGTGTTTGTCCTCAGACCTGAGTGAGTGATGCCATTAGTTTCCCACGTTTTCACATTTTTAAGAAGCTTCGCCGTGTCTTTCGCATATTCATAATCGACGTATAAATCATCGATGTAAGAGACAGCGTACACAGGAACATCGTTCTTGCCCAGTTGCTCCTCGTCATAGATGGGGGTCCAATCATCGATGGCAGCGAGCTTGTTGGCGACGCCCTTGAGTGGAATGAGTTCTGGGTACGTGTCGAAGAAGAAGGGGAAGATGTTCTCGCCCGCGAAGAGAAGGGGCTCGCTCGAGTTGGTGGAAACAGAGCCGTTCGAGGACAACCAAGAGAAGAGATTCTGGTCCCTAGCGACGCGGTCAGAAGCCCAGTTAGAGGCATCATTGGGCCCATCGCAGTAGATAGCCTCGTGGATAATAGCGTAGATGATGTTGTCGTCATAGGTCGTGAAAGTCTCCATTGGGGTGAGAGAGGCGCGGGTGAGGAAACCGAATTGATCCAAGGACATTTTCATCTTCTTGATGGTTGCATGAACGTTTTCGAATCCACCGGCACCACCGAAGTCAATGCCCATAGTCATAAGGCGAGGGACAGTTAGGCTTCCGCCAGCTGGGAGATCGACGCTTCCGCCCTGCTTCTCGATAAATCCGGCAATTTGGCGGACATTTGCGACGTCCTCGGGATATTTCTTGTAAAATATGGAGTTTTGCTTCATAACACGCGGGTACAAGCCCTGGTATACTTGCTCTGCGGTTTTGCCAACAGGAGCTAATCCGCCGGTCAAGAATACCTCTCTAAGACCTTCGGGATGGAAGGAAAGGTAGCTGAGGGCGACGAATCCGCCATATGATTGGCCAAAGATTGACCATTTCGCCTTGTTTTCGGACATGCCCTCGTTCAAAGCTTTTCGCACAGCCTCGCAGTCATTGACTGTATTGTCCTGGCGCATGAGTCGAAGATAGTCAACCTGAGCATCTTCGCCACCCCGCTCCTTCAGCATGTTTGTGGAAACGGGTGTACTCAAGCCAGTGCCACGGTGATCGAGATAAAGAACCTGATAACCTTGCTCGAGAGCCATACTGGTCAGAGGGGCGTTCTGTGGCTCTGGGTTTCCAAATCCGGGTCCGCCAGCTAACATGACCAAGTACGGAAGAGATTCCTCCTCTTCGTCTGAAGGTACGATGGGAACCTCGTAGTTGGCGACAGATCGACCGAAAAGGGTGATTTTCTCGCCCTCTGGATCATCATAGTTCAACGGCACGCTGAAAGTAAGTTCGGTGACACGCAGCGGACCGGACAAAATGTGCGACTCCCGAGATGTTATCTCAGCGGCGGCGATTGTTTTGTTGGAGGCAGCAGCAGCAACCGCAAAACCGACAGAAAGCAGCGCGGAGAGACGGACAGGCATCTTGACGATTCCAAACATGATGGCGTACGATTATTGCCAGAAGTTTCACCTCACAATGGCATAAGAGATTGAGGGGATGCGTAAGAGATGGAGAGAAGGTGGGAGGAAAGAGAAATGCATCTCACAAGCAGTCCACTTTATGTGCCGGAATTCTGGGAAGGATGCTTGGAGAGAGCCACTCCATTCAAGGCTACGACGCGGTTCGTGAGGGTTCAAGATTGTGAACTCTGTGATACTATGCCTAAGTAGGGAGGTCGTTCAATGTCCCAAGACCGGTAGAGGCTTGGAAGTTCGTCATTGCGGTTTTCTTGGGGTTGAGCCCCAGTTCGCTAAGCACAAGGTTCGGTTGGCGGGCGTGGCGGGGTAAAGCTCTGCTCCCTAGGTAATGAGGTACCTACCTAAGGATACATTACCTTCAATCGTGACGAGAGATACCGAAGAATGTTGCGACACATCTGCTAGAAAGTAAATTAGGGGATGAAAAGGAATGGAATTGGGACCATTGGCCTAGACGGGAACCGGGTGAGTTGATGAAAAGCTCCAGAGAACATCCACGCAAGGAGATGCTGCTCATCGCGGCAAACTTATTAAGCTTTTTCCAGGTACATAAGAAGGCAAGCTGATGCTACCAGAAAGAAAGAGATAAGCACTAGCAGGGGCTTCGTTTGTTATTGTTCTTGAAGTAGAACTTGGCGGAAGATATCAATGATACCGCCAAAGGCACGATGAACCTGAACTTTCATGCACAACCCTTCACGCGCGATGGTCCCAGCACGAATCTCCCAATATAGAATCCTTGCGTAGTATATTATTTTCTTGGACTTTGGCAATCGCGAAACACGGTTTTGTAGTAACCAGTACGCTATTAAACTGTGGGCATCCTGATGGATACCGGTAGTTCGGATGCGCCAATTGCTTGGTAAACACGGGGGCGACTCCCCAGCCACCAGAATTATGAACGACCTTTAGAACCCAAATCAATGTTACAAATCATATTTTTGGACGAGCCGGGCTCGAAGTTGAGTATTTACAAGATAATGCTATGACTGAACTGTACCTACTTAGCCCCAGTCACAACAGCACAAAGTGCATCGCAAGACGATAAGACTATACGATGATGATCCAACGCACCCCATTGAATATCAGATAAGACAGCAGCGTCAGATAACTTAAGCCGGGAGATCAAACACGATCTAGATTTCTGGGCATATACAAAACTGAAAGCTCCTTGCCGTCTCTCATCATATCCGAATCTCGCGTGCGCACCGTTGATTTCGTTAGATGCGATATGCAGGGCGTGGAAGCCCTAAGAATGATGTATGTACTGCTAAAAAATACTTAAGAAGAAGTGTATGCGGGCAGAAACGGTGCAAGTGATGGCTGATCTGAGTTGAACACTGCGGTTGGAGCCGTATAGGTTGTCACTATCACCTTCAGACAAGTATTCATGGTAAGCTTCACTGGCTTGATCATTGAAATTTCAGACTTCTATGGAACCGCACTTTGCTCACTCGCCATATCTTCGCAGCCGAATTTGCGCGCATCTAATAGAACTAGATGCATTGCGAATAGAAATCTAGATTCAGGTTAGTACAGTGTCGAACCGAAGTGCTGTATTGGACATACCATTCAAGACGGAGCACGAGCTTCCAGCAGCACAAGTCTTACATCCTGTGTAGCCACTTCCGCCGCACTGAGCCCATTTTTCCACCTGGCAGCCACCTCCAGTGTTCTGGGGCGGCGCGCTGGTGGATGATGCGGAGCTAGTGGGAGCTTGTGTAGGCTGCGAGCCACCGCTTGTAGTGACCTTGACAACTGCCATATCGTGTTGTCCAAGACTGAAGGACACGCTGGTGCCGCTTCCGGTCTTTCCACTGTACATCTCTTTCCAGCTGTACGTTCCGGAGCCGAGTCCTGGGACGTCTTTGAAGTTGACGGACATGGTTCCCGCACCGTTGATAGCGACAAGCCCGATGACGACGCCGTCACTCAAAGGGCCCGCCCAGTAGGGGTGAATCTTGCCGTTGACAGGGGCTCCTGAGCCAGGAGGTTGAAACGTTGTGGCGGATTTGCCGAGCTTGTCCTGGTTGATGTCGATGATACCCTATATAAATATTCAGCAGCCGTAGGATTCATGCACAAGAACTCTTATTGACCTTGTTCTTGATAATTGCAAGAGATGCACTAGAGATCTTGTTCAGGTCATTGCCGAGAATAAGAGGTGATTTGCAGATCGCCCAAAGACCGAAGTGAAGACGTTCTTGCTCAGTCGTAAGCTTATTGAGTCCTACTATCTGCAATCTGTCAGTAAATGCTCTTTTGAACTTGTGGGTTGAGGTCGGGGAAGTGCTGAAGGTCGAGCATATGTCACGTGATATCATAGTGCAACCTTGGAACCTCCCCCAACCTCCCCCAAAATGGATAATATTTACAAGCATATCCATGTCATTGAAGCCACCAGGAGCAGAGTATTGAGACACTCTTCCTGCGGTGCTTGCCAGCCGTTGCACGCTGGCCCAATCGATCCAACTAATAACAGTTTACTGTTAGTGGTACTTGTGACATGTCATTGACTTGTCATTGACTTGAAACCATGGCCATCAATGAGACCTGGGTATACAAAAGGCGAAATCAGAAGAGAACTCACTTGTCACCCTCAATCCTCCATGAGTTACCAACGTCTTTGCCCCAGGTCCAGACACTGTCACGTCCCCATTGGCACAGGTTAAACATGATGTTCTTCGTATCCTTGACGCTTGCGAGGGCATCTCGCATCGTCTCGTACCAGGCACGGGTATTGTAAGCCGCACTCCAGCATGTTTGAGGGGTTTGACCATTGGTACAAGGCGTGTAGCAAGCATCGTGTTTCCAGAAGTCGATCCCCCATGATGCCAGCAATTTGGCGTCTTGGGTTTCATGACCCCAAGAACCCGGGTACCCTGCGCAGGTCATGGTTCCGACGCAACCATAAAGCCCCATCTTCAGTCCCATTCCGTGGATTTTATCGACGACAGATTTGATTCCATTAGGCCATTTGCTGGGGTCGGGGACGAGGCTGCCAGAGGAGTTTCTTGATTTGGTGGACCAACAACTGTTTGCGTTCTATCGTCAGCAAAAGTATTCAAGCTTATTTTGTGTAGATATACTGACTCATCGATATTGACGTATTGGTAGCCCAAGTCTTTCAGTCCAAGAGATACAAATTTGTTCGCAGTATCGAGTGCGTACTTTTCGGACGCTGAAGCACACTGGGCTACATTCTATCCCAGGAAACAACCAAATTGTTAGCAAATTTCAGTATTAATGACGAAAAATAAAAGCTCACCCAAGATGACCATCCCATAGCAGGTGTCAATCCTAGACCGTTATTCAAGCGCTTCTCTAATCCGACATGTTGAGAATCCAGAGCAAAGGCGGTTTGCCCAAGAGCCACCACAACATATGAGTATTTCATATTGACCCTTGTGGAAATCAAGCAATACTGCGGAAGTTAATAAACAATAGCGGTGAGATTCCTAGCTACGAGTCAGAACGAGAAAATCGTTGCATTTATATCATAGTTCACACCCGCCACCCATATCTTTTACCGAGATGTGACCACTGAAGACTTGCATGCCCAATATCACAATGATGGCCAATTTAATTCAGCATCCCAATGAAGGGTCTGAAGACCATTTGCCTCCACTATAAACTACAAAAGACTATCAACCCTGGTTTTCGGTTTTTTTGGGTCAAGATTTCCACCAGTCGCCTCGCTACGTAAATAGAACCCCTAGATGCCTCACAACCCCGCATAATTAACTGCCAGGCGCTACAACCAAAAGTGGTATTTTGGACGATCCCATGCGCGACCGTTAATCCAGAAGCAATATTTTCCCAGAATTTCCTCCACATGCTCTAGACCTCTTTAGCCTAATGACTATCAATATAGTGCGGAGGCGAGGCACCCTGCATTTGAATCAGCTATAATCGCATCAATTGATGCAGGCTGTCCCTTGCAGGACGAAACTTGAAATCGAAAGGAACAATAATCCTTAATGATGAGACTGCTCTGCGATGCATGGCATGTGTATATTGGGCAGTCTCGAGTCCTTTGCATTGTGCTGGAATGTATTTTTCTTGTTCGTTTGCTTGCCCGAAACTTTATCGATACATGCAGTCAGATCAGCGGTAAAGAGTCACACCACTTTAAATGTCTTCAATCATTTTGAAGATAGCGGATTACGAATGAATGTTGTGTCGAACCCCTAGGTACATACCTAGGTACTCGAGGATGCAGTTCACTGCGCACATGATCATCTCATCACGTGAAAATTTGCGCCTCACAATCAATCGATTCGAACATTCGAATGTGGAACATATCTGGGCAGCCCACCAAACTTCGATACCCATAACCGAGCCCGGAGATATATATTTCAGCGCGATACAGCATCCACAGTTCTGAACATCACACCAATAGTTTATTGACATTGTCGCCAGATGTCGCAATCCATTGTCGCCTGGACGCACAGCCGAGGTGGTTATCCTGATGCGTTGCAGCGCACAAAAATCAAGCTCAACGATGCGCCGCTCCGATCAACCGAGGTTCTTGTTCGCGTCAAGGCGGCAGCCCTGAATCCCGTCGATATCCAACTTATGGCATTTCCTCTGCTCGCCCGTCTCCCTAATGCTATCATGCCCAATTTCAAGGGCATGGGCGAAGATTTTGCCGGCATTGTAGAGCAGGCTGGGAACGAGTCCGGCTTCAAGCCAGGCGATGAGGTTTTTGGCCTGATTTTCTTTTTCCCGGATGGATCTTTGCAGGAGATGATGAGGATTGATACGGCAAAAACGAATGCCGTTGTGCGCAAGCCGGCGAGCTGGACCTGGGAGCAGGCGGCTGCGCTTCCTCTTGTCTGGCTGACAGCTCGCACGATGATGAAGAGCATTGAATCGTATGTACCCAAAGGAGGCAAAGTCGCAGTTTTGGGTGGCAGCTCTTCAACTGGCATGTATGCCGTTCATCTTGCGAAGCAGCGCGGTTGTATCGTCGCTGCAACTTGTTCCTCTGCAAAGGCCGACTTCGTGCGGAGCATGGGAGCGGACGAAATTATCGACTATCGAAATGACAGCGTTCCAGACGCATTGAAAGCTTTCGCGCCAGATGCAGTCCTCGACTGTGTCGGCGGCACAGAGTGTATTGGCATCGCACAGCGTTATGTGACGGTCGTGGGTGACAAAACGAGCCGTACGTCGCTCGGTGGCGCGCTCACTTATCTCTTCAACCCACAAATGATCCTCCGCTCGTTTCTAGGGCTAATTGGTCTGAGCCCCTCGTATCTTTGTATAAACCTCGCTTTCGACCAGAAATGGTTGGAGGAGGCTCTACTGCTGCCACCAGAAAAGATCATCATTGATAGCACATTTAGCTTCGATCAGGTCGTGGAGGCGTATGAGAGGCTCAACACTGGTCGCACGATGGGCAAGGTGGTGGTTTCCATTGATTAAACCATTCATTGATTTACTTTTACCATCATTACTCGTTGCACATATGCTGATAACATGTAAAAACCTGCCACTGTCTCTCTCTTTACTTCCTGTACCATGATCGCCCTTGACTCTATGGAATAAGGCTATGGGCAATGGCTTGAGTGCGCTCATAATCCTCCATCAGACCTTGTTTGCGCATATCGTCGCGCAGTTTTGGAATAATCAGCGGATTCTTTGGCTGAATCACTACACCATCTTCAAAACCTGTCTCAATACTAACATCGACACCCCCGGGGGGAGGCAAAATATCGTATGCCCACAGCAGCTTTGATGCAGCGAGTAGAAGAGACGTAGTGGCAAACTCGACGCCAGGACAAATACGTCTTCCAGAACCGAAAGTGTACAATACACGGCGGGATCCTAGAGACACAGGCTGAGATGTTGTCTTGTCACCAGATGTAGTGTCTGTGGCGCCAATCGCTTTTGCGAGAGCTGCAAACCGCTCGGGACGTAGTCCGTAGGAATTTTCAAGAAATCTCTCCGGCACCCACTCTTCGGGGCGATCGTAGTCTTCCTCGTTGTTATTCATAGTCCATGCATTGATGAGGAAAGTGGTTCCTTTGGGGAAGACATAGCCTCGGAAGTGATCATCCTTCTCGATTGTATGTGGGAGAGCACTAGGGGTGGTAGGGCGTAAGCGAAGAGTCTCGGATATGCATGCTTGAAGGTATACAAGTTGGTCGAGCTTATCGGAAGTGGGAGGTTTGCCGTTTCCTAAGATCGCAAATGACGAGTCAGTATAACACATCCAGATATTCTGTGGTGGGTTATCAGTGTGTCAGAATGCTGGTATACGTACCAACGCGATCGACTTCAGCTTGAACTTTTCGCATCACTTCAGGGTAACAGGCGAGAAACACCATCAAGCTCTTGAAAGTAGCGACAGTTGTATCAACCGCAGCGCCTGTAATATTGGCGCCCATGTGCGCCAGCTCGACATCTGAGAATTTGGGAGCACCAGGCTTTGTTTCCATATCCTCCATTATCTTCGCCAACAAGGAAGCGAACCCAACAGAGCTAGGGTCCTTCTTAAGGGTATCTCGCTGTTCTTTACCGTAGTTCAAATACATTGTGCGATCTGTCAAATGCATGGCGTGCGCCTTACGTGCATCGGCCTTCCATGAGGCGCCCATCCACTCAGGAACGTACTTGAGTATCGGAAACACATCGACGGGAGGGGCGACACCCGGAACAAGGAGATCTAGTAGGGCTTTCTGGGCCGCAAGAAAGGCTTTCGTGTAGTCTCCTGGAAGATCATCCATTCGTTTTCCACAAGTGATAGCCAGTGGGCCAGAGATGGACCAGTAGTATAGATTCCGGACATAATTATCTCCGCCATCGAGACACAGGCGACTGAGATTGGCAGCTTCGGCTTCAAGAATGGGCATCACCCTCGAGATACCGCTAGAACTGAGGATATAGGTGAGACTTTTGCGTAAGCGTCTTTGGTAAGAATTGTAAGGCAAGATCGCCAGAGCTTTATCCCCATCCGACGGGAAAACGTGATTACAAAGAATGTAATTGTACGGGCGGCCGGAGTAGGAGGCACCCCTTTTATCGAAAAGCTCGGTCACAACCTCGGGAGAGTTGATGATGACCATATTCGCGGTTCCGACTTTTAACCCGACGAGGTCCCCATACGTTTTGTACCATTTGTGGAATGTGAGATATGATTTGGAGATTGGCATTTGAAGCAGATTTCCCAAACCTGGAGTTACTCGGGGACCTAAATTTGATCGAGTCAGTCCCTGCAGGATTCCATTGTCTAATAGACACACTGGGATAGATAAAGCATTTCGGCAGCCTTTACTCTTGAGGGCTGAAGTAGACGACAATGCAGACGAATAAAACACAGAAAGGAAAGGTCGGAACAGTTTTGAGAAGCATATATACCTGGTGGGAAATTCTTTGGTCGCAGAGTCCCTAACGTCCATCGAGTGAGTGCCACGATAATCGAGACGCTGATTACAGCGATGATCGTCGTGATACATTGCATCATATTGATCTCGGTCGAGTAGAGCTTCGAGACTACGTCTGCGAGAGCCATGTTGAGGGCAAAAAACGGCCAATCCAGCTGTCGATAACTAGCTGCCTGTTCGCATCAATGTCCTTACTCACTTAGGTCGCGTCAGTCAATTCATCGACCTGATATGTCGAATCGCTCGATCGTTTGCTTGTCAGATTTACTGGTTTAAATAGACAGGCGAGCGGGGTAACAATATGCCGTTGACCTTTCAGCTCTTGGCCACCGTTCGTTACCGCTCAGTCAAGAGAGCAGGGTTTTCGTATCTCAAAATTCCAATCTTTAGTCATGGCCGTGTCTGAAAGCAAACTAACGTTTTGATACGAGTCATGAAATCGAGGGCCCACGGCTCGTTTTATCCTACAAAGTCTGTCTGATTGGTTGATAGAAAGACAGAGTATTAACATGCGACAAGACTATCATCTGCGTGTCACATAATGGTCAAACGACAAAGCACTTCGACCATTGGAGAGCCTGATGTTTGTATAATCATATATGGGATAGTTCTGGCTGGAATGGAGCCAGTAGCGTAAAGAGATTTGGGGGCCAAAACAGAGTAAGTAGTATCGCTTGCATGCTTCCTAGACTCTGGTCAAAATTGAACCCTTCGAAATAGTAATCTAGAATGTACGATCCCTGACAATTTCCATGTGACAATACAAGTGATCCTTGTAGCCCTCAAGATATTTTTACGTCCACATCACCGTTCTCCACAGCGCGAGAAATATATTCAAAGCACACTATGCCCATAACTGATGTTTCTTCCATCTGACCGGTGCCTTCGACAAGCGCAGAACTTGTAACTGAGCTGGCGATCCCACTTTTATTTCCTAAGGCTGTAGAGCTCGCGTGCTTGAGGACGCCTTCGAAGAACATAGCAAACGCGGGCTGAAATAAAACATTGGTTTTATAAGACCAAAGTGAGCTGTCTGCATGCAGTCACCTTCAGTAAGCAAGATATCTCCGTTTTACCGGTGACTGCACTCATGGGTTCGAAGCGACACCAGTCATTATGCGAAGAACTTACCAAGCTGAAAAAAATCACCTCAATCTCACATAATCTTCATACCAGAAGCCTTTCAATATTCGTAAATGAAGACCATCGATGATTGAAAAGTTTACGTTCATTCCAGCAGTTCCGGGAAATTTGTGGCCAATGCCAGTTCTATACTACATCGAAGCGCCATGTCCAAGCATGGAAAAACTTTACGCAAGCCCTTCTCTCGCTGTATGATAACGGTAATGCAAGGGTCTCATCTTTCCGTTCAAACAATATTGACCCACGAAGGTCCAATTGTCTCCAGTACAGCACTATAATCACCGAATCCAAGCTCACCCCAGACATCTCCTTCCATTGCCCTCGCGTCTTCCAGTTTCTGTCGCCGCACATCCGTCATATTCTCCTTGTATCCAAATTCATCCACGATACATTTCGCTTCATTGTCCATCATCCCATGCACATACGCACTACCGATCGATTCGAAGTATTCTGTGACAATCGGTATTTTTCGATTTGGCGACACATATGGTCGCAAGACTAATGGTAGATGGTGGCCGCGAATGATAACTACCGTATCGCCGGGACGCGTCAGTGCAGGTACCAGACAAAAGTACCCATGGGTTGTGATGGCAAAACGAGTATCGAACCACACCGAGGATGCAGCTGACGCGAGTTCATAAGGGGGAAGAGATTGTTCCGTGGTTGTTTCATTGTCCTCGTCGGTGGCCGGCAATTTCAGCCAGGATATGAAAGCATCCCAATTCCCCCGTACAAATTCTTCATCGACGCGATCTGACATGTGGTCCATACCGAGTATGATGGCCATTTTATACGCAGAGAGGACCGGTTCGCCAGTCATGTAGTGACCTTTTATTCTCGTGGGGGCGCTCATCGCCTGATCGGACTCTTGGCTTATAAACCTCAGGATGCATTGACTCTTGCTTTCTTTGTTGCTCCTTGGATCAGACTCTTTGATATCACTAGATACTTCGCCAGTCCAGACAATCTCATCGCGCATGAGACTTTGAAGACCAATGAAACTATCGAGACATCTCATCAAGCTCTTTTTACATGTTTTGAACTCCTTTGACATGTGCGACACATCAATGACTCGTCTGTGAGCCTTGGGCAAGAACCCGAACTTGACGGCATTTCGAGCGTTCGGTATGGGGTTTGGGCTACGGCAGCGGCCTCCAGCTTTCCAGTCGGCGCTCTCCGCAATCTCAGTGTTACTTGGCTGCTCGCGGAAGTCGACCATCCAAGATGGTAATTCCCAGCCAGCTGGCTGCCTGTTTCTTCCCGAGTCGGCAACAAATGAAACATACCCTCTCTTATAAAGCTCAAGTGAAACCTCAGCATATAATATTTCCCATGGGATAGTGTAATCAACTTTGAGACCCCAATTGGCATACCCTGTAACACCTGAGTGCTCTTCTCGATGGAAGAAGAGTTTCGTATCCATAATTCTGTCTCTAGCGATGCTCAAATTCATTGCGCTATAGATTTTGTCACGGGGATCTGTGGCTTCATGCAGATGGGCACTGCTTAATATCGTACTGAAATCCTTCCGAAAATGACTAACCCTTTCACTGGGAGGGAAGCGATAGGACCGGATGTCATGCATTTTGAGGATTGCAAACGCTTTCCTTTGGACGATTGGAAACGTGTCTGGCAAATATGGCGGTAACCGTCCAGGGCTCTCTGACCTCATGATCCAGGCAAGGGAGAATAGCTGATTCCATTCAATCTCGTCCTTGCCACACTGAACTTGTGTTTCCCTACATCCGGCAGCTTCTTGCAGAACCCATACCCGCCCGAACCAAGGCCGCGATATAAAATTCACCGAAGACGTAATAATTTCCCGCGAAAGGCCAATGTCAGGATTGGCTTCGGGGTCGAATATGTAAGTTTTGCGTGGGATCTCCTCCACGATCTCTAGTGATGTCCTATTATGATGTTCATATTCACGTTGGAATTTTGGCGCATCAAGTCTGGCTGCGAATCTCATAGCAATCCTACTAGACTCATCCGAGGGACCTAACCAGATCACCACAGACTTCGCAAACGAATATACGAGGTGCATCGCGCTGACTTGGCTAGATCTCTCAGGTATATCGCCTTGGTTGATGCAGATAGCGTCAATCCAGACAGTACCTAAAGTTGCGGATCAAAAATTAGTATAAAATATTCAAGTATCATTCAGTGCGTTATCAACGTCTCAAGCCACTGACCCACTTGGTCTCATAGTACGCGAAAATGTGCTGGGATATACGTACGGAGCTGATCTCGCTGCCTAAGATGCATAAGCATGTAGTATGCATTCTGCTGAATTTTCAATGGGTATCCGTTACAATCTATTGTGCATGGGTCTACGGGGCTGCCCCAGGTATACGATGTGGCTTCGAATTGCCCCTGTGCTGCTTCAATGGTGGTTGGAATGAGACGACAATGTAGAGACTCAGATGCTGATCCAGGTGAGATCTCTAAAAGCCGGATCGGCAGCACGCCCTGAAGCGGTGCATATAGATCGCGAGCTACCTCACTGTTCCATGAGTCCATGGCAAACCCAGAACCATTTTCATTGAGTCGCAAAAAGACTGCCAGTCTCAAGGCGCAGTTGAGGGGGTGTTTGTATGGTAAGTACCATGTAAGCAATACGAGGTGCTGATGCCTGGTATCCTTGGTGTTTCAGTGGTTGGTAAGCAGCTGTAACTCTACAGCAAATACAGCTGCAGTTTGGGGTTACGATTTCTTTCCGAAAACGAAGTCTGACCGTTTTCCCGCAAAGTGGATTTGATTTTGAAAGGCCGATGACCTCTCACAATCAAGCCACGTTCTACTGTGTCTCGCAGCCTGGGGATCATCTGCGGGGCAAGGGAACAAGCTCTAAAAACTTGGACTCTTGATCTCGGCCACGAGCGATGTAATCGATCGACGTTTGAGTCGATAGAGTTACTTGACACTCTTGTAGATACTTGTGAAATTTGATGCGCAATCTGAAAGAATTCGATGTTGATGATGTGGGGATGGAGACGAGCGGGTGCACCAATCATGGCGATATCCCCGCCTCTCTGCAAGGATGCAACGAAAAAGACGTGGCGCAGATCGTTAACAATAGTTTCGGGCAGTGCTCTGTGAAAGGTTGACATGATAAACGCATGGAGTAGGCTAAGTATATTATTTGATCATCGCATATTGCATACGACACAAACACTGGGGGCGATGGAATCTACCTCCTCTTTTCTTTTTGTCGCCTCGCTGTCGACTTGATAATAAACCCACCTTGACTTCTCGACGACATCAAAACAGACGCGGTTGCATGGTTCTTTCCTGATCTCTAGCATGACCAATTTCGCGCGCACGGCCTGGGATGCTCAGCTGTCCTACCCCATCTCGCGACAATACCCATTCGGGAAGTGGTTCAAAGTGTGGGTGACGCTGGGCGGTCTTCTGGTCTTCGGCTTCCTAGTCGTCTTCAACATCGCAACCAACGGCTTCGACAAGCAACTAAAATACATCCTTGACCCCAATAGCACCGAGTCCAAGCGCGAATGGTTCAATAACAAGTTCTTCACCTGGGGGGACGACTCCCTGGAACCCAAATGCCAGAACACAGAGATCACCGTGGGCCAGCAGTTCATGACGACAAATCGGGGGCTGCGCTACACGGTGCGCCGCATCCTATCTCAAGGTCCAGGCGCCCAGTCACCGGAAGATCGATCCTCGCTGTCGTACCTGAACAACGAGCTACAGAACTGCGACGTCAGGCAAATCAGCCTCAACATGCGGAGGACAGAGAAGAGCAATCCCGACACCAACTACCGCTGGTGGCGCTGGATGGATAGTACCGCAGAGGCGCAAGCGCGCTGCGACATTGTCAACAACAACGGCAAATTCACCATCGAATTCGTCCACAAGTATGAGGGCATTGATGACGACTACAGCTACATCGCGCTCAACGACGCAACGTCGCACGCGAGCTTTTGGTGGGGCGCGCGTCTGATGAACGCCTACTTCGCCGGCGTGAAATTCATCATGCAACTGCCCATGCCCAACATCGACAATTCGGAATGGATGACTTCGCGCGCAACAATCTCCTACAGCCGTACAAATGTGACGGACCTCAGGGACCCCGGGCTCTTCACCTTTGGGTTTTACTTCCTCACCGATAACGGCGGCCTGATGGACTCAGGTAACACGAAACCTGGCCACGGCAATTTCTATAACAACCCAAACTTCACCATCTCGCGCCCGCTGACCGAGGGCTTCTTCTTCGCAAAAGTGTATCGCTCACTGGTACTCGTCGATCTGGGCAACTCGGCGCTGCCGAACATGCTGCTCGACGACGACCTGCTGTCGTACGCGCTGAATCCAGGGACCGATGACTTCAACCGTGGGCCCAAGTCGCCACTCGACCGCAACAATAATAGCGACGACAAGAAGAAACTCGACTGGTGGAAGTTCGATGCCATAACTGCCCCCGATAAACCTTTTGACGAAAATCACAGCGTCGCCTTTTCCGACGCAGAAGCCGCATTTAGAAACCAAGCCAAGGATTTACAAACGAAGCCCGGGTCCATTTACGGCGAGTACATCTGCGCGGTGCCAGAAATGAAGTCGAAGTCTGCCGTGGCATTGTTCACGATTGTGGCGTCCCTTGCGCTATTCCAGCCGCTTTGGATTATCTTCAAGTTTTTACTAGATGCGAAGGTGAGGCGGGACAATCCGATGGCGAATTATTGCGAGGGATGCATTGCGGGCGGGAATGGTGAAAATGTTCAGTATGGCAGCGCTGATGAGTCCGTAGAGTTGAGGGCTCGTGGGGGCACGTATAGTCAGGTCTCGCAGGGGAGTCGGACACCGCTGCGTGATTAGAAGGTGCGTGTGTGTGTGGAGAAGATGACTAGACAGAGTGGGCAATATTTATTTCTTCTAGACAGGATTAGGAATGCATAGAAAATGATACACGAGTTATGGCTGCATTTAGCAAGAGTTTGGGGGGTAATGGTGGGTTGATGCGCTATCCAACGCTTACCATAGTGCATGGTATGAGAACTAACTTCGACTCAGTACCTAGATATGTATGTCCTATTTCATAATATGTCAAGGAACTTACGGTTGACAGCATTTACTTGGCGATATAAAACTGCTGAAGCATAGCCCCAAGAAGACCAGGAAAGAAAACTTGAGGCAGTGCGGGGCTCCCTTTCAGCCAAGCGCTGTACACGAGTTACCTGACAGCTTGCCAGCTGAGCCTCGTCGACGTCTGTCTGCCTGATCTTAGTCTCTCTATTCCAACTATATCTACATCCACAATACCCTCGCTTGAGAAATCGACACTAACTTGCATAAACTATCGGCATTCATTCCAACGCCAGCGTCGTCTTCAATTACTTCACTGCATGAACACCTCCAGAATGATATCTCAATCCCCTTTCCAATATGAGTCACTTCCTCCCTACACCATCAGACTCTTAACCTTACAACCTTCCTCTGATCCTACCGCAGAAATCAAGTGCACGTTGGCGGCATACTCTCTCTTCGCTACTCCCGCTTTCGCTTCTCCGCTATCACCCCTCCCCGCTTACGAAGCTCTCTCCTACACATGGGGTACGGACGCGCCAAATCAACAAATCATTGTAAACTGCCGCCAATTTTTCTGCCGTCCAAATCTCTATGCCGCACTGCACGCACTCCGAAAGTATGACGCACCAAGAAAGCTATGGGTCGATGCAATCTGCATTCATCAAGCGGATACAAAAGAGCGAAATCACCAGGTTGGATTGATGAGGAGGATATATCATAGAGCCAGCGTGGTGGATGTTTGGTTGGGTGCATCCTCGCCCTCTTTCGGTCTCCCTACGATTGCCTCACCGACAGAAGAAAAAGACCGAAAGGGGGTTCAATTTCTTCAATTCATAAATGAAGCCTTGAAGGTTGACGATGAAGAAGGCGCTCGCCCCATGCGCGTGGGCTCGACATGGGCGCGCGGAGGCAAAGAATCGAGTTTTGTAATCGCAAGTAGAGGTCGCACTTATGAGGAATTCAAGGCGTACTACGCGCCTATTTTAAATCCGCTAGAAGAAGGGCACAGAAGAGCTGATATGATCGAGAGATTAGACGCAGCGGTGGCCTTGCTGAGACACCCGTGGTGGACGCGCATGTGGACACTGCAAGAGAGTGTTTTGGGGAGCCGTGTGGATGTTTACTGCGGCGGCGAAGTGGTTCCGCTATCTCACTTCTTCGAGCTATCATACTTTGTGTTTCTGGCCTTGAATTTCGGTGTTTGGCCAGGTGCGCAGGTAGAAGCGGATGTGAATGTGCGAGCAGCGTGGTCAACAGCAGATTTGAGAGATCATGTGGCGCATCGTGGAGTCGTAGGGGTGCTGCTGGCTCTGGATGCGTCATGGCAGCGCAAGGCTGCGGACGCGAGGGACAAAGTGTACGGGATTATGGGATTAGTAGGAGACGATGCGTTCGGGATTGAGCCGGACTATGATGCACGGGTGGAAGATGTGTATACGGCGATGTTCGCAGCCATTGTGCAGAAAGAGCGGACATTGTCTTTTTTGGGTTTCATCTCAGAAGAGGCAAAGAAGAGGAATCAAAGGTTACCGTCTTGGGTACCGGATCTGGAGCTTCATTCGAACGAAGAGAATGATTATACCTCATCTTTATCGAAACCAAGGTTCTACGGTCAGGTGTTTAATGCTAGTGGCGTGGGGATTGATAGTGCCTATTGTCCTAATGTAGATGGGGCCCTTTTGACTATCGAGGGAGTAGTCGTCGACACGGTCAAAATCGTTGGATCGAAAGCACCTGGGAGAGTACTTAGCAACAAACAGGAGGTAATAGATGACTGGATCACGGAAATGGACGACATCCTGGGTCAATGGCGTTCGCTGTGTTCCATCAACTGGTATGCACATACGTCTGAGCCCGCCGCTCGGGCGTTCTGGCGATGTGTATTATGCGACTTGAGGCAGGGTCACCTCCATCCATCGTACGACCCTGGAAGGCCAACAAGGCTGCATCGTCAAGAATGGGAACAACTAGAAGATGAGTTGGAAGTAGATGGAAAAAGAAGAGATCTGCTGCTGTTTTGGTCCAGATTCTGCAAGCTGGAGTTTCGTCAACTACGGATGATCGAGCAATTCAATCGGCGTTACTTCGTTACCGCGGATGGATTCATTGGATTAGGACCACCTTCGCTAAGTCAGGGTGATTCAATCTGCCTATTGCGAGGAGGACTGGTAATGTATGCTCTGCGACCTTTGAGTAATGGGCACTGGAAATATATTGGAGAATGGTATGTTGACCCTTCGGCATGTTTACTCTTTTACTCGGTTACTGACGGTTCAGTTATGTCCACGGTGTGATGGATGGTGAGCTTCTAGAAAAAGTTGGGGAAGGGAAATATCGGTTCGTAGAGTTCCATGTGGAGTGAATGTCTTTCAAGGACTCTTTCTTCCAATATATCCTCCCGCTCCGGCCAATTCGATCTGAGAAACCCTTAACCTTCTCCAAATTTTGCTCATTCCGACTTATACAGAAGGGTCGGTGTACAGGGAAACAGAAATTTGAGTCCCATCTCTTTCTGGCATCCTAACTTTGCAGAAGTGTAACCAAATCTTCCCTCTTGAGCTCTTCTGCAACACCCGCCAATCTTTTCCTCAATCGTTCCGGCACTGGGACCTTCTGATCTGACACGCTCGACCTGCTCCTCACTCCTTCATACATCCGTAACGTCTCACTCAACTCCTCAACACAATTCTCTATCCTGACAAGCGCAAGCGCCTTGTGCCACAGGGCTAAGCTAGCCAACGTCGGATCGCGCTCACACAACCTCCCCAAATCCAGCAACGCCAAAGAAATCAGCATGCGCTGCGCATACCGTTCGCTTCTCTCAACATCGGCCTCATGGAGTACGTATTTGTAGCTATCGTGCGCTAGCTCGATGGGAATTGAAGAGCGTAGATCGCCCCCGTATAGTCCTCGCAAGTTTGATGGGAGAGGCGTAGTTGACGCAGGGTCCAACGCCGCAAGCCATGTCAAGACGAGCGCCGGTGGGACAGAGTCGCTGAAGTGATCTGTTTGGATTATGGAGCGCAATGTCTCCTTGTGTGTGGTGTAGATTTGCTGGGGTGTTAACTGGGCAAATGACATGATCTGTTGTACTCCCCAAGTGTAATTGATGTAGTCCCTCTTCGAAGGGGGATAAGAAAATACGAGAGGTATCGATTGATCGCGCAGTGACTCAAACAACTACTAAAATGCCGGTACTTATGTTCAAGTGTAGCAGGAGATGGAAAACTTTGATCTGATTGAGAGGAGCGTTAACTCAGAACACTGGTCGCACGCAGCGACGGAGGATGGCTGCGCGCTGGATTGTAACGGCTGGGCGACATCGGTGACCCGGAGAATCCACTCTGCCGAAACGGGACTAGCGTAAGTCAAGAGCCTGCCGCCCGAAAGCTTTGCCATTTCCACTAATAAACCCCCATCGTTGTTCAAGGGGACATGCTGTGGACTCAGTAAACCGGAATAGCAAACTCTACGACTGCGAGATATCTTAGGTGCTTCAACTTGTCTTTCAAGCGCCTAATCCACGACGAACGTGCTTGTCCGCATACAGCAAGAATTGCGCCTCTTGTAAAAGACACATCAACACTGAAGCTAGGAGTCGCGATGGAGTAGGAAAGCACATAGTCCTGAGGAAGGAATAAAGGAGGAAAAATGATATTCTCTTTTGGTCCTATCACGATTAGCTGGCTGCAAAACTGGCATGCGGGGCGGTCTGATCAGCAAGAAAAAGTAAGCAACCTCTTATCCAAGAATCTGTCCAGGGAGGTGCTGCGCATGTAAATAAAGTGGGTAGTGTTTGCATGAGCTACATGGGTTCATTATGTTCACCGGAAAAGGACATTTAAAGCTCCTTGATGAACTATCCAAAATCCACATCACCGTTTGCCGTGGATCAAAGGGAGAGGCCCTATAAACTAAAGGCGAGCGACGGCAACGCCTACTGTGGCGACTAATAGAACATTGTCATCGTCACAATTAAGCATAGTGAAAGACGAATGTCGAGCTGTTATCTACGCTAAGCTACCTCTTCCAAGGTGTAATATGAGATAAGTCCGTCCTCGCACTTAGCTTTGCATCTCACCAGAAACGAAAAGTTACATCTATCAAGATAGCCTAAAGGGTCCGCTAGAAGGTGGGAGTTAGTGAAGATATCTGTTCGGAGAACGAAGGTTTGAGCGCGCTTGTTTGATTGAAATGTATTTGGATCGGCATTGGAAAAGAAAACGAAAAAAGAATAAAGGGAATTTCAAGTCCACTTTTGGCACCTTACACCACGTAGTCATTGATAGATTGTACGCGAATAAAAACAAGCGGAATTCTAAAAAAAACCCGTACTCCTTTTAACCCTGAAGAAATTCCCGGTTGATGTGGCTTGCCTGACGATCGAAGTACGGCATACTCACAGATTTGCAGTACCACGCCAGGATCATATAAAAAAACTCAGGCATCCACCTGATTCTCACCTCAGCTAGAATACGAACTTTCCAATACTATAAAACGAGGGTTGTGCTCAAAACAGGAGAAAATTGCGGGGAAGGATGAAGAACTTCGGGGCGGTTAGGCGTTCAGTTGCCTTCTGCTTTACACACTGCACCTCAGCCTACTATGCATGCAAACCCTGCGCACAACAATCCAAGATACTTCTCTCGCAGTGCTGCCGCTGCATTGAAGCTCTCAAAATGAGCAGTTAGGCTTTTCTCTTTTCATTATGTTGGTCATCAGAACTCACACATATCTGTCTTCAATGTATCATTTTACGGCCGTCCTCTAATCGTCAGAGCCATGCGTTACGATTGAATTTTGATCTTGACCCGGCAGTGCATATCAGAACTCTTTATTTACTGCTTTCGGACAATCTTTTGTAGGGCTAAGTATTGGTTTCAAATCTAGGCAATGTCGTGAAACTCCGTTAATAAGAATAGACTTTAAATATTCTCTGCATATGATCCCTCATGACTATATAAGCTTGATAGCCATTATGGACGCATTTTTTGTTCCTCGTCTCATTCAATCACTTGTCATTCATTCATTCCTTTGCCTATCACACCAGATATCAAACAACCATTTCGATCTCAAGTCCCATATCTTATCACCGATTACCAAATAAGAACCGCAACGTACCACACATCAACAAACTGATACGAGGACCATGTTGAAATTATTCACAGTTATATTCTTCTTCCTCTCTCTCTTAGCTTCTGTCACCTGCGAGGAGATCCTCCATCCTCCTGTTGGTATTCAAATCGTTGTCGCAGGCTGGTGGAAATCCATCAGTTCAGGTACAACGCGTGTCAAAAACGAAGGCTTTAATGCCCAAACAGCCAATGTCGGTGTAACCGAAGAGTCTCCCAATGTCACAATCTTTGGTTACAAATATCTTGTCAAGCACGAAGATAAAGTCATCCATACGATCGATGACAAGTTACCGCGGGTCAGAAGTTTCGACCTCACTGATCTCTTGAAAGATCGGAAAGCAGAGGTTGAGAAAGAAGTAAAGGCAGAGAAAGAAGCAAATGAAAAGGAAGAAGCTAAAGAAGCTGCCCAAAAGAAAGAAGACCTGGAGAAGGGTATATACGACCGCGAAGGAGGATTTCGCATTGGATGTAAGTTCGAACTTGATCCATTCTCTCATTCTTGAAAACTGCCCCCTTTGAATCACAGGATAAGGCATCTGACAAGAGTCTCATCCGCTCTACTTGTGCAGTTAGTAAAAAATCGATCACAATTGGCGACGTCGGTCTCGACAAGATCTTCAAGGCTATTCGCGACGCCTGTAAACCAGCGGGAACCTGCGTCACAGATGACATCGACATTAAAGGGCAGTTTCTAGGCAAAGGTCTAACTAGTGAGGTTGATAACATTAAGGTTACGCTCAAACCCGGGGGCTCATACCGTGAGGTGCATCACGACAAGCTGCTCGAGTTACTAGAGGCGGCTGTTCGTAAAGTTGCCAAGTGTGAGCAATATACTCACAAATCCCCTTGCTCTTTCACTCAAGGATACTGCCCAAGTACGTATTCCCCCACTATTCTATCATTTGCTGGGTGATGAGTTGTTGACTTTCGAATCAGACCAAGAAAAGACAGTTACGACTTGCAAAACACCTTCATACTGGTCTGTTAATCTACAAACAGAGAAGGAAGCGAAACACGACTCTGCGCCTCCAACTATCGAGGTAAATGTCAGTATGAAAGTGGTGGATGACACGATATGCGAGGACGTATTTGGTAAACTCGAAGAGTTCGGAGGTATGTGCGAAATTGCTTTCTCCTTCTATCCTATTGAAATCTATGCATTGCATGCTAAATGATCTGTTAAAGGCGCCATTAGTGGTCGTGCTGGAACTACATTGAGCCTATGGAAATACGCGTGTCTTTAAAATACACTTTATGTATGCTCAGAGTGCTTATGCAACACAAGTGCGGGAAAAACAGCGAGAGCAAAAAGAGTATACACTGTAAGCATGATGGTAATCAGCGGTTTTTTTTCCCCTATCAGTGAACGCTTTCATCTTGAGGGTAGACAGCATCATGTTTGACTTTGGCAGGGTAGGAATGTATTGTTAGTTAGCGACGTTAAGCGCTAAACCTAAACAAACTTGTGCATGCCCAAAGATGTCTTTTCAGGAGCAATAAAAATACCATCAACCTTCTTATTACAGCGGTCCGCTCTCAGCGTCTATAGGCTACAGGTTAGGGGTAGTATAAGCCTTATTTTCCTCATATACATCAAGCATTGTAGTGAAAGTAATAACCGGACCGAACACTGCTTAATTTTGTGGGACCTCCAGATCACGGAAACCTCGGACGCCGAGGACACCGTGAGTACGCTTACAACAGACCGTTAGGTCATTCTGTTATCGTATGGAAGATAGCCCAGATAACTGTTTTCGATGAATATGCATGACGATTGGGGATTTTCATTGATAAAGACTAACTCGATGTTGATGCAGTTCGAACCTCGCTGCAGGAAATGCCGAGCTCAAGGCATCGAACGGGAACTACCGTGAATCTTTGGAGGATTGAATGTGGGACAGATAACGGAAAACCCTGTCTATACAGTTCGTATCGATGATAGTCTCTGTGGAATGAGCTCTCAACAAACTCGATGAGAGGATCCGTGGGGGAGTTTACTACTCAGGTACGGGCATGCGCGACTCAATAACTGGGTGTACCCAATTTGGCGATGATGTAGTTATGTATATAAAAGGCCTGAGATGGCTTGAATGTCATTCCACCACCACGAAGATTTCGTCCCTCTTGGACTCTTTATAAACAGCGGTCAGCAACAATGCGTTTCTCTAGCATCATTCTCGCGGTCTTTCTAGGCCTCATCGCCCCGGGAAATGCGTTCTCGGAAAGACGGCTCGACAAGAACGTTCTTGAAAAGAAGGCGGAAGGTTCCTGTTCAGGGGAACAGCCTCCCCCCGTTGCTCCGCACAAAAACTTTTGGGGTGGGTTAACGGCGGCAGAAACCAGGGACGTACTGGCTCTTCTTCACAGCGACGTCGTCGGCTTCAATCTGACCAATGCGGAAAATGCTACAAGGTACGTTGATCTGCTCAAAAGTTTGCCATAGCGCGCTACTAACTCAGTACATAGTCGGGACAACAAAATGTACGTGTTACATGAATCTGCTGATGCGCGCCCGTCTAATAAGAATTCCCAGCATGTCAGTTGAGCTTATGATGCCTAACAAGACGGAAATTCTTCCTCTGCTATCAGATAGCAACGGAACTCCGACTAGGTACGCTTTAGCTGCGGTAATGTTCGGAGCTCCCACAGAGGCGTATCTCCAGGAGTTCAAAGTTGGCCCTCTGCCAATCACCAATACATCGGCGGTGTTGCCTTTTACTTTCGCCAACACCAGAAAGAACCCCAAGATCCCAGTTGTGAACCCAGACGCGGAGGATTATGCTGCGTTTAACCTGCAAAACATGAAGGATGCGGAAGACGTGACAAAGAAGCTTTGGAACCTCGTGAGCTTGATTTAACCCTTTACCCCTATATTCAGGCAGCTAATATGAACATGTAAAGACGGTCGATGACGGTCTTCAAGTGCCCCTAGCTTTCGCTGCTCCGATTACGGTGTCTGAAGACAATGTCATTATGTGGCAAGGCTTTAACGCCCCAGTCACAAGCATCTACGATCCAATCTCTCTTCTACCGCTAGGTCTCTACATGAGGACGGATATCACTGGCCGCGATCCCAGCAAGTGGAGGGTGACTGGCTGGGTCTATAACAACGAATTCTACCCAACTCTGAATGACTTTCGCAAAGTTATGGATGAACCGAATTTCAAGCCTTTGGGCATGAACGTAGACGAGCCTTGGGCGCATACGCGAACACACGGAGATCCCATACCCCTTGATAATACCCCACCACCTGCTCCAGTCCAGGCAGGCAAAGAGAGATTCGCTGTTGACGAGGAAGAAAACTACGTGACTTGGAGTAAGTTGATATCTCCGCCTCGCATATACAACCCGAAACGTATCTAATGGTTATAAAGTGGATTTCTCATTCTACGTTAGCATTACCCGCGACAACGGCTTGCGCCTCTACGATATCCGTTACAAGGGCAAGAGAATCATGTACGAGGTAATTCAGGCTTTCAAATCACCTACTTGGTAATGCAGCTAACGGATAATTAGCTTGGAATGGACGAAGCCATCGCGCATTACGCGTAAGTGGAAATCTGGAAATGTAACTACTTTTACAGCGTACTAACATGATTTCTTGCTGCCTAGGGGGATCGATCCGGTACAATCAGGCATATGGTATGGCTTCAAAATCTCCGGCGACGCAAGTACTTTTGCTAAAAGGGTTATCTCAGTTACTTCGACAGCATGAGTGGCTTCGGACCCCCAATGATCTCACTTGTCAAAGGCAAGCATCACGACTGTCAACGAATCATTGAACATTATACTGATCTTAGATTCTCTAGGTTACGACTGCCCGGCCTACTCCCACTTCTTGAATGTGACCCAGACTACCGGCGAGACTACATACACGCAGAAGGATGGCCTTTGTGAGCTTTGCCTGAGACCCTGAAATGTGAATCGAACTGCTAACCCCCCAAGGCATGTTCGAGATTGACAAGGGATTTCCCATCCAGCGTCACTCCTGGGCTGGCTACACTACAGTCACAAAGAATATTGCGTTCAACGTTCGTGCCGTCTATACTATCGGCAATTACGACTACATGTCTACATACCAGTTCTCTCTTGACGGGTCCATAGAAGTCGCGGTTCGGGCGTCAGGGTACATCTCGTCAGCCTTTTACGCCCAAAACGAAGACTACGGTTTCAAGATTCATGATAACCTCTCCGGATCCCTGCACGACCATGTCATCACCTTCAAGGCTGACTTCGACATCCTAGGAGAAGCTAATTCACTACAGAAGGTTGCCATTGTGCCGACCACTGAGACGTATGATGAATCCCCTCACCACCCGTCCAAACGTCGAACGAGCCGTACTAACTTTTTCAAAGGTACAAATGGTCTGGAAATCGAACGCGCAACACTATGAAAGCCGTGAAGAGTTTCATCGAGAATGAAGACGAGGGGAAGATCAACTGGTCCTCTAACGGTGGTACAATCTACGCCGTTGTCAACAAAGACGCGAAGAACAAATACGGCGAATCTCCCGGTTATAGAATCGTCCCAGGTTCGTCATTTCCAGTTTTACAAAGTCATTTCTCTTGCTAATAGCATCAGCGTCCGGTGTTGCCTATCTTACGGTTGAAGATTCGGACGTTACTAAAAACGCGGCTCACCACACTAGCCATCACTTCTACGTTACCAAGCAGAAGGATAACGAGCTATATGCTGTCGGCGCATACAACTCGCTTACGCCCGAGGACCCTCAAGTGAACTTCAACGAGTACTTCAATGGGGAGTCTCTCGTGCAGGAGGACATGTAAGATCAGCTCTTCCCCTTATACAAGACCACGATCTAACATCATCAGCGTTGTCTGGTTCAATCTGGGCATGCATCATCTCCCACATACAGGTGACCTGCCCAACACGGCTTTTTCCACGGCACATTCTGCTATGACCATTGAGCCTTTCAACTATCTGCTGGGAGACCCTTCGCAGGCCAGCGCCCAGCAGGTTTTGATAAAGACAACCGACGACAAGGCAGAAATCACTCGCTATGGTGCTCAAGAAGCTACCTGTCCGATAGACCTAGTACGTTACTCTAGTATGTTTGGATAAAGATTGATGCTGACGATCCTACTACAGAGCCAGCTGAACCCGGACCTCTCCCAGTACTCAAATAGTATCAGTGTGCTGAAGTTTCCGTTCGACGGATCAAAGCCGGATCGCGCTTGAGTAATTTAGCAGATGAATCGAAATTCAAAGTGAGGATAGAGTTATCGTGCAGCTAGTCCACTGCATCTCGGCGCCGTATAAGAGTAATAGTTGTAGCTATCTAGTCATAATCTACAGATCTACAGCTGCCTTTCTTCTGTATATAAAATCTCTCCTATCGTGTCAGCTTGAATATATTTTTTCCCACAGCCCTAACTATGATATGGTACTAAGGGGTAAGGTTATGGTTATGGTGTAGTAGTGGTTGCTCGACTAAGATACCTTAGATAGATATTTACTAGGCCTAATTCGGTCTAGTAGCTGCCTATCTAGGATACCGTAGTTGAGCAACCATACTACCATAACCCATTTATCACCCTAAATTACAATAGCAAGTACTAAACTGTTGTGTATACATACTGTAGGTTCTGGATAGTTCCAATTGTCATCTACCACGTGGAAAAATGCGACGCACCTCAACTAGGGAGCTGAATCATCAATTGAGTGAGACGGAGAAACGTAGAATAGATTCATTGAATGACCACGCTGAATGACTCTACTCTATCAGTCCTTCTAATGCAGTGCCACAGTTTTACATTACGGCATGATTCGTACCCACTGGTGCGTCCTTAACCCTCGCCTGTTGCAGCTCAACCAGACACACCTCATCTTCCATCTGCTCCGACGTGACTCTTGTATCCGTGGTTTTTGTTATATGTGACTGAAAGAGACTGTCGCTCAAGGTCGCCTTCTTTGGTTTGTTGCTACTGGATTTCCTATCGGGAATCCTGGCGTTGGGCGTATCATCATTGTGGTACTGGTGATTAAGATACGGTCAGTTATCCACAGTGAATTTTGTTCGATACTCATTCGAGACGACGCACCTTATAATCTGACTCGTCGTGCGAACTGCCAAAGCATTTTGGAGCGATGGAGGAGAGGAAACGCCTAAACATGGGCATGCAGATACATATCACTCCTACGTTCTGCTCGACAACTGAGTAGACAGCAGCTTCCAAGCTGTCGAATGTGGGATTTGCTGAGTTGCCGTAGGTGGCGATAGACCCAATGCGGATGCACGATATAACCATTGTCCTTGATACAGTTTTAACTTCACGAGTCATACGCATGATTTGCACGACTTACAAGGCACCAACACTGAAGATGGAAATCAGAAAGAGCTTCCTCCTGAGACTAAGTTTCAGCTTGACCAGCTGAGTAATCGGCGTCACCAGTACCGCCAGGTCAATTGCGAGATTGGTTCCAGCTCCAGCATAGATAAAGGCATTCTGATTCATACAATAGTCGATTGGCTCCTCTTTCATCCAACCAGTCCATGTGGCGTGTATTGGTTTACAGCCAAAGATTAGAGCAAGCTCGAATCCAAGAGAATGGCATACAGTGATACCCATAAGAATGAACACGATTTTGCGTACGCCTTCGGAGGGAAAGATGTAGAGGAAGAAGGACAGAAAAGTCAGTTTCGTGAAGCCGATGCAGATGAAGTAGCCCGCTTGCGATATGAAAATTAACTGGATTGTTTAGTCGAGATTCTGTGGTTTCTACGCATAACTTACTTTCAAAATTTTCGTGATGTTCGTTGGTGCCAGCGTCCAGGTGTCTCTTCCAAGACCGAGACCAGGCGTGATAAATTGTAGCACGGTCAAAGGTATGGATGTCAACCATGCTGCAAGCGCGCATGCATCATCCCACCTAAAACTACGTGCCATGAATGCAACGCTCATACGCATGGTGACAGCCACAAAGGCCACAACCCCTGAAGCAATTGCAGCGTTTAACAACACATCGCTTTTATCGCGCGTCGGGGCGCCGCACATTGTGCTCGTCCCGTTGACCGCAACTGTTCTCGTCAGGTTCGATATCTCGAGCGGATTTCTAACGCACACGACACGTACCTAAAGCCTCCCGGACAGTACAAGTTGTACCTACACAGCCTTGTATTGCTGCATTGACAGAAGGCGAGGTGCATATGCATGGAATGTTATCTGGCGTGCACTCATTCTGGTTCTGCAGAGCTGTCTCGAAACAAGTTTGCTGTGCTGGATTAGCTGTTGACTCGAATGTCGGAACTTGTGTTACTTACGGCACAAGGTGGAAGCTGACCTAGCACTGGGGATATTGTATAGCTGATTAGAACAACTGCGAATGCCAGGAATCTTGTCTTCTGCATGCTGTGGGGCTTCGATAGGTATCGCGAGTTCACGGCACTGGAAAATGTGGCAGCCACTCAATCGTATCTCCAGCGGCGGCACTGAGTAGTCTGATGACGGAGTGTTTTTTTCTTGTAGGAAAACAAGTTGGCCTACGACGGCGAAACGGTGTTAAAATTAATACATACGAAAATGGCTTTGAGAGGATTGACTCCCCGGCGGGCCAACAAGACCAGTGCTGCAGGTTGATCCTTCGCAACGGCGCAGCCCCGGCCTTAAGGAGCAATCCATGGATTACATGACTATACAGGGGGTTCGTTCATCAAGTCGTCGCATACTAGAAGGTTCATCTCAACTCTGTTTTTTAACTTATCATATGTACAGCCTGTCTCCTCCGTTTAATACTGATTAGTTAACGTCTAGTAAAATAACTAACCTCCCGATATGAAATGACCCAACGTACATCCCCCTGTATGTCTTGCCAGTGTTTGCAAATTTCACTCAAGCTTTTGGTTGAATTGCCCTCCAGTGGTCGAGAGTCAGTGCGCCCGTCAACGGTCATGCCGCGGGATCTTTGTGGGGCGCCGTTAAGCGGCGCGGTTCTACTAACCTACACAGGATGTGAAAGTGGACCTATGAAGGCTATACAACCCCGAGTCGCCAATTGCAAACGGCATTGCTGTCATGAATCAGACAATGGTACGAATGTGGTGCCAATGAAAAGGGTGGTGAAACATACCCCTTGCCGAAGCTAGAGTAGCTTTGAGGCATGGTCCGCAGGGCATTCTTCATTATCAACGTCCCGTGTCTAACAGATTAGAGCGGGCGGCTTGCCTGAAAATGCGGGTGGCGGACGCCAATCGCTCTGGCCCTGGTTGTCCAGATTTCCTTCGACCCGGTGCACAGGTTCATATGAAATAGTCCCAGGCCCACAGACGAAGCCGCGCGCCGCGTGAGTCGCATTGTTCAATCCCCACACGGCGCAGTGCTGACCATGGCGGTTTTATCAGTCATCCCATTTGGCACGGCTTTCGTTTATTTGCCTGTTGCTTTCGCTCTCTATTACGTTGCTTGGATTGTCTACACTCGCACTCTTCACCCTCTTCGAAAGATCCCCGGGCCGATATGGCCTTCCATTTCGCGAACGTGGCTCATGTGGAGGATGCATGTGGGAGACCTCGAGATAGAGTTGCGCAAAGCGCACGATCAATATGGCCCTCTGGTTCGCATTGCTCCGGATGAGGTCTCTTCAGGGAATCCCGCCGACATTCCAACCATGTATCGCGTACAGAAGCCGCTGGAAAAGACTGTGTGGTACTTGCCATGGCGCGCCTTTCCTGCTTTCCACGAGCGTCCGGACATGTTCACCACACTGCTCGGCAAGGACCATGCCGCCTATAAGAAGATTATTGCAGGAACTCTTACCATGAGCAGCATCCTTCGCAATGAAGATAAGATGGACGAGTGTCTTCTGCTGTTCCTCAATCGCATGGGTGAATTCGCGGATCGTGGAACTAGTTTTGACTTTGGTTTCTGGCTAGAAATGTTAGTCGTATCTGCTCTCGTGATTGCGTGAAATAAGACATCTTAACGATTATATAGGTATGCATTCGATATCATAGGTGCCGTCTTCTTTGGAAACCAGTTTGGCTTCCTAGAGAACCGCCATGACCATGGCAACTACATTAAATCGGTCCATCGTGCCAGTATGTACTTCCAGAGGCTGGACTCACATAGCAACCGCAAATGTTTAGGCAGTCTTTTTGAATCCCCTTGGCCAGATTTTCTACTATACTAATCGCCCACAATCATATCTAGTGCCCTTCTTATCCGTCGTAACCATGACTCCCACGTATCTTCGATTCCCCATTATGGCCTGCGCTGTCGCTGTTCCCGAACTACTCAAGGCTGTAATCGCCGTCGACGGTATAAGAAAAGTCGCTATTAAGAATACCAAAGAACAGATGAAAGCGGCGGAAGAAGCTACTTCGAAGCGGCATGATGTTCTATCGCAGATGCTCACCATCGTGCACGAGAAAGGCGACAAAGTCAATTTCACCGAAGCGAACGTCATGGCAGAAATGCATGTGGGCGTGTAAGTCCCTCTGGCACGACGCAAGCATACATATTTAGCACCATCAACTGATACTGTCGATATAGAATGGCTGGAGCTGATAGCACATCAATCCTGCTCCGCTCCATTTTCTATTTCATGATGAAGCACCCCAACACTATGGCAAAGGCCGTCGCCGAAGCCGAAGTCACTTTCACGAATGGAGCGCTGAGCTGGCCACCAAAATACCAAGAGGTCGTGACATCCTGTCCGTACATTTGCGCGGTGATCAAGGAAGCCTCCCGGGTTTTCCCCAGCTTCGCCGTCCAGATCCAGAGATACTCGCCCCCTGAAGGCATCAGCGTCGCCGGCACGTTCATCCCACCGGGCTATCGCGTTGGCATGAATCCGCACATTGTGCAAAAGGATAAGACCGTTTTCGGCGAAGATGCTGATCAGTTCAGACCGGAGCGATGGCTTGCAAGTGAGAAAACCAATCTCATGATGGATAGGGCGTATATCTCATTTGGTGTTGGAACGCGGCCTTGTGCTGGTAAGAATGTAAGACGTCTCCCGCTGAAACCACTTCGCATTCGCACCTCCTTACTGACCCTCTCAATCTATAGCTTGCTCTCGCCGAGATTCACAAACTTGTGCCCTGCATGTTACGTAACTTCAACGTCAAGATGGCACATGATCGACCGTGGAAAACACATAATGCGAGCTTCATCGTGCAGACCGATGTCATTTGTAACATCGAGCGCAAGCCTCTGTAGGATTCTGAATCAAAGTAGCTTCTCAATCGAATGAAATTTATGAGCTGATAGAGGTTATGAACCACCGACTACCATGAGTGCAATGAGAACCCAATTACCGCGCAGTTCTGAGGCAGAGTTATGAACCCGTGAAGCGCATGAACTGCTTGCATTTCGGACAAACGAAACCTGCCGAATTCTCCACTAAAAATAAAAATAGGATCCACTCTTAGGGTCTGTATATATTAGGTGCTGATCGTTATGTTAGACCTCCCACGACTTCAAGGAGGGGCTTCACGCCAAGCCAAAAAGTGCCATAATTCGCCACGGGCAAAAAGAAAAACATACAACAGCAGGTATTCGCTAGTGGTCACCCACCTAACTACTAATCCGCCGGTACCATGCTTAAGTACAGCTGAGCGGACGGGAAGCTCTGTTTTCATGGTCCTATGGTCGTATGTGAAATGAGATGAAAGCAGCTCACTTTAAAGCCAGCTGCCACAAGATCATCCCCCCAGCATGGTTAGGAACGGGGTTTCTTGGATGCTCTCGATTTCAATTCGTTCCATTACTTTGAGACTAATCTCAATTTCAAGACTGTGTATGCCATGTGCTCATCAGCTGTCAGATCTTGCGATCTGAAGCGGGTAGGCCGTTCCTGATGAGCGCTTTGAATTCAAGCTTCCCGCGTTAATCCACGGCTATGAGCTCTGTTATGAACAAAACTAAGCGTTCGTTTCAAGGGGGGGGGGGGGGGGTATAAGTCGGATATTATTGAATATGCTAGCTATCTATACTGCTCAAACGCCAAGTAAGAGAACCGAAAAACAGATCCATCAGGCCATCAGAAATGACGGGAAACAACAGGAAAACGGAAACCGAAGAACACAACATACCAACCCTCATTTAAAGGTCATATCTTAAGTAGTACCCGTTCTTATCGGTGAGCCTCATCAGCACCTTATTAAACTGCTCTCCCTCATCACTGCCTATAGTCTCAATTGCGACCTGCTCAGCGCACCTCAACGAGGGACCTCCGTGGCCATCCGAGGTGGTATTTGCCCAAGGAGTGAAGTCTATAGGGGCATTCCATGGCGCGCCGGTGTCCTGGTACTTCTTAATGGTATTGAACGCCACCGGCTCGTTCTGAGGAAACCCATTCAGCTGACGGGTCCAGGCTAGGCCTATGCCCTCGACTGAAAGTCTGTTCGTGTCGTCGGTTATAGCGCTACGCCACATAAGCTGGCAGTTCTGAGCGCCTTTAGGGACGTTGTCGAAGACGACGACGTTGGTTGTTCCTATGCGTTCGTTTACGGGCTTCTCGAGGTCGACGTGTGGAACCCTGTCTTCGCCGTTGAGATCGCCTCGTGGGTGGATGTTGTAGGAGCGGGGCTGGGTCATGGTGTAGATTTGGAGAACTTTTGCTGCCGAGGATGGAGGTGAAGGCTTGGTACACGGATCTCTGGTGAAACATCCATCGTACGTGAAGCATCTGTAGTATTGGGTTCCTGGCTGGCAATGTACATAGCCGCGCTCATTGAGTATCTCTGTGCTTCGTTCGGAGAGTGCGAGTGCTGAAGTGATGGCAAAGAGACCGGAAATGGCGGAGAGTTTGGCAAACATTATTGGGTTGTACTGATTGAAAGTTGTCGATGAAGGTTGAGACGATGGACTGAATTAGAAGCACTTGGGGAGTTGTAGATGAGAAGACAGAAGAAGAGAATTTGGCAGGTCATGGTTACTGACTAGGCTGGACGGAACAATATATATGCCCCAAGCATATCCACTGCGAATATCCAACTTTCTGGCGTACGATACCATTAATGTAGTGCTACGTGCCTGTCCTCCGCTAAAAAATAGCAACAACGACTGCGCAGCAAGCAAGTATGCTTTTGGCGTAGCAATTTTCGGTATGGTACGGAACTTGGGTAAGTTTGAACTCAGCCAGTGCCCAGATAGAACCGTTTGTTGTACTCAGGGCTGAACTTATCAGCTCTGCCACCCTAACGCCATCGAAAGTGATACTAAATTAACCTACTGTAGGTACTTCCCCACGCATTCGTTCGTGAAAGTGACAACGAGGTAACAGCCTTGAATTTGAACTACCTTTTTCTCCAATGACAATTGATCGGAGCTTACTACGTACCCCAACTATCTCCCAACTGCTTTCAGCTCTGTCGACACCCTATGCCAATGCATCAAGGCTCCGGCAACTAGTCTACCGAAAAAAACAAACGTTTGATAGCCACGCTATTACTCTAAGCCACATTAGAGTAAGTACAAGTCCCGAAGATAACAAGGTCTACTAGGCATCGAAAGAGCCTAGATCTATCAAGTAGCCACTCTTTTTCAACCAGAAGAGCCCTCCTTATTGATAAACTATACTTGATATAGCTACTTTGTGACAAGGCGGTGTAGCCAAAAAATATCAAATTTCTCGGTTTTTGAATTTCCATAGAAAGACTGTCTGACAGAAAAGAGCGCCGGCGAATCCGACTTCATGTATCGTCGAATCTCGATTATGTGGTAAAAGGCCGAGGGAATCACCAACAAACAAATGTTGGCTGTGGAGGTTTCCGGGTGCTGAACGTCGAATGCTGCGCCTTCCACTGCTATCAAAATCAATCTTCACATTCTCTCTTCTGATCATTCAGAAGCCATTGTGAGGCGCAGAAAATCTGAGCGATGTCACGATTCTGCGCATCTGGATCACAATGGTTAAATGCTAGTAATGGCGATGTAAAAGACAGAGCACCATTCAATTTCCATGCTCTAGCAAGAGTGAAGAGTGCCGTGTTTCGATTATTTTTCAGCTTGTTCAAGGTGAATTCCGTAGGCACCCTCAGCTCCTTGACGCTAAGGAAGTCTGCTCCAGCACGTGCATCACGCCATGTGGGTTGAACTAAATGGCTCGCCGGTAGAAGACCCGACATGCGAATACCCCGCAAGTGTACAGCCAATTATACAGTATGGAGCCCTGATAGCAGTTGTTTTGTCTAAAGTAAGCCAGGATCTCAAATGCGTGCGGCCCGCTAGGGAAAGTATAGTTAGGCTCTGTTCAATACAGATCTGGAGGTTTCACATCATTAACGAAGACGAGTATAGCTCGTTGGTGCCACTAACAACTGTAAGATTTCTATTTCGTCTGGACCTTAAGAGTCGCACTCAGAGGGATGAAAATCTGCACCATCACCACACTTCAGGCTCCCTCCATCCGCTTTGATCGCTCCCTTCTCTCAATTCAAGTGTAAGATCTGAAGGCCTGATAGGAGTTTCCAGGGACAGGAACTGAGAAGACCGACAGCTTCAACGCTGTACCACCATAACCATGAACTAAAACTGACTAAAGCATAAAAGGATCCTCCTCTATGTTAGTCCTGTAATGCGTCTCCAAGCTGAACCGAGCAAACGGACTCCTCTGCCTCAGTCGCTTACTAAACTTAAAAAAGATCCAAGGCGTAACGCAAAATACAGCCGCCAGGGCCGCAAGAACAGACCCCGCAATGTTAGCATTGAGTCGAGTATACAATTCATGTGCGATGAGCGGCATCAAGCCCGATGCGATGGCCCTCACAACCGCAAGCCCCGAAAATGCCGACGCAGAGTATAGCAGGTATGAATCAGCGAGGTACCCGCTGAGCGTGTGCGCCGTTTCGTTGACTGCGAATCCGACGAGGACGAGCGCGGAGGTTGGCACAATCCAGTGTATGTTGTTTGCGGCTGGTGGAATTGTCCAGGCGAACCAGGCGAGGCCGATGGCTTGGGCCGGTGCAGCGAAGCTGAAACCCGTGATTTTATCTTCTCTGCGCTTCTCGTCAGTCTTGTGTTACTCGGGGTAAGATGGATCTCGTACGGTTGAATTGGCACTTTCTGGCGCTGACGATCTCGGACAGCTTTCATATCCCACAGGCGAGGGAGAAACGTAAAGAGCACGCCAACAGCTATGGCTAGAAAAGGCAGCGAGGCTTGCGTCTGTGTGAAGCCGAGAGATAGGTAGACTACGGTGAGAGATTCTGTGAACAGGTAGATCATACCCCAAGATGAAGCGGATATGAGTGCGACCATGATGACCAGTGGCTCCGTGAACAAGATTTTTCCAGGCCTGACGATACTGACCCGTACCAGAGCCTTCCAGTCCCGCGCTTCGTCTGGGTTGTGCCACTCCAAATGCCGGATCGTCGTCTCTTTTTTGATCTGGTTGATGATTGCACCTAGGAGAATGCTTGGCCTGCTTTCCTTGACTCCGAAGAGTGCCACAAATAGTGCTGCCGTAACAATAGCAGCGCTATTATATATCCATTGCCATCCTGCAGCCTCCGAGATATAGGCAGCGTAGATGGGCCCGAAGCACAAGCCGATGGTTGTACCCGCATTCCAGAGAACGATGATCCATACTCTTCGCCGCGTATTAAAGATATCCTCAACACTGCCGGCAATCACGACGGACGGAACAGCAGAAGCAAGGCCAGCTACAAAACGGCCGATGTAGACTGATCCCGGAGATCTTACAACGCCGGTAATGAGACTGAATACGCTGAAGGCAGCGCAAGAAACAAGATATAACATACGGCGACCCAAAATCTCGGATAACGGAGGAATGAGAAAACCCCCAAGTGCTTGGCCAAGTTGATACCTGTCTGCTATGAGCACACATCACTTATTCGAATTTTGGGGAGTTGATGATGTACATTAGAGTGAATCCAACCAGGGATTCTTGTCGACTAAATCCATACTCGGATGCAGCTTCCGCTGCGGCGACGGACTAGACGATATGTTAACGCTGCTTTGGTAATTTAATGACTAATCATGATGCTCATCTTAATCAAAAAACCAAGAACTATCAGGGCAGTTGGCATAGTGATTTTGAGAGCGACGATTGGAGAGCCGCCACGCGAGGCTGGTCGGTGAGAGGGTAGCCACTGCTGGCGAAGACTTACTCCAGTGGTACTTATAATAGTCCTGAGCCGATTAGCTTCTGAGTGGAAAGATAGGAATACATATCTCACGTGTACAGTTCAAACAGGATTATGACTGTTGTGTCAAAAGTCTTTCTTTTCGTCGACCAATTCCTTGGATGCGTTTTGCAATCGCTTTGCCAGATGACCAAGCCGTCTATTCCTCTTCTGAGACCATACTGTGCCAGATCCGCCTCTTCATCTACCTTGATGACGACGACATTACTGGCATTTTTCTGATAGACAGAGTCATGGATGTCGTTCGCTTCTTGCACCATTGCAAAAGTGATCAAGATAGATTGGAGGACTGAATTGCCGATAAGCAAGTCGGCACTACCAGTATACTTTTCAATCCAAGCTGGAAAGCTAATAAGCAATGAAACGAATTACCAATGGTGGCGGTTACGGCGACGACACGACGCCATATGTTCAACACCCAACCATGTCGTACGCCATTGAGGCATTCACTCCACGACTTATATGTCTCACCGCCAATTTTAGGTCCTCGTCTCCAAAGCACCAGTAGAAAGACTGGAAGCCGGGTCCCTCGCCAGCTTACCGAATAGTTCAAGACGCCATCCGGGCGTAAAACAACGCCTTTCACTGAGCGTTCACTTGCTCGTGCGGCGTAGTAATAAGCCCAGAAGCCTTCCTAGCTACCAAACCCGAAAGAGGTGATGACACATGAACATCGTCTCAGCACAGGGCTCCACAAATGTTTGATTCCGAGCAGTATCTTCGATCTATAGAGCGTGGCTTCTACCGCTCTGAACCGGGTAGACTATGATACCTGCTGCACGTCAGATGTTGAACGCTCACATCATGGTATGCTCACCTGGTGTACGGTTATTCTCTGAGTGCTTATTCCTGTGAAAGGGTTAGGATCTGAATAAGCACTTAAACGGGGCAAAATGTTCGTCTGCCCAATCGCAACATGGGGTTTGGCCAAGAACCCTCATGTGAGCAAGTTGATGGGTTCAGGCTACGAGGATTTTGTGCTCGAGGGATTTCTTGCGCAAGATGGCGCTGAATGTGGTCGAATCTCATCTTGAAGAGCAGGCTTAGTCTCTAGGTTTTCGCTCTCTTGAGAATTGGTAAGCTGTTTCCGAATAGGAGAAAACCGCCGAGCAATGAAAGTTTATTACAGTTCTTCGTTGTTTGAATTAAAGGCGCAACCACTGGGTGATATGTGCTTGATCTGACTGCATGATCTTACGTGCGATAGGAGCTCTGCCGCCACTACGCCGCACTGTGTATGCCAGTCAATCGCCTCCGCTCCTGGATTTGGCACATGGTCCGACCGGTTTAAATATTCTGAGTCGTACGTAATAAGATTTATCGAAATGGAAAAAGACAAGGTCGAGACCCTACCGATTTCTTGAAACTTGAAAGGCTGAATATATTTGCCTACAAAGCTGTTTTACAAAGCATATTATACGGCCAGATGGCCTGCATGCTGAGATTTTGAATCGACCTTGTGGGAATAAGACGAAATAGAGGTACCTGCCTACGGCTGTAAGCCCAAGATAATACATCAAGACAATGAAGCACAGCCATACCTACTGGGGATCTCCCCATGAAACCGGTTCAGCGTTCGATTTCAGGAGTCAGTTTCCCCTGCAAACCTGTTCCTAATACTCCAAGATGCAGTGCCCTAACTTTGGCTGTAGGCGATGTAATCACCACACCATCCCAAGGCATGCTACTAGCCATTTCTCGGACAACCCTCCACGATGATGTATACGGCGAAGACTCGACAACGCAAAACTTCGAACAAGAAATGGCAAAGACGTGTGGTCACGAAAGCGCGGCGTTTGTCCTCTCTGGTACAATGGCGAACCAGCTAGCCCTTCGATCTCTCCTTCACCAACCCCCTCATGCTATTCTCGCAGATGCTAGTGCTCACATTATTCATTGGGAGGCGGGAGGTGTTGCTCACTTGTCGGGAGCCATGGTCCAGGGGATTCGTCCTAAGAACGGGGTCTACCTCACGCTCGAGGACGTTAAAAAGCACACCAATATTACAGATGATGTGCACAAGTGTCCGACACAAGTCATTAGCATAGAGAACACTAGTTCGGGAGTGATCATTCCTCTAGAGGAGTTGCAAAGAATCAAGGAATGGGCCTCTACACATGGTATCGCTATCCACATGGACGGAGCAAGGCTATGGGAGGCAGTATCAGCCGGAGCGGGAACTTTGGAAGAGTTTGGCAAATGCTGCGATGTCTTGACAGTTGACTTCAGCAAGAACTTGGGTGCGCCTATGGGCGCCATGGTTCTCGGCTCGTACGAGCTAATCAAGCGTCTGAAGCGGCTGCGTAAGAGTATCGGTGGTGGCATGAGGCAAGCTGGTGTTCTTGCCGCCGCAGCGCGACAGGCTGTCGTCGAAAACTTTGGGCTTGGGCCTCAAGACTCTAGAGGTGTGCTTGCTTTTAGTCGCGCGATGGCAGAAGAGGTTGGAAAAATGTGGATGATGAGAGGAGGGATAGTACTAAAGCCTATCGAGACTAATATGGTCTGGCTAGACCTCAGAGGTTGTGGTGTAGAAACTAGTGAGTGGAACGAGATAGGGAGAAGAAATGGTATCAAGCTTGATGGGAAAAGGATCGTGTTGCATCACCAGATCAGCGAGTTGGCAATAAAACGTCTGGGGGCCGCAATGGACGAAGCGCTGGCCCGAGTTGGTCCGACACGACTATTGGGTGTTGCGCCCAAATCTCTGTTATGATTGTACATAGAACATTATGCTGTTGACATACGCACGTATTAGCAGTCTACCGTAAGTCCAGATTTCTTTCAAAAAACAGCCACAAGAACAGAGCAGGGTTGAACGTCAGAGAAGTGTGGAGTAAGATAGATCAAGCGTCCAAGAAGAAAAACCCTCGTTTATCATGAATCTATGTTCATATATGTACAACCATACGTACAAATAAGAATGCATGCCCATCTCAACGCCCAATGCCGCCAGCAACCCACCCCATGAAAGCAGGATCGTTAGGATCGGGGAACACGCCTCGGCCATTGTCTTGCGGTTGCGGATTCTGTTGTTGCTGTTGCTGAGGTCCGTGATTCAGCTGTTGTAACAGTTCCTGCCTCCTGCGTGCTTCTTCTTGACGACGCTGGCGCTGTGCGCGATACCACACAAGGAAAGCTAGGGCGCCCGAGAGCGCGAGGATGACAAGCGATTCGAGAATCTCGGATTCGATATCGTCGTCGTAGTAGTCTTCGTCACCACCGGGCATAGGTGAGTCTTCGTAGTCGTCGGGGTCCAAGTGCTCAGCATCGTGGGCGAATTCGGCGTCGAGGAAGTCGTCAATCCATTCCCAGAACGACCACTCCTTCTTGGTAACTATATGTACTGATTAGCCAATTGTCCTGGACCTGGACAAAATGTGGAGCTTACCTGGTTCGTCTTGAATGGACTTCACGCTGCCGTGCGTGACGGTGTTCCACCAACTTCGCAATCTCAACTTGTACAAGGCAAGCACAACAGGGAGATGGGCCTCACGAGGATTTACCTCCAAAGCCAGGTCGTAGTGTCGCTTAGCGAGGTGGAAATCTTGCTCGATACCGATGCCATTCTCATGCATCCATCCGAGATTCCATAGAGCTTGGGCACTCTGCATGGAGTCAGCAGCTGCTTGATAAGCGGCAGCCGCCTTCTCGGGGTCTGCTTTGGCGCCTAAGCCAAGAAGATAGTAGTCTCCGACTTTGACAAGAGAATCGTAGTTCTTCTGTTCGGCTGAGCGGTTCCAATAGATCAATGCAAGGAAAGCATCGCCGGCCAAAGCAGCCTTTTTCCGCACAAGAGGGAGCAAATCGTTCATGCTAAAGCGAGGCTTGGCTTGGTCGAGGAGGTAGGCAACGTTCACTTGTCCAGCCTCAAAACCTTGCTCAGCAGCCATCATATATCCAACCAGTGCTGCCTCGAGATCTCCGTCTTTGTACGCTTGGTTAGCTTCGGCGAATGTCGTAGAGATTATCTCGGCTTTTTCCGACACCACTTTGTAGTATGCAGAGCCGAGCTCGCACGATTTGTCGCGCCCCACGCCATTGTAAGTAAGTTCGGCGAGATAGTAATACGCCTCGATATGTCCGTTACCCCCAGCAAGCTCAAAGTACTTGATGGCTGTGGCCACGTCGCCTTGGTCAAGAAACAAGGCGCCCATTTCCACTTGAGCAGAAGGAGAGCCTTGATCCGCTGCAGCTCCAAAGTAGCTAGCAGCTTTGACTGCATCTTGGGGAACGCCGAGACCGTGTAGATACAACAGCCCCATGGAATACTGAGACAAGCCATCTCCATGCTCAATACCGCGAGCGAACCATGTCTTTGCAATGGCGAAATTCTGCTGCGCTCCTTCGCCACGCAAGAACATCCGTCCAAGATAGCCAGCAGCCTTAGGGGGGTACACCTTGTCGTGGCCGATAAGAGTTGTCTTCGCCTTGCCATCTTTAGGCCAATACAAACGAGCGATCTCCAAGAAACGCTTCTTAGCTTCGAGGAGATTCTTGGGTGCAGATCTGCTACCTTCATAGCTGTGTCTTGCCAACCTGAACTTCAATTCGATGTTGCCTTTGCGTGCCTGCATATCCATGTATTCCAGCACATCATCGAAGGCGGAATATCGACTCGAATGCACGCCTCCTCGGTCGGCGAGGCGGCCAGAACTACTAACACTGGCTCCCTCGCCATATACGCCGCCTTGCTCATCGGCAATTCTGTATGAGTGTTTGGCCAATGCATAACCTCCTGGTGGACCGCTTCGCATGTAATCGATAGCTCTGTTCGCCACACTCCGGTACCAGTACACGGCATCCTCGCAGTTTCGGGTAGTCGAGATTCCGGCAAAATGCCTATACGCAACAGTCATTGCTGACCGGATATCCCCCTGTTGAGCGGCAAGTGAGTGATACAGCATAGCTTTCGCCTGGTCCTGCTGCACGGCTCTTCCGATGCCCGTCGCATACATAAACCCAACCATATATTGCGCTGTAGCATTTCCATCCAATGTTGCGAGCTGATTGTACAGACGGAAGGCTTCGGTATAATTGCGTGGATGCGAATAGTTGCCGTGGAAATTCAGCTCGGCCAATGTGAAGATGGCGTCGGGGTTGTACTCGGCAGCAGCGTCTTTAAGCAGCCGGACTGCATCGCCGAGCGGAGGGCCCAATTTTCGTGAAGTTGGGTCCGTAGTGAGAAGCTGCTGTTGAGGGGGACCGTTCATGAAGAGCACAAAGAAGAGCTCTTTGGCGTAGTATGCGCTGGTACCGAACACACCCGACTTCTTGAAATCCCACCATGGCGTCGCCGAAGGGCGGATCTTCGCCAATAATGCCGTCGCCTCATTATAAGCAGCCCAGCCGCCATTGTCCCCCTCTTGTCTCTGCGCGCCCCAGTCGTCCCATGAAGCTGGTGGTGTTGAAGAGGATGATTGTTGGTCTCCGAGGGGTTGTTGTGAATGCGCTCGTTCGCTCGCTCGGAAATTGAATGCTGATACGGAAAGAAAAATCGAAAGGAAAACTGGCAGGATGGCAGTAAGTAAATATCCAAGTGCGCGCTTGAGAGTATTACGATACATACTGAAGATGAGCGGCAAGGGCCGCAACAGTCGTGATCTCATTGTGGGATTCTTTCGGCGGTGGAAAGTGACGAGGAAGGGAAGGTCATCTCGACATGCCCACGGGTGGTGGACGACTGGTGGGAGCGAAAGAGGCTCGTTCCGGCGTTGTTCGCGTGTCTGCTACTTCACGTTACCGATGATGCCAGCTTTCATTCCACCCCGACCCACGCGCGGTCACCGTCGCCAAGACGGAGGTGCCCTGGCCAATCATCGTCGAGTCGTCGCGTGATAAAGTACGACCTCAATTGATTGGGAGGCTGCATCGAATGGTGTTTACATATGCATGTGCAAAATAACCTTTTCTATATCATCATTTTCTGCCCACACTCTGCCAGAAATGCTACGTCTCAAGATCTGTCCATCAGCACCAGACTCAAGCACTTACGCCAGCCTACAGCTTCCGAGCCCTACAATAATAAGCCATGTAGATTTGTCATCTAGCAATCTCAACTCTTTTAAAAGATATGACGCGTTCACTACCTCACCACACACAATAACTCGCTCTCTCTCCATACTTACCATCTCATTTTCCTCCCAGGCGCCGTTGCGAACAAGTTCCATGCGCCATCCCTAAACACATTGATCCGCCATGCAGCACGCCCTAGCACGTTCGGAAGAGGAAAGTCCTCTCCTCTCAACCGCCAGCAGACGTGATGATGATAGTGAGGAAGAGCAGGAAGTAGCAGACGCCGAGGAAGCACCTGCAATATCGAGGTCCCGAGGCGCTTTGATTGTCGGATCAATTGGGTTTCTGATCTTTCTCCAGGGTAATTATTTTCATGTATTCTTTCTCTAATTCGTTGTTCTTCGGATTTGATGGTTCATTGTTCTCTTCTTCACTCTATCGCCTCCATCGATCCGTCTTTTCTCTTTGCACCAATTACCTCGAGCTCAGCTGGTGTACCAATGCAATGTCAACAAAGTTGTTCGTCTGAGGTCATGCTGCCCTAGTCGTTGGTAACCCGCAGCGTTTGACGGATATAGGAACCACAACTGGAGTGAAAGAGAGATTCACATGTGAATTGGCAGTGGTGCTGTTCGTATATGCCAGGAACGTTTGGACATCTCATAAAACATGTTCAGACGTTCCTTTCATTTGTGTCCAAACCATCAATCACTTTCTGTCCGAATTGGTCAATTGATATACGGACTCATTTCGATCACTTGCTTACCGTCAATAGCCACAAATATCTCCATCCTCACTACGACTCAGTCCTCCATCGCCGCGGACCTAGACGCTTTCGAGCAAGCAATATGGTTCACCTCCTCTTACCTCATTGCCATGTCTTCTCTTGCCCCGCTCATGGGCAGGCTATCTCAAGTCTTTTCCCCTCGCATGTGTATGTTTTGTTCGACCATCATTCTATGTCTCGGCTGCACCTTGACAGCTTCCGCAAACACGTTCAAGATGTTCATTGGTGGTCGAGTCTTGACTGGAGCAGGCGGGGCGGGCATTTTAATCGTTGCGACCATCATCGCCGTCAAAACCACTAGCCCTCAGAAGCGGGGACTGTATATTGGATTGGCAAACTCGGGCATGACGGTTGGCGTATCGCTAGGGGCTGTCATTGCTGGCGCCTTGGAGCCGAAGATCGGTTGGGTAAGCCTCCCTTGACAATTGTCCCGTCAAAACCCATTAGACTCGCAAGCAGAGGACGTCGCCGTTTGTGAAAACTGACAGGTCTTAGAAACCTCTCTTCGGAATACAAGCACCGCTCAGTCTTGTCGCGGGTTTTGGATTACTTCTTGGTATCCCAGCAGACATGGCTCCCAAAGGTAACAACTTCGAACACACCAGCCTACGGAGTAAGCTTAAGAGCATCGACTACTCAGGCGCACTGCTCTTGATTGTGACGATCACCCTGTTTCTTCTTGGGCTTTCTGGACCTAGCATACTCGTAACACCCCTCATTCTTTCTGGACTTGCTCTTCCCGTATTCGTCCTCAACGAGATCTATGTGGCCAAGGATCCTGTCATTCCCATCGCGGTCTTGCGATCCAGAGGTACGCTACTATCGTGTCTAGCTACCGTCGGATTCATGATGGCGCGATGGGGGGTTCTTTTCTACACTCCCGTATACGCACTCGCAGTGCGTGGCTGGGACCCTGCTGTCGCAGGTTCAATTCTGATCCCTACCAATCTTGGTTTCGCATCCGGCGGCTTGTTAGCTGGTATCTTCCACATTCGCAGAAACGGCAGTTTCTACATTCACAGTGTCGTCTCGATGGTGCTGTTCCCCCTCACGTTCCTCGTTTTGGCTTTCATCTCGAACGCGACGAGCGATTGGGCTTTGTACGTGATCATGGTGTTCTGCAATGGTGCTATCGCTGGTGCGTCTCTCAACTACACCCTTGTACACCTCTTACACCTCACCCTTCCGGATGTCCATCCTGTTGTCATATCTCTTCTAGCCACGTTCCGGGGATTTGCAGGCAGCTTCGGTTCCGCGATCGGTGGGGGTCTTTTCGGGCGCGTACTCCACAAATCGCTCGTGGACGGCTTCGCCAATGCAGGACTTGAAGACCGTAGTGATTTGATCCGGAGACTTCAGGGGAGTCCCGCGACAGTTCCCCTGCTCCACGGGAAAGAGAAGGAAGTGGCAGTATCCGCATATGAAGATGCGTTGAGATCGCTCTTCTTTGGAGCTGTCGGCCTGACTGTGGTCGTAGCTGTGGCCCAAGCTGGAACAGGTTGGAAAGCACCAAAGAAAACGTACGAGCAACTCTCCGAGGAAGAGGAAGTCGAAGGCCAGGAAGGTCTTTTTGGGGGCTCTTAGCCCGCGGAAACTCACACAAATCAACCTACCTGTCATAGGGTTAGCGGAACTAAACGGCAAAGACTGAGATCGGCTATGCCTAACTGTTCTGTATACTCATGATAGGCGTGGCCCAGCTCTTGGATTGATAGTGAATGGCCGGGCACACGATTTCGAGGCTATCTATACAGCCAAAATCCGAGTGTCTCAACAGGAAAAAAAAATCGAAAGGAAGCCGACATCCACATGAACGATAAGAGAAGGAGCAGGATCATCCATTAGGCAATCCTCGTATACGCATGATATAGCAGCCGGCAGATCCTGCAGGGAATTAGACTTGAAACTTCAAGATACGGAATGATTAATCGACGTTCCAGACGAACCTTTTTCGCTACCTATGCCTGCAAATCCAATGTATCCTCGGACGGAGAGAAGCAGTCTATGGACAGACCCAAGAATTGCAGATGTCCCTTGCCGCAACCTTAGCAAACATTCAGGATATGCAAGTAGCCGTTGCAGCCAACACGTCTTGGGTCTATGGTGTATCATAGACTGTTCCACGCCCTCCGATTGTGTATGTTCAGACATCGCAAACACGATGAAACTCAGCATATCCATCGGTTTGTATATGTGTATGCAAATTGCAGAGATGGCCTGATACTCTGGAGGAGAAGATAGTGCATCGCCCAGGTGCGGGTACGTGCATGCACTGGCATGCCTTTGATTCGCTTTCTCACTGTTTCCTTGCGGCAATGGACGAATTTTCATGTCGGCAAGCGACGTCAACTGCTCGACGTGGTGGTCCCGTGACCGTCCACGCTACGCGTTGCTCCTTCCTTCTGTTTCCACGAGCTCGCAACCCAACACACCCCGCCTCCCCTCGACTTCCTCTTCACCCACACTCTCTAGCACCAACTCCCAACATTTCCGCATCCACTCCTTATCCGGACATTCTTTGAACGTCTTCGTGCCCACCATGTATTCCGTGGCCCACCTTAGTCGCGAGCCGAAGAACAACTTCTGCGAGACTTGTGACCGCTCTATCCCCCGCAAGGACTGGTCCGCTCATGCTGCCTCCAAGAAGCACCGTGAGAATACCGAGAAGAAGGACGCTGCTGTCAAGAAAGCTACCTATGACAAGAAGAATGGTGGCTTCTTTGACGACAACGCTGTCAAGCCTGCCTCTGATTCCGGCGGCTTCACTGCTGACGGCTTCGTCACCGATGGCGCGGTCGATGATGGGGGTCAGGATGGTTGGACTGGTAACTTCGAGTAAGTCAAGATTTGATTTGACAATGAGTGATCTCGAAGCAGCACCCGCTAATAGCTCACAGTTCGTTCCAAGGTGGCTCTACCGGCTATGATGGCGATTCTGCTGGTCAAGGCTGCTTCAAGTGCGGGTCGACTGACCACATGAAGAAGGACTGTCCTCAGGGCGCGGGAGGCGGTAACGGTTGCTTCAAGTGCGGTTCTACCGACCACATGAAGAAGGACTGTCCTCAAGGCTCTGGCGTATCTTGCTACAATTGCGGTCTTGCTGGTCACATTGCCCGTTCCTGTGACCAGCCCAAGAAGCCAGGAGCTGGGCCCAAGTGCTACGGCTGCAATGAAATCGGTAGGTCATCTTCGTGGAGCATCTCATCTTGCTCTCTTGCTCACAAAATAAAAGGTCACGTTCGCTCTCGTTGCCCGAATGAGCAGGGCGGCTACGATGCAGGCAGCGGCAATGCCCAGGGCAGCTGGGGAACCCAAGACAACGTTCAAGCAGGCAGCTGGGATAACGACGACGATGGCAGTGCTGACACGAAGCAAGCCCACTGGGATGACGACAACGCAGGCGAGGCCCAGGACTCCTTTGGAGGTGGCTGGTAAATACTACCTGGTTGTTCTTGATCAACTATCAGGACTTACAATGGGTGTACATAACGCTCGCGTAAGATGCTATATATAGCTTTCAATTGCTCCCATGGGGAATATGGAGATCGTGCGACGATTCATGCACGGATGAGGAGTCTCTCGAATAAAATCTTAATGATTGCAAGTCTACCCTGTCCAATTCATTCTCGTGCCCTAAAAACTGGATTTAAGAACACAAACTCCTTCTCATTTCCCCAAACTATCCCGTAAATTACCACACAAGAAACCTCACTCCCACCCAACAATAACTCTCTTCCTCCCAACCTCCCTCCCTGCAATCTTTTTCAACATGTCCGCAAACCCTTCCACCAGATCCCCCTGCCCCGTCTTCTTCCAAGCTCTCGGAATAACAACATGAAAACCATCGAATCTCACCTCCCCTTCACCTAGCCCCTCGTCATACCCCCTTCCGTTAAACGGATTAAACCCCCACACACTGCCCGCCAACTCTGAACTCTTATCCATATTCGTCTCCGTATACGCTGACCATGACCCGCGCGGCGACTCAATATAAGCCGTGACAAATGACGCGGGGATATACAACAAAATCTGCACACCCACCCTCCCAGTCTTCAAGCTTGTATTGTGGCAGGATGATAGTATATCTGCGAGCCCAGTGCAGGATTGCGCTTCGAAATCATACATTTTCCTCCCTCCGTATGCTTCTGGGTTTGGGACTGCAGGAAGCGATGTGCAGCCTGGAAAGTACCTTTTCTCTTTTTGGACTGCCGAGGATGGGGTGAAGGGGTTGAGGATCGGGAGGGAGAGTAAGAGGGGTTTGTTTGGTTTACTGTTCGTGAGGGTTGATGTATTGCAGAGGGATTGGAGGGTGCGGAGGGCGGTTGATGCGTTTGAGAGGGTAGTGTAGGGGAATGGGATGATGGATGGGGTTTGGGGTCGGTCTAGTATTCTGCTTGCCGCTGATGCTGAGACAGAAGACCAAGAGCTGTCGTCGTTGGAGATGGGCGATGGGGAGACGGTTATGAAGATTGTCCGTGTAGCTGAGGTCGTGGTTGTTTTAGTTATGGGGATGGGTCCGTCTTCGTAGCCGGAAGCTTCTGGCGCTTCGTTTTCTGGCTCTGGGATGTCGTAGCCTGGATACTCCGTAGGACGCAGTGGGTTGATGTAGATGAGCGGTCTCGTAGACGTTGGTAGTCCTTCGCTATCATATCCCATGGTGACGTTCCAATTAGTGACGGCTTGTGTCGGAGACGGTGGTGTTTCTTCGGACTCATAGACTTCTGTGGGGGTGGGCAGAACAACATTGTCGTATCCTCCTACAGAGGTAGTATCGCCCAAGGTAACGTTATCAGTGAGATTCTCCCCAGCAGGATACCACGGCAGGATTGAGAAGATGGGTTCCTCTTCTTCGTACGCCGCAGTTGGACTGGGTGTTACTTCGGGCTCATCTACCTCCGTTGGCGTTGGCAGATTCACTGTGCCGTATCCTCCTATGGGTACACTGCCATCTGTGACGTTATCCGTGAGGTTCTCTCCGGCCGGATACCACGGCAAGATGGAGAAGATCGGTTCTTCCTCCTCAACATCATATCCAGTAGTAGGGGTAGGTGCCACTTCCTCTGTCGCAGTAGACAAGACAATGCCCGCATATTCTGTAACGCTTGTGGTAAGGTTCACTGAGCTATTATGTTCCGCTGGAAAATACGGTAGGATCGAGGCGATTTCCTCCACCGCATTGTAGATGGCGGAGAATGTTGGTGGTGGCGTGGGCGCAGGTTCATTCGGGAAGTCGTCGGAGATGACAATCACTACAGGTGATTCACCGGGGGTTGCCGGAGGCGATGTAGGAGTTGGGTAGGTCACGTTGTCGCTGATATTTTCGGTGGACGGGAAGTAAGGGAGGATATGAAAATCGTCTTCGCCATCTTCACCATATCCCGCCGAGGAGCTTGAAGCCGGAGATGATGATGTCGGCGTTGGAGTCGGCGTCAGTGATGGAGGTGTAGTGGTGTAGTACCCCGGATTAGATGAGGTCTCAGTGGTCGAGGACGCCCAAAATATCGATACCGATGTAGATTTCACCTCGATTGGAGACGGCGTGACGTAGATCGTGGTCGTTGTCTTCCCTTTCTTCCCTCCCTTGCCATCATCTTTCTTGCTGAAGGTACCGAACAAATCCCGCCAGAAGTCGAGAATATTGTACTTTTCAAATAAATCACTTATATCCTGGAAGAATCCTTGTGGGTCGTTATCATTGGGTTGGGTTTCATCGGATAGAAGTGCCTGGACAGTTGACAAATTTAGTAACGTTCATGCAAGATCATTCCAGTCAGTCTTCGAAGTGTCATGACTATGCGCAGTACAGTTTCCTGGTAAACTGCATCGTGAAACGTACCTCTGTATCACGAGTTTCAAGTAATCTATGGGCGTGACGATTCCATCTCCGGGCAGGAAGCGTTGCTGCGGTCGTGATAGTGGGTATGATAAAGATGATCGAGAGAGTGATGAAACGGAATACTGAGGGTATCATTCTGCCTGACTTCTCGAAGGAATGCGAAAATGAAAGCCGCGGAGAATATTAGAGGTAGAGAGGCAAGTATATATGAGAATCCGAGCAAGGGACGGACGGTTCCGCCTGGTCGTAGCAAGGGAGAGAGCATAAATATTGATGTCTCGTGTGACATGCCACAAATCCGAGTCAGCTATGTCTACATCACAAGATCTCAATAAGTGGAATTGCAGCAAGTGGATCAGCTCAATTTGTACATTTCCCTCCCACGATTTAGTGGGACCATTAGCATGCAGTTATCCCGAGACTGTAAGAAACAGCCCAGTTGCACTGATGCATTGTCGGTGTTTACATCTGTTATGTTACAGTACATTCCTCTCATACCCAAAATAATCCACGTGTGACAATACTAAGCCCGACCATGCAGCCTCAGCTTCGTGTCCTCTTGGATCTCAAATTTTGTCGGCCTGGCCCACGAATTGTCTCCATAGCGAATCGGATGCTGATTCTTGCATCGAACCAGCAGAAACCTGAATATCTGTTTCTCTTCATCCCTCAACTGTTTTTGCTGCACAGTGTAAAGACCATCGTACCGCAGTCCAACCTCGGGTCGAAAGGGATTCTTTTTGCTGAGTTGATGTGATCGAAAGACCCGCACATTATTATGAACGGTATCGCAGCTTTCCACCATCCGGAGCGTGTTCTCAGTGGGCTTAGAGTTCTTCCCGTCTGTACCGCTATACCAGATCGTATCCCCTTTGTCCTCGTCCTCGTATTGGGATCCGCCTGAAAGTACAATGGAAAACGCTCCACGCAATTTCTCGCCGTAGATACCTACATTGCAAACACCGGTCAGTAAAAGTCTACGGAATGAAGGACGCAGACAAGGTACTCACCACCCTGCGCAGCCCCATGAGCACCGTCTCGCACCAGACATAGCTGCGTGGGCCACCACTGTCCTAAGACCAAGTCTCCCTCGCCATAGTACCGTGCATTTACTTTCTTCCAGGTAGAAGCAATTCTGTCAGCACTACGATCCCGACCCATTCGCACTTCAATGCCACGAAGTATATCGATCTCAAAAACTTCCTGGTGCCAGCGCAGATACAACTGCCATGAATCCATCCTGAGATCTTCGGGTACCTTCATCAGGGTCGTGGCGAAGATACGAGGAAGCCCGTATGCTGGCTCAAGCATTCTGTTCTTCCGGACAACGTATTTGTCTACCCTGAGTAAGATCTCGGCCTTGTGAATTTGGTCTCTCAACTCATCGAATTCATCTTTGCCTTGCTCGCAATACAGGATACAGCTTTTCATGCTCGATAAGGCCGTATTAGCTTGTGACTGATCATATGTGGGATGCTTGTTGATATTTTTCATTCCTAAGCTTGTGGTTTTGATGCTTTCATACCAAATTGGCAGTGGCTTGGCTACGAACTGCTTAGGTTCGGCGCCGTTCACTTGCTCGTGGCTGTCGAAGTTGGAGTTGGAAATGGGGTTAGGTGATACGACTGGTCGTTTGTCTCGAGATGGTCCGCTAGTAGACGGTATATTGCCGATGAGGCCACTTTTTGACGGCCGATGGCTGGGTGGCCTACGGGTTGAAGGCCCACTTTTTGAAATTCCGTTGCTGGGTAGTCGGATGCTGGACGGTCTTTTTTTCGAGGATCCTGATTTGTGTGTTTCGACTGATACCGTGCGGATAGAAGTAGTATTGGGATTCGAGACTACGACAGGGTCATCGTCATCGTCATCTATCTCCATTGGCATTTGATAAGATGAACCAGGCAAGGCATTATTGCTCGGACGGCCGAGAATCGGGTCCCTAGAAGAAAGCAGGGCGTCGATACGCTGGAGTCGGAAATCCATGTCGTTAGAAGACTGGATGATCCTGGGTCGTGAACTTGATTTGGTGATCCTGGGTCGTGAACTTGATTTGGTGATCCTAGGTGGTGAACTTGATTGGATGATCCTAGGTGGTGAACTCGAAAGAATGATCCTAGGTGGTGAAATTGCTTGGATTAAATTTTGAACTCGCCCGACCGACCCCTCCGTCTCGCGGCCAAAGTTCATGTCGTTGGAAGACTGTATGATTCTGGGTGGTGAACTTGGTTGGATTGAGTTTTGAACTCTCCTAATTGGTTCCTCTGTCTCGCCGCCAAAATTCATGTTGTGGGAAGACTGGATGACTCTGGGTGGCGACGGCCTCCGCTGTACTGGGTTTCCTACAATCCTGCCCTGCTCCTCTATCTGGCGGATCACTCGATCAGGAGGAACACCCCAGATCTTGGTGCTATCCTCAATCCTCTTCTTGAGCCAATTTGGGTATTCCATATTGACCGGTTTCCCAGCCATATTGTTTTGGAGGGCTGGAAGCAAGATCTGGGCTGATTAAGAGCTAGATGGCTGTAAAGCCGAAGGTGAAGCGACCCCGGGCGGGGTCTGATGCCGGAAGAGATCCTTACTCAAGAGTGCGACTACAAAAATGTCGGATGAAGACGCAGATAATCAGCAGAATATCCAGACAAAATTCCCACGGAGACGGCAGAGGGTAAGATGGAAGAGACAGCCACAGCCGACGGGTAAGACATTTATTGCTATATGTCTTCTTGCACCTCGCTCAAGCGCGCGTCGTCGCCACACCGGAATCACTTACAGGAATCCGCTTGGTCACTCTTGCCCTTCTCGATTGATGTTGTTCAACCCAGTATCTAGCTAGTGCAGGATCGCGGTTGAATGAATAACTTTTGGTGTCACGGCAGTCGGCAAATAACTTGCTCAACCGTAGGGGAAAGTCGCTGGGGGTATTAGATGAAGGTGGTTGAATCAGGAGGTTGTTGAGGATAGAAGTACCTGCCGTCTCTTACTTTGTACTGTGCATAATTACAAAGCTGTCCCAGCGATAGACGCTCTCCCTGTCTGAGACGCTAGCTCACAAAGAGGAAGGTGCCGAAATGCGGAGCTGTGATTGGCTTGATCGTCCCTGGCTGTGCTTAGTCAAGGATCTCTTGTTTCTACTACCACGACAACGACAACACACAGCGAGTGGTGCCTAGCCCGCGTGCGTTGTTTTCACTAGGCGTAATTCTTACTATAAGTTTTCATGTTTGTTTAGTGGTGGTAAAGAGCGGGATGTATCGAGATCAGCGGTATTTTCTGTCAGGGAATCTGCCTTGTTGATGATTATTTGAGTACTCAAGTGGCTATGTCCTGATGCCTCTTAAATGCATTCCCTGGAATGATTCGCCTGCGGGATCTTCTGGTTACTTCTTGAAGGTGTCTTTACCGACTGGCAGGAGTCTTCTTCGGTCCACCCCAATAAGACTAAGCAAGTCCAACAACACCATCTGCTCTCTTTACACAAACCGCAAAGTCACACGAAATCCTCTTCCGTACGACACATAACCCGCTCGCTCCGCCTACCTGTCGAGATACCCAAGAAGAATCAACCCAATCACCCCAACCATGAACTTGAGACGTCCATCCATAAGGCGCCACGACTGTGCACCGCCACTATATCTCCATCACAGACATGGTTAGGGGCCAGTCTTTTCCCGGCTCGTTCTGGTATCTTCCTTATCTGTGCACTACCTATCCAAGAATTGAATTACCAGTGGGGGCACTATTGGCCTAGTATGCCAGGGTAAGTGACACGAGCGGGGGCGGCGTTGGGTTCTGTACACCGCTCCCATGGCTATAGAAGAGCGGAAGGAGGGGCACAATGTCCGTGCGAGTGGAGAAATTATGAGAACCCTCAGGTTATGCAGAGAAGAGTTTGATGAATATGGTATATTACTCAAGTAGGGAAATCCAAAAGAAAAGATAGCACACATGTCCCACACATATCCTTCGCATTATCGTTCCGCACCATTTCTGCAAATAAGAAACATAGAAATAAAAACATATCTGCATCCTCACCATAATCTCTATATATAATAGAGACCAAAGGGAAAAGGACACACAGAGCCAGCACAGCACATCTAATCTCCACCCCAACCTAACACAATCACTAACCAACTTCTCTCCCGTCCACAAAACTACATACCCAACGCCCTCTCCCCCAAACAAACAAACAACCCTCTAGCTCAAATCCGCACTCAACCTACATCTAAGAAACAGACAAGGGCAAAATATAACTTACTTTCCCCCCGTGATCCCTTACAAGACAACAAATAATACGTACCTTACACACTCTTCTCCTCCCCACACAAAACCCATCTAAAAGATACATATAGTCAAGCCGCAGTGAGATATGGCAAGCAGGGAAACAAAAAACCCGGAAAGTAGAGAGTAAAAGATAGGAGGTTATCAAGATAGAACAATAATTAGAAAAAAAATTGTTTTGTTTATTGAGATAGCGAGGTGTGTATGTATTAAGAGAAAAGAAAGAAAGATGTTTTCTGCAAGAAATAATCTTCGTGATAAGGGAAAGGAGGAGGTATGTACGTTAAGATTTGATTATATGTATATCGGGGCTTATATGATGATCTAGTCATAACAGCGGTTTATACAGGTAGAAAGGAAAAGAAGGGGAAAAAGAAAAACCCGGGGTATTTCTAAAAATATATACAATCCTCCCTGCTCCCCAAATCCAATCCTACCGAGATCTAATAAACTATAAAACTGCAGAACGAGCTTCACACACCACCAACACCACCAGCCTGCCCACCCAACCCCACATCCTTCGCCTCATCCCCCTTCTTCTCGCCCTCCTCTTCAACCTCGGCACTCAAACAAACCCACCCCCTAACCCCATCCTTCCTGGTCCCCAAGATCTCCTTATCATCCTCCACCTCGTCCACCTTCTCCCCCTCAAGCTCCAAATCCTTCACACTAGTCCTCGCAACCTTGACCCCGGCATCCCTCAAAGTCTGCAGCACAGCTCTAGTATTCAACCTCAACACTCTCTCGGGTTCTTTTGCGCCCAGGACTTTGGTCGTCAACCACGGGAACAAGACTCCAAAGTCGCTTTGCGAGAGATGTGCAGAGTGGATGGGGTAGAAGATGTGGGGGCCTGGTTGCGAGGGGTCCGCGGAGGAAGGTTTGGATAAAACGCGCTTTGTTTGGTTGAGGTTCGTGGTCCATTTGAAGAAGGCTTCTGAGAGGATGGCAAGGAGGGTTGATCCGCCCGTGGGGTTGTCAGAGGCGTAGCAAGGCATTGGTTTGGCGTGGAGCCAGGTTGTTGACGGGGAGTCGAGGGGGAGGGACCAAAGGTCTAGGAGGATGACTGGGGTACGGGGAGTGATTTGTTTGAGGAGTGGGGAGGACGAGGATGGGGCGTAGAGGGGTTTATAGGAGGGTGGGGGCTGGTGTGTGGTTGGGTTGTAGTAGATTGATTTCGCGAGTTGAACCATTGTTGCTGCGCCAAAGGAGTGGCCTGCGAAGGAGATGGCGCCTGGTTCGTGAACGTTGAGGGCGTGGGCGAACATGGGGAGTTTAGTATCGTTGGAGGATTTTTTGGAGGTGCCTTCTGCAACCATTCGCAGGGCGACGCCTTCGTCCATTTTGAGGAGTGCGTCGTGGATCAGGCCAATCTCCCACAGTCGGGTTCTGAGTTGTTTGTCTCGCGCCTCGTATGTTTCTGTAGATGCCGAGTGTGGTACTTTGACGTAACCGATGCGTCGAATCTTTTCTTTTTCGTCTGGAGTATGGACGAAACTTATGGGCGCACTACCGTCCCGATGTTCTGGTGCAACTACCACGATTCCGTGACTCGCCAGCGATCCACAAATGTGAGAGTATGCGTTTCGTGAACCTCCTAATCCATGTGAAAACACCATGACAGGCCATCGTTTTGTCTCTGCTGGAGGCTCGAGCATTTGAGCATTCGTATGTACGGGTATATCCACAAAGTAAAGTGTCTGGGGAAACATGCTGAATAGGCTTGCCAGCGCATTCCCCGCACCAAGAAACTTCGCATACGCACTCACAACCTCTCTTTGTGGGTTATGTATCCATTTCACGCCCCGCTGGTTGCTATCTGCCTTCGCTGGGTAGAACATGCGGAACGCGACGGTTGGGATGTCCGGACATGGTGGCGATTGGGACGGGTCGTGTGGAGAGGATAGATTCGACGTCGGTGTCTCGACATCGACAGATCCCACCTTATACGGGCCAGTGTAGGCTGGAAACGTGGGTGTGGGATTAAATCGACCCAACCACGACATGTTGGGTGCCGTTCGGAGGTTTGGAAAAGATCTAGGAAGGCGTGGAAACGACACGTTGGTTGTGTAGTGAGGATGTCGTCTACTATAGGGGGGCGTACGTGAGACGTAAGTTATATGAGAATTGTTAGGAAGGCAAAGACAGAAGAGAAAGTCTAGAGGTAAAAAGATAAAGAGGAGAAGTGAGAGGAAAACAAACGAGGAAAAACAGTGACGAAATCTAGAATCCCTCTAACGCAGGAACATCCAAAACTTCGATCGGGAGGTGGCACGCGATCAATCGCCCCCGGGTTGCAGCATAATGCACATGCTTGTTTTTGCGTATCAAGCTGCGGATGGTCAGGTCGTCCGAGACATCAAGCCCCGACAGTTAATCCAAGAACTCAGCTCGTATCGACATCCACATCTTGTTCCGCTCAATCGACAACAGTCCTGCTCGTGTGCCCTGCAACCAGATCGGCGAGTCCGGTGGATATGCGCACCGGGATGACGTACGGAAGCTTCGGAAAGAAAAAAGGGAAAAAGCGAAAGGCGATAACGCTAGTCTATATCAAGCCACAAGCCTCGGTGCCGCGGTTCGGCGATCTTCAGCCCGTGGTTCTGTTCTCAAGTCAGTCATTAATTGACGAGGAATACTGTGAGAACACGGTATGACGTGGGACTGCCGGAGTGAGCATAAAAGACGGTGAATACAATAGGAAATGAGAACTAGAGTTCGTGTACGTCTAAGATGTGTATTATATGATTACAGAATTATGGGTGTATATGTGCCTACGCGAAGAAAATATATCATCAAGAGCGGACGAGGCTCAAAGAGCAGGAAGGAAATACAGGCGGCAAACAAAAGAACACATTCAGAAGCAAACGCAAAACTTTGCGGATGAAGACCTTGCCAGCTTCGAGCATGCTGAACTCAGCCAAATCAAATCATGAGAAACCTTTAAGCTGTCGAAATGATGTAAACATCAACAACACCCTCTTCTTGATCTCCCCGTGCTCCCACTCAACCGAAACACTTCTTCCCATTCCCTCAATCCCCCGCCGCCTCCTCTTCTCGATCGACCACGATGCCGAACGCCTTCACTCCCGCTCTTGACGCTGCCACCGTCGTCCCAGTTCCCTCCCCAACCTCCGATATCTCCATATTGGATCCCACTGGCTGGATCGTCTGGGTCGATCTCTCCCAACTCGATCTTTGTTAATATCATTCTGGCCAACTTCTCAAACACCTCGTCGACATTCTCCCCACTTAACGCCGAGACCTCCATAGCGACGGGGATCCCGTTGGAGCCGGCCCAACGCGACGCTGTGTCGAATGGAACCTCGCGGCCCTCGGGAGCAACAGTAGCTTTTGAGCGGCCGAGCGATGCAGATGTAGACATCGAAGACTGCGACCCCGGTGTAGGAGGGAGATGACTGCCATCATCACTCGCATAACTGCCAAATGTGCTGCTGCCAGACCCGCCTACACTCCCCAGTATGCTTCCAGGCTCGGCGGCGTCCACCTTGTTTCCCGCCATGACGACTGTCAGTCCCGGCCCCGCCAACGCTCTTGCATCGTCCAAGAATGTCTTGAGACCCTCGAGACTCCGCCAGCTACACACGTCGTATACGAGAATCGCACCCGCCGCTCCGCGATAGTAGCTGCGACTCACACTTCTGAATCGCTCAGTGCCGGCCGTGTCCCAAAGTTGGAGTTTGATGCGTTTGCGGGAACTGTGCGAGCCATCGCGCGGGGTGATGTGGACGATCTTACTTGCGAATTCGACGCCGATGGTTTGCGAGGAGAGGACTTTCCAAGATTGGTTGACAAAACGGTGGAGGAGGCAGGATTTCCCAGCGCTGCTAGGGCCAAGGAGGATGATTTTGGCAAGGTAATCGTACATGCTACCCAGCTCCTATTGTTTGTGAAAAACAAGCATTCGTCAGTAAAGCCCTGTCGCGATAAGGGTGTGCGCAATGTACCTACTCGTGCCGGCTGGGAGTCGCTTCGGCTCGACGCGTTGCTTTGGTTGCGCGGCCTGCCCATTTTGCTTGTCCCTTCCGACCTCTTCTCGCTGGTGTTTTGCGTCTCGTAATTTGGGTTTCTTTGGCTTATTGACCAAAAGACGGTCTGGGACGCTTTGTTTGTTGTGTCAGTCGCGCGCTTAGTGTGGAGCTGCTAAAGTAGCTTAAGCAAAGCCCAGGAGGTCACCGGTCAAGGTGCAAACGAAGGATGTGTATAGTGGGTACGGTATGAATGGGTATGGAGCATTTCGCAGTTCTGCATTGATGTGTTGTTTCCGACGAACAGCTTGGCTCCCTTATCTTTGAGTGACGACAGACAAGCTAGTCCCAATAAGCCACTTGAGCGACAGGGTCTACCATTCACGTGTGCACATGGTGTGCATGTGCGATTCGTGGGCCATTTGTGTACATCAGATGAATCAAAAGACGGTCATGTAGTAAACGAACAATAGATTTATGCACAGTTTCACAACTCAATATATACAAGTCGCCCACACCAACTACTTACAAAAACAAAACAAGGAAAAATGCGTAGCAGCATTGTCATCAAATGGTATCCCCGCAATATACAAATGAAAAGCTCTTCTTTAACGCGGAGATCCATCTAGTGATCTCCCATGTCCCTCAAAGGCACATACCCGACCTCCTCCCTATTTCTCCTTCTCGCGGCAATCGTCTCCTTGACCCAGTCAACTGCGGTGCCAAACACACCTCTCTCCGAGGCGCTCATCCTCTCAGCCTCCTTCTCGCTCTCAGGGATCTCGGAAGTGGGGTCCAACTTGGACACCTTCAACCAGCTGGGTCGTTTCCAGTACCTGAGATGAAGCGAGCTGAGCACCACTGACACGGACGAGCATGCCATGGCTGCACCAGCTGCCATGGGGTGCAGACTGAGACCCCAGGGTAGGAAGAAGCCCATTGCGAATGGAAGGCCGACCACGTTGTACATGCACGCCCATGCAAGGTTCAGCATGATGCGCTTGAAGATGGCTCTGCTCAGGCAAAGACTGGCGGGTATAGCAAGGAGATCGGTTGTCGACATGAGCACAATAGAAGCAGCCTCCATGGCGACATCTGTGCCAGTGGATAAAGCGATACCGACGTCTGCGGAAGCGAGAGCAGGAGAATCATTGATACCATCGCCGACCATGGCGACTATCCGTCCGCGCGATTGAAGATCTGCCACAATAGCCTTTTTGTCTTGGGGAGTGGCGGAGGCGTGAACGTCTTCGGGGTCGATTCCAACTTGAGCTGCAACCACGAGAGCAGAAGATGATGTGTCTCCGGTGACGATGGATGAAGTGATGCCAAGTCGGCGAAGGGCAATTACAGTAGCGCGAGCGGATGGCTTAATGGTGTCGGAGAGAGCAAGAGTACCCGTGTATGTCTTGCCAATGGCGGTATGAATGGTGGTCAAACCAGCGGAGCGAACTTGTCTTCCACCACGGGGGTTGGCAGCTGCAGAAAGGTCCGCCGATTCATCGTCAAAGTCCGGTACATTCACACCCTCCAAGGTCAAGTAGGCTGCGTTGCCGATGAGGACTCTGTAGCGAGTTCTCTCGCGAGACAAAGCAGCTTCGACAGACGCGGCAATACCCTTACCCACAACAGCCTCAAAGTCTCCAATAGATCCATCGAGGGTATTGTCAGGTCCAAGTCGAAGCTGTTCTTTTGCAGATTGGACAATGGCTCTCGCAATCGGGTGCTCCGAACCCATCTCCGCAAGGCCGATCAAAGTCCACCAGAGTTGCTTCTTGTATTCATCCGCGGCCCATTCGCCCTGGATATCAGCCTTGGAAACGCTCATCTTTCCTACAGTCAATGTGCCGGTTTTGTCGAAAACAATGTGGTTGACCTTGGTGGCAGTCTCCAGAGCAGCGCCGCCCTTGACCAAGATACCTTGTTCAGCTCCGACACCCGTGCCGACCATGACAGCGGTAGGTGTGGCAAGACCGAGTGCGCAGGGGCATGCAAACACAATGACCGCGATGCAAAGTTTTAGGCAGACCATCAGCTTGCCTCCACTTGCGTGATCCTGAAAGACTTTCGGGGGGTCGGGCAGAATGTGACTAAGAACCATCCATGCGACGAAAGTGGATAGACCGAGAGTTACGATAATGGGAATAAAGTATCCGGCGACCGTATCCGCCAGTCTTTGAATGGGCGCACGACTGGTCTGCGCTTCCTGGACGAGACGCACAATTTGACTGAGTTGGGTGTCTCGACCAGCTCGTGTCACGACAAAGTCAATCCGACCTGCGCCATTGACGGTACCAGCCATGAGAAGGGAGCCCTTCTTCTTCTGAACTGGCATGGCTTCTCCAGTGACCATGCTTTCATCAACATAGGATTCTCCTTGTGTCACAGTGCCGTCGGCAGGAATCTTGTCTCCGGGGCGAAGGACGACAACATCACCGACTTCGATAAGCTCGGTAGCAATGATCTTTTCTTCGATAGCGTTGCCGTCCATTGATTGCCGTTCGCTCTTCTCGTCCTTCACATCCCAGCCTTCCGCAGCTTTTGCAGCGGCGATTGGGTCTGCGTAAATTGTAGCAGTAGACGGCGCAAGGGACATGAGCGTTGACAAGGCCTTTGAGGTCTGGCCCGTCGCACGTTTCTCAAGATATCGGCCTATGCAGATGAATGTAAACAACATAGTACTTGTCTCGAAGAGTGTCGTGGGTTTTGAGTTCGGGGGGATGAAAAACGAAACCAGCATAGAAGCGCAACTGAAGAAAAACGCGGCTGATGTTCCGAGCACAACTAGGACATCCATGGTGGGCGAGCCGTGGCTGAGAGACTTGTAAGCAGAAATGTAGAACCGCTTGCCAATACCGAACTGGACAGGAATGGTGAGCACCAGGCAAACAATGTCACCGAGGAAGAGGCCTTTCATGATCTCAAGACTTCCGTAGTCTAGGAATGGTAAAAACATGGGGATGAACATGCTCGTGAGAAAGACGGGCAGAGCGAAACACGCTGATATCTTGAGTGCCTGTCTCCACTCTTGAATTTCTTTTGTTTTGGAAAGTGATTCCAGCTGGGCATTGTTGTCCTCGGAGTCTGCCACAAGGGCATTATAGCCAGTAGCTTCGATCGCTTCCACCGTGGCCCGAAGACCAATAATCTTGGAATCATGCTGGATCGTCGCTCGAGATGTGCTGAAATTGATGGTGACAGACGTGATGCCCGGCTGTTGCTTCAGCGATGATTCCAATTCTTCGGCAGCCTTCGCATTGGGGAGACCGTAGACTTTGAGGAAGATCGGGCCATTATTGGTGAGGGTTTGTTGTACGTTGCCGTCGAGAGAAGAAACAATCTTGGCATCAAACCCTCGGTCTTCAATGGTTTCTACGATTTGATCTGCGGTGAGTTTTGCGGGATCGTGCACAATAACCGCGCGTTCCGCGATCAGACTTATGTTGAATTGGTAAACACCATCGACGCCTTTGAAACCCCCTTCGATGGCCGATGTGCAAGCGCCGCAGGTCATGCCCTCCACACTGACGGTGGTGGTCAACGACTTCTTCTCTTTGGAACCCTTGCTAGATCCTTTGTCGGCTTTTTGAACTACAGTATCCACAATGGCAGCATCGAATCCAACGTCTTCGATAGCTTCTGCTAGCTGCTCGGGAGATATTACAGTGGTATCGTGTCCAATAACCGCGCGCTCGGATATCAAGGAGATACTGAAGGACTGGATGCCAGCAACGTCCTTGAATGCGCCCTCTACCGCCGATGTGCAAGCACCGCAAGTCATACCGCCAACCGAGAGCGTGGTAATGGCATCGTGCGATTCGGGCTCGTCTTCTTCTTCCGAGTCGCTCAAAAAGTGGTCCGGGGCAGCCAGTGGCAGATCGGATGAAAGCACCTCGGCATCAAAACCTCGATCTTCAATGGTCTCCTTGAGCTGGTCCGCCGATATTATGTTTGGGTCGTGCTGGATCACGGCACGCTCCATGACCAGACTGATGGACACAGTTCCTACTCCGTCCACACCTTGAAAGCCGGATTCGATGGCGGACGTGCATGCACCGCATGTCATGCCTTCCACTTTGAGGGTTGTGGTGGCCATGTGCGCCGTCGCACTCTTCGCAGGGGAAGCCATATCGCGCGGATAAGGTACAGGGTGGGGTGAGGAGGCGAGGTGGATGATATAAAGGCGTCAGCGGCCGGTACACGGCTTGCGTGGGGGGAGAGCCGACGGAGTGTTGGTGGGCTACCGCATGCAGTGGATGAAAGAAGCAGGACAGCAGCGTAACGAAGGATCAATATCGATTACGGGGGCGAGGAACCGGGGGGGTTATAGATATGTCGGTAGATGAAGGGCCAGCCTTCCTTAAGTGCCAGATGGCAATGTCTGTCAGAGCGTGATAATACGGGATATCCGGAGGAGGGAGGGCCGAGAGCGAGCCACTGTAGAGTATATAATGCAGAGAGGGCTGAAGCCACACTCTCTGTTTGGGGAGCGGGCCGTCGAAGGCACCCAAGATAGACTAATGCCGGCGCGCTGTGATAGGGTCGACAGGGGTAAGTGGTGGTCGCCACGCGCGCCGTTGGTTGCTTTGAAATGCCCAAAAGCTCACGAGTCTTAAATTAGACCTGTGCTTTGGTGGTACACTCGTGTTGTGGAGGCCAGGAAAGAATAGCGACGTGAGAAGAAGCACAAGACGGTCTGGCGGAGCAAGCGGCTGCTATCTTCACCATATATGCACACAGGTTATCACAGATTATCGACTTGCTTTGACGCCTAGCATGTTTTGCCTTGGCATGGTGTGAAACAGGAAGGTTTGAACTTTGCGGGCACCAGGGCCCCTTCGCGACGCACTACTGACCGGTACCTCGTCTACACTTCCCGTGGCAAAAGCAGAAAAACAAGGGCGCATGGGAAAGCAACAAAAGAATGTTGGTGGGTGAGACAGCCCATTCATTGTACGAAGCCAGTGTTGGTGGCATTCAATAGTCTCTTCCCATGCGGACTTCTTAGCGATCGATGCTCACTTGAATACGGCATCCTGATGGCGCATAACTTTGAAGACGTGGAACCATGGAAGAGTTCTAGAGCTTGTTAATCCAGATCCCACACCATACTCGGTGCGACTGTAGCGTCTCCCTCGCGGATGTTGTGCGAACAATGGATTCGTGCTCGTCGCATTCAAGCTCGCACGCGGTTCCAGCTGGACAGATTGATCAATTAATTGATGAGATAAGCCTTCCTCGTGACCATCGTTTGCGGCTCTTATCGATAGAGCCCGCCAAGGAGGGAGCTATCCTCTGCTGTTGACTTGACCCCACTAATCCATCAGGCACCACCATCACATCCATCCACCAACCCAGGTCGCTCTCTCAATACTCATACCGTCTACATTACGTCCGAAACAACCATAAAGCAATCGAATTCGAACACAGAATGGAGCAAACGCGGGCTTTGAACGCATTGGAGCCCTTCCTCGCCCTCAGCAAATCCGCGACATCCCCGCGAGCCGCCGCAGACCTCATCACCCAAGCTACCTCCGCACCAAACACATACGTCTTCGCCGAGCTGTTGCAGACGCCCAACATCCAGAAGCTCAAGGATTCGTCCGAGTATGCATCACATTACACCCTTCTTGAGATCTTTGCGTGGGGAACTTGGGAAGATTACAAATGTACGCATCTCTCCTTCGCCCACCAAGCTAGACATTGCACCTTTTCTTTTTGAATCGCCCTCAAATCCACCCTGTTCAAAGCTGACTCGATTCCAAATACAGTACAACAGTCCTCCCTCCCCAAACTAAGCGCCCAACAACACCAAAAGCTCCTCCTCCTCTCCCTTCTTCCACTTTCCCACTCTCACGAAACCCTCACATACACATCCCTCCTTGCCGCTCTTGATCTCCCCACAACCCGAAGCCTCGAAGAACTCATAACATCCGCAATCTACGCTGGCCTCCTCACCGCCACCCTCGACCCCGCCCACTCTCTCGTAGCCGTAACATCTGTAGCGCCGCTACGCGATCTAGCTCCAGGATCGCTGCCCGCCATGCAAGCTGCGCTGGCGAGCTGGTCAAATCGCTGCGACGCCGCGCTGCTGGATCTCGAGGCCCGCGTTGCTGAGGTCCGCAAGGCCGCTATCGATCGCGAGAAGACGAGGCGCAAGAAGGAAAGGGTGCAGGAGGTAGCAATGATGAGTATGGAGGAGAAGGGCGGTCAAAAGCGTAGCGTGAGTGGCCTAGGCGATGAAGATATTATGGACATTGATCAAGAGTCGGGCAGTGGTCGCACATTCAGGGGGGCGAAGAGGGGCCCTGGAGGGTCTTTCGGAGGCACGTTTAGTGGGTTGGGTCGTAGACTCAATTGAGATGGGATTCTCTTGAACTACTGATGGTGACGTCAGCGGAATGGGTGATTGTTTTTCGCTTCTTACACGGACATGTGCGTCTGTCTGACATGGAGTAATGGGGTTTTCGTGGGATTATGTTTGGCGTGGGAGTTACTCAAGTCATGCAATGCACCTACATCTTAGAGACTGTCCGCTTGGACAGGATTCCGCAGATACAGAACTTGTGAAGTCGATATCAAAACATGTGGCATTCCTCCCAGTCGTACCAGTCTCGAAAACACAAAACCAACACTGCTGCGTACTGCTTGCTATCCCGACCACGACACTGTACTGTAGATGCGGAGTATATCGCTCCACATCTTCCAAGAACATGGCCGCATAATTACCAAGAATATCGCTTCATGCCTAGGTAATCTACCAAGCACCATGCAACATGATTACACTTGACAAGACAAAGACAAACACACAAATAGACAAAGCAAAAAATAAAAAGCGAAACAAGCGGCAAAACTACCATGAAACAGGATACGAATCATCGCGTTTATTTTTCTCTGGGCATAGTAAACGCATTAATTCAGAAAATTGGAACTGGTCCATCGTGTTTGTTTGTTCCTCCCCTTCTCCCCGCCCTGAGATATGAAATCAAGTCGATTGATTGATTGATTGATTGATTGATTGAGGAGGAGGAGAAAGAAAGATTACATATAATAAACGATTGAGCGAAGGTGCGGGGTGTGGAGGTGGAGATGGGAAAGAGGGGATTAAACAGAGAGAGGACGTATACAAGTGTGATATCAATATTGTTTTTATTTGGTATCGCGGAAAAATGGTTACTCAGGTAGTTGATCAGTTATGTAGTTGGCTGGCTGGGAGTTCAAAATGCAGACGAGAGGACAGGACAGGACAGGACAAGACAAGACAGGTGAAATACACATAACCAGTAATTCATATACTCAAGTCCTAAGTGTATAAAGAATGCAACGAATATGTATATTCAGATATTCCTTTTGACGAGCGCAACAGAAAGCCAACAAGAATCCCTTTTTAAAAAACAACCGGGGGGAGGGGGGGTCCCATCTACTTATAATAGGGCGCAGCAGAAAAGCAAACGAAACAAAATCCCCTTTTTTAAAAACACCATGGGTGAACCCCACCCCCCATCTATTCGAAAAAACGGACAAGAAAGAATCCACGCCCCATGTCAATCGTATATATATATATTGGGAAACACTGTCATCCCAAGTTCCCAACACAGAAGCAAGCAAGCGACTATTCCCCCAGTCGAACATGTGTCGAGAAACCCCCAAAAGACCATGATGAATGATGGATAATTTCCAAAAGGGTATTCCAAAAAAGTACGCAAGGGGAGTCCGAACCTAGAGGCGGCTGCAACCAAGATGAGGAGAAAAAAAAGGCAAACAGACAACAAAAAAAGGCCAAGAAGAAGGTGTGAAAACAATTCATTAGATACAACAGTTCCTGCTTCGCGCGTCGCAATAAAACTAACAAAAAAGTTTACTACTACCCCATCAATATTCTCTTTTTTTGTCCTTTTCTGATTTTTTTGGCTTTGCAGAGGCTTTCCTCTCCCATCTACGCTGGCGCGGCTGGCGGCTGGTATGTTTGTGATGATGAGTTTGTGGTTGTGGATGTGGAGGCGTTTGAGCCGTTGAGGAGCCGGCGGGTCATCTCTCCCAGGGGACCTGAAGCCATCATGCGCAGAGCTGACCGTGTGGCTTCGACATCCAGCTCGCCCCTTTCCTGTGCATCCTTGAGAAACTGCTCCCATTCCGCGTCCATGGGCAAGTGTGCACCTTCTTCCCGCAGGCTCGCGGCATGCATGAGGCGCGCATTCAACTCAAAGCCGACGCGCTCGTCAATGTCCGGTTCGTCGTCATCATCGTCGTCCGAAGGTGGCTCCGCAGAATCGGGCATCTCGGTGTCTGTGGGGCGGAGCATGTTGGCATCATCACCGGTGACGTGGTGGTGTTGCAGATGATGGGAGCGTGCGGTCATGGCGGGCATTTCTTCGATTTCCACTTCGATGTCGGTCTTGACGTTGATGGCTTTGCTGGCACTGGTGCGCCGTGTTTTCCGCCTGTCGACCCACTCGCCAATGTCCATTCCTGTGGTGTCCAAGACACGGCAGCCCTCGTCGCGTTCGTATCGTTCACGCGCCCACAGTGTGCCTTCCCAGCGGCAGAAGCCTTGAATCTCCGAGTCGGTCAGGCCGAGGATATCGAATGCTTCGAAAAGCCTCTTGTGGTGAGGAAAGCGGCCAAGGCGCTTTCTGTGGGGGGCGTAGGCATAGTTGAGGCCTGGGTAGCGAGCTTCTATGGTTTCGAGAGAGCCGTAGAAGGTTGCGGTTTCGATGCGAACTTCGCCGACCAGGTCCTTAGAGAGGTGAGCGGAGAAAGAGGGAGGGTCGGTAGGGGATGGTTTGGGAAACAGAGTGTGGTAGACGAGGACGGAGATGGGGGTTTTGCGGTGCATGGTAGCGGCTGCGAATGGGTATATGTGTATGTGGCGGAGGTAGATTGGCGGAAGGGTGCAAGTTGTGTCGCACGGAGAGAGAGTTATGAGGGCGGTTTTCAGCTCTTGGTGAGAAAGAGAGAGGAAGGGCAGGAGAGGTGCGACAGGCCAGGGGCGGCGGGCTGTGGCAAGTGCCTGAGTCGGGGCGGGCTAGTTGTTGTTCCTTTTTCTCCGGGGCAGGAAGAAAACGTGGGGTGCGAAGGGAGCGGAGGAGGGTCGAAGAAGGAGAAGGGGAGAGGCGGAGAGAGTTGAGTGGTTGTGGTGGGAGGGAGTGGAGGTCGGAAGGCAGTAAAGTGTCGAGGGTGGAAAGGGCTGGACCTGTCGAGGTTGGAGGCTTCCGATTCGTTTTCCGAGACAGCAGGCGAGCAGGGTTGTTAGGGGTAAGCAGGGCCCTACGGCCAGGGCGTGACCTTTGTTTAGCACCACACCAACAAGTGACTCTTTGACACCCACACTCGCTCTCTCGCCGTGTCGAGTGTTGTTCGTCGTCTCTTTCTGCTGGGCTTGTCTCGCCGTCACACGCACCTTGCACGCAGCTGGACAGTGTGCGGCTGATATCCGCAACGGGCAAAGGACAGGAGGACCACGACGGAAAGAGGCAGAAGAAGTGATGGCGGCGGAGCGGTGTGGCGGTGGAGGTTGGGTCGGAGATGATGGTGATGGTGACGATGGCGGTGGTGATTATGATTTATTGTGCCGGTATGGTTGTCTGCGGTGTGGCGGCCCCTCGTTTCGAAGGGGGTACGGGGCAGGACTCGAGAGTGAATGCAGCTGGCCGGTCCGTGGGTTGGGAGATCTGCACGATGCCGTGATCAAGAGCACACTTGAAGGCACTTTCAAACGGTTACTTCAACACAAGTACAGTGTACAGGCAAACAGAGATGGGGGAGTGAATGCTCAAGTGCACATGCAACCGCGACGGCAGGACATGCTTATGTACAAGCAACCAGCAACCCCCTCACCGCCTCCCATGTACCTGTATGTATGATTGCTGCCCTCGGTCCATTCATAGGGACCAGTATGTCTAATTCACACGCATCGCTGTGGGTTGATGGATGCTTAATCCTCCTATATGCACATGGCACGGCCAATTCCATGTCCACGCCCAAAGCTAGGTAGGACCGGGGCCAGCAGAACAGGACATCCCAGGCCACTCACATGGACATGTCCTTGTCCCGTCTGCACGCACGTCGCTGCATCTGGTGGTGCCATCAACCATCCATCATGTACAACATCCGTCTGCGTTGTCACCCACTGACTTGTCTTGCCGCAAGCCAGAAGCATATATATTCACGACCCACAGGTCCTGTGCAACCCGTCGCCTTCGACTTGCTCTAGCCTTTGCCCTGCCTGCATGGCCAAGCGCCTACCTTGTCCGCCTCTTCTTGTTGACTTGCCTTTGGTGACAGACTCTTGACCTCCAGTGTCCTCGTGATCTCGATGGACGCCTTTGCCAGCTGCGGTTTCCACCAGATGCTAATTCCCCGACGCCCACCAAATTGCGCAACTGACAACCAACACTTGGCCTGCCGGGTGGTCCCAGCATGCAAACAGATCGCCATAGCGCTTTGCCGCCTTGCATGATATCTTTTGCGCTTGCCAAACCCAATGGATACAGCATTGCTCCTCAAGCTGCTGTTGATAAAGTCTTGGGTTATACACTGGTATCCTGGTCTCTGTCGTCTCTAGTACCATCCATGGCAGTTAGCCACTATCTGCATGAATCTCAATCTAACATCAATTGAATTGATTGCAACCTCACCCCAATACATCCACCCTACCTTTGCACCAGTTTGAACTATCGATTCGCTTGTCTCTGTGTTTTATGCGTGCAACGTAGTGCATTCAAGAGTTGCTGCCCATCAGCGGTGGGATCAATCATCAGAGAAGGTTGCGATGCTTTAGCGCGGTTAGCGCTTCCTTGGTCTCCCCTTTGACCGGTACCTACCCGCGTCCTTTGACCAACGCCACCAGTCTCCACCTTTCCGGCTCCCGCAACACCAACATCAACAACGTGTGCCGCACCCACTACCGTGAAATCGCAAAACGTGTCGAACATGCCCAAAGGTTGAACAAGTAGCGGCCGTGGCGGGGCAGGAATGTCGACTTTCAAAGGCGTCATCGATGAGTTTCGGCACATTCGGATCGACTACTTCAGACACCAGCCAGGCTACAAGGCGCCCCTGGCATGCTTCCTCAGCCATATCCATTCGGACCATTTGACGGGTCTCGAGTCTCTGAGAGCACCTTTTGTGTATTGCTCGGCTGCCACGCGGGAGATTCTGCTGCGCTTGGAAAAGTACCACTACCGAGTCAACTATGCGCGCGGAATCCTCGAGAGTCACAATGTCACTTACGACCGTAGCATGCGCAAGTTGGCAAAGCCACTGCCACTCGATACTCCAACCACCATCGAGCTGGCCCCCGGTAACAGAATCCGTGTCACTCTGCTCGATGCCAACTGAAATTTAGAATAATCTGAATTCACTATTCTATCTAAACTGTAAGGAAATCCATCCGTCTTTTATCTATCATTACAAGTTTGCTTACAGATTTGCTTACAAACTTGTTTTCTTTGATACTGAGTGAATGACTACACATCACCTGTTGATTGTCTAATCACATGCTGATTGGGTGATCTGGTGAACCTGTTCCAACACCAACCACTGTGTCGGAGCTGTCAATTTCCTCATCGAAGGTGATGGCAAAGCAATCCTCTACACTGGCGACATTCGAGCGGAACCCTGGTGGGTGAATAGTCTAGTGCAAAACCCAGTCCTTCTTCCTTATACTCTTGAATCAAAAGCTCTCGACTGCATCTATCTGGACACTACATTTGCCACCAAGTCCAATGTGTATCGAGAGTTTCCCTCCAAAGCTGAGGGTATCAAAGAACTCCTGCAAAAAGTCGGCTCTTACCCTGACGATACTGTCTTTTACTTTCATTCGTGGACCTTTGGCTACGAGAATGTATGGATAGCCCTTTCCAATTTTCTGCAGTCGAGAATACATCTGGATGACTACCGTGCTTGTATTTATGCTTCTCTTTCCACCCTGGATAAGAAGTCGCTGCACGATGGCGGGCTCAATGTGCAAAAAGAGAATACCTACCTGCAAAGATCAGGTCTCCAAGTTCACGAGGCTCCTGCATTGTGTGGGTTCAGAAACGGAAATCACATGCAGCCTGGTTGTCTGACTTCCAATTCTGATGTCCGCATACACAGCTGTGAGCGAGGGATGGGATGTGCCGTCATGGATCAAACAAATCCTCAGATAGTCCACATTGTTCCAATCGTGAATCGCGTCGGGACGACAGATATCCTTGAGGCCGGCGCAGGAGGGGGTCACGGCGACCTGAACCAAGCTGAAGAGTTGGAAACTGGTGACATGGAGAAAATGGCAGAGCTATGCTCAGCACATATAAAGGATCCCGAAATCCTCTCCAAAGTTCTTTCTCTCTTTCAACAGGCCCTGGATGACGGCACCACGACTATCAACTTGAGCATGAACCTCCAGAACGAGAGCCCGGAAAGTGAATCCGAGCTTGCTTTCCCACAGCTCGCTACGGCGCTCTCATCTCGAGTCTCCAACCCTGATGGGTCTCACCCACCACTTCACAACTCGATCCGCTTTCCCTATTCTCGTCACTCCTCTTATTCCGAGTTGTGTAATCTTGTGGACGCATTCAAACCAAAGGATGTTTTTCCGTGCACAGTTAACGAAGCTAATTGGGATCCCAGTCTTAGCATGCGTTCGCTCTTTGGATCATCCTGCTCTGGAGATGTATTTCGACACGACTTGGAAATGATGGCTATGTGGGAGGCGAGGCGTGAAAACGAGATGAGTGGGAAGAGGACAAGGGAGACCCAATCCAATACTCAGGAAAGCGATACAGGAATCACTCCCCACATTGTAGCCAAGAAGCAAAAGTTGGATGGCGCGGATGGGAGTGAGAGCGATTCGGATGTCTTTCACACGCCCGCAACTGTGCATGTTCAGCCTCTAGAAGGATCCATCACGGCAGATCGAGGCACAGAGGTGGCATCTAGCTCCTTTCGACAACAGCCGCCTTCCTCATCACCACCCAAAGCAGATGCTACGCCGCATGATATTAACCCGGCTCCGACCGCGACATTGAATTCAACTCTTCCCCCAGGGAATCCATCCACGGCGTCGAAATTACCCACAGCTTCGACATCGAAGAACGATCAAGCAAAAAAAGAACATCGCACCCGAGTAATCAACCAAAAACTCGCATACGATGCTGCCCTTGGGTTCCGACTTACGTGGGATGATTTTGGGGGTTTGGTGTGCACGAAAAAACGGGAAGATCTGGCAGAATTCGAGGTAGAATTGTGAAATGGGTTCTTTTTTCGCTCGCAGTAGATGAGACTTTTGCCTCCTTTCGCACTCGATTGCAGAAGCATGAACAGCCAGCCCTCGTCATCTGCGCCATTATCAATCGAGGTCGGTTCTAGATGTATGTACAAAGTATTGAATGAGTGAATGTTTTACACATCGCCCCACCTCGCCTCCGATGCGCCGACTGTACAGTAGCGCGGGGCACCGCGTCCGGAAACAGCGTCATTGATTGGGCGCTCGCGTTTTTTTCCCTTGCTATCCGTGAAATGAGGGTCGATATCTAAACTACGACTCACACGCCTTGGACGTGATTCTTTCACTAGACACTCGTCTTCGCTGCCCGTCATGGCTCCCACAGTTATCGCTGCCATTGACCTTGCCACCTACGGACAAGACACTACTCAAGGCTTGACCCCCCAGCAATTGACCTACGTGAGCAATGTCTTCGCCCGCGTCACTCCCGAAACCGTCGACCACGCCTTATCCCACCTTCAACAATCTGTAGGCCGGTATACAAACTACCTCGGAGCCACCCTGCTCTCCACCGACCACATCGTGTCCCTGCTCGATGCTGGCGCCGCCAAAGTCTTTGTTACTGCCGAACAGCTCCAGCAGCTTCTCGCACTCAAAATCGACCAGGACAGAATCGTCCTTTGTTTGCCCGGCCGCACCAAAGAGGAAAATATCAACGCCATTGCCGGTACCGCGGTTGACGTATACTACCATGATGTGCAAGATGTGAGCATTGTCGAGGCCTGGCTGAAGGAGTATGGCACCGACCGACCTGATGTCTTCATCTCATTCGCGAACCCGGATCTGGAGAGCGCGCTGCTCATTTCCAAGCTAAAGGCAATCCCCGTTCTCCCCGCTCAGAGCCTTACTGTCGACTCGCAAAAAGAACCAAACCTCCTCAGCGTTGCTAAAATCGTCATGGCGAATGCGACGAGCGATCGCGCCGATGGGCTCTTCACTACCTTGGTTGTGGACGAACGACGAACAGCCCTCGGATTGGTATACAGCAATGAAGAGAGCGTGGCCGAAAGTTTGAGAACGGGACGTGGCGTGTACCACAGTCGCAAGCGGGGGTTGTGGTACAAGGGTGAGAGCAGCGGAGATGTTCAAGAACTCGTCTCGCTGTCGTTGGATTGCGACAGTGACTGCTTGCAATATGTGGTTCGCCAGAAGGGCAGAGGTAAAGCAGTTACTTCCTTCGCACATTTGAACATACTAATGCGGTCCAGGCTTCTGTCACCTTGCGACACCCACCTGTTTTGGCCAGTACACCGGTCTGTCTCGTCTCCAAAAAACCCTCCAGAGTCGCAAAGAGTCTGCCCCAGCGGGTTCGTACACTGCCCGACTGTTCAACGACCCGCAATTACTACGCGCAAAAATACTCGAGGAAGCTACCGAGCTCTGCGATGCGAACACAAAAGAGGAGATCGCTTTCGAAGCGGCGGATGTTTTCTACTTTGCTCTGACCAAATGCATATCTGCGGGAGTCTCGCTGGAGGATGTGGAGCGCAACCTTGATGCGAAGAGTATCAAAGTGAAGAGGAGACAAGGAGACGCGAAACCTGCTTTCATGGGAGGTTCGGCAAACACCGGCAGTCAAAAGGAGGTGGTTAAAGAAGCAGCATCGATACCAAAGAGCAAAGACGACCCGGCTGGGACCAAGAATGGCCGGATAGCGATGAAGCGACTTGACACGACAAACGAGACCCCGCAGACAATATTGAAGGCATTGCAAAGACCATCACAGCGCTCTAGCGACAAGATCATTGCAATTTGTAACCCGATTATCGAAGCGGTCAAGACACGCGGTGACGCTGCAGTACTGGAATATACCCACAAATTCGAAAAGGCTACCTCACTGACTTCACCTGTACTGAAAGCGCCCTTCCCCGAGTCTTTGATGACTCTGCGGCCTGAGACTAAGGAAGCAATGGACATTTCTTTTGAGAACATTAGAAAGTTCCACGCTGCCCAGAAAGAGGACAAGCCGCTAATCGTCGAGACAATGCCTGGCGTGGTGTGTTCGCGTTTCGCACGAGCGATTGAGCGCGTGGGTCTTTACGTACCGGGTGGTACCGCTGTGCTGCCTTCCAGCGCTCTCATGCTTGGTGTTCCAGCACTGGTCGCTGGGTGCAAGAAGATTGTATTGGCGACCCCTCCGCGCGCAGACGGATCCGTTACTCCGGAAGTCGTCTACGCTGCCCACAAAGTCGGCGCAGAAGCCATAGTACTCGCTGGAGGGGCCCAGGCTATCGCAGCCATGGCCTACGGAACAGAAAGCATATCCAAGGTCGACAAGATTCTAGGACCAGGAAACCAGTTTGTCACAGCGGCAAAGATGATCGTCTCCAACGACACCAACGCTGGCGTCAGTATGGACATGCCCGCTGGTCCCAGTGAAGTTCTGGTAGTCGCAGATGCGACCGCTAACCCAGTCTTTGTCGCATCCGACTTGCTCAGCCAAGCAGAGCACGGAGTAGACTCACAAGTGATATGTATCGCTGTAGGCCTGAACGAGACGCAACTCGCTGCCATTGAAGACGAGCTCCACTCCCAAGCCATGGCTCTTCCGCGAGTGGACATTGTCCGCGGTGCCATCGAGCACTCCATTACCCTCTGCGTAGCCACCATCGAAGAAGCCATGACCCTCAGTAACGAGTACGCGCCCGAACATCTGATCCTGCAGGTCCAGCACGCCGAGAAGGTCGTCGATCTCGTCGAGAACGCCGGAAGTGTCTTCATCGGCCCATGGACTCCCGAGAGCGTTGGTGATTATTCTGCAGGTGTTAATCACTCCCTTCGTAAGTATCCCTTTCACTCTGACATTTCACGGCTGTAGACACATGTATACTAATTCTGTTTGAAAGCAACATTTGGATATGCCAAACAGTACTCTGGTGTCAATCTCGGATCCTACATCAAACACATCACCAGCTCCAACCTCACCAAGGAGGGTCTTGCAGCCGTTGGCCCTGCTGTCATGGAGTTGGCGCGCGTCGAAGAGCTCGAGGCCCATCGACGTGCTGTCAGTCTCAGACTGGGTGTTGCATAGATTCCTTTCCATCACCAAAGGGAAAGGCAATCAGCTTTCTTCTTCTTTGGAACGGAGAGTAACTCCTTTTACAAAGGATTTCCCGCCATTTCATGCCATTTACGTAGCAACAACGAGAAAAATCAATAAATCCATCATTCCTGTTCATGTTCTGTCTTTCCCCTCTCATCCGACAGAGAATTTATTGTACATCTTGATTCCGCTTTGAATCGACAACGTGATCAGATCCACAGTGCTATCTCTTACGAGTGTTACTCCGTCTTTATTCCGCTGACCGGCTATCTCGTTTTCTCCGGCTTTCTACTAAAGATCGGTCAATCTTCTTTTCGTCAGACCGTGAGAACAGCGTCCCGATCGATCCACCAATGTGACACAGCGATATCCATAATGAAGATGTATGTGTTTGTATGCAAATTCTCAGATTGCTAGCTAGCTGATATAATATATAGACTAGAATGGTAATTTGATGGTTTCCTTTGACACTCTAGAGAGTCCAGACAGAATAATAATAAAAAAAAGGAGTGCAAGAAGAATAAGTATGTAACGAAGAAGATAGAGAGGGGTTAAAAAGGGGGTAGGAGTAGCCCGTTTGTATATACAAAAAGAAGAGGAAGGAAGAGAAAAAAGAGAAGGGGGAAGGAAAAGGTTTCCAACGAGCTACAATAGCAGACACGTGCGTGATGACTGACTGACTGACGAGTATCGATCCCGACATGCAAACACCTACAAGATACCGCAGATGGCATCATAAGCCGGCTTAGCCTGGAAGTTTCCATCAAACAACAACGGATCGTCGCCTTGCCTCCACGAATACTTGTCGCTAACCCCCCACACGGTAATACCGACGCAATTCTCCAAGTCCAAGCAAGCCTTGGTAACGAGCGTGTAATCGTCCGCAGACGCACCCTTGATATCCAACTCGGTAATAGCACACTCGCTCGCGACGCCGCACAAGTCGCTGAGCGCCTGCGGGTACTCGCTGATGGGCCAGTTCCCGCCGAGATGCGACTGCGAGCCCACACCGTCGATGGGGACGCCCGCCGCGACCCACGCGGCGACTTTGGTCACCATGCCCTTTGTCTTCGCGTAGTTGTTTGAGTCGAGGTTGTAGTCGTTGATGTAGAGTTTTGCGGCCGGGTCGGCGGCGCGGGCGGTTTCAAAGGCAGTCGCGACAAAGGACTCGCCGAGGACGTTGTAGAAGACGGAGGAGCGGAAGCCGCCGTCTTCAGACAGGATTTCGTTAACCACGTCCCAGGCGTAGACTTTGCCGGCGTACTGCTTCATCACGGATGTGATGTGGTTCTTCATGACGTCCTCGAGGGTGGTCTTGTCGGTGATGGACGAGACCCAGGTCGGGAGCTGCGAGTGCCAGACGGTGGTGTGGCCGCGGACGAGCTGCGAGTTGGACGTGGCGAAGTTGACCAGGGCGTCGGAGCCCGTGAAGGTGAAGACGCCCTTTTGCGATTCGGTGGCGTCCCATTTCATGCTGTTTTCCGGCGTCACTTGGTTGAAGTTTGCTTTGATGATGTCGGCGTTTGTCGCGTCGTTGAGCGTGTTGGAGTCGGCGGCTACGCCGATGTATTTTTTGCCCGCGGCGACGAATTTCTCTTGGAGAGAGCAGGCCACGGCCGCGTTGGCGGAGGCGAGTTTGGTGCTGGCTGGGAGCGTGCCGTTGACGGTTGCTGATGGGATGCCCACGCTTCCTGTGGGGATGGGACGGGTGGAGAGGGTGGTGGGTGGTGCGGTGCCAATGGGGCCTCCGGTTGGCACTGCACTTGTGGGAACAGGTGGTGCTGGATCGTTTCCTCCGCCTTCTACACACTGAGAGTAGTAGGGGTTGAAGGACTTGCACGACCAGCCTTCGACGCAAGTGGTCTCGCCAGTATGAGTGACGCCTCCACATTGGCCATATGGCTGTACCGCACCCAAAACCGTGCTGGAGAGTCCGAGGACGGCGAGGTGAAGGGGTTTCATCATGGGAGCCATTGCTTTCTCCTGTTCTGTTCTATCCTTCTATCCTGTAGAATGTGGATCCGTGGATGGACAGTGGTGATGAAAAAAGGGGTGAGTTTGAGAAATTTCAGCTTTTCAAAAGCGACAAGAATAAACTCTATCAGTCACCGGGGACTATGATCAGAGAAATAGAAATGAAACGAGGTGGAGAATCCAGGGAAATATGGATATGTGGTTGAAGTAAAGAGTGGGAGAAGGGGGGAGATGTCGAGAAGACTTTTGCAAAATCCTCGTAACAAACAAACAAAAGTCAAGAAACTCGGCGAGGTCATGTCATGTCTTTATACAAGAACAGAACCCTTCGTCACTCCACTCAACCTAACCTCAAACCGCGGTGGGATCGCTATCTCACCACGACGGCAATCAAAAAAATCCAATCTGTCGATAGCACGACCGGGAAATGCCAAAGACGCATGGCTCGACGATCCATGACATGGATACACGGGCCTCATGCTTAATTAGAAGGAGAAGAAATGCCGTCCCCGTTTCGCTGTGTAAGCCGAGAGCGGGAAGAACAGAACAAGCAAACACGCCAGGAGTTTGAAACGCTGGCTTGGTGGTGCTTAAGATTAAAGAAGGGTTGGACGTTAAACTCTTTCTGGGGGGGAAGCTACTGACATGACAAACTACGAGAAGCTTCATGAATCCAGAATAAATGTACACACTGCATCAACTATGAGCAACCACCTTCAAAAGGATGACGAAAAACCTCACCGTAGTATCCTCAACCGCTTTCTCTTCTGACGTACGTATGTACATGGCAACGCATATCGTACCTTATAAAAAAGAAACACGCTCGAGCCAATCAAACCCACCTAAGCGAGCCTCAGCTCCAGATTTCGTTTCACATAAACCAAAACGCTGACCCTCCATGCTACTAGCCACACACCTCACAAACCGGGATGACGGCGACCATCACCAACAAATCGGGTAGATTGTCGACGTTCTGCTTCCCCTTGCCAATTCCCGTCCTGTCCTGTCCCCGGTTTTTTTCTACCGCTCTGCGCCCGTCGTAGATTAATCACGCGCATGGCTGTTCCATGCAAATAAACATCGCATAATCCCTATTCGAGGCAATGACGTACATTATCGCGGGACCGGGAACAACAGGTGAGCAAAAGAGACCACAATAGAGTGAAGGTTGGGCAGAATCGGACAACAAAGTCGATCTACCTACCTCACCTTACGTTGTTCACTGCGATCTCTTGCTCCATCGAGAAATGGCATTTGCCCGAAAAAAGCGAGCGTTGCATATCCCACCGGGCAAAGAGGCGAACGAGGATAAGCATTGCATAGTCGGAGGAATTCTAATTCTTTCCTTCCGTCCAATGGAACGCGATGCCAGATGCAAATGCAATGCACAACAATGCATTTTGGTTCGCTTTCCCCGCGTCATGCGGCTTCGGTGTCTTGTTCCGAGTTTGAGATGGATAGATGGATGATTTGCGATGTTCACTACTCCTTTCTCTCATCCCTCTCGCGATGCGTACACGTTGTCGTTGAATACCTAAAGTACATACATACATGCACGTGCAGTCTCCCACGTGCCGTTGTACATCTACCTCCCTACATACATACCTAGGTAGGTACATCCACGACATTAATTATCCCACTCATCCGTGCTGCACGTGAAAGAAAAATCAGCGTGTACGCGTACCCTCCCTATAAAAACGTCCATGTTAAAGGGAATGATTGTCATTAACACACACACACATCTACACGTATCTAACACACTCAACACACATCCCAGCCCCCTACGCGCGGACATTTTTCCTTCGTAGAAACAATGCGAGCGTCATTGCCTACCCTTTCTCTACCCATTATCGCGACTCTCATTCTACGTCGGAATACTCGCGCTGTATCTCCGGGATAACAGCCATGAGATGTGCGACGAATTCATCAGTTGGGGGATTGAAAGGTCGGGTTGGTGGTGAGATTACCCGCGATCGTCGCGTCTCCTTTTCTTTCGGCCTGCCTCGCAGAGGACGGACAGGTAGGTGAAGGAGGAGGAGGGTATCTCAGCTCCCTTTTCTATTCTATAACGCCATCGATCATTTTGTTCCACAAAGTTAACAGTACAAAGAGTACGAGTAATGTCCTAGTACTGGAAAAAAACTATGAATCGGGTTCGTATCGGTACATCTCACTTGAATTCAACTGCCCAAAGAAGACCTCGTCGTGAGAAGAGAATTCACTCCACAACTCATCTGCATACGTTTACCTTCTTCTCATCCAAATCCAGTCTCATTGTTTAGCACACTCTTCCCGCCAAGTCAGTGAGTCATCTCAGCGTCCATTTACAATTCCTCTTCAAAGCATAAGCGAGTAGCCCAGAATATCGAGTGAGAACACGAAATGCTTCAAGTGACGGGCGCCGTTATATTGTGCCATGTTCTGAATTTCGAGGCATGTCTTGAAGGGTCTTGGAGAAGAGCAAGGTAGGAAGGTGGTTGTATAGGTATACACACTTCTAGCAAAACCCTGACACTTCAATTGTTGTATAGTCTGTGTATTCAAACGTTGATTGAATCGGGCTGGAGTGATGGAGTTGCATTCTTGCCCTTTGCGCAAAAAACGACGAGATCAAGTGCCTCCCTTCACTTTACTCAATACGCGTCATGGCGAGACGAGCAATTCACAATCTTCTCCCTTTGCAAAAACGTAAGAAACGTGTTTGATGCATATGTGTGCACTTCTTCATCTCAAGACACCCCTAGCCTAGATCTAAGCTTAGAAGGGGAAGTGGGATATACAGAAAACCCAAAGGGGGGAGAAAATTATGGGATGTAAAAGAACGCCACCCTTCCGGAAGAAGATCCCATCACTTTTGAGAGGAGAAAGACGAGACTCTTGCTTATAATACCCAGAAGAACGCCAGCACGCCCACCAAGGTAAATAGCCTGAGACATGACAATCGAGAGAGATACAAACGCCAAATTTTTGCATGCACACAGGTTTTCAAAGACGGACTATTCATCCGCCTCATTATTCCAAATCTCGACCTCGCGGCTCTCCAATCTCTTCATTTGCTCTTCCTCGAAGATGCTCTCACCCGGCAATCCCGTCTTTCCGTAGTTCACCACGGGCCCAATGGTGTTGTTCCACTGCGTCTTGCGCTCCATGAGTGTGCGAATAGGCTCGCCAACACCCGGTCTGCTGATACCAGCGTTAGCTGCAGCGTGGCTGCCTCCGCCCGCGCCACCGGGGCGTTTAGCCTGCTTCTTGCCCTTCCCAATATTGCGGTTGCGTTTAAGGTATGCGGAATTGAGTTGGTTATCGAGATCATCGGCGATAGTGTTGTATTCCTGCTGAGCGATACGTTCCTCTGTGAGTTCAAGGAGCCGCTGTTTGCGAGCGCCGTTGACGATGGATTGTTTGCGGAGTTCGTTTTGTAAGAAGCGGAGGCGGGCGGCGACTTCATCGTCAAAGTGCGAGTCGTAGGCCGCAGTTTCTGTGTCCGTGTCTGAGATCATGCCATAGTGCTTGAGTTCCATGAGCATGCGCTCCTCAAGCGTGGCGTAGTCGGTGCGACCATTTGTGGGCGGGGCTTTCCAGCCGGGTAGGGCGAATTCGGGGAGTTGGGTTGCGGCAGGGATGGAGTTGTTATTGGTCGCATCGGCGGGTGCGCTGGGTCCTTCGTCAATGTCCATTGCGTCGCCGTTGATGCCGTTGGCATCGTTGGGATTGATAGAGGTGCCACGACCCTCGGGCCGCAGCGTGCTAAGTAGACGGGCAAGTAGAGGTCCAGTTGAGATCTCTTCTTTCTCCAATATGTCGTCTCTCATATCGTCATACGAACCACGCGATTCATTTGGAAGGTGCCGTTCATTTGTATCAATGTGCATTTGACCGTCCTCCTCGGCCCATATATCCTTGTATGATCTGTTGCCTCGACGGGGTAGGACAAATGGCCCCATGCGATCCCCTCTTTCCTTGAGAAAAGCCACGTCCTCCTCGGTCAGAGGGCGGATATAAGGCTCGACATAATTTGCAAAGACCGACGCGCTGACTTGATTGGTAGGTTTTGCGCTCGAGAAATCCTTGTCTGGGGGAGTACCAGGCCGCTTGTCGTAGAGATCCGTAGAAGGGTAGCCGGCGACGCAATATATCTCTTTGACCAAGTCGTCAGGCATGCCTGGCTCGACATCGCGAATGTGGTATATGGTAGGATCGTCGAATTTGGAAGGGTCGGGGCCGAAAGTCTGCATCTGGACAATCTTGACTGCGGGTGGGGGTTGATGTGAGGCATCCGAGTTGGAAGGCGAAGGAGGGTCGGCGGGGCCGGTGCCAGTAGCTGATGGAGGAGCTTGCGAGATGGGAGAGGATATAGTAGATGAGTTGTCTTTGGTGGGTTCGCCATCCTGCCTGGCCACGGCGTGAGCGCCCACAGCCAACGGACGCTCGTCTTCGGGGGCCCTTTTGCCCTGCTTCTTCAGCTTGTGCTTATGGTCCTCGGGGTCCTTCTTCGGGGTCCTCTCCTTGTCGCGATCGTGCGAAGAGCGGTTGTTCTTCTTAAGACTTTGCAGCTCGCGAAGAGCGCTGTTGGAGACATCACTGCGCTTTTGGACGTTGGCTAGGACTTTGGTCTCAATAGACTCGCGCATGCTGATAAGGGCAGTGCCCGAGGGAACCTGCTGGTTGTTTGATGGCGCGCGGTCCAGAATCTCCTCGACGGTGACATCGCATTTCCGGCCCAGGGCGGTCAAGGGTTTGCTGAAATAGCTGGCCGAGGCGGTGGGGGGTTCTACCGAAGTACGCACGTTGGGCAGTGGGGTGGTGTTGCGGCTACGGGCGCCTGTGGGTTTTGAGCCAGGTTTGGGTTTCCCCTTGCTGCTCGTGTTTTTGGACATGGCGGCGCGAAGAATGTGTTATTGGTTTGTACCGAGATGAATGACGGATGGATCGATGTTTGCGTGGCGTGGAATAGCGGCGGAGGCGGAGGCGGGGGTGCGTCTATGGACGGTTTGTTTATGATGGGTAGGCAGGCAGGCAGGCAGGCAGGTGACGGCGGCGACGCGCGAGATGTGAGACGCGCAAAGGTAGATGTTGCTTGCTACATGGAGTGTATAGATGTAGGTCTGAGCAGGAGGTGCTAGCGGGAGGATGGCGATGGTGGTGGCATTGTCTGTCTGTCGTTTGTAGGCATGTGTAGAGGGAACCGATGCCCGGCTCAGCGACCTTGGCGCATCATCCATCTATCCAGCCTCCATTCGGCTGGTGCATGCATTCCAGTATAATTATCTGTGAACAAGGAGCTCGAGAATGAATAACGAAGAGATGAAGAGGGTCATTCACAGCAAACCATCATGACAATTCCCCTGGCCTTTCACTGCTGGCCTGCAGTTCATTCACCATTCCTCGCCGATTCGAGGCAAAACAAGCTTTGCTAAGCTTTTTACTCTCAAACCTTGGCGCGGTTCGCGCTGGACCCGGCTTTCCTGCCTCCTCCCTCTCTCCGCATTTGCCAGCCTTCGAGTGGACTGGTCATTCATGCCCTCTCCTCCGTTCCTCAGCCCGCCGCCGTAGGCTCACCAACAACCAAAAAGACGTCCCCCATACCATGATCTAACTGATTCTGCTGCTGTTGTCACCACTCGTCACCAGCATGCGCCTGTCGCCCCGTTAATAAGCACCGCTCACTCAGCATGGGTACGTCACGTAACATCCATCTCAATCCTCCTCCGCTCCGCATTGTGTCGCCCCAACCTTAATCCTACATCCATCCCCAGTCACTCACACACCTCACAGCCGCTCTCAGCATTGGCATCTTCACCATCGAATTCCCCGATCCCACCGCCAGCAACTACAACGACGATGACGAGTTCACCACTCTTCCGGTATGCATGCATTCCGAGGGCACGCGCGGCCACCGAGAAACGCTAACCGTGCGCATTTGCAGGCCAACAACTCGTTCCGATTCCCCATAACCAACAACATCCAGACCCTCTCCCCCAAAGATGTCGAGCGAGGCAACGATCCCTTCGGCCTTCTCTACGTCCCCAATCTCACCAGCGACGACTGCAAACAGGCCGAGCAGCCGTACGTGCCTACCAATGTCACCCGCGAAGCGAACCTCCCCTCCAATGCCAACTACGCCTTGATCGCTGTGGCCCCATGGTTCAGTAAACCATGCATCAAGGAATACTTCGAAGCCGCCCGCCAGGCTGCCGACCGCAAGTTTGCAGTCAAAGCCTTCTTTGTATACCTGCCCGACAGAGGCAATGCCATGCCCCCAATCATGAACGATCCGGCCTGGCTGCTCGACGACGGTGGGAGTTGGAAGAGCCTCAACAGTTTCCCCACGTACGCGCTATCTTCAACATCTGGAAACACCATCGTGCAGGAACTAGGCCTATACTCGGGCAATATAACCAAGGCGCCATACGGAGATGATGTCCTTTCCATGAATCCCGACTTCCGTGTTACCGATTATTTGAGACTGTGGAGCACTGTTAATACTGATCCCGGAAACCAGCTTCCTAGCCTGTGGGTGTTTTTGGTGATTGTCTTGGGTCTCTTGATCACCGTGGTCGGTGGCACCTCTGTGGCCATGCACCTTATGCAACGGAGAAGACGGAACAACTTGCGGCAGCGCATCATCAACGGCGAGGTGGACTTGGAAGCTCTTGGTGTGAAACGGCTGACTGTCCCACAAAAATTTCTGGAAAAGCTGCCGCTGTATGCATACTCTGGTCCGTCGGACTCGGAAGACGCGGAGAAGAACTTGGCCCAACCTCAGTCCAGTCACCCAACCATCAGCGCGCCTTCGGATCTCTCTTTTGCACAGTCGTCGTGCTCTATCTGCTTGGATGATTTTGAGCCTCAAGAATCACAGGTCCGCGAGTTGCCTTGTCACCATATATATCATGCAGAGTGTATAGATCCATTTCTCCTCAACAACAGCTCGCTTTGCCCCCTATGCAAGCAAAGCGTTTTACCGGCTGGTTACTGCCCTACTCGCATCACTAACATCATGGTCCGCCGGGAACGCATTCTCAGTCGGAGGCGCCGCAGCCCTGCTAATCCGACTGCAACCACGGGTGCCCAACCCGCACCTCCAAGCACTCCTCCACGCGCACAAGGAACCTTTGCATCGATGGGTAGCCGTATAGGAGGTGCAGTGGGTGGCGCATTTGGGGGTCGGCGCGTGTTCAGCGCACCTGGAAGAGCACAGCAGACGCCAGACATTGAAATGGCAGCAAGCCCATCGCCCGTGTCAGGTCCTGCACCGACAGGAGCGCCTACAGAGAATGCCAGCCATCCTGTACCGCAGCCAGCGACGCAGAATCGGAGTGAGTGGCTGAGACAGCGAGCCATGGCACTCATGGGCGATCGAGTGATACCCGAGGAAGAAGACGAAGAGCAAAACGCACCACGCTGGAAACGTGGGCTGAGAAAGGTGTTCCCTGGATTCCGATGACCCTTCTTCTTTGCATAATGTCATCTTCATCTTGACAGTCTCATGTTGTATAAATTTTTCCTTCACTCATATAAAGATACCAAGGTTTGGGGAAGGGGTGTGAATATGGGCGGTGTCAATTGTATCAAGACTGGATGATTTTGTTTGATGTTTATTGGCGAGCAAGCACGGCATGATTTCAGCGGCGTTTGATAATGTCTGGGATGGGTTTGTTTGGCGTTCTATCTTGCTTTTCGCCTGCTGAATTGAAGGCACGCATGTACATGTGTTTGGAGAATTTTATTCCCGTGTACATGTACATTCACCTAATCTGCCTAGATACACCTCCAATTGAAGTTCCCGTATACATACGTACATATATGACAAGGCCTCTTTTTCGTTCCCATCACATACCTAAGAAAGACAGATGGAAATATGAATATCCGCGTCACGTGTGTGCGTGCATGCATGAACCGTTTGGTCTCAGGATTCCCGGGGGGTGGGCTGTGCTCTCTCACCATCGACTTCAACCACCGGAGGAATTGAGGGGCAAGTGGGATTGCTATTCGTGGACATTCCGGCGCGTTTGGCGTGGTTGAGGTGTGGGACCCCTGCGCTAGTGCTGGCCTCGGACCACGCGTGACGCGCTGGGATTTGCGAGACTTGGAATGCTGAGGTGAATTGAGTAGCAGAGGAAGAGGAAGAAGAAGAAGAAGAAGAGGTAAGAAGAAATGAATTGGTACGAGAGTTTGGGTTTTGTGTGCCTCAGGTAGGTAGTAGCACTTGAGAGCAAAACACACATGCTCATACCTAGGTAGGTATATACAAGGTGTTGTGTTATGTTATCTGTACCGATAACAAACGTGCCCCTCCATCCATCCATGCATTCATCGCCAAAACATTACGTCTTTGCACCAGCTCTTTGGTGGGGTAATCTTCTTTTCCTTCTTCTTCTTCTTCTTCTTTTCCCTCTCTCTTTCTCTCTACATGTATGTATGTATCAATGCAACCAACCCGTAACCGTATGGCGGGGTAATTCCATTCCGTCCATCAGATTCCCCCCTTCCATCCCACTTTCTTTTCTTGTTGCTTTCTGATATTCTTCGCTGCTCACCATCGTCAAGTCAATCTCTTTTACCCCTCCTCGCCTCGGTACATATGTACACTCCACTCCACCACTGACTAGCCCAGCCCAAATCATTCATTCATCCATTCACTGTTTACACAACCCGCACCCATAGTCTGTTTTCTCGGGTGGGGGTTTTAGCTGGCTTTTGCCCTAGTATTAGCTAGATCCGGGGAGGGGGGGGGGAGGTGGAGAGAGGGGCAACAAGAGGAAGGGTCTAGAGTCGATAGGTGTGGGGAGAGGAGGGGGAGAGCGGGTTAGGTATATAAACTAGGAACGTTATCCGCCGTCTCTTGTTTTTTCCAATCGACTCTTGACTTCTTCTTTTTTTTTCTTCTTCTTCCCCTTCTCCCTCGAGGTTCGAGTTTTGCCGGCGGGATTGTTATATTGCTCCTTTGATATATTACGTATATATATATACATACATATATATCCCCCAAACACACACACATATATATATATATACACACGCAGGCACTTCCCGAGTTTGACGCCCGCGAACTACCGTTGCATAACGCCGTATATACATTGGGACAGCTAGAACAACTACAAGGGAAAAGAGTAGACAAGGGAGAAAAGGAGAATAATCTCGCCCAACGTCAATATTATATTCGAAGTGGAAAGAGAAGAAGAAGAAGTTATTTGCAACAAACACCCCCTACCCCCCGCCACAAACGCAAATACCGACAACATGAGCTCAACAGCAACCGAGCTGCAGCCGTCCAAGGCCAACATCGGTGTCTACACGAACCCGGCTCACGACCTGTGGGTCGCCGATGCGCAGCCCAGTCTCGAGGAAGTCGGCAAAGGTGGGGATCTCAAGGAAGGCGAGGTTTTGCTGCATGTTAAGAGTACGGGGATTTGCGGGAGTGATGTGCATTTCTGGCATGCTGTACGTTTTCCCCCCCTTCTCCTTCTTTCCCCTACTTTTGATTTCACTCTTTTTTTGGTGGAGTGGGGTGGGTTTAGGTGGTAGACATGTTTGTTGGAGGCGTTGTTTGGGGTGTTTTATGTTCGTGCTCAGGAGGGTGAGGGAGACAGACTCGATCTACGTCTCTCTTACCGCTAGCTCTACACACACGCACGGATATATACATTGTGGTGAAGGACCGAGCTAACATGCGAGGGGATGGCAAACAGGGCTGCATAGGACCCATGATAGTAACCGACACGCACATTCTGGGCCACGAGTCCGCCGCTCTAGTCCTCGCCGCACACCCATCCGTCACGCACCTCAAGCCGGGCGACCGCATCGCCATCGAGCCCAACCTCATCTGCCACGAATGCGAGCCCTGCCTCACAGGCCGCTACAACGGCTGCGAGAAAGTCCAATTCCTGTCTACCCCGCCCGTCCCCGGCCTGCTGCGTCGCTACCTCAAGCACCCAGCCGCATGGTGCCACAAGCTCCCGGATAACCTGACGTGGGAGGACGGCGCGATGCTGGAGCCCCTGAGCGTTGCGCTCGCGGGCATGGATCGCGCTGGTGTGCGGTTGGGCGATCCCGTGGTGGTGTGTGGTGCAGGGCCGATTGGGCTCGTCACCGCGCTGTGCTGCAAAGCGGCGGGCGCGGCACCGCTCGTCATCACGGACATCGACGAGGGACGGCTGGCGTTTGCAAAGGAGCTCATGCCAAACATCCTCACGCACAAGGTCGAGTTCTCGCATTCGGCCGACGACTTCCGTGAGCGCATCCTCGCGCTTACCGGGGGCATCGAGCCTGCCGTCGCCATGGAGTGCACCGGTGTCGAGTCGAGTATTGCTGGCGCGATCCAGGCGGTCAAGTTTGGCGGAAAGGTGTTTGTGATTGGTGTTGGCAAGAACGAGATCAAGATCCCGTTTATGCGGTTGAGCACGCGCGAGGTCGATTTGCAGTTTCAATATCGCTATGCGAACATGTGGCCCAAGGCTATCCGGCTGCTGTCGAATGGCGTGTTAGATTTGAAGAAGCTGGTCACGCATCGCTTTGATATTACCGATGCCGTTGAGGCGTTCAAGACGGCCGCGGATCCCAAGACGGGTGCTATCAAGGTACAGATCCAAAGTCTGGATTAGTCGTGTGATGTAGCCACTTGGGGGATTTGTGTATGTGGATGATATAGTAGTAGGATTGTGTGGAGTAGTTAGTATAGAGTTTGCAATGTACTTTTCGATCTTAGCTATTTGAACCGCTGGTCTCGCATCTCTCCTAAAGATTGTCACATTTGTCCTTTGCACTTGCGTAATTTGATCGGGTATCTTGGGGCGTATACCTTAAGCTAATGGATAGCCTAAAGCCATGGTGTGCTATGTCGAAAAGAACGACAAGCCCAAACCTCGCAGGCTTAGACAGATATGCAAAAAGAGACCCCCCGTGCGTTGCATCCATACACCTTAGGCGCTCCCTCACCATATCCCATCTGCCATCCTCCTATATAATTTCTGGGTATAAAAAAATAAAAATCCCAAAAAGAAATGTTCTGCGGTATTTGTCTCCTTTCAGAACACCCAGAAATCCTTTTTATCAGATTTGCTGTTGTGCGCTTTTTATGGCGACTTGCAGTCTCGAACCTCTAGGTCTCTTCGGTTTGAAGGATGCAGTTGGAAAGGATATACCAGACCGGTCGACCATTTCAGCGAGCAGAGAGCTAGATTTGTTCGATGGAATGTTTCTGTTTTACACATCTTATATAGACCATTAATTAACTCTTTGGTTGTAATATGGTGATATTGTAATGGTGTGGTGGTTACACGAGGAGAGCTTTAGACACGTTTACGTCATGGCTCGTGCGCGAGGGCGTGTTTGCGACGTGAGAGAGAGGCCAACGCATGTGATTGCCTTCTACTGCGTTCTTCCAGTCACGGTTCCCTCTGGGAGAGTATGCAAGTGCCGGCCGTGTGTGCGTGCGCACATATAGTAGTATGCCGCCCGTCGGGGGGCAGGTATCTGCTGCACGCGCGCGCACACATTTATGCAGCTGCAACTGTTGAGGACTCGTATGTCCAGCCTCGAAGACCTGATATATCGATGGGGAAGGGTTGTTGTTGCCTTCCAGCTAGGCACCGAATTCTTCGTGTTCTGCTAAGTGTCGCAGCGCACGATGGAGGCTCCGGGATCCAATGACTTTTGCAGACCGCCTTTTGTAGAATTTTCTTCTTCACTAGTCCCTAATTGAGGGGCCCGTACTGAAGGTGAGATTCAAATATATTCGATGCAAGGTGAAGGTGCAAGCGAAGACCGGTCGAACGCCCGTCGTATACATTCTTAGCTGGGATGAATGCAGGGCTCCGCCTGTGATCCCCAGGTGACGCTTCATCTATCATTCCTAGCTCTTTTTATTGTCCTCTCATGTATCTAGTGTGAATCGAGTAGGGTAAGATAAGAACTTTGTGACTTGTTCATTAGTAGTAGCATACTACAGTTTGACAACGAACGCCTTGCATGATTGAAAATTGTATACCAACAGAGGAGAAAAAAAGGCAGCTGAATTACAAGATCGTGATTGAGCAGGTATCTGCCCTACACGAAACTTACAGAATAATCCGGCATCGGTTGCCCGCCATGGATTGAAGTCTACAGCGCCAAAACCTCACCATCGCAGAGACGGCGGGTATTCAGGGTGCTGTATTCTACAAGTATTGTACTAGAAGCTGGCTGGCTTCACTCCAGGTGATAAAAGGGTGATAGCTGATGGGTTGAGCATGATGATACTGGTGATGAGAGAGGAGTTAAGAGATGAAGTCTACATCGTAGCGTCGATCTGTTCCGACTTCAGATGACTCAGCTCGGTGCTAGCCGGTTTCGCGTTACCTGGTCATCCACCATTGTCCTACCCACATCCATCCCTCAACACCAATGAAGTTCGAGATTAAGAAGTTAAAATGGCAATTAGTACTTATCTCACTTGAATAATCTGGAAGAAGTCGGCGCTTTTCCTATACATGTATGACAAAACACCTTTGAGTCAATCCTCGAATCACGTCCCCGCCCCCATTTCGCGCACCCTATGTTCAGCTGTCACTGCGAACCACCATGCCCAAGCCACCAGCCTAGACGTCAATATGTCAATTACATCCCAGTACACCAGCCATTAATTGTCTTGCTGGCGGTAGTTGTCGGGAGACATCCGTGCTAGCAAAGCGCACTCGTCCTTTTTTAATTTGGCGAGTTTGGCGAGTGAAACCTCATGGCCCAACTTGCATTTGCCTATCACACTAATTGCTCTATTTCGGCCAGATCTCTTCACGACATGAAATCGCATGGCTTATTCGATAAAGCACTAGATATTCCTCGGAATTTACCGGTTTTGCTGCCAGTTATTGCCGTGAATATCATATGCTGATTTCCTACTACTCCTTGTGGCGGTAGATCTGAAGTTGTACGAAGACACGCGGATGGCTTACAGTATACCCAACACAAGCCCAACACTGTGGCGCGTGCTTCGAGACTTCCGCATCCATGTACTGGCTGGTCCGCGACGCGCCCCTTCCAAACAAACTCCGGACATGAACATCTTTCAAGTTGTAGAGGTTACATGTCATCAAAGATCTCCGGATTGCTACCGCACACGGGCTTGTAGCTCAAATCGTGTCAAATCATATTAGCTATCACACACTCAATTATTTGCCACTTCGAGCATTGCCTAAATTACCTACAATGCTTAAGGGTGAATCTCTTGATGAGCAGTGTCCGGTTTAGGGAAAGATCTGATGATATTCTAGACAGGCGCACTGTAGTTTAGTTAGTTGCGTATCGCAGAATGCCCAGCAGGTAGTGGTGGCAAAAGGGCCAAGCAAGTCGGGCGTGAAATACTATGTAGCTTCTTTCTATCAAGTAAGAATAAATGATCGCGGCGGATATGGTAGTGATGGAGTCTACCTTTGGTGGAATTATCATAGTAGTACGAGGAGCGGGCGGACTCTCTTTCGACGGCTTCGCTGGAATAGCTCAACTCCTTTTGCTTGATGGGAGGCTTCACGTTAATTAGTCGCAATATTGATGCATCTCACCCTGTTGCATGTCCCATGCAGGGCAACTCGCAAAACTCGGAGAGTTCCAATGCGATCCTGGGATTCTGGCTTTCTTCCAGTCGGCTGTCATACCGGTTGGATGATAACGATACAAATCTTTATTTCCATGCGAAGATCCATTGCAACTTGGGTATCGTCGGAACGAGTCTTGGTGATGAGAACCACCGTGACAAATTTCTGTGTAAACTCTCATAAAAATGTCAACATACACCAGCCAGTCTCGCTCAGCCGGTAACGGAGAAGAGTTGTTACACACCATTCACCCGCCAAAAAATCACATCCCAGGGAGTCTTTCTGCCTGTTTTACTCTTACATCTGGCCTGTTCGCTTAATATATTAAACGCCAGTGCTACGGTCTAAGTTTAGTTTCTACCTTCAACTACCCGAACAGGTTAAGCACATCGCATCCAACCTCCTGCGGCCCATCACATAGGAACATAAAAAATATCGATATATCGAATCGGAGCTTTAGCAATGTCTCCGTTGATGAACGATACGAAGAGCAGTGTAACGTTTCGAATTCTTTTGTGCGCAGGGGTGCTGACGATAATTTTCACACGTATTCGCTTATGGTGTTCACGATACTTGTGCAATTAACCGTTGCGAGTTCTACCAGACCTCGACCTGGTCTTTCAATCTATTATATACTACGCCGCAACTCTAATGAGATTCGACACTCGCTACCGCTCTTCAAAGTTTACTCGCTCGGTGCTATTTTTGGGCTTGTAAGACCCTTTTTCTGTTCACTCCAGGTTCCTGCGATGTTCTGGAACAAAATATGGGGAAATGTGACATGCTTAGGAAGGCATCCTTCCGTGAAGGATCTGCAAACTCAATATGGACCACGAAATTAGGTCTCTTTGTGGCGAAAGCGTCAGGCCACGAATGTCGAGATGCATGTTGACTACTGTTCAGCAAGCTAAGACATGTACGTTCAGTGGTGAAGTGCCAACAAACATGAATTGTTCTAATCCGAAAGAGCAGGTGGACATATGCACGGGCCGTACGACCGTGCTTCGGACAACGGCTATGGACTGTTTTGTAAAGAGAATGTGAGCTTCTAAACTATGGGGTCTCGTACCCGGTAGAATTGTAGATAGATGCACGCCACGCGAAAAAAAGCATATAAGATCGACGTGTTTCCTACACAATTTTATACATTTCATCTAAAAACTTGCCACTATCATACCTTCAAGCGTCTTCTATCACTCGGCTCCAGAATCACTGTTGTATATCATAAATAGAGCTCCTCTTTCCACAGATTTTGCCAATCCTTCAATCAATAAACATATCCTCTTAGCGACCATGAAGTCCGCAACAGCATTCGCCACTATTGCCCTCGCAGGCGCAGCCCTTGCATCCCCAGTTCCCGATTCTGTCGCCGCGGCACCTCCAGCCTTCAAGATCGACGGTGTCACTTATGGAGGATCAGGGTGTCCCCAAGGTAGCATCAACGTCGAGTACACCAGTCAAGGCATCTTGCCTATCTACTTCAACAAGCAATTCACTGCCTCGGTCGGCAGTGGTGTCGCCCCCGAAGAAGCCCGCAAATTCTGCCAACTGAATCTCTCCTTGAACTACAGCCCCGGCTGGTCCTATGCCGTCTACAGCGCCGACTATACCGGCTATGCTAGCGTCGATGATGGTGTCAAGGGAACCATAAAGAGCACATATTACTTCTCTGGCGAGACCGCCGAGGTAAGTAGCAATGTCTTTTGACTGATACTACAATGGAAGATTGATTACTAATTTGTGCCGCAGTCGTCCTCCTCTCTCCAGATCAACGGCCCATTCACCGGAAAGTACGTCAAGAATGATGACGTTGCTGTATCAGTCTGGTCGCCCTGCAGTGGCTCCTCTCTCTTCAACGTCCGAGCCGAAGTTGCACTTACACCTCTCGGTACTTATGCGAGCGGCACCATCGCGACTGTCAAGGAGACGGGCAAGTTCACCAACTCGCTTTACATCAAGTGGAAGCAGTGTTAGGAGTGGTCGGATTGAATGCTTTCTTCATTGAGCCTCGACTTCTGTAGGGCCTGCGAAGAAAGTGAGAAGATGTTTAGAATACCCTTGCTTTGTTTGAATGCGAAAACCGTTTTATATGTCAAGACTTGCTGCCAGCTATTGTGTGATGTATGTGAGGTTCAAATGTTGCAAACACATATTCGGTGAAATCCGGTGGACACTCTCGATACCAACCATCTCATTCTCTGATATCCAACATTTCTCTTTCAGTGATTCTCAAAGCAATTTTGGCAGGCAGCTCATTTTAGAGGCAATGGCAAGCGCGTTGGCTATTGCTGATTAGCCTTAGATAAGCAGAACCGTTCTTGCTGCCCTCGCAGCCAAGCCTCAGACAATCACTCTTACACCCCGCAATACCTCAGGTCGTCTTCTCTCCTGACTATTCCCTCCAGTTTCTCCTGGCACGACAGGCCCATTAGTGCATGTTGTGAGTAATTAACACGGCGCGGACGATATTAGCAGCTTTTCGTTCCTGCCAATGATTGCAACAACCCTTGTTGACCTTTATGTTGCGACACGGATGTTAATGCGGTCCTCAAGTGGACGACATGTCTGAAGCTCAAAACTACCTTTTTGGCGTCAACTGATCTCGAGACATTATTATCTATCATAATGCACTGCCACAGATCCTCACCAATGCGGCCAATCGCGACCCCTGTCCGATGATACGAGTTGAGATGACACTTCGGCATTCGCATCGCTTCGGCTGTTAAGCATCTCGGGCTGCGAGATTCTCTTCGTTTCTTCTTACCTTGCGACAGTCTCCAGTCACGATGAGCTTCGGCTGGAGTGTTGGCGATGTTGTCAAAATTGTGGAGCTAGCGAGAGAAGTCCGCAAGAGATTTGTGGACGCACCCGGTCAATACAAAGCTATTGGCAACGAGTAAGTGCTTTCGTTATCGGACTAGGCAAGCGCAGTGCGTAACCATGTTGTGCGCAGCGTCAAGAATCTTTCCCGTATCATTGAAGAGATTGACGATATACTTCCGCATCGGAGTCTGTCGGCGCAGCAAGAGAAGCATCTTCGTGAGAGACAGCAAGTTTGCGAAGATATTTTAGGAGAGTTGCGAATTATATTGAATCAAAGCGCTTCCCTGGAAGGCTCTGACACTCGTCCAAAAGATGGAAAGCTACGCGTGGTGTGGAAACGACTCCGTTGGAACCAGACGGAAATCGAAAACCTACGCAATCGACTTCATTTCGGTATAGATGGCCTGAACCTTTTCATGCAAAACGTCACGAGCGAAAAGATCTTCGAGATTGGGGACCACATTAGCGAAATCCACCGAAAAGAGCAGACTTTAGTAAAAGAGCAGATGCGCCTAAGTGTCCTTGAGTCACTCTCCACATTCGACCACGTCTCAACACAGCAGGATGTATCCAAGAAGCGGTATCCGCAGACTGGCGAATGGATACTGGAATCGAACGATTTTGTGGACTTCAAGGCAGGCAAGATGAATACATTGCTCTGCCATGGAATGCCAGGTGCTGGGAAAACAATTATAACTTCAATTGTTGTTGATCATTTTATTCATAAATGTAAGAAAGATCAATCTGTCGGCACTTGTTACTTCTACTTCCGATACGATTCAACCAAGGAACAAACCATGGAGATGGTGCTCGGCAGCCTTACGCGGCAATTACTCGAATGGCAAACCGAGATACCAGACGACTTTATATCATCCATCGGAAGTCAAGCACAAGATCCAATTGCACCATTTGGAAAAGAGGTGCAGTCTTTCCTCTTTGCGACGAATACATACTCAAAGGTACTGCCGACTTTTCCCCCCAAACTAAGCTCCACATCCTCAAGACAAGCTTAATTACCCTAATTACCATCCTCGAGAATAACACAAAGACTAACTCCATACCCTGGTCTTTGAGTTGACAGGTATTTGTTGTTCTCGACGCATTAGACGAGTATTATGCGGGAGATTCCAATCGTGCTTTGAAATTTCTAGGCTGGCTAACAGAAGTACAACGAAGAGCACCAATACAGCTTTTTGTAACAACACGGGCGAACTCCGAGGTTATTGCTCTACTTACTCCTTGCTTGCGAACCGAAATCCGTGCACGCGACGATGACGTTACCATTTACATCAACAGTAGGATGTCGGAACTGCGAAAAATCAGAGATAAACCTGATCTGCAAGCCGAAGTCGTACGGAAGGTAGTGCAGGTCACAGGCGGGATGTGTGTACCCCAAATCGTTTCTTCTCTCATTCAATACTAAATACACTAAGGTTTCTCTTAGCTCGCTTGCATATGGACGCCCTCAGAGAACCTGTAACATTGGGAAGTTTCAAAAAACGCTTGGCCAACCTACCCAATGGCGCAAAGGGTCTTAATGCTACCTATGACGAAGCCATGAGGAGAATCGATGCACAGGGGGACGAAAAACGACATCTAGCCCGCCGAGTGCTCTCGTGGATCGTATACACTGAATGGGTGCTCACCATCAATGAATTGCTTGATGTCATTGCCATTGCGTATGACACAGACGCATCGGAGTTTGACAAAGACATGCGACCGGATGTGGAAGATATCGATTCGCTATGCGCCGGACTTGTCACCGTGGACACAAACGCGAAGTACATGCGACTTGTGCATGAAACCACGCTGGAGTATTTTACTAGTGTCAATCCTATCCCAGGAGCGCACAGTGAAATCATGAGAGTCTGCTTTTGCATATTATCGTATCCAATATCGCTTGATGATTACAGCGATCGATTTTGTACCAGAGCTAACGTAGACGACGATGGTTTGTCCCCTTCGTTGTTCTCATACGCAGGGCGTTTCTGGTATACTCATGCGCTAAAGGCTGGTGATGTGTGGGACGAAGTGTTCCGTTTTCTACTCAACCCTGTGTCTGTCTCTATTTGTATGAGAAAGAATCGCTTTTCGCCGTGGTCCACCACTTCGAGTGGTCTAGGGGTTCATCTGACCGCATATCTCGGCCTTGACAAGCTGTTCGCACGCTTGCTGGAAAGCGGGCAGGCCTTTGATGCAAGAGACGCTGATGGCAGGACACCTCTCACATACGCATGCATGTCCGGTTCGATATCAATTGTACAGCCGTTGCTCGATCAACACATTTTGCCGACTTTAAGAGAATCGCGGGCCTTTCATGAACAACCTCCAGTCTCCGTGAGTAGACATACAGAGAAAGATATTCTATCAAACGTATATCAGGCTTTGATAGAAGCTGCATTGGAAGGACATCTACCTGTAGTGATGTCGTTAGCAGGGGTTGAGGGGTTCGAGGACTTTGTTCGGCATGGGGAGTACAACCAGCTCGGTAACACTGACTTCTCGATTGGTAAATCGTACCAACAGGACCTGATATGCTGCGCAGCTAGCGGAGATCACGTCGACACAGTAGATTTCTTCCTAGGTGTTTGGGGCTCATGGTATGACAGCGCATTTCCGAACTGGATCAAGTCGACTATTGTCCTCGCCATTTCCTTGGGGAGTGTCGAGAGTTTGAAGTTGCTGATCGAGCGAACAATGCAGTATCCCAGTATCCAAGAGGCATTACATGAGTTGTCTGAAAAGACAGAGAAACTGAGTACAACGTTGCAGTTGATTCAGTACAACGAGTTCGCCATGTTAGAGATCTTATCTCATTGCTTTATGGAGATCGAGGGTTGGACAACATCGCAATCCGGAATTGCCTTCTTCAACAGGGTGGTAGACACCGGTCACCTCGCGCTCGTCCAGCAGTTCATCAGACATAGCCACACTATACCAAAGATCAAGCCGTCTTCCCGCAAGTTCTTCGATGCCATACTGCAGGTCAAAGCGAGCGAGGATGGGAAAGAGCTTCTGGATTCGTTGTTTTCCACATTGGACATTGATCCGCATGCTGTACTACCTCAACAGAGAGAGAGCGTCACACTTTTGGAAGCAGCGATTCTCGAAGGCAACTCGGCCCTATTTCAGAAAATAGCAGCTGTTTCTGATCTCGGTATCAGTGGGGTGGACAACTGGAAGATGCTAACCGCCGCGATGAGAGCTGGAGACAAATTCGACAAGGAGTTCACCAGCCATCTACCCCCTACCCACATCAAGGAGCCCGGCGTTCAGATGGTAGCCGACATTCTCAGCGAACATTATGGCGTCTCATTACTTTCGCGCAACGAATACGGCGCCACACCGCTCATGTGGGCAGTCTCAGAAGGCCTCAACTACGTCGGATTCCTCCATAAGCAGCGCAGAGTCAACATCAACGCGCGCGACGCAAAAGGCCGCACAGCCCTCATGTACGCCTCGCACGTCTACACCAAGCTCTTCCCGACCTTGTATACCACCTTCTCCATAACCACCACGCCGCTCTTCTCCCTCCTAGACCTTCCCTCCATCGATGCAACCACGACAGACAACGAAGGCCGCACCGCGCTGTGGTGGGCCATTTCCGGTCTCGAGTACGTGGTCAAATCACGCGTCTGGGACCTCAAGCGCGACCTCATGGCGCAGGAAGAAGCCATCGCTTTGCTCCTCGATAAAGCGTCCCTCACGCCCGACCCCAGGGCCGTCGAGCTCGCGCGCGACAAGTACAGAGAGTATAGCGGCGCGTTGAATCGTATGGTCAAGCTGTCTGAGATTCATAGGCTGTACGTCGTGGATTCGTATCAGAGGGTTAGGGAGGCGCTGGTGAGGAGGAGCGCGGTAAAGTTGGGGGGGTTGCCGCCGGTGCCGGGGAAGTCGTTGGGAAAGGTGGCTTCTGTGGTTGAGGGTGGGGGGAATGATGAGCAGCAGCAGCAGGAGGAGGATGGATCTGGGGTCGAGACGCCCAAGGCCGAGTCTTTTCGCTTTTGAGGAGTTTGGGGGGGCGACGTTGGGTTGGGTTAAAGCCTTTGCATCTTTTTTTTTTTTCTTTTTGGAAGAGATGTTGTGGTTGAGGGTTCACTATTATTAGGAGGGAAATAAAGGTAAAGAAAGAAGAGAAGGGAAGGGAATGGAAGAGAAATGAACGTGCAAAGACACACACAAGACGACGGCGCGTACAAGGCGACCTTTTTCAATGTCCATGGTTGATACCTCATCAAGTTATACTTTTAGGGTTGTTTCTAAATGAGCAAAGCCATTTTTCCAACAAGGAGGGTTTATTGTTGGTTGGTTCATCAATGCCTATCTAGTTTGTGAATCTTATTGAAATAGCTCTCTCCCTCTCTGTCTATCTCTCTTTTGTTTGAACTACAGCCCAGACTAAATAAAGATGATAAGAAATAATGATGGTGATGGCAACGATGATGGAAAAGAGACGTTGTACTTTGTGTGTATATAAGAATTGACTTTTAAGAGTGATGATGATGATTGATGATGGATAGATGAGATGGTATTAAGCTCATGAGACAAGATTTTCAAAACGGATAACCACTTCCTTCTATTCCTTCCATTCCACAAACACACACATTGTAACCACATATGGGACAAAAAACGTAGATGAGGTATGAACAAACACGTTACAACCACTATTCATTCAATTGATTCAATTCTCCTTCCTAACTTAGAGCACACGTTTCCCAGAAAGAGAAAAATAAAAGAAACGATACATGACAACAGAAAAACAACGAAAGACAGTGCCAAAATCTAGAAATGCTCCTTCCAGAACTTGAAGTTGACTTCCTGGCATTTTGCGCCTTTGCAAGCTTTCCTTATGTCCCTGGCGGCGACGTTGGGACCGCAAAAGTAGACACCGACGTCTGTGCGGAGGGTGCTCTCGAGACCGGACATGTACGTGCGATCGATGATGCCGTCGCGCATGCCGGCGAGAAGGCGGTGGAAATCGGGACGGCCAAAGTTGGTGCGGGATTTGAGTTCGGTGAGGGGATCCTTGTCGGTGCCAACCGAGTTGAGGACAATGTTTTGCGCCGTGTTGGAGTCGATCTTCTGCGTGAGGTATGTGTGGATGCGGAGGAACTGGTCTTGTTCGTTTCCGGAGCCGTTTGTGGATTGCGCTTCGAGGGAGGAGAGGAGGGTCTGGAACCATTCAAAGGATGAAGTGTCCTTGCAGACCCAGATGAATTCCACACGACGGAGACGCTTGGGAGGGTTGGGGGAAAGACGCATGTGGTAGATGGACTTGAGGATGGAGGCCCAGGGTGTAACACCGATACCCGTACCGATGAGGACGGCGATTTCGTTCTCGAAGACGTCTTCGGCGGGAGCACCGTAGGGTCCGTCGATGCGGAGAGCGGGCATCTTTTGGCCGTGCTGCAGCGCGATTTCGTACATACCCATTGGGTCGAGTTCGTCATAGAGTTTGGATTGGGATTGTCCAGCACCAAGAGCATCGGCGAGGGCGCGGGTGAAGTCACCGACCTGGCGGACGTGGACGGAGATGTAGGGGTCTTGCGGGCAGGAGGTGATGGTGAAGGGGTGCCATTGGTGGTAGCTGACTTCTGGGCAGTTGAGGAAGAGCCATTGGCCGGGCTTGTATTTCATGCTAGGCTTGGTGAATTGGATCTCGACGGCGTCTGTTTGTAATTAGTACTGGGGTAACTAAAGCAGGAGTAACGTTTAAAAAAAAAAAACTCACCATATGGGTGACGGACGACCTTGACGATTTGAGTCTGGCGTCTGCAGCGGACCTCACGGTAGAGACGGTCGAGCAAGTAGAAACCGCCGCCAAAAAGCTCCCATCGCCAACCTTCGTAACCAATGCAGTGGGTCCAGAAGTTCTCCGAGTCAAAGGGAGAAAAGCTGGGGGCGGTGTCACGCACGAAACAGCTGGTAGCGTGTGTGTACATGCCGAGGAGGAATGGAATGAACAGGTGGTGGGTGTACCAAAACGTCTCGAAAGACTGCTGTCGGATCCTGTGGTGTGCCGTCGTGTAAATGAGCAGCATGCAAAGCAACATAATGTGTCCAGTAATGCCACCAGCCTCGGAGTAGTGGATCTGGAGAGCAATCTGCGGACGGACCTGTGTCCTCTCAACGTTGAAGAAGCTGCGACGCGTTAGTGAAATGTTCCGCTTGCGGGGAAGAAGAAAGTGCATACTTGACGTAATGGGCCGACGTGTGGAGGATGGTGAAGAACAGCATAGCGTAGGCAACCTGTCTGTGGAACCACATGGATTCGTCCAAAGGAAGCCATCTGATCTTGGGTCGAATCACTCGGAGGATGTTCCTGCACATGGGCATGACAATAACCATGGTGTCGACGGAGAGGACCAGACCAGCACCTCGCGAAATCCAGACGGAGAACTGGAGAGCATTAAGCGGGGCAAGACGTGCATCGCCTTGTTGTTTCCACCTGAGGGTATGTTAGTACGAAGTATGTGGCAAAGAATGGTGAAGCAGAAGACGTACCATCCTATGGCGAAGATTGCCCAGTGGAAACCCCAGAAAAGAAAGTTGAAGACAAGCTTCTGCGGAGTGAAGAAGCCATGCCAAACGGAAGCGCCCATGATGAAGTGTGGGGTGTAGCGATTGGTAGTGAAGGGTTTTGTCCTCGGGTTGGTGTTGGTCGTCTACGCTTGCGTGGCGCAAAGCATCCAAGTGTGCGCACAGCAGCAAGAGAGAGGGTGCCGGTCAACGGTGATTACAACAAGTGATTAAAGGGCGTATGCGGAAAAGAAAAGAATCGTCGGCCGGAAGGAGGAGGAATCCAGTCGATGTTCAACCCGGCCAGCCAGATACGAATCGAAGTTAAAGAATGTCGGTCGTCGAGGGGACGGGTGGGGGAGGAGTGTGGGATGTGGTGGAGAGGGAGAGGGAGAGGGTAGGTAGAGAGGGAGAGAAGAGGAGGGTTGCGACTGGGAGGCGAGGGCTATTAGATGTTAAGCTTCGGGCGTTGAGGAGACCGGGGGTGGTAGATCAGGTGGATCTCGGATGAGAAAGGCGAAGACGGACTGGGAGTGGATGTGGGATGAAACTGGCGAGCTGACGAGGGGCAGGCGTGGCTCAAACGTAGGAACCCGGTTGTTTGCTGCAGTCAAGGCGCAAGGGAAGCGATGGCAAAGCGAGATAATAGCGGGCGGACAGGGTGATGGATCAGGCAGAGGTGAAGCGCACAAAGGCCGGGGGGGATGAATGAGGCCGAAGCGGGTGCAGCGATGCGGAGGTGGCAGATGTCTGAGGAACGTCTCAAACCTGAAGCGCCAGGCACAGAACCATTTTTCTGTGTGTCTAGCAAAAGGGGATAATATGCGGGAGGATGACAATTCGGGAAAGGGATGGCCGGTCCGAAGGAGCAATGCAGGCGCTGCAATTCGCGTGTCTGTACGTGTCTATGTAGGTATGTATGCGATGAGGCGTGTGGATATATTATGTGTGTAGGTATGTATGCGGGGGAACCGGTGGTGGTTGGCGTGTTGTTTTTGATGATGGTGCAGCAGATGGGTATGACCCAATGGATGGCTGTTGGGTGACTGCAGGTTTGTTCTTTTCTTCTATTCCTTTGCTTCTATTCTGCTTTGCAGGCGGACAATATTCAGATGGAGTGTAGTGCAGAGCGGGTAGAAAAGACGACGAGCCGTGTGCATGGGAATTCTGACACGCAGGGGGTGTTTCTGAGACGAGAGACGTTCGGGCAGGACCCAAAGAGGCAGCGATACGGGATTATCGGCAGCGACGAGAAATAATAATGGAGGGCACTATGATGACGGATGCAACGAGGGAGGAGGTCAATGGGGAGGGGCAAAAGATATGCGGCATTGCGAGGGAGGATAAGTAGGTGTTGGTTGTCAATGGCATCTCCAGGACTAGCACGAGGACGAAGGAAGGCGGTGGGCGGGTGGCTGGTGGTGTGGTGGCCATTTGGCTGGCTGCCGTGTTTCTGTCGATGGATGCATCACTATATTCCAACCGTCTTTTCTTGGAGAGGCGCCGAGGCGGTCGTGTGTGATGGAGTGGGAGGAGAGACATGTCTTGAGGCGGCTGGCGGCCGTGGTTGGGCAGAGAACGGGTGGCACTCGAGGGTAGCGCGCACGGCTTGGGCCAATGCCAGGCGCCTTCGAAGCGCTCACCGTGCGCTCCCTGTCTCTGTTCATGTAGGGGCTCGAGTAACTAAGTAAGCAAGCCATAGCGTAGTGGTAGACTACCATAGTACTACTACTACCACTACTGTATCCTCGCTTGCAGCCTGTAGTCTCCGTCTGTGATGGAACCTGCATTCTGCCACTCGACGCTAATGCGAGCACTGTCCCATATCGCTCCCAGCCAAGTGGACGACAACTCCGCCAGTAGGGGAAAAAAAAAATATAGCAGAGATAGAGGAATATCCAATCCGGGGTTTGCATCACGGAGAGAAGAGAAAAAAAAAAGACGTCGTTCCCCTTGTCTGTCGGTCAATACAGCGGCCGGGTAGCCCTGTACAGACAGCAGTAATGCATTGTTGCACGCATTGCTTGAGCATACTACAACCTCCAACGAACCCACTGTTGACTCCCCTACTATCGTTATGTCATGCCCTCGCACCAAACAGCTCACATAACATTCGACGACTGCCCATCTCCTCCCCTTGGCAGGTTTGGTTCTGACCTGTTGTTTGGTGGCGTGATGGTATTCTCAATCCTCATCGTGATACGGATACTGTTCGGTTTCTGTGCCTATTCATATCATATGCCATCTATGTATATCTTGTCCAGTCGTGGTGTTGGTTGATTCCCCCCCAGAATAGACAGACCCGTCTTTCTATTTTCCCTTTTGGCATCCCCCTACGTAGACAACTGTAATCGTCCCCTCCGCCGAAACATGACACCGACCACGTCAACCGCAGAGACACCGGCCCTCCTTCTTCAACGAGCCTCCTCCTACAGCCGCACGTCTCAAAACAACATCAGGCCATTGTTTGAGCCTCTCCAATGCACATGCAGCCCTGACGTCCCCACACGTTCCCGTCGACCAGGTCCCGGCGAAGCTTGACAGCGGATGCGACAAACAACGTCGTACGATGCTCCTGAGGTATCAGCCCACAAAGTTTCTCGCAGGCCTGGCTCGCACGCCTCTTCATGCCTGAGGCTGGCCAAGCATCGCGGCAGCATCATCTGCAGTAAACGTTGTCGTATGATGCCGTTTGAACAGTTTGATGCACCTGTCCGAGTGTTGGCACTCGAGTCCCACGGGAAGCGATCGTCGTCGTCGTCACGACCGAACATGTACATCATCTACACAGTATAGTATAGGCAGGGGTGCTTCTTCGGGACTGAGCAGCGCCGTACAGGTACACGCGCTTGATCGCTCACCCTGAGGCACATTCTCGAACCGGGACTCAGGCATCCGGATGACGGCATTGGACGCAATCTCCATCGTTCTTCTCCACTCTCCAAAGAATGATTCCGGAATCACGTCGAGCATTTCACTTTGTTGAACTGGAATGGGGTTTCTGCTTCTTCATGTTCATCGCGGATGGTTTGATGGTCCATCATGTTCCCAATTCCAGTATTCTATTTACGAGCACACATGTTCCACCACACCGTGTCCACCACCGTGGCTGGTTTCCAAAAAGTTCTAAATGTACATACCTAGGTATGTAGCCAGGGCCACTGCGCCGCCATGTGACGGGACGACGGATCTGAGATGGACAGATGGATCTGAGGCTATCCGCAAGCTGCTAGACAGAGGACAGCCATGGCCACGTGAAGATGCAAGTCGCGGCCACGTCAAGCGGTGATAGGCGGGCGACGACAGGGCGAAGCGCCGGGATCACGGTTAGCTAAGCTGGCTGGGCGGGGGTCGTATGGCACACGTCGTGCATCACGGCCTGGCTCCCTGCGGCGGGGTGTGCCCAATCAGCGCCCCGCCAGCCCCCGTCGATGCCCCAAAACGGGCGGCGGGGCGCAGGCAGCGGCGGCTACAGGAGAGCGTATCCCTGCCGCGACCCTGCCCGCCTCTGGCACGCCCGCCCGCAACGCATAATGCTCTTCTACATTTACGGCTGTTCGCTCCATCGTCGTGACACACCTGTCGTAGCAAAACCCATCGTCTTCCCTCCAGCGCCCCCGTTCTCACGTCGCAGAACTGCCTCCGCATTGCCTCAGCCCTCAATCGAGCCTCCTTGCCAGCTATCCGTGCCTCAGTTCCCTACCTGTTTGCTCCTTCACGTCCCGTGACCACCGCCCGTCCCTCGACGCCTTGGTAGAACAAAAACCTGAGTCCCCGCCTCGCTGCCAGAAGCTTTCGTAGCTACTGGTAGCTCGCTGCGCGAATCAACACAGTCGTTATACCAAGCCCGTCTTTTCTCTTCTTCTCTCTTCTCTTCTAGTATTCTACCTTCGTCCAGCCGCCGGGTCGGTCCTTTAAACCTCGTCCTCTCTTTGTAATTATCCATCCATCGCCTACAGCAGAACCGTCTCTCTCTCTACTTCTACCGCCAACACCACCCAACCGACATCATGGGCAAGTTAATCAAGAACCACTGGGCGCGCCTCATCATCCTCACTTCCGCTGCCTGTAAGTCCCAATATGCCTCCACCATTTCCAATTCGAGAACAACAAGCTAACCCAACCACCTCTAGACCAAATATGCGCCGCTGTCGAAGGCTTCTTCTGGCCCAAGATCTTCTGGGACTTCCTCACCAAAAACCTCGATGGCGCCGTCAAACCCGTACCCGCTCTGCAAATCATCAACATCATCATGGGCATCATCGGTCTCGCTTGGGAATGGCCACTGGGCGCCATCGCTGGCACTGGTCTCCACCGCTCCATTGAAGCTCGCTTGATCGTCTACCCCCTCAGTGCTCTCGTCGCTCTCTTGATCTACCAAGGAACCAACGCCGGCCTGTATTACATTGTGGGAATGGGTGCTTATTTCTGGGCCTATAGCGAAGGCGAGGTGCGTTTGCTTCAATTCAACTCTGCCCAATCTTCCATTCCATGCTGACTCGTTTTGCTACAGGTTGTCTGCCCCGAACCTTGGACTCTGCCCAAGCGTGGTTCCACCCGTCGCGGCGTATAGATTCGTGTTTTGTGAATTCCGCCTTATACTTTTTTTTTTGCAGAATACCAAAATTCCCTTTTTCTTGTACCGTAGAGAGAGAAAGTTCAATTATGATTTTCGCCGCCGGCTTGTCACATCTTCAGCTCCGCTTTCCTTGATCTCCCCTTGCACTAATCCTACCTCTGCGACGGATCATTTACGACACCCGCCTTCCATCCATTTCTCGCAAAACAACCGGTACTCCAATCGGAAATCGTTCTTCTCTCTTTCTCTCTCTCCCGGACAGCCAAACACGGAAAAATGTGGAAACGGTTCACGCAAAGTTCGCATCACAGCGTTGTTGGACGGGGAGAATGGGCGGATGAGCCGTCTCTCACCCGTTCACAATCCTCTCCTCCAAACAACCACTACCTCTCTATTTCTCCTCCCCAATCAAGACGGTCTTGGTATCTCGACGAAAACGCTTCCCTCCACAGTCTAGCGAGAGCCAGGAAACGCAAGCAAATCTTTCACGTTTATGCTTTTTATTTCCATCTATTTTATCAATCCATCTCCTTTTTTCCTTCTATATCCAAATTTCTCTCTTATCTCGTCATAGTCTTTTTTTTATTAGTGATGTGGTTGTACTGTAACTACTGCACAATGCCAGGCAAAACATGAAAGCCCATGTTTCTTGTATGTTTAATGATTAGAGAGAACAAAATATGCATGCCATCATCATCACAACTACCCATTTTTTCTCATCATTTGAGACTACTAACCCACTCCTTTTTTTACAAATCCCTCCCCCCCCCCCCCTCGCTTTACATCTGGCAAGTCTCACATCTTCCCTGATGACGGCTCCCTGACAAGCTTCAAATACCCAGGATAGGGCTGCCGTGTATATGTCAAGTGTCTAAACAAGGAGAGAAAAGAAAAGAAAAAAACTCCGAAACCCACCATGTTAGAAAGTTGGAAAGGCGAAACACACCAAGGGGGAGACCGCGCTTAAGCGACAACATCAAGGATGATGATGATGATGATGCTACTTCTGCTGACTGACTGACTAGCGAACAGAGGTGATGAGGTATTGGAACTTGGATTATCTTATTCTTTTAATTCTTTGTATTTCTGTTCTGTAGTAGTAGTGATGATAATGAGAAATGATTATGCAATAAAATTATTAGAGAAAGGTAGTTAAGAGATGAATATCTGCATAGATTTCTCTTTTACACCTTACCTTGCGCTCAGACTCACACTTACGCTTGCCTTATACTTGCTCATCTACTACCCCCTTGTCCTTTCCATACATGTCAAATCCTGTAACATAATAACAACGTGATTAATATTACGTTAACATTAACAAAAAAAGGGTTTAATAGATAGGTGGCATACACCATTAAACAAGAGAAAAAATTTACCACTATACATATGCCATTACATAGTACATAACACTTCTTATGCGTGTGTGTGTATGTGTAGGTTTGTTATTATAGTATCTGTGTATAAAGAACGTTGGGTACACTGTATATAGTAATAGAGGGGAAGTAAAGAATGTATGTAGTGAAGATGCGAGGAGGGATGGAAAAATAAGTTAGGGGTTTAATAGGTGGGGATGTAGATATTATGTGCATATTTGTTCTAATAGATGAATAAAGAAAAGGGGATGTTGGTAAGAAGAAGGCAGAGAGTAAAGGGAAAGAAGAAAAGAGAAAAGATGACATGTTATCCCCACGCAGAAACGATTATCTCAAAACAAAACTAATCAGAATTCAAAAAAAGCCAAAGAAAGAAAAATTTACAATTTCCGTGTATTGTGTAATATGTATATATATATATATATATATATGTATATGTAACTAAGGTTATCCGTTCCCGCAATCCTCTTAAATAACAAAAGTCCTCCTCCCCCATCGCCACACCCGCATATCTCCACGTATATCTCCAAATCCAACCCAATTCAGTTCAATTCAATTCAATTCCCCTTCTTCTTCCTCCCCGCAACGCCATCCAACGCCGTCTCACTCTTACGCTTCAAGTGCCCCCGCGTACGCACACCATCTCCCGTCGTCGTGATTATCTGCGCTGGTTTCGGATCGTCTAGTTTCCTTGTAAAAAGGGGGAGGTTTTCTTAGTGTTTAGATTCTGGATTTTAGGAAGGTTTGGTCTTGTTGTTGTTGTTGTTGGTGGGGTCTGCTAGGGGAGAGAGGTGGGTGGTTTGTTAGGGCGGGGTTGAGAGGGGAGGAGAAGGAGAAGGAGAAGGAGGAGGAGGAGGATGAGGAGGGGGGGGGGATAGTGGAGGTAGGAGATTGTGCGAGGTAGAAGATGATAACTTTTTTTTGTGGGTAGGTGTGCGGGTAATGTGGAAGACAGAACGAAGAGGGCTGTAAGTTTCTGTGGGCATGGGATATGTGGTAAGATGCTGGGCGTAGGATTTGCGATAGGGTGTTTTGCGAATGGGAGGAAGAGGGTTGGTTTCTTTCTCCTTTTCTTTTGCGTGGGTGATTTGATATGTGATCAAAGATTTTGGGCAGGATTTAGATGGGTTGTAATGGTATGGGTTTCGAGGGCATACATGTGATGTCTGATAGATTGAGACTTATACACGATAAGAAAGAAAGAAAGGGTTGGGGATGATAGTGTTGTTTTCTTTCTTTCTTTCTTGCTCGAGAGCGTTGATACCGCTCATAAGAGACACCAACCACCACTGGAGATATAGTTCTCGACAATCGAGGATAGATGGAATGGAGATGGACAAATATAGTGACAAGACCAAGAAATAATATGGTGAAGCGCTAATGATCAAGATTTTTAGACAGAGACGTAAGATACTCACTCCTCTGGTCCCTCAATCAAGATCTTGATCCCCTTGCCGCCCTTTACATCACTGAAAGCGCTCTCCGCATCCTCGAACTTGACTTTGCCAGTGATGAGCTCCTTGACGGAGATGCGCTTGGACGCAACGAGGTCGACCGCGGTCTGGTAGTCGCCGGAGCCGTATCGGAAGGAGCCGCGAACGTTGAGTTCCTTGGTGCACATGGCCATGATGGGGAAGGTGATGTCAGGCTTACCCATGCCGCCCTGATGATTGAGGTTAAAACACTGGATAAAAATAACGGAGGAATGAAACAGCGGAAGAGACTGCAGCGAATAGGAATCGACATACCTGGACATAGGTTCCACCCATCCTCAGCGCGTGAATGGCAGTCTGTATGCATGGCTCAGCACCAGATGCGTCGATGATGACATCTGCGCCAGGACCAAGTTCGCACTCCTTGATCAGATTCTTTGCGTTCTCCTCAGCACTGACGCGCGCGCTCTTGAAACTCGTGGTCGCGGCGTACTGCAGGGCGAAGTTTAGTCTTTCGTCATTGATGTCGACGGTGACGATTTTGGCCGCCCCATAGGCCTTCGCAACGGCGCAGCAAAGTAGGCCGACGGGGCCTGCGCCAAACACTACGACGCTGTCGCCCTGTTTCACAGCAGCTTGCCGTGTGATGTGCACAGCCACGGCGGTAGGTTCGATCAGGGCACCTTCTTCGAGGCTCATGCTCTCAGGAAGCTTGTAGCAGTAGTCTTCGGGCAGTGCGTAGTACCGTGCCAGTGTGCCGTCAAAGGGCGGTGTTGCAGCGAATTGCATATCCGGGCAAAGATTGTACTTTCCTTCCTTACACCTCACGCAGCGGCGACACGGCACTCCGGGTTCCATAGCAACACGATCGCCTACTTTGAGGGATGATACTTTTTCACCCACGGAGTGGACGATACCTGCTGATTCGTGGCCGAGCACCATGGGAGAATCAACAACAAAGTGCCCAATGCGTCCCTCGACCCAATAGTGCACGTCGGAACCGCAAATACCAGTCCATCGTGGCCGAACAATCACATCGTAGGGTGATGGAAGGGAGGGAATAGGGCGGTCCTCGTAGACAACTTTGTTGGCGGCTTGAAGGACAAAAGAAGGGTTCTGGTGCGTGTAATATTAGCAAGAATTGAACACTATGGTCCCCGAAAGGCGCAGTTGAGTTTCCATTCATGAATTGAACATAGATTGTGTTCGAACAGCACCAATTGCACTCATCACGATAGCAGCGGTGGTGTTGCGGGGAATGTGCGTTCACTGGCGAGGGGTCGGCGGGGTAGCTCGTACCTTCTGGGTAGCTGTTTGTGTCGTCATGGTGGTGGTGGAGTTCTTCTGCTCTTCTTTTTGCTGTTTCTTCTCGGGCTCCTCACTGTCCTTCTGCTTGTGGAAGAATGATCGAAAGCAAAGACAAGATGACATTGATGGAAAGCTACCTCAAGCACTAAACACTAGCTCTGGTTGCGGAGCATGACGAGTCTAAAAACCGCCCGCGTGGTGGAGCTCGTGCCTTGCTATCCCGTTCTGAGCCGCATACTTGCACCCACGGGCATGCTCCGAGGTGGAAATGGGTGACGGGACTTTACCCGAGCATTTTATCCGCCGCTTGCTCAACTGTTTGTTGACTATCGACTATCGTGAAGTTGGGTAGACATCATTTTACCGATGTCGCTAGACGCACCTCGACTTCTGAATGATTAGCCATAACCCACCGGAGGAATCGTTGGCGCCCAATTGCACATTGCACCCCACGAGCACCGGAAATCAGAAGCGCCGCGGCGGTGAAGAGAGATGCTGTGCGCAGCTGCTCAAGCATTTTATGCTTGTCGTCCCCAACAAGCCCACCAACACGTCACGAGTGCATCCTCGTTCTCCTCCTCGCCTGCAGCAGACCCGCCCCAGTCGTCGTAGCCTTTCTCCTCACCTTCGTCCAGTATGAAGAGTCCAGCTTGAGACATGCGCTCGCGAAAGTCTTTGATTTCGGGTAAATAGGCTTCTCGGTATGGAAATTCCACAATCACTTTGGCTTCAATATCTTCGGATAGCCATTGTTGTACCGCGCCCACGAGCATGCGCGGATGTTCGGAAGAGTATAGAGAATCCGCTGCGAGAATGAAAGGAAATTTTCTCGTCAACGCTTCGTCGACATCGTTATCGCAAACCAGCTGACAGGATGCGGGATTATTCCAATCGAGTACGCCAGTCCGCGTCGACCCGCCGTTGTGGTTCACAATTTCTGAATTGTCCTGTGCATTACGTGCCAGATTGGGAGCAATGCTGGGGAGGTCGGTCAACACAACATTTGCGCCTAAAGCCGCCATTGCGAGGCCAACGAGCCCGGTGCCTGATCCGAGTTCCAAAACATTGGGCTTGTCGTTGCCTGGTTGCACAAGATTGAAGGTCCTTAATCTTTTCGCTAGGAGGTAGGAAGCTGCCCAAGTCTTCAGACCTAGATCATCACCAGTCAATGCTGGCTCGTGGATGCTGAGCTCAAAGGAGCTATCGGCTGTAGGAATGCGGAATTTACGAGACATGGAACCCATTGCAGTCCGACCTGAGCGTTCGCTCAGACGAAGACTTGCTTGATTCCAGATTTCTTCTCGCGCATCGTCGTCTGTGATCCATTGTAGGCTGTTGCTCACAATGCTGGTAAGATATCGAGCGACTCCTTCGGGGTTTACAGAGACAGGAGGATCGGGTGAACTCCCATGGTGAGACCCCTCCTTATTTAAATCGGTATGGTTGGCGTCCCAAGAACGTGGCGTATACGTGAGCAGCGCGAGAGTGTCGAGGAGTGACTGCGCGGATGGTTTTGTGTAGAGTTGTGGAAGGTCGAGGACTGCGGACCGTCAATTTACGCTTGTTGGAACGAAGGATGAGAGGAATTACCGTCAATCATAGACATGTCTGCGCGTTCCCAAAGGTGCGCGAAAACAAGGAAATAATAGAAAATTCGAAGCCGTCCAACATGGTACAAACGCGCGGAGGAGCTCGGGCCACCACCCCGCCTCGACGAAGCAACCAGTGGGGTCAACAACGAATGGAGTGAACGAGGAGGCCAAACTTTGTAGAGATTCTAGATATAGGCAATTTACCAGAGGATTGTGATGCTAATTTCTTGTCAATGTAGCTTTGAAGCCGTAGTATGCCTGCTCCATGTCGAATTGGAATTCGCGTGCTTGGTCGTCATTCAGCTTCTCAGCTGCTCGCATCTGGTTCAGGGTGATGAGCCATTGCACGATTTTGCCTTTGCTCTCAAAATCCTGGTCTGTGACTTTGTTCACAGCCTGTATGATCTCGACGAGAAGTGGATGAAGGGTATCTTTCTCGATCAAACCGATCTTGATGGCGTCGAGCAGAGTAATGAAGTTCTCTGTGGCAATCACAAGAAGGGTAGCATCCGCCGTTTCGCCTTGCTGGGAGGGTTTATGTGTCGGGCCTTGTTCTACGGTAGCGGGTATACCAATTCGTATGCGTTCGGTCGCGCGGGGGCATTCCATCTCAAGTCAAATGTCAGTACCTCACCATTCAAGTGTCATGCAGCATGTCATAGTACTCACATCCCACTCCCGCTTGAAGGATTCAATGTCGCCAAAGGCTTGCAAAACGGTGTCGTCGGCAAGATTTGACTTGTACTGTTTGAGTAGCCTGCTGCATGTTTCGGTATAGTCGGTCTCGGCTATGGAATCTTTGAGATAGGCTTTCTCGAGGGCGTCGAGGGTGACGATGATGCTGTAGATTTCGGCGAGGGAGTCATTGAGGTCGCGTTCGGCGCTTGTCGTGGAGAGTTTGACTTCCTATCAGCAAGTCATGTTAGCTATTGTATGCAGTGCTTTTGGATGCTGCAGCATGTCGGCCATAGACATACCTCGTCGAGATTGATGGTGGCAGACAGAGTGGATCGCGGGATGTACGGCGTAGGCGCGTACGCCAGCTGGCGATTTCCATACATATTGAGGGCTGGCTGTTGCGGATATGTAGGATGAAGGGAGAATCGCGGGATTCGAAGTTGAATAGCGGCTGGCGATGACGATGTTTGTTGATAGCTTGACAATGGTTGCGAGGGACCTATCCTAGGCCATGGTATGATGCATAGGCAGGTGCCTAGCTCTCACGGCGGTGCGCAGGCTGCAGCCAATCAGGGCTTAGCCGCCGGACCCTCTATGCATTTCAATCTTTTTGTACTGGCCCGTTTTTGTGTGGAGACCGAACGCTCGGGCCATGCGAACTTTTAGCGGGCGATGAACTTTTTCGAGCAAAGAGCGGACGACAGGCCTCGCATCCCACTTGGAATTCACGACACCGCTGCCAGGCACCTCGATTCTCTTCCAGTCGAGCGGCGTCCGGCCTGAAACCACCGCCAACATGCCGCAATCAAAAGCCACCCGGAAGTTCGAAAAGAACAAACTCGGCGATGTGCTCAAGAAGCGCAAGGAAGTCGCCAAGATCAAGCAGAGGAAGCAGATGGACGCAAAGCGCAAAGAAAAGCGCGCAAGAGACAATGCCCCCGCTGACGACGTCGATGCTGCCGCCAGACCCAAGACCAATGGCTCCAAAGACGAAGCTGCCTTTGGCGACATGTCCATGGACCAGTTTTTCCAGGGCGGCTTCGAGGTCCCCGAGATGAACAAGAAACGATCCACCAAGCCCAAGACTGGCAAGAGAAAGCGCACGCCCGTGGAGAAGGAAAATGCTGAAGAATCCGACTCCGATGTCGACATGGCCGACTCTGCTCCCGCCGACGACTCGGGCTCCGACGACGCTTCGGGCGACGACATCGACACACATAAAGACCAGCTGGCAGCGCTTGCCGACAAAGATCCCGAGTTCTACAAGTACTTGAAGGAAAACGACGCTGAGCTTCTCGATTTCGCAGAGGACGCTGATCTGGACGAGATTGATGCTCTTAGTGCTAGCGAAGACGAGGGTGCCTCGCGGAAAAAACACAAGTCTGATAAGAAGTCTCGGACCGAGGACGACGATGAGGAGCCCGAGTCCGGTAGCAACGAAGTGTCTGGGAAGTTGATAAAGAAATGGAAAGCATCAATGGAGGAAAACTCTTCGTTGCGAGCCATGAGAGAGGTCGTGCTAGCGTTCCGCGCCGCTGCTCACCTCAACGATGAAGCCGACAAGACTTACAAATACTCCATATCCAACCCTGATGGTATGCTCTCTCCCCCATTCATCTATTGAGACAATTCTAATCCGATCAATTCCAGTCTACCATGAAGTGCTTGTCACTGCTTTACAATTGGTTCCCAAGGTATTGCAACACCACCTTCCTGTCAAAGAGTCTGCATCAGGCAAAGTGTTAGTCGCCCTTCTCTTCTCGCCATCCATCCACTGACCTCAATAGCCGTGTATCGACCGATTCCAAAAAGTTCAAGACACTTACTCCGCTTTTAAAATCGCATACCGTTTCCCTACACCACCTTCTCGAGAACCTTTCGGACTCTTCAACCATTGGCATGACTCTCGAATCTCTCCTCGCATTGCTGCCGTATATCCTTTCGTTTAAGAAAATCGTACGAGAAGTAACAAAGGCTGTGTCTTCCGTGTGGGCAGATTCATCAAACACCGAGGTCACTAGACTTTCGGCATTCTTGGTTTTGCGACGCCTCATAGTCATCTCTGATGCCAGCATTCGGGAAGCCGTCCTCAAACAAACCTATCAGGGACTTGTAAAGGGAGCACGGAATACCACTGTTCACAACATTCAAGGAATCAACTTGATGAAGAACACGGCATCTGAACTTTGGGGCCTGGATCCTAACGTGGGATACACTACAGGTTTCGGTTTCATTCGACAGCTCGCGATTCACCTGCGACAAAGTATCACGAAGCAGACAAAAGACTCATATAAAACAGTGTACAACTGGCAATACATCCACTCGCTCGATTTTTGGTCACGCGTGGTTGCCGTGCATTGCGAGTCGCTCAGGGAAGCAGAGTCTGGTAAAGAATCGCCGCTTCGACCGCTCATCTATCCCGTTGTACAAGTTACCCTTGGAGCCATGCGGTTGATTCCTACAGCACAGTATTTCCCTCTGCGATTCCAGCTGATACGGTCATTGCTGCGCGTTTCTTCGGCTACATCGACCTACATTCCGTTGGCGCCCGCGCTTGTCGAAGTGTTGAACAGCACCGAACTGAAGAAACCACCTAAGCCGAGCACGCTGAAGGCGCTGGATTTCAATACGACAATTCGCGCCACAAAAGCCTACCTTCGGACCCGCGTCTACCAGGATGGCATCGGCGAGCAGGTCGCCGAGTTGCTTTCTGAGTTTTTCGTTCTTTGGGCCAAGAATATCGCTTTCCCTGAATTGGCACTCCCTGTCATCGTCATGCTTAAGCGATGGGTCAAGTCTATGACGAAGAAGGCGAGCGGAAACCGCAATGCGAAGATCAATTCACTCATTGCGCTGCTTGTTCAGAAGCTGGAATCAAATTCGAAGTGGGTAGAGGAGAAGCGATCGAAGATTGACTTTGCACCGAACAACCGCGCTGGCGTAGACGCATTCTTGAAAGATGTAGAGTGGGAGAAGACACCATTGGGAGCATACGTGTCCGGACAGCGGAAACAAAGGGAGCAAAAGGCCAAGATGGAAGAAACGGCGAGGAAGACGGAGGACTTCAAACGCCGGCAAGCTGAGAAGCAAGAGGCGGCGCAGAACGCGGAAAAGTTTAGCGATGCTGAAAGCGAAGACGAAGATGCCGAAGAGGAGGATGAGGACGAGGATGAGGATATTGAGGAGATGAATGATTCTAGTGATGAAGCCGAGGACGATGAGTAGACGTGTATTTTGACATGTAGAAGGGATTGGATTTGTTAGACTATCGTTAGCTTTATATCTGTAGCCAGATCTCAATAATCATGGTTGCAAACTATGTACATGACGGCCAAGGCTCTTGGATTTTCATACAAAAATGTAGGGTGTGGACGGATGCAACTGGGAGGACAGAAATTCTTTGTGACTATCGGAAAAGATCCATGAGTATACAAAAAGCTGAGAGGTTGTTATATTATGTTGTACTATCTCAGGAACAATTGCATTGCCTTCCGCAGGTTGCTTGTTGTGGTTTTCACTGTGTGCGTCTCTCCCCGGGTTATTCTGACGCACGAGGGTGGGCATGTGAAAGAACCTCGGCCCTCCACCTTTCCAAGCGCGCATCATGAATCCGGGGAAGCTCTGGCGCACATGCAAATGTCCAGCAACACCACGCTTCATCCACTGCTCCCCAGAACATGCGATTCTTCCCCCTGAGGATGTCCATGGCCCATAATGGCCGCGCAATCAACGTTACGAGAATCTCATGATCCCCTCCTCCACCTATACAACCACTATGCCGCCCAGCTGCGCACCCGCGTCCGCGGCGCCTCCAAGCTCACAAAGCTGCTTTCCACTATAACTCTCGCACTCACCATCATCGGCTCAGCATATGGCGGACATCGATGGGTGAAAAGTAGACGGACAGAGAAGGAGACGGGCCGACGACTGCTGAGAAGGAATTCGGGACTACGAGGCAAGGATGGCAGTCGGACCATCTACGTGCCGTATCGCGACTCGACGTCTAAAGTGGTCATCAATCCGACGAAGCCGACGACATTCGATGCGCATAGGAGACTTTTCCTTCAACCACCTCGCGCGGCGCGAATGAACGATTCAACGCGAGATCCACAGGCACCTCCGCCGCAGACGAAGCCTGGTCTCAACCTCGCCTTCTTGCATCAATTCCTGAGCCTTTTGAATATCATGATACCAAGATGGAATAGTAAAGAGTCGGGTCTACTCATAAGTCACAGCGTCTTCCTGATGCTGAGAACGTACCTTTCGCTGGTCGTTGCACGACTGGACGGAGAGATTGTACGCGACCTGGTCGCAGGGAATGGAAAAGCGTTCCTTTGGGGCATCTTGAAATGGCTCGGTGTGGGCACATTCTCGTCGTATACCAATGCTATGATCAAGTTCCTGCAGTCAAAGGTCTCGATTGCGTTCAGAACGAGGCTGACGAGGTACATCCACGACTTGTATCTTAACGACCATCTCAATTACTACAAACTCTCCAACTTGGATGGCGGAGTTGGGCAAGGCGCAGATCAATACATAACGCAGGACTTGACGCTGTTCTGTGCGTCAGCTGCATCGTTGTATTCCTCACTTGGGAAACCATTCGTGGACATTTGCGTTTTCAACTACCAACTCATTCAATCATTAGGGCCACTCGCCTTTACCGGTCTGCTGAGCAACTACTTTCTGACTGCAACGATACTGCGGCGCCTCTCACCACCATTTGGCAAACTCAAGGCCGTAGAAGGCCGAAGAGAGGGAGATTTCCGCGCCCTGCATTCTCGCCTCATCGCTAACGCCGAGGAAGTGGCTTTCTACGGTGGCGACCAGATGGAGAAGCATTTCTTGGAACGCGGTTTCAAAGACCTCAAACACTGGATGGAAGGCATTTACAGTCTCAAGATTCGATACAATATGCTTGAGGACTTTGTGCTCAAGTACTCATGGTCCGCGTTTGGTTATCTTGTTACCTCCCTTCCTGTCTTCTTGCCAGCATGGGGCGGGTTAGGCAGTGCGCAGGAACTGTCGGGTGGTGAACGTCAAAACCGCGAGAGAAACCGCATGAAAGACTTCATCACTAACAAACGCCTTATGCTGTCTCTCGCTGATGCTGGAGGCCGTATGATGTACTCCATCAAAGACCTCTCCGAACTAGCAGGCTACACATCCCGTGTATATACCCTCATCAGCACTCTTCATCGCGTACACGCAGACGCATACTATCCTCCCAACGGCGCCCGTTCTGAACTCTTCTCAACTTCGGACATCCAAGGTACAGTTCACAAGGGCTTCGACGGAATCCGCCTCGAGCACGTCCCAGTCGTAGCACCCGCTCTACACCCCATGGGCGGCGATGAACTCATAGAATCTCTCTCATTCATCCTTCACTCCGGCGACCACCTCCTCATCACGGGTCCCAACGGCGTCGGCAAATCCACCGTCGCCCGCATCGTCGCAGGCCTCTGGCCCACATACCGCGGTCTCGTCTCCCGCCCACGTCCCATTGGCGAGGACGGTATCATGTTCCTGCCCCAGCGCCCATACCTCAGCACTGGCACGCTACGCGATCAAGTCATCTACCCTCACACTGAGGTCGACATGAAGGCCAATGGTCGAAGGGACAGCGAACTCCAAGCCATCCTCGACGAAGCGAAGCTAGGCTACGTACCTGATCGCGAGGGTGGCTGGGACACGAAGAAAGTATGGAAAGATGTTTTCAGCGGCGGCGAGAAGCAGAGAGTGGGCATTGCGCGGTTACTGTATCACGAACCCAAATATGCGTTCATTGATGAAGGAACCAGCGCTGTATCGTCTGATGTTGAGGGCTTGTTGTATGAACGCTGCAAGGCGAAGGGTATCAGTAAGTTTTCCCCTCCATTCTCCCTCCCCCCTACCCACCCTTCTCTTCTCTCGGGTCCACCTATCCCCAAAACAAAAGCTCTAACTCAATCCCAACAGCACTAATAACAATCTCTACCCGCGCCTCCCTCAAACGCTACCACACCTACACCCTCACGCTCGGCCAAGGCGCCCACGCCGACGAGTGGGAATTCCAGCGCATCGGCACCGCCCAGGAGAAATCCTCCGTTGAAAAGGAACTCGCTGAGCTCAGGGAGCGCTTGACGAAGGTTAAAGAGTGGGAGAAACGGAAAGGCGAGATCGAGGAGGAGTTGGGAAGGGTGTGGGTTGCGGGGGGTGAAGGAGAGAAGGAGAGCGAGGAATTGGCTGCGCCGGATTATGTGAATGAGGCCGAGGAGGAGGAAATGGAAGAGGAAGTGGTCGGGAGTGAGGAATCAGTAAACGACGAACAGGTGGATGAGGAGGTTGCGAGCCAGGATGGAGGGGCCGATGAGCAGGAAGATGCGAGTGTGGATGAGGAGAAGGGCAGTGAGGGAGTGGCGTGAGATGTGTAGTAGAGGGGATCTGTCAAGTTTTTCCCTCTTTTTTTCACTATCTATGCTATTTTCATGTATCTCTGTGTGCGGGTGCATAAAGGTGTGTTAGAAATAAATGTAAGGTAGATTCTTTCCCAAGAAAAGAAATCGATCAGATTGAAAAGTAGTAACATGCAAAGTATATATATGATATCGTGCGTAGCTAAAAGTTCATGTGCAGTGTGGGTAGCCTATACCTAGATAGCAGATTACGTCTTGCGCCGACACATGATCAATACAGGGGAGGGTCTGCCCAAAAATAGGGCGTTCACTACCCTTTCTCAGCCAATATCCTGTTAGATAGCATTTTAACCTAGCTTCAAGAAGACATGAATAATGATTATATATAACGTGCGTCTCTCACGTCTTTAGTGATGTAAATCAACTCCGAATTTGACGTGTTCCGCGTATCCTGCAATCCAAGTCGATCCGGTACCTCTCTGGTAAACACGCCTCCACCAATACTAACAAGATATATCCCGATTGTGTGATTGACTCTCTCCCCCCGATGACAGTTGAGAGGCATAAATATCATTCCCTTGTTATCAAAACTCAGCTGCGTCTGTATCCGAACACCCTTATTCGTAATAGCAAATTCGGGATTCGTCTTCGGATTTGCCACAGAAACAATCGATCCAGCATCTTTGAACTCCTGCGGTGACCAAGCCAGCGCTCCACGATAGGGCATAGGCCCCGAGTCTTCCGCTTTCGCTTGCCACGCAAATACAGTCAAATCATTACTTTCCTTGATCAATTCCTCTTGCAGTCTCATAAACGCTCTCACGCCTCCCTCTCCGTAGAGCAGCGGCATATTGATACCGAAGATCCCAATCAGACAATACGCCATGTCCTCCTCCCTCGTCGTCTGCCGCTGCGAAGCCCAAGACATCCTTTTCGCAACCGAGACTAGATGCAACGGTCCCTCAGCCCTCAGTATCGCCCTCTCAATCCCCGTAATCGCCTCCAACGCCGCATAAAGTTCCAACTTTGAACCAAAATACCGCCATTTCTTATCGTAGAAATGCATGTCTGACGGCGCAATCAACTCCTGCAACGTCCAGCCTCTAGTAAACCACAGACACTTGCTAAGATCGGCATCAGGGTCTTTACTGTCAAAGTCTTTAAGGTACACATAGCATCGTTTAGCTTTTGAGTACCAGGTGTACATTGAGTTTATGGCTTCGGAGAGCTCTGCGCTACTTTTTTTGTCGATGCAGCACGTGTCTATCCAGATGTGCTTGAATTGGTCGCGGAGGGCTATCTTGCAAGCTCCTAGGATCTTTTTCATTCCTTCTTCGTATTTTGGGTCTTTGTAGTCGCTGAGGGGGCCGTAGAGTACTTCGTTTTTGTGCCATGTGTGGGATAGGATGCTGTAGGTTTGCTGGTTTGCGCTGGTGACGTCTTCGAATTGTAGGGTTGAGCAGTTGAGAAGTCTCATTTCTTCAGGGCTATGTAGATTTAGGAACTACTGGTTTGTTGTTTATATAGGGGTTTTGTGTACTGCCATAGTTGAAGCTTGGTGGATTGCGTGGTGCTCAAGGCTCCTTCGCCATTTGGGGGTGCGGGGTATGTCGACCGGTGAAGCACAGCCTCGTCACTGCCCATTTACAAAGACTGATAAAAACCTGAACTGCGCTGGATTGATCTGACATTTCCAATGCAAAAAAAAAACGGCGTGAAATTGGGATATCAGTCCTCATGTCTCAGTTATGACAGAGCGTCATGAAACACGGCCAGTGCTATGGCAAAGCTGGAAGTCGGCAGGGGCACCCTTCTTGCACCTGTTCACCAGTAAGTCGAGCCTCATCTTTTTTCGTTATACGTGTATGCCACAGTACTATTTATAACTGAATAATAGATAATCGAGACAACTGTCAACTCCCAGAGCATGCTAGCCCATACCTCAGAAGAAATGATGGTAGAGCTGCGCTCACAATGCGCAACAACACGCAACAACTAGTGAGAAGAGAGCCGACCTCGTCGCGTATTCTCCTTGAAAACCCCCAGCTCAGCAGTAAATCAACATGGGACAATCAGGAGCAGATATGTCAGAACTCGGTATCCATGGAAGTCGCCTTACGATCCCCAGATATGTGTGCTACTGAGCTCCGATATTCTAATGACTCTCACGCCGAGAAGATGGACTTGGTCTCAGAGGTGAAAAGTTTGGCTCGGCGGTTTCTCAATCTAGATGCTGGGAGCCGTCCCCGCAACACATCTACGTTGATTGGAGATTTACTTGAAGCAGTGCATGTTCTTCAAGACCACGTCGACACACTCGGAGCGAAATTCAGCAAAACGGACATAGTCGAAGCGCCTTCTCAGAATCTCCATTATAAGACTCTTTACCGCATTCGTTGTCACCAAACTCTACATTGTCATGACCAAGTCATGTACGAGGATGAGCCTTACTACGATACAAACATGACTTGGGGCAATGACAAAGTCCTTCGGGGCGATCATCCCGTTTTTAACGTTGAATCGTACCTGATGCAACACCCAGGATTACATTTCGTCGTCGTGAAGGAACATGACTGCGTTTCCTCCCACAATGCTCTGCTTGAAGATGCGAATCAACCGACCGCAGAGGCTCATGGTTCGCATGGAAGAGAAAGACTCTGGATCATATCTCCTACACTCCAAATGGCCCTGAAAGATATATCCCAATCTACTCTGCCCATTGCGGACGATTCGATCACCTACCTTGCGCAGCTAAACGCGCCCTACGACATCTTCTTTCATCATCATGGCGAGCTCCTCACCTTGGCCCAGAAAGACAAGTCGCACGGACCTGTATTGAACACACTGCTTTCTTATGTGGTCACTAATTACCAGTCAGACCACGAAGATGCGAGATTGATGTTCACGAACGGGTTTGTGTCCAGCTTTCATTTAGGGAAACTGTTCAGACCGGGACAGTTGGTGATCTCAAGTGACTCACACACCGGGGCATCCAGAGTCTCTATAGTCATTGAATGCATCCCACAGCCAAATGGAAGTGTGAATATAAAGGGATGGTGTTGGAATTTCGACGGCGTGCGACTGGTTCGGGCTATTTGGAGTGGTGATATTGTAATCCCGTCTCAGCAGCCAATAGCAATCAACCAATTGATTATATATCCATCAGAATATGCTGCAGACGGGATTATGGACACATTAGCAACTCGTGGAGAAAGATTCTGGGCCATCAGAGATCGAGCTTATCTCGCGTATACTGGCTGGGATGCCCAAAGGAAACACCAATACGTGAGTCAGATTCTTCTGCTCTTGCGCATGACTAACTCAAATAGTCTGAATCACGGTTCATGATTGATACCAGTGTCTACAATGACCTTCACCATATTGCTAAGGGAGACTACTCGATCGCGAAATGCGACGGAATGGGCCCTTTTGAACTGCACTTGTGGTCAACCAACCAGAAATTTGGCGGTGGCGCCGCGCTTGACTGCTGGCCGACCTCTATAAACACCTCTGATGTGAGATTGACGCGCGAAATGTACTTGCTATTACCTCCCACCGTCAAAGGCTTCGATATGAGTGAGAAGCGTTGGAGTAGGTGCTTCCGAAATCCCAGATCTCAGATGCGGACTATATTGACAGATTTTCTAGCCCTACTTGACGTTCGACACCTTCACGATGTCGGATGGCGCACTGAAGCGCTTGACCGGATAGTAATTCCGACAGAGCATAGAGAAATGTTGAAAGCCTTGGTGAAAAGCTTCGAGCCCGAAAGGCAGATAGTGAAGGATAATGATTATATGGTACCTGCAAAGGGCCAAGGTTTGAACATACTGCTTCATGGTGCTCCTGGTACCGGTAAAACTACGACAGCCGAATGGTAAGGGTATAAATCATGAATAACCGTGATTGATTTGATTAATGTAAACCTAGTGTTGCGGAGTATGCTCAAAAGCCCCTCTATCGTTTCACTTGCGGTGACATAGGCACCGATCCTCAGTCCGTCGAAAAGTACCTCGAAAGCGCGTTTTTCTTGGCTAAAAGATGGGACGCTGGTAAGCCTTGGAAATTTACCACTTGGAGACCTATCTAATTCCTATAGTTGTAATTATGGACGAAGCTGATGTGTTCCTACAATCGAGATCGCATGGAGATCTGCAGAGAAACTCAATGGTCTCAGGTAGGTATGTACATCACCGGAAGATTCGATGCTAATGATCTTAGTCTTCCTTCGTGTGCTTGAATATTACAGTGGGATATTGATTCTAACCACCAATCGAGTCGGTACCTTTGACGATGCATTCAAATCTCGGATCCATGTATCACTGTATTTCCAGCAGATACAAAGACAAGACAGATTACGAATCTGGGAGTTTTTCGCACAGGAGGTCCGAGCAGAGATGTCGGAGACTGATTTTCACCAGTTGGAGCAACGACTTCCAGATCTTGCTGCCGCTCCCCTAAATGGAAGACAAATTAGAAATGCGATGAAATCAGCTAGACAGCTCGCAATCTATAGAAAGATCAGCTTGAACCACGAACACATCCAACAGGTGGTCGAAACCACACGCGAATTCGACAAATATCTGGAGACAGTGCATTCACCGGAAGGAGCTGGCGATCGGTCACGGGAACAACATATCGAATCGGCGCAAGATAAGCCAGTCGATCAGGCAAGTAACGGAAGATCCATCGAGTTCGGCTTCGACGAAGATGCCCCACACGGTCCACGATCGAAAACCACAGCATATCCCAAGAAGCATCGCGTAGTTCATAGCGGCACCAAAAGAACTTCCAGAAGCAATAAAACTTCTAAAAAACATCGGACTCCATCGGGACAAAGCTCAAGTGTTTCCCTGGACTCGGACATTCGATCTGTCGTAGATCGCCCAGAAACTTCCGATGCAGACACTCCGACTTCAGCACCGCAATATATCCATTCCGCATTGTCGAAGGCATGGGGTCTCAACAACGGCTCGTCTAAAGATGAGCTCAGAGAGGCAGATCTACAAAACCTTGTGGAGGCGTTCGCAAGTCAGCTCCGACCCCATGCGAAAGAATGAGGAAACAAGGAATATAGGTCGTTGATCCCAGGCACGGGGAACGCTATTACGGTTTAGAGCATATGGATTTTAATGAAGAGGATTGACTGTATGGCTTCTGCGATTTGTTGTAGTATTGAATTGGGTGCATGTGCCGTCTTTGTTTTACAATCAGGAAAGCACTAGATAAGGGCCTTGCGCAGGATGATGTTTGTATAGTCGAACAGGTTTCAAGCGTCACGAGGAATAAAAAGGATAAATAGCATGTAATAAGGCTCTCATCAGCGTCGCAGCAACGCGGAATCATTTTCCGCCAGAATGCAACATCTGTTCGTTTTTTTCTATTCTCAGAGTGGCAAGCGAGGAAATTCCCGAGCTGGAGGTAGAGCTTGGAAGTAGCACTTTCTCAACTACTATGAGCTCGTTGGGTGATCTACCGTAACACCCCTTGGCACCTTCTCTTTAAAACGATGAGAACATGCCCTCCCTATTCGTCTGCCCCTGCTGTTTATGGAGACTTTGCGTGCTTCTGTCGCGGTGGTTTCTTATTGTCCGTTAGGTTTAGGGAAAACTCGCCTTTCTTTATTTATTGTTTACGTTATCAGCGTTTGTGCTTTCTAAGTAGATTGTATTATTTCTTTTTTGCAGCATAACATAAGGAGATATATTATTCTACGTAGGGTATTGTACTATCAGATACTCTAGAAAGTCGAGTTTCTAAGTCAGCAGACTTGAGTGAAGAAGTATTACATCAGCTTCACAAAGGATATGCAAACCCGCCTGGGCCGAAATTAACAGAAAAATGAAAAGTCCCCCTCATCAAGCTGACCACCGCAAAACGTCTCCCATGAAGCGACCTCCCTTCGGAAATTGAACCTACTCATATCAGGGGTTTGATCTAGGAGTGTATTTAGGCAACTTACCGACGCGTTCCCCATTCTTCGTAAAGAAGAATTCGTCCTTGTCCTTGTCAGATCCGCAACCTACTACATCACCAACTCCAAAAGTGGCACCAAACCGTGTCCCTTCTCCCGATTCACAGTATAAATCGCCAGTATCGCTATGGTATCCATAAGTTCCTCTGCCCCATCCCACCATGTGTGTTTTATACAGATCACGATCTGATATTCCTATCCCGAACGCACTATTACATATTAGGAAATTTTCAACAGATTATAAGTGTTTATGGAGAGCTTTACGTACTTTCCCGTTCCTAGAGCATGGATAGTGGCTTCGAAATACATCACCCGTTGATTTATAGAGAATGGATGGTCTGATACCATCTGTACTACGGGTAGAAGTACATTTCCATCTGACGAGATAGTAAGCACTAGAAGCATATCCAGAAGGATGCATACCTTTAGATATGGCATATGAATTGCCTGTAATGTCAACTTCAGAGTCTTTTGGTACCGTGAGCGAGCTCGGGACTAAACATCGGTCCCGACCAGACAGCGAATCATAATCGTGGACCCCAAATATGTCACGTATCTCTTTGCTGCCCGTTTCGAACGCGACCATAGATGTTGTCCATCCATGCTTATCCTTGAACGCAGGATCAGCACCATGATCAAGAAGTAGTCGAACGAGATGTACAGAGGAATTAACAATGGCCGTCCAGAGCACGTTCCCGAAGCATCCCCCCTGGAAATTGGCATCGGCGCCATACTTGAGCAGCAGCTTTGTCATTTCCTCGTTGTCTTCGTATACAGCCGTCACGAGTGCGTTACTAACTTCAGCCTCTGCTTGTATCAACAGCTCTACAAGTGTTGGCTCATTTCCAAACACTGCTGCCTGGAGTGCATTGCCCAGAGTACCTCCTTTTGCATTAACATTAGCACCATTCTTAAGCAGTAGCTTGACAATATCTTCATGGCCCAATAGTGCAGCCAACTGAATCGCAGTACTATCATCAAAGTGTTCTGCCTGAGAGTTCACGTCGGCGCCTTTCTCGATCAGTTTCTCGACTATCTTTGTCAACCCCTCTTTGCTAGCGAAGTGTAATGGCATGGTGATCATCTCGCGAAAAACTCCGTGCGCCCGTGGACCATATGGATCATATACCCGAACGGAGTTTGCGTAAATACTCTCACTTTCTGAAATTAAATCCAATACTTCCTGGACGTATCCCTCTGTCTCTTGTCGAGTCGCCCAAGCATGAATCTTCCAAAACTGGGCTGAGTAGTCGGCCAATTTGAACTCTGTCGAATCGTCTTGGCTAAGAATGTCAGCGGTACGGAACTGAAGAAGATATACAACACAGCTCCTCGCTATCAAATCATGGCATGCGGTTTCTTGCATACTATACCGTGTAGCAGAGCCTTTTGTGATTCTTTCCGAAAGAAGGTACTCTTTGACAGAGTAGTGCGCAAGCGTAACTACTTGCCGTGTGGGATCCATTGTTTCATGTTCTCCACTAGTATTGGTAGGATATAGAGTCACAAGACTGGAGCAGATGTTGAGAACATCAAATGGGTCTTCCAGAATTTCGTCGCGATCGAATCTGGCTTCATCTTCCAAAGTAATGGCTACTATCTCAGAAACCTCGCCTAGCGACAGTGGCCGACGCGAAAATGCTAGCCACCGTAGAATAGAAACAGCATACGGAGCATCATCTTCACTGATAGACGAAAGAATGCGATCATAAGTTTTATCCAGCGTCAAAGGAAGTGTTGCGAGCGTTCTTCGCAGTGCTGCCCGAGTGCGACAGTTCTGCAATGCGTCTAGCTGGCAGACGGCCCAGCGAAACCTGCAGTTGTTAGTCCAGCATAGCTTGGGGGAATCGTGAAACGGTGCGCATACATTCCCTGTGCTCCCCTCATAATAGTCAACTCAATCTCATGCCTAAGAGTAACGTCTTTCGCCCATTTAACCAATTGGGTATCATCGAGCAGTCGTTGCTGCACATATCTTTCGATATCTTTGTCTACTAACTCACTCTGTAGGCATACTATGTTTTGCTGATCGACGAATGTGTTCAAAACCGCTTCGATGTCTCGCTCTCGGCGACTGGTAAGGAGGATGTGTAGGTTTTTGAGCTGCCAAGTGGATATATCGTCGAGCACACCCAACAACTCAACCCGGTCTGAGCACTCATCAAGGGCATCAAGAACTATATAGATGCGTGGAAACTCCTGTATTATCTTATGTAACACTTCCAGGAGCGCACCTAACGGAAGTTCTTGCTTTCCAATTTCGAAAGACGAGAAAAACGTCGTGATGCTCGTTGGGGTTTCAGTACACCGCTGCAAAAGCTGCCAGATCAGAGACTGTACCATGAGTTTCGTGTTTTGTTTCTGTACATCTTTGAAGTCAAAGAAGAAGTATACAACCACATATTCAGTGTCGTTGCCGCAATAATTCAGCACGTTTTCAAGTACAGTCGAGAGGAGGACAGTCTTTCCGCACCCTGGGATGCCATGTAGCCACACGAATGATGCAGCAGTTGTCTTCCACTCGACATACTGATCATTCTCGAGAAACCAGAGCCCAGTGGATTCTTGACGTTGCTTGAGCGCCCGTTGGTAATTAGAAGAAGGATCTGGTGCAGACAGCCACCTGCGTATTCTTTCTAATTCATCATCGGTGTGCCGGTCACGGGAGTGAAGATTGTGGGTCAAAACGGAAGGTAGATCCATCACTGCCTCCCTGATCTCCTTCCGTAGTCGTCTCATCGCCTTTTCACTCCCTTCGCCATATAAGAGCGGCATTTGTATGTCGAAAATGCCTAATAGAGAATATACCCAATCCTCCTGGCGTGTGGTTTGACGTGTTGCTGCCCAAGAGAATCGATCTTGCTCACTAAAATCGCGCAAGGGGCTTCCCCTGAGAGCTTCTATGGGTATTCCGGTAACGCTGTGGATCACGAGCTCGAGCGACTTTTTGTCGCCTAGCCATTTCGATTCCTGATTGAAGAACTCGACTGATTCTGGGGCGATGAGTTCTTGAAGTGTCCATCCCCGAGTAAACCATCTGCTCCGTCTGAACTCTGACTCCCAGCTTTGCGAAATTCCATCATCTTTCTGCGAATCCAACTCTTGAACATGGCTGACATTCCCGGCTGTGTTTACACCCGGAACATCGCTCAGATACACGTAGCATCTTTGAGCTTTCTGATACCAGCGAAACATAGAGTTAATCGCTTCTGTAAGCTCAGCGCTGCTGGATTTGTCGATACAGCATGTATCTACCCAGCAATAATCTAGGCCATCACGCTGAGTTTGTTGTATGCAAAATAGTATTTTGCTGTAGCCAGCCTTGTCTTTCCCGTTGCCACTCATCAACTCCCCGAACGTCACCTCTTGACCCTCCTGCCAGGTATGGGAAAGAATAGCGTACGGGGGCACATTTTCATCATTCGAGTACTCGACTAGAATGGGTTCGGAATCGCTATTGTACTTGAGTAGACGCATCGTATCCCGCGACTTCGTGGCATTCGCAAGCGAGAAGAGGCGGGGGGGGGCTTTATTCAGCTTGTTCAGTCAACTAACAAGGCACAATATACCACGAAAGTTTAACAATATAGCATTCCAGGTGATGAGTGTGCTCGGTGATGACGTCCAGGTCTATCGAAATCTAGTCGCGTACAAGGTCGGGTATGTAAAGACAAAGCCAAGACCACGAAGGAATATAACCCCTGCTGTACCCTCCATATGCACAGCGCCACTACTGAGTTTTACGTGCTGAGTGAGCACTGAAGTAAAAAACACATGTGTTTCAAAAAATGGTGGCACAGCGCCACGAATAGCTACCAAGAATCGCACCTCGTTTCGGTGCTGAATACTGGAGTTGATTTTTTAAGCTTTTCCTTTCTGATTGGAAATTTAACTATTTCCTACACTCAAATGGCAGATGAAATAGTTGCACATATAAAAAAGTAGGCAGCAACAAAAAGTCTTCCCCTACAGAGTTGTTCTTTAGCTTAGGTTATCATAACGTTCAGGTGAATTGCTCAAAAGATAATTGGTTCTCTCATTGAGCCGTGATTTCATCCACTGAACCCACCGAAACTAGCTCCGCAACGCCCATCGTAGGTATTCTGGCCTCCATAACTGACGATTGTCTATTCATACACATGTTGCATAATCATAAGCTTGCTACAACCATACTGATTACTCAAAATGCTTCAAACCGATGAAACTCGATTTACAACGCCTTCGATACCGTTCCTAAGAACCTCTAGTACTGTTGATCACTACATACAAGACCACCCAATTGCATCCTTCAGTATTGCGTGCCTTCATCCGAGATGTCTCACCCCCGCGTACTACGTATCCTCGTACTCCGTATTACTTCCTACACACAGCAGTCGACTTCGTACGTATTAATTCCCACACACTATATCACAACCTCACCACAAGTACATACACCCTGCTTGCTTTCCAATAATCCACCCGCTTCCAAGCGAAATAGACAAAAAAAGGAGATAGTCGTGCTATATCCTACCTACTTCCCAATGATCTATCCACTTTCAAGGAAAACAGGCAATAAAATAGGATACTAGACTCAAGGTGCAACGGGATTTTGGAACCAACCATCAATCTCCTAGGCAACAGATCATATCTAGGGTAGAAGAGAGGGTGTAATTGATATGGAATAGATAAAAGGATGAGATGAAGGTGTGATGCTAAGAGTGATGAGCTTGACTGACGTTGTGGGGATTGAATACGAAGGAGTGTTAGACGAGGAGCTTGGATGCTATGATGATACGAGTCTTCTATAACGTCCAGGAAAAAAATTGTATGGTTGAGCTTTACGAATTCTGGCGTGGAGAGAATCATCGAAGGAAGTGGAAATCAATGCGTAATGGGTATCTGTTCAATTACACGATGCTAGCAGGAAGGTTCCATCATACTCCTACATATAGTACACTATACACACACTGGTGACGTTCTACTTCTTCTCCGCACCGTTCTTGGCAATACTGACCACGTTCCTCAACGTCCCAAACGGCAGCACATCAGCGATCCTCCTCTTCCCGGAGAACAGCATGACAAGGCGGTCGAGGCCGCAGCCCCAGCCACCCGTAGGCGGCATGCCCCACTCGAGGACCTCGAGGTAACTCTCGTCGATTTCTTTGTCGCGGAGGTCGACGTCGCTGGAAGGCTGCAGCGCAAGCTGCTGCTCGAACTTGCGGCGCTGTTCAAAGGGCGAGTTTTCTTCTTCGTACGCGTTGACGTATTCGCGGCCGTTGATGAAGAGCTCGACGCGGGCGGCGACTAGTTGGTCGTTTGATGAGGGGTCGGGGTAGGATTTTGAGAGTGGGGAGAGGGCTTCTGGGTGGGAGGTTATGAAGGTGGGGTTTTGGCAGAGGGGTTCGATGTATGTCTCTGCCAAAACGTCGAGGAGGCGTGGGAGTGTTGGGTTCGTTGGCACGGGAATGTTGAGGTCCTGAAAGAATGTGAGGATGTCTTGTGTTGCTGTTTCGGAGGACAGGTTGGGTAGTCTGCGGCCGCATTCCCTTTCGATTGTGGGGATGAAGGGGAGGCGCTTGAAAGGTGTGGAGAAGTCGATGTCGGTGGGGGATTTCAGACTTCGAAATTGGGTCGAGCGGAGCGACTCGATGGTGTCGTGAAGGCCGCGCACCAACTTTTCCGTTCGCTCGACCAGTTGCGGGAGTGTGGCACCGACTTCGTAGAACTCGCAGGTGGAGAACTCGGGGTTGTGCGTATTATCGACGCCTTCGTTTCGGAAGGAGCGGCCGATTTCGAACACTCGATCTTGGCCTCCCACAATAAGACGCTTGAGATTGAGCTCCGGTGCTATCCGGAGTCGAAGAGGGGTATTGGACAGCTCATTTGCTACCGTTTGAAACGGCCGAGCAATCGCCCCCCCAGCCCGGAAATCGAACATTGGGGTTTCCACTTCCAGGAAACCATCGTTCGACAAGGACTTGCGGATATGATCGTTGATGGTGGCACGCAACCGTAGAATCTCTCCAGGCTCTTTGCTGGTGAGCTGATGGATGTGAGGATGACGAGCGAGCAGCTCGGGATTCTCCACCTTTCCAGGCAGATGATGTAGGCAAGGCGCCACGATCTCGGGTGGCTGTGAGGCGACCAGCTGCACTTGCCCTGTACTTGAGCGAGATGGATGACCTGTGAAAGACACCCAGTCACCAGAGCGGGTAGCAGCCTGGAAGTCTTTGATGCCTCCTTGGCGAAAGACCATATCAAGCTTTTTCCGTTCAACCATGACTTGAAGGATATGGCCCGCGCGCTCAATGTCGACAAACATGAGTTTTGAGCTCAGCACCCGTATTGACCGCACTCTTCCTGGAATTGTCAGCCTCTGAGGGCAGCGCAATCCTCTTTTCATCCCATACCGAGAACCGAGACGAGGTCAGGCACCGTCTTCTCAACGTGGCCATGTTTGGAGTAGAAGCTCTGGACGGACAGCGGCTCTACGTCTATTTGTGACCCCAACCTTGGGTGGAACGCTCCCAATGGCTTCAAATTGCGCAATTGATCGAGTCGTTTTTGTTTTCCGACGTCAACAGGTCCTTCGTGTTCTTTTGTCACGCCTTGGCTTGTGAAGCGTTTTTGGACCGCGCAATATACCCGTACAGCGTCCGGCGTGTACCGAGGGGCAATCGCATGACTGAGGTAGGGGCGGAGGAAAGCGAGGGATGACCTAGTCATACTGGGTTACTATCAGCATCGGTGTATAAATCGCGCTGAGTAGGAGCAGGAGGAGTTTGAATATATCAGAAAAGACAGGTGAGTGTCGTGAAATCAACCACCCGAAGGCGTCATTCGCAACGGTTCTATAATCGACATCATGTAATGGGATTGAGATGGGTGCACTCGTTGACATACCTTTGTTTTCGCTCATGGCATTGATGAATATTGTCGAGTGAAGGAGAGTTGAATTTTCGTGAGCCGCACAAGCTGACGCGCTAGGGGAGATTGCACGTGATATCCATCACCCACATCTGGAGGCGGTCGAATCTCATACCATCCAAAGTTGGCTCATGTATACACTTCGATGTGATATGATCGATGCCAACCTTGACTGTTTATGAAGGTGAATCCGCGATGGTATTGCTCTGTATAAGAAAGCTGAACAGGTGAAGGGGCAGTACTCGTCTGTTTTCAGACTTTTTTCTTCCAAACACGCGTCTTTCGCAAATTTGTAAAAGTGGGACGAAATCGAGCTCCACAGTGGTCAATAGTGCGCCGAATTCTCTGAGCATTTGGGCCTTCCGTGTTTATCACTTGTGTCTCCCTGGTCACACATGAGAGGAAGCGCTTGCTACAGATTCCACACAACAGACCGCGATTGGTACATTGGAGGATTATTCCAGGTGAAGTGCGTATGGTTCTCATTCGGAAGAAAGCTTCGGACAATGTCCAGCCCGAAATAAGTCGAAAGCAAGCAAAACGCTTGCTCATTTCCACATTAATTGATGGGTTTACAAAGTTTGCCGGCACTGTTCGTTCTCCGCCAATCAGATCCGCTCACCGCCCGCAGCTCTCCTTCACCTCGGATTCCCCGGAACAACAGTAACACCGCTCCGGGGCACGGACCAGGCCTGGCAGTATATAATCCGCGCGCCCCTCGGCCTCCACTTCTGCTCCTCATACTTACCTTCTCGCGGCTGCCTAAGATCAAGAATTTAGGAGCCTGGGATCTTCGACTGCATTGTACAGCGCGGATTGGAGATTCTACTAGCTGCCCTTCGGGTATCTAGGTGGGGCAATTTTTGCTGGTCCAATACCTTTCTACTCTTTTTCATTGGCATTGCTGCAGCTTAAGCTGGGGTGTGTTGAGGAAGAAGCTTTCCTCATGACGTACAATGGATCTTCACTACTCGCATCCCCAGATAGAAAATACGAAGGCATCATTCGATTGCCTTGGGTTATCGCCTGTCTTTTCGGTTTCTCTGCTGTTACAACTGTCGTTGCGTGGAGTAGGATCATCCAAAACCACTTATTTTTTAAATGCTCAAATCACAACTCGTCCACAATCTAACTATCGAATGAAGCAAAATACAGACTCGCATTCCCGATGTCTGTCGCGCTCCCAGTGATGTCGACTGCAGCTGGTGACATGTCGTTGAGACGCGGCGCGGAGCTTGGTGTTGACTGTCAACATTGACCTGCCAGTGAACTACCGCGTTGTGCCATGGACGCGTCCATCGTCGCCATCCAACATGGTCCTCGCGTCCTGGATATAAATCAACCCGCCCTCTCCAGCTATCAACACGTCAAACTCGTACCAGGGCTCCGCTCTTTGCTCCGCTCTCTCTACAAATTATCCCGCACCCTGCCGCTGACAAAGCCATCATCCCAAAACGTTCCCCTCCCCCGCCAGCAATCATTGCGTCAGCGTGACAAGCACAAAAAAACATCCCAGAATCAGATCTGGATCTGGACCATCTGATTTCGATGTTCGTACCCTTGCTCGCCGTTCCGCTCTCCATACGATTCTCTCCTTACAAGTCATGCTGCCATGTTCAACGGTTATCCTGAGCTAGTCATGACGTACTATTTACTTTTTCGAGCAAATCTACAAGGGCGTGGTTCTTTCGGTAGTTGCACTGTATACGGGGAGAGCAAGAGAAGGAGAGAGCTCTAGTTTGTACGCTGTCGTCGCCTACACATGGCTATGTCATCGTTAAATGCCTCCGTATGCGGGACACACTGTATCCATAATAAACGCCCCGATCCCCCCTCCTCTTTCAACCCCAGATCCAAAAATTACCATTATTTGATTCCACCTTGTTGTTTCTGATACCCCCAATTTTCAACTGTTTCTACAACATCATCCAAGATGGCTATGTCCCAAGCAGCTATGAAGGCCGAGTACGCCGTAGGCCACGGCGACAACGCGACCACCGCTCAAGATGTTACCAACCCAGACATCGCCCCCAACGCAGCTGGCGAGGGCAAGATGAAGGCATTGGCCTGGATGGGCAAGAACAAGGTTGAAATCGTCGAAGTCTCCAAGCCCAAGATCATGGAGCCCCGCGATGTCATTGTCAAGGTCACCGGATCCACTGTCTGCGGCTCAGACTTGCATCTCTTGCACGGCACAGTCGTGGAATTGCAAAAGGGCGATATCCTCGGCCATGAGTTCTGCGGTGTCGTCGACGAGGTTGGCAGCGAGGTCACAAAGTTCAGAAAAGGGTAAGTTTTCCTACTACATTCCAGCTCTAATGAATCCAATTCTAACATATGTGCTCCTCAAGACAACGTGTGGTAGCCTCGTTCCAAATCGCCTGCGGAGACTGCTACTACTGCAAGCAAAAACTCTCTTCGCAATGCGAAAAGACAAACTCAAACACAATCGAAAACGCAATGTACGGCGGCCGCACAGCAGGTATGTTCGGCTACTCGCACTTCACGGGCGGCTTCGCAGGCGGGCAATCTGAATTCACACGTGTGCCATATGGCGACGTCAACCTGCTCCCCCTCCCAGACAACGTCCCCGACGAGAAAGGCCTGTTCCTCTCCGACGTCCTCGCCACCTCGTGGCACTGCGTCGTCGACACGGGCGTCAACAAAGGCGACGTTGTTGCCATCTGGGGCGCGGGTCCCATTGGGCAAATGGCCGCCGACTTCTCGCTCATCAACGGCGCCTCCAAGATCATCATGGTCGACAACAACTGGCGGCTCGAGTACGTGCAGAAGAAGTACCCGCACATTGAAACCCTCGACTATACGTCGCTCAAGAGCGGCGAGTCCGTCACCAGCAAGCTCATGGAGATGTGCGGGAACCGCGGACCGGACGTTGCTCTGGAGTGTGCGGCGGGCGAGTACGCAAAGGGCTGGGGCCACACCATCGAGATGGCGCTTGGGTTGGAGACGGATACGTCTGAGCTCGTCAACGAGATGATTACCTCTGTGCGGAATTTCGGTCGTTGCGGTATCACCGGTGTATACGTTGGATTCGTAAGTCCCCCCCCTTCCTTTAACACCCTCTCTCCCTTTCTAGGACTAACACGAATACAGTGCAACCACTTCAACATCGGCTCCCTGATGGAACGCGGCATCCGCCTCATCGGCAACGGCCAAGCCCCCGTCCACCTCTACTGGGAATCCCTCCTCAAGATGATCCAGGATGGCCAGATCGACCCGCTCAAGATGGTCAGCCACCGCGTTGCCCTCGAGGACCTCGACAAGGTCTACATGAAGTTCGAGAAGAAGGAGGATGGCATGCAGAAGGTTTTTGCGCAGACGCAATTTTCGGCGCCGCCTTGTGAGGGCAGCCCCGAGTTGACGAGGTATTGAGTGTGAGCGAGAGAGGGAGTGGAAGAAACGAAAAGGCATGGATTCGATGTGGCACGTATACCTAGGTAGTTTTTGTTTGATTTTCTGTTCATGGCCTTGAATAGGCGTACTTTATGAATAGCATTTTTTATTTCTCTTGTCCGATATTCTCATGTCTATAATGAGTTTCTGCTGGTCATTATGTGCCGTGTGAAGCTCTTTTCTGGATATATACCGCGTAGGACCACTACCTGTTACAGCGTCCTCCATGGGAAGGATAATTTAAGATCCCATCAATATGCACGGCACATTCCCTTCCTATCCCACGATATTGTCCGCATCCAAGCTGACCCTCATGAAGCCAGATACGTGACTGCAGATTCCAGTGCCTCGAGCCCCACGGGCCTACCAATCATGACTGGCAATAATTATCTTAACGACCAATACTCCCAGTTGTTCACCTTCTCCAAGGCATTACATCAAGCGTACTTATCATGAGCATTCTTGACCTTCAAATCCAACGACTTCTCATAAAAGTCTCCCTCCCTCTTCGCACGCCTCAACATCTTCACCTCGTTGTCGTCCAGCCTTCTCCCCACAATCGCCTCCAATTCCCTCTTGCTCACCTTCTCAGCCGCCTTCTCCGCTTTCGCGACGCGCAGCCGCGGCTTGAAGCGCGCTTGCATGCGGATATGCAGTGTTGTGGCGGGCGAGAGTTCGGAAGCATCAGCGCGGACATCGAGGGTGGTAGATGAAGGGTTACTGATGTATGTAGAGTTTGCGGTTTGGATGGAAAAAGTTGGCGGGAGAGAGGAGGACGGTGGGGAAGCGGGGGGAGTGAGGGATGCGAGGAGGGATTCTGAGGGTGAGATTGCGGTAGCGGTTGCGGAGAGGATGCCTTGTTTCGAAGCGCTAAGGTATCTATATTGTGTGAAAAGTGTGTCAGCTTATTCTTCTTCTTCTTGGTATGGTTTCCATTTGCGTAGCATGCGACCACTCGCAAATCCATGTGCGCCTGGCCTGGATCGCCCAGATCCTGGCAGTGCGATCGCTGACTGTGCGACAGAAAGAAAGTGTGGGGATGTAGGTACTGACCGTCCATGATGACCCTTGAGACTCAGCTGCTCTGTTCCAGCAACCCGGTTTGCAACCCAGACTTGCCTCACATCGTGAGGCTCGGCAGTTTCTGCTTTGCCTTCCACACAGTTCTCGACCTCGCTACAAAACACTTTGCCATTCGCGTCGCAGGCTAAAAATGTAATGGGCTCCGTAGGCAGTACTATGACAATGGGGCCTGATATGTCGGACGGCGCCTCGGCGTGCACCCAAGAATCATCATCCTGGGAAGCAACGGCGTTATCGTCGGCGGAGGCAGTGGTGGTGAGGGCTTTTGAGGCGGGGGTATCGACGTCCTCGGGGTCCGCGACACGCTTTCTCTTCTTGATTTTCTTGTCGCCTTTGAACTGAAGCGCTTTAACCATGTTGCAAGAGTTCACAATGGGTGGTGGTGCGCGTATAGTTGCGCGTAGGTGTTGATGAGGTAATGCCGTAGCGGGTTCCGCCGGCGGAGAAGCGCGGCAGAAGCTTGTTTAGGAAGGTGGCAGAACCAATGGCCGAGGTGTCAGGTCCCCATCATGTCAGGGTCTAAAATTCTTTTGTAGTTCAAGTGATAAGACGGAGATGGTTGTGGGGTAATTGTGAATGCGATATTTGTATTTGTTTTGTCCTTAATTGTTCAGACTGGTGCTCTCGTCCAAGTAACTCGCTATGGCTTCCAATCAGACCGCGGTCGCCGTTGGCTTGGAGGATCTGAAAAATGGTACGCCTAATTCGAACACACATGGGCATTAATATTGTCCGATTGATCAGGGTGTGCGAACGTTTAAGTTGACGTCGCTTTCCAGAAAACGTAGACTTTACGACTCTCGAGAACGCATTCGGGCCCGAATCTCTTGGTATCATCGTCGTTAAAGACCTGCCAGAGAAGTTTCATCAGCTCAGGCGGGATCTACTGTCATACTCATCCGCGCTTGCCAGCCTGCCCCAGGACGAACTGGGTATGTCAGTCACTCCAATGAATAAGCATCCATACCTGACGATCTTGCGTCTAGAAAAACTCGAAAGCCCTGCCGCCAAATGGCTTGTTGGGTGGTCATGCGGCAAAGAAACGCTCAAGGACGGTCGCTACGACACGCTTAAAGGCTCCTACTACGTCAACTGCTCGCCATCCTTTGACGAACAGCAGTCGTCCGTGGCCCAAAAGTACCCATCGTTTCCAGAATACACAGCACCAAACGTATGGCCGTCTACTGATTTACTGCCGGCATTCGAAACCACGTTTCGGGAGCTCACCACCCTAATCATCGACATCGCCGCTCTTGTTGCCCGGGCCTGTGATAAATATGCCGAAGTCAACATCGCCTCATATAAGAAAGGATACCTTGAGCATGTTGTGAAAACGAGCATCTCGACCAAAGCGCGATTGCTGCATTACTTTCCCAGCTCACAGCCTGAGACGCCAAGTGACGGCACCAATGAAGACGACTGGTGTGCAACGCATCTCGATCACGGCTGCCTCACGGGGCTGACATCTGCCATGTTCGTCGATGAAGCAGCACACGCACCAAAAATAGGATCTTCGTTCTCGGCGTTGCCTGAACTCGAGCGATCGCCAGACCCAAAGGCGGGCTTGTACATCCACTCCCGCACAGGAGTCGTTACCAAAGTCGCGATACCACGTGACTGCCTCGGATTCCAAACTGGAGAAGCGCTGGAGATCATTACCCAGGGTAAGTTCAAGGCGGTTCCGCATTTTGTGAGAGGTGCTGCAAGCGGAGCAGGGGGGAAGGTTGCGCGAAACACATTGGCAGTGTTTACTCAACCGAACCTATGGGAGATGGTCGACGAGAAGAGGGATTTCGCAGCCTTTGCGAAAGAGATTGTGGAGAAGAACCATTAGACGGGCTTTAGTTAGTGTGCCATGGGGTATCTCGACAGCACAAGCTCTGTATATTTGAAGACGAGATTTTCCTGCTTGCACAACGGGTCAACATCGACCCACCCAAAGACGATTGATAGTGACGATAGACGTTGTTACACGCGGAAATACGTCATGCCGAGGTACGTAAGCCGCGTCACGTGACTCGGAATCGGAACACGGCTGGGGCGTAAGAGGCAGCCAAGCATACATATGTAGGTGACAATATAGAGATTCCTAAACAAGATTGACAATTTCCAAATTCACGTCTCTAAAAGCACGATTCCTCCGCTGGCCTGATGTGTCCCAAGGCCGTTCGGCATCTGTCGGATTCCCCCAGCGGCCGGCTGTGAGCTTCCGCTGGTGACAGTGTCCGCTCACCTCACTGTTTGCCTATATCGCAGGCCTCCACCGCCAGAGCACTATTCTCAAATCGCGGTCATTCAGGGGACGTGGGCCGAACTTTGTCCACTGCCCATCTACAAAGTACTGTGCGTGCGATGGGTTACCCCTGCGGGAGTCCAGACTGCCCAGTGTACCCACGTACCCACGTACGTGGGCGCGGCTACTTGGTAGAGAGTCACTAGCCACGCAAATTCTCGACTTCAGGCATTCTCTAGGCAGTCTGCGTCTCTGTTGTGTCTGGACGGCCATGCACGACTGTCCCCGCCACCCCTTTGTGGCGCTCCGCGTTTGCTTTGAGGCCTCTTGTAATGTGCCGAGTTTTCCAACATCCTTGCACCGTGTGGGAATCTGAGAATGGGCCAGCTTGGCATAGAGCCACAACGAATGACCGACATTCCTGTTACTGCCAAGCCAAATTGTGCGAGAAGATGTGGACGGGCGCCATGCAATGGTTCAAAGCAAAACGCCATATGCTGCCGAAGGGGGTTACGCGGTCATCTCGTTGAACGGGGAGTCGGCGCGCCTGACACCACGTCGCCAGGGATCATTTGGGCGAAGATCGCTGCATCCCGTACATTGATATCGCTGCCAAGCAACCATGTGCCTTGTGGGTGCGCCGTCTATCCGTCTTTGCGTGCAAGCAACTAGGTTCTTGAGCAGAGAGCCTGCTTTCGCCAGGAAACAACAATGTGGACGTCGTCACTCTGCATTGCCATCTCTCTTCCATCGTTAAGTACTTCTTTGTCTCACTAACCTGCCCCAGTTCCCATCTGAGATTCCCCATCCCCATACCAATCAAACCTCTCTCTCCCACGCCCTCTACCTCTATGGTAAAATCCGGGGTTTGTCCCTTTCACTCCAACCGACACACATCCTGAGCACTCCACCTGTGTCCGGGAGCTACCATCGCCATGTCTGGCAACACTACCAACCGCCAGAACGTGAAATGGGTCGAGGTCAGTTATTCCATGGCTGGTTTGCCCGTCGAAGCCGCCTACTGACCCGCATTGTAGGGTGTACGAGGCGTCGCGTCCTTTCTTGTTGTTGTGACCCATCTCGCCAGAGCCTTCGACTATCCCCTATTCTGGCCGGCCGATAACGAACATGCGTCTCCAAGATTGCTGCAGCTACCAATCTTGCGACTTCCATTCCAAGGACGAATTGGCGTCATGATGTTCTCATTCCTCACAGGTTACGTATGCGCAATCAAACCTCTCCGCCAAATCAAGTCCGGCAACACCTCGGGCGCTCTGTCGACTCTCGCAAAATCTGCTTTCCGAAGGCCTCCGCGATTGCTTATGCCAGCTACCATCGCTCTTGTTCTTGCCTGGCTAGTCACGCAACTGGATGGATTTTCAGTGGTGAAAGTTTGCGATTCGGAGTGGCTGAGAAACTCTAGCCCAGAAGCAAAAGGTGGGATCTTGTCGGAGCTTGGGCGGCTATTCCACGAGTTCCAAACTTCTTGGATCAACGGTACCAACGCATACGACCCCCACCAATGGGCTCTCCTCCCCCTTTTGAGGGGTGCTTTCCTCATCTACGCAACTCTGTTCGCTACTTGCTACATGAAATTCCGCGCTCGAATTTTGACCGTGTTTATCCTCTGGGCGTGGTTTTGGTGCAGCAGCCAATGGAAGACAGGTCAGTCATACCTTTCTTCCCCCTATCGAGTAAATCGACTGACCGTTTGACACAGAAACTTTCGAGTGCATGTTCCTTTTCGGTGTGTTGCTCAACGATATTGGCTCAGAGATTGAGTTCCGCGAATACGTCAACAGCCGACCCAAGCGACGCCGAATCATTCAATCCGTCCTCATTGTCCTCGGTCTATTTGTCGGCAGTTACCCCGAAGGCAACGTTCAATGGGCTGCCTGGTCCCGCGGCATCAACCACTTCCGCTTCATCTTCCCATCCGATCATGACGGTCCAAAGCGCTGGTCTTCGGTTGCGTGGCATCTTATCGCGCTTGGGTTCTGGCTCTCGCCTACACTTCAGACCATTTTCTCCAACAAGCTGTTCATGTGGCTCGGGCGCAACAGTTTTGCGGTGTATCTTACACACGGAACACTGTTGCGTGTTGTGCTCGTGCGGTTCCTGTACGGATTCACAACCGCGGGTTATTCGGTCGAGAACGCCGACACGGAGGAGCCCACCTACCACTGGATTGGTCGGAGCCAGAACTGGGCCGTGTGGATGGTCGCCGTCCCGTTGTGGTTTGGTCTTCTGTACGTGGTCGCACATCTCTGGACTACCTATGTCGACTCGTGGTGCGCCAAATGTACGAGGATGCTCGAGGAGGCCATGTTTGCCAAAGAGGAGGACGAGAAAACGACCAGGCCAGAAGCCATGGTCTAAATCACCATTTACCATTGAAGCGTTGAATGAGGCACAGAGTCCTCGATAATTACATTTTCTTTTTGTATCTGATGATGGGAGTCTTGACTGGATATCAGCAAACGGAATATCTCGCATCGCGACCGGCGTTTTTTGGGAAGGCATTTATACCATCTGGCATCGCCATATCCGGCTTCATGTACAAGCCAACGATTTTGATCTTTCGTCCTACCTGCCATAAGGGGGAGAAAAAAGGTGCGCTCAATAATTCAGAATGAGTTCGTCACCGTGGCATTGGCATATTACTGCCACTTGTCTATAGTCACATAGTATCTACAAACTACATAGCAACCAAAAAAAATCAAATAATCATTCAAATACCACTGCACATTTCCACCAACTGATGATAATGTGCTGTTTGACCCTCGCACTTGGACACTCGCGCGAGGAACAAAAAGCATACCTCGTTCCATGAAACACCAGATGTCAACACCCAACTCCATACCCAAACACATCGTCTCACACCCTTAACAATTACCAACCCAATAACAGCACAAGAAAACCCCAAATCCATAAATAACATTACGGCGTCCCTCATCCTTAACTCCCCGTCTTCTCAAATTTTTCAGTCTTCGATGAGACACCAGCCTTCTTCAGCCCCCAATCCACTCCATCAACACCCCCGCACATCCCAACCATCCTCTGACGTACATATAAAACAAAGATCACCACATTAATACCTCACACACGCATACTGCATATGCCAAGGAAACAAGGCCGACCACCCACTCCACTTTCCTCCCCAATCCGTCACCGATGCTGCTTTACTTGCGAGCGGGGGCCCCGCCTAATAGGAACGTGTGATGTTTAAGAGATTTTTTTCTTGCACGAGCGAGTAGGTGAGTGGGTTAGTTTTGCTGTTGTACAGCTAGTGAGAGAGAGGCTCTGCTTGCGGATCGCTAGGTATAGGTAGTATTGTTCTTTTTCGATGCGCGTTTCTTTGATCGATGAGTGTTTGCTTTTACTTCACTTTGGTTGTTTTCTGTGAGGCTGTTATTCCCGGCTGTGGGCGCGCATCCCTCGTTACTGTGCGTCCTGCGCTTGCCGCCCAGCTTTAGCATCTTGGTCATGGGGCAACTTTGAAATCTGATAGTTGAATCTTGTTTTGTTAACTAGGCGGCTAGATGATCTCAGTAGTTAACTGTTAGTACAATGACTACCAGAGAACCTGTTTTTTCTTAGCGTAAAGCCGAAGAACGAAAAAAAGGGACACAGTAGTGCAAGCGCTTTCGCTGCACTTGAGCCGCAGCGAAACAAAAGCAACGAACCACCAGTGATCAACAGGAGACGAGCAAAAAGCAACCGCTCCAGCAAGCGCCCTGCGCAGGGACAAGCAGAAGAAAGGGGTGGCTGGCTGCAGGAGAATGAATGAAAATGCAAAGGAAATATGGTATTTCCAAGCAAATGCATCTAAATCAAACTTATCCCAATTCTTCCAAACTGTGTGCTTATTAGCAACTTAAACAGCCTGATAAATTGTACCTCTGAGTCCCTACCCACTCACAGCGAACAGAACAAAGAGCAACATCTCCCCCTCCGTCAGGGCGCCTACTATTGTTCAATCCATCTCATCTGGCTTGCTATTATAAACCAGCCACCCGTCTCAAAGACGGTCATCATCCAGATCAGCATCGTCATCACACCTCGCATGCACTCCTTAGAACGGCTAAAACCCTGGCTGATAATAAATTGATGATGCTGATTTCTGACATCTGATCCGAGGCGCCAAGGCGCGCAGGATTTTGGGGGGCCATGGCCTCCCGCCCCCTGTTGCGTGGCGCCGTGGCCGTGCTATCCAGATGTTGCATTTCCCGCCCGCGATACCCGCTCTTTTCGTCGTCTGTGTCCGAATTGTTTACTTGTTAGGGGGTCGGGTGGATTGTTCTCGTTCATGCGTTCGTGCATGCAGGCGCGGGAAATGAATTGAAAGGAGGGTTTGATCGATGATCTAGGTTTTTTGTTTATTTGTTTATCCGTTATTGGGGGACTTTGCCGTTGTGGAAACGCGTACGCATAAGTTAGTCGATTTTACGTACTCCCGAGAAGGCCAACGAAGGGGCGGCGATACCGTGGAAAAGCAAACATGGTTGACCCTTTTCTGGAGACCTCTACGTGGTCGCGGTACTTTCACATGTCTACCTACCATGTCTTTGTTACGTTTCCTATAGACATTCGTCCGGTGAACCCATCCTATGAATCGCTGCAAAGTATTTCGACTCAAGATTAGCTTTCCTCCATGATGTACCGGTGCGTGTTGTAACTGATATCGTTATCAGTGAAATCACTCGGCGGTGTATCTTGGGTGTGGGGGTGGTGTGGTTTTTTGAGGAAGGCTGGGAGTGGGTTTTGGGTTGGTGGCTTCTGGGATCCATTTGGATACGAGGCGTGTGCCAGCCTAGCCACAGTGCCTTGGAATTGTTGACTGGAGTGTCGCGTGCGTTTGGCGTTTCTGCTTGGGAGTGTGTGGCGCTTTTTTAGAGTTGGGTATTGCTTTGCTTGGCGATGTGGCGGAAGGTTTGGAAGGGCCGATTGGGAGGATGGGAGGTTCTTGGTAGCTATTGGATCACGGAGATAGAGAAGCCTGTAAGCGTAGTGTTGAAGGAGTGAAGATCCCCCGACGCTGAGATGTTTGATGATCGTTTTGGGCTTATATCTATCTCGAACATCGAATGCGTACAGTACTGGTCTCATCCCCAGCCCGATTCTTACGACGCCTTTCTTGTACATCAATATTGTCCACTCCGACAGACCACTCATTATGTAACGCGGGGACTCGACACTGCTGAACTTTCAACAATACTATCATGGTGGCGATCAGTGCTCGTCGCGAGGGCCTCTTGCCGCATGCATATGTACAAATGGTAGATGATGATCATGTAAGTGTTTCAATTTCATCGACACGGTTTAGCTAACCTGTGCTCCCCGCAATGAGATATCGTGTACTGTAAGTGATTGTAAATAAATCACCATCGGACTATGAACGAATTCCGATGGATGTCACTAGCACCACTATCGATCCTATTAGGGAAGTTTTCGTGGCATAATTACATCTTCCCAAACCGGCGGAGGTGCTTGCGATATCGTGTCTGGAAGATATGGGTTCGCAGCGTTCCACCGTTCGACCAGTGACCTCCCAAGTTCCTCCATTCCATCGATTTTAGGGCCAAGATCTTGTGGGTAAGGACTATATGAAGCCATCCAATCTTCCGCATATGATAAGCCATAACGAGGATGCAATTTGCCAGCAGCATCGCAATAGTGAATCAACGAGGCCACGGCTGGAAGGATCTTTCGAACGATTTCGTCAATCCAGTGCACACCCTCATCCCCCACGGGAACAAATGTGTGTTCGATAATAAAGCGGTGGAATGTATGCAAGTCATGAGCTGGGCCTCCCGCCCATATATCTCCATGAATTACCCGCAAGGACGGGATTGTAATACGGGAATCAATGCCCAGAATTTCTGCCAGCCTTCTGGCGTCATCCACAAGACTCGGTTGGGCAAAAGAAGGAAGACCGGTAACACTTTGGGATGACCCGGACTGTTCTCTTTCTTGTTCCTGCATATTGTTCGGAGTGTTGAGAAATGGAGTGAGGGCCAGTGAAGTATCAGCATACATTGCTACATTGTTTGCCAGAACATCCTCATCTGTAGGGGCGGATTCAAGCGAGTATGAATAGGGTGCATAGGTAGTGATGGAGGGATCAGCTTCGTAACTTGCATCGCCACCATCAATGTAGTCTGAGGGGTCCGATTTCGACTTGCCGTAATCAGCAGATATAGGCCAATCACTACTCGGACGCGAGTCATTCAGGCTCGAATCTAATGACGAAGCCATCGATTCGAACGTACAAGCCGTACAGTAAACGACAAGATTCGGTGGAAAAATAAGGCAGCTCTCATGGAATCGCTTTTCGCCATGGTGAGTGGGTCTTTTAATACAAGAGGAGAGCGGATCTGCTGTTTCTCGCATACAGTATATGCATTGAAAGGAATACATGGCGATCTCTCCGAGAGTACTGATTTTGGTGAGTATGTTCAGAAATTTGATCATCAGCAGTGTTGATCCTGGTACCAATTCTTTTATGGTCTCCATGAAAGTATGGCGATCCGCCTGCGATTCTTTCAGAATTTGGAAGATCTCCAGGACGCTCGGATAGCTTTGCGGGTATTCTGTAACAACAGAATTGAGGAATGCGATGATTTCACGGGATAGTGGGGCGGAGCGCGGATGATGAGATACATGCTCCCGAATGATGAGATTGGCCATTTCTGATGGGCTACATTCCCTACAAAGATGAGTTCTGTGGTAATAAAGCGGAAAGTTGTTCTTATAGCAAGTTTTATGCTGCCAGGTCTTGCATCGAAGGCAAATAAGATCGTTTCCGCTAAGATTGTGTTGATTACAAGTGCATTTTACTACGCACCACTGGTTCTCTTTCGATGCCGAATTGGAGGGCGTCAGTTGATTTGAGGGAGATAATTCTGCATTGTACATTTGCGTAATGTCGTTCCCTTGATTCTGTATGGCTGTTTTGGCTGCATCGTTAGGAGGTTCGATCGATGGAAGCTGTTGAACTCGATTTGACGCTTCAGTCGCAAGTGATGAATTCCTTGTTCCTCTGTCAAGGAAAACACTGGATTCGTTCCTCCAGACTTCAAGCGAACTCTCAGGGTACGGAACCGGAGTGGTGAGAGAATCAGTGCCGTGATGTCCCTCTAGAGTTTCCGTCTTTTCATCAGTCTCCATCGCCAGTGCGCTGGTATATTTCTTGAGCAAATTTCTCGAGCGTACTCTGAAAAGGAATTTTTCATCGCGTGGAATTGTGTCTAGTCTGATGATTCCTTTGAGGACCTTGTGCACTTTGGTCTTCTTCAGAATGTCTGCCTCAATGTCACCGAGCTCTTCCAGTTTCGTAAACAGATCTGCCATACTGGACATGTCGCTCTTTTTAGGGGCTTGATCGGGAGTCAAGAAACCCTTCTGCAACCGGTGGCGCAAATACATAGCGGCTTTTTCGCGAAAGGCAACAGAGTTTTTCCCCTCAGGGGTGGCCTTGGAGGCACTATCTTGGTGATTGGATATTGTTTTCTTTTGCTGATCACCGGTGTTTGTTGCTGGCTTCTCCTCGAGCTCATCAGCTGTAAGCCCTTCATGTTGCTCTCTCTGCCACTTGATGGCACGCTCAACATCAATATCTCTTGGCAGACACTCTGTGCAGTCATGCACATCTGGTACATTTAAACTGGGATAGTAGCAAATCACATGCTGCCACGTATCACACTTCTCACAAAGGACAGTGTGTCCATCGTCATCAGCAAAGCCGCAAATGCATTTGACGGTTGACGATTCATCCACTTCGGTCGATATAGGCTCACCAAGACCTGAAGAGTCCAGACGTGGAGGGGAAGCGGCTGATTGGGCAAAGCTCACATCGTCCTCCGCTGGAGAATTTGTAAGCTTTAGTCTGGCCAAGGGAGAACGCGGAGCATTTGTAGAACGTCCATTTCCCGCTGTAAGAGAGGCATCGAAAACATTATTATCAAGGCTTCCCTCAAGAATAGTTTCCGTCCGTAGTTGGTCAGATTTCTTCGTTGGCGCTGCAACGCCCTGCTTCTGCGGATCGGGATCTTGGGATGTTTGAGGTCGGACTTCATTCCCAGTGAGTAATAATGGTGGATCCCCGGGTATGTCTGCATGCTGGATAGTTGATGAGGATTTCTGGCGAGTATTCTTTGCCAATCTTCCGACTCGGCGTATCGGTTTTCTCAACACAGGAGCAGCATGATGTTTCCCATGGTGAACGCGCAAAGTTTGGGCGGTTCTAAATGGAGGATACTGGCAACCTGCTACAGGACATCTGTGACCACCAACATGTCCAGTTTCGTGTTCGCGACGCAATTGTTCTGTGTCAAAGCCTAATGTAGCCCGTGGACAAGCGCGCAACCGGCAGGTGTAAGCCGATGATCGAAATTGGCTCTTGAAAGATCTCAGCTCCTCAATTGAAGCTCCGGGACAAGACTCCCGGTCCATTAAGATTTCAACAGCTTTCTGATACTCGTCGAGGATGAGGGAGATGCCGTCCTTCAGTTTGTCATCGGTCGAGAGACAGCTTTCTCGGTCTGCTGTGCAAGTCAATGGAAAGTTTGATAAGATTCATGATGATAGACTTACCAGTCACTAAGAGGATATGCGCTTCTAAAGACTTTTGAGATCGCGCTAGTAGCGCATTGGACATATGCATTTGTAAATTCGATTGCGAATCAAACAATTTCAACCGATCATCGGGCAAGACGCTAGTATGAGCAACAGGCTCACATATCTGTGAGAGCTGTGCAGCAAGGCTACACGAAACATCCAGCAAAGACGATGACCATGCAAGACCGTTGACTGCTGCCGCTTCGGTCAACAAGTAGTCAGCCCAATGCTCAGTCGCATAAACATGTAATCCATGAACACCTTTTACAAGACGAAGCAGTCTTGTAGGCTTGTCGAAATCCTCGCGAAAAACTTTGGCTGCTGAAAGAAGGCAGGCCACTGTCGCCAAGCCATGCTCCTGGAGAGCAGTTCGCTCGTCGATAACCAGCGAACTAGAAGGCGTTTGCAGGAACCTTTCTAGCTATTAGCATGCGCTTAATCTTATCGATCAAATACTTACTCTTTTACAGACCCATGTATAAATGCAAAAGTAGTGTCATGCTTCTCTTCAATAAACGGACTGCACAGATCTAAGATGTATCCCGGGGCCGTGCTGGAAGTATCCGCAGAGCCAGAAGAAAATGCCAGGGCTGAAAGAAGCTCAAGTCTCTTCAATGGTCGTCTTGCAAACGCGATCCACCCTAGTAAACACCTAACTCTACCTGTAGATCGTGAGTCCAGACGGGCCAGCATGTGGGCAAGGATATTTTGGTAACTACATTCTGTCAGTGGGTGAACGATTTCATTCAAGCGGCCCTTTACAACTTTCACTTACAATTCTTCTACCGTAGCAGGCAGTCTGTTGATCGATTGCTTCAACTCCTCAGCGCTGAAAAACACATTGGTGCTGAGGTAGTCCACCACAAGTCTTGCGTAGAGAAACATCCCTGCAATAAATCAATATGTAAACGAGCGAAGTGGTGAGTTTGAGATTACCAGCGGCTTTTGCGGTGACCAATTCGCCGATGCGCTCAACATCTTCTGCGCTCATCTCAAGCTCTCGGAGTCTCCCGTGCAATGAGCGGAGCCGCACTGATGTGTATAAATTAATCGCTTTCGAAATGTGTTGTATCTCGTCACCCAAAGAAACAACGTGCTTTTTGGATAGTCGCTTGGTCTTGGTGGGGTGTGTACGGCTGGTAAACAAAATCTTGCAAACGGTAGAGTTTTCCGACGCGCTTTGCGAGGTCAGTCCGTAAAGTAAAGATATCAACCGCGTCTGTTTTTCAGTCTCGCAATCGTCTATACCATCAATCACTATCCATACAATTTGCAATTTACTGGCTTCGGAGAGAGTTGTCAGCGAAGTCCTGAGCAGTCCTTCCAGGTTAGCCGTAGTCGTCGTCTTTTTACCAACGACATATTCCTGATACGCATAAGCTGTCAGTTCGCCACAGGAGAGCAACAGTTGCTGGATCAGCGACTTCAATATGTTGTCGTATTTGGTCGATTCCGCGTACGTATACCGACAAAAGTGGTAGAACACTGTCGATTTCGAGGCTCGGAGGAATTTGATAAGCTCGCTTGACAAGACGCTTTTGCCAGTGCCTGCATTGCCTTGCAACCATAGCTGTCTGTCGTTAGGTGTGTTTTTCAACCACGCGGCTATCCTTCCATTTCCAGAAGCCCAAGAGCAGGTGCCAGAAAACTCTAACCCCTCTTCGTGTATCGATTCCAGTATCTTAGTTTGTTCATTTTCGTCGAGTTTCAGCCATGCAACGACTGATTGATATTGCTGTAATCCGAGAAGTCTCTCTTCTTGTTCCAGCTTTTCATAACTCTCATCCCTCTTCCTTTGCGCGACTGAGATATTTCGCGCATTGGCTTCTCGATCAATAAGATCCGCATGGCGGTCAAGATCCTCAAGGATGCCATCAAAACGCCGTTGAAAGCGGCCCCACGAAGTGTGAAAAAGTAGATGCCATCCTATTTCATGTTAAACAAGATCGTAACGCAAAAATTATAAGCATTAACGAGAAGGAAACGATCAATGAGAAAGTAGCGTGGACTGGGAGTATGCTGACAACTACATGCACTTGTGTCACACTTGACCATGTAATCAATGCAAGCCCATTCGCCAAATAATTGTAACAAGATGAATTGACTTTGACTTACCACTACGCCTTACAAATCTGTAAGCGTGTTTGTGAAACTCAAGGATGTCCGAATAGTAGACAGCGAGAGTATATTGGAACGTCGTGTCATGACGAAAAGCCTCTCCGAGAATCTCAAAACGGCCAAGGGCCTCGCTAATTCTCGAGTAGCCTTTGATAATATGTTCGAAAGCCCCAATGTGATCAGAAGCGACTTTGAGGATCAACGTGATTGGACTCCATATCCATGACAGAAATGGAGTTCCATTGCACAAGATCTCGATAGCTTTTGAATAATGTTCCAGGCCTCGAAACAACGGTGCAAGCCGACGCATGTTTCGTAGAGTTTGTCTTGCCGCCAGCTGTTTCTCGATCTCCAACGCTGACTCGCGCACTTGTTCTATAGCAGACATAGAGCGCATTTGTTTCAAATCAACTGGGGATATCGTACGCTCTAAGTCCTCAAAGGCAGTTCTCATGGTCTGCCTAGCCAGCATCGATACGGTGGGCGCCATGCGAGGCATGGTGACTAGTAGCAGAGCCGTGGAAATAGCAGCGCATGAACATATAGGTCGCGATCGTTACTGTCGCTCGTGAAGAAGGTAATACAACCTTTCGAGATTGAACAAAGATCCTGATGAAGAGGCTAGATGATGTGCTTGAAGGTTGCCTACGTAGTGACAAGCTGGCGATTTGCTCAGCTGGCGATTTACTCAGCCTCCGCCTTCTGGCGCTTCTCGTTGACCCCTGTCCGACTCCGCCCCTCCACACGAACAAAGTTCAGCCTGATCAAACGCCTTCAAAGTCCAACACGGAATACTGCCTTCGTCCCATTTTCCTCACATCATGCAAGATGGAGAACTCATACAGTCGCAGTAGCAAACGGCAACGGACAGATGATTATACAAATAGCAACCGAAGCGCGGTATTTGAATCTGGTGGAGCACGACTGGTTCCGTCGTCTTCCACCAACGATCATCTCCGCAACGAACATGGCGCATCGGAAGACTATGGAGCTCAGCAGAATGTTGGGAACGATGAAATTGTTTGTTTTGGACTTGTAAGTGTGCCGTTCCTACTAGTAGAGTATGAAGGCATCAGCTCGCGTAGAGAACATCTTGGAAACCATCACATCGAACTAATGAGCATCCTATTTTCAACTATCAACGGAGAAAAAGAGATAAAGATGCGGCTAATAGGCGAAGATCCCTTCAATAGAATGCAAATGCGAGCATCAAGCCGTTCAGGGCGAGTCATTCCTTATCCACTTAGCCTCATCCAGTCATTTCTGGGTCTCTGAGCCTTCGAGTATGGTAGGTCACATCGCTTCACAGCATGGCAATATGATCGCCGGGCTTCTCTCAGAGAGTACGCTCGACCTGTACGCTTCATGTACACCTGAGGTCGCGCATATGCAGCGCCATCAAACCGGTCTGACTCAAATTCCATGTATACTTGATATCACAGTCTATGGCCCAATGGAGCTTTTCGATGAGATAGGAGACTGGTTTCAGGACTATGAAGTCTTTCTCCAGGACCCGCGGACTTGCCATCGAGATGTCAAGTACTTCAACCCTCACAGACTTTCATCCGATAAATCCCAGTCCGGTATGCTGGTTTCTCAGGTCATCGCACAAGCATCCACCTTGGTCAATTTCCAAGAAATACATGAGAGGCCTGATCTACTAGAACTTATCAGTGGTCAAGAAGACCTCGAAGAAGCAGACCCGTCTTCACTTCTTGATACCGCCTTACATAGGTAAGACACCATACCCTGTTTTGCAACTTGATTCTCACTTGTGCCATCTATAGACATCAGAAGCAGGCTTTGACTTTCATGATGCGCAGAGAAGCGGGCTGGAAGCCGGGCGATCTATGGCCAGACATCTGGGAAACGCTTGATAATAGCCACAGTAGATGGTGAGTATCTTCGGGATCTGTTCATCATCAACATACAGCTGTTCGCGCATTTCATCTTGTGAGAAAGGTCTCGCAACCGTTAATCTAAGATATCTACCTACTTCTTGAGCAACAATTGCCCTTCTTACGAGCTTCAATTCTGACACTCCTACAGCTTCATAAATCATATCACCGAGGAGTACCAGGCTGTTCCTCCAAAACAATGTTTTGGAGGGATTATTGCCGACCCTATGGGTCTGGGGAAGACTCTCACTATGGTGGCATTGGCTACGGGCGATCTCACTCTGGACGCACCCATGAACTGTGCGACGACTATTTTCGATGACCTCCATCCAGTCGGTGCCACGTTAATCATCGTACCTCCACCATGTATGTTGCGGGAGTAAAATCTTTCAGGCGATTATAATGACTGTTTATTTAGTATTGAGTACATGGGAAGGGCAGATCGAAGAGTAAGTTGAAGTATGATATGGTGCGTTTTATAATTCTCTGACTCAGTTGCTAGACACGTTAGATCGGGAGCCATTCAATTGCACCGCCATCATGGAAAGAATAGGCTTAGAAATCTTGATGAGTTGAGAAATCTCAACGTCGTGATAACCACCTATCAGACGTTATCGGCAGACTGGAACGCTGAAAAAGACGCCAAAGCATATTCCATCATATTTCATGTGCAATGGAGAAGAATCATATTAGATGAAGGTACGTCACTTTTTAAGATCTTGTCAAACATGACCAAGTAACAAATAATTAGCACATCTCATTCGTAACGTCAAAGCACGAATGTCTCGGGCGATCCATGAACTAGACGCTGTTTCCCGCTGGGCGGTGACGGGCACTCCCATTCAAAATAACCTCAGCGATCTCGCCGCCCTTCTGAAGTTCATCAGAGCAGATCCTTACGACGACTTGACGCATTTTGAAAAAGATTTTAGCCGACTGTGGAGATCGGGTGAAGACAAAGAAGCCGTGAAGCGGCTGAAGCGGCTCGCACGTTGCGTCATCCTACGTAGAGGAAAGAGAACGGTCAATCTTCCTCCCCGGCGCGACCTGAAATGTCCTGTAGAGTTTCAAAAATCGGAACGAGATCTATACGAGAGTATTCGCCAACAGGCAATCATGAGAATCGACGATGTCTTGCACCAGGATATGGAATTTTCCAGGGCCTACGCCAATTGTCTTCAACAGATCGAATCCATGCGCCTCGTCTGCAATTTGGGTCTTCACTATCATACTCGGCATGATCCAGCCACTAAGAAAGCACCAGAAGACTGGAAAAGGACCGCACAAAAGGTGTTCAACTCGCACCGTAGTATGAACACTGTTGTATGCTCGCAGTGTTCTTTCAGTCTTGGTAAGTATCGCCTTATCCTTCATATCGCCAGAGTACACGAACCGCAGCATGATAAGAGTTAGAGACTGTTATCACCACATAGGATTTTTACTGATAGCTTATAATCACCATTAGATATGACCGATAGTCTTATGGAGGATGCGCTCTACTTAGATAGCCCGCTGTTCACCCGCTGTCTGAAATATGCCTGCGCAGAGTGTTCCCATAGATTGCGTGTCGCAGGATTCGATGTGGCTTGCGGCCATACACCCCGCTGTGAAGTTGCACCAGTTTCCATCAGTACAAGCGCTCTGGAAGAAACATTCAACCAATCTCACGAGAAGGGCAAGAAACATCTGACCAACAGTGGTTCGTTACCTTCGAAGGTCGAGGCTTTGCTGTCTGATCTTAAAACATTGCCTCTGGGTGTCAAGAGGTAAGTTATGCCCACTTCTTAATAACCGTATATTGACCCTGTATAGCATCGTGTTCTCCACTTGGCGCCTTACTTTAGACATTGTCGAGAGAGGACTTGCGAAGTCAGGCATTCAGTCAGTCCGCTTCGATGGAAAAGTCCCGCAAGCCCAACGTCAACCAGTACTGGACCGCTTCAGAACTGACCCAAACGTGCGAGTGATGCTACTCACCATACAATGCGGTGCTGTTGGGTAAGTTGATACCTTCATGTTTGCTTCAATTTATTAATACTGTAACAGTTTGACACTGACTGAAGCGTCTCGTGCATATCTGATGGAGCCCCACTGGTAAATCATTGAAGAGGCTGATGAAAGGAAAAACAGATACTGATCTATGATCCAGGAATCCTACAATCGAAGAGCAAGCCCTCGCGCGTATTCACCGTATCGGCCAAACGCAAGAAGTGACGACTGTGCGATTTTACATTCGGAATTCTTTCGAAGAGCGCGTTATGGAAGTACAGGAGACTAAGAAGAACCTAGCCAGCGTACTTTTATCGGGACACGATGGAGAGAGTGTGGATGACAGTCTTGGTGCTCTGCAGGTACGCACATCACAATAATGGTTGCTTATGCAACAGAATTGACATCAATACAGAGATTGCGCTCCTTACTATGATACTTCAAAATCACGATACACATTGTCTTTCGAAGGATTGAATGAATTATATATTAAATCGTTGACATATATCAATACCACTATATATAAATTCCACCCACTTTCATCGTCCTCCGACCCAGAACGAAATGTCTAAACCCCCAGGATCGTGGCACAGAATCTCTCCCGAGATACACACACAGCGGCTGCAACCGTACTTTACCTCAAAATGCGAGCGCGTTTGATCTAACCGCCTTCACTTTCGTACTGTTCTGCCAAAATCCACCCTGCATACGTGCAAGCAGTTCCTATTGTCTCTATTGGACCTGCGCGATTCGACACAAACAAACACCGACAGCCCAACTATTATAATCTCAAATCCACGAGTAGCTCCTATTGTCTCTATTATGCTTGTCCAATTCGACATAAATCATCGCCGACAGCTCACTTAAAACAACTTCGAATCAACGAGCAGCTCCTCGAGCTACACTTCCCCACGACCGCACACCCTTCATTCCACCCAAACAAAAGGACGCTCTACACAATCTATCCACCCGCACCATGCCCTCCACTCCCCACAACCCATGTCCGAGCCTAATCAGCTCGCCACTAAGACGGCTTCTGTACGTATCTCCTGGATGCAAAGTCATTATATGCTGAGACACCACGTGGTGCCGCGGCATGGAACACTAATAACCCACTATGACATTTTTGGATGGATCATATTGAGTTTTTAATCCAAATGCTAGATACCCCTCGTCGCTTCATGGTTACGATCCATGCCCGTCATGCATCGTGTCAAATATCCTCACCAAGATCGAAGCTTATCAGGCCAAGCTCGACAGTCGTGGTGGGATCTTCCAATCAGCCTCACGTCGTTCACGTTCATGGTTTGATGAGCACAGGCGTATCATGGAAGGCATCCGCGGTGCGAAATTAGACGGACTACGAATAGCGGACTTGTTGTCCACCTGTGTTCGCGAGTATAGAGCGGGTGGATCAGCGTCGACTGTCCTGGAAACCGAAGAAGAATGTAAGGCAGCGGAGGAGGGAATACTGCTTTGGGAAGAGGGATCGAAGGCGTTGTGGGATTTCCCTGGGCAACAATATCGCCGGGAGAACGACACGGAAGGTATGTTCACGTATTTCTTGAAGACAGAGGAGAGGGAGAAGATCAAGGTGATGCTTGAGGATCTCGAGAAGACGGTCTTGGTGTTGATGGAAAATTTGGGGATGGAGGATCTCCCAGAGCCATCGGTGGTGCTTCCATTGGGGCTTTCACCAGCCAAGGATGAAGAAGAGACGACAAATGCAACTTGGACTCCAGAAGACGTCGAACAACGGACGGAGGATCTGGAAAAGGTGCAGCAACACTCACAAGCTCCACTATCACCGTTTCCAGATTCGGCTTCTCCGCCGCCCAAGTCGATTTCAAAGGTAAAAACTCCCACTGCCTCCCCCCGCTCTGAGCCCTTGCCAAGGCAAAAGAGTGTTCGAACAGCACAATTTGCACGTGTTTTTCCTACTGATCAAGCTACCATTCCTTATTGCGCTACTTCAAGCACTTCCCCTGGCTCTCAAGCCGACATGGAACTAGGTGCACAAGTACGCAAGTCACAATACTACATGCGTAGAAATCCGGCATACCAGCCGGGGAAGTGGGCTTCGCCAGAATCAGATAGCAAGCTAAACACGAGCTTCAGCGGACTGACCTGGGAGGCAATGGAAAAGCTGGGGGAGGAACTAGATGAAGAGGAAGAGCGTTTCCGACGGGAAATGGAGATGGAGGAAGAGGAGAACGGCCGAGCTGTTGTTTTGCAGCTCTTTAGTCAATATCCCAAGGGAACTCTGGAGGAGTGGTACTGAGACCGGACATGCTTCTGCTGTTTCCCTTTCGAATATATTTTGAAAAGTCAGGACGTTCAGGTTTGCTTGCATGTGTTTTACCTTTGCGATTCAGTTTATCATGGTGGAATCTAGGAAAGGGTTTTGGGTGTTTGCTATCTTGTCCTAGTCTTTAAAAAGGAATATTTGTAACGATGAATTGAGCTAGAGTATTGAGATCAAGTGCCATACTCGATGCCATCTACATGTTTATTACATATAGTACATGCATCTCCTGATGTGATGACAGACTGACACGATGCGATCACTTTCTGTGACCTAATGTTACTTGATCCAGCCCACCCGCCGGCTGCTCAACTCCGAGAAGAGCCCCCAAATCCCCACCCGAGAAAAAAATAAGAAACCCACAACTCCGATCTTCGACGCCAACAAGAAGCAAAAAGAAGACCACTTCACCTATCTTACATCAGAACTAACAAAGGGGGGAAGGGGGCCTACCACTAACGTAACGTCCGCACAAGTCCGATCACTCGCGCTCTCGCCAAACTCCCCTCCCAGAGCAACGAAAGCGAAAAACGTGCAGCGCGCGCGAGCGCACATCTATACCAGAAAAGTAAAGTGCTTACCTACCCAATAAACCACCCCAATCTATATAACCACGGTTCTGGAAGTAACGAATAAGGTCCCCCTCTCAATGCATGTCAGACTCGTATATTTTTACGTCGTTGTGCATGCATGCACGATGATGTTAACTTGTTTTCGTATTTCAAGGTGGGTGAGGTGGATTCAAGGGAAGGGTAAGTAAGTAAGCAAGTAGGGCGCGTGTTGGGATTTTTTGGGGGGTTTTGAACATGTGTTAATGCTATCTATGGGTTGGAAAAGATGATGTTGGCAGCTGTTGATGCCATACACTTGGTTTGTCTCCTGAGATATTTTAACGCGCGCGGTGCAGAAATAAACACTATTTACTTGGTTGCTCGCGTGATCGCCGCGCGTACGTTGATTTCTTTTTCCCTGCCATGCCTTGCCTGCCTGCCTGCCGTAATATGCAAATGATATAAAGGAGCAAAAAAAAACACCACCGGAGAACCTCCATGCACAAAGTAAGATAGAGAAGCGTAGAAACTGGGGTCGGAAGAACGAGAGGGGAAAAGGGGATATCAAAATCTACACAATGCAAACGTAGAACCCAATCGCAATGCATAAAGATACCGACAAGGAGAAAAGCGAAAAGCGTTGAGAATCGAACACGAAAGATAACAGGTAACCGAAAAATAGTTGAGGGCAGGAGGAGATGGATGGAAACAAAACTCTTGTTACATGACTTCATCACCCTCGACTTCCTGTAGGGTCTTGTGCAGCTCAGTCTTGAGCCACGTGCCGAGAACATCGTAGAGAAACTCTGACTGTTCGGGTCTGCCTTCACCTCTCCAGTTTGCCAACGCATCTACAAGAGTGCCGCACTTCTTGAGTTCGCGAAGGACGACTTGCCTCCTCAGCATAGCTTGCTGCTCCTCGTCAAACTCGAAGAGGCCAATCTTCAAAGGCTTGACCTGAATATCAAACGTGGAGTTATCCAAGGAAGGGGTCGAAAGCGGAGACGCAAACACTGAAGAGTCAGGCGAGGAAGCGTCGCTGAGAGACGGTGGCGCGGAGGGGAGCGAAGCAGGTTTGACACCGGCTGCGATCTGGTACCATGTGAGGATCTTGGAGGTGATGCTGCTGTAGAGCATAGCAAGGTGCGGGTCGGAGGAGCAGGAGCAGTTGAGTAGCTGGCGCACGTTTGCGACAGCTGTCTTGGTGATGGACAGGACTGAATCAAGAGACTTTAGTTCGACGCCCGTGGAGTTTTCGGGGTTGATGATGCGGAGACTTTCGAGGGTGGAGTAGGCGAGCGTGTAGCAGCAGTGGGAGCTCGGCATGGAGATGCTGACGCGCATTGGGTTGTACATGGGTAAAGGTGGGCTTTCGGTACTGCTCTGTGGTGAGGAGATGGTGGATGGAGGGTGGAGGTTTCCATCCATGGGCATTTGTTCGGAGAAAGAGAAGTCCATGGGCGGAGCTTGTTCGTTGCCGACGAAGTCTTTGATAGCTTGGATGTCTGGGAGGTCTAGCATGACCGACTGTTTACGCGCGAAGGGATCCACGAAGGTGAGTTCAGGTTGAAGCATGGGGATATTGCTCAGCTCTGGGGGAGTAGTGGGCAACATATTATCCATGAACACAAAGTCGGTGGTGGGTTCAAGGAACATAGGCTCTGGAGTCATTTCGAACTCAAAGTCTGTTGCTGAGGACCAGCTAGGGGTGGGCGACCACTGTGCGCTGGTGTCGAAGACGGCATCCTTGTGAGTGAGTGGTTCTGGACGGATTCGGAACTTGCTGAACTCGCTGCCGTCTGGAGAAGGTCGCTGCTTGGATGCCTTGACAAACGGAGTGCCGTCAGGATTCCTCTTTCTAGTCCGGCCCGGCTTTCCGTGCTTCCTCGAGACACCATAAACGCACTGCGAGCGGTTGGTCTTGCAGCGGGCACAAATGGGGTGCTCTTTGCTGCACTTGACTTTGGAAGCGGCACAAGCATCACACGATGCTCGAAGTTTGAGTCTCTTCTCGGGCGAGGAACTAGACTTGGGTGCTGATGTTGGTGGTGGGCGACGAGGCGATGCGGGAGCGGGCGGTTGATGGATGGTGAGCGGGGCCTGCCACTCTGGGGTCTGGGAGTGGAAGTCCATGATGACTATGGGGCAGTCAATGGAGGAATGGCAAGGTAGGGTGTCGATCAAAAAACCGTTGACGGGATTGTCAGTTGCGTGCAGTTGAGATACCTGAATGGGCGGGCGTGAGAGTTGGGTCTGACGTCCTTATGTATTAACGAGATGAAGATGCGATGGGCCCGGCAGCTGCAGCCCAGTCTTCCACCCAGGCGTAAGACCCCAGCCATGTTCCAATACGGGACCATCCCAGTGAGGGGTGAATTTCGTAGTATTAACCAGGTGGCATGCGCTAAGACCATTGGGAAGCCTGTCTCCGACCCACCCCAGTCAAGAACCATTTTTGCCCATCGAACGATCACCACGGATTCATCCCGCTTATGCCAGCGCCGCCAGATTCACCGACCAGTAAGAATGGTGAGGTCAGATTGCGCCGATGCGAAAGTCAACATTGCATACCCTGGCTGTGCCTCCAGGAATCGGTTGCACCATTTCAAGTAGATGGATAATCTCCAGGCTTTGTCGCCACACTGGAATTTTGGGTTTCAGGTCGACCAGTCGCACAGCCAGTACAGTCATCAGCCAGCATTGCATTCGGTCACTCGTTCCAATGAATGCCTCATCATCGTCTCACCTTGACCATCCATCGACTGTGATGCCAAGCCCATCACCGATACTTTCTAAGCAGTTCTGGTACACGGCTCCGGACGCCAACGTCGCCTCGAACATCATCATCTCGAAGACGGTAGCCCTACTGCTAAGCTTGCTCCAAAAACGCATACGCGGCCGACAAACAAGCTTCGCTGTGATCAAGATGGCGCGAGTTCTCTCTCCGTCTTGACCGTCTGCTGGCCCCATTCACAGGCCCTCTGCGCTAAAGTCTTGGTTCCCGCTTTAGTCCCCGATAGGAAGCTCACAACCTCCTTCTGCCATTGAGTCCCACGCCTCACAATGCCGCCACAGGCAGGTTTCTGGAAGCCTTCGTCAGGCTTGGTCTCGCTGTCAGCAGCAGCTAGCGTGCGACGTCTGCGTTTGTTCCTGACTGTCTCGAGGCGTTCAACCACCACAAAGATGGGACGAATAATTATAGACGGTTGATGGGGCGAAGCATTCTACTGTACGTCTATATGTAGAGCTAGCACAGTAGCCCAGCCAATCAGCGGGTCGTCAATGGTAGACTAGTCTACCTGGGTGGATCTTAGCCGCCTCATCTCCTTGTCCTACTAACTCAAGATGCCGTTGCACTCGTTTGCACCTCTCTCCGAGGCCTTCTGAGTAAGTCATTCCACGAACGTTGAGTCCGATAATCCTCCGTTGCGACTCGGCTCCTATCTCGCCACATGGAAGACCCTATCGCCTGACCTCAGAAGTAGGCCCACATGGAGCACTGTCTTTCTGGTGAAGAAGAGACCAACACGAAGAGCATGCAGAGTAGAGTAGGCGGCGTCGACCCCCAGGCACCATATAATCATCATGCATGCATCTACATGCAGCACAACATGGCATGCGGGGGACGTTGCTGCAACCATTGGTTAAACTGGGCTTTGGGCTAGTGTACGGATCCAACACACCACAACCAGACCTGCGTATGCAGCCAAATCCTCTTGGCCTGACCAAGAGGCCTGAGCAGCCTGAGACACTCGTTTCAAAACTTTTTGCTAAAGTGTCTCTGTTGCACAATGGCGCGGGGTGCTGCCAGAGACTGCATGCGAGGTACTTAACCTTCAGTCTTAGAATACCCGCACCCGTGACCCATCGTATCCATCACAATCTCGTGCCGCATGTCTAGACCTCGCCGACTGGCTCGCCGTCCGGCCTGACCCAGAAAAATCTGACTCTTTTTTGATTACCCTCTGTCCGGACCAAAAATACTGTGGCAGGGCATGCACAACCGTCTGGTTGAACAAGTTGCTGAGGGCGACACAGCTACGACTGTACCGCCATGCGTACACAAGAATTTAGAATGTGTCACAGACACAGCCTGCGCCTTTGATACCCGATATAGCTCGGAGTCACAAACGCTACGATCGCAAAAACGGTGCGAGTCCCGTGCTTGCAGCTCCGACTCCAGACCGAGTCAGGACCATGGGCATCTCGCAAGTCCACGAACATCATACATCTCGACGTTACCCTAGGTCAACGTTCAAACGCTTGTGTAGTAGAAATTTCCTCTTCGGGACCACGGTAGTAACAAGGAAAAAAACCTCATCACAGACACCCAGACATCTAGACACTGTTAAGGCCCCAAATTTCCACAACCTCCGCACTCAGTCTATTGAAAAAAGAAAAATTCGCCGTTACTCTAGACTTTTCTCAGCCCAAGAATGTAATCGGGGCCCGCAAAACGCAATCATCTAATTCGAAAAGAGGGTTGATCCCTGAAAAAAAGGCAGAGGATGGCCTGAAAAAAAGGGTATCGGAAAGGAACCATCTCACCGCGACCCTGATCTAAAGGATGCTATGATCACTCGTCAGCCCCTCCGGGACAAAACCACCCCTCCACTATACCATACCACCAAACGAAAAAGAGAAAGTGCTCGAGAAAAGGGGATACAAGAAAGACTATTCGTGGGGCTCAGATCGCTCGCTCGCTCCGAACGTATACCATGATACTATCGATTGCATATCACGAGTATCCGCCCCCACCAACCAACCCAACACCGGCACTATAGAACGGCTATTATATCCCCTCGGCCGCAGGTACTGGACAGCACCACGATAAAAGCCCCGCGGAGTGCATCCAGTTCGACCCCAACCGACCCAGACGTGCCAGGCAGCAAATGTCGACCAATGTCAGAAAATGGAAATATTCTAGAATACACACTAACTGGGTAAGGATGTGATGTTGGTGGCGACCTTCTCGCATTCCTCCTGTCGCAATAGCTCTTGAGTCTTTGTATAAGCGATGTGCGATGCGCGCGATGCAGGCGATATTGGTTGCGTCTTATCATTTCTTCCGCGTGTTGGTCATCTTTCTGCGGTTGATAGACCAGGAATTATTGTGGTTGGCGTTCTCGAGTATGGACTCGTGCGAAAGCACGGGGAGATGGGGGGTTTATTGGTTGTGGTTCTGTTCGCCACGAGGCGGGGAGATCATCTCGCGCGTGGTGGCTTTCGTCCATCCTTCCTCTCCCCCCACCATGGCTCCCCTCCAACTCAAACACCCAACAAGCATACAATGAAAACCTCCCTTTCAACCAAACACGTACATACAAGGAACTAGTTTCGCGCGTAAAAAACACAGTGAGGAAGCTCTACCAGGCAATCTAGCACTGAAACCTAGCTTTTTCTCCCATGTCTCTGATGCCCACCTCCCCATCCCAATCCCACAGCGAAACTCCCTCGCACCCAAATCCTCGCAACCACATAACCCACCTCAAATCGCGTCATCCATAATCCTCACTCCCCCCCAAGCCCCCAAGCCCCCTCGCCTACCCCCGCCCGGAACCTTCCGCATCCCAGCCAAGCAAAAGCCCAAAGTAAGCCCACCCATTACAGTAAGCAGCACCACGCGCATCATCCCAAAGCGAAGCAATCAGCTCGAACAAAACCGAAACAAGGAAACAAACGAATGAGAAAGAAAATAACCAAGGAGGAATGGATGGATAAACGAGGATCCGCGTATGCAGCCCTACGCGGGTTACGCCACCATCATCCTTCATCGTGATTTGACGACGCTGGAGAGTCTGACGTTGGATTTGGAATGGTTTTCTTTTCAGGGCTGGTTTGGGATTGGGATCGAGGGAAGGTGGTTGCGTAAGGTCAGCTTATTTCATACCTGTGTGGCTCGTTTTCTTTTTGTGTCCTGTTTCTCACGACTTTCTCTTTCTTTGCTTCGTTTAGGGAATAGGGAAGAAGGTAAGGGGGCGAGTTGGAGGAGTTCGTACGTCGCGTATACCGACCAACTCTGACTGACTGTGTTTGACCCCGTGTCAAAAGCCATGTTTGATATCCGCATACGTAGCGTATACGAACAGAACTCATCATCTTACTCATCACCCCCCCTCTACTACTACTGGTTCGAAAACACGTCCTGCAAATGCATCACCCTTCAAACCATCTAACGGCCGCGATTGCAGCAAAGGGACGATGGACAAACCCACCCGAACTCACACCGATATCAAACCCCCTCAGTTCCTTCTCTTCTACATGACACACGCTCGCCTCCCCCTCCCATCTCACCAGTCGACCAAAACAGCAATGTGAGGTTCTTCACCAATATAAAAAAGGGTGTATGCAGTAAGACGACGAAGGAATATGCGGGGGGTACGGGGGCACGCTGATTCATATTTGTAAACAGTGGCGTAAGGCTGGATGTAAGAAAGAAGGGGGCGTCCAGGTGAGAGTCAGACTCAGATGAGACGTGTGTGCGTGTGTGTTGGGATTCGGAGTCTGGAACGAAGGGGGTAGGGCTGTAGGATTTTGCATTCGGCACGTGGTTTGCAGGGTTTTTTGAGGGCGGTGAGGGTGAGATGAGGAGTTGAGTGTTGGTTTTGGGTTTGTAATGGATGGGGAGGGAGAGGGAGGGAGTGAGTGGTGGTGATTGCAGGAGAGTGGGTTCTGTTTGTAGGAAAAGGGGAGGTTAGTCAGCAGCGTTTGTGAGATTGAGATGGTGATATCTGTTTACTTGTGATTGTGATTGCTGCTATGGCGATCAATGAGATCTGGCACAACACGGGGTGTATATTTACAGCCTGTGTATATGCTCATGCAGTGGAGGAGAACTTGCAGATGCCAAGTGGCGTGCAGAGCGTCAATCTTCAATACTCAAGGAGTGCTTTACGTTCATTTTGTTTCCACAGATAGAGACATAGTTCGCTAGATGATCTTTATGATCAATGACGCTGCTGAGGCTGGTGATGCAGAGGTCCACATAAATAGATGTACTGTGCAAAAACGCTAAGAAAAAAGATGAGAAGTAAAACACAAACGAAAAAGTTATCTATACCGGAACTACAACTTGAAAATATGAATCTTCCTGATTCACTCTGCATCTACGCGACACAGTTTCCCATTCTCGTTCGGTAGTCCATCCACGCTGTGGACCTTCCACCTCTCACTACCAACTGACGTAGTGGCAAAGAATACATCATATGGATCTAGTTTTCGCTTAAGCTCCACCAACTTGTCGTACTTGTCACCCCAGAAAGCTTGTCCAAAGTTGGGTTCAAGTCGATCCGCCTCGGCAAGGTACGCTCCAGCTCCGGGACTGATATCCCTCCAGCGCTGCATATCTCCCGTCTGGAATTCCTGGCGAATACGAAGAATCTCCTCAGCAGTACCATTGACAGGCCATCTTACCGCCTGCTGTGCGAAAAGTATGTTTTCGCGCCACGCTGAGTTCACGGCGTTGTCAGTGTTGAGGGGGTCGACGGCTTTGATGTTGAAGTGAACCTGAACTCTATTGTTCTCGCTCGATTGACGGAGGTTCTGGTACAGCTCTTCGCGTTTATCCGCGGTTTCAAAGTTGGCTCGGGGGAACATGCGAGAGCTCGTTGTAGCGTTCACTTTGGAGACGACTTCGAGCGGGAACGAGGAGCGCCACGCGTCGTAGTAGTTGTCAAAGTGCGTGATGTTTGGGTCGAAAGTGATTCCGAGGTTGCCGAGCTCGGTGAACCAGGGTTGGAGAAGAGCCTTTGTTTCCTCGAGGGTTTTGTTAGGCGCAAAGAAGGGCGACATATTGAAAGTGAAGATTCCTGTCCAGACGTTGGGAATGAGAGTGAAGTAGGAGTAGGTTCCGGCATCGGCATTCGGGATGAAGGAGTCGACGTATGATCGGACTCCAGCCCAGAAGGTCTCGTTTCCAATCTTTTCGGATGTGAAGCTGAAGCGGGATGCAGTTGTTGGGTGGTCAGGGAAAGCTTTGACAGTCACAGAGGTCGCGACGCCAAAGGTTGAGCCGCCGCCGCCACGCATGGCCCAGAAGATGTCAGTGTAAGAGGTCGAGTTTGCGGTGATGAAATCACCGGCTGCTGTGATGACGTCGAAAGAAAGAACCTGGTCAGCACCTGTGCCGTATCTGGTATGGGTGTTAGCATCTCATCTCAACTCGTGGTGAAGGCCTCAACGAGGGTTGCAATAATGGTAGACAGTACTCACAGGGAAGTCAAGGGCGAATGACCACCTCCTTGAATGTAACCACCCATAACGCCAACCGTCTCACCCTCTCCCCCGACAACAGAATGGCCCTTCTCATGCGCGAACTTGTATATCTCAAACGCTTGAACGCCGACGCCAGACTTGAACGCCGGTCCAGACCACTTCAGACTCTCATCTGTATACTCCTCGATGTACTCGATGCTCTTGAAATGATGAGTCCAAATACTCAATGCGTCCTTTCCTCCAGATTTCCCCAAGAAGTCATGTCCTGTGTTCTTGACCACAAGTCTCACACCCGTGTTCCTGGCAAAGTTGACACCTAGCTGCACGTGCTTTGGCTCGGTTGCATTGATAACGTATGCTGGGAAACCTCCTCGGGTGCAGTTATGGCTGTCGAAGACATTAGGAGGCATGCATGTCATACCTTGAGCCACAGGGCTCATCATCTCCACGGGGTCGATGTAGTGAGAGTATGAGCTGCTCCACGTGGCTGTCAGCTCTGCGCATTTTTCCGGATCGTAGAGAGGACCATCATAGCAGACTGATGCTTGAGGAGACGGTCTGGTGAGTAAGCGATTGTCGGTGACCTTGTTTAGAGCTTCCCATGCTGAGTCGGACGGCCAGTTTGCGTCTTCTGGGTATACTTTGCATGCTGAAGATTGGATCAGTTCAGATGGTGCGAGACCCGGAAGGAAAAGGTTCGTGAGGTTCGTTGGTGCATTCGGGATCGTCGAGTTCAGTAAATCGGTGTACTTGATCGGACCACTAGCGGGTGGCGCCGCTGTTGCTGTGGTCCATAGAATCGATGCCATTAAAGTGCTGCGGAGCTTGGACTCCATGTTGATTATAGTATTATGTATTAGATGTTTAGTGATTTGAAAAGGAGTGACTGAGGTTCGACGCTGAGAGCGCTGATATGATTGTATGGGCGATTGAGAACCTTTTGTTGCCAGCCGTCTTCCGTCGCCACGAGGAAGATGGAACAAAACACGCGGCAGTGCGATTCATGAACAATGGTTTATAGAGAAGGAAGACCAGGAATGTGTTTGTTTCAATGCGCCACCCTGCAGGGCATGACTGACGATCTTGGCCGAAGTTGATTCATGCTTGACCAGGAATGGCCAGCAAATTTCCCGCTATCCTGCACGTTGCAGATTATGCGTTGATGCTCAAGACAGGATTGGTGAGGTCCAGTAAAAGAACTGCAGATTGATGCCTGAATGCTGAAGAAGTGTCGATCATCGCGGGGTAAATTGTCACTACTGTGTACACATGTACGTTGGGCAAATAACTCAATAGGGATATGGTGAGTGGTAGGCTCAATTGAATGTAAACACACATACATGGAAAGACGCGGGACGGATGCTATGCAGTTGCCATCCTTTCACCGGTTCAAGCATCCTTTGCTGATGTCTCCTGTCGCCGACCGCTGAAATGACACTTGATGTGATCTTTTTTCAGATGCGCCATAGACGCATTCGTTCGTAAAATTGATGAAGGATGGTTGGACGGACCTCGCAGCGGGCGTGACCCTCATGGGCGACGTGGGCACTAGCCGTATTGGGCTTAGCTTCTATCGAATTGAGCTCAATACAGACGTCGTTATGTCTGAACGACTCAGGAACCTCAGGGCCCGTGTAGTCATCCCGTCTCGATCAACAGCTTATGCGCCTAATTCGAGCCCGTCGAACGCCAGGAGGTGCAGTTGGAGTCTCGACTACCCGCCCAATGCTCCACTGATGTGACAATGGAAAGAGACCTGCTTTATATCAAGGTCGTTTCCCACGCTAGTCTTACAGTTAATTGCTTCTATGCACACATGACATCCAGTCTAGCATAATTTAGATGTTTGCTGTTGCGGATCGTCTACTCGCTCCCTTGCTTTTCCATTCTTTAGTCCTCCCTTCGTGCCGCCCCGAATGACATGGGACAGAACCGACAAGCGGCCGCACTAGCAGTGACATGTCTTTTCCCTATACTTGCGGCTCTCTTCGTCGGAGCACGAATAGTCTCGCGGTATGTAGGCCAGAATTTTGGCTGGGATGACTGGCTCATCCAGCTTGCACTCCTTCTTCTCCTCGGCCAGACGGTGACCATTTACCAATGTAAGTCTTCCCATATCATGCAGCTTCAATCCAATAGCTAATAGTCAATTTCTCTACAGACATCGTTGTATCACATACTGGCTACCGCGCGATAGAGGTTCCGAAGCAGACCGTAGCCCAGAAAGTTGAGGCCGCGAAATGGAGCTTCGCAGTACAGATGTTCTATCACCCCTTGATGGGAGCCTCTCGAGCATCAATCATCATGTTTCTTTTCCGTGTCAAAGACCAGCGTCGACGTATTCGCTTCTCTCTTCACTTTGCCTGTACGTCGTTGACCCACCCACCCACCTATCCATATATCAAACCACACGTAAGAAGTCAATATAATAACACATCATATTCGTCTCTACACACAGTCTGGATGAACATAGCCTACACAATCTCCACATCCATCGTCAACATCTTCCAATGCACCCCAGTCAGATACGCCTACCTCCGCCCTGAAATGGACATCACCGACGGAAACGGTAACGTCATCGCCGCCGGGGGGAAATGCATCAACAGCCTCGCGTTTATCCTGGGTAGCTGTGCATTGAGCATTTTCATGGACCTCATCATCATCCCGATCCCGACGGCCATGGTGTGGAACCTGCAAATGCCGTTCAAAACAAAAGTCGCAATCGCGTTGGTTATGAGCATGGGCTGGATGTACGTCCTTTCCCCCCCTCCATTTTCATCCGTCAATCCTGTTCTCTTCATGACCCTTGTTCCCTACATATACAGTTTCCCCTACAACCCCAAACTCCCCACGTCATCACACCTCACCCCAACTTCCCCAATCCTCTACTAACTTCCCCTACTCCAGCGCAACACTAACCTCGATTCTCCGTTTAATAATCTACCACCACCGCTACACAGTCGCAGACCGCACCTACAACATCGGCATCGTCCTCTCCATCGTCGAGCCCTCGGTCGCCATAATCGCCGCCTGCGCTCCCCCACTCCGCCGCCTCTTCACCTTCCTCATGCCCTCGTACTTCACCGACGACCACACTTCCTCTCGCACACCTTCTTCTTCGTCCCCGTCTAGATACCGCTATCGATCGCAACGGAGCGGCGGTGTGCCTAGGGAGAGCGGTGTTGGGATCCGCGGGAGTGGGGGCGGGAAATGGGGTGGAGAGGACGAAGGTGAGGAGGAAGCAAGTGGTGGAGGTGGAGTAGTGGGAGATGCGAAGGTTGGGAAACCGGCTGAGAGTTTGAGGTTGGGTGGGGAAGGGGAGGGGGAGGGAGAAACGAGAGGACAGGTGTTGAGGGCTTGTCGGTCTAGGAGTGTTAATACGGGAGGAAGTGAGGGACAGAGACGGGCTAGTGAGGTTGGGTTTGTTTGATTCTTTCGTATTCGTGTGTGTGTGGGGGAGGGGAGGATGTTGTAATTTTCAGGTGATGTGATCGAGAAGGCTGTGAGTTGGTAAGGAAGAATATTTCTTGTTTGCATGAGCACGATACCTCTTTGTCTAGCGTTTAGCATCCAGCGTTCAGCGTCGTTCGTTAGTACTAGTCATCTCGTCTGCAATCTTTTAAAAATCGCCATCTGCCATGTACGACAACGACACAGAAGATAAAACACAGTTCAAACTTACCGAAACGATACAAAAGTATCAGCCCATGCAAGAAACACTAATACATTACTTGTAATAGTGATACTCCTTATTACATACGCAACCTCCTTCCTCACCTTCATCTTAAACAATTCTACCAAACAGCAACATTGGGTACTCCCTGTATCCTTAGCCATCCACCAACACATCACCGCCCCTTCTTCTTCTCCTTCTTCTTCCCCTGCTATTAAAAATAATACAATATACGCAATCCCTTTCCATCTTTCTATCCTATCAGCCAGCAAATGGTTATTCAACAAACACACATCTTTACATTTCCGTCCCTGCTTTCTTTCTTTTTTGCTTTAGCTACCAACAATAACTGCAGTTAGATATACTCTCGTCGAACGTGTTATATACACACTACACATATGTGCATACCCAATTTTTTTTCTCCAACTCTTAAATACTCCTACGATATGAACTACCTACGCATCTAACCTACCACTGATTAAACTACAAGCGATCTGTATTAAGCCATCTCTCTTTCTCTCTTTATTAATTCCAACGATACCTCTCCTTCTCGCTCCTCCCTTTATTCTAAAAAAAAAAACAGAAAAACATTCAGACAGCATATACTCACCCATACCCTACTTATCCTTCTTCCTATCCTAGCATGGCATATGCTTACCCATATCCTACCTCTCCTTCTCCTATCCTCCCATCCCAACATAGCATACATATACTCACACTATAATACTACTTTCCTTTCCTCCAACGACATCAACTTAAAAGATTACTTATTTATCCATCTCTTTATCAGCTCTGCGTATGCTTATTACTTTCTATACTATCTTATTCACTTTCTCTGTTCTTGTAGAGAAAAGAAGGAAAAGGAAAGGAAAGGGGGGATAGAGAGTATGTAATAACAGAACTTAATATCGCTGTAACCCATCGCTGTGTGTAGGATCACCTAAACTCCAACTCAAATAAATAAAATAACAGAACTTATACGTTGGGGCTTTTGATTTTTTTGTTTATTGACGTTGAAACTTCTTTATTAAGGAAAGGGAGAGGGGATGATATTTTGTTGCCCTTTTTGAACGGCACCTTGAAATCTTTAAACTACATTAGCTAGAAAGATAATAACAGACATTTCAAAAGAGGGAGGAAAGGAAGGGGGCGTGTTTATTAAAGCTATAAATTCCTTAAATTTAAAGATATTAGAAAGTAGAGATTAGAGAAAAAGGCCCCTACGATGTCTATAAAAGAGTGAAAGACATAGTCTACGGAAGTCAAGGGAAAACAAGTGCACAAAATAACAACACTCTCCACATCAAGTAAAAAGGACAATCGACGTGAATCGAAAACAGCCATGTAATAGGGAAACTGTCCTCAAAAAAGGTCGTACCTCCCCTACCTTTTCCTCCTCCCCATCTTAATCCGTCCCTATCGATTTTGACGTGCTGAGTGAGCACTGAAGTAATAAAACACATGTGATTCCAAAAGGCAGGCCAACCTGATGACTAAAAGAACACGGGTAAATGCCAGAAAAGATGTCCTCACTGAACTACATGTTGTACTGTACCGTGGTTCAGCGAGGACATCTTTTCTGGCATTTACCCGTGTTTTTTAGTCATCAGGTTGGCCTACCTTTTAGAAACACCAGTTTTTGTGTCGAAATATCAAATAACATCCGCGTGATTGGAAATCAAAAACCAGCGGATGCCCCGTAGCGCGAAAAGGCAAAGTCAAGAATGGCATGTTCTCAAAACATGCAGAATCCTCTAATCTCGCATGAGAGGGGGGAAATTCGAGGACAGGAAATCCCGGTTCGGTGGCGACGGATGGCGACGGGGTATGTAAGCTGTTAAGTGGGATTAAGATCAAGGAAGAGAGAGAGAGAGAAAGGGAGGGTGATGAATTGTGATGGGGGGGAGGGATTAAGAGGTACAGGTAGTAGGATTGATATGTACATGGGTGTTGTTTCTATATCAAGGGGGGATGGAAAGAAGAGGAAGGAGCAGATAGCATTTTGAGGAGATTCGTTGTCATGATAATGGTACCAGGGGGGTTTGATATCATATGGATGGAAACGGATGCTGATAATGAAGAGAGAGAGAGAGAGAACGGAGGAAGGGGCGAAGGTTTGTGGAACTGTAAAGTTAGGTAATGATAATGAATGTATGGATGGATGGGGCGGTGGCGACGGCTACGTGGTGGTGATGTGTGGATTTGTTTTACCCGGAGACGATTGGGGTCGTTTGCAATGGGGTTGGGCGGGATGACATGGTACGATATGACGAAATAGGGGGGGAATCTGACATAAGGGTTACTGAGTTGCTGTACGAGAGTGAGGGCTGATGGATCCGACGGTGAGGACAACGGCGGTGCATTGGAGAGGGACGCGCATATGGACAGGGAGCGAGGTTGATATTGGCGTCGGGCGCGATGGTGATTGCCTGCGCGTAGATGGTTGGCATCAACTGCCGGTCGAAGGAAGATGGTAATGTGTGCTCTCGTTTCGCAAGCGCATGCGAAACCCGAGCCGCGTCCCTGGGGGAAATCAGGTACGGACATGGTGTTTCTCGCTTGGGAGATGTTGCAGGCGAATGGAGAATTGTTAGTGGGATTGTCAAAGATGATCACAGCGATTGGCCAGGAAGGTGAGAAGATGACATCGACAACTGCGAAGCGAGCGTGGCGGGATTGTATTTTTAGGAGAACCACACGCGATGATGGGCCTGCCGCTCGTTTGATGAAGGCAAGCGATGATGATTTCGGATCAAGATCAGTCCGAGTCCAGTAGATTCGAGGGTGCCTACTCGGTGGCAATGATATTAGATCTTCATGATGGTGGCGGTTGACAATGGCTGCCGACACGGATAGCTATTTCATCGCGATCCGAATACGATAAACGAACAGGCCAGTGTTTCCGACGAAGCGAGACCAACGGGAAAAAACGTGATGATGCTCGTATCAGACCGTTAACGGTTAGAGCAGTTACGAGCCATCGACGATGCCAATATTGACCATGTGGATTACGAAGCGCGATCCGATTTTAATTTTTTTTCTCTCCAGTACTACAAATTCGCGATGTGGGAGTGGGTCACGGCTGGATCGAGACGCGCTCCGAGGAGGCGATGAGAAAAGACGTGTCAGGTTCTTTGTTAGTTGATTGCAGATGGGCTGGACGGGGTATCCATTATCCAGCATGCAAACATGGAGGACAAAAACGGCTGGCAGCCGCCAACAAAAGCTTGAGAGTGGGTTGGCAGGGACGGGAGCGCACCCTGATGAGAGACAGCACCGTGGTTCGTAGAGGGAGTGAAAGGGTGATGCCGGTGTGTATACAACAGCGAAGATGGATGGCCGGACAAGTTGCGGGACTCCCTATAGAAGCGCACGTATAGCAAGACCCACAAGTAGCATCTCGCGTGCAAGATGTTGAGATTAGCATCAGACAAAGGGTAGCGGAGCAGGAAATAGGGCATGCGGCCCGCGCGTCTATGCTGGCATTTGGACACACAGTGTTGGTGCTCTTGGACATCGACCCTGGGAGAGGTCGGACTCGGGTGATGAGAATACGGGCCGTCGTGATTCAAAAAACCCCTGGGATGTTGAGGAAGGCTTTTCAGGCAAAGGGAGGGTACTCGAGTTAGTCTGGAGTAAGATGGATGGTTCAGCAAACCAGTTGCGTTTGGTGGCGAGGAGAGAAGGATGAGTGAATGTTCAAGACGTTGAGAGGGTGATTACGATCAAAGTGTGATGAGGAGGAGTGCAATTTTGTAGAGTTTGATGGAGGTGTTGTACAGGGTAATAGCAGAGGTTCAATATAAGACGGACACGGGCGGAGCAATGGAGCACGCCATAGGCGGGATTCCCTGTACAAATGGTTGAGGGCTCGGTGGTTTGCCGGGCAATAGGATGTTGGTGGGCATTGAAAAAACCATTGAAGAAACAAAGAAGGCGATTCAGAGAGAGTGTGCTGGGCTGGATGCATAAAGTTCCCGCGCGCCGGTGGAAGACTAATTGGGCGAGCGAGGCTCAAAAGGGGCTGGGCTGGGTTCCCGCCGTGGGTTTGTTTGTCGCGCAATTGAGTGAGGTCAATGGTCTAAAAGAGAGACAGAGACTAAAGGTAGAACGCATAGTCAAAGGGTAATTCATGATGATGAGGCAAAACAGAGAGTGCGTGCAGAGGTACGTGGCCATGTAGATTCTGGACTATAGATGGATGCACCTGTGTATGTATGTATGCAGGTAGGTGCCAAGCGAGTGTCAGAGAGGTGTCAGTGTCCATGTCAATGTGTCTGTCGCATGTCAGTGTCAAATGGGTCCTCTGGTACTGACAGAATGAGGCAAACAGAGGGAGCAGAACAAGACTTGGTAGAGGATCTGCAGCGAGGGGAGGGGAGGGAAGAGGGGAGCTTCGCGGCGTGGGCACACGCCATGGCTGCCCGTTGAAGGGGACCATGGGAGCGGACATTGCCTCGCAGGCTTCGCAGGGGCCGCCGAAGACTATTTTGGCAGCCAAAGTTTCGGCTTCGGGCCAGCCATGACAGGGCTTGGCGGGCGATCGACTGCCTGTGGCCAGCCAAACGCCCGACCGGCGCCGGCTGATTGGCCCCACGGCGCCCTTTTGTTGGGTGCTGGTAACGATGCGCGCGGGGGTTACGCAGCGATCAATTTATCGATTCCGCGTGCTGGACCAGGAGAAGGGCAAAGTCAGTGGCGACAGCCTGCAAATTGCTTCATTTGTTGTTGGTCGCTGATCCGCATCCATGCCTGTCTGTGTGCCTGTCCCGTCTGATCTGATTGATGACTGCAGCAGCGTGTGGGTGTGGGAGAATCCATCCCTAGCAAATGGTTGACAGGCGGGTACGTGTTTGTTTGGTAGGATGGATGGGTAGTGTGAACAGCCTGGCTAGCTAGCCATGACGGTGGATAGGGGTGGAGCCCGTGTTTCTGTTCCTTTCCGCTTTGGGCCTCTCTTTTCTCTCATCTTTGCTTCTTTCTTGCATCGCTTCCATAGCCCTAAACAGCTACGCGGCGGCTTGGTCCTTGGAGGGGGGATTGTTGTTTTGTTGTTGGTGTTGTTGGATGGATGGATGGATGCCTTTCACGCGTTATCACACTAGGCTCGCGTGTGTTCTCCAAATGAACAGCACATGGCAGCGAGAGGAGCCCAACTGTTCACCCAAGTCGCGTCGGCCGAGCGCTCATCAAACCATGAACGCGATGCCATGCTATGCTGTGTTGGAACGCCGAAGGAGAGAAAAAAAGAATGAGGAGGACGAGAGTCAATCATGATGATGATGGTTGCATGCATTCACAAGGACGCGTCTCTGTGAGTTCGCGGCGGCGGCGGTGAATGGGCCCCCAAGCCATGACGCAGCCCGCGCTGGGGCCCTCCGCTCGCCTCAATCTGCCTGCGCCATTCCGCATTCGCTTTGTCTGATATCATCATGGATGTGCTTGATAGACCGATCCGTAGATAGACAGATGGCAATCGGACAGCAGGTGGAAAGCAAAGATGAAGCAGCAGAAGGCGCTATCGACATGCATAGCATAGGCCGGAGAAGGGGGGCTTCTAGCGGGCATGATTGCACTTCTCGCATAAGACTACACTATCTTGTACATACCTAGCTGGCTACGGTACATACGGTACAGCAAGCAAGCAAGCAAAGAATCAAACCCCCGGTCTGGCTGCGCCCTAGACAGGCTAGCAACCAAGAAAGCCGGCCAACAATCAAGAAACAAAGATGGGATGGGATCGCGGTACCGGGTTGTTGTCCAAGCAAATCCTGCTCTCTAATCAGTTGCGGTGCTGGCTCTCTACCTATCTGCTGTAATCAATCCATTCCATAATCCTCCCCCCCCCTAGCAGTCCTAACCACTGAATCTGCTACACGCGACGCCTGGCCTGCTGCTTGCCTGTCCGCCTGTCTGCCTCCTCTCCGTCTCTGGTGCTCCGCCGCCTCCCGGTCCACACCATCTTATCCCTCCCACCCATCCACCTTTAATTTTTTTTTTCTTTCCCTGACTGCTTTGCCCTGTCTGTGTGTTTTGCTTTGCTTTGCTTTTGCTTTGCTTGCTATCCGTCCCTTGCTGCTCTAAGCCCGCCGCCGCCGCCGTTCCCTCCTTCCTCTCTATTATTGACCTAGCCATCCACCTATCCAGGTCTACCTACCTACTCTACCGCTACCACTACCACCACCACCACCACCACTATACCTGCCGGCTGCCTGCTTGTCGTTCGCTGCCACCCACCCCTCCCTTTCTCCTCCTCCTCCTCTCTCCCACTCTCTCCTTCCCTCTCTCTACACCTCATCCTCCTTACCCCCCTGCTACTATCCGCCGCCGCCGCCACCACCACGCGACAAACACACAAACCATCCGTCCATCCATCCATCTAGCGAGCCGAAAAAGCCAAGCTCGCTCTCTAATTCTTCCTTCTTCTCTCTGTTCCAGTGTCACAGAAGCAATACTGTACAGCAGCAGCAGCAGCAGCAGTATACACTACACGGGCGGTGCAGTGCAGCCTGCAGTAGTCGCCTGCTCCTCCCTGGTCGTTCGCGCCTTCCACCCCCCAATCGCGCAGCCCGCACCAGTCGCTCATCAGTCCCACCGTTCCATCCACTCAAGTGCTGGTCTGGTCTGCTTTGACTGACACACCCGTCAACCACCATCCGCTGCCGCTCGACTTTTACACCTCACGCTGCCCGCTCTCCTCTCCTCCACCTCCGGCCCTCCGTCCGTCTCTTGTTTTTTCCCCTCCAACCACCTTCTTTTTTTCTTATCGCGCTATGCTCCCGTGATCCAGGAATACACTGCCACAAACTTCCGCAAAGACCACGCTCGTTCCCGATATCTTAATCGCTAATTGTCCCTCACCCGTTATCGCCGGTCCTCCGCGCTTGCTCCTGGCTTCGCGGCCCCAGCAGTTACATCTACGCCAACCTCAAAGGGCTGCTCCTCCATATCTCTCACCTTCGCTCGTTCGCTCCTCGTCCATTGCAGCACACCTCCCTCCATACCCTAAAGTCCGCTGAGCATTGTGCGCAATGGCTCCCGCCGTGCCCAGACTCCGCATCCTCTCAGGTGCGTTCCGGAAAGAGGGCACTCCCCTCCTCTCTCTTCTTCTCACATGCTCTCGCGCATACGTACTGACTGATCGTGTACAGTCGGTGGCAACGCTGTCTCGGCATTCCTATCATGGCGTCTTCAAGCTACCAACGCTTGCGACGTCACCCTGGTATGGAAATCCGGATATGAGAGCGTCGCTCAATACGGCATCTCCTTCAAGTATGCCTGCCTTACTTTCCCAATCGCCAGATCTCACCCGGTTCTGACAAGTCTCTAGATCGTCACTCTACGGAAATGAACGCTTCAAGCCATACTCGGGTACGTTCTCTCGTCCTCATCCGCCATGCAACAGCATCATACTGACTTTGCCGTAGTGGTACGCACACCCGAAGACGCCGCACATTCCTCGAAACAACCCTTTGACTACGTCCTTCTCTGCGTCAAGGCTCTTCCCGACGTATACGATATCGCCAACATTATCGAATCCGTCGTTTCGCCTCAACACACATGCATCCTCATGAACACCACACATAGTCTTGGCGTTGAGTCATATCTGGAGCAACGGTTCCCTACGAACGTCGTCCTGTCCCTGGTTTCAGGTGCGGAGATATCGCAGCTAGGTGCGAGCGAGTTCGAACACAAGGGTGCCACCGACATCTGGGTCGGCCCTGCCAATCAGAATTCCGAAATCCCGGCACAAGTGCAGGCCGACATGGCAGAAGCACTTGCCATGACCCTGGCGTCAGGCCAAGTCGACAGCAAAGTCTCGCCCAACATCCGGCAACAACAGTATGAGCGCATGATCGGGTAAGTTCCCCTTTTGTCATTATGAAAACCTTTGTACATTATGCTAAGTGTACCGATTAGTCCCATAGCATTTCACCCGATCAGTGTTCTCTTTGAAACCCCAAACCATTCGCAGTTGTTGGAAAAAGTTGGCGTCCGACCTCTCATCGCTGGCGTCATAGACGAGCTCCTCGCGCTTGCTACAGCGCAGGGCTGCACGTTCCCACCCGATCACAGGGAAACCACAATGGAGAAGATGACGGAGCCCCAGGAGACTAACAGCACCATGTATCTGGATTTTGAGGCCAAACGCCCCATGGAGATTGAAACCTTTTTGGGTTCCCCGCTTAAGCTTGCGCAGGAGGCCAATGTTGCGGTACCCCGTATTGAAACATTGTATGCCACTCTTCACCACATCAATATCGTCAACCGAACCAGGCCTGTTCCTGCGGCTACGCCTTCTCCTCAGAACGGCATGCAACCACCACCTCCGCCGAGAATGTCTTCGGCACCTCTTCCTCGTGGCCCACCTGGACCTGGACCCATGATGAATGGCAACGGCATGATGAAGGGAGGCCGACCCGGTAGCCGTGCACCTTCTGTCACTGGTGTGCCCCCTCCGATGCGCCGTGGGCCAGCACCTGGCCAAATGAATGGATACCCGCCAAGGCAAATGAACGGAGGTCCGAACGGCCAACGAAGACCGTCTTTCGATGGAAACGATCTCGAAGAGTTTAGCCATCTGATGCTCTACGACAACGTGGCCGAGGACGGTGGTCAAGTCGGACCCGGATTCGAAAATGGCAATCCCAACGACATGGCTCTCCGCGAGAGGGAACTAATGCTGAGACAGAGAGAGCTCCAACTCCGGGAACAGGAGCTCAACATGCGCCGTGGACCCCGCCGAGGCCCACCTCCTCCTGCATCGCACATGGGCGGATTCGATGAGGATGAGGACGAGGAAGATTATTTCGATCCCATGGCCTCAAGGGGTCCCGGTCCGGTCATCGATCCCGACAATTTCGACATGATGAGCGTTACGTCACGCCGCAACCGCAAAGTGCCCAGTGCTAGCCAGATTCGCAAGAATCCCGAAATGATGGGACCTCCTGGTAATGGACCACCCAACGGAGGCGGTCGATCTCGAAACCCTTTTACACGCCCTGGGTTGAATAAGAATCGCACCAGCGCGCGCATGATGACCGACATCCCCGGCTTGCACGATTCCATCATGAACAACCCCCTCTTGGGCTACTCTTCTAACCGATATGGCGATGTCGATCGAGGCGCCATGGGTGCACAGTCCCGTGCCAACTCGCTAACAGCGTCACGGCTCGACGAGCTGCAGCAGGGTGGAAGCTACGGAGGGGCATATCCTCCGATGAACCGTCGCATAAGTCAGTCTCCTGGCAACCCGATGCAAAGTCCCGGGCCGAGGCCTGGGGGGCGACCCTCTCCCCCCAATGGGTACGCTTCCAACGGCTACCCATCGAATGGAATGAATGGCATGCCACCACCCAACGGACGCCCATCTCCCCCGGGCATGCGACAGCCGGTCCCGAGACATCCTCCGGGGCAAGGAAACGCGGTGGCGCCACAACAAGTTGAACAACACGCTGGGGTGAGCAACCTTTACCCACCAAAGTCCCGTCCTCAAGTGCAAGTTCGTAGTCTGACCGGATCGGCTAGTGGTAGCAGCGGCCGACTAGATTCGGAGAATTCATCGCATAGCAGCCAGAGTGCGCTCGGCGTGCGATGAGGCTCCTCTGTTTTGCTTTTCGTATTTGCGGCATTCGACTTGGAGTATGTTGGGAGTTTGCATCACCACCGTTCCGTTTCGGGTGGTACATGGATTTGATCATCTACTGAGTTGAAAGCTGGGATAGTGGTTGCTGCCACCGATAACATGTCTTGTTCTGTTTTGTTCTTCTTTTCTTGGGGAGATGGTCTTTGCACGGTCGACAACAACAATTAACTACTACAATTACCACCACCTACACTGTGCTGGCTTTCCTTGGCATTCTTCTCTTCGGACACACGATTACGCACCCAGGTTTTCCTTTGTCCTCGTCCCTCTCGCCATGGCGCAGCAGTCGCTGACCGGCATGGTCATGGGAGGAGCGGCGAGGCTTCACGACGGGCCAAAGCGGCTGACGCTCCGTCTGGCGACACGGTTGGCGAGCACATGATGAGGAACATTAGACGGGGCCGCCGCTGGAAAGGCATTTTGGACGTACACTCGAGGCTTTTCTTTTGTTTTTATCATCGTACATAATGTAGAGGTTTTGGGAACGACCATGTCTTCTCTCCGACTCGAGCCAGGCTTAATAAGGGGACTGCACGGCAGAGCAGAGAGTTGGACAACCTTGTTTCTTTCCGTCATGGGATTGGAGGAAAGTCGAAGGAGGTATCTGATAGAAGTACATGTCTTTTTTTGTTTGTTTGCTTCTTCGCTTCCCTCTTGGGGGGGATGTGGGCACAGATGCATGTTTGTTTTGTTGCAAGTATCTGTTTTGGGGCCCTTTTGTATTATTTACGCCTTGTGAGCGAGGTGGAAAAAGGAGGAAAGCAGGCGAGGGTTTGAAGTAAAAAAGTTGATAGCGAGGAAGAGGGCAGATATATACAATGACGCACACAAACAATCGAAGGCGCGCATACGCATACACAGCAATGTAACTAGAGGAGTGATTGACATGGAGTGTAAGTGAGCAAGTGTACGTAACAATTGGTATAAGTCGGAGTCAGGTTGCAATATTGTTGGAGGTCATGTTTGATTTTGTTTTCATGATTGAGACGAGCTGGGGAAAAAGAGACGCCGCCTACGTAGCTGTTTTAGTTGTGGGGAGTCATGCGGGGGGGGGAGGAGAGGTATCGCTGGACTTTTATGTAAACATGTGCAGACAGACACCAGTTGGGAGTCGAGTACACGATACTCTCAATCCCCATTCTTCACATGGTTACATGGTTTGCCCACGTGCTGCTATTCTCCTCCCTTCCCTTTGCTTGTTCCTTGTTTCTCGCATACGCGCCGGTTTGTTCGACACAACAACAGGATGTGTGTGTGTGGGACGGACGGGTTGAACTGGGTTTCGTCTCCATTGCCGTCTCCGGCATACGCTAGAGCGTCACGGGCGGCGGTGCGGGCGAGCGAGCGAGGGGCAGCGGTCAGCCAGGGAGCATGTACATAAGGTATTTCCATCAATTGACTTAGTTGATTGAACGCTGTCATTACCTCGTCTCTTCTTCCTCTACTCCTTTCCCTTCTTCTTCTCCTCCTTCAATTGACCCGCCCGCGCTGTCGGCCTGGAATGACTTGGGCAGGAAAGCAAGAGACCAGACGGACGGACGGACAGAACTGAACTGAAGAAGCAGACCGGGACGCACGCCCGCTGGAGCTGCCAGGCCGCCTGCATATAGCGACATAGTGGCTCTGCTCGCTGATTGCCTCGTTGTCGCGCCGAGAGAGGAGAGAGTGTGTGTGTGTGTGTGAATCGAGAGACAGCCGAACAGAACAGCCCCCATGCGGCACGACGGCGACGCCCATGATGCCACCCCTCCATCTTCACCATCATCCACGGCTGGCCGTGACGAACGCCCGAAGCACCGTGACACTCGAACCACAGCCCAACACCACCATCATGGCGCCTCTGCTTCTGCTGGCCCTCTGTCGCCCCACCAGACGCTTTTCTCTGCTGCCCTGGCCCTAGTCGCCGTCCTCGTCCTGCACTTCTTTGCTGCCCCGCTTCTGCCACTCGACCTTGTTCGTCTGCTGCCTTTCCAGCAGCCTCTTCCCCCCGCCATCCCCGCCGTCTCCCAATCTTCTCCTCCTCCCTTCCACAACCACCCCGCCGTCTGCCCCAGACTGCCGCCCCAACCGTCGCTACATCACCACGAGCCCCGAGGCACCTTCAACACCGACACCCACCGCAGTATGGCCCTCGCAGAGCAGGCGAAGCGCGTCGCCGCCGAATTTGCATTTGGCCCCGATGCCGTCAACCGCGCCGTCAAGGAGTTTGTGCGCGAGATGGGTACGTACGCACGCCTCCTCCTTTTCCTCCTTTGTTGCCATTGCTCAGCACTGTATGCTGCATACTGCGCTATGCTACCTTGATTTGTTGCTTCCCGCTGACCATCGCAGACGAGGGACTGCAAAAGGAAGGCACAGAGCTGAGCCAGATCCCTACTTACGTCACTGCCGTTCCGAACGGAACTGAAAAGGTAAACAATCCACCCCTCCACACTCCATGCTTCGAGCCAACCGCCCACTGACACACGGCAGGGTTTGTACATGGCCGTTGACCTCGGCGGCACCAATTTCCGTGTCTGCTCCATCCAATTGCACGGCAACACCACCTTCTCGCTCACCCAGAGCAAGGTCGCCATCCCGCGCGAGCTCATGGTCGCAAAAACCTCCAAAGAGCTCTTCTCCTTCCTCGCCAAACAGATTGAGAACTTCCTCAAGACCCACCACGAGGACCACTATGCTGGCCACATCAGGCGCCGCCAGACGGGCGAGACGTTCAAGGACGAGGAGATTTTCAACTTGGGCTTCACCTTCTCGTTCCCCGTCAACCAGATTGGTATCAACAAGGGTCTGCTGATGCGATGGACAAAAGGCTTTGACATTGCCGAGACGGTCGGTCAGGATGTGTGCGCCCTTCTCCAAAAGGAGATTGACGAGCTGCACCTACCTGTCCGTGTGGCGGCTCTAGTCAACGACACCGTGGGAACCCTCATGGCACGCTCTTACACGTCGCCAGGGAAGACCGGTACGCTGTTGGGTGCCATTTTTGGTACTGGAACCAACGGCGCCTACGTGGAGAAACTGAACAAGGTCACCAAGCTCACGCAAAAGGCGGATGCTGGAGACTACGACAAGTCGACAGGAGAGATGATTGTCAACACGGAATGGGGCTCCTTTGACAACTCCCTCCGCACTCTGCCAAATACTCCCTACGACATCGAGCTCGACGAGAAGTCAGTTAACCCTGGCATTCAAATGTTCGAGAAGCGCGTGTCTGGCATGTTTCTGGGTGAGATCCTGCGTCTCGCCATCCTCGGCCTCCTCAAAGACCCTGCCTTCCCTCTTTTCCGCGACGAGAACTCGGCGACCAACGACGTCCACAGCACCACGCAGATCCACGACAACTCGCCACTCTACAAGCAGTGGGGTATCGACACGAGCTTTCTCAGCATCTGCGCCGGCGACAACAGCCCCGGTTACCGCATGATCCGCCAAACGCTCGACAAGGACTACGGCGTCTCAGCCGTGAGCGCCGAAGACGCAGAAGCTGTCCGCGCCATCTCTCTCGCCGTCGGAAAGCGTGCCGCTCGCCTCTCCGCCGTCGCCATTGGCGCCATCGTGCTCAACACCGGCCGCCTGAACCCCTCCGCCGCCAAGAGCGCAGCCACGACGGAGAAGAAGGAGGGAATTGATCCTCCCCGCGGCGATGGCGCTGCCTCCGACGAGGACGATGTGATTGATATTGGTGTCGACGGCTCGCTCGTCGAGTTCTACCCCAACTTCGAGGACCATATTCGTGAGGCTCTGAGGGAGATTGAGGGCGTTGGCGCTGAGGGAGAGAAGAAGGTCCGCATTGGTATCGCCAAGGATGGATCGGGTGTTGGTGCTGCGCTGATTGCTCTGGTGGCTGGCCGTGTTGGCGTCGACACTGATTGAACTTGACCAGTTACTCGTTTGTTCCGTTCTTTGTTGATCTCGTTTGACCGGTCGTCTCCGTCGGCTGCTCAACGCGCCCGAGCGGCATCTTCATAGTTCTTTTTGTGTATATAGGGGCTCAAGAAAGTTTACATATAGACGTGGGGGGAGGGGGGGAATTAAGTGTCATTTCTTCCCGCCGGACTGGAAAGTGTGGTGGAAAAGAACATGGGGTCATTGCCTATGTTATTTGGGAAGAGATATGCTCTGTTGTTCAAGCGAAAGAGAAAAAAGAAAAGAAATCCAGACAGTGAAATCTTTTTTTCCATTCTCCTGTATCTATTTCTACATTTTCTCATTTCCAGTCCCCCCACACACATTTCAAGAAAGGGGAAAAAAAAAAACGTTTCCCATCTTTACTGGACTGTTTTTGCGTCGTCGCCGTCGCCTTCTTAACCCCCCTAAGATTTTCCTTGAGAAAAATAGTAGAGATCCATCCCCTCTCCCTTGAAAGAAAAGAAGAAGAAGAAAAGGAAAAAGGAATTGACAGTCTGTCTCCTTTATTACAGAGTAATTATTTATGCTACCCCTGTGTATGCGTCCGACGATACTAAAGTTAGGATTAGGGACGAAGATAGAACGTTAAGAGAGTAGAGAACGATATTGAAGCATGCGTAGTAGGTAAATATACAGGTAAAAAGGAAGTAAGCAAGTAAGCAAAAAAAAAGCTAACTTAGAACCTAATTAACTAAGGGGGGTTTCAAACAGAGATAGAAACAATATAAAAAGGCAAGGAGAGGAGAAGAAAGCAAGTGTAGAAGTGGGACTATAGAGTAAGAGAGAGAGAGAGAGCTATGTTATTGTTATAAAGTTGCCGTAGCAAACAGCAAAGGAAATGGCAAAGAAAACATGACATTCATTATTCACGCAAGCCACTGGCGGGGGAACAAGTGTCCCGAAGTTTTTTTTTTCCTTTTTTTTTCCAGATTATTGTCATTTTTTCGTCAAATTGTAAAGCTGAGACCCAGACATGAATGTTCCCACGAGAACGAACTCCATTGAATTCCAGTTCTCGCATGGCGACTAAAATACATTGATTGATTGATCCGCTCCCTGTGTAGCTTGCCAACCCTCCGCCCGACGCCGAGCTGAAGATTTTTTTCTAGAATATTTCTCTCGATCATCTTTGTCGATAAAAGACACGCCGTGAAATGACAAAAAGATAAGGTGGTCGATCAAGCGGAGCCTTGGCTGTGAGGGGCTCTGTGGCAGCTGAATGACCACACATTGCCATTGCTCGCTTAGTTGTCCATGTAGGTGGAAGCATCAATGCCGTCCTCGGGGAACTCGCTGAGAAGAAGTCAGTTGCGTGATTCATATATCTAGTCATGCTCAACTTACGGAAGGGACACCTGGAAGCGCTCCTCGATCGACTTGAGCACATCCTTGTCTTCGGTGCTGCTGACGAAAGAGATACTGAGACCCTTGGTACCGAAGCGACCAGCACGACCGACACGGTGAAGGTAGGCATCAGCCTTGTCAGGCATGTCGTAGTTGATGGCTACGTTGATACGTTCGACATCGATACCACGTCCGAAGATGTCAGTCGAAACGCAGATACGGGTCTGGAAGTCCTTGAAATCCTTGTAGCGTTTGATACTGTTACAATGTTAGCCGATAGCTTGACAACTCGCTTCGATTTTCACATACCGTTCCGCCTGGTCGATACCAGAGTGAACTGCTGTGCTAGGGAAGTTGCATTCCCGCAAGAGCTTGTCGAGCTCTGTGCAACGAAGGGTAGAGCGCACAAAGATGATGACTTGGTTGAACTCGAGCGAATCCAAAAGATCGTTAAGTTTGCGATTCTTCTCACGTTCATCAAGCTGTACAAAGTATTGCTGAAGACCGTGAAGCGTGAGCTTCTTCTCATCGTCGACGTAAATCTCCAAGGGGTTCTGCATGAACTTCTTGCAGGTCAAGCGAACTTCCTTGGCCAAAGTGGCGGAAAACATCATAACCTGCTTGTGGGCCGGAGTAGCACGGAAGATGGTTTGCACATCATTGCGCATGTCTGAGTGGTTGTTAGGCAATGATGAAGTCGGACTGATTGGCATACTAACCAGGCTGGTCCAGCATCTTGTCACATTCGTCGAGAACGAAGTGTTTCAAAGAGGCAAGGCGAAGCTTCTTGTCGCGCACAAGGGCATTGATACGGCCGGGGGTTCCGACGATAATGTGTGGGTGTGTCTCCTTGTTAGCCAAAAGCTCAATATCCTTCTGCACCGGGGTTCCACCGTAGAAAACACCGACTTTCACATCGGGTAGGAACTTGGCGAATCGATTGTACTCGTTCTTGATCTGGAAAGCCAATTCACGAGTGTGGCACATGACCAAGATAGTCGCGACACCGGGCTCAGGCTTCTCGTCCATCTGTTGAAGGGTAGCTAGAACAAAGACAGCAGTCTTTCCGAGACCGGATTTGGCCTGGCAGAGGACGTCGTTTCCAAGAATGGCCTGAGGAATGGTAACTTGCTGGACTGCGGTAGAGAGACATGTCAGAATGGTAATTCAAGCGGTCGAAACACAGCGGTAGTAGAGAAAGCGTCCGTCCGTCCATCTTGCGAATGTAGTGCCGTCATCGTAAGAAACAACATAATCCAGCTTTTGTACCACCCGATATACAATCCGTAATCTTCCTCGTATCTTGTTTTCTTTCCATTTCAGGATGAAGATGACCCCCTAAGATTCTTCTTTCTCCAACCAAGAACGTGCACAGCCGTGAAGCTGTTGCAAGCTGGCGTATCCAGCAAAAGTGCAAACGGCACAAAGCCGCGACACGGCTGAACTGGGCTAGTCCCCACGCCAGATCGCTTGCGCGCGCAATGGATGTGCCGGTGCCAAACAGAGCTCACTCGGTTGCGCGGAGTGATGGATGGAAGGATAGATGGACGGACGCTTTCAGGTGTATGGATGGAAGGCTGAGGGGAAAATCATTAAAACTAACCCTCGGAAGGATGTTCGAAGCCACAGTCCGTGATCGCTCGAACGAGCTCGTCCTTGAGAAGGAAGTCGCGGAAACCGGTGGAGTGAATGCCGACGTAGCTGCCCTTCTTGTCGCCGGCCGCGTCATTTGCTGCAAGACCGCCAGCTGTGGCAGCGGCGCTGCCGTTGGCGGGAGCCTCATTTTGAGGAAGCTCCTCGTCAGAGTAGTCGATAAGGTCCTCCTCGTGAGACATGTTGGATGGTAGTTAGAGAGAAAGAGAAATGGATGAAGTAGGTTTGAAATGGAGAGAGTGGGGTGGTGTCGTCGATGAGAGCGCTAGGTGTATGAAGTGAATCACACAGTCGAGGTCGTCGCAGGCTCTGGAATAGAGGGCGAGGTATGGATTGAGTATATGCGCAAGATGCAGAGAGAAGTTGGAATGGGTGCGCGATGAGGGAAGTAAGGTTGGTAGAGTGAGGAAGTTGGGGTGCAGCCTGGAGGGAGGAAGGCGTTGTTTGCGCTGGGCTGGAAAAGCTGGTCTGGGCGTCCGCCAAGACGCTAGCCCAGAAGCGACATGGGCGATTGTTTGCATTCGTCCTCGCCTGAGTCAGCTGTATAATCCATTATCCATCCAGCCATCGAAATCCCCGGTTTCAAACATTTTACACATTTCAGCCATTTCACAACATGCCCAAAGACAAACTGCCTAAGACTAAAGGTGTCCAAAACAAACATCTCCATTTCCGGACCACGTTCCTGTATCAGGCTGCCACATACCTGACTCTGCATTCGCCTGCGGCTGGTCCTGTTGGATCCGCCTCATCCCATGCATACTCGAACCGTGCACTTCAAATGGGCTCTGACTTACAAGCAGTGTCTCGCAAAGGTCAGGTCAGACTCTCTGCCGAACTGAAACGGACCATATGTAAATGTTGCAACACTGTCCTTATTCCAGGACGGACTGCAACTCACACCATAGAGAACGACAGCAAAGGCGCGAAGAAGCCATGGGCTGATGTTCTAGTCATCGGGTGCACATTCTGCGGGGCTAAAAAACGTTTCCCCGTTGGAGCTACCAAGCAGCTGAAGAAGGCACAACGGATGCCCAAAACCACATCGGAAGAGGTGGGCCAACAAACTGATGAACAGTCCGTCAATTCCGCTCTACCGCCCACCAGCATCGCGACGACCCCTCTCACCAGTGGATGAAATTAGCTGGAAGCATTTCTTGATTGAACGTGAACATGGAAAGCCCTCACCCTTAGGGGAACAGAGACTTTGTATCGGCACGATCGTTAGCGGCACATCTGGAAGCAGCTCATATATTGGAGCACCACGGCAAATCCTCAGACGTAGGAGTCTCACACCGCAACCATCAATTCAAGTTGAGCCCAATCTACGTGAGGCTATTTAATATGCCATTGAGGTCTAAAACGCCACACCAGGCCACGTGGTGTCTCGATAATTGACGACAATCTGCCTGGGGTTTCACGGAGATGCATGTGCGTGAGGGGTCTATGACATGCGCTGGTGTGCGACACGAGAAGCGATTTCGACGGTGAAGTGAGACAAGCGGTCGAAGTAGGCAACAGGATATGTAAAGCAGTTGAGTCATTGTGGACAGAACCGGGCGCTGATGTTATTCCAACCCTTTCTTGACTGTCTCGAGTGCGGAGCGAGCGACAAAGTGAGATAGTAATCCATCCTTCTGCTGCAAGCTATCCGGTCTAGCACTATATGACTGCAGACCCAAAATAAGATCGTATTTTTTGAGATCAACAATTCTACTTGTTTTCTTCTCCCACTTCCACTATGGCCCCCTCAAGTACCATCCCTACATAATCCTCAGACTTAATGGCGGAATTAAACGCGACGCTAGGCTATTTGCAGGGTCTGGAGGAGCTCTGTGGACATGCAAACACCAGCAACAATTGCTTTGCTATATGACATATGTTTGGCTGTTCTTCATGATTTGATCATTTTTCTGACACTTTTTGGCCCATTGAATCACCATTCCGAAGGACCTCGGTGGATATAGCTGTTGTGTTGGATTATCCATGTTCCAAGTGCCCTGGCGTTATATCGTGGAGTTAGACTAGCTGGAGCGGAAGCCCGAGGGTCGTGCATGGATGGCATGACGGTGCCGATTACCCCAACCGCGTACGTGTTTGTACATAGATGCATACTTACATAACTACATACTTAGCATTCAATCATCACTATCCGCCCCAGCTTCACTGCCCGCGATCTATTCCTTATCCATCCCTGATCGGTCGACACCTGGCGGACACCCAAGTCATGTCGCTGATCCGGCAAGGCCCATGAGCTCCTCGCAATCCTCCGGCCCGCGTCCTCGACCGCGCTTTCTACCATGTCCATGTCCTCTTCCAACATCCGCGTATTCGTGCAGTGGAAGAACTCGACCGTGTTCGCCGGCGAAGACGTCGAATGCACCATAACCTTTAAAAACGTCGCTCCCGTCAGCAATCGCTCGCCAGTTCGCAAGGCCAACGGCTTCGCCCACCATGGCGGGGAGCGACAGCGCAAGCTGCCTCCTGTCCACTCCTCGACGCGCCCCTCTCTATCGCGCAATTCCTCCTTCGTCTCCCAAGGTCCCTCCCAAAATCATCGCGGTCACCGTCCCGCGCTGTCTCTGAGTTCCCCGCTGCCCCCCAACGGCGATCGTTTACCGCCTGCCCAAACGAGCGCCTCTCTCTACAATGGCAGCACAACTCCTGGAGGAGTGCGCAAACATGCACATGGCCGCTCGCTCTCCATCTTATCAATGGGGACCGATGCTCCCACAGAGACAAGTCACGAGGGTACAAGCTCACCACGCCGTCCGGCGCGCGGGCATGGCAGATCTGCCAGTTTACAGGTGATACCGGGCAGGCCGAGTCCTCTTTCAGGTATGGAATCGCTCCCCGGCTGCTGCTTTTTACTGATTATTTTTCTTCAAGTTGGCTCTCCAGGTGGGCGTTCTCTGCCGCAACATTCCCCCTTGGCCGGCGGAGCCTTTTCCCCCCAGTCCCCCTATGACTATTCGCTCCCGACTCGACCATCTCGAAGGCCATCGGCCAATTCCACCACACCTACTACGCCTGCCATGCCACGAGTCTCCCGAAAAGGCTCGAATTCCATCTCCCACAGTTTCAAGTTCCCCGCAGCTCCTCCGTCGACAGATGGGTCACCCCCACTTGCCCAACACGATGATTACATGTCTAATCAGCGAATACCTATGCCTCAGGTGCAGGAAGCATCTCCTCGAATTCCCCCAGAACCGATATCGAAACCCAGCAATGACGGGCTCTCACCTGTCGCGCGCATAATTTCCGGCTCGAGTATGAATGGTACACCCAGAAGTAGTGGAGAGTTCTACTCGATGAGCAACAACTCCAATGAAACGCTGGCATCTGATTACGTATCACCTCCCTCAGCACGCCTTCTTTCAAGGGCAATACATCAACGGCAAAGCTCTCAATTAGCTCCTCCGTCCCAACGCAGACATCCAGAAACACTGATGATGGGTTATGCTCAAATTATGGGGTCCTTTACATTGGACGGCTCCCTGGTTAACCAAGCACCATTCGAGGAGGTGAAGAGAAAGGGCGTTGTTGGAGGTCAGGGTGGAGGCGGTGTAGTTGGCGTGGAGCGCACAAAACGGGAGAGCGGTTTATTTGGAGCTTTGGGGTGGTCGAATATTGGAGAATCTATAGGAGGCCTCTTAGGCTCCACTGAGCCTTCGAGTATTCGCGAGATGAGGGGAATGGCGAGTTCCAAAACAGTGCCACTAATTACTACACCCCAGTCGATTCTATTTGTTGATCTCCAACTGGCCCCTGGAGAAAGCCGTAGCTACACCTATACGTTTACATTACCGCGAGGGCTTCCTCCGACTTACAAAGGCCGGTCGATAAAAACCGCGTATCACCTCACTATTGGAACCCAACGGCCAACCTCCTCCAAGGATCAACAGGTAAAGCAGGTGGATGTTCCGTTCCGTGTTTTTGGCAGCGTCAACAGTATGTTTCATTTATTCCTGGTCCCGACTTTGACTAACTTCAAATAGGCAAAGGAGAGGTTTTGGGTCACGACCTGATGTCTCCTTATATCATTCTCCGAGACCAAGCAAGGACATCGAGCTTAGACTCTCCGCCCAACGGATCGAGTGGTTCACCCCTGAAGAGAGGCAGTCCCAAAATAACATCAGATCCCTCGTCGTACGACGAGTTCACCGACTACATTAGCAACCTCCTTGATAGACCGCGGCAAAATTCGAGTTTAGGCCTCCTCTCTCCCACGGAAGCCATGCCCGGCCGCCGCTCCTCCTTGATAGAAGAACCCACCACGATGAAAGAATCCATCGACCTAGCCATCATGCGCAGCAACCTCACCAGCTCAAGCAACCAAAGCACAAACCGCTTCGAGATCGCCCGCAGCGGCCGTCGCGTCGCCGTCATCATGCTCTCTCGCCCAGCCTACCGCCTCGGCGAAACAATGTCCGCCGCCATCGACTTCACAGACTCCCACATCCCCTGCTACTCGGTTCACGTCTCGCTCGAATCCTCGGAAATCGTCGATCCGGCCATCGCCCTCCGCTCAAACGCCTCCATCTACCGCGTCACCCGTAAAGTCCACGCATCCTTCGCCGAAAACGCACTATTTGCTCAACGTTTAACTTTCTCGCCCACCATTCCCCCGACTGCGACACCAGAGTTCTGTACGAGCGGGATCAGTTTGGAATGGAAGCTTCGTGTCGAGTTCATCACCCCGCGATTAACTCAAGAAGACCAGATTGAGTCGTACCGCGATGACCTGCTCGAAGAAATTTCGAGCGATGATCGTGGGATTATGCTGGCCGCGGTTGAGCGGCTGCCTGCTGAGAGTTTTGAGGTTAGGGTTCCTGTGAGGATTTATGGGGCTATCAGTGGGGCGGTTGATAATCCTGATGAGGAGGGCTTGGTTATTTGATGGACTATGCGGGAATCTACGTATGTGTGTGTGTAGGCGGGAAAGCAGATGAATGGAGGGTTAGGGTAGTGTCGCGTGGGTGACCGGTTCTTTGTTTCTTACTTTGTACATGTTGCTGTTGCTGTTGCTGTTGCTGTTGCTGTTGGTGCTCTTGTTGTAGTTATTGTATGGTGTGCTAGATAAGTAAGCAAGTGTTGATGTTTCTTTGGCTCCTCTTTTTTTGGTGAATTGAGAAAATGGGAGGGAGGAATCCTTTTCTTCGTTTGCTTCTAGTTCACTCCCCATCCTTCTTCTTCGCCATGTTTCGTGTATGAAAGCAATCGGTCGACGCTTCGCCCTTCTTCCGGGTCGTACAGGGAGTAGAGCGATTGCATACCTATGTATCGTGCCCTTTTGATTTGCCTGACGTAGATGGAAACAATTACACGGGTCAGCCATGGAATTACAACCACACAATCTATTTCTAAAAATTCGTCTACAAGGCGTTTACAGAGTGTCTATATTTTTCAGCAGCTAGGGGGGCGTTGGGGAATGAGAGAAGAAAAAAACTAGCGTAACATCACGCGCAGAGGGAGATGAGAGACGTGTGAGACCAATGAGTGCAGCATGCATCACTTGCCCATATTGCCGACATTGAATCCCAATATCAAAGTTGTGTCTTTGAGACAAGGAGGCGAGCAGGCAAGAAAGGGAACACCCTTGCAAAATAATAAATGCAAAAAAGAAAGTCATGTTATAGCTGCGACCAGTTTCGATCTGGTGTCCTCCGGGTTATGAGCCCGGCGCGCTTCCGCTGCGCCACGCAGCTTTTTTTGTAAACTCGCTTTCGTGAATTCGATGAAATGTTCACCGCGTATTGACGATATATAGATAGTGAAGACGAGCATAAAAATGAGCATGATAGATCAAGCGAGATCGTGAGCTTGCATCATCTCTCTTACTTTTGTGGTTTGTGTGTGGGTCCCTTTCACTCGGGTACGACGAAAGATTTTTTTTCTCCCTCCCACTTACCGGATGTTTGAGTCACGACTTAGCTCGCTTTCCGTTCCCGAGGGATGGGACAGGCAACCACCACTACAACCTTATAAAACTACGGAATTCGGATTCATTTCAACCGGATAATCTTCAAGGATGTGTGTTCCTTTTATATGATAATTGATTTATTTCCTACTCACTTATATTGAAACTTGGGGTAAATCTACCTACATATGTAGAACAGAGTACCTTGGTATTGTCAACTGGTACATCATCACTTGTTTCAATGATTGGTTAGGGATGACGGATACTGATGGATGATTGCTAATTTTCTTTGTATTCTTTGCTTGTAGGTCTTTTTTTTCTTTTGAATATGGAGGGCTTGGAACTGAAGGAAGGGTCTGCTTGGTCTTGTCTGATGAGGTGTGCCTCGTTCACGCGGGTTGAGTCCATTACTGATGGTTCTCATGCTTGAATGTTTCCAATATGCCCTTAATACCAGTCACTAGATATATCCCCTTGTCACTCTGCTAAATTATACCACGTTGCTGTATCTAGCTGAGTACTTAGGTACCTGGAAATCGTTCATACTCAGCTCCATCTTTCCACTGGCACAGCATCATGAGACAATTAGTCGTGATACCTACCCAGTATTGGGAGCAAAATTCTACACGCGAAGCATGACTGCTGATTTTGTTCCATCAAAACACTTCTTGTCAAAATGATCAATGTCTTCAACGCCCCAGGCGCTCACAATTGCAAGGGTTTCCGACCAAATGTAGCAAAATCGTGAACACTAACATCGCTTATCTTATCGCGAATCCCTGCAAGAATTTTCCCACCCCACCACCGCGTCGCATAGGTAGAGATTTTTTTGTGCAAGGTCAATTTCAAACAAAACAAAACAATCCAACAAACATGTCTCTCCCGTCAGCATCTGAAAGCGATGTCCAGCTCGCTCAGCGCATAATTGGCGCCGCAGAGAGACACGATGTTCCTGCCCTCAAGGTTCTTCTCAAAGAAGGCTCTGCGAATGTCCAGGACCCCACCGCAACTGTTGCGACATCTCCACTTCACGCCGCAATTGCAGCTTGCGGGAAAGCTGAAGAGGGAAAGGAATTGGAGGAATCCGCTCTTGAAACTGTTCACTTGTTACTGGAGAATGGCGCTATCTGGAACGATTTGAACAAGGAGGATGATACCCCAGGATGCATTGCTCTCAAACTAGGACAAACTAAGATCTACGAGATGATGGTCGAAGCCGGTGTTCGCGCGGAATTGCTTTTCTCGAAGATGGAGGCTTTAGGTCTGGGAGGCAGCAACGAGGTCGAAATTGAAGTTGAAGAGGAGGAGACCAGTGAAGAGCAACCTGCTGCTAAAAAGCAGAAGGTATCCGAAGAGGAGGCGAAACCCGTCGAGACTGTCGACGAGAAAGTTCTTGATGATGTTTCTTTGGATAACAAGGCATATCTGAAGAGTCAGCTGAGGTACAAGCCCGGAATCCTCCTGGACGAGAGCGACAATGCGGTTATGATGGACTGGGAGACTCAGATTATGCAACGTCACGCCGAGACGATCGCCCCGAAGAAGGGCTTGAAGCTCATGAATGTAGGCCATGGTATGGGTATTGTGGATACGGCTATTCAGACCCACGAGCCCTCTGAGCATCACATCATTGAAGCGCACCCGCAAGTGCACCAGCGTTTGAGAGAGCAAGGCTGGTACGATAAGCCCAATGTCATCATCCACGAAGGAAGATGGCAAGACATTCTCCCCAAGTTGGTGGAGCAGGGCGTTGTTCTTGACGGTATCTACTACGACACTTTCGCCGAGGACTACAACGCGTTGAAAGAGTTCTTTGCGGAGTACGTTATCCAGTTGCTCGCCCCCAAGGGAATATTCGGGTGGTACAACGGTCTTGGTGCGGACCGACAAATCTGCTATGACGTTTACACAAAGGTAAGCATTGAATGTGCGAATTCTAGCATGTTTGTACGGCGAACTAATCGATCTATAGGTAGCGGAAATGGACCTCTACGAGGCTGGCTTTGACACAGTATGGGAGGACATCCAAGTCCCACCAACGCTCAAAGGTAGCAAAGAGTGGGATGGCACGAGGCGACCATACTGGACTATTGATGTTTACCGACTACCCGTCAACACTTTCGTGAAATAAGCGAAGGTTTTATTCATTCATTTTGACTACAGGCGTTCGGGAGAGGGCACTCCAAAATAGGACATGGTCGATGAAAATGGTTCGGTAGAAGCATCAACAAAAAGTGACCACAATATTCACAATTTAGCATGAAAATTCAGTGTCTAAACTTCGTGGCTAGTGTTGCGGTTATGAGAGAAGTACATGCGGTTCTCCCGCATTGTGATAGGTTATTATTGAGCATGACGTGCTATTTCCGTTGAACAGCAACGTAGTATTGTGATCTCTATCTTGCTAGGGAATAGAATGTGTGCCTCAACTCTGAGTCCAATGATCCAATCCGTCAATTATTCAATGTTTTAGTGGTAACGTTCCGGTACTGGTACATCACCATTATCACAATCACTTTAGCATATTTTTCATCTCAGGGGAAAACAAATTCAATTGCTATCTGTGAATCGCTTGTTTTTTGGTACTTTTAATTGGTATGACTCTATCGCTCTATGTAGGAACACCCCAACTTACAATTTTCTTATCATATCTGTGACTAGGAAACAATGAGCGAAGCAACTGGCATGTTAAAGTACGCGAGCGCACGCAGAACACTTGAAACTTCAGCTCGTTATAAGAAAAGCAAGCCTATCTTCGACGAGTAGAGTCATATTGCATCTTCCTCTGCGGATCACTAAGAGCCTCATACGCGTTGTTGATTCTCGCCATCATCTCAGTAGCGCTCTGCTTTTCCTGAGGTGCAACACGGTCAGGATGATACTTGAGAGCAAGCTCGCGATACGCCTTCTTGGCTTCGGCTAGAGATGCGGTATTTTGCAGGCCGAGCACCTTGTAGTGGTTACGCTGATGTGTGAGTGGCGGAGGGGGAGGAACACGAGGAGGAGAAGGCTGGGCACCCCGAGAAGGCTTATAACGGGGTGTGGACTCAAAGGGTCGATGCGGGCGGGGTTTAGGCTGAGAGGGTCGTTGTGAGTATGTTTTGGGATCTGGTTGGGCGCTGAAAGAGTTACGACGACCGAAATGATAGTATGTGTAGTTGTCTCTCCTAACCCAATCGTCCTCGAAATCATCATCAAACTCCTCGTCAGAGTCGGGGTGTGATGGGTACTCCCCAGCATCATTTTCAGTAGTATCTGGCTTCTTAGCATGCTTCTTGTAAGTAGAGCTCTCGAAAGAGAAGCTAAACGTCGCGTCACCCTTGGATGTAGAAGCAAAACCGAAGAAGCTGAACTTGGTGCCACTCTTTGAGGGTTGTGTAGGGTTGCTGTCAGGGTTGCGGCCATCCTCGAACAAGTCACGGACGGTGGAACCTTTCCAGGCCCGACGGTCTCCGTGATCTTGACGGGTGCTCTCCTTGGTGGTTTGTGAGCGTCGAATGCCATTTGGACTGGTTTGAAATCGTGTGGCTTCAGGCTTGGGATTCATTGATCGTCCATTGGTTGTATCGTTCCCGAGAGAATTGCGCCGCCCTTGACGCACCCACTTCTCGTTAGGATATCGGGGAGCCTCACGTTGAGCAGTTTTACGTGATGATGAGCCTTGTGCTATCTTGTAGGCATCTTCCCGAGAGTACCCTTTCATCCGTGCGGTCCTGTACGAGGCTTCATTGAATTTTGAAGAGCTCATGATGAACACTTACTGTTTGTATAGAAAGCTGAGTAGAGTTGAATTTGTTGTCTCTCACTTTGTGTTACTAGAAGTCTATGTTCTCGATGAAGATATGGAGAAGGTGGGTAGTATATATGATGATGATGATTTATGCTGCATTGTATTCTATCGAGCATTGTTTGTGTCTAATTTTGAAACAATATTTCGTACAGTACTCATTGTGTAGTTTGTTGAAGACGATGCTTTCAACAGCCTTGTGTTCATTGCAATGGATGAAGGACAGTGAGACATGGGGATATTTGATTACAGGGAGGACAATACACTCAGCATTCTGTGACATATTGATAGATTATAGAAAGCAACAGTATACTGTTTGTAAAATATCGGAGTGATACGTATTCAACTCTAGTAGCCAGTTTTCACAGGTGCAGAGATGCGTTACTGGTTACTCGAGTGTCTACGAGGAACTTTTACGAGAAAAACCCAGCGCAAAACCGCACAAATACGTAAAAGCATGGGTCCTTCTTTGATGAGGCAAACGAAAAGGCTATCGACGGAATGCGGGAGTGAATGCATCTTACATGGTGGCAAACATCCAGGGTGGAGATGCTTCCCGGAATTTCCGGCTTAAGGACTAAAGGGCTAAACACTTACCACTTCATCCTGCTATCAAACCAATGTGCAGAATAGAACGGAGACGGTTTATTGCTGGGTTGACATTTTTTGTGAAAGAATCAAATTGCTTTTTTGTTGTTCTGACTGGGCCATGGTACCAACCATTACACCAAATTAACTTTCCCGCTGCGGAAAGATCGACTGTCTAAATACAGTACACATGTGCATGCACGAATTAGAGCACGGTGCGCTGCATCGAAATTGCCCGATGTGCACGATGAAGCGACCCCATCGCGTGTATGCAGCTTAGTCTCACCGTCGCCGTTGCCTGATTGTGGCTGAGGCGGATAAGGCAGACCACAACAAAAAAAGATTAAAGAGTCCTCACCCTCGACCAATGTTTCACATCCTATCCACCGAAAACGAATCGAAAGAAAAAATACGTCTTCGTGACAAAATCGCCTGACACCATGCCTCGCTACATGACAATTCACGATTTGAACAAACCCTCGGTTACCGAGCATTTTACCACCACTTCTTTCCTCAAGCGCGCATACTCTATGCGCAATACGGACTCCACCACTACGCTTCTTCGTCGATTGGGAGTCTGTTTAGTCGTACTTATCGAAGCCATCATCATGCTAACCCTCGATGTTTACCTTCATGAATCGCTTGGGGCCCTGGTGCTCATGTTGATCTTCATACCTTTGTGGCTACTTTTTGTTGTATGGGCGCTGGGGAGGATGGAGCTGGTGACAACTACCATAAGATTTTTCCGGTTGAGACTGGTAAGCGTCCCCTCTGATGGACGCGGATGGGATATAGCGTCGCTGGGGCGCGAGCAAACTAGAGGCTAATCCGTGTCTTTGTGCACTTAACAGACAACCCAGATTTTGAGACGGTTCATATATGCTATGATTGCATTGCATGTTGCGCCATTCGCAGTACTAGTGTTGGACGGTATATTTCGCATATCAGGACGAGGATTTGCGGCAAACGTTGCAGAGTGGAGGTATTATTGGTTCGCAATGCATATGATCATCACCATCGCTGCGAATGTTGTGGGAATGGGTAAAGAGGAAGAATCGTCACTCGTGTGAGAAACAAAACAACGGTAGCTCACGAGTTGTATCTGTGAATAGGGTTGGGTAAAAACTATCGTGGTCCACTCCCGCCTGGTCTGTTTGCGAATCAGGAGAGAATATTGTACCGAGATTTCTATCGTGTTATGAGCATTCACGTTGCTTCCCTCGTAATTCGATGCCGGAGTTTTGGGTTAGCACATAGTACAATAGCATACTTCTGCTCGAGGTCGAGTACAGTCCAAAGCATATTACAAGGCAATCACTGTCGTTTATCTACTACATTGATCTGCAATTCCCTGCTCAAAGCTATGAAACTAGTCCGAATTCTGATCCCGATCCATGACCTTGTTTCCGGCGGACCATAGAAGAGGATATCGTATATAAACAAGATAAACACCGGACTCGATTCCAAGCTGACTAACCTGGCGAGTCTCTAGACAAAAGAAAGTGGAACAACATCTGTGATACCTATTGATTCAATGCAAAGTCGAGAATTTTGCACCCAGATTTGTAAATACCATCGAGCAAATTACGGGGTGTCTCACGTAACTACCTCCAAAAGCCAGCGGCGCAGGTTCGGTCTCCGCAGCATCTCCGTTTCGTCCATAGTAGATGCGTCATGCATTTCCAAACAAAGCTGGAAAGATATCTAAAATCCTTCCTTTTCCCGGCTTTACTAGTCTTGTACAATGAACATTAGGAATCCCTCGTCGTACGATACTGAGGACCCTTAGTAAGGCGCGGTATGTTGGCGTCAATGTCGAAGTGTGATTAGTACGAGAGAACGGAAGTCTTCCGCGCTTAGCAGATCTAACCAATCACAGCTGCGGCGCCAGCATAGCGCCTAGTCCATAATGCTTGATTAGGCGTCCACCATTCAGCCAGGTGTGCGACAACACCTCGTACGGACCATGAACGGGCGGAATGTTGGACAGATGTGATTACGAATATTCGAAATCGGGTCCGCTTTAGGAAAGAGCACCATGTGGTCGCCATCTGCGGCATACTAGATCTCCAAGTGACATAGTAGCGATAGGGCATGCGTTGCGTGATTGCGAATGTTCTGTTGGGGGGGATGGTGCGATGAAGAAGTATATAAAGTCGTCTGTGACCCCATAATAAAGTCATTAAATCATTCAATCATATCTACCAACTTCTCTACGAACTCCAGTCCATCGCACATCAAATCAATCTCATACACAGTGTTACTTTCCTCTCGAGTTCCAACATGTCTCTCAAAAACGTCGCACTTATCGGGGTGAGTTGAGCCCAGTAGCCTGAACTTATGATAGTGAATATCAATTGATTCTAACGAGAGTAGGCCAGCGGAAACCTTGGACCCGCCATCCTTTCCAATCTGGCAGATGCCTCCTTCAACGTCACCATCATTTCTCGCGAAGGATCAGCTTCTACATTCCCGTCCAACTTCAAGGTCGTTCGGGCTGATTTCAGCTCTCATGATTCGCTGGTCGCCGCGTTCAAGGGTCAAGACGTTGTGATCGCTGCGGTTGCCTCCCATGCACTTGATCAGCAGCCTAAGATCGTCGACGCTGCCATCGCCGCTGGCGTGAAGCGCTTCGTTCCCTCTGAGTTCGGCAGCAACACCATCGACCCCAAACTCAACGAGCTTGTCCCAATCTTTGGCCCCAAACTGGCTGCTGTCGACTATTTGAAGAGCAAAGAGGATGCCATCTCCTGGACTGCTTTCATCACCGGCCCATTCTTTGATTGGGGTCTCAAGGTTGGGTTCTTCGGAATCGACGGAAAGACAAAGACTGCGAAGGTGGTTGATGGCGGTAAAGGAAGGTGGAGCGGCACCACTTTGAATACCATCGGTCTCACAGTCGTAAAGAGTCTGCAGAACCCGGAGCTCACGAAGAACCAATATGTCGCCGTTGCTTCTTTTGTAACGACCGCGTCGGATATCATTACCACAGCCGAGAAGTTCTCGGGCGAAAAATGGAGCATTACGGATGATACATCTACGGACGAGCTTGTGAAAAGCGGTAAGGAGAAACTGGGTAAGGGGGATCACAGCGGGGTGGTAGACCTGCTCCGAGCCGGTGCTTTTGGTGGGCATCATTTGGGAGATAGTTCTACTTTGGGATTGTGGAATGAGAAGTTGGGATTGCCGAAGGAGGATTTTGAACAGACCGTCAAAGCTTCTTTGGGCCTGTAGTCACGGTTATTGATATATGCTTGTAAGAACGATAGCGTGGAGTCACAGCAGGAGGAAGTATGGTCAATTGTATACATGCTATTTATAGGCCACAACCGTCCTTTTCTATCTCTAGGTACCTAAATATTGTGGCCATTATCTCCCTGGCGTTACTGAAGTTCCATCCCGACCTTTTTTGTATCCATGAAATGTTGTGAGGTTCAATAAGATTCGAACCGTGACATGAGAACGCCATCCAAACAGCGATAAGGCATTTACTTGCCAGTTGAGTAAAGGTGATCAAGTTTGCTGGTATTGGTATTGCAAGCCCAGAGCCCGTTTCCACATTCGATCGGATGGTTGCGATTGGAAACTCGCGCGTGGCTCCTTCTTGTGGTTGAATTTGTGCAGCAAAGTAGCCGCCATCGATTTAAATCGACCCAACAACTCCGTATTAGCATTCACCCACTCCAGCATAGTGACCTGTTTCAGGGCATCCTCGCAGTACTTTTGGTCATTCCATTTGTTGCCAGCATTGTTCACCGCATCGTGCAAAGAGTCGTTGACATTGGATAGCTTGATAAGGAGGGTCTTCATGTAGGGCTCAGTGAAGGGCATGTGCCTCAAACTCCAGACATCCTGCACTTTTTCTAGCGTCAAGTCAGATGTGAGGTAGTGGTTGACTGCACGGCGCAAGTAAAGGCGTTCATGGTGTCCTGGGGTGACACCTTGTGCTTTGAGTTCTAGGAACGGAGCAATCATGTCTGGGTGGCGCGAGAAATACCGCCTCCTGCTTTCAAAGGTAGAGCCCCACTCTTCGAGGTGCGAGGAGATGATTATGAAATCTGTCATTGTGTGTTCTACCTCCTCAAGAGTGTAGTTCAAGGAGGCTGCTCCTGCCCAGGCTTGGAACAGTTGTGGGCCATCGGGAAATGTGTCTGTGTCGCTCATGGGGAGGTCTTCCACGTGTTCTGGAGCTGTATCGTCTGTGTTTGTATCCGTGGAACGAAACATTTTCGGTTGAGGTTGAGTTGTAGAATCTCACGCGAGTGGAGAAAGCTAAGCACTTACTGCATGGTCTATATACCTAGGTAAGAATCTGATGAGGCCAAACGAGTGAATGATTATTGCCTTGGAGACGCTGTTCTTCAACCCGAGACATTGATCTTCACTTTCCGACATTGTGCGTGCGCAGCGCTACTGAGTATGGAGAGTTGACTTTGAGATCATTCCACTAACACAATGTCTGACAAGCTGTTCGTACCTTATGAAAAGCAACCGTCATAACGCAATCCCAAGCTTCTGAATATACTGCGGTGAGCATATTAGCATGAGCTACTCATACGCATTCACAGTTTTGGACCCCCGATTTTGATCCATATACTGTCCGCCTGTGCAAGCGTAACTCCACTCCCATCTTTCATGACAGCTCTCATCTTCAACCTGGAATTCTGTTTTTCCCGCATTGTGACCTCGATGCCGACCAGACCGGGACACAACACAGGCTTCAGAAGCTTGACATCTAGATGTGCCGTGACAAAAGATCCCTCAAGTATATTTTCAAGTGGTAGTCCGTGATCGATGGCATGTCTATGCACCTTGTTTCGTATCCGATTCCATTCATCGATATCTTTTCCAGCAGTTGCGGCTTCGTTCGCGCTCATGGCCCAAGTGAACGCTTCATCGATCATCGTGAGAATAGCGCCGCCATGGCATATTGTAGGGAACCCCGTCAGGCCGGCGCCGAATTTACACAACGACACAGTCCGGATCGCGTCGTTCGACCCTGCCGTTGGCCGCTGCGACAGTTCGAGCCAAAGCCGCATCCCATCGTTCGAGCTCAATGTATCTCGGGGAAAGCGATCGGGGGTGGGGTCCGTTGGAGAACCTCGAAATCGCTTGCGGACGGTCCAATCCGGGGAGCTCAAGAGAGGAATTGCCCACTCGAGGGGCGCGAAGGCTTCGAGGTGCGCTGCATGGGCGGCCATTTTCTAGAGGGTCATAGTACCTATGATGTTGATGTGATAGCTACCGAGTCCGAACAGTGTCGCTCGACGAGTTAATATGAGCCAAGAATTAGCCGCATTCTGTACGAAGGTCATACATGCAGGTGCTGCCGTGTTGTTGATAGTGAGTTTGATTGATTGGACGACAGTAACGATCCGCTCTTCTGCAAAACAGCAGTGATGCTTCGATAGAGCATCATTCAATACGATGTCGCAGTGATGATACGACGCGAATCGTCACTTTTGTGAAGGGTTCGGAGACCTCGTATGCACAGCGGCGCTTATTATCCGACTTTCACGTTCCCAGGAGAGACAGCGGAACCTGGCGATGTTGGAGCTCGGATGAATTCCGGCTTTTGTCTCCCAATCGGTCTCAGGCGTTCCGTTTCACCCTTCAAAAACACCAATCTCGAGCAGCCAATATCAGCCATTACATAGAGGGACTCAGTCCTCGCGATCTACAATGAATTTCGATTGATGTGTCGATGCATCTCGGGTCTCCGCCGTCTATCCTCATGGAAGCCGTGCACGGGAGAGCTAAGCCCCCGCCATTCCACAGGATTCAGGAGCAACATCTGCTTTCTGTCTAGCAAAGAGTCAGGGACTTGTAGCAGAATGATCGCAATGGCTCAGGAGGGGTCTTTCGCAATGCCAAAATCTGAGTTTTGGCATGCTGACCGACCGCCTGGTGCGTGCGGCGCAGCGTGTGTGCTACACTACCGCAAACTACTAAACAATGACATAGCCGGATGCTCTTCTTACTTTTTCTCTCATTCCTTTTGATCTTTTTGATTCTTTCCCAATCATCTGTGTAATTTGATTCATTGCCTGGCCTGCACAACTAGCTTTTGTGCAATTCCTACAGCGCAGCCCCAGCAATGCCTCCTAAGAAGTCCGTCGCAATACCCGTTCGCAGTGACGGGTTGGCCGGCGAAAAGGTCATTGTCACTGGTGAAGTCAAAGGCCAGACTCGCAGTTCTGCTGCGCAAGTTTTGAAGGATGCCGGTGCGACGATTGAGAAGAGCCTCAACAAGAAAGTGACGCTCCTGGTGGTTGGAGAGAAGCCAGGCGAAGAGAAGGTGGGATTGCACCCCGGTGCTATAACTTGGTGTTAACAATCATAGCTCGCAAAAGCCGAAGATCTTGGATGCAAAGTGGTAACATGGGATGAAGTGATGGATGACATCAAGAAAGGAGGAAACGACGATGATGCGGAAGAGACTGAAGATGAGGAAGAAGAATCCGAGGTCGAAAAGGCGAGTGAACACCGCCAGCACCCCCTTCACAACATTCCCTCGATACAACCCAAAACTCGAATTTTTCTTGATTTATCACGCGTCGACTAATTGATGATCAGCCAAAGCCCAAATCGACCAAGGCAACTCAAAAGAGTACAGCGAAAACAGCACCTAAAGCTGCTACCAAAACCGCCTCCGCAAAAGCAGCCCCCAAATCCTCAGCCAAACCCGCAGCCAAATCTAAAACTCAATCTAAATCTTCAGTCTTATTGGATGGCAAGACAGTTATCGTCACTGGTACTGTACCTGGACACGAACGCAAGGAAGTCTCAAGTATACTGGAAGATGCTGGAGCAACCGTTGCCAAGTCTTTAAACAAGTCTGTCGAGGTATGTTCAATTCAGCACGTCGAGACCGTGCATTATCTTTTGCGTCGAGCCCTCGACATTCCAATCATGAGTTACCTTTTGAATTCTGCTAACATTACCTGCGATATAAGCTTGTCATTATCGGTGTGAAGCCTGGACCCGACAAGTTGAAGAAGATTAACGACATGGGCATTGAAACCATCGAATGGGACCAAGTAGCCGACGAGCTCGGTCTTGAGGTTGCACCCCAGGTAAAAATCGCTGAAGTTAAGCCTGGAAAAGCACCAGGATCTATCGATGGGATGACCCTGCTCATCACGGGTGAGATTGATGGGTACGTATCAAGGTCCAATCTCCAGTGATGAAAAGTAGCATTTTTATCATGGCTTTACTGACTATGACGCTTCAGACATACGCGATCATCGGCGCAGAAAGTGCTAGCGAAAGAGGGGGCAAAGTTCGCGAAATCGCTCACAAATGCTGTTGAGATGGTTGTTCTGGTACGTTCATAAATCTTCGAAGGAGAGTCTCTGCTGACGATTGTAGGGGGTTAACCCTGGCCCGGATAAACTAGAGTCAATTAAGAAGAAGGGGATTGAGACTTGCAATTGGGACGACTTAGTCAAAGAGCTGGGTATAGAGGATGGTGCACCGCCAAAGAAGAAGGCGAGGAAGAGCTAGTTGCGTAGCTTCTCGTGGGAACGAGAGGCCTGACCACAACAAATTCACGTGATCCTCTCTGTTGGTCTCCCTATATATTGACGGTCCCTCGATATAATTCGGGTGTCTGAAGAGTAAAATGGGTGAATAACCTGATTTCTGTTGTTCTAGGTACACTCGAAATCTTCGCAGTTTGTTGGTGTATGCTCAATTTAATACGTCCCAGAAGCAACAAGGCCAGGTCCGACCCCAATACAGAGGGTGCCAATTTCAAGCTACCTTAATAACCACGTTTCCCACAGCTCCACCCTTTTGCAACATGTGAAAGGCATCGATCGCCTGGTCAAACTCGAAGGTCTTCGCAACAAGAGGCTTGATCCCATTCTCACCGACAAATTTTACCATCTCGTCTACGCAAACCTTGTTAAACGCCACGCATCCTTTCACTATAGTCTGTTAGTGTATACAAGCGGGATACACATCGAATGCAAACTTACCAATCTTTCCCCCAAACAAAACCGCTGGAACAACCTCTTCAGGCAGCTTTGCCGCACCGGTAAGAATACCAATCAAACTGATAAGACCGCCCGGACGGGTGCTGGTGATTGACTTGAGGAGCGTTTTCGCACCGGCAACTTCGATAACCTGGTCAACTCCCTTCCCATCCGTCAATCGCAGCACTTCAACATCCCAATCTTCAACCTTGCTATAGTTGATCAGATGCGTAGCACCCAACTCCCTCGCGATCTCCAACTTCTCGTCAGAAGACGAAGTCGCAATAACAGTTGCCCCAAGAGCCACCGCGAACTAACCCAAGACTCATCATCAGCACAGCACTTCAATCTAATACCACGTCCCAAAAACCACACGAAGGAACGGAAAAGAACATACCTGTATAGCAAAACAACTAACCCCCCCAGTCCCCATCGTCAACACCGTCTTCCCCTTCAACTTCTTCTCCGTCCAACCCCCACTCCACCCCTCAACCACTCCATCGAACCTCCCATCCATCCCCTCCCTCAACGCACTCCAAGCCGTTCCCCCCGCCGTAATCAAACTAGCCCACTGCCCATCACTGATCCCATTCTCGTCATCACCAACCTCCACAATCTTCTCGTCTCCGACAACCATAAACTCCCTCAATGTGCCCTGCGTCTCGAACCCTCCGTGTACCTTGCTGAGATCTAGATTGCGAACATCGCCATCGAGCCATAGATTCGAATGAAGTACTACGCGGACGCCTTCTTTGCCGTGCCAGCGGGAGGTAGGATGCGTAGAGTAGATGACGCCGGCGCCGTCGGAGCAGGGGGTTAGGTTTGCGGCGTGCGCGCCTGGGTACTCTGGGGAGCGCGAGGCGATGAGAAGGTCGCGGAAGTTGAGGGAGACGGCTGTCACGCGGATGAGAACTTGTGAAGGGCCTGGAGTGGGAGTTGGGAGGGTGGATTTCTCGAGGGATGAGGGGGCTGTTGCTGTTGCAGGGATTGTGTAGGCTGTTTGGGTTGGGGGTGGGGAAGGCATTGCTTTGGATTTCTTGGAGTGTGTGGATGGATAAGATTGGAGGGTTTGGTGTGGGATAGAGAAGTGGTGAAGATGAAGTCGAGCTCTTTGGGTATTTGTAAGCTTTATTGAAGGTGGGGTTTGGAGCTGCTGGGTGATCTTGTGAAAAAGAGCAGCTTTCGATTCTTTTATACGCTGTGCCGATACGATGGATCGCTATTGATTTTACCTATTATATAACATCTCTCACTAAACATCGATGTCTTTCTTTGGATGTGATTGCTAAGCGCTCGTTCGTCGATTCTTGGCAGACCAGGTGAGGTCAAGGTGGAGGATGGATCTACTATGTAAGTATGCTGTTTAGGAAAACAGTTCTGCAGTCCACATCCCATGAGCCAATGAGAGTCGCCTTCAAAGGCTGGATGTTTACTTATTGAGTAGTAAGCGCATAGTTCAGGTGAGTTGTCTCTCACGGGAACGGATTATTCGGATGATAAAGCCCGTGCGCCCACCATACAATTCCTTACTTCTATAAGCAATTTACGCTTATTTACAGCTTTATTTTTTTAGTTTCTTATAGTATGCTAATACTACTTGTAGTATTAAGCTACCAGTTTAAGCATATTTCAAGTGTTTTTGCATTGAGCATGGTCGGCGCTTATTATCCGGCTTTCACGTTCCCAGGAGAGAGTTGCCTGCACCCTCGCCTGCAAGCTTGTAGGGCGTGGGTCATGCACGCTGTCCACCGCACTAAACTGGGTATACGTTAGCTCTCTGTTGTGCCGTGATATTGGTGAATATCACAATACTGAACGCTTCCTTCCGAGCAAGTGAAATGATAGTCTTTCACTATTTTGCCGAGAAAGTCATCAACAAAGACGTGCACGTAATATGAGAAGCGAAAAGAATTTTAGATTCAGAAAATCGATCTCTCGGTGCTAACTTGATGGCGACATAGATGTGCAACATATGCGCTGCCCATCGAAAACCCTATTCGGAGGCAGCAGAAATATCCCAACCAGAGGAGAGACCAGCCGACAGAACATGAGTTTCGTAACCCTAGAGGCAAAAAAGAACGGAACAACAGGACGTGGGAAGGCATTGAGCAAGATAAAGAAGAGGGAATTAGAATGAAACCGAGCTCTGATGAAGCTGTGAACGCCGTCGCTATGCATGCAAATCGAACCAAAGCAGGAAGTTTTAGGTAATCCTTCTTTCCGGTGATAACAAAATGGAATGAGTTACACTATGATTTTACACCCAGTTGTTTGCGGGTGTTCTGCTTGGCCCGGGATGTTGCGCACCAGGTGTGAATGCACGATACCCGCCTGGTGGGCCGGCGTTAGCCTGCTGTGAAGAGTCATAAGACTGCTGGCCAGGATAAGCAGGAGCTGGAGAATCGCTCTTTGGTGGCCCAGATGGTGGTTGACCCGCTGTGAGGGCACTCGGAAGAGCGGGAGGAGTGTATTCGGTGTTTTGTACGGGGGATGGAGACGCGTTCATTGGCTCTCGAGAAGCGGAAGCGGGGGTGTATGATCTAGGTACGCTGTAGTTGTTGACTGCAGGCATACTCATTGGATCTTGACCACGAGCAGGGTAGGCATTAGCATACGGGTTGCTCTGTCCATAGCTATCCACGGGACTTGGCTGGCGATACTGTTGTTGCTGTTGCTGCTGTTGAGGGTAGTTGGGAGCAGGCGATCCGCGATCGTAATATCGATCCTGCTGTGCGTAACCCCCTCCTCCGCCGTAGACTGGCGAACCTGAATGCACAGGCGAGACGTCGCCATATCGAGCTGGAGGCTGGCCATAGTTGCCTTGTTGTTGTCCGTATGGTCCGTTTTGTGGAGGTGGGCTGGTATGAGGACCACGTTGTGGTGAACCATTGACAAAAGAGTCATTTTGATATCCTGCAGGGAAACCGTAGGAATCCTGCGTTTGTGTTCTTTGCACGGGCGAGCGTCTTGGTCCAGGTGATCCACGATATCCGCCAACGGCTGCAGCTGCCGTCATTGAGTTACCTGTGACACTTCCGTTGTGATTCAATCTGTCAAGCTCCACATCGTTGGGCTTCTCCGGTACATTTACCTCCTCTTCCACGTGTATGGTCTTTGATTCATTCCAGCTAGGCATAGGGGGCAGAGAATCTGCATTGGTAGGCTTCGAGCTCACGTCGAAATGAGCGTATTCGGGTTCTTCAGGTTTCGGTTTGGGTTGGTTGTGCGGCGAAGGCTGGGGATTGAAGATGGGGATCTTAGGGCCGGACGGCGCGGGGTGGAAAGCGGGAGTTTCGTGCGAGCGATACTGATCGTGAAGTGGACCAGGAGCAGGTGGATATGCTGCTTGTGGATAGCCTGACTGTGGATATCCAGATTGGTTGTATGGATCGCTCTTCATGCGCTTGTGCTTGTCGCGTCCCCCTGAGGGACAGCAGCAAGAGCAGCATTTGCAACAACATGAGCAGATTTCAACACCACAGCAAATGCATCGCGCGACGCAGATGACAATAGTGAGAACAATAAGAGAGCCGACGATGATGGCGGCAATAACAGGCCATCTGTCAAGCTGTTAGTTTTTGCGGTGCGGATGGTCGAGGGAGGTGGACTTTCTTGCAATATGCTTTGGCCATACATTTGTCCCAACTGCTGAGCGTGTCCTTGACACTGTCCAGGGGATTTTGCCGGACGAACAGTGAAGGCATGATGGGTATGTAGGTCATGGTGGTGAAGGAATGCGCAGAGTTAGAGCCTCAGGAGAGTTGATTCAGGGAGTCTCTCGCCGGAGAGACTGGGCGACGAGGCTGAGTCGGAACGCCTCTGTCGGAGTGGAACTAGTTCGCAGGTGGATCGGGGTGTGTGTGAGTAAGACAGGTGGTGTCAAATCTCCTGTCACCATAGTCGTGACACGGTGGACGAGGGATGGAAGTATGTAGGGCGTAGGTAGGTAAAGTAAAGAGTGTCGGGAGCGGTGGATTGGCGGTGGGTGGGTTGAAACACGAGATCATCCAAACGTTGCAGACCCCATGCATACACCCGTGGGCCCGCATCCGACCCCCATGTTCCTTTTTAGATGAATATTGCTCCAAGTATGATGTGCCCAGCCTCGTCTGCCGTGCGCGGCCAGGGTGGCTGAGTGCTGCATTAGAAACGTCGGAGGATTGGGTGAAGCGTGGAGACGTGGGCCATTCTGCCGAACAATGCCCAACCACCAACCATCACCGCTCTCACACAAAGTACCCCTGTACATCATTTACGTCCACACAGCTCCACAGTATTTTCTTTTCCCCTTCTATTGCCAAGTTTTGCACTTTTCTCGAAGCCACCATTGTGCGTCGCGTCGCGTTACGCATTCACGGCAAGGCTGCATGTATTGATTGAATGGGCTAACCCTCTATCGCCGGTGAGTATCCCGAAGTGAACACATCATCCATCTGTCAATGAACCACGTCGGGCGTCTGTCCTGTCCAAGTACTTGTCGATGATTTCATCTACCTTCCATCTTCATGCGAAGTTTCGACCAAGGTTTTGAGCCTATTTCTGGCTGGTGAACCACACGTGCAGTGTTTTGAAGCTCAATCACGTGTTCGATGGATCGCCAGCTTTTGACGTCTCAACCTTCATCTTTCTTGGGACCCCGGAAGAAATCTGCTTCATGTACGTCACAAACAGAATAGTTGGAACCGAGTTGGACCCCAAAGATAGACAGAAGATAAGGCGATTTCCCACTTCCAAACTCCTGCCGAGGAAGACGAGCACCAGGGTTTAAGCTCCTGCAATCACACCGAAAGCGCCTTGTTAGTTGACGTAGGGGATTTCTCGGGCTGAATGCGGAGTTCTTCACCACAAGTGAACTCTTGCAACGAACTCGTTGCCCCATCAAGGCTGGTTAGTTACGAAAGTCACCGGGAACAGTTTTTCGATTCATTAGTTGCAGTGCTGCGGTCACTTTTTCAATGTTCCCACATTCATTCAAAATGTTGTATCCCGCATGTAACCAATCACATGTCCTACTATGCTTCCCTAGTGGGTAGGCACAGCCCTGTTCTATACACCGCAAGATACCGATGGAATACTGAACACGACTTACCCATCTCGTTTTGCGGAACCACCTTACGCGTCTTCAAAAAACTGGCAAAGTGGGAGTCCGTCATGAAATCCGCGTGTCCTTTTCCTGCAAATATCATCGAGCACACAATACCAACTAGGTACACCCGCTGACCATACTGATTAACAATGTGATTCGACGCATCTGTAGAAACGCAGAACAGCAATTGAGTATCTCGAACCCTCCTGCCGATACTAGGGAATCCTGTACCACCCGGAACTCTCCAATACCGCGCCAGTTTTGCATTTGAGGCAGAGGTGATTGCAAGATGACTTAGAACTTCGCTCCCACGTACATAAGCCTCTGGAATGTATCGCTCGTCGACACATGCGCTAATGTTGCGGGATAAAGTATCAGCAGAAATGTTATCACTGTCTCCTTTGGGCTGATCAGAGGAAGCAATAAATCAAAAGCGCCCTCACACATCCAGAACAGCATGATCGCTCTCTTAGTGCGTGGGCTCTGCCCTCGAGCAAACCTGTATAACTGCTACTCTGCGAAGGCGGTAAAGATATCAAGGATAGTGCACCCAAAGCGAGTTCTACAGCCATCATTACGCTAGCAAACTATTGCAAAAGTGGAGCCTTCTGATGGATGATAACTTCTATGCATTCTATTTGTATCGGAGTTAACATATGCTCTTCGATAATGGAGCTCGGTAGATTGCTAGAGTGCCGTATCCTATTGCGATTCTGCCGAGATTGACCACAACCTTCAAAGTGGCAACAACGACTTATGGCATTTTGGATATTTTGCATAGAAGTTTATGCATAAAATTACCTATTCACTGGTACGTTCGTTAACCAAGATGCCTGTTCCACTAGTTCTTGACTGGAGTGACGATGCCACTACTAGACACCGAATATAACAAACAAGCACGTCCCTAAAACATAACAGAACTGCATAGGAAGTAACCTTCGATGTCACCTCATCAACACACGTTGATCGTGACACACCGTGGCTTTGATGATGGTGGCAGGGATTCCATTCCCGGCGTGCGGAAGTCTAGTCTGTCGACGCGCCAATTGATCCGGATTCGAAGATCGATCTCGTCGAAGGGTTTTGCATCGGCCCTCACTGAAGTATACAAAACTCAGACTGTACCGTCAGGGACGCTCGACACTACCCAGAAAAACCTCCCAATAGAGGGCCATGAAAGTTATTCGCCACTCCCGACCCACACGAAATTGTACCACGAAAATCGTTTGCTCTCAAACAAGAGCTGATAGATCTCCTAGCACGCGAGACCAAACTCGGACTCCCTGGCTGTTGTCCGTAGCGACTAACCCCAGAAAAAATCGCCGAGCATGCAAATCAGTAAGAACATTTTAAAGCTATACAGTAGCTAAAAGCGTTTTCCAACAGTGCACTGAGCGTGGATCCGGGTGGGTGGGTTCCCGCCGACCATTGGGATGCAGGGGAAGAGAAAAATACGAGATTATTTAGCCAGCGGGCAAAAGATACCAACAAAACTCCAGTTAGCGAAGATAGTGAACATTGGCGTACGCATCTCTTACCTATCAAGAGGTCGGTACCCCGCATAAAGGGAAGTCAATTGTTCCAGAGAGTACACGATCTTACTCCTGATTGATAGAAGGTGTTGGCCTGTTGTGTACCGTTATGAAATATTGACCTGTCCCCACTAAGATTTTCACAAAGACGTGCAGGACACCTGCCCGAGACCTTTGCCCTCGCGAATGTATATGTTGCACACGCCCACCAAGCGACTCCCTCAGATTTGACTAGCAAGTAGTAATTGTCGGAAAGACACCTCGATGTGCTCGACGTGTTTCCGCTGGCATGATTAAAGTGGTTGGTAGCACGCGAAGAGTGTACGCTTCATACATTTTGGAGCCAAGTTCTCATAGGAAGGTCACATACCGTTACTATCCGTCTGAGAACTCGACCTGATACCTACCTCTGTCATGGCTGCTATTGCTTTGAGCCAATCTTTTACATCCAGCCGGATCTGACGATCGTTTTGAGTTGCAAATGAGGACTTTTTACAGTTGCCGATCTACAAAAGTCATTCAGGGATGTACGGTGAGCGAAACTTGATAGATTGCCAACTACCCGTGAAAGGCAGGGCTCTGCACAGGATTAACAACTACAGAACCGAAGGCTGCATCGCTGAATTCAGCACCCGCGGGACAGCTCGAGTCGCGATATCTGATTGGAGGTTGGGGAAGAAATGTTGGCGTCTTTCATCATCAAAGGTTGCCTTCTTGTGATTGCTATGCAGGGATCGGACAATCGTAGAAGCGGGGTAGTTCAAGCTCTTGCTCTCCGACTGGATCTGTATATACCGATTCCGTGACAGTCTATCGTGTGCACGGTGTTGCTTGAGTCTCGTATCGTATGTAGACCCAAAAAAAAAAACTCGGAGTATTTTTCAGGATTCCAATATCTGATTCTCAACGAGAACGTTGCCAGAAGGCAAACGGTGAATTTCCACCCTGCATTGGGGTCTTATCTGCCCTGACCTCGTGTTGCGGTATTTTGCCGCAAGCTCAAGTAAAACACAAGCGGTCATCGTTGCAGTGGTCGAAAACAAAGGAGGACGAGTATGTCCGCTCCTTTCAACAAAGCTGCCTCTTCCAACTGCTCTATTTCTGGAATATTTACTCTTGGCAACTGGTTTCTACTGTCAGCGTCTTCATAAGTAGCCATGCGGTAATTGATTTCCGTCCTTGAGCAACTTACACAGACTACACCTTCGTCGTTGTAGGTAAAACTTCCTCTCGCACCTCTCCGCACTGTCTGCGCTATCGTCCATCAAGTCTATAACAGTACCTATGGAAACCACATATAACTACGTCATTATCGGCGGTGGAACTGCTGGTTTGGTGCTAGCGAACCGTCTCTCAGAAGATCGTGCCATCACAGTAGCGGTTCTAGAAGCTGGTGTTGATACCACCGCCGATCCCAGGACGGTTGTTCCCGCCTTGTTTAATTCAGCCTTGACCGGTGAGCTAGACTGGAATCTTGCCACAGTACCCCAGGTAATTCTTCGACCCCCACAAACTTCCGTTTATGCCCCGTAGCTTTGAAGTGATTCAGACTGCTAATGATATCAGAGTCGCCTAGATGGTCGACGCATTGGACATCATCAAGGAAAAGCTCTTGGGGGAAGCAGCGCCATCAATCTTCAAGCTCTGGTTCCTTTCAGTGCTAATGATGTAGATGCGTGGGAGTCGTTGGTGGGGAACGAAGGGTGGAATTATGCTTCACTTTCAGGGTATCGTGACAAAGCTATCAGCGTCGATCTTCCTGATGCCAAAACGTCTTCTGCGCTAAATCTATCTTGGGCTTCCCAATGGTGGGTCTACTATTTCTGTTCTATCTCTTGGTATTCTCGTTCCTCACAGCAGAACGTCCGTGACAAGATACTGTACTAAATATGCTGCTATTTAGGGCTGCAGAAACAGCAGGTCCGGTGCAATCTTCTTGGGTGGATGTACCAGAAAACCCTATTCTGCAAGCATGGAACAGCGCGTTCGAATCGCTCGGCTACCCTCTCACTGCGTCTCCGTTTTCCGGGAAATCTACAGGAAGCTTTACCGCACCTTCGACTGTCGAGGCTACATCCAAAACTCGGTCTTATGCGGCATCAGCTTACTATCTACCCGCAGCCGACCGAGAAAATTTGCATGTCATCACGAAAGCGCTGGTAAGTAAGATCAATCTGGAAGATCGAGGCGGCAATCAAACCGCCACCGGGGTGACGTATACGCGCGAAGGTTCGACAGAAACGATCCTAGCGAATAAAGAGATTATTCTCAGCGCTGGAGCCTTTGATTCTCCCAAAGTTTTGGAGCTCAGTGGAATTGGTGACCCGGAAGTGTTAAAAGCCGCAGGCGTCGACACTATAGTGGAGAACAAGTATGTTGGCTCCAACTTGCAGGATCACATCCAAGTACCGATGAGTTTCGAGGTTGTGGATGGATTTCCTACGGGTGACGATATTTTGAGGGGCGACCCAGAAGCGATTGCAGTTGCCCAGGCACAGTATGCGGAGACACAGTCTGGCCCTTTTGCGAATCCCGGAGTCACGAATTTCGCATATCTCCCTACAGTCGACTTCGAAAATAATGCTACTGAAAAATCACGGGCTCTAGCTGAACTCAGGACGGCGGAGCTAGTGCATCCCCTTGATGCCGCTCGTAAACAGCTACTCGAGGATTTGCTTGAAAGGGGAGATGAAGGCACTGGGCAATACTTCCTCTTCACGGCACAATCATATAAAGCTGGCAGGGATACGACACACGGCTTGGTACCTGAACCTCAGGCTGGCAGCTTCATCACACCATGTGTTGGGCTCTCGCACCCTCTCTCGACCGGCACCGTTCATATCAGTTCATCAGACGTGAATATTCCCCCAACTATCGACCACAACTATCTTTCGCATCCATTGGACCTCGAACTCCACTCACGTCATGCCAGGTACCTTGAAACTATTGCCGAAGCCCCACCATTGGTGGCTTTCCTGAAACCAAATGGGGCGCGAAACGATCCTCTTGCGTTTGTTGGTGGAAGTCTTGTTAAGGCGAAAAGATATGCAAAGGCAGCTTCGGGCTCGAATTGGCATTCCGTGGGCACTGTAGCTATGGCACCTCGAGAGAAAGGTGGCGTCGTGGATTCTTCACTTAGGGTCTATGGTGTTTCGAACCTGAGGGTGGTTGATGCTAGTGTTTTTCCATTGGTTCCGCAGAGCAACACCCAAAGTCTTGTCTATGCAGTCGCGGAACGTGCGGCAGACCTAATCAAGAAGGGTTAGGATTCTATCTCAAGGACCGTTAAGGCCAGCAAAATCGATACGCGTAGTTCAGATCTTCGGTAGGAAAGCACTATAAATTCTGCACTCAGGTATGACAAGTCGGTTTCTTAACGACATGAGATGTACACGAAAGAGTCGGTCCGAGGGCATATACTTGCAGCGAGCGACATGGTCTTCCGTGTTATTATCGGTGTTGGGCTAGCAAGATACAATCGCCTAGTAACAACAATCCAGATGCTACCGTCCTATCACTGGTAAGCGCTGGCGTTCGAGTATATCCAATACCTAACATGCATCTTCATCACTTCTTTCGGGCCTCGGAGGAACTTTTGAAAAGCCGTTCAAGGTACCGGCGTGCTCGGTGCCGTGGAATCTTTTCCTCCTTTGATACAGCCTTTTCTACTGTTCTCTCCACCAAATTCTTTGATTCGGGCTTGTGAGACAAACCGTTATCTGAACCTGGTGTCCCGACCCAGTAATCTTCCTCCTTTGCACCCATCATCTCCAAATCTTTTATCAACACTTGTATCATGTCCCTCATTTCTTCAAAATTGTCGCGTTCACCTGCTTCCTCACGAAGAACAGTCAAAACGCTTCTTCGATGACAGTACACCGCGATGGACGTATTACTTCTCAAGCCTCCTTCTCCTGGTTGGTGGAATCGTTCCATTGTCTCAGTGTATGAATGTGGGTCTGAGCCGTATTTCAGGAGTAGTTTGAGAATTGAGACCCATTCCAAACGTTGCCTATTGGGTTCATCCGTTTGGTTTGAAGAAAACCCGAGATTTGAAACCCATTCCACACGCTCGCTGTAGGCTTCGTTTATCTGATTTGGAAAAAGACCTCTGGGCCTATACAAAGCGTTTTGCCAGGGACTGAATCCATCGAACTTTTCATTTGGATCAGCGCCGTGTTTAAGCAGGATTTCTACAATCGAAGCGTTCACAGCGTCTGTACGTGGTACATGCCCAACATTAAGTTTAAACGATCGACATGCGTAGTCTAACAAGGGACGGCCACGTTTCTGCGGTAGGACATTGCCATTTTCTTCTAGTTTCGCTTTGACATAATGGAATAGCCCGTGTCGGATCGTGAAAGCCAGGAATGTGTCATGCCATGGGGTTGGTCTGGGATCGGTATCCATGCTATCACACCAAGTAACATGCGGATTAAATTGAGATTTGAACATTCCGAACTCTTCCCACGTGAATCTGTAGCGAACAGACATGACACGATCGAGCTCATCCAGAATCTTGTAGTACGCTTTACTAGTTGTCTGCGATGTTCTGGCATAGAAAATCACGCCATTCACAAGTTTCCTCTCCGCACTCATCTGCCAAATTCTTCGGGCAGGAGAGAGGCATTTAAGGCGCAAGACAACTGAAAGCATGATCGAGAGGCACGGATCAAAATTGGTCCCTTGCGTATTGTTGACCAGAGATTCCCATATATGATCCTTCCTGAGCCAGTCCGCCACAGTTCGATGAAGATAGTGTAGCTCCTTTTCGATGCCTTCTTTGATTGTTCGATCGGTTGTTGATCCATTGGCCTCCGGGTCTGAATTTGAAATGTCAGACGGACGCATCTCCAGAAGTCCAGCGCAACGGCTTCGTAATCTGCCCTCGATCTCCTTCGATCTTTTTTGATTTTCCAAATCGGATGTTGGGGTAATTGGTGCCTCTAGTGTCTTCTGAAGACTATACTCAGTGAAGTACATACCCAAAGCTGTTAGTGGACAGATGCCGGGCCTTGTGTCAGTGGCAGTAATATCTGATATCTCATTGTAACGAGCAATCTGAAACATCTGAGATGACTGCTGCTTGTATTCCATAGGTATCTGGTTCAGCATGCGCTGGAAAAGCTGTTCAAGATCCCGAGGAATAGCCTTAAGCCTTGCACGTAAATCCTCGAGAAGATCAAAGTTTTGAAGTCCTTCCAAGAGTGAGTCAACGGCTAGTTTAACCCATAGGAAAACTCCCGACGCTGCCGACAAGATTTCAGATCTCAACATTCCGATACCGATGGGATCATCTTGCGACAGCTCTACAACTCTCGGGTGACTGCCCAATCTGTCGGCGATGTAAATCTCGATGTCATGCTTAGTCAAGTCCTGAAGACGAAGTTTTGGACAGTCAGAAAACGCTGCTTCAAATGCGGAGAGTGGTCTGCTAGAAAGTATCGCCTTGATGTTGCTTGATTCACTGGTGGTGAGGAACAGGTCCGCTAGTTCAGTATATGAAGCGTCTGTGGGCTGAAATTCGTCTAGTCCATCGATTACAAGTGCGATTTCAAGCGGGGTAACTGATTGGGTCGTAAGATTCAAGAAAGCGCGACGAAGCTGGTGGAAAGTGGGAAAAGATTCCCAGTTCGAATCTGTTTGGTAGAGATCTGGAAAGAGTATCGGCCCAAGCTCAGGTTCTTGGTATAGTGCTTCAGCGATTAGAGTTCGAAAGAGGCCTTCCTGTGACTTTTGAATGGCATCACCAGGGTTCCAGAAATAAAAGGACGTGATTATCAACGGTACATTTCCTGCCCATAACTCCAAGGCTTGTCTTAGCCTTCGATCCTGCATCAAATATTTCATCAGCGTCGATTTTCCGGAACCAGCTTTTCCGCTAATCCAGAAAACCCCTGTTTTTGAAAGAAGCCATTGACTGAAATTGGACCACTGTGCGTCTGCTTGGGTCTCTTGGAATATCCAATCGAAAGTCCTCTTGTGAGCTGGTTTGATGATATCGTATCGGTCCATCTTTTTGGGAAATTCAAGCCTGGTCGTAATTCTCCGATGTATTGCTTCTTTACTGAAACGCTCGTCATCGACAGGAACTATGCTCGTGCCATGTGAGAGACCACCACCTATCTTAGCTATCACCTCCTCGTGTCTCCTGATTGCTGCTAGTTCTCTTGCATGTTCCCTCCTAATTGACTCGTGCGTCTGTGCAGAAATGATATCAGCAAGATCAGACTTCCCTTGAAGAATGGCTTGCACAATTATCTGAGTGCTGTGATCAAATGATTGTAAAGTAGTTGCCATGCTCAACTCATTCTTGTCCACCTTCTCCACCATGGACACTAGAATGCGAAACTGTACTTCCCCACGAATATACTCCAAACGCTGCATTATCTCGTCGATCTTGGACTTATTCCACATGGTCGAAACTGCTTGCTTGAAGCTCTTAAAGATAGTGGCCTCTCCTTTGCGTCGGACCCGTAATAGTACGCGATTTAACTCCCCAACAATCTTCGCGATTTCATCTGCAAGAGTTTCTAAAGCTTGATTTTCCTTCGCAAGAGGACCCGACACGGACTGGTCTGGGCGCGCCCAAGACTTGATTTTGTCGTTCATGGAGCTGAGGTCGTCTGCGATCAAGGTGAACTCCGAGTTCTGCACGGTAGAGCCATCTTGGTACAGCTGCTGGCCCGTCGAAAGTAATCTTGTTGAAAAGTCTATGATCTGTAGAATTCCTGCTGCTAGCCCAAAGGCTGAGAGAGGCTCCATGTTGTAGGTGTGGCATCGGTCTGGCAGGAAGATGGCGGGGCTGAATTCATTCCATGCGCGGTTTAGCCTCAGGCCGCATCACCAGCTCGTATACTCATCTCGCCACCCGCCACTGAAAATTGCGCAAGCGTAAGCATACGATTGGCAGAGAACAATCAGTCTCTGTATAATAATAAGAGATAGATGATGCGCAAAGGATGACGAGTTTTTGAGTCGATGTTGGTGATTGAGCTGTAGTTATTCTAGGTCTCAGACCCCGGCTACACATATTTGAGATTCGAACATTTTGATGACTCAGCGTGTATTACGTGTCGTAACACGTGAGGCGCTCGCATGTACACCTGGGCATGTGTGTATAAGCATCAAATGTATCTCCCTGGGCGAGTATTTCAAGGTACTCAGATTAGATTTGAATGTGTATTACAAAGGTAATATCTGAATATTATGCAGTCATTTGTAATCTACAGTGTCAGTCTTAGGATTCGGAATCATGTCGTATCTGGGCTATTGTGATGAGAACATGTGAAGCATGATTCGAAATCTGCAGGCATTGCTCTATTGTACGGCGTACGTTACATCTTCAAAGATTGTTTCGAGGAGTGGAGCTGTCCACAAGTACAGGATTTCGAGTTGCACTATCCATGTCCAAATTTCGAGTAACAGCCCTGGAACTTGATCGTTGGAGTAGAACCTCACGTGGTATTATTTTGGTGAAAACTTGAAAATGAAAGAAGAAAATACATGCTATCGAGTCTTAGCAGCTTCAAGAACGCCACCTGGCTTAGTCGCTGAGATTGCAACATATCGCCACTGCCCATGACCCTGATAGGATTGCACGCCGGCCACGGTGTTGATGAAATACCGCTCAAGGTGAAGGAAAGTGATGATGAGGTACGGAATGTAAGCGATGACAAAGAACAGCCTGGTCATTGGCCTGATGTTCTCAGAAAAGTCTCGGACAACAACATCTGTAAATCCAGCATCCTCAAACATTGCCTGAAACACGCCGGGATGAGATACAGCATTGGTGGGCATGGCCGCGAAATCGTTGATCATGCGCATTGAGTCCACTCTTTTATCGGTTGAATCTTCTGGTAATGTGTGGTCGTATTCGAAGGAGGCAATGCGGCCTCCAGGACGAAGTATGCTGAAGAAGTTGGCGAGGACCAGTTTGGGATCTGTGGAATGGACAAACGTCTCCATGGTGTAAACACCATCGAACAAGTCATTATGGAAGTCTTCCAGATGATGATAGTCTCCTCTCTTGACCTGGACTTGACCGTCTGGCAAACCGGAACGGGCAACGTTGCGCTTGGCCTTCGTGACATGATGGTCTATAACGTCGATACCTTGGATGCGATAACCATACTTTTGGGCGAGATTCAGAGCCACATGGCCGACACCGCAGCCAGCATCGAGAACGTAAGCCCCCGAAGAGAGGTTTAGCGACTCGGCTAGCTTATCTTCCATGCGGCGCAGCCCTCCACTGACGGGGAACGGCCACCATGTATCCTGATCATAGTAACCAAAATGACGAGTGCCACCAAGAAGTAACCGGTATCCAATTCTCGATTCTAGTGAGTAGTAATATGACTGGAGTTTTGGATTGTCATTGATCAGTGGTTCCCGGTCCGAGTCGGAAGCCATGGTTGTCGCGCTGAGATTTCGATCGCACGTGGGGGCCAGGACCGGATAGACCTCTTGTCGGGAGGGAGGTCTGCGTAGTTGACCGAAGAGCAGAGGTTGGTTGCAGGTGGATGGTTGAGCTGTCCGTGTTTTGTGTATATATATTCTGCCGTCCTCAGGGCTAGCGTAGTCTGAGAGGCAGTAGCGAGGGTAGATGATTGGCTTGCGTACGCGCCGTGGCACACTGCATTATCACCTGCCTGACTAACGTGCTCTCCCCTGAACTTGATTCGCATGATCCGATGATTCGTTCCCGGTGGGGACAGTTCACTGTTGTGTTTCGCCTGAGCCCGAGCAGATGGCTGCGCAAGTAGCCGCCGCCAGCGCTATTCGCCCCACTACCCGCCTGCTCCCCGCCTACGCTATTCACTCCCAATGTCGTTGTACCAACTTACCCGCAGCTAGCTTTCCATCATCCATAATGAAGCTTCCCTTGTGGACAGAAAACTGTTTCGGATGGAAGCATATCGTCGCGGTCGACTGTCGGTTCAGAAAGGCTGCGGTTTGAATCATCGAGAGCGGTGAAGGATCGTCTTGGATGACCATGAAAATGGCCCCATTCTTCCTCCAAGGCTCCCATTCAATACCGTGTCCACCAGTCCTCCACAGCATGAGCGCTGTGCCGCGCTCGTATTGCTGTTGTTTCTTATGGTATGAGACGGGTGGCTTCGAATGAGCCAAATGATTGGGCTGCCCTCTGTATCGCCTGCTCCGATGAACGAGCCCCATGTTTTGATGAGCACACCCTCCGTATCTCGCACTATGATCACCTCTTCTGCTCTCTCTCATTTTCGAGCTTCTATCTCTTCTACAGCAGTCTACCTTGTATGGTCTCGATATCTATGGCAGGCAGCCAACGTATCACATCGCAGAATTCTACCAACTCGACCGGCATCGAGGAACTTGTCGGATGGAAAGGAACCAGCAACGATAGGGGTACCATAGATATTCTATGGTCTTCCTGTGTGACGATCTTCCTGTGCTGCTGGGTATCTACATACCCCAATACTGGCTCACCAAAGGACAAATGGCATCACTCACTCTATGACAAGATCAGTCTTGCACTGATAAGTATTCTCGGCCCCGATTTTCTGTTCGGAATTGCTCTGGGACAATTTTCTAGTGCGAGAAGAAGCGTCAAGGTCAGTCGACTCTTCTACGTTCCTCGTTGATGACTCATCTCTTTCAAACGAGAGCTAGCAATAACACACGTACAGCTATTCGCGAAAGACCAAAGCCTCAGCAATGGCACAAAATGGACATATGCTTACGCATTTTTCACCGATATGGGTGGTATTCATCTTACTAGTCCGGATTTCACCGATGGGTTTCCAATTAATGCTGAACAGCTGCATTACCTGGTTCTTCACAAACATGTTGATTTTCCCGACATGGCGCTTATGTCAATCGCGGAGAGAAACACACTCGATACACTATCGCGGTAAAGACTAGAACCCATACAATATATGTCCCGGGCTCACTGTTCGCTAGAATCATTACCGTTTTCCAAGCCTTTTGGTTTTTGGTGACTGAAATACAGCGTGTGAAGATTGGCCTGCCAATGACGACTCTCGAGCTTACAGCACTCTCTTTCTCGTTCGTGATGTTTGCGACCTCTTTACTCTGGTATGCCAAACCTTCTATCCCATACCCGCGGCCTATCAGCACCAAAGACGGGAAAACAGTGGAGGAGATTCGGGCTTGTGCCCGACAGAGTGTGAGTTTCTCAGCATCATTTCAGCATTATGGCTTGCTGATACTTGTCTTTGCCAGACACACCCCCAACTTCCCGATACATGGCACCAAACTCCACTCAGCTTCATTGGCGAGAATCGATTCCGGATCAATGCCCATTGGAACTATTATGTGCGACTCTGTCACATGATGCGCTTTCGATTTGTATCGCGTCCTATCACGACGCGACCTTGGGATCGATTCCCATCGGATACTTGGCTAGCAGCAGATGCGCAGCTGGCTCCTCTGGCTGCAATCGTACTAATCGGGTTCAGTTTCCTCTTCACGCTGGCATGGAACTTTCATTTCCCTACACCCACGGAGAAACTCTTATGGCGCGTGTGTAGTATCTATCATACGGCCTTCAGCATCTACGGGGGAGTCTACTACCTGATCGAGATGCTAAGTTATACTCGACAGCAACGTACGCAGCAACGTACGCAGCAAGATACGCAGCAACCCACGCAACGGCATACCATGGTCAGCATGCAAGTACAAGATCAGGAGGCTATTCCTCGAAACTCACTTCCTCGGTACCTCAAGTTACAGATATACAGACAATTCAGAAATCTTCTGAATTACTTGAGAAGTTGGAGGAACATTTCCCCAGAACAAGACCCAAATATGGAGGTTCCTTTACGCGTTCTCTACCCCGTCACCATTACTTGCTTTCTATACATTGTGTGCCGGATTTACATTTATTTTGAAGACTTCTTCTCTTTGAGAACTCAGCCTGCGGACGTTTATCTGACCGTAAATAAATTCATTCCATTCTTGATAGGATAAGGACAAATGGATATTCGTTTTGATTGAGACCTATCTGCCACGCATCAGTGTGAAAGTTTAGACCCGTCATCTAAAGATACTAGCACGAGCCCATAGATCATTTGAGGAAGGTGGAAGATATTGGACCATCTAAGAGCAGGCTACAGGTGCTTAGAGTATGCGATGCTAAAGGCTTGATATGCTAAATATATCTGGTAATAATTTGATCAGCAAATGGTAAGTAAACACGAAGCCATGAAGGATCAAAAAGTAGCCGAATCCTACTTTGCGAATGTTGTAAGAGGCCCCACACTTCCCGTCAGCCTTATTCTTAAACCATAACTCTTTCGTGAACCTATTAGTTTAGGCTTTCCTGAGTACTGCGATAACCATTCGACCTGGAACTCAAGAGCCAATACTTTAGGGTCGAAGAAAGCCCAAGAAAGAACGAATGATCTCAATTGGAGTTGCTTCTAACGCACTGGTTTCAATATTATAATTTGAGCTGTCCGTACCAGTTTTTCAGGAGAATGATGTTTAACAGCCCACAGAATCATAGATTAATGGTATTTGATTTGCAAGCTGAAGGTCTAATTACTAGTCTTGGCTTCTAGTCATAAGGTTTATGATCCCGCACAAGCCAAACGAATAAGAGCCAGTAATGCCATTTAGAGTAGCCTAAAACCGGTAGAGGAGTGATCACTAGGATTATGACAGCGAAGATGATGACGACGTGGGATAAGAATGGGGAGATGATGGAGTATATTACGCTGCAAATGTGCAGGGTTGGCACGAGGCGCTCTTCGTCCACCAATATGCGCTGAGGGGACTTAGACTCAACTTTTCTCATCACTACAGGAAAACTCACATGTACATACCCTTAATTAAGTGGCCTTCGCTTATGTCATGCAGCGCACTGATGGCTCTGGAGATCGAGTATCGTCGCTTAGAGTACGGCATTCTTCCTTCCGGTCTGCGAAACCTCTGCCTGCTTGATTGCAGGCATGTCGATGGAAACCCTGCAGTCAACGCTTGGAAACGCATCAACACGGATTATTGTCCCGACATAGAAGTTTTCGAAATTCAAGTCACCCGCAATAGCGGTCCAATTCATTCTATAGTCAAATAATTAGGGGTTTTATTGATGCAGTTACCATGAGAAAGTCCGCCTATGGCAGAAAGGAGGATTTCACCTTCAAATGTGGCTCTCCGAAGATGAAAGATGGAAAAGTGGAGAGGAAGTCATGGGAAGTAAGGATTGTGATGGAGAGGCGCAGATTCTGTAGTATTCGAAGTACGAAAAAAAGTCTCGGAGAGAAGAAAGCTAACAGTTATGTACAGCTCCCTCGACAGCGATGAAGGAACAGATGAGGGTGATCAGGGGTATAAGCCCGAAGTCTGGAGTGGTGAAGAAGGAGAGGCAGAGAGAAATAGTTACGTTTATAATGCTGTGTGAAAGCACTCTACCACCTAATTAATTATCTTGATACTTCATACATGAAAAGAACTATCAGCACGCCATCAGTACGCTTATATTCACCACTACCCTCTCAATCAATCTTTTCGCGTCTTTTCTTCCACAAATCTGTGCAAGATGGTCCTACAAACGTCTCGCCCAGGGTCAATGAAGCGCAATTCCACACCAACCGACTCAAGAGTGACTATTTGCAAGAGTCCTAGAAGGACACATAGGGCGGTAAATGGGTGTAGGGTACTTGCGGGTGAGGTGAGGGTATAGTCACATTACTTTGGGTAAAAGTAAAGGTATAGTTAGACGCTGGAAAAAGCAAGGTATTTGTAAATCAGTTTTGTGATGACCACGGAACATGTGCGTCCTGCCTGGAGCTCGAAGGCAGATTTATCGTGTGATTTTTCAATACCAAGTGTTTGTGCCGCATAGGCATGCGATGATCAAATAATGGACTTCATAAGTTGCTATAAGTAAAGGATAAAGTGAAGTAGACTTACAGGTGTATACTTATAACAGACAAGATCAAGGACAGCGTTTAAGAACAACTATTACAGATTTTTAATATAGTGATTTAATATTTTTTTTTTATTTGATAGCTTTATAGGACTTAAAGAGAGGTACTATACTCTGCCCTAGCTTTACTTTTCAAATAACTTTACTCGTACCCTAGTTTCTATGTAAAGACACGATCACAGGGCAAAATTTGGATAGGTGATGAATCGTCTATTACATGAAATATTGCGTAGGGTAGCTATCTAGGTGGCGTAGGAATATCACCTGAGTGGGGGATAGGCCCGAGCCGGAACAACGTTTATCCGGCTGAGGTTCAGCCGAGCCGGTTCGTTGTTCGGATCCACGTCCCGTCACATCTAAGCGTCTAACCACACCCTTACTCTCACCTAAAATGGTGGAACTCCACCCTCACCCACCCACACCCATTTACCACCCTAAGAAAATAGACTCCCAGGCTCGACATCATAATTACTGCTGCGACACTTGATATTCCCAAAACCGATCCTCGAGAAAAAGTCCCAAATGAAGACTCGAACGATGTCCTGGCATGGGACGATATGAAGTGCCTGTCCAAGTCACTAAAAATTCTATTCTTCGTCCACCTTGATCTCACCGACGAGATCATCAGAAAGGGAATACCGCACATCTCGTCTCTATCCACATCAAAAGTGCAATATATAATGCGATATAGCCGAGATAAGCTGCTCCGCATACAAAGAGAACAGTTATTGCGGCTGAAATTCACAAAATTAGTAAGTTAACCAAAAATGAGTGACACGTACAAACAGGCTAACAAAACGACGGCGGCAGACGGTTTCAACAAAGCTGCGACAGAGTTAAAAGGGAGCACGCAAAGTACAAGATACAGCATCTACAAGAAAAAGCTGTACACTAAGGCCGCCGCCCAAGAGCTTTTGGCCCCGCTGAAGGGCATCTTAGACTTGAAAACGATTCTCCAAAGCAAATCTCCGGAACGAGCATACATACAAGCATTTTTTTACGCCTTACCGAGCTCATCTACTACATATACACAATCCATGAGTGTCGACGAAACCCGGACGGAACTCCATTTATGGAGGTTGCAGATAGGCAACTCATATACGCCCAAATGCGTATAGAAGTGCCCTTCTGCATCGCAGGGCTCTCGGATTCATGGGGGTCAACATTGCCACTAAAGGATAACGTCAAAATCTGGAGTTAAATTATTTGTATCTACAATTTGGCATTTCTCCACATGAGCTTAGGGAAATTCTTCTGGTTTCAATTTTGGGTATATTTTATATTATGGAATTGACTATAATTTCCGTCTCTTCATCATCCCAAGTGCAATATGCCACGTAATGTGCACGTGATGGCGGTAGCCTGGCTGCCTGGGTGAAGTCGGTTCCCAAGTCGACCGACGCGCCTAAACTCTTTGACACCGCGCTATTTGACTTCAACATCCATCGCAGCATACGATTCTTCCACTAGCACACCCCTCCAGTCAAGATGAACAATCCACGAACCGTCACGATCGCAACCTTCCCGCTCGTTGCCGACCTGACTCTGCAAGTTAGCGCCAAAGCGCGACTTCTACCCTGTTCCTAGTGAATCGTGAGACACTCAGGAAAGAATCCTCTTATTTCCGAAATATGCTGGATGGTGACTGGGCTGAAAGGGGCCAGGATACAATAGTCCTGGAAGAAGAAAACGGCCTTGCCGTAGAACGCTTCTTAGCTATAGCCCATGGCGCGCAGCAGTTCTTACCAGCCTACATACAGCCAGCGGAATGCTTCCCATTCGCGGTACATGTCGATAAGATAGACGGCGCGGATAAAGTTTCGGCAATAGCATCAGCCGAGATACAGAGTGCGTTGATTCATCCGAGAGCAGAAGACCTCGTTCCCCTCGTCCCCGGGAATATACGACTGAATCTCCCCACCGAAGCCTTTCGAGTCGCGCAAGAACTGGCGCGAAGAAGTACCGCCTCGCTTAGGATCAGCGGCGACGCCACCGATGTTTGCCCTGTTGGCCTAATAGACTCCGTAAATGCAGTTCATTTCCAAGGAAAGAACCGCTGCCAAGTGGCTGTCGCCAATGCGACCAAAACTATGAAAGCGTGTAAAGGCATCACATCGGCCGCATTCTTTTGGTTCACTCACAAGTGTGAGCCTCTGACCCGTGCGCATGCGACTGGTGCGCATCGTTGCTCGTAAGTGCTTGAAAAGGGTGACCGCTGCACTGTGAGCGCGTTCAATTCTGACATGCCATACTCATTGAGGCCCCAAGTACGGCTGTATCATTTTTTGGACGTAATAGTCAGCAGTACCTGGTCGAATTTTGTTGTGGTATCTCACTGTGCGGGTTCCTGCCGCTTATGTCTCTTTGATAAGTCTATACGCACTTGACAACTAACCAGGATGGAATGAAATTTGGCTCAATTCTATGAGACGTTGCAATTATCAGTATGCTCCGTTTTCTACACAGTGTACATTGTACCTGGTCGGCCTCTCATGTCGTTCTCCGGCACCTGAATTGTTTCCTCAGATTTCGCGGTCTGGAAGAGTGAGTCCTGGAAATGCCTCCATCGCGCTCGACGAACATTCGACTTGACTTCTCCGTCAATCGCTTTTTCCACCCTTTCGCGTTCGTCCGCCGCTTGGATCTTTCTTGCCTTCTCTTGATGCGCGAACAAAGTACGGAACGAAGCCAAACAAGCTACTAAAAGCGCTTCGACTTGTCAGCTGTGCTTGAACATAATTAATAGACTGCCTTTCTTACCAACGGATAATTCAACGTAACACCAGAACCAAAACGACGTCATCTCAACTTTTTCTGCTTCCCCATTGTGCCCGGCAAATATTACTCGAACGATGGAAGTCGCGATCGTGATCACAACGAGCGAAAACAAGCCACCCAATGCAAATTTGCGTGCACGGTTGATTCTCACGTTATGCAGGATGGCAATGGGGAATATGACAACTAGATGCAATTCATTAATGTCCAGTCCAATTTTGGGAACAGCGCATGACTTACTGAGTGCATCGCTCACCACGTCCAAAGCGCAATTAGTTTTGAGGGTAACGATTTGATACCGAACGGCGGCTTTGTCTGCGCAATGAAGCTGGATGTACTCAAGCGGCGACACAAGACATACATAATGTATGTTTCCGATAACCGCTAGCCCCGAACAAACAGTGAAAACTGTGACAATCCACCAGAAGATGTGAAAGCTTCGTATACTTGATCCGAGTTGATAGAAAAGGATAAGGAAATTAAGCTTGACTGTCCAGAGACCGATGTAGAACATCAGCTTGACGGCTAGAGAGCTCTTTAAAAATCGTTCGGAGAGTTCAACAAAATTCGGCGCCGGCACCTTCGATCCCGAGCTGACAATCGCGAGCTCGTACAGCCCGTCGAGATTAAACCTCCATGTGAGCGCAGTCGCAAGAAGTAACAACCATGCGAAGACTGTGAGGAGATCGTCGGCTTGAAGGCGATTGAAAACGCGGATACGAATGAAGCATCGAAATGCAAGCGCAAGCGTGCAAAAAGCTAAGCCACTCCACACCACAGCCTTGAGATTTCTTTAGCTACTATTCGTCACCCGGGGGAAGATAACTCACCTCAAAAGTCGCGCGAGGAATACGCGGATACGGATCGAAGTGGGCGATGTTACCAGACATCACCACATGGAATAATATCAAAGACGGCCTACTATGCGAAGGCGGGGAAGGTGATGTAGGATGAAAGACGTAGGCATAAGACCGTGCTGTGAGGCAGAGATATAGGTAAGCACGCTCAGGACTCTTGTCGTGTCAGCATGCAATGCATCGGGAACCAGCCAGACCAGATTGGGGTATGCCGAGTAGTATTTGCAGTATTGGGGTCCGAAAATTGATTACAGTCTGCAGTATGAGTGATGATCTCGGGCTCGCAAAGTCCCCGATTCGGGCTATATTCTGGGGCCAGAAAATTAGGGACACCTAGATAGATTTTTGATGGACAGGGAGGATTATTCTCCTCGTTGATTCCCGTTTTGTGTCACAACCGGGCCAAGATTATTACATTGACTCGTAGTTTGAGGAGGCTCTGGCTATTTTCTCGTGAAGCTATCAAGAGTATATGAAAGCAGGATGAAGTGATGGGGTCAGCATGATTCTATGTCAAGCACCATTTATTGTTCGCGATGCTGGCAACAAGGCTCAAGTCGGATACACCTTTCGTGTACTTTAAGGTTTTTGAGAACAACGAAATGGCTTCCAAAATGAACGGGTGTACTTGATCAGCACGAAAAGGACGCTGAATTAACTGTGTAGTCACAGAATACTCTTGAATGCTGAGAACGTGGAAGATAAATTGTGGTTTTGAGGTTTTGGGTTCGGTGTTGCTACGATACATGTACGATTTCTTGTCCGCTGGGCAAAGAACCCCGCACTAACCGGTCTGCGTCGGCTGTCTCGGATTCGGAGGATTCGCGCCCAATAATAGTCCATTTCCACGAACTTATTGGATGTTGTGAGATTGCAACATGCAGTTTAGTGGGAAGATTGATATGGAGCCGAAATACCGTTTGGAGCGAAGTAGTTATATATTGACTCAATAAGGAAAGTGGGATGCATGCAATGATCGGAAATCGAACGTTTCCATAAGCAGGAGCAAGGCTAGCGCTTGTGTACATGAGAACAGCAAGTATATCAACAGTACATGAACATTGTATAATTCCCTGTTATTTCTATTCTCATTTCTTGCTGGGGGAGGGGACATTCAAAGCTCACATAGAGTATAGCCAGGTGCAAACTCAACACGTCGATGGACTCAACAAGAAAAATCAACGCCTATCCGTTTCTTCTGACTCAAACAAAAGAGTTCTAGAGTTTCAGGCCGTATTGTTCAAGCCTCCAAGAGGATTAGACGTGCGCAAGGTGTATCTGGCAGACGAATGTCCAAAACTCCATTGCGAATTGCCACTTCTGCCTCAAATGACTCAGGATAGAGTACTTTTGCAGATAAGAGATGTTCTCTCCCAGGCAAAGGTAGGCGCAAAGAGGTCGAACCGGCTCTTCTCCATACAGCCAATAAAACATTTCCGTCGGTCTTTGACATTCCCAGTGTGATCCAATCATCCTGCCAAGCTGGTAGTCCCAAAGGCCAGAAAGGTCGAGCAGTGAGGAAATCTTTGCGAATGCGAAGATATACCTGCATGCCCTCGCGAACCAATTCCAACTGATGGGCGTCGAGAGCGTCGATACGGCCGCTCAAATGAACCCGCCCCATCATAGTGTTCATAACAGTGAAAGCATTCTTCTCGTCGCTCCACTCGCGCTGCGGATAAGCCCACGATGCACTTTGTTCAGGTATTACTGCAGTAGGTGCTGCGGCTGCTACGGGCGCATACAGGAGCGGGTTTTGTTGATCGCTTGTTGACTGTAGGGTGTGTAATGAGAGTAAAGCGTACTCCATGCGCTGACCGCCAGATGCGCAATTCTCCAGGATCAACCCTGGATGACGAGACTGTAGTTCTTCAATCCAGTCCATGTATGCGCGCTGATGCGCAAAATGTGCTGCACCAGTGCTCATACCGTCATGCACGTCACTGCCTGTTACCACTTCAATATTGTAATCAATCTTGAAATAGCGGATACCATATTCTTCCACAAGCTGACCGAAAATGCGATGCATTCTTTCTTGAACAGCCGGGTGAGTGAAGTCGAGCTGGTATCGTTGTCGCTCTTCGATGCGTCGTCCCCTTTCCTGAAAGAATGCCTCCTAGAAACAAGAAAAATATGGTTAGTGCGATTCGAGTGGGTGTTCCATTAGATCTGGTTACCTCGGGCAATTGTTTTGCGACCGCACTACGAACACCGACGACTTCGGGTTCCAACCAAATTCCTGGTACCAGACCAGCATTCCGAATAGTATCTATCATTGTTTTGAATCCGGAAGGGAAACGCTTGCTTGAGGGCTCCCACTCCCCCACGTCAGCCCACTGGTAGTCTAAGTCAGCGAATGTAAATCAATGGAGTGATGGCGCATTACCCAGTCCACTTCATCAGCGTACCAACCTGCATCAATGACATAGTATTCTGCGCCACAATCCAAAGCTGGCTGTAACAAAGCTTTGATCTTGTTCTCGTCCGGATCTCCCATCAAACAATTCATGTAATCATTGAAAATGATTGGCATATATTCGTGGTCTGGATGTGGTCGAACGATATGGCGACGATAATCGTTCATAGCCGCAAACGCATTATCAATTCCTCCGCTGGTTCGGCTGAGAGCTACAGGTGCGCTCGAGAATGATGCGCCAGGGGCGAGGTCCAACTGCCATGCATGATCCACGAGTGTTGGTCCCCCTAGAACCAGATAAAGGCTGTCTTGCCAGTCTCCGATTTCCCATCGCCATGCGCCGCCAGATTCGATCTGCCAAAGCCATACATGATCGTCATCCTTGCGCTTCAATGCGCCCATCGGAAAGTGAGTTTCGGTAGTGAGAGACCCACGATTGGAAAGACTGAAGCTCGCCATCGTGGCTTTGTGGCCTTGAAATAGAGCATGCAGACCCACTTCATCAATCCCAACATCGGAAAGACTTCTCTCTTGCCATTGCAGCTCTCTGAACCACGTATTGTTTGCGGTGTAGACTGAGTAGTTGTTGTACCAGTCTTCCGTGCCAGCTGAAAGGCCTCCAAGAGAAAGCGACGATACTTGGTTGAGTATTTGAACAGTGTCTGATGTGTTCTTCACAGTCGTCCAACTCCGAAGCACTGGAGCCCCAGTGAATATCTGGAAGTGGTGAGTCACTTCCAGTCCAGCCAGTTCGTCTGTAGAGACGATGTCCAAGGCCTTAGATTTTCCACTGTCTCTCTCTACGTGACTCTTATATTTTAAGCGTGCGGATAGCACACCGCCAGCTAGGGATTTGGCTGTCTTGTATAAGCCTTGACCTTGACCTGCGACGCGAACGCCATTCAAAGGCAGTGTTGCAGACTCAAAGTATGGAGAGGTAAATTTAGACGGGGCCAGTCCATGGGATTGAATGTATTCTATACATGGCGCGCCAGCTTCATCAAGTGCGATGCGAATGTCGAGAGAATCTGTGTGCCAATCGACAATCGTTTGGGTTGCTGGGGATGACATTTCATTGGTCGGATGAATCGTACCACTAAATCGTTATGGCGAGATGTGCCTCAACAAAGTCTTTAAAGCTCCAAGTTCAAGTATTTCTTCCTTTAAGAGAGGAATATGTATTCAAGTTGTTAGGAATCATGGGTGCATCAATACATCCGGTGTTTAAAATGCATTGCTGTCGTCCCCGCGAGGGGTCTGCATGTACTCTCCCGTGAATATACTTTCCCCGCACTATACATGGCCATATGATGAGGATTAACTGAATAATCCGTCCATACAGTGCAGCGGGGTTAATATCAAATCATACGACGCTGCAAATATTGACTTTGTCTGCAGATTCCAATTGACCGAATCATGACATAAATATGTAGGCTCTTCAAGGCTGACAGAATGCGACGCATGTAGTCTTTGCTTTACTTTGTTACAATGGCTCCTCATCGAATCATCTCTCAGCATGCGACTCGCTACAACTACTTTTGCGGTACATGTCTTCCTGTCTTGGTGAACCTATAGACTAGACTAACGGTGAATGTAAGCTATTTTTGTGGGTATTGGCTCTTTGCTGTGGGGCTATGATTCAGGTAAACCCAATTAAGCTTCGTTAGATCTGCTTGGGCTGAGGGTATACTAATCTTCAACTAGGTGTTTTCGGGACTGCTCAGGTCGGTTAGCCTCTGCTTTCACTTTGCACATACTGAAAGGTCAAACGCTGCATTAGGCACAGGATTACTTTTCTGAATTCTTTCATCCATCCACTCCTATCTTAGGCGCAATCATATCAACTGTAAGTGAGGAGTACGCCATAATATCAACAATATGATGGCTGAATGCTATATCCAGTACACCGTTGGAGGGGCTATCGGATGCCTATTCTCGTGGCCGATTGGAAATAAATATGGGCGCAGAGGAACCATGGCAATCGGTGCCATCGTCTCTATTATTGGGTATGAGCTGATGAATGACTAGAACGTGTATACCCAATTTGTACTGATGAAATACCTGCGACAAAGATGTACCCTCCAAACAGCTGCTCAAGAGATCGGAATGCTCATCACAGGCCGCCTCATTGCGGGACTCGCGGTAGGTATAATCTACTTCGCAATCCCTCAGTATCAGTCCGAGATTGCTCCACCAGAACATAGGTAGGTCCTCTTTGAAGCATCCTACATAATTTTCTTTCGATGATGTATTGACTGCGACACTAGGGGAAGTATCGTTGGCCTACATGCTCAATTCATAGGTACGGGCTATGCCTTATCAAACTGGGTAGGGTTCGGTGTTTATTACGCCAAAGGACAATTCACAGTAGGTGTGCCAGGGCCACAATATTGAGTCATGGATTGATTAAGCTTTTTACAGTACAGATTTCCCGTTGGCCTCCAAATCGTGTGGGGAATGATCCTTCTCATTGGCAGCTACTTCCTACCTGAATCTCCACGTTTCTTGATCGAATCGGGGGAGACTGAACGAGCATATGAGATCATGAAAAATTTCCGGAAGAAAGGCCATGAAGAGTTCGTGAAGAAAGAGTTTGTTCAAATGAGGGATCAAATTGTGTGGGAGAAAGAGAATGAAGAATCCTCCATACTGGCTATCATCCGCAAACCCTCGTATCGCAAACGCTTGATCCTCGGATGCTTCGTCCACATTGCTCAGCAGAGTACGTATATTTCAAAAGTTTTGTCTCGAACGATGCCGCTCGGATATCTCCTTATGAAAATAAGACTTTTCTCTATATAACATACTGATCTCACACCCGGCAACAGTTACCGGTGCATCGGCTATCAATTACTACCAAACGATCATGTACAAGTCCCTCGGTGTACAAGGCGCGACTGTACTAGCGCTTGCAGGAGTATGGGGTAAGTCATGCCACAGCTATAGGCCGGGAAGTTCTTCCATGAGCTACGCTGATATAACGGCTGCGATCACAGGTACCATAGGGCCACTAGCCAATCTTTTCTGTCTAGCATTTATCATCGACCGTGTTAAGCGACGAAAGATGCTCATATGGGGCTCAATAGGCCTGAGTGTTGACATCGCCCTAGTTATGATGTTCGTCGCTGTCTACGGCGGCTCGTCTAACAAAGTGGCTAATGGCTTCGGCATTTTCTTTCTGCTTCTTTTCGGTATCATTTTCTCTGTTTCATGGAACAGTGGTTGTCCGGTATGTCAAAACATCTGGGAACTGTGACGAACTTCCCACTGACTTGTGAATCTTAATCCAGCTATACTGTACCGAGATTTTCCCAACACAGATTCGATCGACTGGCGGTGCGATATCGACCTTCTGGAGCTTCATCATCCAAATCATACTCGCGCAGGCATCTCCTACCGCTTTGCTGAACGTGGGGTGGAGATACTATATCTTTTTCTTGGTCATGAATCTTTCTACAGCCCTTGCCGTTTATCTCTTCCTGCCTGAGACGTTCGGGAAATCATTGGAAGAGATCAATGAGGTATTTGGGGACTCATTCGTCACGGTTCATCTTGATGATAATATCGCGAAGGAGAAGCTGGATCAGGCTGTGCATGTCGAAGACGTCAAGTCTCCATCTGTGTGAAATTGATTATACGTAGATACGTAATCCGCAAAATATTGATGGGCTCGTCAAAGACCATATGATATTTTAGTAGGCTTTTGAAGCTTAGCGCATGCAGGAGCTTTACCACTGTGTGTACCTTTAGATGCTGAAAGAAGTGAGGGTCTATTTTATAGGTTGATGGCGGGGTGTTCTTCACGGTTAATTCTCTCATCACTATTGACGACCTACTCGAATCAAGTGTATGCTCTCAAACAATAACTTATCAGGTGATGCGATGTGGATCTCTTGAGTTAATATGTTTCTCGTATTCAAATAAATGCGACCATTCTCTGGAACCGATCGCCGCTTGTCACTAACTTCTCTCAATCCTGTTTCAACAATGCTACAACATTGCTACTCCAATCTCATCTTCAGCATCGCTGGGAGCCTCGTTGATTACTTGGAGTCCCTGGTCTTGGTCCACTTCCCATTCAGGTAGATTCTCAAAAGGTCTGTTCTTAGGCCTGGGAGGTGTCCGTTCACTGGGCTTCGCTTGATCTCCGGTTAGCTCGGCGATCTGGCCGTCTTTCATTTGTGTCGCATTGATCAGTTTCTTGGCGAAAACTTGACAATTCCAAGTCAGGACGTTATAAGGTTTCGCCTTTATGAACAGATCGTTGCCTGGCAACATATGTTAGCCGATCAGCGTTCAACATATATCTTCATGTTCCATTTACCTTTTTGAATGAAATGTTTTGGATCAGCGTATTCAATATCCGCATTTCCCATCAGTTCATATTCTCCCTTCATCTTTGCACATTCAACTCTCTTGTAACCTCCTGTCGTACATTGACCTCCGAACATTACTCCACAGAAAAAGACTGCCTCTAAATTCGGGTATAAAAAGTCAGTAAATTCTATCCAATCGTGTCCCAGTGATTTTTCGGCGTCCTAAAATGCCACGCGAAACAGTGCTTCGTCGTTGACGGTTGACCTAGTTCCACATACCTTCATGTCTGACTACTTGTAAATTGCCATTCTCATCCTTCTCCATAGGCTTAAGAAGTTGCTGTACAGTTGCTTCCATGCCCAGCTTTCCTTCGACATTCAGTACTTTTCCCATGACCGCCACGTGATGATATCCTTGCTTCAGAAGAAAGAGGTATAGGTTGTTAACCTTCAGTGTTTCCCCTTTAAGTTCAGCTTTCTCTTGACAGATCTCGTAGTTTTTGATCATAATCTCATTGTTTCTTTTCGTTGAACGGCACGGATCGTATTCAACCCTGGCTTCTAGCGACTTTCCGCCTTGCGATGGCTTTGCGCCTTTCGATGATTTTGATCCAGACGTAGCCTTGCATGCTTGTGCAGAACTACTGCTTGAGCCAGCCGAGGATTTCAAGGAAGCTGAAGACTTCAAGGAAGACGATGATTTCGCAGAAGCCGAAGACTTCATAGAAGCGGAAGCTTTCGCAGACACCGAGGATTTCGTGAGAGCTGATGTCTTCCCCGAGCTTTTAATTGTCGTTTTTGAAGAAGCTTTCGACGTAGCTGACGCTTTGCTCTTGGAAGTCTTCGTTGACACCTTAGATGTTTTCGCGGTAGTGCCCTTGGGAGCCTTCGTGGACGCTGTCTTTGTTGTTTTCTTAGATGTCTTCCCGGTCTTCTTCGCTCCCCCGCCTTTCCCTCGTCTTTCAACTGCATCCCTCAATTCGAGGTCGCTCACCCTAGAAAAAGGTGTGTTGTTGCCAATAAGAGCATCATAGCTGCTTTTTATTTGTCAGGAGAATCATATGTGAGTATGCAGAGGGCATATATTCACCGAGACTCAGGCAATGTTAGACCCTCGATCAATGCGAACAGTATTCCCAGCACCAGTACCGAGAAAAGAATCCCCTTCATTGTGATTTATGCTCCAGAGAGAAAGAACGTAATACTATGATTGGCAAAATCGACCTGCGGGAAAGCGAGTAAAAAATCTACGAATAAAGAATGAATGGATAAGCGAACGAACTACCGAAAAACGAATGACTGTGGTGAGTATGCCTTCCTATAAGCTAGTAAGGACAACACTTCCCTGTTGGAATTTGGAACTATGAAGAAGTCGTGCCAGCTTTTATTTAACACTACTTCTGGAGAGTTTCCATGTGGCTTGTATGCACGGGTGAGGCGTAAAGACTAAATGTCCGTAAATCTGTCGCAGCCAAGAAAAACAGTGCAATGTCAATGCTGAAGCACTTCACTATTGATGTGTACTGTTTGCAGTCTAGATAGATTGGGTCAACATGGAGTAGGTACCAAGAGAGCGTACGATAAGGAAATCAGCCAATGAATGGGGAGACTACCACATCCTGTTCCATAAATATACGTAGGAATCATACGCTTTGACTGATTCTTGGGGCGCGTGCGGCGTTCGTTGGCGGATGAGCTTTTGCGCTGTGGAATGAGTTGAGTCCAGTTTGTTCTGTCCACAGACGACCCGTCGAGAGAACTCAAAGGGCACGAAGGTAGCATCGTGTGGTATGTTCGCATCTCGACACATACAAATGACAGAGCTCGTAACATGAGCGTAGAGTCTCATTCAGTAGTAATCTCAAGTTGCGCACTTATTTCCTAGATATCCCTGTGACCGAATGTAAAATTGTGCATGTTCGCTCTTGCACTGCCTTTTGTATGCAATCTTATCGCTCTAAGTTCATTTATGATATATGAAGAATGTGGTTCAGAAACAATGAAGATACTAAAGGCTCAAGAAATTGCAGGTGAGGATGGAATGTCGATGGGATCAGGATTGTGGCGCGGTAGAGCCCAGTTGAACCTAGGCTAGTCGTGGTTCATTGCATACATACTAGATGTGGCACAAACAATCAGAGGCTCTAACGAGCAGTCCAAGCCCGTGAGTAATGTCGTCAACCTCGATATCATTGCGTTCTGTAGAACTTAGATCCTGTGCAACATGTAATCACATCTTGCGGTAGTATTGAATTCTCCTTGATCCATTTCTATTATCTTGCAGACACGTCCACTATTAGCCCCCTACCAACCAGATCTATAAGAAAACAAAAATTTTCTTCACGTCTGGTAGCCGAATTTGGATTTCAAAAATATACTTTATGTCGCTGCTGCTCTGGGCCACAATTATTCAACGGATAGCGAACCGCAAATATCAGCTATGCGACAATTCAGTCTCCCAGCAACATGTTCGGGGATTGAAAAGGGGGATTCACGGAAGGTTTGCAGTTGTTTTTTAATTTTTTTTTCCGCTTGTTCCTTTCCGTTGAAGTTGTTTCCGTAGTTTCTGTAGGGTGAATGAACCTCCGATGTTTATGGGAGTCATGTGCAAGGGCGGTAGGTTGTGATTGGCCAGCGGGCCGTAGGCTACAGTTATGCTTACTTACAGTGCCCCATCACACTTACGGCGCAGTGAATCCTGCGCAACTGAACACCTAACGGAGATTGATATCTCAGCCACTCTTGCTATCTGCAGAGTTGCGGCGTAGCTTATCGGGCTGACTACAGCAAGCACATGCTGCACTCACGATCGAATCGCACTTCTTCTCTCTCTTTTCCACGATGTTGCACCTGGCTTCGCTGATTGGTTTGCGCTCTCCAAACCCGCATTTTGGCAAATGGTTTAGGACCGCATCGATAGGTACGGGGGCTTGATATTCACCGAGGATATCTACTGAAGAAAGCACTAGATGACGTCCTGAACCTGTTCACCGACCTGGTGAAGTCTGGAGCACCTGATTTCCAAGCGTCTGCTATATCGGAATCAGAACTAGATTATCTTGAACGATTGCTAGACTCCTTTCCCGCTCTTGAGTATGGCGGTATCGATTTAACAGCGGTCGGATCATATCTCATCGCAAATCACCCGCGTATACAATCTCACGTCGAAGACGTGAGCCCTACGGCACTTTCATTGTTACTTGGTCACTGCAACTTCCCTTTTGCGACAGAAGTAAAACCAAGTAAAGACGCTCTTATCCGCTCGATTGCTCTACTCACGTCAAGTAGCGACTACATGTTCTCACAAGAGGCAGACATCGGGTCGGAACCAGCAATTCGTGCTCGCACGGTCACCGCCAGATTAGAATATATCTTCTCTGTTCTTGCTCACCCGCCCAAAGGAGTTCCGACACAGGACGATGTTCTTGACGTTTTGTGCCGGATTCCGTATCCTTTCCCCGTATCACCAACCTTCGTGAGCCGACATACAATCACCAGTTTGCAACCAATGGCTGCGCGACTGCTTCCATCTTCCACTGATTTGCCTTCTCGAGATAGTTTGCGGTTGTCGGTTGCGGTTTTGAGGCCCCTGGCCGACCTTTGCAATATAATGATCACCGATCGTGGCGCTAAAGCAGAGAGCTTACTGGAAGGAAAAGACGAACTGAATGAGTTAGACTTTGTAGTCTGGGCTGAAGCTGTAAGAAAAATCTTGCACGCACAAATGATAAGATGCTAATAGACTGACAGGTTGAACTCCACGGATGTTTGAACAGCCTGTTTAGTGTGTTTATGTACTCCAATCCTGATGTTTTGAAAGATTAGAGGTATCCTGGCATGGTCTAAGCAGAGATGGAATCAGGACCAATCAATTGTGTTATAACGAGAGTAGGTAAGGTTTATGACAACTTCGAGAGTACATTTTCCCGGCTATATGGTTTCGTGCGTAGCGAGCATCGAATCTCTACTTGCAGAGCAGTGTTTTTGATCAGCCGATTTTCTCAAAAATCTTTCTTCATCCAGTTCAGTCCCTTCACGGTTAACTTGAGGTAATCGCGATCCGATTTAAGGCGCGATCCAACTTCCGAGTCCGCCAGTTCCTCCACATCCCAGTGACAGAAAACATAACGGCCGTGCAAGAAGCTCGCATCTCTTGATGCTGCCCAGACGGCAAATGCGCCAGGTAGATTCGCTAGAGGCACAAAGTAGTCAGTTACAGTGTCGCGCATTGTATTGATACGATATGTGTGTATCAGACTTGACTTGTGATGGGGTAAAAGGCGTACGGTCATCGAAGTCAAACCCATCTTCGGGCACTCCCTGATCTTTCCATGCTCGCCCGTAAATAGCACCTGGGTGGTAGTTGATAACTTGCATCTCCTCCGGGGTGAATTGATATGCGAGAGACTGAATTGCCAAAGTTCCACTGCCTTTGGTGACGCTGTAGCCTGGACGTCCGTCGAATGCAGGATGGCCTTCATACGCATTTAGTAATGTCACAGTCAACGTTTCCATGGCATCACACATACCGTGCAGGTGAATGACGGAACTAGATACGTTCACAAGATACTATACACATCGCCATCGTTAGCTGTCTTTCTCGCTCATGACAGCGGAAATGAAGGAGTGTACCTTTGCTTTCTTCGGTCCCTGCTGGACTTGCTTATGGAAACATTCCGCGAAATGTAAAGGGCCTTTGACGTTGGCTTCGAACTGGGACCACACTTCGGCAATTCCGAGTTCGAAAAGAGACTGATTAGCCGTGTCTGTGGCGGAATTAAGCACAAGCACATCCACGAATACACCTTTCTTCCCTAGATCATCCCAGAGGTTCTTGACTCCAATGTCGTCAGTGACATCACAACTCCTCGCGATAATCTTGGTCGTCTTTCCAGCTTTCTCTGCAGTCGCATCTAGTTCAGAAGCAGTCTCTTCGAGTTTTTCTAGGCGTCTTCCGATGATCACGATGGTCGCGGCTGAAGCAAGAACGAAGTTGTGAGCGATGGCTTTACCGATTCCAACACCACCACCTGTGATGAGTACTGTTCTGCCTGCTTGGCTCAGTGAAGGTTTGATGGGCGAGATAGCTGGGTACGGTTTTCTGTGTATCACTTTTGTGAAGTTGGTGACCAGTGAGTCGTCGGTAGCCCCGAAATCTGTGGACATTATGTCAGGAAGTGAGTTAAAGAGATAAGAGTAGCTTTTGGTATTATAGTAGTGAATTTCTGATGCAAGCAATGTATTCGAATGATGAACGAGCTGTGGGTTTGACATGTGCTTATATATGTACTCGGAATCTTTCACTAATCGCATTCTCCGCGACGAGTCCAAGGCCGCGCCATTACATGATCTCGCGGCGGACTAGCGTGGCGGGCTCTCTATATCGCGATCACAATGTAAGCCGAGCCCTCCGCTCAATGCACTATTGTAGTTAGCGTGCGGAATTCTGACCAATGAGATTCTACCTGCGGATTACAAATGCGTCTTTATATTCACTACTCCGACGTGCTCTACTGGTGTTATACACCGCATTGGACAGGCAGACTCAATCAAACACAGCTCTTTCCGGCAAATTGATGAAAAAAAAAAACATGCCGACTCGGAAGGAAACGAAAGCCTGTTGGACTTGCGCAAAATCAAAGCGGAAATGCGGTAGAACCATGCCATCATGTGCGCGATGCATTGAGAAAAGAGTGCCCTGCGTATATCCGCGATCGACGCGAAAAGCTGAATCTGCACATCGGCCACTGTTATCGAAGGCGGGGAGAACTCCGGGATTACATCCTACAGTCATTGGCGATGAGACCTCGTTGACCACGAACCTGTTTTCCCCTGACGAATTCCAGTGGGATTCCCTCTTGGATTTTAGCTTCTCTTCCCCATTGTCTCAATTCCAGATACCCACCGCAACGTTCACTAGAACCGAATTCTTCCTTGCTCCAGAGGCATGGGAAGTCACACATGATGAAAACACTTCGAAAGCCGCCGCACTGATCACCAAAGCAACAATGAAAAAATACGTCGCTGAAGTCCAATCCTGGCTGCAGCGCTGGATCACTGAAGGCGCAAATCCCTTCATACACCCACGCATGTACAGTACGAAGTCGCCCGTCTGCTTACAGCTTGCGCATGCCACGTTAGCAAGCTATATCCACCGAACCCCAGACAACACCGATGCAATCTTACAATCCGTCGAAGATCGCCTACATGAGTTAGTAATGGAACACGACAACACCGTAGAAGCACATGACGTGGACGGTCTTTTCGGACAACTCGCTAGACTACACGCCCTCCTAGTTTACCAAATCATCGGTCTTTTCGATGGCGATATACGCTGCCGTCACGTCACTGAGTTTCACATCGACGTACAGAGTACCTGGGCTATGAAGCTCTTCCACTCAGCCTCAACGATACTACCAAAAACGACTATGGACGTCGCACATCTCTTCGGCGCGCTTCCGGATTCGTCCACTCCCGCGCAACAACAATGGTATCTGTGGATCTTGTCGGAAAGCATTCGCCGTACTTGGCTCGTTGCTGGTGCGGTGTCTGCCATCTTCCTTACGCTTCAGCAACGTAGAGCTATTTGTCCAGGCAGCATACAGTATACTGCGCGCAGCGGTCTGTGGAATGCGTCTAGTGCTATTGAGTGGGAGAGGAACTTTTCTGGTAGAGACGTCGCGTTTCTTCATGGGTTTGAAAGTCCAAAATTGTTTGTCGATACCAAGCCCGCAGATGTTGATGAGTTTGGCACGGCGTTGTTGAATATGACTGCTCATCGGGAGATGTTGGAGAAGTGGAAGAGTAAGGCGGCTTGTGTTTGATGTTGAGGATACGTCGTTCTAATGTCAATTATGTTTCGCGAACATCAACCTTCTCTATTCCTACTACATATGCAGCTTGACAATGCGATCTCTGCGCCTTCTTCTCCCCAACAGATGGTCATGAACTGAGCTTGCCAAGACCGATCTTTAGGATATCTATCTTCCTCCAAACCTCTCATGTATACATAGGCAAGAACTAGTTGTCTCTGTTTTTCTATCCTCACATGCCTTTTTACAACATGCCTTTTTACAGCAGCTCTATGCACCCATCTCCATGCAGCGCGAAGCGAGAGGTCGTAGGTCATTTGAGTTCTCGAAGATGACCGGTCGAGCCCGTTCGGCCGGAGCACCGAAGGAAGCCGCAATCTTGTGCTTGGCCGAGCGCTGTCGAGCAAATCGGATGGCTCGGATGGCGATCCGTCCTTGATCGAAACGGGCGGCGAGGGCGCACTGCCTTGGACCTCATTTAGAACAGTGTGTCTGAAGTGAATGTTTTTTCACTTAAACGATATGAATATGCGAAATCGGGACATATTTCCATGTTCAAGTCAAAGAAAGGGCTTCCATGCGCTCATTGACGCCCGGCATTGCAACATTGGGAACCAGATCCTTCATCAGGCACACCAATTCTGTGGCCTTGAATGGTTTTTGCATCACTCTATCCTGTAAAGAGTTAGTACGTTGTGATATTTCCAGCGTTTCAAGAGCACATAACATACCGCTCCGGCAGCAATTGCTGTATGAATCTGTTCCTGCCGCACGTTTGCTGTGACAGCGATAACCGGCAATCGCTTTGTGCCACGACTGCGGTCTCGCATGGCTTGACCGAGCAGACCTTCACCTTCTAGCTCCCGCTTCCTAATCTCCTGCATAGCAGCTAAACCATTCAAGACTGGCATTTCGAGATCCATGAGGACGACGTCAAAGATCTTCTTCTCTAGCATTTCCAGCGCTTCCAGACCATGGTTTGCGACATCGATATTGCAGCCAGTTTTCTTCAATTGTCTCCCAAGTACTTGCTGATTGATGATGTTGTCTTCGACTAACAATACTTGTAGTTGCTTTGGCGTTTCTTCCATTCCAGCCGATTTATCGCAGAGTTCGCTGAGCATTTGCGGGCTCTTTGCTATTACCCGGCGGGCTTTTACGTAGAACCCGAAGGTCGAGCCTCGGCCAGGAATCGATGACACACCAATTTCACCGCCTTGTCTCTCTGTCAGCTCCTTTGAAATGAACAATCCCAGTCCGCTGCCTCCATATTTGACATGCGTCTTCATATTGGCTTGACGAAATCGTTCAAAGATCTTGTGAATTTCCCTCTCTTGCAGCCCTATACCAGAATCCTTCACTTCGAAAGTGAGATATATGGATTCCCCATTGCCCCACTCAGGGTTGGTAGTAACATCCTCTAGCTCTTTATTCTTAGCAGCCCAAAAGGTGCCTGCGGGGAAGAAACTTCGCGGATTTTTCGTGCAAGCGCCGAAGCGGACCGAAATGGACGGGTCTGCAGAGGTCTTCACAAATTTGATGGCGTTCGTGATTAAGTTGATGAAAATTTGTGTCACCCTTGAAGGGTCAAGGTGAACGAAGTCGACACCAAGATTCTCTAGAGATTCAGTCGGATCGACCCTGTACCGGATCTTATTCGCTTTGAGCTCCGGCTCGAATATGGACAGGATCGAATTGACGAGTCTCGTAGGCCGCACCACAGTCGGTGTTATGGACAGCAACATTGAGTCGAGCTTGCTCAGAGTGAGCACGTCGTCGATTATGCGTTTTTGATGATTGGCGCACTGCATTATGATTCTGGCGGAGGCTAGATTGTCGTTAATTGCGTCCAAGCAAGGCTGAGGTATGGATGATAGTTGGGATCGGCACTCCTCTACTGCGATGGCAATGCCATCAGCACAATGCACAATCGCAGATAAAGGATTTCGCATCTCATGCGATACTACATCGATGAAGGCCTCCTGTTGTCGTTTTGCCTCCCGCGCTTCTGCAGCTAAGCGGGCCTGAAAAGTCCCAAAGAACTTCAATTTGCTGATATCAGTCGTACAAGCCATGATAGACTTGACTTCCCCATTCTCGCGATAGGGGAAAGCAAGCACTTGAAGTTCGGCATGTTCACTATCTCCCACAGGTGTTGTGTAGCGCCGTTGCAGGCGCAGCTCGACGCTGATATGGTTCGTTCCGGCGAGGAGGCTGTTCCACTGGTCGATTACTTTCTTTCTGTCCTCTTCGACATAGGCGTCAAAGAAAGCAAATGGTGTTTGATGACTTTCAGCACTGACGCCTGAGAGTGTGTAATAGTGATCGTTTGCCCATACAACATACCCATCCAGTGATAAGTGGCACATCCCCACAGAAGCGTGTTCGATCAAGTGTCGCAATTTCATGTCACTCAATGCGAGATCGTTTTCTAGCTGTTCTTGTCGAATGGCTATCTCCCTGGTTCCGACAGCGTTGGAGAAGATGCTTGCGACTATACGGCCCATGTCTTTGATAAATTGCTTACAGGGGTCATCATACGGCCGGCACGGATTGGTTCCCACGACAAGATAACCGAGCACCCGTGTTCCACTGGCGATTGTTGATATGGCAATTTTTTTGGAAGGTGAGCCCCAGCCAGCCCACGATACGGAACCGAAACGGTCGTCGAAATCGATTATTACCGTGTCCAAACCAGCACGCCTGCACTCAGGGATCAAGCCTTCTTCGCTGGAAATCTTTTGGTTGTCGACTAGCAGGCTGTGACCTTTTGGCAGACCGATATGACCCTTCAGACGTAATACAGTAGACCCGGACGATTCGTCTGCTTCGTATAGTATGGCTAAGGGAATATCCTCTCCATTTGTCTTGAGAGTTTCGAGAATGCGATCGCAGGCGGAAGAAATACCGGTGTGGGGCACAGATGCGAGACGGTTCAACATGGTGGTACGACGGTCGGATAAGCGCGGGGCTGTGACCTCGAAGGATACGTTGTAGAAACCCTGCGGTTGGTTCGTGGGGCCATTTCCGATGGGGATGAAATTGCCACTGAAGTAGGTCTCTTCACGATATCCGTGTCTCTCTACGATCAAGGGCGAGTCGGGCGAGTATTCGACGCCAACGCCGCTCGTGCGGGCAGTGTCAAAGAATGGTTTGATACCATCCCAGAGATCGGGGTAACCGTCGATGAAGGCACTTCCCATCAATTGCGGGTGAGCGTTTGCGGAGAGAGGGCGGTAGGATTCATTGTAGATAGCTACAAGAGACGGTCCCCTGTTATCCGAGTCAGCATAGATCTAGGTCCCGCCATCCAAGACAAGCACTCGGAAATGTGCTTTGACGGGTGTACCTCTCAACAGCGTTGGATCGATTCATCATACCACCAAATGCACGCCGCTCGTGAGTCGGCGAACAGAAATCTTATGAAGACGCGCAATGTATCGTCCCAGTGCTCCAGCGGCCCTAGCTCGCTGCTGGCCCAGTCAACTTGGCGGAAGAAGTGGACATGGTCGGTTTGAGGCAAGTCTTCGGTCCAGTCATGATGTGGCTTGGATTTCGGAAGGAGTTGTGGTGTATGAGGTGTATGAGGTGGTGATTTGGGCGTGTCGTCGCATTCTGGCGGCGATATCGGGGGTGTCGGTTGTTGGTGCTGATGCATACGGAGGTGGGCGGTTACTTTTTCCCCCTGTTCCTCAGCATCAAAAGGAGGAAGACGCGGCAGTTCCATGTGAGCTGAAGCTGACGGGGAGAGAGAGGAAACAACAGGACTCATTCATTTCTATTATGGGAGACACTTAAGACGTAGAGGTGGAACAGGCGTGCGATCGCGATCGAACACACAAAGCCTCCCCAAGCACGGTTACTTGACCGTAGGCCGTTTTGGTGGGCCCGGCGACGCTCGTCTCGATCCACTTGGTGATGACTGCCATAGTAACCATCGACCGGTAACTTTCACAAGTGGCGTGTCAGTGGATGGTAATGATCACACAAAGGCCATTTCTGCACGTTGCACTGCACTTTCCCATCGATTAGCGAGCGAATCTGGCGTGTGTGCCGTTGTGGCTTGATGGCCACATGGAGATCCCAGTCCGCATCCTCAGCCGATCTATTCTGAGATGCGATCATCCACACTGCTCATTTCACCTCTCGTGGATCATGCTTCCAATGTCTAATAGGTGCACCTACAAGAAGTCCATGATGGGTAAGAGACGAGTATTCTGTAGTTGTACATGACATCATCACATGATGGCTTTGACTGAGATTTGTTTCCGGAAAAACCTGTATTCCAACGGTCGGGCTGAACAAAATTACCCCTCACAGATACAAGCATGACCCTGCGGGGCGTCAAGCCCGCTTGACACGTTGTTCAATCATCACTGTGGATTATTAAGATGGAACTCCAAACGTGAATCTCCGTTGAAGAAACAGAGCATCGTTGAAGTTGACTTTGCTGTAACAACATGCAACTGTCTCCACCGCACAGTGCGTCCAATCCATCTCCAAGTTTATGGATCTTGGCACGCTTACTCAATGAGGCGTAGAGGTGAATGCTCTCCCCTTTAATCATTCCCCAAACAACTGTCAGTTCCAACATGGGCCCCTTGGAGGCTTGATTTTGTTCGCTCACCAGACATTTTTCCTTCGAGAGTACGTCATAGTTGCTGTCGCCTCATTTATCTGCACTTCTTATTCTCCAGATTTTCCAATAGTTTCGCCCGCCTCGATTCCCGTTACTGTTGACAACCGCGATGCGCATGTCCTTAGGCATACTGTACGAGGTATTATAACAGTACTTTCTATGACGGCGAAGATTGTCCATGTTTGTTTACTCGTTCTTCGAGACATGATCCGCTCTCAGCAAGACTCCCTCACGTCAAACGCCTGGTCCATCATCTATCTCGTGCGACTGAACTCTGCGACATAATCATCTTCATCTTTCATCCCAGCACCAAGGATGCATTGATGCGCAATTCGAATGACGCGACTAGATTTGTTTGCAGATGCTTAAACATGTCTCTAGGGGGGCAGGCGGAATCATTCCGGGTTGGCGGGAGAAACAATATCGACCGTCCTGGTTGTTGGGCCAGAACGCGTAGCCAAACACACCTCACGACTGAGCATTCATCAGCCTCGACTGCTTCATATCATACATATCTTACCGTCTACTGGGATCATTCCACCTAGCAATCTATATGAACTTAACATAGCCTGTTAGATTCATGGGTGCCGCATAGATGGATGCTTTGAGGATGCCCCAATGAGTGATTAAGCAGCCCCCTAACACGACTTGTTGACGGCCCGAGGGACGTTTGAATCGAAATTACATCACATGTGATGTTTCTAGCACCGGTTGACTGCAATCCACAGTAACCGCCGTTTTCTCGAGCAATGCCGAACGTGTCTGCCGTAAAGGCGGGACAACGCCGCGTACGTAGCAGGAGCGTCAATTCTCTGCTAACCACCGTTCATGCGATCAACGGGGGGGCCGGCACTACCCCGGACTCTGGCAATCTCCTGCAGCGGATACAGGCGCCCTTGCGACTCATCTCTGTTTGTATTGGCTAGCTCCTCGTTTTTGTTGCTTGATGGGGTAATAGAGCCCACTGGATAACCTATAAACTTATGTACCCACTTGTCAAGGAAGTGAAATGGAAGGAGAAACGCGTCTCCACTCGTACTATGTAGTCACACAGTATAAAGTCGCTGGACCCTACATCCGAGCTTGTCTACTTCATCCTTATCGTCAAGATGGTGTTTCCAAAGTGGGCGCAGCTTTTTCTTCTTCAAGCCAGTGCTTCGTCAGCCAGCGCACTTGGCCGAAGACAAAATGGCACCGAAAGCTTCGAATCGCACTGCGCATCCGTCGCTTCGACACTACAGGTTCCAAACGCCACGGTCTACTTCTCAGAATTCGTTTCCGCTGGTACCGACTTGAGCCTTCCGGAGAACAATGCGACTTGCACACAGCCTTCGCAAGTCGTGCAGGCAGATCTTTGTCGCATTGCCTTGTATGTTGCGACTTCGGAACGCTCTGGAGTCAATATGGAGACATGGCTCCCGTCGAACTGGACTGGACGTTTCATGAGCGGTGGCAACGGAGGTTTGAATGGCTGTGTCGACTACCCTGCTTTGGCATATGGGTCCAGTCTGGGCTTTGCAAGTGTCGCAACGAACAATGGGCATAATGGAACCAGCGGCGGTGCGTTCTACAACAATCCAGAGGTCCTCGAAGACTTTGCCTACCGCGCGTAAGTATTATTTCTTCTATTCATTATACTGCATCGCCCCTTTTCCCTCGGTTAGAAACCCAGGTGATGGTCACCCGGTGGCAAATATGTACCATGAACGATCGGTCAGACTACAAGGCGTGGAAGTTTCGATTGGCGCTTCTCTATCTTCTCCGTACACCCAAATATGCGTCTTTTGGATTCGGAAAGACACCAAAGCTAACAAGATCAGTATGCACACTGGAGTGGTTACTGGCAAAGACGTCACCGAGCAATTCTACGGCTCTGCTCATTCGAAGTCTTACTATTTGGGTTGCTCCACGGGTGGTCGACAGGGTTTCAAATCTGCGCAGGACTTTCCTGATGACTTCGATGGAATTGTTGCCGGAGCACCAGCTTTCGCATTCGCAAATCTCACCTCCTGGAGCGTATGTATATCCCAGAACCCAGCGCCACTTCTTATGATCTTCACGATTGATGTGCTCTGTCTATATCTCACTAACTCCATATATGTGGCTGTAGGGTCATTTCGTACCAATTACTGGGCCTCCTGGGTCACCAACTTTTCTTAACAACCAGCTATGGTCTGTTGTCCACGAAGATGTCATGAAACAGTGTGACCTCCTGGATGGCTATGCCGACGGTATTCTGGAAGATGCTTCCATCTGCAATTACACCGCCAATACGCTTCTATGCGATGCAAATGCAAACTCGTCCTCGTGCCTGACCCAGGAGCAAGTCAACACAGTGAACCAAGTCTTCTCTCCTCTTTACGCATCGGACGGCTCGCTCGTCTACCCACGCATGCAGCCAGGCTCCGAGATCGTGGCTTCTTTTGTCATTTACACTGGCGTGCCCTTCCCATACACCGAGGATTTCTTCCGTTATGCGATCTACAACGATCCGACTTGGGACGCAAACAAGATCAATTCGACCGATTACGACAACGCCGCTCGTATCAACCCTTTCAATATCCAAACATGGGAGGGCGACCTCAGCGCCGTACAAGCGCGTGGATCCAAGATTCTGCATTGGCACGGCCAGATGGATGGTATCATTTCTTCTGAGAACTCCCCACGTTATTACGAGCATGTCTCGGAGACCATGGGTCTTGCGTCCGACGAGTTGGATGAGTTCTACCGCTACTTCCGCGTCAGTGGCACAGGTCATTGCAGTGGAGGCGATGGCGCGTCGGTGATCGGCCAGGGATTGGGTTCAGTCGAAAGTTTGGATCCGCGTGAGAACATTCTCATGGCTATCGTGGATTGGGTGGAGAACGGCGTAGCCCCCGAAACGCTTGTTGGAACCAAATGGATCAACAACAACGAGACCGCCGGTGTGGAGTACAAACGTGCGCACTGCAAGTATCCACTACGCAACAAGTACAGTGGACAAGGCGATCCCAATGACATGGAAAGCTGGGAGTGTGTGGAGTGATTGGGCATATAAGGATAGACGGCGAATCGGTTTGAACGAGGTAGTGGGTGCCTGGCGGTGCGCACTATCTCTGATGTAGTTTCACAAACTGAACAAACACAATCGACGAGTTCCAGCCATTCACTGCCTCGCGAGCCTTTTTGGCGCTAAAATCACGCCGCATCTGAAAAGAAGCCCCGTCTGAATATGTAGTCCACTGATCTTCTTCTCAATCACCCTCAGCGTATTCAACCTAACCACGACCTGCAAAGTTCCATTCGCGCAAACCGCCACAGGGAGAACAAGGGTTCAGATATCTCTCAATCGCGCGCTACACTTCGCCGTCACCACAGCCCTCCCCATTCCACGCCATGAAGCGAAAAGCTGTTTCTGAAGCCGGAGATGCTGACAGCAACGAGTATCTCGACAAAAAGCCCAAAAAGAGAAAGACTAGCAAGAGGAAGACCAAAAAATTAAGTATACCTGAGGCCTTCCCGGATGACGATATTGCCAAGTCAGATGCTCCTCCGCAGAGCGGACCTCCCAGTCCGCCTATTCATCAGTCCACCACGGGTGCGCAAATGCCAGGAACTTTCCCTTTTGACGAACAAGTTAATGGCACCGACATCATTGATGATGCACCTCTTGAAGAAGTTGCCACGGACGTTCAACAGGACCAAGCTAGGTTCTACATATCACTACGCTTTCTTTCGCCTCTCTCATCTTCAGACAACATTGCCAATACTTGCGGTCATGATCTCCACCCCCTCGCAGGCCACGACCATGAACGCTGCCCTCCTTGCCTGGTCGATTTTGTCATGCGTGAGTTTGACATTTCTGCCAAACGCCTTAAACATGGGGACTGGCATCTTCGAGCGATTACCGACGAAAATGCTCATAATATAGTCAAAAAAGTCATTAGAGGCGAAGGCAAAAAGGGAAACCGGTTGTATGTGCAAGGCTGGCGTGCTCACTACGTTATCTTCCTCGAAATCATCACGCAATGGGAAAATCAACTATCAAAAGAGATGGAATGGGCAGAAGAGCACCCAGAAGTCATCTCGTCGAATCCACCCTGGGCGAATCACACTTGCGCCAAAGGTCTCGAGCGATGGGCTTCCGTCCGCGATAACTCCCAATTCCAGCACGCCCAAACATTCTCCGAACGCAACGCCTACGAGCGCGCGAAGAATCTTGCCGCATACATTCATAATCCCACCCATAGCTCCTTAGACGACAACTCGAGCAGCGCCATATATCCTCCAATCCGCCCAATATCCCGCTCGCCGTCCCGCTCGCCGTCTTCGGAGCCCCATGACACCACTCCCTGCACTAAACGTGCTCTCCGCTCCGGAATCCACGAGACCGGCGTCGGTTTCGCGAATCACCTTTTCATTCGCTCCGAATCCGACGTCGACACCCTCCGAATCCTACCTTCCTTCACAAAGTCCAACCCTCACAAACACGATCCCTCTTTCAAGCCCCGAAGCATCCTCCGTACAACCCCCCATCCAGGCACACCATCTGATCCCGAGCACTGGCATCCGGTCAGAGGAGCGTACGAGGTGGTAGAGGACACGGGAGACTTTACATTCCCTGCAAAAAGGAAGTACACTTCTTTCAACGCAGCTGCTAAGATGTTTTATAACCTGCGGCTTTACGGGGAGAGAAAAGCGAGAGTGAATACTAGTCTCTGCAGTAGTGGGTGGAGTGGCGATGATGCTTGGGAGGCTGCGGAGGAATATGTACGATGGATGAGCCAGGAAGCGGAGGAGTGGGATGAGCAAGCTCAGAAGAAACAGGCGGCGCGTGTTTGATTACAGGTGGTGTAGATCCCCGGTAATTGATAGACATGAGAATAAGGACACACAAACGGACGTGCTGAGCTTGACAAAAAGTATTTGTGATTAACTACTTAAGGAGCCAAAGGAGTGAGCCAATGGATTAAAGAAGATACCAAAGGGGTGAACCGATGGGTTAGAAAAGATACCAAAGGGGTGAACCGATGGGTTGCAAAAGATACCAAAGGAGTGAACCGATGGGTTACAAAAGATACCAAAGGAGTGAACCGATGGGTTACAAAAGATACCAAAGGAGTGAGCCGATGGGTTACAAAAGATACCAAAGGGATGAGCCGATGGTGTTGGTGAATAAAAGAAACACAATGTCAGGAACAATATCCACTGCCTGTCCCTATTCTCATGCTCATCCTCAGATGACGAAAGGTATGTTGCATCATAAAGCTGCGCGACTTTACTGTCCTTGTCCTCCACATGTTTCCACGATATGACCAGTGTAGGCATAATCTCAGTTTCCCTGTCCTCTACAGCGTGTTTCTTAGATATGATTTTTGTAGGGATATTCTCAATTGTGCAAGGAATGTGAGAAACTTATCTAGACTTTGATCAGCGACAGGGAATATATGGCAGTGAGTGCAAAAGACTTACAGGAGTGGAAGTGAACATGAGCAAATTCATTGGAATGGTGAGTTTGACTCCGCTTGAGTACACGTATGTCACCTCGTTGTTTATGAGGCAGTAGTTGGCTGCTGACAACCTGCCCCAGATTGTTTGTGGTAGTGGTGGAGGTGGTGTTGGTGGCATTTGGGTTTGTAGATTACCGGTAGCCCCGGGAGCAGTGGCTGAATTGAAAGTGGGAAGATACGGATTGTTTGCCCCAGGAGCATTGTTCGAATTGAAGGGTGAGTGCAAAGGGCGGCGTGGGGCTGCATCGAACGCCGTTCTCTTGATGTTGTTCTGTGTCACCACCAGTTGCCTTTCGCTTCTGGTGATTGTTCTTCTCCTTTCGGGGTGGAGGTACCAGGTATGCTCGCGGCAATCGGCGCACAGGATCAGGTAGTAGGCCAGGTTGCGCCAACAGCTCATCCTTGCTCTTGCCTGCCTAGTTGAGCTTGACCTTAGCATCTGGCATAGGTCCTGTAGGCTTGGCTTTGCCCACTCGCTCGCCTGCTTCATTGCGTGCTTTGCCAATATTCCCGTCTCTATCTTTTGGTGGAGGAAGGTCGAAGCCGGTTTCTTCGCGGCTCATCATCTGTTGCCATACTTGATCGTTGTAGGTAAGTGGCGTTAATGTACAGTCGCAATTGGATCCACCGTAGTGTCGGCACTCTGAGCATGGATCGTCTATTCCACCACGATCAAGCTTGTCACACTGTCTATATGTTAGCAAAGGTAGATTAGAAGATGCACTTGAAGGGTGTAGACTTACTTTTCGAAGCTGCTGTACGCACCTACGGCAAGCTATGTACGGCTCGTTTGGCACGTTGTATTGAATCTCTGCCTCATGGTGCCGGGCTGGGTCGAGATTTTTATGGTGGAGTGACGTGCAATCGTCACCGTGTCGGCACTCTCCCCTTGCGAAGTCGTCGCAGCCTTTTCTGCGAGCCTGCAAAAGGTCATTTGCTCCCTGGGACATAGTTGGAGGGGGGGAAGCGAGGTGTGATGTCGATAAGTCTGAGAGGATTTGGTTGTGTTTGGCGGGTAAGTCAAAACGCGGCGGGGCGTGAGTATCGTGGAGTAGGTTCTGGAGGCAGTACTTATTCAAGTGATAGAAGCCGCCACGCAGTCCACACAGTCCGTCGTCAAGGTGAATGCTGGTTGCAAATCACCGTTCTATACTTGTTCGATGATCTCCATGTGATTGATCTGCGGATGATCTTGGAGGGGGTTGGTCTCCTTGCGCGGGAATTCATACCTATTGCTGAATTAGTCTTCACCTGAACCTTGCTCGTATGTGCAGCATAGGGCTTACATAAAACCCCTTAGGTAAGTGAATTTCGCCAGAATTGTTCCTCCCCCGGAGACTATGGTAGCCTCTAAATCTTCGAGGGATATTGTATCCTCCGGCGCCATGACTTGAACCTGTTCATTTCAGCATGGAATACAAAGATGCCAAAGCCTGATATGATATGCATACAGTGTAGACATGGTAATCCAGTGCGCGATCCCTTGTTGAGTCGGCTGTTGCTTCCATGGTGATTTTTGGTGTGTTGTTCGTTGGGGATAGCTTGAGGATCGAGGTGACAGCACTTGAGCACTATGTTGTGTAACACAGAGGTACGCTTTGACCACTCGATACTAGGTAGTTCACGATACAGTTTGATTGGCTCAAGGTGAAGGCAGCAGTGTCGGTCACAATCACGTGACTTCCGTGGTTGGGCTGCCACCTGGGCCTTCTCTCACCTAGATAGCGCTAGTCCTAAGACACAATAAGATCATTTTGTATCCCATCCCATCCTCACCTTCTCAACAACAATCTCAAATACAATTCTTGATGCATGACCCGGAACCCCAGATTGCAAATATGAACACCCCACCCGAGCCCACGTCCCAGCCGACACCGAGGACTAAGCCCGCGCCAGACGAGAGGCGCTTCGAAGAGCTCGTCAAAAATCGGCCAACCGAGCGGCCATCGGCCCAGGGATTCAACGAAGAGAGCCTCGAAGAAATAAATGATGAGGCTTCTGCAAAAATCGTACAGGGGAAATGGATTAAGCTCCTGTTTGTTAGATACAACCATCTGGATAACACGCAGGTGACGAGACCCACGACTACAAGGTGCATATCTGGAATTTGACCCGCGGTCAAAAATTCTACGAGATTCTCTCCGCGCAAGCTCCACCAATGTCACAGGACCAAGCTGCATACATAGCCAAGGCTGATTTATTTCGTCGACACAAGAACGACCACATTCTGAAGCTGAACGAAGCACTCGAGAACCAGGTCCAGGAGGCGATTACCCTACGTAATTGTATGATGGATCAGTGGAAATCACAACCCACACCAGGTAACGCCCGAAAATTGGATATCGCCAACACCAACTTGCAGCATTTCAGAATCTGCAATACACCCTGCCAAGAACCGCGTGAACTCCTCACCCCACGCCGGTATTTGAGGGAGCTTATGGATAACCAACTATACTACGCACACCTGGAACCCGATGCGCAATTTAAGTTGTGGAAAAAGGCATACGACAACGACAAGAACATCACCACCAATATGATGTGGGTTGCAAAAGATGCCATCGATATCCCGGCCACCATGAACTCTGCGGGTGAAGTGCTCAGGGTGTACTTCGCCACATATGCGTATCTTGTCTCAATGGCCTACAACAACAAAAAAGACGAGATTCTTTTAACCAATGTTATGAGAGAGAAAGGTTACCCAGCGCACATTGTCAAACTTCAGACGCGTCAAAAGTTCTGCGACATTGTGTATCCAGGCCTCGCAAATTGCAATGCCAAGTACTGTGGGGGAACAGAAGGGCTTGACCTACTCCGGGTTCCTGTGAGTCCTGTGATTCCTGTCTCAGCGTCTTTGCGGCCCCCGGCCAAGGAGGTTCTCCGGCAAGGAGGGATCAGCTTGCCCGACTGGAACATCAATTGAAGGGCTACCGGTGCGTTCCATCCCATGTAATGTTTTGTTTCTTACTGTTTCTTGGGCTAATCTCCGTGCAGTGGAGGACAGTGAATAGGAGAAGTGGGAGTATCGATACTGCACAAGACGAACGATGGAGCTCCATAATATCTTCAATCCGCTGGGCCACTCCTCTGGATCAAATCTTTTTTTCTTTTTGAAATCCACCGGCTTACCCCTCTGGAGCTTTTCGTTATAATCTACCGGGTCACCCCTCTAGATCGTACTACTAGGTTTACAAGTTAGAATGTGATAGTAACAGTACGCTTGGGGGCAGATGTGTGCAGCTTCTGATCCGCGTTATCCTGCATTCTGGCACCGGTAGACTGGAGAAGGTCGATAACAAGATTACGATCTCGGTCGTGAATTTCAGCGCGGTCGAAAGTATGACTGTGTTCAAACGGCACTGGCAACGCCAATAGGATCGTGTGACTGTCCACTGGACGACACGTTACCACGAAGACCTCTACCCCTAGGGGATCGAGGCGCGGGAGGAGAGGGGGAGCGCACGGGTGGACGGCGTGCAGCGGAACCACTGGAACCGCGAATTCACGCTCACGAGGAGGAAGGGGCGGGAGTCAATTGTAAATATCAAAAAAAAAAAAAAAAAAAAAAAAAAAAAAAAACTTAACCCGGGCGATTGGGAACGGGCGACGAGTAAATAGGATTTGAGTATGAACGGTAGAGAGTTAATGAACATTCCGAGTCAGAGTACGCAGATTCCACGTCGCATGATCGTCTAGAGATGATTGCAGACAAGCTCGCGATGATTGCTAGGCAGAACACATGTTGTGTTATTACGGCACTAATGAGTCATTATCTTGAATGGCTGAGTGCGGATTGGGTTAACGAGGACCTCAACACTACAACTCAACAATCCAGATTAACTCTGTAAAATAACGAGGAGAAAAAAGCCTAAAGTTGTTGCCTAATAATAGGATATAAAGCAAAGAGCTTTCGCAGCGTTTCTATCCTTCCCTATTCTCACCCATCTCCACTCCGCTACTGCTTATTGAACAAAACCCCATCAAACCGCAACTCATCCATTACACAGCAACATAGTACTCCAAGCTGAACACAAAAGCTTTAAACGAAATCGAAAATTAACGACAACATTAAGAGTCGTGAGTTACCAAGGATCGCGGTGTGCCTGTTGTTTGCGCGACTCTACGGTATTCTCGTAGTTCTGTTCACGCTAAAGGTTCGCTCATGGCGGCGCACACGAAACGACAACGGTGCACAGGGAGGGATCATCCTAGGCGTTTTGTGGCACCTTTCGACCTAAATTCTCCTACACAACCGCATCACGGTGACCACTCTCTTCTCTTGGCATCATTGTCGGAAGAGGAGAAAGATGTATTAGAGGGCCTACAGAGCGCTGCGGCGGCGTTCAACGCGAAGTATATCGAGGCGGCCCCAGACAAGATCGAAAGAGATGCGGCATGGACCGATGAACAATGGAGGAAAGAGATCTCAAACCAGTACGACAGTTTCATTGAATCAAGACTCGAACAAAATGAAGCTTGCGTCAAATTCTACAAGTACTGCTCAAAAAAATGGCTTAGATTGATCGACGAAAAAGCTATAGACCGTGATAGAGGAGAACGTCTGCTAAGAAAAGCAGACGAAGACATTGATTTACTTACCGTGGATACTGCCAACACCCACGCTCACTGGCACCGGACCAAGGGCGCTTTGATGGATGCATTTTTCAAACACACCAAACTTCAATTGGCATTCGTCGACTTGCTGATCTCCCGAAACAAGCAAGATCGTCCCTACGGGGCTCCGCTGGAATTTTCCGGTAAACGTACCAGCAAGCATCAGTCCAAATGGAAACAAAGATTGATCTCACAATACAATGCACGAAGGGCTGACGGAGCAATATGGGATCCTATTCTTCGAGCGTATTGCAACCTTTTACAAATTAGAGCAGCCCATCTCGTTCCTTACAGTCTCGGGGAGGCACAATGTGAATATGCGTTTGGGCCGCCGGTGGATCATCGCGGACACCTTTTCAACCCTGCGAACGGCCTACTTCTACACGCAGAATTGGAAAGGCAATACGACAAGGGGTGCTTCATCATCATCCCCGCTGAGGAAGGAGACGTCGATCCTGAGACAAAGAAGAAGGTCAACTTCAAAGATGACCCTGAACCGTATAAGGTCGTCGTCCTCAACCGAAGACTCACCGAAACTGCAATTACTGTCACTTTGATGTTAGATGGTCGAATCCTTGAGTTCAAGAGTACCGCGCGCCCACGCAAAAGGTATCTGTACTGGCAGGCTATTACCACCATCTGTGCCCGACGCCGATATCGTGCTGAAAATTGGGAGCAAGACTGTAACAAATTGGGCTCTCGACAGTGGGCCACTCCGGGCGACTGGGTGCGAAAATCAACCATGCACGCTCTCCAGCGGGAAGTAGGGCTATGTAATGATACGGACTTAAACCTCGGGTCATCGCCTCAACTCAACATGAAGGTCGATGAAAAAGAGAAAGCCGGGGTAGACGTGGATATTGCTCGTCGCACTGAAATCAGCATTCTCACTCCTTGTCCAAACCCTCGTCGCGAATATCCCCCAGAATTGGAGGTGTGGGCAAACTCTCCAAATGCCCCAAGAAGACCTGCCGTGAAGGGCGGGGACTACTGGGACGACATTTGCTTCGATGATGACGATGATGACGACGAGGACGACGATGACGACGAGGACGACGAGGACGACGAGGACGACGAGGACGATGAGGACGACGAGGACGACGAGGACGACGAGGACGACGAGGACGACGAGGACGACGAGGACGACGATGACGACGAGGATGATGAGGACGATGGTTATAATAGTAGATGGTGGTGACAGTGATGGCGGTGATGGCGGTGACGATAGTGACGACGACGATAAAGAAGAGGTCGACGAGGACAACAGTTTTTTACTATAATTAACTAGGTCACCCCTCTAGATTTTTCTACTAAAGGCTAGCTACTAAGGGCAGTAGTGAGATCGCATTTCTATGCGGCACAAATACTACAGGCTATGAAGGTTATGAGTGTAACTACAATTTTGCTAGCTTACATACTGCATAGAACATGCGATAATTATATAATAGACCTAGTACAATTGGGTTTCCTGAAAGACTTATAAGTCTCATCTTGTTCTTTTGAAATTATCATGAATAGCTGCAAACATGTTAAAGGGCAGTTGTAGACAGTAGATAATAAGGTGTGTTCATTCAGAGACTATAGAAGTGCACCTGTTGTAGCAGATCTCATCCGTGTTTAGGACCCCTCGTACTAATATACGGCATTTCGAGATTGTAAGCGACTCTCGGCGACTCTAAATCTCCAGCAGAAGTTTGTTGCGGGGTATTCAAAAAAGAACTGAATGGCTGCTGTTTAGATGTCGACGTGAGCAGACTTCCGTAGCTTGGCAATGCAGCGATTATGACCGCAATCGTAGGCTCCAGCAAAGCCCACAGTGTGTTCGGGGTATCCAGTAAGGTGAATACGGTCCGCAGTATATCTAATACGATTGTGATGAGCACAAGACAGAAGATCATCGCTACACCAATTTTTTGGCGAATGGGCATGAGCATTTTGCTCAGTAAGGCGAGTGGTATGATCATAACTGTATCAGTTAGAGAAATTCTCTCCTCTGTGTAGATAAAGACATACGTAGCAAATCCCCAACAATATGAAGAGAACACCACATTAAGATGACTGGCGGATCCTTTATGGGAACAGCCGATTTGCATCGTTCTGAGGAGATTCAGCAGATATAGAGCATGCACGATGAGTCTTGACTGACCTGTATCATCAAAGTACTTCGGGGAACCACATTGCCAGAACATCGAAAGAAACGTTGCCAAAAAACTGGTAAACGTGAAAATGGAAACCAGGATCCAAGCGACCCGAAAACCTCTGGATAGTTCGAAGATTTTCCAGTAAAGAGCAAGAAAACTAGCTTTCACTGCGTATATTGTAGTGAAGAAGAGTACGGTATTTGCAATGTTCGCCCTTAACAGGAGAACCGGGTCCGTAATTCCATTCTCGTATATCGACATGCAAATCTGGTATGTCATGACGTAGCCGACGAGGAAGATCAAAGCAATCCCGTTGAAATGGTCGTCCCAACTCAAGCGCTTGTTCTTACGCCAGTGTATAGCGAACCTTCCAAGGGTCATAATCACGGCAGCGACAGTGAAAGTCCATGCGATTGCCTTTTGGCTATGTGTCAGCGTGCGACCATTCACCTTGAACATAGTGCTCGCTTACATTGAGCCCCTCGGTCGTACGAATACCCGGCATTTTATGGTCTGAAACGGCCAGACTTTGCAGAGTATTAGAACACTATACACAGAGAGAACGCCATCGTGTAGTAGGAGATCTGTGGATTGGTGAGGGTGAGATAGCTGTTGAACTGGGAAGTAAACTACGACCTACCTTATCTATCACAGCTTGTGACCCAGAAATCGGGGTTCAACGCCTTGGCATGCAGTATGTATTGCCAGAGACAACGAATGGGGTCGATTCGGCCCCATTGGCTACCGCTTCGGATTAACCGGGCTCTAAGATAGTCTGCCATGTACAATACGAGGTCATGCCTGCAGATAGCTATCTCAAAATGCCGCAACCAGCGAAAAGAGTTATCACTGTAAATGAGAGTATCCCCCAACAGTCAATAAACCGAGCCAGTCTGATAATCGAATCTTCAAGGCATGCAGCTGGAGCCCAGGTGTCAACAGTGATTGCCCATGTAGTTGTATTGCGCATCGTCGCATTATGCCAGATCACGATTTAGTCGGTACAAGTTCTTTCACTGATTGCCGAGGTAGTTATTTGATTCCGGAAAGACTTCCAAAATTCACTCACGGAAACACTTCGTAAGCAACGCCGTTTTGCTACTCTTAAGTACATCCTATTCTTAGTATTGCAATGCGATGGTGATATAATGGACCCAGTCTTAGTATTGCGTGTCGAAAAGCCTTCAAAGATGGCATCATTGAAGGGTCACGTACCACCATCCTACCATGCATGCCTTTCGTGACTGTCCACCAATCAATGCGTCTCGGATCCGAACTTGCGCATGGGGTTCTACTAAAAGATTTCACTCCTTGATCTTTAGAACTGTCTTTTTACTTCCGACCCCAAACTTGTGTTCCCCGAAACTTGGGGCCGGGGATCATGTTGACATACGTAACTTGCTAATAGCCACCGACAATACCTCCGAAGGCGATTTTCACAGTCTAGAAATGTTAGATGACTATTTTCCGTTTTCAACAGCATGGTAAACTTCATGAGTAGGTTCTTCTTTCTTCGGTTGGAAGTTGCAGTGTTTACCACACTCAAAAGACTGGGGAAAGGATTTTACAAAGAGTAGGCGGAAACTTTCTGATGGCACAAACTTAGGGCTGACGTGCGCAAAGGAATGTTCATCAAGCGACGACATACGACGCTAGCTGCGAAGTCGCCCACTGGGTGTTCTAATTAGACTCGGCTAACGTAAATTCCCCTTCGAATTATCAGATGACCAGTCACACAGTTTGATTGGACGTGTCGTATGAGATATTGGAGTAACAAGAAATGCGGATATGCCAGGCAGGTGTCAGATCATAGATATATGTACATTTCTGTATATGTTCTAAATCCACCACGCATTCTGAAAACGATATTGATAACCAGCATATACTATCAGAGGTCTTAAAGAGAGCCAGAAATGACCCATAATTCGTTGGATGCGTCACTTGTCATGAACAGCCTTCCTTCTGTATCGAACAGAACATCTACCGGTCGGAAACATTGGGATGGGCAAGCTGCGTTATCTGGATTGCTCATGACGTTGATTGCAGCAGAATCCGACGTCGATGGTTCGGTTGGTTGGCCGGTCGCAGAGTCGATTTCGATCTTGCTCAGACGGTAGCCGTCGGGAGGGCTTCGGTTCCTTTATATTGTGAGTAAATGCATGTTACCATATCCGCTCATACAAGCAATATACGGGATGTATATCATACCATGATCCGTGGAACGCAATGTAGGCCGCAGTTCCCTTGTTGTTAAAGGTCACTCCGAGAGGAGCAGTATGCGAAGGAAAGCAAAGGCGGGGCGGCACTCTTTCCGCACATGCAGTATCGTTACCATCACCGAAGGCAAACTGCGTGCCTATGTTGATGTTCTCGTTGTTAGGAATAACAGATGGGTCCCAAGCAGCGAAGCAGTCTGGGTAGCCATAGTTGGCTCCATACTCTGCGGTAGATCCTTCGATTGTGCCGTGGTAATTTAGTTCTTCGCATGGGTTGGTATTATGAATGTCAACACCGTCAGTCTCCAGGTTGTCCACACTGTTTTCAACCGACCAGATGCCGCCTGTAACTGGATCCTCAGTCACGCCAACACTGTTTCGGAGACCCCATCCGAGAATTGCGCCGGCGGTGTATTCGACTGGGGTTTCAGTGATTTCAGCAATGCTGAAAACACGAAGTTGGCTGCGTCCGGAACCTTCTTCGGAAGTCTCTTCGTCGATGTTGCCATCAGAGCCGACAGACACTATCAATGCATCGGGGTTCTTCTTGGAAATTCGCAGAGTACGGGTTGAATGTCCACCTAAACTCATGTCTGTGATGAGTGTCTTAGGTTCCCCTACTGTGCCGGCGGCGGCATCATATGGGTACGCGAAGACAGTAGACTTGGACGAAACAAAGAGCGTCTCTCCATCAGCTGAGATTTCGATGCCGTGATTCAGCTGGGCTAGCATCAGTAAGGGACATCTAGAAAGCTATGCGCAGATCAGTTCACTCACACTTTGCGCATTAATAAGCGTCTTCGAGTTCTCAACGCACACATCAGTTCCGTTGTTGTCTGCAAGCGTTATGTAGCGCACTCCGCCTGTGCCAGACTCAACAACGAGGAGGTTGTTCAAAGAATCGAAGATCATTCCACGAGGCGCGCTCAACTCATTCAAAAGTACGCGACCAGAGAATCCAGTTCCCCATGTGGGCTGAAACGCAGGTTCAATGGATGCGCAACTTTGAGCGACAGCGCTCGGCACCAAAGCGGCCAAAACGAGTGCGAAGAACTGAACAGACATCATTTCAAAAGCAGGGGTTTCGAACAAGCCAGAAGATCATAGCAAGGAGCTGCAGTCGTACCTCTTATACTTGTGATCTTGTGCGCCAACACACCTTCCTGTCGAGTTCAACTAAAATTCCACACCAACCTCGGCACCGTAACCCGGTGCGTAACATATCGCATTTTAATATGCAAGATGTATAAATGAAAGCCCTAAACAAAGCAAGACCATGCGCATGGGAGTACAAAGTTCGACAAATGACCTCACAAACGCAGCAAGGGAGATGAGATTTGGCAGGTCGTGATTCTCCAAAGTTGGGGGTCTAAGCCAATGAGATGTTTTCGATGTTTTAGTACTTCTCAGGTAAGTTAGATGCTAGGTTGTTTGAGTGGGCCAAGGATTTGTCGACGATCACAGGTGATAGCCAAGCAATTTCCTTGTCAACAGCCAATAGAACAGCTAGAAAGCTTGAATAATTGTTCCACGTCGACATCTGTGCAATGTATAAAGCATGGCAGACGGGATGTGAATCGCGGGGTTTAGATGATTTTGTGCAACAGCTCCGGCGCTTGAAGATCTCGCAATCTAGGAACTGGTTGACATCTGGGTTTTGTCAGTGATAAAGCGCGGCCACGCAATCATCATGCGGAGATAAATCCGACCAAGACTCATGCTGAGGATTTCCACGCATGACCGCTACCCGATAGATCTCCAGGTCAGACAAAATGTCAAAGTACATTCCTCACTGGATTCGGAATGTGGTAGCGCACCGTTCGTAGTCGGTATTTCAACGGCATACCCACATATGCACATTCAGCGGATTTTTGTAATCGAGTACCGAGAACTCAATGCTTGGACCCGGAAATAAGGTTTCCAACTTATATCGTGCATAAATGTACCCGCATCTCCAGGTTCTCCAGACTTGCAAGCGTCAATCAAACTTTGAATTTCGTCACGTGACGTAAACAATCACCTGATCGTACCACGAAGAGCTCAGTAACCTCCTGCTATATCTGGTATCTGGTACATATTAAAATCGTTCAGTTTAAGCTTATGGCGTATCCGTAAAGTGGCTCTTTTCAAATTCCTGTATGCACGCACACATTGTGTAGCTCCCTCTGTGTGATATTTGTGTAGAGAATGAAACACCAGTTGACCTCTACAGACATTTACATATGTACGTTCATATTTGATGCATGCATAGAAGCCACATAATATCAAAGAACTTGCGAGGAAACAAGTACAAACGCATATTCCATATTTGGACTTCTAATAGGCCGTCGAACCGCGTCTCGCTAGTTTATGCACTCAACTGGTACTTAGTAGGTGTTGCACCCTGGCCCGGCGCTGAAAGCAGAACTCCTCCTTTTGTGAACTTTTTAGTCATCGCTCACTTCTTATAACCTCATTTTGACAGCTTTTCAAGTGTGGGAAACACTTAAGCTTCTAATTAAAAAGGAAGGTTATGAAGTCCTTAGGTACTAGTTATCTACCTGCTTACTGACAATTGAATATACGAACATTTGAATGTCACACAGGTGTCGATGGGTACATGCCCTGAATACACTATTGAATCGTTCGGATTGACTAAAACTCAACAACGATGAAGAATATCTCGTTCTGATCTCCGACGATAGCGAATGACCTTAGGTAGTACAATAAAGCGGCCCAAACAAACAATGTCAGCAACCCATCGGCATGTATCTGAACCAATCACCAGCCGTTTCGTTTTATCCGAAGATTGAATTTCCACATAACGACCACCATGTACTCGTATACAATTCACACATAAATATCGCAATTTGGGATGTTTCAAAGGGCCCCTTGATCAGATAAATATGAGTAGTTCAGTCCACTCCTTAGGTGCTTGCTTGAGTTCACCACCACCATGATGTACTTGTATATAATATCCACATTAGCCCTGGTAGCAACTATCGCAGCGCACTGCGAACTCCATCATCTCGATGACGCCGTCGACGCATACCTCAAGGCGCAAAAGACCGGCCAAACCGCCGCATTCACTGCAACCTTCGACAACTCGACATGGCTCGGATATTACGAGAACGCTGTCAAGATGACCATTCACAACAACACCCTTTCCAAGCCTTTACCTATCACACACACACGAACGATTCGCGATCTCACACTTTGCTCTACATATACCGAAGTAGTCGTGGACAGTAAAAGCGATCCGTACGTCATCGGCACACAGCTGCGATTCGCGAACCACAAGATCAACAGGGTTGATTCCATCGTCACAAAACCTGGAGACTGGCTATTCAACATTACAGGGTTTGCGTATTGGACGGCACAAGAGAACTGGGATACTATAGCCGTCGAGCAACGCGACACACGCGACACCATCAAGAAGGCTGCAGATGCGTATCTAGATCTCTTCAACAACCCTAACACGACTGTGCCTTGGGGGACTCCGTGCGTCAGGCTGGAGGGTGGACTGTACGGAGATCCTGGACCGGAAGGGAGCTGCGCAGTTGGTGTGCCGCAAGGAGTACCACTGACGAGACGTCGGTATGTCATCGATGAAGCGGTGGGATCTGTCGAGGTTTTGCTTGACTTTGGGCAGAGTAAGTGGCCAGATAGTCACCAGTTTAGGGTCGAGAAAGGGAAGTTGAGGTATGTGCATACCTTGACTCATTGTGGGACTGCGAATTGCGGGCTTCCAAATGGCACGAGTATCGTTTCTTGATGGTGGGCGATATGTGGGATACGATTCATGTGTATCGTAGGTTTCGTGGCTTTGATAATAACCCTCAAATTAAAGATCTATATTCGCCATACAATGATGACGTGCCAAATACATTCTGGAAAAGAACATTGTCACATACAGTGGCAGCACGGAGTGGAATGCCATGACACATCTACAGCTTTCCGACAATGATATCTGCATGTATCACAATGGATTCTTTATTCGCTGCATTACTCAAGCTCAAACCAATTTCGAAAACGAGTGCGCATAGTAGAATAAAACTTAAAATCCAGATCTAGCAGCTTCGCAGATGGGGGAATTCTTATCCTTCAGAAAGTCACAGTTTGATCACCAGGAAGTTTGGTAAGCCCTGCAGAACGTCATCAGCGCTGGAGACAAAATGGAAGAGATAATCTGGCTCACATTCGTTGACTGGCTCCTTGACAGCCTGCGCCTTCGAGCACTGCGTAGCTTGGTTTGCAGTCTGGGTCTTTAGCGTCTTGCAAGCATTCCCGCTGCACCTGGCATCAAGCGCCTTCTGCAGCACACCGTCTTTCCACCCGAAGAGCTAATAGGAGTTAGTAATGCATCAAAGGCGACTGCTAGGAGCATTGACTTACATAGTCTCCATGCTGTCCGTATCCAGTACTTGTATACGAGTCAGCATGTATCAAGAGTTTTTGTGATGTTGCCACTTACCCATCACCCATTGAGTACACAAACGGCTGCGAGCCACTTTCAGGCCACAGATTTTTGTCATTAAACACAGTAGTGTCCCACATCACCTCGTACATCAGTTGTGGCAGTTTAACAGGATGGGTAGAAGGGCATGCGCCGCCAGACTCAAAACTGCCCGAGGTGGGATAGGCCACATGTTCTTTGTGAGAAGGGCTATCAAGATTGACACCATCCCAGCACCTAGATCGCAAAACTTCAGTTTCATATATGCAATGACGGAAGGATACTTACGTAGGGAAGGTAATAGTCGTTCTAATACCACCACCACACATCTTCTTGGGCAATTCGACCGTATCATCGCCAGTGCAGGGCGCGCCTCCAAAAGGGTTCTGCTGCTTATTTGAGAAGCAGCGATGGCAGATTTGCTTCTGCATTCCTTCTTTCGAGCGCTTTGTCGCGTCACCGGCGAGCATTCTGAAGCCTCTGGGGAAGGCAGTGACTTTGCTTTTTCCGTCGTAGGGGGGAATGTAGTAGACAGTGACACCCTCGCGTCCGCTGAGTCCCAAGTTGACCATTTGAGGCACGCGCTTGAAAGTGCCGTTGCGGGCGCGGAAATAGAGATTTGCTGTCCAGTAGTTTGAGAAGTCCTCGCTATAGTCGCATGTGGTACACGTGGAGAGAGTAGAAGGATCGTATTCAAGGGACTTCATGGATATGTTAAAACTGTTCCCGCCGACGATTTGATGGCTAGTGGAGAGAGGGTTAGCAAAAGTTGGACGATGAAAGATCCTCCACGTACAGATGAGCAGACGGGGCAGATCCAGGCTCGACCAAGGGATCGATACGGTCGAGGACCAGCTGGGAGCATTGGAAGCGCATCATAGCTGCTTGCGCAAACTGACGAGCCTCCAGCCCACTCGCTGGAGAGCTTTGCACATTTTGTGCAGCGAGGGCGAGTGAGAGAGCGAAAGTTTTCCACTGCATTCTGGTGTTTGTTATCTCACTCAGAATTTGAACCCTATTGTTGATTTATTATGGTCCAGAGGCAGAGTCAAAGGCAGGGAGCTGAGATTCCCAAGTTCACTGTATTATAGCGACGTTTTGGTGGTGTAGGACATGATTCCTAGGCCTCGGCAAGTATATACAGAATATTCCCATCGGGTGCGGGGCATTGATACCAGTGTATATTGCGGGCGACTATTTGCCTATCGAAGGACATGGTGCTGAACTGCCGCAAAGTGATGCTTTATTGATGTTCAACATCCAGGCCAATGAGATGCGCTGGCAATGTTTCGCAGACATGATTGCCGAACGTGGGATTCACGTAATCGGCGAATGGCACTCGGCGTCTTGCTACCTAGCGTGTCTTGCGGTGTAACATTGTATATCAATGATAACACATCTGTATGATGTTGGGCGATGTCCAAAGCAAAACGTGGAGAAAGGCCTGACATATGCAAGTGGAAACGAAGATTCTCGTACAGCTTTGGAGCACCCGACACCCTTGACCCAGAAAATGAACATCAAGATTGATATCGACAGTGTAGAATAATCAGCTGTAATCACAACTATGAGAGTGCGTGCTTCAAGATTGTAGGTAGTATTAGAGTTCTAAGATCACAAAGGCTCACGATGATGTAAAAATAAGGTTCAATGATGCTGTCATCAAATTCATGCTACATATGGAGCCATCATGAGATGGTCAAAGTTATTGAAAACGGTAAACAAGTCCAAACCGTCATAAGATAATCATGCTCATCCCAAAACTAGCGTCGCTATCATACAATTACAATGCAATGCACATGTGCTCTTCATCATTCAGATCCAATAGGATCACATCGGTCGCAAATAGGTGTAATGTCGTAATTCGTTCATAGTTGATGTGAATTATGTCATCAACATCATGATGAGGTTGATTTATCGCAACACGGCGCTGCCTTTCCTCAATCCACCACCAGTAGAGGCCCCTCGGGAGTGGCTCTGTCTGTCGGCGGGCATGCCACTTGTGGATAGACGTCCTCGGCCAGCAGAGCTAACGCTGGCTCGTCCCGAGCGTGATGCGGACACTTTGCGGGGGGCTTCGCCACCGAATGGGATACCGGCATGGCTTTTGCGGGAGAAGATGTTGCAGCCGGCCATTGTGTATGTTTTGGGTATTGGTGTTTGTTGGGTTTGTCGATAATTTGAAATGGTGCTCGACTGTAGTCTGTTGTGTTTTTCGCGCGTTTTCGATGATGTAGTGTGGAGGATTGGTGTTTTCGTTTCAAAGTTGTGAAGCGTAGATTTAAGAAGTGATGTTTGTTGTTCTGATTATGGATAGATATGGACGGGGAAACAACCTCTATTTATACAAACGTCGCATTTCAAATCCGATATCATTCCATTGCCTTCATAGGGTGATCGTGGAACGGTTATGCACTACAGCCTCATAATGATGCAGTTACCAAGCGCATGACATAGGCCAACACCAGACTAGCCTCTTGGTTGTAGGAAACAGAAATCTGGACCCTTCGTCGGAAAGACGCTCGGCGGCGGCTAGAGAGCTTGTCGGACATTTTAACACGGGCGGAGAGACTTGGCGCCGGCGGGAGACTTGGTGACAAGACCCATTGAGTATTGGCGCGACGGAGTGTGGCTGTAAGATCGCACGCAAGAACAAGTATCCAATGGAAGAGCGATGAACGCGTTGATGAGTGGGCTATTGTGGGTACTTTGGTGGCGAATGCGCAATCATGGGGCATTCTCACTCAGGGTGGCCCTTGGCAATGCCCGGGACTTTACGGTGGGGCGAAGTCGAGTGCGCTCGTCATCACAATGCGTGATACACAACATGTATGGAACTGCTGAGAAATCTGGGGAAACACACTGCCTGGACGTGTGATATCGTCATGCTGCAAATTGGCCCGATTGAGGAGAGGAAGCTTCGCCTCCTTTCGGGATACTTCTGGTTGATCACACATTAGGGTCTGGGACTTTACTGCAGCACCTGACCGCGCCCAGATTGTCTGAAAGTTTATTCAATTGACTCGCATGGTCGAAGCAGGTAGCCGTCTACACGCGCAGTGTATTGCCAATGTTCCGCCCAAATTCACATCAGATTGATTTGAGAGTGCTCATAGTTGATCATCGTCATCGTCATCGTCATCGACGGCACGACCCAGACATCCTAGACCGCGATGAACGTTAATAGCACGTCACCTACTTGAAAAGGAGCTTTCACCGGTCGTACTTTTGTTCATTCCTGGTGTATATTTTGCACATCTTAACCGGGGATTAGATGAAACGAGCCTGTTCCTTCGTCATTGGCTTACCGTCTTATCCGCACCCCTAGCAGATCTCATTCGGCATACATAAGCACCACCTCCATCTTCCAACAAGCTCGATCATCATCACTACGCATTGAAAACAATCCATGATGGCCCATTAAATAAGCGTTTTCATGGGTTTCGCTATCTTATTTCGCAATGGCGACTCACATATGTAAGGCGATTACGAGACTTGAACAGTTGATGGCCAGCACACAAGTTTCTACCTTGAAATCTGGGTGCGCATTGAGCATGCCATAGTATCAACTGTAACCAGCAATCAAAAACAAGGCACTTGATACAGGAAAACTAAACATAGATAAAGACAAATATGTACTAGAAGGGTATATGAACATGAAGAAGTTAGCACGAACACAATCGTCCCCCAAACTACCACCGCTCCAAACCATCCCTTTTCTTCTCCATAACCAAGTAAACCCGCTCACCAACTAATACTACAATTACTAAACCTACTTCGACCCTCCCTTTTCGAGATAATAGGTACAATCCCCTCCCCCAAGCTCACTTCAGACCTCTCCCTCCGTCCCCTAATATCGCTCCTCCTCCCATCCACCCGCACCCTCGGCGACGGCGGTAACCGATGCGTACACACCCCCTCCATCCCCGGCTTAAAGAAGTTATTCCCCTTCCCATACGCAATAGCACGATCAATAACCGTAGCATACTGTCTAAAAATTTCCCTCCACCTCTTCTCCACCCCTTCATATCCACCCTCCACATTCTCATTGAAAACCGCAATCACCGTATTCTGCGCCACATTCTCCACCATATTGCTCGCCGCATACTTATCGGAGACATACTTGTCTTGGTTGTAGTTATCCCACATTTGCGCCGACGACGAGAGCGCGGTGTTGTTGTATGCGCCTTCGAGGTCGAGGGCGTGGCCTGTTTCGTGCAGGATCACGGGGAGCATGTCGTCATCTGGTTTGTTGAAGACGATGTTGCCGGAGGTTTCGAAGGCCCAGCCTGAGGGGGAGGGTACGTCGACGATGTGGCGGACGTATTGACGCATTTGGAGGGGGACTTTGCTGAATTGGTGGGCTATGCTTTCAATGGTTATGCCGGAGGTTTTGTGGTGGCAGAATACCCAGGGGGCGGGGCACTATTCCATCAAGGAGAGGTTAGCTATGAATATTTTGATAGTGGAAATGGCGATTTTTACGTACATCTGCGTATGTGACATCCCAGATCTCAAAGTCTTTTGGTTCCGTGTTGGTGTCTTTTGCAAGGTCTTTGCAGGATTGGGGAATCCATCCTTCGTCCCATCTCTTCTTGGTGAAGTTCTGTGCTTTGAGAGCCTTGTTGAGCCCTGGCTTAAGGTAGTCGAGACTATCGTTGATAGTTGGTTTGTCGAGTTTGGCGTGGGTGTCGCGTGTTTCGGCCGATATGGCGGTGGCTGCTGCTACCAGGAGGGCAGGGATGTAAGGTGAGAGGTAAACCATTTCCAATTAGAGTTCTGGCTTTGGTTCGGTGGTACGAGTGTTGAGAATGTAATACGATTGCTTGAATGTCTACTTGGCGAGGGCAATCCAACGATGAAGAGAATCAGAAAAGGTCCGACAAATCGCAAACACTGAATGCGCGTCCTACCAAAGAAACAAAAGATATGAAAAAGGGACTCTAAAATCAGCAAAACTTCCACAGCTTCAAAAGAATCGTCCAAACCCATTCACTTTTATAGCAACTCTTCCCACGATGAGACCCTGCATCCCCAAAACCGCTAAAAACGAAAACCCCAAAACAAGTCGCCACGGACATAATACCCACCACCAAGGCCTGCCAATCAGGCTTGAATTCCAGTATGAATTATCCTTTAATCCTTCAAGACTCACCGACTACAGTTAGCACCGATCGAAGCAAATGTCACTCTTGCACGCCTTACGATCCTAGTTTCATATTTCGACATGAGATATGAATCAATCGACCTACCATGACATTATTATAATCTGATTGGGCGAAGTGGAGAAACAAGGTGGCTGAGTATCTACGCTTAATTGGAGGATACGGTAGCCTAATCGCGTGTGTGGAATGTCCGTAGCGTAAAGGTTAGTGGTTTTCGGAGAATTATTCAGGTACATGGTATGCGATTAAGCAAGAGTTGAGTAATAAGACTTGCACTTTGTAACCATGAGTTGGCCTTTTTGATGAGTGAGGAGTAAGGCAAAGAAGAAACAAATGATTAGATGTTTTGAAGATGGTTGGTTTTCTGCCAAGTTTATAGATACTTAGCAGCAAGCAAGACTCCTCATATTATTAGACTAACTTCCGCCCCCTCTTCCCACTATATTCATTACAATCGCTTCTTCATTATATATCGGATTACTTCGCCCTCTCTATTCCTCCTGCCTAATGAACCTGCCATCCCTCTTCTTAGTCAACTCAACCTCATCCAGCACCTCCCCACTCCGACTCCTCAAAAATCGAACCCCCAACTTCTCCTCACTTTTAATATCGATCCCAGCAAACGAAAAGTCCTCATCATACCCAAACTCAAAACTCCCATACCCCTTCCCCATCTTCGAAAGACCCTCAATACTTCCCGCACCCCCTGCAACAATATACAACGGCGCCTTCGGGCCCTCCAACCCGTTCTCATCAGGAACATTCTTGTAGATGGGGTTAAAACGCTGCGAGTTATGTACGTGCCCGAAAACGCCGAGATCAACGCCGTATTTGTAGAAGAGGTGCTCAAAGGCCTTTTGGCAGTACCCGCAACGGGAGGACGAGGATGTGGTGTAGAAGGGGCGGTGGCCAGATACGACGAGCCAGGGAGTCACAGAGCGATCCACGGATGCGAGATCGGCTTCTAAAAATTTGAGCTGTTGGTCGAGGGTTTTGCCGAAGGGGCCGGCGTAGAGATGTTGGTTGCCGCCGGGTTGATCTGGTGCGTTTGGGAAATCGGTTTCGGTGTTTAGCATGGTGAAGTGCACGCTTCCGTATTCGAAGGAGTACCAGAAGGGTGGAAGGGCGAGGGAAGAAGCGTTTTCAGCTGATGCTTGCGCGGTGGGGGATTTGGAGGAGGAGGGGAAGGCTGTGGGCATTGTGGCTCCGAAGCGGATTAGGATGTCTGTGAAGTTGCGTTGGCCTTCTGGGCAGAGGAGGGAGAGGGCGGGGATTTCACCGCACGTCGCCTCGTGGTTTCCTGGAGACGCCATGTAGGGTTTGCGAGAGGTAATGGGGGAAAGCTGGTTGTAGAAAGATTCGAGGATTGCGGAGTAGGCATTTGTGCCATGCAGGATATTTTTGGGTTTGAGAAACCTGTATGAAAGTTTAGTTCATCTATTGAATGGGGTGGTTCAAAAGGAGGTATACTAACCAATCATCAGCGTAGCCAAAATCTCCTGGGTGGAGAACAAGTTCATAGTCATCAATCGTCTCATGCAGCCTCGCAATTGTGGTATGGTTCAGACTTGGATCCACTGTTGCCAATGCACTACGCTTATGATGCGAAGGACTGCCTTGATCCAACGTGAAGCCATCTTTCCCATAGACCCCCAAATCAATGACTGCATTGAACGAGAAAGGCGTCGTATCTCCTGGCTCCCGAGGACTCAAAAACGATTCCGTCGTGGAGTTGGTGGACAATATCTTGTAATAATAAGTGGTACCGCTTTTCAGGTTCTCAAGAATGACGACGTTGAAGTGCGTTCGCGAGGTTGGGTATGTTTCTGAGTGGGTCGAACATTGCGTAGAATGAAGTCTCTTAGGAGATTTTCCGTAAGAGACGCAGGGTTTGTCAAGTTTCTGGTAAGTATTCCATGCTACCGAAATGCCTAGATGACGGAGTCGGATTTAGTCTAATCACTTGGGTCATGTTGACGTAGCGCGGAAAGGAAGGTTTGAACGCACTGTTTTTTCCCTTGATGGCAATTCTCTGCTGTACCGGCGTGGATGGATCTTTAGGAATATCGGGGTAGCTCACGGCCGCGAAGACGCACGCCGAGAAGTATTGTAGGATGCAAAACAAAATTGACAGACGATCCATGATGGGCATGACAATAGAGACTATAGACGTAAGCAAAGATAGAACACTTCTTGTTCGTCGAGCGGATAGAACCTTCGGGCGTAATATTTTGTGACTACCTATATGATAGCTCCGGGAAAGCGGGACTGTCCGTCCCAACAACTGTTATGCTGGATCTTCGGTCGTCGATGCTCTCGCAGTGAAGAGGAAACGGTGGTAAACAAATATTCGATACCCGAAAAACAGTACGTAACTATGCCTCTTCGCACAAACCGCAAGCATCTATTCGTACCTTCGTCGATGCACAAAACAATGTCAAATACTCACATAGTGAACTAAATTGAACCGGAATCTGTCATCCTCACCTCCAATTCTCTCTTACTGGGTTTATGCGTTTTCATCTCACTATCTGTCCCATCCTCCATGGCAGGACTCACTAGGTAGACCAATAGACACTCCAAGATGACGAGATCCTCCGTCCCGAGATCCATCTCCCTGGGTTTTCGATGCCGCCAACGACCGCATCTCGCCGAACAGTGCGGGGTAAAATAGATTTTTTTTTTCGGTAAAAGAGAAATAGGGCAAAAGCCATTGGGCGTGGTACCATGAGACGGTTTCGGTCTTCGGAATGAATGGATGGCGTGTCCTCGATGCTCCACTGGTAGGATATGGCAGGTGACAAACCACAAGTCCTGGAAACTCGTCCAACTGTTGCCGATGGCTCTCTACAATGACATGGAAGTAGGGGAAACAGCTGGTACGGAACGGGCCACCGAGACTGTTGTGTAAGTCATCATATTGCCGTTTATCTGTCTGCCACATCTAGTCGAATTACCCCTCTCCGCTTTCCCGCCTCCACATGTCAACCATCTGTCTGGGTCCGTCTAGGAACCCCACCGCCCACACTTCCGCCATAATTACCGAGCTACCGTTAATGCATGAACTGAAAACACGACCAGAACAACGACAGAAAGTCCACAAAAAACGCAGCGAAAACAACCAGTAACACCTGCACATAACAACCCGCAAGAAAAAGTCCCCTGTGAATCCGACAGCCTAAATGCAGAGGTATCTTTCGTTATACGCCATGATGATAAAGTAATCGCAGAAAAAAGTATCGGTGGTTCAGAAAAGCTATCGTTTCAATGGAGTGCAGAGCCCGCTCGCTGACGCGGACGACGGTTCTACCGTCTGGGCCCCATTCCGCCTCCGGTCATGCGTCCACCGCCGGCGTTCAGGCTCTGCTGCACAATCATCGCCGCGGCCTGCGCGGCCGCAAGTCGTTCCTGGGTGCTGGTTAGAAACTGTCTCGTGCATACTTTCCGCGATTATAAGTGACATACCTTTTGTCTGCTCCGATCTTTCAAGTACCGTTCCGCTTCAGGTCTCATGCGCAAAATCCTCAAGATCATGTCGTCGCTAGGATCCGCCTGGGCCTCTTTCCTCTTTTCCTCTTTAGCCTTTCGCATAGTGCCTAGGTTTCGTGACAACATGATCGTTTTGTGCTTTCTCGATGGCATGCCGGTGAGGCCTGCTGCACCCCCAAATTGATGGCCCATTGGTGCAGGCGCTAGCGACTTGCTGGAGTTGGCGGCTTCCTTCTGACGTTGCTGAGTAGCTGCCGCCATGCTCTCGGATGTGCGAATCAGATCGTCGGTGGGGTCGAAGTAGAAGAAATTGAGATTCTGGATCTCGTGATATTTGGGTGACTTGAGCACGTCCAATGGAACACCGTCCGAGTTGCCATCTTCATCTGCCGCATGGAAAAAGTCGAAAAGAAGTTGAAGCCACTTGAACACGATGTCTACTTCTTGGCGTGTCAACGGCCGCTGTTGACTCAGTTTGTCGCTCAAAGGAGGGACGAGTAGTGACTCAATCGTCGCTAGAACTTCTTTCCACAGGCGAGTCATGACCATGATCATGGCTGCGTCGGTCAAAGTTTCCTTCATGATAGCAAAATTTTCGTTGAAGTAGTCGAACAAGGGCTCCAGGGCTTTAGTGACATCCTGCTGCGTGACAACTTGCGCGACAGACTGGGGACGCGCTTGGCGGGAGAAGAAACCAGTGACGGCCGAGACGGTGATACCACGATTGAGCATAGCCTTGAGTGCTCGTCTAGAAAGGCTGTGGGCAATGAAAGATGAAAGCTGACGACGTTAGCAGTGGATAAGAACAGTCATTTCATATTAGCTCACCTTGTCAGTGATAGATCGCGTCATCTCGCGTTCAGTCCTCTTAAGTGTCCTGAATGCTTTGCCGAAATAGAACTGGATGTCGTCTCGCTCACCTTCCATACTAACACGAAGTAGCAACCGACCTTGAGTGTCCAGATCTAGCCAGTATTCACGCGGCATGTAGTCACGGAAATGTGATGGGTCAAGCTTGAGAGATGTACGACCGACGCAGTCGTGGTCGCCAAGTGTATCCCAATCCCAAATTGTGGCGATGATGTTGAGCGGACCGTTCGTAGTAATATCGATTGTCTCTTCCCAGCGCGGGTTGAGATTACCATAGACGACACGTGTCTTGGCAAGACGCTTCTGATATTCGTCGCCCAAAACAACATAGGGATCACTAAGCCCGTTGATGTCGCATGCCTTTAAGTCTTCCGCCTCTATAATCTTGATGGTGAAAACAAAGTTATTATTGCGTGCACGCTGCTGTGGGGGCGGCGAATTCTTCGCGATGACCTCTGCACACGCGTCAACATTGATCTCGTGTTCGAGCTTGTCTAGGCGATGCATAGCATATTCAATGTTGTTGAGCTTTACGAGGGACTAGGGAAACAGTTAGATAGTCGTTTGCAAATTTCGACACGCTTGCTTCATACCTCTGGGTAGAAATTGAACGGTTCAATCTTCTCCTTGCCAGTGTAGAGATCCTTGGCCATGGATATCCATTTCTCTTGGCGCGTTTGGTTAGCTGCAGCCTCTTGTTCAGGTGTCATTCGGTCCATTTCCTTTGCGAACCTCTGCTCTATGAGCTCGCAGTATCGGGCCAGGCCGATTCCGATTGACTTCGATATCGTGGTCATAAATCTAGCGTACTGTAGATCGTCATCCCAATTGAGGGACACGATTTGTTCAATGCTCTGGTTGAAGGATTGGAACATATCGACAACCGAGACACTGTGTCTATCGTCGTCCATCAAGATGCCGTTGGAGCCATCTAGCGTGAAAGTGTCTGCTTTGAAGGCGTTCTCCACCCAGCCCACCAGACTTGCGTCCGTCATGTAAATCCAACGCCACACAAAATCCTGCAAAAGTGCCTCGATGTGGAAGCCAAAGCGTCTGCCCGGAAGTGCGTCACCATGAATGCGACGAATCTCGACGAGCTCGTGGTACAGATCAAAGCCGTCCTGAATGGGGACCTCTTCGCCTTTGTCTTGTGCAACCTCCAGGATACGTCCAACGATATCTCTCGCATCGGCCGCGTATGCGGGAAACATTTCCTCCACCAAGCACATCATGGGGCTTACACCCATAATTTCGGGGTTCTTGCGGTAACGCTTCTGGATCTTCTCGCACAATTTGACCACTGCTTTGCCTAGCTCAATGACGTTGTAGAACTCCCATTGATCCGCCATCGATGGGACGTGTTTTGCCAACAAACCCGAATATACGTCCGAAGCACGCTTCTTGAGCGATAGGCGCAGTTCCTCTGTGAATTGGTCGAGTTGTTCTGGCGGATGATTGAACAACTCGTCTTCGTAGATGTGATTGTTCAACACATACATGATGGGACCCAACGAAGGTGGTTTAGCATCATAAACCAGGAGCATTAATTCGAACAATTCTCTAAGTAAACACTCGTGAAGCTGGTTGAGAATCTGCTGGTTGAGGGCGTAGTCATGCAAGGTCCATCTGGAACGATCGAAGAGTGATTCGGCCACAGGAGCTTGGCTCATACGATGTGACTTTTTGTCTGTTGGGGGCGGTTCTTTTACAAAACTGAAAGCCGCATCAAGCGTATCTAGGTCTATTGAGCGCTCCTGGTACTTTTCCTTGGTGACATCTAGGAAAAGCACCAACCGGGAGAATTGCGGCAGTCTCCAGCGAAGGGCGATCTCATTGAGCAATTCTGCCGATTGTTTGGACAGTAACTTGATGGAAGGGGTCTCGCTGGTTGCCTCCGAGGGCTGAAGCTCGGGGTCTGCGAGATCATAAGTCAAGGCCTCTTGGAGGACTGCTCGGTAGTAGTCGCGTGTGTCCGGGGGAATGTAGGTAAAGGAGGCGTTATCGCCGGCATCGTCGTTGATGTTGAGATTGCTCATGTCGACTGGCTGCTCAATTACGTATGAAGAGGAGGGTTCGGTGCTTGAGGTGCCCGAGCGTTGCCTGCCGGGCTCGTGGTAACCTGACGTTGCGGGAGCGTTTGGCTTGAATTGAGGAAGTGAGCCTGGTGTACTTTTGGCTAGTTCGGGATTTGACTGCACTATAGCTAGAATCATTTGGGAGAGATCTTGCATTTCCTGCTGCTTCCAGGCTTGATATGCGTCATCCAGGTCGAAATCATCACTGTTCAAAGTCTTTTTGCTCATCAAGCTGAGGTGTGCTTGATACGTCTTGAGGTCCTGTAACGCGGCCTTTTCTGTCCATACGGCCTTGTGGGAGTTGATGTCGTTCTGGACATTCTGGTAAGACACGCCGAAGATGCGAGAGACGACCAGGACGAGGGGCATGTCCTTGACCTCGTAGCTCAAAGGTACTTCAACCTCGACGGTGGATCCTCCCTGGCCCCCGTTTCGCTGATTCTCAGCAGCCAGGTCCTGATCGTGCACGAGCAGCTTCTTCTCCATTGTGGCCAAACGCGATGTCAATTCGGGCCTGTCGCGGGTCCAATCGTGCTCCTTGAGGGTAGAGCTGACCAAGCGGATGAACAAGGCGACATGGCGGTCGACCATGAGTTTCCAGCTTTCATCGCCCGGGGGTTTGCCTCTGGACAGCTCTTTTGTAGCGTTGGAGAAGAAGATGAGCAGCAAATCTTCCACTCTCCTATCCTTCTCCATGGACTTGCGGAATTGGGGAGCCTTGAACTCGTTGAGGAAGACAGCAAAGGTGCGCTTCACGGTTGCGTCCCTGAACTCGGGCATGCGCTCCTTTCCCATGAGCACACCGGTTATCCGCTTGTCCAGCTCAGCCATGAAGCCATGTGGGAAACGAGTACTCTTGGAGTCGCGAATCAGCGACATATCCTTGACAAGATCGGTGACGGAGGTGGTGGAGCGCTGGATCTGGCGGGAGGGTGCTGCGACATGCTGAACTCGTTTCTGGCGGGGTTGCAGGAGATATGCGAGGTAGGCGGCGCGGAGAGCGTAGAGATAGGCATCTTGGGCGGTTACGGGGCGCTTTGCGGGGGCGGAGGCTCTTCGAGACAGTCGCTCGCGGGTCTGAATGCTATTGAGACGGCGGTTACTGCCGCGTACCGGCTCCATGTCTGAGAGGAAGGAGGGGGGATTTGTTTGTTCGCGGGGGTTCGATCTAACACAGGCCCAATGGAAGTCGGGGGAGGAAGCTGCGGGGCGCGCGTGGATTGGACCGAATATTTATTTGAATAGGAGTGGGCTCCCGCTCCGGAGACTAGGTAAGAAAGAAAAGCAGAAAGGAAGAACGAAAGAGAGAGAGAGAGAGAGATGTTGAGTGGTGAGAAGGAAGGATGAGTAGCGGGCGGGGTTGGTTGGATGGTCGTGCCTCTCCCACTTTCCCAGCTGTCGCACGTCGCCTCCTGCGCAATTCCCCCTCTCGGTGCTGAGCAAACAGTGCAATCACCCGCTTCTATGATTCTATTTCCTCGTTGAAGCTGGAACCCGATCGGACAGCGCGAAACAGAGAGAGAGAAAGAAAAGGGAGCAGGGGCAAAGGGGTATCACGGGGGCCGAACAGTGGTAGTGGTGGTGGTGTGAGGGAAGGGGGAGGATGATGTTGATGTTGCTGTGCGGCGGTGCGTCACAAGGTGGAGAGCAACAAGTGCCACATGTAAGCAAGCAAGGTCCGCTGGCGGACCCGCGATTCATGACGGAGAGTTGGATTAATCGACCAACGAACTACTAGGTGAAACACAATTACAGGAACAGAAACAGCCGTGTCTGCTATTCTTATCTCCAGCCCCACTGCTCTCTTCAAACCGACTTAGCCGTGTACATTACAGGAATAGGCGGACCGTAGAGCAAAATGCTGTTATTAGTATTTGAAGTCATTGGCTGTACTTTCTACTAGAATAAATATTCAGATACTTTCGATAAGCTTATAAGAAGAGCTAGATACATATAAGCGCCTCAAGAGAGCGTTTAAAATGGATCTTAAGGTGCGTCAAGCCCTACATATGTATAATGCATCCGTCATTGATGCATGCACATGCGTGCGCCTGTCCACACGTGCACGATCATCGTCGGGCTAGCACGTGACATCACGTGGCGACGCGAGGCACACAGCATCTGATCATCAACGCTTTATTGGAATCTGCACGCCCCCATCCAAATATAGACAGCATCAGAATAACTGTGCAGACATCTGCAAGCATGACTGTCAATAAAGCAAGCCCCACAGAGACATCAAATACCTAGGTATTCGTAGAAGCACACCTCTGACGACGAGGGAGACTTCTTCCAAGGAGGTTTGCAACTTCGCTCTACTGTAGCTCTATCGGTAGACTCAAACTCAACTCTGCAGGGCACCGTGATTGATCCTCCATCCAACGATCGAAAACATTCGGGTAAAATCGTCAACCTAAGTCCTACGTTGCTTTCAGAATGCATAGCGATCTTTGACCTACACGTCAAAGTATAGTGTAGCCCAAATTTTGCTGCATCGACACACCTTGAAAGCTACATGTGGCTGGTAATCCTTAGCAGAAGAAACTTTATTGATGTGTACCATTTCTACCCAGGCGCATAACCCACGGTTTTATCAAGGCACATATAACTATCTTCAAGACTTCACTCAAAGCCAGGGAAGACTGCTCAGCAAAAGTTACAGATACTCCGATCTCTGTATCATAGTTTCAGAACATCTCCCTTGTCCAAATCGTACCAGCCAGTGACTCCAACGGCGATGCGAAGTGCTATCCGCTAGGAACATACTTCAACAGACGTTCACGTGTCTTCCGCGCATCCACAATCTGCCTTCGAGACTTCCTTTTGGGTGGAGATAAGTGTGCTGGTCGATCACCCCCTAGGTGTCGCATCAACTTCATTATCATGAATGAATATTGTATTGCCACGAGTTGCCCGAGTGTCCCACTGGAACAGCGCACAACGGCCACCACTGAATCTCCACCGACGCGCCATCGTGTGGCTCCAACGCCGATGTTTTTAAGGCCGGTGCGTTCCCATAACTAGACATCCATCATGTGAGGCCCTATACATCTTGTCGAATGGATTCTGCGCCCTCATCAAGCCTCCAAGATGCTCCGACGGACTGCTATCCAATGCAAGGAATACTGGAACTGCTGCTGCCAAAGTGTTCCAGATGTCTGACCTTTAGCAATGGCTTCTGCGTCGACTCTGATCCCGTGTGTCCTCAGGGTTTTGCGAGGAGAGGATTCGTCCTTTAACACCAAGCGAAGGCCACCCCCTCCCCCCCCTTCATGAGCTCAACTTGCAGGTGATGCGTGTACCTCTACGACATTGCCTAGCTGTGATACATTGCAAGAGGAGGGAAGGAAAGCTTTCCAGAAGATCACTACTTCACTCTGCCAATTGGGACAAGCTTTTTTTCAAGGAAATCCAGTAAATGTTTGCTGTCACCCATGGACCCAAGCCCAGGCAGAAGATGGTGCTGGGCCATGGCTCTCGGTGCTCGCTGCTATGGAGTTTTACGTGCTGAGTGAGCAGCACTGAAGTAAAAATGGTGTTTCCAAATGGCGGGCCAGCCTGATTACTACAAGTACTCGGGTAATAACCACAAAAAGCACTCAGTGAGGCATCTCAACCATCTCAACGATTCAACAATGGGCATCGTGTGATTGACTGCTGCCTGGCGATAGGAAAAGGATAAAAGCCCGAGGTAGGTACAGCTCCCCCACTCTGACACTTCACTCCAGCAGCCTCAAAATCACAAATCCAGCGATAAATCCTCCGGTGAATCCACCCATGGCTGCCATCCCCATCTACGTCCGTAAAGTCTCCAACCTCAAACCCGGAACAAACCTGCATCTCGCAGGTCATACCCCACTGTCACATTGGCTCGATTAAAAAAGATGATACCTGCATCTTCAATCATTTCATCCAAGTGCCCTGACAACACCGCTCTTGTCGACGAACATTGTTTATTAAATACGTGCCCAGTTTATCCCGTCGGTAAGTACAAAGAACAGTTTGAGTGGATATTGTAGAGGATGTGCAAGATTTGTTGGTAATTTGACTCAGAGAGAGGCGACACGATTGAAAGGAACGTCTATGTCTACCTGGGTACGTATCAACTACTTCCATTTCTATACAGGAGAGGATCGTTTTAACGGGCCTGGAGATCCACCTCGCCAATACCTCACAGAAATGCCGCGCGATGGCATAGAAACATTCCAGATCAACGCCAATACGCTCATTTTAATCTCAGCGCTGAGCGTATTAGCTTTGATGTTCAAATGTGCGTATTGGCGTTGATTTGGAATGTATTTATGCCACCGCGCGTCGTTGTGGCGAGGTGCATCTCCAGGTTAATGGAAGTAGGAAGCCTTGTAAGAGCTCTACTCTTTTATATGTAAAAGGCAACAAGCGTACTATAGTTCTTTAACCTGAATATTACACATATTTTGAATCTGTACATCTCTACTAGTTTGTCAGGACGCTTCGTGCGTCACATGCGCAGTCAATTATCACCAGCGGCCCATTTACCAGTGCTTACATACCTACATACCTAGGTATGTACATACGGATGTATGTACGTAGATGTTGGCCGCTTCATTGCGGATCTAGGCCAAAAGGTGTCCTTCTATCACTGCATTTTTGTGCTCTATACTACCGGATGCAGCAGCTTGAATGGACTCTAGAATATACGAACATATCATGATATATACCTAGATATCTAAGTGTGCCTTTGCATACTTTCGGAAAAGCAGGCGTCATACTAAAGTATGAAAATTGCCTAATGCCATTGAAACACCCTCAAGAAACTCTTTTTTGCTGACGTACGAAAATTGATTTCCATGCGAGAACCGACTCTTGAATCATTGATTGTGAGGAAAGGGACAAATATCGCGATCATGCATGCACGTAGCCCTCATCTAGGCTGGGCGATCGGCTATTCGTTCTCGGGACGCTAACGGCAACGGCCAACTAACCTCCTCCTTCTTTCCCTTTCACATGCCCGCAGCACCTCCTGTCTTCCTCAACAGCACCACCTACCGGCGCGCCCAAATAAACAGACCCAGACATGACCCCTCATTCTTCTTCCATGTACCAGATATATCATCCTCGCGTCCCCCACTGAACGTAACAGCCTGCATCACTCCATCAACAACTCATTCTTCATCACCTCAAAACACACAATCATCGTCATCAATACCAACGCCAGCATTACCGTCACCATGCCAGGCTCCCCTCCAAGCCCTTCCGACCAGCCCGACCGCACCCGTCTGTCGGAGGCCCAAAAGAAAGAAAACCACATCAAGTCCGAGCAGAAACGCCGCGAAGCCATCCGCGGAGGCTTCGACCGCCTTGCCGACATTGTCCCAGGCATGGCAGGCCAAGGTCGCAGCGAGGCCGTCGTCCTCGAAGCCACCCTCCAGATGATGCGCGAGCAGATTGACAAACGCCAGAAGCTCATCGAGAAAGCAAAAGCAAAAGGTCTTGATGTGTCTTCGTTCGAGCTCGATCAGCAGACTGTGATGGCGGCTTATGAACAGATGGAAAGGAACGCGCGCGATGCTCGCGATGTTGAGCAGGGACAGGCTGATGCTGTGCAGCAGGCCTAGTATGAAACTGATGCTCGTATAGCCGATGTTCGTGGTGAGAATCGGCAGGCGGAAAAGCGGGAAAGGCAGGCGAAAGAGCGGGAGCAACAGCGGGCGGAAAAGCGGGAAAGACAGGAGAAAGAGCGGCAGCAGCGACAGATGGAAAAGCGAGAAAGACAGGAGAAAGAGCGGGAGCAGCGACAGGTGGAAAAGCGGCAAAGACAGGCGGAGAAGCGGGAAAGGCAGCAGAAAGAGCGGGAGCAACGACAAGCAGAAAAGCGGGAAATACAGCGGAAGACACGAGAATGGCGGATGCAGGAGTCTCAGAGACTACAGCAGGAGGATCAACAATTGCAAATACAACTACAGCAGCAGCAACAGTTGTATATGCACCTACAGCAGAGAATGCGGCAGCAAATGCAACTGCAGCAGGCCCGACTGCAAATGCAGCAGATACAACAGCAGCAGATGCAACTGCAGCAGATGCAAAAGCAACAGATGCAACTGCAGCCAGTACAACTATCGCCAGCGCAACTGCAGCTAGTGCAACTGCAGCAAGTGCCACTGCAGCAGATATACCTGCAGCAGATGCAACAGCAGCAAAAACTACAGCAGCAAAAACTACAGCAGCAGATACAGCAGCAGATGATATTCTAGCAGAATCAACAACAATTAGAACGAGAACAGCGGGAAAAACAGCAGGCGGAACAATCTCAGCAGGAACAACAACAGTCAATGGTTGAGACACCGGCACCAAACCCTCCCTCCGAGGAGTCTGACCCGTTATGGCCAGAAGAACTTGACCAGCTTGAATGGTGATTAGATCTGCTGGCTAAAGAGGTTCCCTTCCTTCAACTTTGTTCATGGCTCTGAATGATTTCTCAATGTAGACCCTAGCCGTCGTCTCTTGTTTCCTTTTCTTTCTTCCCCAGATCCCCATAGGTGTAGATAGATGGCACATTCAATTCCGAATTCAATCATCATTCCCCATTTTTGTCCTGTCCAACGCATCCCACTCCTAATCTCACATCTCGAATTCCATAACGCATTTAATTAGATTTCGACCCCACTCAACACACTTGCACATCACAAATCACCCTCCTCACACCTCCCCCTTCCAGGCCCTCAAACTCAACCTCGCCAGCCACACACCCAACCCCTCCACATTCAACCCGGAACCCATCCACGCTACCCCCAACGCCAAAATACACGCGCTTCGCAGCTACCAGTGCCTTCCCTTCTTTCACCCGCTTCAACAGTGCCGCCATAGCCGCAGTGAAGGCCCGCAGCGAGGCTGGAGAATATATCGTTTCCGACGCGAGGAGCAGCGTATTCAATGACGGCGTAGATGGGATCAGCGGCAGCAGACTATCAGTAGGATGCCATGAGCCGCTCAGCAGCGTGAGCGTTAGACCGGTGGATTGGAGGTGTTCCGCGAATGCGGAGAGGAGGTGGGGTGTGATGTGGAGTTCTCCTTGGGCTTGCTGCTCCTCGTTCGCACCAGTAGAAGAAGACTCTGCTGCAGTCGTAGTTGTAGTCGTAGATGATACCGAACCGTCAACAAACCCACTAACGCCGACCAACGAACCCCCCTTCTCTTCACCGCCCTCCCCTTCCGCCCCCTCGAAAAGTTTCTCGCCCATCTCTCCATCCAAACTCGCAACCCAATTCAGCAGCAGATTCGGCACAGTGACCAGCCTCAGCACATCGACGTTATAATCCGTAAGCGTGAAATATATACCCAGCCCATTCTTGACTGCGTACTGGAAAAGAAGCAGAGAAGGCAAGGCCGTGCCGCAGCCCATTTCTATGACGTGGTCGACGCGGACGAGGTCGTCGATGTCTTTGCGGGGGCCGCGGTCGAGGAGGAAGCGGGCGAGGTCGAGGCTGCATTCCCAGGTTTTGTAGCCGCCTTCGTAGATTGAGGGGAGGAGGTCTGATGTCTGGATTTTTGGTGAGTTAGAAGGGTTTGGATAGACTTTTGAATGGGGCCGGGGGTCGAATAGATGGAGTTTATCGTGTCTGGTATATGACCTTAGTCGATGCGCATGTGGATGTACAGCGGAGGTATAGTAGAGGCAGGACTGCTCCTCTCCTCCAACTGATCGTAGTACATCCTACCCCATGGTAATTTTCTCATTACGAAGAGTTTTTATCGTTATACTTGTCATCAGTCGTGAAATGCGATGATCGCAACTAATAACAGGTATAATAATTACTCTCTCACAGACACCGGGAAGATCACCGACATTCGTCATACACAATCCAATCTCATCCCTCCAAGACCTGCATCAATATACATATTCATGCACCAAGCACGTGTACAACAAGGCAAAGAAAAGAAAGGTCCACATACCTCTAACCCAGACAACGGATTTGCCGTCGTCCCATCATCCTCCGCCATAATCTGGAGTTTCACATCGAAAAGCTCGCGGCGCGGGATCCGCGCTACTTTCCCACTTGGCGATGTAGTTTCGAGAATGTTGTATGCGATTTTAGAGGGGAGTGTTGAGAGCTAGGTAATCCTTTTGTATTAGAACGGGTTCCGCTATAAGAAAACTCCATAAAAGAGCCAACAAAATGAGGTAGAAAAGCAGAGAAGTTTCCGTGAACGTGAGGAGTCGTAAAGGAAGTCAGGTAGTAGCAAACAGAACAAAAAGATAGCTGGGGAAAGCTTACCTACCAATTCACTCAAGTCATGTGTCTGAGCCGGGATGGGTGGGGGTACATCGCTCGTCGTGGTTGTAGACTGGTTTTGATTCTTCAATGAGGGGTTGTCGGTGGTAGTGTCTTCTTCTATGTCGTCGCCTGAGAACCCGAAGCTGAATGACATTGCGTCTGTCACTTGTTTAATCCAAGGATCTAGTTGAAGAAATGAGTATACAGATCCTCGAGCACGGAGTTATGGTGGTGGTGGGAGAAATTTGGGGAGCCGGGAGTCTTATCGATAAGAGAATTGGCTGTTAGCGCGCGTTTAGTTCGTAGTGGGGAGCGGAGCATCGCTATAGTTCGTCATGCTGGAATGGGGAAGGGCATATCTTTTGTGCTGCTCTGGATTTAGTATCAATGACTTTTTCACGCTCAGATCGTAATTGTCTTCAGCCGCGTACTACATTAGTCGTGAACCCCTCCCTATCATCACTACTCACAATTACCAAGCGCATAGCAAACTACAATCGCATGTTATCTTTTACATTGACGAAGATTTCTAGTGATGAGGGTATCAAGGAAAATGTACCGATGAGGCTCAACACTCAAACGCCGAATGAAATGAGAAAATCCAACTGCCATATTCGCACATCCGTATGATTCCAACCGCGGGACACAAGGACATCAAAAACCATAACGCCTCAGTATTTAGTAGTGGCATCCGTGCCAAAAGATCGGCTGATATCCAAATCCCTCGTTGAACAGAATCTTCGATGTTTGTCATAAACTATTTTGACAAGCGCGCCCTGGGGATCTGCCAAAATCAAAATCTCTTTTTGAATCCCTGGATCGTTTTCTGTCGTTCATTGTATTCTTTGGCAGTGTATTCTCTCGCAGTATCCGCAACCTGCTTGTTACCGTCTCTCGCATGCTTCAAACGATTCGTAGCCCCATCTATGGCTTCGATGTGGTACCTGAGCGGCTTCTTCCCATCCTGGTAACCTTCCAAGCGCGGCGCGTCTACATCTTCCTTGAGGTGACCCAAATGAGCCCGAAGCTCTCTAAGCTTCTCAATTGTAGAGTGGACGGCTTCAAGAGCGCTATCACGGTGCTCAAACATCGTTTCAATAACGCCGAGGATTTTGTCGAAATCCTGAAGCTTGGACCTAGTGCGTCTATCAAAGGCAATGCCAAACCATAGGGATGTCTCGACTTGCTCGCGCTTGTTGGTAACTGTAGTCTTGTCCTGGTGAGCGATTTGTTGGATGACTCCGATAAGCTTGTCCATATCTTGTAAATAAGTTTCGATGTTGTATGCTTTCTCAATCAGCGTTTCGATTTCGGAACTAACAAAGCTGATTTGGTACGTGTATTGCTCGAAGAGTCTCGCTTCAATTGCGGCGGGTTTACGACCCCAAGGACTGATTTGCGTGAGTGTGCGCGACAGTAGGTTTTGGGCGGCGGCTGCTCTGGTTTCGTCATCGATGGAGTTTAGTTGCTGAATGGCATGTCTGTTAGAGTGTATTACATGGTCTACCGTAGCTCCGACTGCAGAGTTATACTCAATCAGTCTGGAAACTGTAGCATCGGTAGCTTGTATGTAATTTTCCACTTCATTGCCGATTTCGTTACGAGAGGGAAGGGCAGAACTCATGATAATCCCTTTGAAGGCTATTAAGTCCGTGTTCGATTTTCTCAGAAGAGGTGGTCCCCAATAGGCGTCTTTATTGGCCTCCATCACTTCAGCGAACATCGACTGAATCACGCCAAGCTCTTCAAAATTCGAAGAGGGGGAATCGGGGACTTGGACTTTGGATCCAGGGCTCAAACTACGACAGAACGGCACAATGTATGTCGACCCAGGCAAATGGCAGACAGGCCCCAGAATTCTGTTATAGAGCGCGGTTTTGGAGTATTGCATGGCAGAGAGCGCGATCAGGACGCATAGCAACAAGCCTAAGAGTGGCCTGATCACTTGTAGCGCATCCCCTACCACAGCAGCTGTGTACTTCAGAGTAGGCAAAAGTACATGCTCCCAGAAGAGTTGCGTGTAGCTATTTTCATTGTCGAGAGGTCCACGGGCTTTACGCTGTGAGCGGCGAGGGCGTTTTGGTTGATTGCCGTCTGGGCTGCCCCTTCTATGGATAACCTGCTTCTTTGCGCGTGGGGAGGGTCGATAGAAGTGGTTAAGTTCACCGTCGATCGAAGGCATCTTAAAGTCTGACTGTTGTGAAGATCGTTGACTCGGCGAGACCGTTGAACGGATTAGAGCATTTCCACTGCCCCGTCGGATCGATGATTGCCTCGCAGTTCTCGCTCGACCAGTGGTTGAACCTTGCGTAGGAGCCGAAGCCGTTATCCGAGGCGGCAAAGGGGCTGATAGCTCCTCCTCGCTTTCAGATGATGCGGTATGTATTGAACTTTCGTTGGAGGAAGGTGTGTAAGCCTCTTCCCATGAGTCACCGAGACTCCCTTGCCGCCTTCGCGTAGTCATATTGATGGTATGTGGACAAAAGGTAAAGAAGAGATTTCGAGTTGAGTTGAGCTTGGTTGATTTCTGGATGTAGAAATAAAGTGAAAAGCATACACGATTGTGCCACCCGTTGATTTGGGTGTAATCGCTCTGTTTGCTTTTGTGAATGTGAACCAAGACAGCTGCGTTAACAAACCACGGTGCTGTCTCAAAAGCAGGGGCTCGATCTCTAGAAGAACAGGCGCGTAGTGAATGGGCCAAATACTGGGTATAAAGAGGCAAATAGTTGGGGTCTTAGTTGGACAAAGCGGATGTACACGAACACGGAACACGGTCACCACGGCATATCTCAAGAGACACGCAGGTGAGCAAAGGCGACGTCATTGTGGCTGATCGTCCACTGCCACAGTGAGCCACGCTTGCGCTAACCGCTTCCGGATGCGTAACGGGAACTTCAAGTTCATTCCAAACAAGTGTGTTCCAAAGAAACTGCAAGTTCTCCATGCCGCGACTTGGGTTCTTTCTGAACGCTGCTACACGCGTTCAATTGCGCTCACGCACCCTTTCCCAACACAATTCCATTCTTTCAAGGTGCTGTTCCTGCTCTGCACCCCAGCAAATCCAACATACCAAGAAGCATACCGACGAGAAAGCAAGCCCGCAGCTTCTCAATACCACCACATCGGACCCGTCCACTCCCCCAACCGATCATCGCACGCTCGCGCAAGCTCACAGTCTCTTCACCACATCCCCCTTTTCGCCCGGCTCGCCGCTCCTACTTCCCAATGGCGCATACGTTTTCCAGAAGCTACAGGCTTTCCTCCGCGCCCAATACCCACAGTTTGGTTACCAAGAGGTGATCACGCCCACCATATACAAAAAGTCGCTATGGCAGAAATCGGGGCACTGGGATAATTATGCAGAGGACATGTTCAGTGTACAGGGGCGGGGCGCATCGGGGAAAACAGAAGGTGCAGAAGTCGGCCAGGACGAGGAATTCGGCTTGAAGCCGATGAACTGCCCCGGACACTGTCTCTTGTTCGCAGAGAAGGTAGCCAGCTATCGTGACCTTCCTGTTCGGTATGCTGATTTCAGTGCACTGCATCGAAACGAGATATCGGGTGCTCTCACCGGACTGACAAGGGTCCGACGTTTCCACCAAGACGACGCACACATCTTTTGCCGACCAGATCAGATATTGGCGGAAATAAAGTCTACACTGCAATTTGTTGGAATGGTTTACGACACTTTTGGCCTGGGTCCGTACAAACTTCTTCTCTCGACACGACCCCAGGACCATTTCATAGGCACAGTGGACGAATGGGACCGAGCCGAGAGCCAGCTGACAGATGCACTCAACAGCAGTGGCCGAGAGTGGGCTATTAATGAGGGGGATGGTGCTTTCTACGGCCCAAAAATCGACATCATTTTAAAAGATTCCAACGGAAAAGAGCATCAGACTGCTACCATCCAGCTCGATTTTCAACTCCCGCAGCGCTTCGACCTACGATACTCAGCCTCTCCACAGGAACTGGAGGCGTCACCCGAAACTAATACTGACAACTCGTTGGAATCCACTCATCGACGACCAGTCATCGTGCACCGCGCCATATACGGCTCGCTCGAGCGTTTCATGGCACTCCTCATCGAGCATTACGCAGGGAAATATCCTTTCTGGCTGTCCCCTCGACCGGCTATTGTCTTAGCCCTCAACTCCGATCCCAAACTCATCGAATACGTATCGCAAATCCAATCCGTACTATCCGGCCTCGGCCCCTCTTCCCCCTCCAACGAACTCTCCCCAACAAAGCCGCGTCCACAACCCCTTTCTACGACCCACCTTCCCATCGACATCGACACCAGCAGCCGCTCTCTTTCTAAGAAGATTGCTGAAGCTAGAATGAAAAAGTACAATCACATTGTCGTCGTGGGGACGCGGGAGATGGAAAACCAGAGTTTGCGCTTGCAGTTCGCGAATCATCCAAATGAAGCTGCAGCCGTACACGCGTTAGAGGAGACCCTGGGCAGAGAGCTAGTTGACGGCGATAGATCGAAAGGTCAGATCAATGTCGGGCTGGAAGTCACGCAGGCGAGGAAGTTTTTCGAGCGCATGGTGGATGGGTTTTTGTGATGCCGAACATGTAAAAATAGACTACTCTGTTAAAAGAATGTGCTATATGTATACCTACCGGAGAGAGCCTTTTCTTTCCTCATATTAAGCTTACTTACGATAAGATTATGTGCTTCGGTGATGTTCCCCCATCGCCACATACACTTGCTGTACGGGAAAGAGTGGACCTGTGATGTGGCGCTAACCTGGATTTGGGCTGGTCGGGAAAGAGGGCTGCCGAACAGGATAATCCTTCTCCGACCTCTCTTCAGACGATTACATTGTCAGTGAAATCACCAAGTCATCCACCTAATCACATCAACTATCTATCTCTCTTTATTATTTCTATGTTTCTATTGTCTGATGATTTATTTAACGTTTATTTTAAGTAAGAGTTTAGGTGTTTTCTCCCTATCTGCTTACAATGACCGATGTTTTCTAGCAAATATGTTTGTAGCTGGGAGATGGATTCCGGGGATTGCGTGTCGGAGGGAGGGCACTGCAGATTGGGTGTGAGAGTTTGAGATTTTTTAGGTGATGTATGGATAATATTCTTCTTTCTGCTCTCCTCATCTTGACAATCCTACGAATCTTCCTTGCCGCTCTCGTGGTCATCGTCCCGTCGATTGTGTTTTGGATATGCATCTTCCCTGGGGATGTGCTCCACATTATCGCCTCTCTGCAGGTTTTCTATTAACGTTTATCTTCCTTCAAGCTGTGTCCTTCACGATCATCTTCTTGTGGATTGCTGTTTTCGTGTTTCTCTTCCTGCAAGTTGCGCGCCACGCGTTCTTCTCCCTGCAAGCCAATACGGCTATCATACCCTAGGTCCATCCTCCGTGTTTTGATAACTTCCTACTGGGTCTTGCTTTTATCTTTGAATGGAGCGTTGACAAACTTGAGGTTGGCATCAATTTCCCTCTTACCCCTGTGTTCCTTAATGGCAGCTTCCGCATCAGCACTAAAAAAGTCATAATTTGACTTGGTGGTAGAAGCCGGCGGTATATCGCCCCATAATTTAGCAGGATCGGCCTGCTTTCCTAATCCCAGCTTGTGTTCCATGTCGTATTCTTTGGTTCGGGAGTGTTTGGACTGGTCTTCGTGCCAGAAAGGGCCTTGTTCCCTGTTGCATGGTGCGAACCTGCGAGGATCCCACAGTGAAGCCTCTTCGCCGTGGCACGGAGTGTCGTAACGGGTTCTTGTGCGCTTGAGCTTCTCAGCAAGTTCAAGTTCTTGACCAGGCTTCCTTTGCTGTCCTTGCTCACGAATCTGGGAGGTGGCTGCATGCGGCATGCCTCTTGTCTCCGCCTTTGAGTCAACTTCAGTGGACGATGTTTCATCGCCGCCAACGGTAGTATTAGGTATCTTGTCAGCCTCAGACTCATCGACGACGACATGACTTTGTGTTTGATCTTCGGGGGGAGTAGCGTCATCATCTTAGGATGGGTTCTTTGAAGAACGTAGCATGTTCTCTGAGCCTATAAGAGACTAAGATGAGTTTAGGTAAGTTTGCATCTTTTTGGTGTTGATAGTTGAGTGACGGTCGATCACTGCTACCGTTGTAGCGGTTTATGTCTTCAAGTATTGCTTCTCCAAAACTAGAACACTTGTCAAGCCGGCACACGCACTGATCTTTCCTTTGTTTCTAGTTCGCTTTGTCCGGTGCACGAAAGTTGCAGTGTTGCCTAGCCATGTATGAGGAAGATCACGGCATGAAAGTTGAGCACATCTCCAACTTGATACTTTAGATGAGGGCATCGCGATATATATGATAGGGCACGAGCTGCTAATGAATAGAGCAGTGAGTTCTTCCTCGCACCCCACCGGCATAACCGAAGAGAAGGCAATGAAAAAAAGATATAAAAACCCAAAAATTGTATATAGCCACTCAAGAGCATGATTACTGTCACTTCCACCAGCCGAAGCCGGGGAGGCTGACTACTCAAGAGCTGAAGGCTCGGGACTAGTCAAGAGTCCTCAACCTTCATCACTGCCCGCGCACGTAACAGTGTGGTAGCAAGATTTCGCCGAAGCTCGTCTTGCCTCCGTGCTTTCGATGGATCTAGCACGGGTTACAACAGGAGGGAGTTAAGCATCAAGGCCGCATCCGTCGTTGTTGCAAGGGTTTGAGAATGGCGAACCATCCCCCCACCAAATTCAGGAGCTACCCCAATTCAAACCAATTGCCATGGACCCAAAAGCCTGTCAGAGAACTTTGAAGTTCCTATATCGTAGGCATCATTCCTGCATCGCCTTGCTTCGCCGGCTCGAAGACTGGTAATGGGAATGGAGGAGTATCCTCTGGTATGATTGAGGCAGCATATGGAGGGTCAGACCTAACCCCCCACTCGCACCCTGGCTCAGCTAAGAACGCAGTGGCCTGAAAATCCCAGTGGCGGAGCCCAGCGGCGCGTCGAAGCACCGTCCCGCTTTTCCCATCGAAGTATTCGAACCTTAACTGACAGACTACAAAAACCCGCGCGCAGCTTAGAAATTCCGACCTGCAAGAAGGAGTAGAGTTCTGAAGCTCGGTTGGAGTAATCGTGACTGCAGTCAAGGCCGACCATAGCCGGTGCGCGCAGCTATGGCCGTCGGGGCCTCCTGCATCCGGATGTGTGAAAAGGGAACGGAAGTATGGAGAGGCCGCATCCGTTTTTGTCCCCAGGGTTTAGAGTCGCTAAGGACTCTCTGCCAAAGTCAGGACGACGTTCCAGGTAAAATCCAATTGCCATGGACCTTCCGGTCTGTCTAGAATGTTCCAAGGAAAGCATTCTATATCGCAGGCTTCTTGCTCCTCATGTGATTCGATTCGGCACGACCGCACGAAGATCAGCTTTGAGTGTGGAGGTGGACCCTCTGGTATACCTGGATCGCCAAGGGAAGACCGGCCTGCCTTCCTTGCGCGCAGGTTTTGACGCGGCCCGACATAACCCAATGACAATGCCCAGTGACGCCGCTCCTTTATCAAACCGCACGTCACCTTTCAATCGAAAAATTCGAACCCCAGCCACAGAACCACAACTACCTGCGCGCAGCCAAGAGAGCCCGACCTTCAAAAAGGTATGGGGACCCAAAGCTCGGGTTTGTCGAAGTGATTACTGTAGTCGGAGCCGACCATGCTGATGTACGCAGCTGATCGTGGGGGCGAGATGGATGACAAAACGATGCGGGAAAGCGAGAGGAAGGGAGGAGGGAAAGGAGGAGGGAAAGGAGGAGGGAAAGGAGGAGGGAAAGGAGGAGGGAAAGGAGGAGGGAAAGGAGGAGGGAAAGGAGGAGGGAAAGGAGGAGGGAAAGGAGGAGGGAAAGGAGGAGGGAAAGGAGGAGGGAAAGGAGAATAGGGTGGGTGAAGGGGAAGTAAAAGGGGAAATATGGGGGTATCGAAAGTCCGCATCCCTTTGATTTCAGGTTTGAGCATACAGATGCATCCTCGCCTACACCGGGACGTCACTGCATGCATATCAATTGCCATGGACCTTTCGGCCTATCAGAAGACTCCAGTGAAGTTTCAATATCGAAGGCATCTTCGCACATCGTTCCGCACCTGACTGTCCAAAGTGCTTACTGGTATTGACTGGAGAACCTCGAATGCACACAGTGACAAGTAGCATGCTGTTGTTACTGATGGATGTTAGCATGTCATCGAAAATAGTGGGGACGGGTTGGATACCAGATGTTACCGCGCAGTACCTCTCCCCGGTCCCATTGAAGGGCTGACAGGGTGGCCACTGGCCCAGCGAAACCCATCGGCCGACCCAGCAACGCCGTGCCGAAGCTTCTGCACGTTGCCGTTCGATCAACAGTAGTCGAGCCCGCAGTCCAGTAGAGAACAGCAGTTGGACGCAGCAGGTGGTTGAATCAGAGCCATACATCCTGAGCATGTCGCAACAGAGTTCGCGCTGGACCGTGAGCCAACCAGTCGAACACGCAGTCCAGTAGAATACAGCAGTTGGACGCAGCAGGTGGTTGAATCAGAGCCATTCATCCTGAGCATGTCGCAACAGAGTTCGAGCTGGACCGCGTGCCAACCAAATGCCGATGCGGCAGCAAAAGGTTGTGGGGGTCTCAAGGAGAAAAGAGAGAAGGAGGGGCACGGGGGAACTTTATATCGAGGCTTTCAAAGCTCGGGCCACCCGTCTATGTCCAAGGCAGCAGCCCGTGGCCCGGGCTTTCACATACATGTAGTGAGCGTGAAGCCAACACGTGACCTCACAACAAACAGCTCCCACAACGCAATATATAATAGCCCTCGGCTTCCTTCGCTACCACTCGTCACCCGAAAACGAGTTCTCAGCCACAAAAAGTGACCGTAAGTTCATGAACTATCTGTATAGAATGGCCAAAATCGCCTGAGATTAGCTTCCCCTCGAATCATTGAATACCCAATACAGCATAATGCCTCGATTCAACCAAGACCATGCATTATCATGTTTTTCAATTCAGTCAAGTTAATGACATGCATTAAATATAATTGCTCACGCTGGGATTCTGTGTTGTGTATATACTTGTCGCGCGCTTGATGTATTGGTATAATCACCGAACTAGATGCATATAGCATGATCAACTACGCCTGCATACTGTGTCATTATCCAGTTTTCCTTCTTCATTCGCAAGCTCTAGCATATTATAAATGTATTCTTGACCTTAATACTCTTCAACTAACTAAAATTATTGTCACTTATGTTATAACTGATGAGACGGTAGCACCTCTAGATGACGTTTCTTTCAACATACGTTTCCCATTGTTTCCAGACATTTCAGTGCATTATATAAATTATCCTGTCTTCTGTTTGAATCTCGGTGACTCTGATATCTAGCTATCTTTCTTTAACACAAAAGTATATTGTTATTCAGGCGTAGATAGACAACATCGCCATGTACAATCAGAAGCAAATGAGTGACTAATAAAGCATATGTCCACGTCTTTCCTGCAGCATACTACTATATCTTCAAGTTCTAGAAAGTTTCAAAAAGAGTTAATAGATGTTTCAATTCCCTTGATATGGCTGCAGATGTCGCCGGATACATGTGGTTGAGATAGTGGATGAAACTTGATGCAGTTTTGGAGATGAAAGAATGAAGTTACGGCTTCGGAATCGTAAAATATCTATACTCAGTAACTCTAAATCTACATAGTATATCATGAAGAAGACGGCATGACCTCTCTCTTTCATCTGTGTAATCACTTAAGCCGTCGATTGTTCAAACCTAGGCAGCAAACACAAACTGCAGTTCTATCTTCTACGACACGCAAGTAATGCATGTATATTACTCTTGTTTCCTGATTTCTATAAAATAGGCAGGGTATCTCCATCTTCATCTTTTATTTTAGATTAATTTTTACACGAGTGTGTAAGTCCTATTGTGATCTAACGACATCTAAGTACACATGTATCAATCCCGTTTTTATGAGCAGAACCAGTAATCCTTGAGGAAATAATTAATATGAAGATCAGGAATAGGAGGCTCAATAGTGTAAGCTAAGCCAGAAGACAAATTAGGTAGATCTACGCTTGGGTCATAGGAGGCAGCTGAACCAACGTGATTGTTCCACTTCAACTCTAATTTTGGAGAGTTTCTGGATCACGAATGACTAAAGACGGGCTGGTAAAATGACTTGAAGTTTCCATGCGCAAACAGCACTAGAAGTTTCCCGATAACGACAGTGGATCTGCAGAGACGATTATGAAGAAACTTCCTTAGTACTTCAAGTCATATGCTCGAGAAGAATAGTGCTAAATTAACCATAGATATATAGGCCAGGTATTTGGAACGAATGCATTCTCTCTTATATGGGCCAATAGAAGCACACCAAATCCACATGATTCGAATCTCGATGAACGCAAAGAGGTCAATGAGGTTTAGTGAGCAGACGCCGTCCGTGTGAAAAGCCTGACAACTCCTTGGCGTAGTGAGGAAGCTAAGTATATTATTTGATCATCGCATATCGCATGCGGCACAAACACTGGGTATTGAAGAATCACACGATAAATCTGCCTTCGAGCTCTAGGCAGGACACATGTTCCGTGGTTATCACGAAACTTATGAGTCATCATTCACTCAGCCCGATTGATTCATATCTATCAGTTGAAGTTGTCATAAAGTTTTCATCATCTGGAAGCCTCCATCATTTATGACCTGGGACTGCCGTGATCAATGAGATCCGGCTAATGGAAGCACAAAATCTACAGCGATAAGTAAAAGAACTCACGGCTGAACACGTGTAAAACCTCCATGATTACCCTCGCTTGACAACACTCATATATAAGCTCTATCATCATTGTTTCATCATCTCCACAGCCATGTGCTTGCCTGAATAGCTTTGAAGATAATCAAGACCGAATCAGCCCGATCCATTGAACTAAGGACGACCAGTTGCCCGTTTGTGGCGCGTCAGGACTTGATTGGGGTTGAGCCCGTTGATGTTTCGCTTGGAAGGCTTGGCTTTGCCCTGGGTGACCTTGACGAAAAGCTTGTTAGGAACCATTGTTGGTTTGGCACCTGTAGGCTTCTGTTCCTGTGTATCCTTTGGCTTTGTGCCAGCCGTGCTCTTTTTCTCTGCGCTGTTGTGCTTCCCATTGCGCACAGCGCTATCTAAATCACCGAACGGCTTGTTCTCATCAACAGGCACTCCATAAGTCTCCAAGTGAAAGGCCTTGTAGGCGTCCGAAGTAGAGTGCTCCATTTGATCCTCGTGTGTCATTCCGCATCGATACCTGTTGCAGGGCCGATATGTATTTGGAGCTTGGCGATGAAACTCCTCTTGATTGCAGAAGTCTTGGTACTGCGGTTTGCGAGTTTTGCACCATTCGGCCAAACCCTTATCTTTAGCAAGGTTCGCTGGGGTGAATCTGTCGTGGACAGGTAAGATGTGACCGGAAGCATAGGTGGGGCAAGATTGCGTTGAAGCTTCTTCCTCGGATGTCTCAGCTACGGGTGAACCGTTACGGGGGATATCGGCATGTGCGTCGGAGCTGCCTATATGATCGGCTTGATGGGTCAGAACTTCACCGGCGGTACCTTCGACAGGCACCGTATCGGGATGGTCATTGTTGATTGCCTCTGCGTCGTCATCCTCAAACAGTGAATCTAAATCGCTGTCACAGTCCTCGGAGGGAATGGCATCTCTGTAGGCAACACCGTCAGTACAAAAGCTCACTGTGCAAGAAAAATGTCATGAACTTACGGCTCATGACCAATCATAGCCTTTTGGACAGTACCATTTAGTTCATCAATGCCAGCAGCTTTCATGTCTTCATTCCGCACATGTCCAGGCACGCATTCCGAAGTTTCTTTCATCCGTTTTGGTTCTGATCCTCGAGCGCCATTTGGTGAGTCGGCAGCCCCGCGCTTACGAGTTTTCGAGATCTGGATCGTGTTTCCATCTATAGACTGCTTCTGGCATCAGGTATCAGTATTGGCTTTCTCATCGTCAAGAAATGGGCTAATATAGTGCAACTTACAGTCGGAGATCGTGGCTGGGTCAGGCGATCACCAGAAAGGTGGCTAGAATTATCGGGGCCACTGACTACGACAGGACCTCCCCGAAGGCATTGAACAGGTGCGCGACGTGGCTTCGGAGCAAACACCCCCCCAGTATTCTCATCAACAGCAGCACGTCGCCGGAGTTTGGCAGTAGTCTTAACAACTGATTTTGGGACAGCCGACTGCGAGATCTCTTTGGGGACCTGGGTGAGGTCTTCCATAGTGTGACCTTTTCCGTCCTCACATTCACGAGAGCTACTATCGACCGTGTTAGATTCTTGCAATTCAGTGAGTTTGTCTATGGTATAGATACTTACGAGTTTTGCACAATTCCTACAGCGAGCTGCGTGGTCTCAGTGTTGGTTACTCCAACCTCGTGCTTTGTCGCATGCGCAGAATCTCTGTATGCGATATAATTAGCAGACTCGGACATATTATCGGAGTTTTAACGTACAGTTTGGGGGCAATAGTAGAGTCGCCAGGGTCATTGCTCTCATGTTCACCCTCGCCTGTCAAGTCAATTGGATTATTCGCGTGACCGGCAGGGAATTTTGCAGCACTGGCAGGCTGTCCGGCGACCGGCAAGCCGGCGCCATGCACTGAGCGTTCAGCTTCTCGCTCAAGGGTTTGTGGTGGGGTAGAATTGTGGCCATCGACTTGCGTGTCAGCCGCGGCGTCTGCTGTATGGGGTGGTCTACGCTGCACCGGGCTGCCAATCTTCTTGCCCTCCTCCTCGATCATCTTCTCGACGCGACCTGGAGGAACACCCCAGATGGTGGCGCTCTCCTCGATGCGTTTCTTCAGATAAGCGGGATACTCGACGGGAAATTCACGACGAGGCATCTTGATTTGGCTGCGCTGTGACACACAAACTCGAAGCCCTACAAAGATGCGGTATAGGTGTGGACTGAGCTACGAGTATCTACAGTGGAGAAAGCAGTGGAAGGAAGGAGTATGGTGTACCGATGTCTGGCCCGATCTATTAGCAGCTTGCTCATTTAGGAACCATAGCAGTTGGCTAAACTTACAGTCAGATACAGTGGCAGCTATCTTGCGTGGTAGAGGTTGTAATTGTTTGGTAGGGTTGGCGAAGTGGGGTTTAAATATTGGGTCCTCAAGGCGCGTTTGTCTGGTGTGTCACGTGTTAATTTTGACGGGCGTTGACACTGTTTGCTTGGAGCACGGGCCCTGAGTCTCGAAGCCTTGTGAGCAGGCGTTTTAGTGAATAAGCGTGTTTGTTGCACAAGAGGACACGTCATCGAAATTCCCATAGGCCTGAATATTTCTTTTATCTTGTTATGATACGAGACGAAGTGTTTTCACTGATCTGTATGGTATCTCTGGGTACGACTGCCCTGTAGTCAGGAGTCCCTCCCATCTTTGAGAACCTCTGATTGAGTATCAAGAGTGGTCTCAGTTCTCAGGTATCAGGCTTTTGCCCGTCTTTCTTCCAAAAATTGGAAATATCACGCTTGCTATCTCACTGAAAATGTTGTCCTGCTTTAATCATGATGCTTCAAAATGGCTGCATTCCAAGATTTCCAGAATCTTCGAAAACACGAGAGAAATATAAAAAGGTCTAATTCAGATGTCATAGCTTCGAAACAAAAACCTGTGCCGTTTCTCTCAAGTTGTCAGAGGCAGCGTGGAATTACATGGTAGCCGAGTGCTCAACATGCGAGCTATCTGACATGTTAAGAACGTAGAAATCAACATCCGAGAACCTCCGTCCTCTCTTCACCTTCTTTCTTCTTTCTGAAAGAGAAGACATTGACATTATAGATGGCCAGTGACTGATCTATATACGAGCATATGAGGGTACACATCGTTAGTCTAATTCAGCGGAGCCAGGACTCTATTTTGATCTTTATTGCCTAGATAGCAGGTCTCAGAAGTCAATACCAAGTTCTTTGTAAAATTGAATATAATGATATTTGTTCTCTATAGAAAGATCGGAGAATATGAAATGTGCAAGCTTATCTTTCCTTTGACAAAAGCTACGTTTTCCACTTCCGTAGCCTTGTTTTAGGCTTCCAATACTGACTAACACGAACCTCTTTCCGCTTCTGCACGCTCTTCTTCCTCAACATATCATTATCGACATGTTCTAAAGGACGGCAAACCTCCTCAAGACTATCTGCGACGTCTTCTTTCAACTTCCATAACCCATCCTCAACTCTCTCATAAGGACTCTGCATAATCCAATCCTTCCACTTTAAATACACAGCGACAGCATGTCCCTCCGAAACCTCGAACCACTCTCTGTGATTTGTTCCACAAACCTTGCAAAACATCTTCCCTCGAAGTTCCTTCAGCTCCGCATGGATCAGATTCTCAAGCCGTCGCGCGTGCGGCACAAGAACACGCAGACACTGCCCTGGTCCGGCAGACTTTTGTAATTGACAGTCTTGTTTACATTGTTTACGCCATTCGCGGAGGCGTCTGTCAATGTCAGTGCTATATCCGATCTTGGCCAAACCGAAATTGCCTTTCACCCAGTACATGTATATATATCCAGGGGGAATTTCCGTTTTTAAGAGGGGCCTTTGGGCTTGCTTTTCGAGGGCTTGGGAGACGGAAAGATATTTGCTCCAGGTTGGTTGCCAGACTGTAAAGCATGTGAGCCAAGAGACACGGGGCTCGGTGAATGAATTTGTTTGATCTTTCTTTGAGCTTGCGGCTTTCAATTTGGCAGGCTTCTGGGAAGTCACTGTAATCGATGAAGCAGTTTTTACTGAGGTCTTGATCTCGAGTGTCTCTGGTACCGGCCCCTGGTTATTGGTAACTTGCTGGCAGACAATATCGATCCAACTGAGAAACTGGGTCCAGCAAAGACGTGAATAACTCGGATCTGAGATGAAGCCATATGGGTCATCTTTTGACGCTTCCTCTACAACACAGTGATGTTGTATCAGACTCTCGACAAATCCATATCTTCGCTGAGCACAATTGTAATGCCTCTTACACAAGAATTTTGGGAGGAGTATCTTCGTCTGGATGAGAAGGGCTGTATAATCCTTCCGACCATGATGTTCCTTCAGGACGCTGAGAGACTGCCCAAACTCCTGCGAATCTTTCACTTTGTCACCGCATCGGCGTCCGGGATCTTTCACTAAATACGCAACACATATGCTGCGTTGGTTCGCGATTCCTCCATGGAGATCATGCGGCAGAATCTCGGAGAGAACCTTAGCCATGTTATCTTTCTTCCTATTTTTGTTCTGGGTGGAAGTAGTTTTGGCTGGGCTTCGGTTGGATGTCTCTGCGGCTACGCGAACAGATGTCTTCTTCGATTCGGAGATGATCGGGACATGCTGGTCATTGGAGAAGTCAAGGTCGGGCGTCAACGTCCATTGCCTTTCGTGCGTTTTCTTCAAACGTTGTGTTTCTGTCAAGGTCAGCAATGCGCCCCAAGCGGACACGGAGAAGGCAATCTTCAATATTATTGTACTTGCCATCATTCAACATAAACGTAACTCCCCTGAAGATCTTTTGAGGTGGAGACCCATCATCTTCTACCACTGACTCTAGCTTGAACGTGTTGGTAGCCGAGACGCTTCCGCCCTTGCTCTTGCGTGTCAATGGTGATTCCGGACTCTCATTGGCAAATAAACCAATCTTCGAGGGTGGTGTTGTAGGAGTATTGTTTCCTGAGTTCGGGGTGCTCGCCGCTGTGTCTTCATAGTCCCAGATTCCAGGGGTGGATCTCTCGGATACAGGAGAGCTGCTGATAGAATCTGCTACATAACAGCCCGAGGAGATGGACGCCGTCTCTGCAACATCGATCGAAGTGACAATCTCCTGCTTTGTACAGTTCGTATCGGAAGAGACAGATATCGAAGTCTTCTTTACGTAGGTCGGGGTCTGCTGAGGGCCGCTGGAGGTAGCGATATCATCGTGGGACGCAGGCTTCGAGAGATCGGCGTTTTTCAACTCTACGCTCTCAGTGAGCTGTAGTTCTACTCTCATCTTCGCACACTCTCACTGTTCGGTAGGTGCTAAACAGCTTCAGGGACAAAGCAGTGGGAAAATGAAGAAAAGTAATCGGCCAGTACTTCTAATTGAACAGAAGCAGCACCTAATTCTCCCATTATTCTCCGTCAAGGAACTCCCCTAATCTAAATACCACCTTACCGAACCGCCCGTTCATTGAACACGACCCTTACCCACGCAGATGCTCCCCAACACATCGAAACACACCCGCATCTCCATCCCCTCAGGCACAACCGCAAAGCCCCAAAACGCGGCTAGGCCCATGCCGAATTCTGGGGGCGGGAATTCCTCATTGGCTAAAATTCTCGTATACCAAAGTATTGGGTTGTAACATTGCTCTAAGCCCCGCACGCGCCTATGCGGCGTAGCAGTGACATCTTATCTTCAGGCCATGAACTGGGAATCTTTGCACGCCTTCCGCTTTTAGGGTAAATCTTAGGCGCTTAAGAGGGTTCTCCTTCTGCGGATTGGGGTTGTGTGAGTGTGGTATAGTGGGGTCAGTTATATGATCTATTGGAGTGGACCGGTCAAGTATAATACTTGGACCAAGGTTGGCCTGACCTACTCGAAAACGATTGGTGCGAGGAATAACATCAGACGGTAGGTAAATGAGCCGGGAAGGAGATGCGAGTGTTTGGCGACTAACCACACCGTGGATAATTGTAGACATCATCTCAAAGTCGCAAGGGGTTCCCCAAAACAAGGCAGCTCCAGACTCTTCCACGCATATCACCTTCCTTATTGGATTGTGGCTATGAAAAATTGGGTAATCGCATTGTGTAAAATCCAACATCGGTCTTCGAAAGAACTAAGCAATTATGAAATCATAGTCGCTAACACCAAGAGACTTCAAACATTCGAGACAAACTGATTCATGCGGCAGCATGGCAAATCTGTATCCAAGCTGTGCACCGGCTGCGGCGGCAGCCAGTCGAGCCTGCCAATTACCATGTGCCCTAGAGATGCCAGTTTTCTCAGTGGGCAAGTCAAAAAATTCGGGCCAGGAATCAATGCAGACGAATTTTTCGTAACAGTCGTTCTCATCTGATACTTCCATAAGATTATCCTCATGATTGCATTCCACGTAAAGATAGGGAGTCCCGTCGTCGATGGCGTTAATGTCCAGGTCGCCGATATGATTTCCTCTGTCGTTAGCCGAAACGACCGACTCCAGTAAGATGACAAGGGTATCGCGAAGTCCACGGTTCCCGACGTCTACCGGAAGTGTAAAGTCTGTGAAGGATAGGTGCAGTGAAGTTCCAAGGAAATTGTCTTCCAATTTTCCGTCAAAAGGCGCATGATTCACCATGTGCCATGAATTTATATCGTACCCTTCCAACCTTGGCGCCGCTGGGGGAACAAGAAAAGCAGTCTCCGATCTTCCGAGGTTCCCTAGAACTCGATGAATAGAAACATGGGTGTTTGAGACATATGGATCAGAGATCATATCAGACCGAACAAAAATTGAGTCTCCATGAGACATAGCCAAAACACCTTGAAGGACACTCGGATTGACATTGAATTCCCCAGACTCAAACATGGTAAGACAAGCAAACGAAGTGTCCAAACGGTTGGACGCATCGAAGTCCGCTTGCGGATCATCTCTTTTTTGGGCTTCGACCCTCCGAGCCCACCCACCATGCTTCATAGAGTGGCTTCTCAGCTGTCTCGACACTTATGGTGGCACCTGGTAAAGACTCGTATAACTTTGTTGCAAAGGTCATAGCTTCCAATGAACATTGTTGCTCCTCGGAAACGGTACCCCTTGCGTCGCTCCATGATCTCAAATAGGCTTTCAGTGCCTGTGTATCTATCAACGGCGATGATAAAAAGAGCTCTAGGTCGTCAATATCCGGAGCCATTCCAAGCAATTCAAATCCCTTCAACGGACGCTGATTTCTTGGGTTCACTGAGTTCACCGTAAATATAGCGGCTTCGCGGGCATCACCCAAAAGTACTCGGAAGGGCGGTTGAGAATCATCGCTGTAGTGCCCTAGCAGTTTAAACCCCCAGCCGTCCGTTTGCACAATTTCATCTGATTGAATGATACCACAGAGCTCACCGGTCTGCTGAATCTCTTTTCTCCGAGCAAGCAGACTGCACCAGTCACAAGGCAATCCTCTTTGGCTTTGTTCACATTTTCCCTTTGATTGTTCTGTTCTGTCCAACAACGAACGAGAAGATTTACAAGCAAGGAGATCTTCTTTGCTTCCGTGGCAAGACAATGTACAGATGACTTTAGCCTCATCGCAAGCGCAATACACACATCTGCACTGAGACTTGTCGCAATTAGTCCACATATCCTTTGGTGTTATATCGAGGTACGGACAGTATGACTGTTGCTCATCATAGGGTCTTCTCATAAAAAATTCTGATGCGATCCACCGCGCGTGGATGTTGTCGTTGTCGTGCTGCCCTGTCTTTGTAGATGAGTCATTGGTGGTAAATGACAAAAAACTCGGAGATGGTTCTATGGGCAGCGCTGTGGCGAACGAGTATTGGGACCATCCAGAATTATATCTGCTCTCAGGTCTAGCAAGTGATTCCTTGTATTGAATAAGCAAGTCTTGAGGATTTGCACTTAGTGTCGTTGCAATTTCACGTAGTATCGAGATTTTTTTCTCCGTCTCGGTTACGAATTTGAGGAGCGTGGGAAAATCGTGTAGTCCAAAGAAAATGGGAGGATCTTGTTGAGGGTTATTGAGTAAAGCCGCGCACCAACGCTTCCCCAATTTCAATAATTTGCGTGACTGGAGACCATCTAGATCATTCGGTTCTTGGAGTCTACGAGCGGCGTTTTCGAGAAACTTCAGCCACTCAATTGAAACTGTGGGCTGATTAACGAGAGTAGATAGTCGGATGATTAGCTTGCACAATCTATTCGAATCCTGAGAGAGAGGTGCCCATTGCCGTATGAGAGCACCCAGTACAATGACCCAAAAGTCTTCAATTGTTACGCGGGAAGTCCTGGAAGCTAATTGCCGTTTCACCGTCACAGGTGTCGAGTAATACCGTAATTTTGCGAGAGGTAGAGACCAGAAAACGCCCTCTTTATCTTGCACGTAGCCGTAAGCGGAGATTGTAAGCAGTGCATTCTCCATGAGCTCGTCATGCTGATCAATGTCTTTGACATTTTCGAGAAGAACTTCCATGTTCGGATACAGATGCCAGGAGGATATTGCAAGGAGTATAGCACCCTCTTGAACCTGTTGTGGAATGCCTTGCACTAAGCGATCCATAGCAATCGATCCAGATCTCCAGGCCTCGAGTACGCTCTCGTACACATCCCCTTTTGAATTAACCGGAAGTCGAACATAATTGATGATGAGCATGAGCTGAGTTTGTTGGAGCCTGCGGTCAGTATCCGCAGTTTGGAGCCAAGAGCGAGCACTGGAATCCCACGCTGCCAATTCCTGTCTAGCAAATGATTGTTTGGACGCCATTATGGTCGCAATATTCTCCATCGGGCTCTCGGTGATTTCTTGTTTCCGACGCTCCACCAACTCGGTCCACAGCGATATAGCTTCATGACTTTTCCACATTCTCGCAAGCATGCAGGCAAGAAGATGGACGGCGATAGCACCGGGTCCAGAGGTTGCTGCCGCCCAGATACTCGTACCGTCAGGCCCAGCTTGAGAAGCGAAGATTCCGGGATTTAATCCGTTATTGGACTCTGTTTTGGACCGACGTGATATATCAGAAGCTCTTTTCCCATAAGCTTGATAAAGATATGGCACAGACGGTGCTTTGGTTTCGAAGAGCGCACCGAGTTTTCTTGCCGTAATATGAGCTTGTCCCTCTTCTGCTTCACCTCTTCTTCGCGTAGACAGCGCATCTCCAACGCCTAAGAACTCCTTAGGTGCTTCGACCCTCATTAAGGAGAAATCGAGGTTGAAATTTGCAGCCGCAACCGTGAGCTCCTGCGGTACTGACACAAGCGCTTGGTTGAACTTCGAGAAGGTTGACTTCGCAATATTGTCCATTGTTCCGATGGTACCCTTGGAGACCGAGCCCTTACACAGAACACAATGTGCGAACGGCGTTCATTCAGAGTCCTACGAAGAGGACCCCTTGTTTTTCCTAAGATGTTTCCGATGAGTTTCGCTGACCAGAGAGGCGTAGTAAACACGTTCGTCGATGGAAGAAAAGAAGAAAGGCGGGAAGCCACGATACAACCGGCTGATCGAAAGCGGGGGTTGTCTGCTGGCAAAAAGCGCAAGAGCAAGACGCTCGTATTTGCCTCATTTCTCAGCCTTGTGACAAGACGCCGGATGGCGCAGCCACAGGTGAGGCAGCCTCATCCCATCAACACGCTTGACCGGAATCGATCATCCAAGATGCACTGGGGCGTTATACGAACAAACAGCTGAACAGAAAAAGAGCAACCATCACATGAGTCCATACACAACGTTACAGCATCGTTCTTCCAATCCCCACATACACCCAAACACCCGAAGCACGCTCATCCACATGTACATTTCCAGGACAAACATATCCACGCGAAAGACAACTGTGGGAAGCCAAGCGCAGCAAGTACTAATACATTTTATTCTAAAACATATCCAGCCGTCACCTAGCCTAACCCATGCATCCCATGAATTAATAAGCGTCTCTAGTAATCGTGCTGCCGACAAGCTTGATTCTACGAACATGGTCGGAGAAACACCGAGAAAGAGAGAGACGTTTTAGTAGTTATACACATACGAGTCCATACACACGCTTCCATACGCACGCAGTATGAAAATGGCGGGCGGACTCGAGAAGTGAAGAGGGGAAAGGGATCGCTAACACACATGACCAAACAATAACACATTATACACCTCCTTTAACCACGCAAGCAGGAGTTTTGATATACAGCTTAATCAATACCTCTTCTTCTTCCCCGTTCGATGGCGATCCTGGCCCTTTCGATGTCTCCTCTGGCGATCTGTAGGTGGACGATACGGTTCCTTGCCGAACTCGTCCCTGAATCTCTCCAACATGTACTCATCGACATGTTTACTCAGACTCTCGCCTCTGAGCAAGCCAGGCACATCGTTGACAGCTTCGGCAGATGCCGCGCGGGTGTTAGCGTCCTTGGGCGTGAGATTTGCAGACTCCGAGAAGTCAACGTGGTCGTCATGAATTTCGTCAACGATTTCTTTTTGCGCGACCGACGCCGCGTTGCGATCTTCTGTGTCTTCGACGACACCCATGACGCGCGCGTCGCCAAGGAGCCCTGCTTTTTCGCCGAGCACGCGGTCCATAGCTGCGCCAGCTTCGTCACCGAGTGAGAGGGCGGTAGAATCGTCGTTCAGGGCGTCGCGCCAAGTCACGCGGTTGAAGGTATCGGTCGTGAAATCGCCCTTTTGAATGATGACATCGTCGAGCAAACGTTTTTGATTGCTTTTGCGTAGGATGTTGGCTTCAATGGTGTATTCGGAGACGAATTTGTAAATGTGGACGTCTCGTGTTTGACCGATACGATGGGAACGGTCTTGACATTGCTTGTCCATAGCTGGGTTCCAGTCGAGGTCGTAGAAGATGACAGTGTCGGCACCCGTAAGGTTGATGCCGAGACCGCCAGAGCGGGAGGAAAGGATGAAGCAGAGGATTTTAGGGTCGTTGTTAAAACGGTCCGTCAGGATCTGTCGTTGTTCCACTTTGGTTGCGCCGTCTAGTCGAAGGTAGCGATGACCGTGGATGTTGAGGAATTGCTCAAGAATATCGAGGACTTTGGTCATTTGGGTGAAGATGAGCGCACGATGTCCGCCTGCTTGCAGGTCTCGAAGTAGCGTGGCTAGACGCTGCAGTTTTCCACAGTCATACTGGAGAAGCCGTTTGTCAGGGAAAGCGATGGATTGCCGCATGCGTGGTTCGTGGAACGGATCGCGAAATCGTGCCATTTGAGACGACCTGATCTGCTGAACACCGCGCCGTGACAGGAACAGAGGCGCCATTTCATCGGCAGCGACAGCGGGAGTAACACAGATAAAATTGGTGAGAATGGGTTCCAGAGATTCCGCACGTTGCTCCAGGGTTGGGACCATGTCTTGGAGAATGGTGGTCTGTTGCTGACACCAAACTGATGCCAAGCTAGGTCGAATGGGTTGACGGTAGCCAAGCAAACCCTTCTTACCGGGTTTCGTTATAGTCACAATTTCTTTCTCCTGTGTCGCTTGCGTGAATGCATTCTTCGGCTGCTGTGGCTGCGTTGAAGGCTCACTAATGACTATTTTGGTTTCGGGTTCGTCGGCGCCAAAAGCGTAATCCATGTAGTCAACCGTAAGTCGATCTCGTAATCCTTTGCCGTATAGTGGCATGAACTGAGTACGCTGCCTTGTCAATTCGAGGCAGGTCTGGAGGTGGTCCCGAACCGCGGTCTGCTCTCTTCGCGCCAAAGCGGCCATTGTCGACTGAAGTTGGTTAGTGCCCTTCTCGACAGGCTGGTTCAACCGGCGTGTCTGGCGCTCGACAAGATCTTTCAGTGGCCGGGTTGCACGAATCTGCTGTGATCGTCGAGCATGCAACACGGACGTGTTTTCTCGGTGAGCGAAAACCAAACTGAGAGCATCAAGATTCACCGTCTTATCCTCCATACCTTCACATAGTCTTTTCCGGATCAGCAAGTCTTTGATCTCAAACTGAGCAGCAACAGATTTTGGCATGGCCATAGAGGTCACAATAGCCCTGGTTTCGAAGAGATCGGGGTGGTTGCAGACTTTTCGCAGGGACATCAGACAGTTGATGATCGACATGTAGTTTCCCGAAGAGAGAATTTCTTTGGTAGAAGCACGTCCCATGAATCCATCGTACAATTGGCGTTGACGCTTTGAAAGCTTACAATAGACCACATGTTCGTACTTCCCGGGCATTTGCTTCTCAACATCTGCCTTGAGTCGACGTAGGAGGTAGGGCCGCAGTACCTCGTGGAGTTTCTTCACAATCTTTTGGGCTTCTGCATCCAGCTGTTGCCGGCCTTGATCCAGAATTTGTGAAGTAGGATTCTTCAAAGCCATCGTGAATTCTTCCAACCCTGCTATACGTCCCTCTCCAGCAAAGCCAGCAGGCATCAGAAAATAGAGCAGTGACCACAATTCGTCGATGTTGTTTTGAAGTGGCGTTCCCGTCAGTAGTAAACGTCGCTCTGTCCGTAGGTTCAACATCGTTTGCCAGCGCTGGGACTTGAAATTTTTGATGTTGTGTGCTTCATCGAGGATGAGGTACTGCCAAGCTCGCATCTTGAACGCCGCAGCATCTTGTAGGATCAGCTGGTATGATGTGATGACAACGTTGATCATATCCCGCCCTGTGTTGCGCCACCCGATACGCTTTCTTTTGCGTTCATTGATGTCACCGTAATAGGTCAGAATCTTGAAACCCGGTAAGAACTTCTTGAACTCCATCTCCCAGTTGAGCATCACACTAGTAGGGACGACTACCAGATGCGGGCCCCATTTTTCTCGGTTGACGGCGATATAGGCGAGAAGTGAAATTGTTTGAATGGTTTTCCCAAGACCCATTTCATCGGCAAGAATTCCGTTCGTCTCAGAATCATACAGATTAGCAAGCCAGTCCAGCCCGCCATGCTGATACTCTCTGAGTGTTCCCCGCAGCAAGGACGGAATCTCGGTTTGCGGGGGCGAAGATGACCGGCGTGAAACGCTTTGTGAGATGTGTTTCCCGTGTACTATATCCTGCACTGGCTCTGATTCGGCCTCGGGCTCGACCACTTCAATCGAAGGTTCTGGGTGATTAGCAGCCGAGTCACCGTTTGTGTGTGGCTTCTCAATATCCATATGCGATTCGCCATTGGCCTGGTCATGTTCTTTAGCGGATTGTACGTCGTCGTCGTGATGATGACCGTTGGTTCCGTTGACAGCGGGAGCCTCCATTTCGATGTTATTTTGGTTCACGACAGACTTGGCGGCATCTTTCAGCTTTTTAAGATCACTAGGTGCCAGAAATCCCATCATGCCCGCATCCTCTTCATCTTCCGAGCCAGATTCAGATTGTTCATCATCACTTCCGTCTTCATCTTCATCCTCTTGATCGCTCGACCAGGCCTCACTACCAGATCCAGAACCATTGGCGTTATCCTCTTCAGAGTCTAAAAGCGCATCATCTACATTCTCGAGCTCGACTGTGGCTGGATCGATAAAGCCGGGCTTAATTTCGTCTTCCTGGTCTGGATGATGAAATCCATTCGTCAAGGCTTGTTCAGGCTTTGGTGTCTCACTTCCATCTCGCATTTCTAGGTCTGGATCGGGAGTCGGTGCCGGTGTGCCTTCATCTGCATCGTCAGTTTCTTCCTCATCATCCTCCCCTATCTCTTCATTGGAATCAGATTCATCTGGAAGATCCGGGAGCTCCCCATACTTAGCCCGCAATTGCTCGGCCGTTAGGTTAGCATCTTCATCGTTATCAGCGCCCGCTTCGCTATCTGAGCTAGAAGACATGTTTTCATCTCCGTTCACTTGGTCAGAGGTTTCAGAGGCACTTTCGAAATCCGGACCTTCGCCCTCCGTATCTCGATCTTCGCTAACAAACGAAGAGGCAGAGTCCACAACGTTGCGACCTAGAATTTCTTGGGCCTGGTTAAACATGTCGTCCATGGCTTTGTGTCCAAGTTGCAGTTGCTCTTCTTCCCATTTGGCTACGCGCTCCTTATCGATTTCGGTCCTAACCATCGCCCAGGCGTCCTTGACATCTTTTACTAGCTGCTTGTACCGCACCAAAGAGCGCTCCGCCTCTTCCTGATCGATTTCCTCCTGTGTTTTCCGCTTGAACTTTGTTTTCCAGTAATCCACAGCTTCGCGAGCAAGAGTTTTTGCTTGTTTGCGATGGAGAAGACCTTCATCTCGTAGCAATTTGTTGAAGTGTAAAGCGTGGGCTACGACATGATCCCAATGACCATATTGTGGCGGGGGCTCCTCAGCGGGTTCAGGCCGGAAGATACTGCATCGCCCTTGGCTAAGCACGCCGTTCTCCGCAGCCTCGACAACGCGCAGACGGCGTCTGGCTTCTTCCTTGGCCTGCTCATCTGTAATCCGCTGCCCCTCGTCCCCTTCCAGTGGATCGTCCTGTTGTAACCAGTCCGCGAAAGATGCATGTTTGGGCGGTACAGACGCGTGGCTGGGATGACGGTTCGGAGGATCGACTTTGCGAAGTCGTATACGCAAGCGAGGACCGGGGAAAGACGAGTTTCCATCATGCGTGGGGCTATATTGGCTATCTAGATATGAGTCTGCTATAGGTGAGCTCAACCCGTTCTTGTCTACGTCATCGATTGATGTCTGGGTCGCGCGCCGGCCTCGAAGGGGACGCTTCCTCGATATTTCGGGGGCAGCAGCTCTGCCAGCGGGAGAGGCGGGAGAGGCGGCAGGGCCGAGAGCGGATGAATTTCTTTGGCGGGCCGACTTGCGCGTCGGGGAGTGCGTAGGAGCAGATTGCTTTTTCGAGCTTGCGGGTGCCTGCTTCCCCTTTGAGGAAGCGGGCGCAGGTCGCGGAACAGGTTGGTGCCTGGCAGAGGCTCTCGGTGTCCCATTTGCGCTCGTACTTGCGCTGACGCTTATACTCGCACGGCTGCCTTTGGCAGCGATTGTGGTTCGGGCGGATCGTTTCGAAGGCTGGGGCGGAGGAGGTGGCGGCGGATCCCTATTCACACGCGACGACTTCCTCACGCCATTATCGAAAACGGTAGTGGGGCCGTCGGCTGCGAATGATTTCCACGGAGGAGAAGGTGCGCGTGAGGACGAGGAGCGAGAGTTTAGGTCGTCGAGCTTGCGACGCTTCGTGGGCGGGCCTACGATGATACTTTCATCGTCGGCGCTGGTGTTGGGCGCAGGCGTCTGCTCAGCGGATGCAAAAGCGAGGCGGGCATTTCCATCGACGTTGAGTTGATTATCATTCTGGCTCTGCGCGGCATCAGACGCGTCGGCAGCGCTGGCAGGATCGTCTTGGGCTGCAGTGGGCGTGGAGGTGGACGCGGGCGTGGTATCATGTTGTTGTTCATCAATATCCCGGCGGTCCAGTTGAACCTCCATCACGAAAAGTCGGCGGGCGGCTGGGTCGCCTCACAGCAAGGAGACCACCTGGCGCCACCCCAAATCGACATAAAAAGGGCCAAATGCAGCGTCGTAGCACAGGTCTCTATCTACCAAAGCCGCTGGTATGTTCAGAATTCGTCTAGCTGGTCGCGCAGGGGTTCTGTGGGCCAAAAGGGTTGTCGTGGACGATGGTCTTGTAGATGCCAAAGCGCGACGGGCGTTTGACTTGCCTCCCAACTTAGCGAGCCCCGATCCGGCCTAGCTGCCAAGCCCCTTCAACATCACGCTTGCCTTGCATCACACCCGTCCACTTCACATCTCCAGACAAACCCCCGCTATACCGTGCCGCAACGTAAGTAGCCGCTTCAATTCCCTTTGAGAGTCCTCTGACCGTCGCTCAGAATGCTTCCTCGACGCATTGCAGCGGCTCGCCCGCTTACCCGCGCTCTGGCGCCCGCCATTGCCCGTCGACCTCAGACCTTCCAGCAAGTGCGCACCGCTCTTACCGAAGCTGAGCGCCTCGATCTCGTTGATCCCAACATGGTCAGCGCCCCTTGACACCGATATATATGAAGCTTTGGCAGCTGATATGATTCAGAACGGCGGCTTCATCAACCCTCCGCCCATCAAGGCTAGCAAACGCGACCCGTACGGCGACTACTGGGACAAGCAGGAACGCCGCAACTACGGTCAGCCCGTCCACGAAGATCACGATATTCTTGGAGCTCTGTCTCTCCACGATTACGACCACTTCACACCGGCTTGGGGAGCTGTGCTGATGGGCAGCTTCATCGTTTCCGTACTCGGTCTTTGCCTAGTGGTCAAACAATACTACCCCGACAAGATCAGCGTCCCAAAAACATACGAGGATGGATTAGAGGCTGAGCTTGGAGGTCCTGGGGCCGTGAGGGTAAGTTACATTTCAGAGCTTAAAGAGGTGTGCATGGATGCTAACGAGTGCAGGCAAGAAAGCACGGCGAAGAGCCGTCCTGGAGATAGTGTGCGCAATGCAAGAGTAGATGTGTACATATGCCGCCAATGGAGTTTTTCTTTGTCCAATTTCCGTTCTTTATATCATTCCATTGCCAGTCATACCCAATCTTTCATGTTCGCTTGTCAACCTCTTCTGTGATGTTCACTTATCTCCGTAGCCTATGTCATGTATGCACACGTTGATGCGCAATCCATGAGCGACAAATCACTCCTACATGTCAATGTCGTACTCACTCCTCACCTGCTACATAATCTTCTAGGTCAATACCGGCAGCGCATCTCGCGACACGATCGATACAACATCGTGGGTTTTGGACCCGACGACTGAGGGGAAAAAGAACGCTTCTCCGACGGTATCTTGTGGACTTGGTTGTGGATACAGTCATTCTCCAGGACTTTTTGAAAGCCGCAAAATACGAGAAAAGCCGAAGCCAGCTGCCCCTAGAGTGTGTGTGGGACGTGATGGGAGAAATTGTGGGTAGAAAGACGAACTTCCTGGAGCGCAAAAAATGGGCGTCTCTGGATCGCTGCAAGTGGCACGACCACAGCTTTGACTGCGGTTCTTATGGACCTGGACAGTCGCTTCGACTTCGAAACCGTTGCTCATAGAACGATGTTCTCACGAGGTCGAGGAAACGCACCTGTGAGTATTCCAAGTGCTTGTCTGCAGTCTTGGAACAGGAACAGAAAAGCTAAGGTGGATTATGATATGGGAATCATCCAATCATGAAATGGCATTTGGACGGAAAACCGTTGGCTAGCACAAATTTGATAGCGAGGGATGCGGATTTCAACAATCAAATATTAGAGTGAGATGGCTTGCGCTTTTCAAGTTGTGTGATGGTGCTTACGCTGAAGTCCCGTGGTGGCCACTGGATTGTTCTCTCCGATATCGAAGACGGGAATACGAAGGTAATGGAGGCTGCAGCTCATTTATTTACCTGTAGTAGTTGTAAATGAAGTTTCGTGTGGTCTTGTACAAAGTCTGAGGCCATGGCGAACGATGATGTCTGTCTGGCACTACACCAAACTTCTCTGCCGTAGCATGCACATGCCCCACTTCGCATTAGCAAAGCTTTGTAACACCGCTAGGCTCCCCATCATGTCCACCAGAATCGGCATCATAAAGCTTACCACAACCTCAGCAATAATAATCAATCATAGAAAAGCTTTGCCACTACATAGATACTCAATCTTTCGTGCACGTGTGTCTCGGACAAATACACCGTCGCTGAGTCTTCTCATAGTCAAAACTGTCCCCCACTACGAACAACATTTTCCACCATTTATACAAAGATAAGACGAGCAGATTGATGATTTTCCTGCATGATGATCTAAGCACATATGCATGGCTTACACTGATCTCGGCCACTCAGCGGCCACTCCGCGTAGCACAAAGCTTATACAGGGCGCAAATGCAACACCAAAGTCCCTCCCTCGGCTATTCTCTATCTCACAAACCCCTGGTTCATTCTGCACACTGCGTTCTGGATTGGCCTCCAAAAGCAAGTCGACACCTTAAGGTTTGACCTCGGCCAATCAACCTGTGCTGCGTTGCACAAGATGCCGCCCGTAAGATATCAGCTGAACAATACCGTTCAATGCACTCACCAGTTTTGGAATATTGAGGAGTCCATACATCATTATTACTTTAAATATGCTCATCTCCCAGGACGGGTGGACTCGTGGGGCATCACATCACCTTGAGGCACTGCAGCGGTACTCATCTCTTACGCAACAATGGCAGACGAGAAGAAAACAGAGAAGACAGTGGTGGCACCGGGATCGGACACTGTTTCCGAGGATGTCGAGACGCAAGGCTGGGACGCAGCAGCGACGAAAAAACTTCTTCGCAAGCTAGATTGGCACATTATTCGTATGTACCGGCCAGCCAACGACTAAAATATTTCTCTCGACTAATTCAGCTGCTCAGCGTTCATGTCTTTGATCTACCTGTACATCTCCTCCCTGTTCTCTCCGTGTGCATTCCGACTAACGACACCTAGACTATGCTTTCTCGACCGCACCAACATCGGCAATGCGCGCCTCGACCATCTAGAACAAGACCTCAAACTCCACGGCCTCCAATATAACGACTGTCTTGCCATTCTCTTCCCCTTTTACATCGCCGCCGAAATCCCCTCCAACATCATGATGAAGCGCACACGCCCGTCCATTTGGCTCACCTTCATCATGTTCTTCTGGTCCGCTTGCATGATCGGGCAAGGCTTTGTGAAAAACTACTCCGGCCTCATGGCGACGAGAGTATTCCTCGGTGTCTTCGAAGGAGGGTTGTTTCCGGGTGTGAACTATTACATCACGCAGTGGTATGCAAGGAATGAGTGTGGATTTCGCATGGCGCTTTTCTTTAGCGCTGCAACTCTGGCGGGAGCGTTTGGCGGGATACTGGCGAGAGGAATCGCGGAGATGGACGGCGTTGCGGGGATCGCGGCGTGGTCGTGGATTTTTATACTCGAGGGACTGTTGAGTATTGTTGTGAGCATGGCGGCGTATTGGTGCATCTACGATTATCCCGCGACGTAAGGACTCATCTTCTTCTCCCCCAATTTGTCCTGCTAGAAAGAAGAAAAAGCAGTCGAAATATCTGACAAAGAAATATAGCGCGACATTCCTGAACACGGCAGAGCGCAACGAAGTCCAACGCCGCCTCCAAGCAGACCACGGCCACCTCTCCAACGATTTCGACATGAAATATGTCTGGCAAGCCCTGCGCGACTGGAAAATTTACATCCACTGCCTCATTTTCTGCATGGCTGGTTTCTGCCCCATTTACTCCTTCGCCCTCTTCCTCCCAACCATCATCAAGAACATGGGCTACACAGCCAACAACGCACAACTCATGTCCGTCCCACCCTACGTCTGCGCCTGCGCCTTCACAATCGGCGCCAGCTGGTTCGCAGATCGCGTTAAAAAGCGCGGGATCTTCCTCATGGCGTTCCAGTTGGTTGCGATTTTGGGATTTGGCATGTTGGCGGGGAGTGGCAAGGCGAGCGTGCAGTATACGGGGACGGTGTTTGCTGCAATTGGGATATATCCGCAGATTCCACTTAGTATGGCATGGAACTCGGGGAATATTGGGGGCAGTTTGAAGAGGGGGACGGGGATCGCTATGCAAGTCATGGGAGGGAACTGTGGAGGGATTATTGCTAGTTATGTTTATCTGACGAGGGACGCGCCGAGATTCATCACAGGGCATAGTATTCTGATTGGGTTCGTGAGGTGAGTTATTCCCCCCTTCTTTTGCATCTCGGTGTGGTTTGTAGAATGGTTGATTGGCAATTGTTTGGCTGACCTGAGTGTAGCGTGGCGTTCTTCCTGACGCTTTTCATGTCGATTTGGTGCGGGCTCGAGAACGCGAGGAGGGATAAGACGGCGTTGGAAGCAGGCTCCCAGGAATTAACAGAAGAGCAGAAAATGCTCGAAAGGGAATTGGCGGACAACGTGCCATGGTTCCGGTACACTGTTTAACGTACGCACGCGTCTCTGTCCGTGGTTCCGGAAGCAGTTGACGTTTAGTGACAACCTGGTTTTGGGGTGCTGCATTCTCCGATTAGCATGTAAAGATAATATAATTTCGCCCCAGAAGCTTCTCTTATCTTTCGCACGCGGTTCTCGTACGCAGTTTTCGTACACGGTTTGCGTACACGGTCTGCGTAAGAGATGGGGGCGAAATGACAGAGTAGAGCAAGTATCAAGAGTGTTTTGGTGGTGGCGCAGCATCCCAGCCTCGTGCGGTCGGAGTAGGACTCGCAGCTTGCAAAGTTATAGCATGATACGGTCGGAATAAGAGCCGCCATGCGTGAACCCTTATAACGTCCTTCTTTCAACGTCAGCGCTATAGCAAAATGTAGACTCTTGTACGTTTGAGATATGCGCGCCACTAAACCTCTACGGAAAATGTCCTGAGTTCCGGTGTAATACCCAATATAGCTTGAAATTCCATGTGCGAAATTGATACAGCCATCAATCTCAGCTACGCTATGCATGAAAGTGTGAAACATGTTCGCGTCCTCTGAAATCATTGTGGCTCGGACTTGGTAAGTCAAAGGGCTGAAGGCGATAGACAATCGGTTTGGTGGTGTTGCGGTCGGACATCTTGGTCGGACATCTTGGTCGTAAGCACTACTTGCCCCGCCTCGTCCATCTCGCACCGCATACGCTAACAATCTCATTTCGAACCTACACACGAGCCAGCATCCTACGTCCTCCATATAGCAGTGCACGGGATCGTCGTAGTCGTAGCTCTTAGTTCAAGATTTTGTGTTATATATAAAGGGGAAGCCATGGATACCTCGTTGCTTCCCTCATCCCGCGACGGTCTCGTCATCTCTTTACTAGTTGTTCCTATTTTTTCTCTTGCTTTGTATCTTGCTCCTCAGGACCACAACAAAACTTCAACATCAAAGTGGAAATCTAAATCCAAGAAGAACAAGATGGCTAGTTCTCCGAAGTACTGTCCTCCTCCGGGCTACTCATTACCTCTGCCTACAGTTGCAAATGTTTCACCCCTCCCCACTTTCATCTCAGATGATTTGGTTAAATCGTTTCCGTGGTTCAACACTACTACATTCGCTGTCAAAGCAAGCATTGGCGATACCCCAGTGGCTGAGTACTCATCAAGACCGCCTACCAACACTTCTGCATCACTGCCTAGCTTGTTCAACACCAAATTTCGCATCGCCAGTGTCAGCAAACTTTTTACTGTCCTAGCAGTACTTCTTAGTAAAGACAAGATCGGCTGGGACGACAGCATAACAACATATGTCCCAGGTCTCGACGCAACAGCATACAAAGACGTGACTATCTCGGGCTTAGCCGGGCAAACAAGTGGTCTAGGACGACAGGTACATCACCACCCCAACCATCTTTACACCCTTTGACTAATTCATCTCCCAGGGCTACGTCGGCGACCTCTCTTTCATAGGCGTCTCCCCCTCCCTTCTCGGCATTCCTCCCACAAACGCCTCTCTCCCGGGCTGCGACCCCTTCCCGGGCGGCACAGTCTGCAATCCCAGCGAAGTCCTAGACATGTTCAACAACCCCCTCTACCAACCCCAGTCCCCAGAATCCATCCCTTCCTACTCAAACATCGCCTACAACCTCCTTGGGATGGCCCTAGAATCCGTCCACCCAAACCAAACCTTTGCGCAAATCATGAAAAAATTGGTCTTTGATCCCGCGGATATGCCGTCAGCGGGGTATGATACACCTACGGATCCTACCCAAGCTATCCTACCAGGACCAGGCGATCGCTGGGATTACCAGCCTTTTGCGAATCACGACCCCACAGGCGGGATCTGGACCACGCCCACCGAACTCCACCGTTTCGCGCAAACGCTCCGCAAGCACAAGTTTCTGTCGCCGGCTGAGACGAAGCGCTGGCTGCAACCGCGCTCCTTCACGTCCTCGATGCTACAATTCGTCGGCGCGCCCTGGGAAACTATCCGTCCTACCGATCTCGGCGTCACACCCTGCCGTCCCATCGAGGTATATACGAAACTAGGCGGTGTGGGTGGGTACACTGCGTATCTCGTACTGATTCCGGAGTTCGATATCACGATTACTATCAACGTCTCCGGCAACGACGCAAACCGCGCTATCACGGACCTATTCCCGCTGCTCGTCAAGGGCCTTACCAAATACGCCGACGAGGTGGCGAGGAAGCAAGCGCTCGAGAAATACGCAGGGACCTACAAAAGTTCCGAAGGAGGAAACAGCTCGCTAACGCTGTCTCTCGATAATGGACCTGGACTTAAGATTGGAGAGTTTATGATGAACGGTGTTCCCGTTGTCACAGCGCTTGCTACACTGCAGAAGATCCCCCCACAGGTTGCGAACGCTAATGCTCGGTTGTATCCTACCAGCAAGGACGATGGAGATGAAAGCACGGAGACGTGGAGGATGCATGTCCCCAGGCCGTTGGATGCGATGGATGGGTTTGCGGAGCTGAATTGCGCGACGTGGACGACGCTCGATCCGGCTAGGTTTGTCGGGACGCCATTGGAGATGATGAAACTTAAGGTCGGTGGGGAGAAGGGGGTGGAGATTGAGTTGCCTGCATGGAGGAGTACCTTGGTGAAGAGTGGATGAGCTCGATAAGCTTTTGACGAGTGAACTTCTTTTTCAGAAGGGAAGGTGAGGAGAGCTCATGGTGTTCGTTTTATGTATATAACTATTCTTTGAGTTTATAGATGAGTTTGTATGGATTATAGATGATTTGCTTGAGTTCACCAGTATCACAACGTGAAGGCATGATGCAGTCCTTCCATATCAACTACTATTCATTATTCGAATATACTGACTAAGAAACAAAAGAGAAGTATGTACATCGTGCGACATGTATACCACCATAAAACCTCGGGCAAACCACTATATCCCCCTCATACTTGGTAATCGCGCCGGATTTAAGCGATCGCAATGCCCTCACCTACATAGGAAGAAGAAAAATTAAGAAATTCCGTGAGTGCAGCTCCTCCTGATAAAAACTCCCCGAATCCCCAAATCATCATCTCTTAAACCACAAACCTCCTGTATCGAGGAATAGGTCCCGCAGCAGGTTGCTCACACCTTTCATCGCGCTTCTGATTCGGGTTCTCGCGCCACGCTTCCTCCAAAAGCTCCTCGACCTCCTCAAGCTGGCTATAAGGCTGCAACAGCGCGAGATCCCGCACAGTCTCTTCGATAGCCTGCTCCGTGAAAGGACCAGCACGACCCGTGAGGTCCGCGCGGTTGTACGGACGGGCTGAGAAACGAGGGTCTTCGGGGTCGGAGAAGTCGGTCTCGTTGTAGCCCCAGTTCGACAGCTGGGTGACGTTGAAAGCGGCCATCATATCGCTAGGTAACAGTCAGTACTTGTATTTAGAGATGAGTTGAATGGGTTATACGTACTGGTCCTCGTGGATGAGATTGTGGCAATGGAACATGTAAACGCCATCCCATGGAGCGTAGTGGGCCTCGACAAGAACGGTTTCGTGTCTACCTAGCCAGACGACATCTTTGAGGCCTGCGGCCTCGTACGGCATGACGCCGCGCGTGCTCTCTGAGCCGTAGCGTTCGAGGACTTTGAAATCGACTAGGTGGACGTGGATGGGGTGGGTCCAGCCTCCGGAGCCGTTTTCAAGTTCCCAGATCTGAGAGGATTATGTTAGTGAATTGATTGCGCATGGGTAGACGTCATGCATACCTCGATTTTTCCGCGTGGGACCTTGGCGAGGATTCGGTTCTTCTCATCGGCAAATCCGACGTCGTTGATACGCCACTCGCTGTTGTGGCGGTGGAAACGGAAATGGTGGTCAATACCGGTAGAGGCGGGAGAGTTTGTTTCAAGCGGTGCGGTGGGAGCTCGGAGGACTTCAGGAACCCTGGAATCGTCTTGGACAGGATCACTGCTAACAACAAATCGCATGACCTTATCAGTGTGCTCATAGTCGTCATCCGTTCCAATACCGTTAGCCTGAGGGAAATTCTTAAGCTCGAGAGTTTGCCCAGCAAAACCAGAGAAGTCAAAAACGATTTCGTAGCGTTCGGCAACTGAGACGTAGAGGTCTGAAGTCTGCACTGGGTGTGTGGTCAGTCCGGCGTCAGTCGCGATGACCTGGAATGGAATTCTGGTGTTCTGTGCTGATGACTTGACGAAATATAACGCGAAGTTCCTTGACAAGGCAGCGTTGAGAAACCTCAGACGGTATTTACGGGGTTGGACATTGAGGAATGGCCAGGGCTGGCCGTTGACATGAATCACATCGCCCCAAGATGATTGTTCTTCGCCGAGGACACTCTGGAGAGTTCCGTCTTCATTGTAATATTTGGAAGCCAGGACGAGTGGGATGTCGAATTCGCCATAACCTGACGGCAGACCGAGGGCATCTTCGGCGCTATCAGTGATAAGGTAGGCGCCGGCCTGGCCGAAATTCGCATTCTCCGCGGTCTGGCATGTGTCAGTGAGTGATTCCACACCAAAAGAAGCATTATGCTCGGAATTCGCGAAGTAGAAGTACTTACAATGTGAACAGCATGATCATGGTACCACAGGAATCGAGCAGCTTGATTGTTGGGGAAGTAATAGTCCTTGTACTCCCCAGGGAAAGTCAAGTCATCGGCCCATCCATCAAAGGGGGCGCGCGATGGAGATCCGTGGAGATGCACTGAGTTCTCCTTGTCTGCATTGTTGATGAAGCGAATAACAGACTCGGTTCCTCGTGGTACCATAACCGTTGGACCAGGAGATATGCCGTTATAGCCTACGAGACGTGCAGGTCGTAGAGTAGGATAGACGGCTTGGGTGAAAGGTTTGATTTCCATCTCGTAATACCATATCTCCTTCCCAGTGACAGGGTTGGTGATTTTGCTATCTCATGTGAGTCACTCCAAGCGTGTGGGGGTTAAGCTCGCAGAACTTACAGCTTAGGCTCGAGAACAGGAGGAATTGGAAGAGGATTGCGGTAAATCAACGGATACTCCGGAGACTCCCAATCCTTCATGATACTCATTTGATCACCAGGGTCATCTTCAACGATGCCTTCTAGTGCCAACCTCTCGCTTTCGGGAATCTGAACAGTGTACTTGTCCCGAACACTCTGAGCGTAAGAGCGATTCAGGATCATAAGCCCAAGGCTCAGATGAGTGAGTTTGAACAGCATGGCGAATGTACTTGTTCTATTCCAGTCCGATCGATTCTGGAGAAGATATACAACGAGTGGTGACAACAGCCTGGTCTCAAAGAATGAACAAGCAGCGAGTGATGTGCCGTTGATACAGCTTAAAGGTGGGATTTTCGATGTTTAAATATGTGTCTTCCCAGACTTTGAGCTAGTACTCCCTCCAGATATCGTATTCTTGTTGACCAACTCTTGACCAACTCTCGATAAGCTCGGCTTTAGAAAACCAACTGACATGTGTAAATTCTCATGTTACATCGTGCCATCTGGAAGCGCTACGGATAACTATCACCGTGCATTAAAAATCGATAGTCTGATGCAATGTGAGAATGTCATTCTTGAGAACCTGACCACCCGTGTACACACAGGGTGAAGCCTGGCCGTTGCCGTTTGCTTCCCCCTGCCCATACCCCTACCCAAGCACTGTTCCCATCAAGAATTCAAACCCGAGGATGGTGCGGAGGTCAACTGATTAGATGAATCCAGCTTGAGGTGAGGCAGTGCTCCCCTGCTTCCACACCGTGAACTCTTGGGTCCTCCAGTCATGAGACCTCAAATAGTCAAGCAGATTGAATGAACCTAGTAACCCTCGACTGGAGACGCGGGATAGCTCTTCACCTACCAACACTTCTCGTTCCACTTCAAGAATAGGATCTGGAGCTGTGTTGGGTCATCAACAGTCCGGTCAACTGAAAAGTGAGAACGCCCAGCAAGCCACATAGAGTTGCCGAATAATGGCTTTGCAGCAATTGCCGCCCACTCGTCAGATATTCCAACGTCTTGGATGCATTCGTATAACTCCCACGCCATCTTCTTTTGTTCTGAGTCTCAACATTGCCAAGTTTTGCCTTCTCTTCGGAAATGAGCAGCGAAAACAGTGCTACATACTTGGCAGAATAAGCCAGTCAGATCACCGCCGGTAACCGCTCAGCCATAGCCCATGTTTACAGTACGAGGATCATCACTCAGTAGACACTGTAGTCATAGCTTCTGCGAGCTTTGGGGCATTTCGTCCGAGGAAGACCACTGAGACAGAAACGGTTAGTCCGCTTGACAAGTCTCGACCATGGTCTGGGTCAACGTGGGATTCTCAGGGCAATCGATCACAGAATCAGGGTTAGGAACGGACCGCTGCCGTGTTAGGGTACTGATAGACCGACTGTGGAGCATGTCTACAAGAGTACGTCTGCATCAAACTGATCATCGGGCCTACTCTAGCGGCGCCGGCCCGTGTTGCTAATCCGGGCGCGTATCTTAGCACCGTAGATTCTACCATGCAGTTCACTTGAGTAGACTAGCTTCAGCATGGACTTCATGCAACAGAGTACTGCTTGAGTCAAGAAAAACACAAAAATCATTCGTTCATGCTGCCTGGAGGTCCTTGCGCAGCGGAACATGATGCCGGCATCTCGCTAAGACTCCGAGTACCTGCATATGAGCGGATGCAATCCTTGATCATTGACCGCCGATTGCACTGAGGGATTTGAAAAGAAACGAACGTTATGTAACCACCAAGTAGCTGTGTGTGGCTACCTATTTACTCTACGGACTCCACTCCAGAAGAAAGCATGGCAGAGTAGAATCTATACTATTAGGCACCCATTCTACACAAGAATAACTTCCGTGTCAGGGTACGCTGTGGCTCGCTTAAAAGTAAGCACACGCATAGTTACCAGCCGGGTGGGTTGCATTCAGAACGTCCTCGTGGCTCGGTCAGGGCAATTATTGTTTCCAACATGTTGTCTCAGCCATTCAGCCAACAGGAAACTATTTTACAGGCTTGACTGACAAAAGGAGGGTGACCTTGGCGGTCCGTACAGAAAATTGGCACGCTAAAACGCGGCGGATCCTTCCGCCTCCGCGTGTGCATACACGGTGCATTTGCCATAGTCACAAATGTGGCGAAAATGTAGTCTAGACGACCGAAAATGGCGAGAAACCACGAGCAAAGCCTCCACGTGTGGATCCCACGCCGTAGTCAGGGCTTGTGTGCCCGTAAGCTCCTTGAAAATATTGATGCAAAGAATCTTGGCTGCTATGCTGAAGACCATCATCCCTCGGCCCGTAGCGCAAAAGACTCTAATCGTCACGTAGATCAACGGCGGTTTTTTTGTCAAGGGTGCATGCTTCCCAGTTTCAAAACTTGGGAACTGTCGCGGCATGAAAAGGGGAAAAACAAGTCTTCTATAATGAATATGTGAATGGTTCTGGATGTAGGTTCTGGGTGTAGCTTACAGACATACCCCTGTTACACACGCGTCCGTTGCTTGCCTTTGCTGATTTGAGCTTATGTTCCTACTGCCAAGTCTCCCGCTCCGTTTGCCAAGTTCTGAGCATGCGTATTGCGTTGTAGGCCCTGTGTTGGAGGCGTCACATTCAGTTGTGTCCGTATTATTAGAAATCCAAACACAGGGTTTCCAACGGAACCGGAGTTGTGGGGGGGTCGAAATTCAATAGACAACTCTTGGAAGTTGGAGGGGTCCTCGGATGGGGAAGGTAGGATTGAGAGTGGACCCTGACGAGTGAGTATCTGAATCGCTCAGTCTGGTCATGAGCATGAACAGGAAAGGAGGGTTGGGCGTTGGAGATACTCATTGCAATTTCGTTCATCTGATTGTTCGTGACCGAGCTAGAACTCAAGAAGAGACTTGAAAAAGTATAAGAGGGAGGGAAAGTTCCTCTAAAACAATCACCAACTCCTCAAGTCACTCCTCGACACAATGGCTCGTCTTTCGCTACTCTTTTCACTCTTTGTGAGCTTCTTCGCTGTGCTCATCATACCTCAGGCTTATGCCCAAGACGCCCCTCTGTTTGTTCAGGGAGGGTTTGAAGATGCTACCGCAACTGACGATACCTACAACTCTGGAGGCACAATCAATGTGAATGGATTCAGCATTCAGGTTCCCAAGAATATGCTGGTTCAGTTTCCAGCTGCTTGGGTTCCATTCAAAGATTTCGTCGCAGACAAAGATTCGATGTTGGGTTATGAGATCAATGTTTGTTACATCCTCAACATTATCCTCCAAACATTTGTTAACAGTTCTAGGTCATTGGAAACTTCATCAACGGCCGTCCAATCGCTGGCCAGATCATTACTTACCAGTTCTTCGAAGGTTTGAGCAGTGGATTCATTGAATCGATTGACTTCGCCGATGGCAGCATGCAGATAGCATCTGGCCCCAAGCTCCGCATCAGTGACCCCAACGCTGTCTTCTCTGTTGGCTACTCTGAGGCTCCCTTCTTCACCGCAGATGACGAGAGTCCTTCCATCTCTTCATTTTCTGGGTTCCCCATGTGTATCCCACGTGTAAGTCATCTCAGCTCATCAACCGTACCCTTTCCAGTGTCACTGGCTGACTCGAACAACTTGACAGGGCGCGACCGATCCTTTGTGCCCCTCCACCAACCGTCCTTTCCAAGGCTCTGGAACATTGTAAGTCTCTCGCTGTCCTTTCTCATCCTCAGATCATAAACTAGTTTGAATGTAAAGTAATGGTGTCGCTGACTCTCTTTTCCCACCAGTTCTGTGCCCGACCCGCTCGTTATGGCTCCATTTTTGCCGGGCGATTTTGTCACTTTTGCCGGGATCCGTCGCAACAACGAAGTCATTGCCTTTAGCATTGTTGCGCAGAATGTCATGATCACTACCCTGGGCGATCTTATCTACCTTCGCATGGAACTAGGGTTACTCGGAATTGATAACCTGATTACCAACAATGCCGAACTCGCGGAGTCCCGTGTAAGTATCGCCGCCTATTCTTGTGGAATACCATTCTGACATTTCAGTTCATTGGCTTTGCTTCCAACCCGAGAACAACCGTTGCTCTTTACGCCATGGGTATGTTTGGCATCTTATATCTCTCGTATTCTACATGCTGACGAATCCGATCTCCAGACATTGATCCGTGCACGGGAGAAGTTACCGACCGAATCATCGCTGCTCTTGGTCTCCGGGGTGGACGAAACGAACAAAACAAGTTTGAATACCGTGCAGATATGTTTTCCGGATACGCTCGGGATTACCGTGCGGTTGCCGAAATCGATGGCGTGCCCAAGACGCGAACCACGAAGAATGGCTTGTTGATGGGCACTTATGTGCAGCCAGTCAATGTGTGGGTTCACGGAGAGCAAAACATCCCTGGTGAGTGCAATCAAAACTTCTTACCGCTCAATGGGAGCTTTCTTTCCTGCTCTTTTCTACGCCACGCATACAACTTTGATGGATGGGAAGAAACATCAAACTAACTCGGACCTTTTAGGAACACCACCACCTCCCCATGACTTCAGCCAAATGCCATGGATCACCAAAGGAGTGGGTGTTGACGAAAACGGCAACCTTTGGGGTCCTCTGGAACCTTTCCCCCAATCTGGCGTCTTCATTGAACCCCCAGTCTGTGGTCCCGTATCACAGATTCAGTTCAAGGGTGATGACTTGAACACCACCTGGGTGCCATCCGGTAAGTCGATATCCGCGGAAATGTTTCCCAGTGACTAACAATCTTTAGCTCTTTTGTTGAACGGCACTCTGCCATCCAATTCGACCACTGCCCCAACTATCTCCGAAGTCCCAACGACCTTGGCCACTGTCAGTCTCCCCGAGGCTACTGGTAATCCCACCGAAAAGCGTGGTGTTCCCGGTGGTCGCTGGCTTTCACGTGCGCGTCTCGAAGCTGAAACTTTGCCAGGGGGTGACACCTCGATTGCAAAGTCGAACGAAACCGCTGTGAAAGGCACTCCTCTTGCCGAAGATGCTTAGTGCCATTGTAATTCGGAGGTCGTTGTCAGAATGAATCCTTCTGTTGCTGGGTTGTAGGGTTTTTGCAATCGCTCATGGTTTCTTTTGTCTGATCACCATATAGTCAGGTGTAGCTAGCTCAACCAAATACATCGTCGTTCCCTACTACAATATCTATTTGGTCTCTGACAATGCAATTCGTTATACAGTAACAGTGGGTCTTCGCGTACTGAACATAAACATCTTTCTTCTTCAACTCAGTTCGTTCCGTCCAAAATTTGAACACGCAGACTATTCAGCGCTATATTCACCACAAGAAGCGATTGTTCGATTTGTTGACTTGACATACAAATGTGACTGTCATGTTCAGCGCATCAAAGATGACACAAATCAACTCAATTTTACAGTCTTGATATTCTTTCCTTTTTGTATGGCCTTCAATCAGTAAGGATCATTACGAGAATGTGAGATGTGAAAGCGAAAATCACGTGACTATCCAAGCTCACCTCGGTCACGTGCTCTTCCTCCGACGGCAGGCTGTTTCCAAAGTACTTCGGTGTTCATTGTCTCTACTGCATACAATGAACAATATAAGCGAAGAGTCCTGTGACTCAGCTAATATCCAAGTTCCCGGACCTCTGTTATTCGACGCGCCTTTGCACATCTACTTGCGACTCCACATCGGAGTTTGCGCATAGCTCTCGAGAAGGCGGTGCAGAAGTGGTATCGGAATCCCTCTTTTGGTAAGAATCAAGTCTCCCCACATCGGCGGTGTTCAAGACCTCGATGGGGTCAAATATATATGTACGTGGTCCACATATCACTATTTACGCGGGGTAACACGCAAGGGGCTAAGTAGCTGGGCATTCTAGTACAGAATTCGCCCCCGGATAACCGGAGGGCCCATCGCCCACATAAATCCACAAATCCTTGGGATGTATCCATAAAACATACGATGGTTTTTGTCGAGATGCTATGATTCATGTTTTGAGAAACAACGGTCTAGATCTTGGTTGTTAGACGCAATTGTCAGTATTGTGCAGAATTCAAGACGCATCCCATACACTGTTGGATTATGACACAACTCTAAATGTGTAGCGTAACGAACTGCCGATGGTACTAACTCTGCATGAGTCAATCGTGTAGCTGCTTGCAACACGCAGGAACAAAAAAATCGTGGACGACCGGTACTTCAAAAGAGCGGACCATTGTCGTTAGTGTTGTGTCGGAAATCGAAGGTGTATGTGACGAGCAAGGGTCCGAGGGATATCAGCAGAATCGAGTTAGGACGAGCTGCAGGGTTTGATAGCGCACCTCTTTAAACCGGGTCACTCTCTCCAAAGCCCCAGAAGTAGACTACCCCACAACTTGGTAGTGGGGGCAATGATAGTGGTGATTGGAGGAGCACAAGTTGCCGTGTTGCCAGTTCTGTGACATATAATGTTCTGGGATCCCCACTGTTAGACTTTACCTTCACAGCCAAGATCGTCAGAACCTGCATGACTCGCTATAAGCAGGCCTGCAGATCCCTTAACTTGCGTTGCTCCCTCCATCTTTCTCTGCCTGCATCTTCGCCTTCGACATTAACTACCGCCCATTGACTCATCAAGGCATACCATCATGGTTTTCCTCGGTATCCTGGAGGACAAGCACCTCCAGCATGTCCCGGCTACTGTTGTGCTCGCGGAAGAAGAGCGCGAAAGAACCGAAGCCACCGCAGGACTGAAACATGGAACGGGGAAAAACGCGGACATCATTCTCATTCCCCAACCGTATGTATACCGCCGGGCTCGAGAATTCCATTTATTAATGCATCTGTAGATCAGCCGACCCAAACGATCCTCTCAATTGGCCATACGCGAAGAAACTCGTCATCATATCCATCATCGCATTCGGTTCCGTTCTATATGCCGCCGTGGTAGCTCCATTGCTGTCTCCAGCTCTCGTAGTCATCTCACAGGAGTTCGAAAAGCCTGTCGGTGAGATCACTGTGATCTCTGGATACATGCTCCTGGTGACTGCGGCCTCCGGTCCATTTGCGTCGGCTTTCTCTAGGAAATGGGGCAAGCGGCCTGTCCTCATCGTTTCCAGCATTTTCGGGTTGTTGGGTACTATTATTGGTAGCGCTACAACTAGCTACGAAGGGTTGACGGCTGGGCGTATCATCCAAGGCGGCTCCATGTAAGACCTCGGTGTATATCGCGCACACGATGGGAAAACTAATGCTGTCTAGCTCTGCATTCGAATCGCTTGTCATCTCTATGATCGGAGACTTGTTCTTCGTACATGAACGTGGTGTTTTCATGACACTTATCCAGTTTATCCTAGCAGCTGCTTCGAATTTCTCTGCTATTATCGTAGGGGCTATAACCACCAGCTTGGGGTGGCGGTATCTGTTCCATATCCTGAATATTTTCGCTGCTCTCGAAGTGATTTTACTCATTCTCTTCGTACCGGAAACAGTACGTATCTCCCCGGAAATCTACCTCGAAGTGAAATGGAGCGGACTTTGCTAACGACGGTCCCGCGCCTCTAGACTTACATACGGGATCATCGCTACGATATCGACGAATTGGCTGAAGACAACCTAAAGGATTTATCGTCAGTCGAGAAGCGACACGCAAATACGAATGTTGGGGCGTCTGGCGATGATGGCGTAACCAAAGTCGAGACAACAACATCGGTGGCTCCCGCATTGCGACCCAAGAAGACATTCGTGCAGGAACTAGCCTTTTACAATGGTACATTCTCGGATGACAATCTGTTCCAGCTTCTCATCGCTCCTTTCGCGGTCTGCTTGAACGTAACTGTTCTCTGGTTCGTTATCGTCACGGGCGTGCTATCAGTGTTCTTCGTCGCCCAAAGCTACGCCATGGCCCAAATCTTCAGTGCACCTCCGTACTTGTTGACAGCAGCGGGCGTGGGCTATCTCTCAATCGGACCATTTGTTGGAGGTCTTCTTGGAGCGTTCTTCATGGGCGCCACCCTTGATCCTCTGATTAAATGGTGCGCAAAGAAGAACAACGGTGTATACGAGCCCGAATTTCGTCTGCTGGGCATGATTCCCAGTATTCTGACTGGAACCGGCCTTGTTTTGTTTGGCTACATGTGCCAAAATCATTTTTCAGTCTACGCAACGGCCACTGCCCATGGCATGGACCTTTTCGGCATTGTGTGCGCTACTGTTGCCTGTTCAGCATACATCATCGACGCTTTCCGCGACATGAGCTCCGAAATCTTTATTAGCAACATGTTGCTAAAGAATTTGCTGTTTTACGGATTCAGTTATTTCGTCAATGATTGGACTGCGAAGTCTGGACCGGGAATCGTGTTCTACGTGTTCGCAGCCATCGCATTCGGCATGACTTTGAGTACCATTCCGTTCTTCTTCTGGGGTAAGAAATATCGCAGCTACTGGCATAGGCACAATTTGTTAGAGAAGTGGGGAATTAGGACACACGCAGAGTTTTAGTCGCTGGCTTTAGCAATCAATCGTAATATAGCCAATCGCAGGGGCAACAAGGCTCTTAGTTACGTCATCACAGCCCTAACATATTCGTCGTTTACGATCATTCATCATGACTGCACCAAACCCCCATTTTCTACCAAGTGATATTCTCGCTTATTTATTGAAAGGTCATGAGTTCTTCAAATGTGCCCACCTACCGCCAAGGTCATGACCCTAGTGTGACTGCCAACCATGCCACTCGTACAGCGGAGGTCGAGGGAGCCTTTGTCCTTCCGTACATCAAACCCAATTTCAAAATTCTGGATGTAGGATGCGGTCCCGGAACGATAACCACAGGATTAGCCAAATACGTGCCTCAAGGATTGGTTACTGGCATTGATCTAACCGACGAAGTCCTCGACCAAGCAAAAGCCCATCTGGCGCGGCAAACTTTCGAAACACCCAACGTCAGATTTGAGAAAGGCAACGTACTTGATGGCCTTAGCTACGAAGATGGCGAATTCGACATTGTATTTTGCAGCCAAGTTCTGATTCACATACCTGATCCGGTAGCTGCGCTTCGTGAAATGCGACGCGTCTGCAAATCTGGTACAGGCCTTGTCTGTGCTCGCGAGGGCGACTGGCCATTTCGATATGTCCCTTATTCTCCCGGACTACAACTCTTCCACAGATATTTCTATCAGATGATCAATGGAAGGGCCCCTTCGTCTATCTCGCATCCAGATCAAGCCCCCTTTGCCCCCGGACACAAAGGTGGTAGTTTGGTTCATGTACACGCACGACAAGCAGGATTTGATCCGGCCAAGATCGAGAAAGGTGGTAAAGTTACGATCTACGGAACAGAAGCAGAGAGAAGAGATTACGCCACCATTATGATCAACCGAGTAGAGAAAGGAGGCCACGGTCAAAAGTATGGACAACCCCCTATCTCCTTCTCTCTCTGACAAGTACATAAGCTCAAGATCAAACCATATCCACGTTTACTGATAAATATTTCGTGTAATGCAGATTTAAAGATCTCGGAGCCAGCGAGGAAGATGTGTCAGAGATCGTCCAGGCTTGGAAGGAATGGGCCGACGATGTCGATGGCTGGCATGCAGTCATGCAATGTGAGACTATCTGTCGTAACTGATGAACTTTACCCGGATTTGCAATAGAGGATCTTGAGCTTTTCCAAGCACAGGGAAATAAAGCAATAGACTAATACTAAGATTCGAGTCTGGTGTTTCCCGTCCAATGTCTGGTGGGTGAAATAGGAGGTGATTTTGGGTACTGGCTATCGAGATTCAATCTGTCCCATAATACTCCCCATTGATGACTAGAGGACTTAATGATGCAGTACCGATCAATGATTGCGTACATGCTTCGACTGTGGTGACTAAGCAGCACGTGGCTAGTGGTCGGGACTCGGAACATTTCCGACCAGCGCTGACATGGAATTATAATTAGCACAAGCTACAAGTGTCGTCTGCGCACTCTCCCTCTTCACTATCCTCCCCTCCCCCCTTGATTGATGTATACAACATGGTGTCGGTAGACGTTTCCTGGGATGCGCTTGCACCGTTTTTCATATGGCAGTTCCTAATCCCCATGGTGAGATTTTACCAGTTCTCTGCTTTGTTCTGCGGGCAGAAGCTAACATTGCGCAGGCGGCGGGTTGGATGCAAAGTACCCTCTACGCCATCTTCATTCGAGCCGGTGACCCCAAGCCGCAGCCAGGCAGCGCTCGATATGTGCGCCATCGCAGACGAATCCTCATGTTTATCTACCTCGCCTATTTCACATTCACCATCTACGAAGTCGACTTCAACCTCCAGCGATCGAGCAATGCGTACAATGACCTAGGCGTGCCCGTCGACGTGGATGCCGGTGAACTGGCAAAACGCTTTAGAAAGCTCACCATAAAATACCACCCGGACAAGATCAAACCAGGTGTGAATAAGGAGCGAGCAAATGCGTTCTACGTGCATTTGACTAGTATGCGGGAAATTGTCTTGGACCCGGCGAAGCGCTTTGCATACGATCGGTTTGGACCAACCGGCATCGCGCAGTGCAAAAGCTGCATTACCATTGGCGACTTTGTAGACCAGGCGATCCAGGGCGCGCTCGTGACATACGGCGCGTTGCTGGGGTTTCTACTCGCTGCCAACGCGTTGGGATTCTTCAAGGACGGCGCGTATTGGCGGTACCTGGCGATTGTCGCGGTAGCTGTCCTCGATCTGAGGACCTCGATGCGCCCAGACCATCCTCCGTTTCTCGCAAACTGGTTGAATCCGCTCGTGACCACGCTTCATCTTCGCCCGGCCTATCTCCCTTTCCAGGTCACCATCATCGCGAAGAAGGCGTCCATTTCCGCTGCGCAATTCTTGGGGCTCCTGATCCCGCTCTACCGCGACGACCCGCAGAGGCCTGCCCATCTTGGCGAGGACACAGAGGAAGATCGCCACAAGCAGATTGATCGTATTGAGGCATTGGTGCAGGCTTCCAAGACTGATGTATCGCGCTTGCTCGAGTTCGAGTCGACTCCTTTCAAGGAGAATGAACGAGCCAAAGTCGAGCTAAGGGAAGCTTTGAAGAAATATATGGTGCAGAATGTAGTGCATCAGGAGAAAGATGTAAGGAATGCCATTGGCCAGACTATAGCGAAGCGCCGCATTGGAGCACCGCATGGGGCCCAAGGCACAAAATAAATCGGGGTCGTCTGAATGGATTATTTGGGGGACAATCTACATGGTATAGACTTAGACTGCATTCTACACTTGTTTTGCTATAGCTGTATACCACCATCATTGTATCATGTCATCTTTTCTTTTTCTGGCTACCCGCTCTCTCGTGGTCTCTCTCGCTGGCAGATGTCTACCCGCAATATGGCTAAAGCGACTCCAAAAGATACCCATCTTCCACCCTCGTCTCTTCGTTCCTATTACGCTTTACTGCCATATACACACTGACATCTCAGCACCATTTCCCCAATTCTCACGATTACTGATCAGCGTTTCGTCCTACCCTGCGTTGTGTCGGATCCCGCCATCTACAATGGCAAGATTAGTGATCACCCCGGATTCCAAACCCCCAAAGAGGAATAGGTTGTCGGGATTGTTGCTCATCGCATCCTCTCATACAGCACGAGATAGAGATATGATGGGTCTGCGGCTTATTGTTATGCCGACTCTTTTCATGTATAAGAGGACGAGGTTTGGACTGGGAAAGTGAGCAGTGCAAGCTTGAGTTCACTGGCTTCAATTGACTATTGCTGCTTTGCTTACTTTGTTTACTTAACACAGTGTTGAGACAGCTTGTATTATTTGATCGTCAGCAATATTCAGGATTCGAGGTCCAGATGGACTCGAATGAAGACGTAAGTAGTGCAGGTTGTTGATTCATCGATTCTTCACTTCACGGTATAAGTCAAGGATATCAACTTTGGCAATATGGAAGTCGTTTTATTGGGATTTATATACATGTGGTGAGGGAGGTGCAATGTACGACAAAGGTGTTTCTTCATACCACAGACCATACAGTACCGTCACACCCAACCACGTATCGATGAAGACGTCTAGATGGTATACCTGAAGCCAGGTTGCGAGGTCTGTATTCCCGTTAGCGATGTGCCGTGGACAACAGCAAGAAAGAAAGCAAGGACAGAAGAGGAAACTTACATCGTCATGCTCAAGCTCGACCTCTCCCCGGTCGGCCCTCTTGTTCTGGCGCCAGAAGGTCAAGGACAAAAGGCACACAACGATGATGTTGAGAAGGCAGCAAGCAATGCAAGCATACAGCCCGTTGAAGTAAAATGGAGCATCTTGTTCACGGAAAACAAGACCACCGGCGATACCTCCGATGCCGCCGAATCCGACAAGAGTGGCTGAGCAGAACGCACGCTTCCACTGTCCGCGGATGTTGTTGGCCTGGTACGTCATGGCGGCGGGGATATTCGAGTTGGCACCGGCAGTGGTCAGGAAGACGCCGAAGTAGCGCACGGCGGGCGAGCCACCCCATCCCATGATGGGCAGGCCGATGAGGCACAGCACCATATTTGCGATAATGATGGGGCCGCGGGTGCGGTATTTGTCGCCGACCCAGCTGAACAGGAACATGACGATGCCAGCGAAGATGAAGGGGGGCGCGACCAAGCACTGCGCGGCGCCGATGCTGAATTTCATGTTGACGACCAGGATGATGGGGAGAAAGTAGGCGAGGGCGTACGTGACGGTCGTGGTGCAGAAGAAGATGAGGGCGTAGCCCCAGATCTTGATGTCGAGACCGGCACGCAGGAATTTGCCAATGGCGAAGGGCTCTGGGTTTGCGTCGCCTCTGTCGCGGTCGACTCGGTCGATGATGAACTTGACTTCACGCTCGTTGAGGAATTTCCAGGATTTGTGCGCCTTGTCTGGGAAATCGACCAGGGCGAAGTAGCCTCCGGCGCCCAGGACGACAGTGAGGATGCCTTCGATGATGAAGATCCAGCGCCAGCCAGATAGGTTGGAGAGGCCGTGCATTTGTTGGAGTCCGAAGGCTAGGATACCAGCGCAGGCTGAGGCCACACAGCCTAGCACGTAGAAGACGGAGTAGCGCTTGCCAACGTCGTAGCGGGAGTACCATGTGCTGAGGAGATAGACGCAGGCTGGGAAGAATCCGGCTTCGAAGATACCCAGGATGACACGGAGAGCGGCGAGAGAGCTGAAGTCGTTTGTGAAGCCCATGCCGATCATGACGGCACCCCAGGCCACCACAATGCACGAGAGGAACAGACGAGGACCGAGTTTGCGGACGAAGACGGTGGCTGGAGGTTGAAAGACGATGTACGTGGTGAAGAAGACCAACGTTACTATGGAGTAACGTGAAATTCCATTGCTGAGGACATTCAACTGGAGCTCCTTGGACATACTGTTGAGTTCAATTAGCTTACTACTTGGTAGAATCTTTTGCTTCCTGCTCGATAAAACTGCGGAAAGTCGAGCAGGCGAATTGAGTTGGTACTCACCCCGCAATGTTCGCAGACGACAAGTTGGTACGATCCATCAAACTGATGCAGTACAAGACTCCGACGGTAACAACCAACCTCCTATCGATGCGATGGATAATCTTGCGTTGCTCGGCGGGAGTGAATTCGCACTCATAGTCAGGCTCTGATGAGTATGGCGGGGTAGACTCGACATCCTCCTTCCTCTCCGTCACGGCGTTCTGCTTCTCGAGCGACATGTTGAACCAAGTCCCAACTGAGCTCCAAAGGGGTAGAGAACAGCAAGAATTGAAGCAAGAAGAAAAGGGGAGGAGAAGGTGAGAAAAGAGAAGAAGTAGAGACCAGGACCCCCCTCGAGCAGCAAGGCGATTCTATTATGTATAAAGGATGCAATGTTGGACTAAGACAGACAGCCAATCAAGAGCCCAAGGAGGATATAAAGGAATGAGTACCCAGAGGAAAGGCGTTCCAAGAATCCTGCGCCCTACAGGCAGATTGGGCAGGTGCTGTTATGTGCCACTTGCATTGCCGCACTCTGATGCTGGTCTCCATCGAGTCACTGACTGGTGAGCAGTGGGAAGCGCTCCCTGCTCGCAAAGCACCGCGGCACAGACACTTCCCCGCAACATGCTAAAGTCCACATCAGCGTCACTATGCTGCATTCTGGCATTGTACCGAGGCTGCTCGCTCCCTCGAGCTCTCCAAAACCAACGATGGCCACTGAAGTCGTCGGATATAGCCTGCGACGGGATAAGCGTGCGGGAGGACTGGGAGGACTTCGTAATACCGCACGCTTGGCACGTGGGGACCTCCGCATGTTCAGACGGCGCTAGTCGCGATCCGGCAAGGCGCATACCCACTATTGGCCAATGGTCTCTGCCGATCTGGGGTTGGCCGGTTACGGGCGGCATCGACATGTTTTGTTACTCCTCTTTTTCCCCAGTCTCGCCCTTTCATTGAAGCGAGAATCCCCTCTCCGAGTCCCCCCCAGCCGACGAACAAAGAATACAACGGGCTGTTGGGCCCGGTCGCGTGCCTAGCTGCAGCCTCCAAAGGCTTTTTTTTCGCGATTCAAGCTGCGCTTTTGCCTCTCTGCTAGCCCCGCCAAGCGAGTAAGGGAAGCAAGGAAGAACGACTGACTGTCATCATACGGAGATGATCTATTGTCGACAACACGTGGTGGGATACCGTCGCCTCCCTCTTGGCCACCGTCCGCTTGTTGGGTCACTCGCTCCCAGTCGTGCCCGAGCGGGACATAACACCGGCGCCAGTATATCTAGTCTGTATGAGGTACTTGCATCCAGCACTTCAGGTCCCCCTGCCTAGACTCTGCTTGCTGCCTTTCCCCATCTCCTGCCTCGTATTCATGACTTGCATTTCATGCACTTGCTCAGATGGACGGTTAGACTGAGATCTTGCACTGCTGGACTATTATAGATATTAGCGTGGTTGTGGTTGCTGTTGTACACCGCGTTTTCCCTTCTTACTTCTCCCCCCTACCTTATGCACTTGCGATCGCCGAGCTGAGAGCTACTTGGGCGTGTGTGTGGGCCCCCGTTTCGGAATTTCTCATGACAAGACATCGTTTCCTCTGGGCATTTCGACTACTCGGGTACACCGGTCCCAGCGCTGCCTTATAGCCAGAGCACGTTGGTAAATTAAAGACATATCGACAGATACCAATCAGGCCAGACCCTTAAACTCCCAAGTACCCGTTTCACTCCAATTTCAAAAATCTTCGATACGCAGGACGAATCGTACAACACGATCGCGTGATCTGACACCAACCTTATCTCAACAGCGTAGTTATCGTGAACCAGTAGTCATTCATCTGATCCAAATCCTGACCACGAATTGGCGCTTGTATGCCTTTTTTGTCTTGTTCAAGTCCAATCTCTCGACTTTGCCTCTCTCTCGCTCTCCTTTATGTAAACAAATAGACAAACGCAAACGCAAACGCCACCAATGAATTCCAAGAACCCAATAATCTCACACTACCAAGACTATATCGCTAGGGCCAGACTCCAGCTATGCATGCACCCGCACTCCCGTATCGCGCGTGTCTATGTACATACATAACCCATATCTGCAAGGCCCAGCGAGGCGAAGGGAACGAGAAGGAAAAAGAAAGGAATGAATGAATGAGTGCATGAAGTGCATGCGTGCGTGCGTTCGTGCGCACATACTTGCATATACGTACGGCAACGCACGGCAACGCACAGCAAAGTCAGCAATCTAGAGCGCATGGCCCCGTGTGCGGTCCAATCCCCCCAACAGCGACGACATGCACTTAATAATTTCCGAACGCAACCAACATCAACGGCCAAGGCGTCCAAGCAAAAACATACTTTCTAGTACAAGGGACACAGATGTTGCTGTTCTCTATTCTGTTTTTTAGGAAGGGGAATGGTTCGAGGAATTGTAGGCATCCAAAAACACACACTCGACCAATAGCGGTGGTTGCAATGGCTCACCGCCGACCCAATGAACTATGATCCAAAGAAACAGCATCAAGTAACATTTGAGCACAACGGTGACCAATAAACATCCTTTTTTCTGCCACCAAACTAACAAGAATGGCAAAAAGGTCTAGCACCGAAAAGCAAATGAACCACCCTTACCATATAGCGTACCTATTAACAAAAAGGCCGAAGAAGCTGTAAGCGACCCTTATATTAATCAGTCCATCCATCCCCCAATTCATTCTCCGACTTGGCCCCATCACAACAGCCCCAACACAAACTAATTTTCAGGCCTCCCTCTTTTCAAAAGAAAAATCCCGTGCACGCAACTCTTAAACCCCTACCTACCCCATTTTAAATAGCACTTTAACAGCATGGACGAATTGAACGGGGACGAGCAACACGGGCGGCGCGGGGCGACGGGTATGACTAGCAAGCAAACGCACGATACCTCGCCGCCAAACCAAAAGATCGACACGAGCAATGTCACTGTCTTAGTATAAGAAAGTTGTAGGGATAGTGAAAAGAAGAATGGGGACACGCGAAGACGGTGCGTCAGTTCCCAGCTCAGCAGCCCTTAAGCCCGTTTTTTTGACATTTCATCATACCTATATATACCTAGGTATCCAACCCAACCCAACCCCCTCGCCCCTCGCCCGACCAAGCAAGAAAAATAATAACAAAAGTATGCAACCAACTTGCCGGATTCTCCCTAGCTTTTTAATCCCCGCTCTGATTCGTTACCCAGTCCTCGTCGAAACAGGAAAAAAAAAACACTTACCAAAACGAAATTGTAGTGTAAAAATCGGTTCTATGATGCCCTGTGAAACACATTGATCGACAAACAAATGATGAAGAAATCCAAAAGGAAAACAATCAACAGTTCGACGCAAGAACAGGGGACTCTCCGATAGACGCCCAAAAACATTCCTTCCAAAAAATAACAACGATCAATGCCGAGACCATGTGAAGTGTGGTGGGTAGATGACACATCCGAAAAACGCCAAAGCGCCATCATAGTGGCATCCGTGCATTGCGAATAGATTCATTAGTATATTATGTTATGTTTGTCGTATTGACCGCCCATGCTGCGTTTTTACTGATTACGGTGCGGTACTAATGTTTATCGTGAACAGTGATTCCAGACGAATTGGTCGCCGTAGTTAGAGCCTGAGAACTCGGATACTTGAGCGTCAATTCCTCAATCTTGGGTATGAGTTCCACAATGCGGAAAGGCTTAGATACGACATCATCCTAGAGGTCCATGTTAGTAAAAGAACACACAGTATGTGGAGAAGAGATATGGAGGTCGTACCATGCCAGCGGCGAGAAGTGTCGCAATTTGCTCACTTCTCGCATTTGCCGTGACGGCAATGATGGGCACGTGCCGGGTAAGCAAGCCATCTGCTTCGAATTCGCGTATCTTGCTGGTACATTGCAATCCGTCCATGACTGGCATTTCTTTGTCCATCAAGACAACGCCGACGTCGATGGCGTCTGGGCCGTGCCCCTTCCAGAATTGGGACAGTCTGAGCTTTTCAAGGGCCTCACCTCCGTGATTCGCGACGTACGTCGTAATGCCTCGGTTTTCGAGCTGGCGCTGGAGGACCTTTTGGTTCACTGGAAACGTTTTAGTTTGTGTCGACAGGATCAAAGGAGATGGCATACCAAGATTATCTTCGACAATGAGCACCTTGAGTTCGGGCTTCTGTGAAAGATCCTGGTTGGGCAAAACATTTTTTGGCATTGTGGCAAAATCCTTGATTTTGGGCGGCGCTGGTCGAGGGCCTGCTTTCGCATTGGACGGATGCCGAGCTATTGTTGTTATTGGCAAATTTTCGGTTGTATCTTGCGGCTCTGTAGATCTGCGACATTTGACATAGAATGCAAATGTGCTTCCCTTTCCAGCTTCGGAAGAGACACCAATCTCACCGCCTTGTAATTCGGTGAGTTCACGGGATATGAACAGACCGAGGCCCGAACCACCGTATTGCACATGAGTGCGTGGGCTAGCCTGAGAGAAGCGCTGAAAGAGCACCTTCTTTTCTTCTGGACTGAGACCTCGTCCTGTATCCTGAACGGCAAACTCCAAGAATATCTCTTCTCCGTTACCCCAATCTGAGCCCAAAGCTTGTTCGACTCTTTTAGATCTTGAGGGGAAGAAGTTCACACGTGGTGATTTCGAACGGGAGGGCGGGTCCTTGGAGGCAGACAAGACAACCTTGATGGTCCGGCTCGATTCTGTGGTGGTGAACTTGATCGCATTGGTCGTAAGATTGATTAGTACCTGGAGTACTCGGGAAGGATCTAACCTGACCCAATCAATGTTCAACTCTTTGAAAGAGTCGCTGATGACAAAGTCCATTTGTATGCCGGCAGTTTGTACCTCGCCTTCAAACATCTTCAATGCACGCTGCACGACTTGCAATGGCTGCGCATCAACGGGCGTCACCATCAACATTGCACTGTCAAGTTTCGACAGGGTGAGCACGTCATCTACAATCCTTTTTTGGTGCTGTGCGCACAATGCGATGGTCTGAGCCGCATCAATGCTATCTGATATGATCCTCGGCAAGATCTCCTGGGCGCCTGATGTTCGATAGTCTCCGAGGATAGTTGAGATTTCGTCAGCGCATTGCAGGATAGCGCTCAGTGGATTTCGCATCTCGTGAGACGTGATGTCAATGAAGTTTTCTTGTTGACGCTTGAGCTCCACAGCTTCCTCCATTTTTCTTTTCTGAAATCCTTCGGCCCACTTCTGCGAGCTGATGTTCGTGATGCTGCCGAAGACGCTTTTGAGCATTCCGTCCTCGTACTTCTCGGGGAAGGCACAGAACAACACCCAAGTGTCGCCTTTGTTCCCATTCCGGTCTGACCAGGGCGTCTTGAATCTGAACTCGATGTTGATTGCGTCGGCGTTCTCCACCAACTGTTTCCAGTGATCCTCAATAAGACTCTGATCTTCTTCGTTGACATAATCCATCCACCTGTCTGTCTTTTGCGGATCCTTCGGAACCCTGGATATCTCGTACCACGTATCGTTGCAATACGTTATTCTACCAGCATGATCGGCTATAAACAAACCGGCGGGTGAATATTCCGCCATCCGAGTGAACCGTGTTTCGCTATCCAGCGCTTCTTGTGTGCGTGCAGCAAGCTGCTCGGAAAGGTGGAATCGATCCTCGGCTGCCAGTTTCGCGGCTCTTTGCCCTCTGCGTATCTCTTCTTCGAAAAGGACGACAGACGCTAGCGAGGTGGCAAGCTGACGGCTCAACAACTGAACAAACAGATTGTAATCATCATCGTACGGCCGACGCGGGTTAATGCCCACGACCAAGAATCCAAGTATGGCCTCGCCGGTAGTGGGGTGAATAGGGCAAACAACGACTTCGCGGCAAGCATCGCCAAAACCTCTCCATTCAAGGCCCTCCATGATCTCGTAAGGTAGGTCGCCGGAGCCAATGCTGAGTATGGCAGGTTTATCTGTCTTCATGACTTCCCGAAACACGGGTCCAAAACCTTCGGTCCCATCCTTCAGATCAAAATGATCAGGCGCTGCTGGGTGATTAGTAGGAACACCCAATGACCCTTCTAAGTAACAATGCTTGGATCCGAGTAGACTGTTTGAATGCAATGAAGATGAATCACTGTCGTTTTCATCGGATACAGAGTATAGAAGAACAAAGGGGGTGTCCATCTCGTTTTCAGTCAGAGCAAACAAAACTTGCTCCCAGAAGGCTTTTACATCTCGCGCGGTTGCAGTTCGTTCTCCAACTTCCCTAAGCGTCAACATACGCCGCTCCGCGATTTTTCGTCTAGTCTGCCGGGAGTTAGTAGGTAAATCTTGGGGTTTGCGAAGATGTGGCAGAAGAAAGAATAAAGAGGAGATAGCAAGCATTTGCACTCATGCGACTCCGTTGCAGAAGTGACCCTGATACGGAACAAGATGTAGAAATTACCTTTTCGAAGGCAGGGTTATACAGCCCAATTACCGTCCCGTCTTGGCCAACCATGGGAATGATGGACCAAGAGAAATATGTTTCTTCGAGAAAACCACTTCTCTTCATAAACAAGCAATCGTCATCTTTCATAGTCGCTTGGCCAGTCAAACGCGCATTAGCAAAAACGTCCTTGACATCATCCCATATCTCGGCCCACGCCACCTTGTAGCTTTGGCCCATCAGAGTTGGATGTTTCTGCCCAGCGAGACCTGCACGATCGTTAGAGGGTATACATGGTCGCGTAATTACATACTTACCGACATATGCCTCGTTATAGATAGCTACAAGCTCTTCTCCCCAGTACATGGCAGCGGGATGTGGACTCGCCCTATATAATGTAAGCTCATCATCCCAATCATTGAGGGGGAGGAATGTGCTCACATAATAAGATTACACATGGCCCGTAGATCGTTCGACCAGTATTCAATTGGCCCAAGAGGAGTCTTCGCCCAATCAATAGAGCGTGCGAATTGAATATGCCGCGGCAGCGAAGAGGAGATAGACAGGCGAGTCCAGTCGAAGAAGCCAACGTCGTGGTCTCGCGGTGATCCTTCTCCCCTATGAAACGCGTCAACTTCGCCTGCAGCATGGGCTCGAAGTACGCACTCATTGGTAAATGACGGATGATCTTCGATATTTAGTTTTGCCGAGTTCTGAAAGAAACCATCGACAGCGTCGCCATCTCGAGTATGCGGAACAATGATATTAGTTTGGGGGGAAGCAGATTCTCCTGTCATACCAGTATCCTCGGTCTCTGCAATCGGAGTCGCTGTACTACCAAAATAGTCTAGGGGTTCGCTGGCAGTGCTGGATGGGATCAGATCCGCGACAGAGCCCGACGTGCGTGCAGACGACGAGGACGGCACACCAAATTCGACCGAGGCACTTGCGTATGGTACATTTGGCGTTGAAGGAACAGGATTCACGGTAGATACCACGCGCAAACGTCTCTTGAGCGTATAACATAGCCAATGAATGCCGCCATGTTCTAGTGGTGGAGGATTTGTGTTGATAGTCCCATTTGGTGATGTAGTATTTAATATCCAGTTCTTGAATTGACCCGAGGCATGAGCAGCAGGTTCGTCGGTTGCCGAAACCGAGGGTTTCCCTGCCACCAAGTTCCAGATGGGTGGGTTTGCACGCAATGCGCCGTTCGCAAACAAAATCTGCAGCCCAAACGACTCTGCGGTAGAATTGGCTTCTCCTATGTCGACAACAAAAGTTGGTCTCGGATCGTTCTCAAGTAGCTCGACGATGCCAATAGATCCGAGCAAGCGCAGGGGATCGCTTTTCTCTCGCGTATCGGGGGATTCTAATCGCGGGGGCAAACTGGATCGCTCCGAGCTCCTCGCGCTGAGCGGTCCTGGTGGAGGAGGACTTAGCCCGTTATATGAACCTCGGGCAAGGGTAACCGTCTTGATACTACTGTCCTCGCGCGTTTTGCTGAGCATCTTTGCGGCAGCCTCGGAGCTCGAGAAGCGCGCAGGCAGGTAGGGTCTCGGGCGGGTGGAATGGGAAAAGAAGAGCGGCGAGAGGGGTTGGGCGCTCAGACTACTCCTCCTCCTGATAGTGGCAGGTCGAGGTGCGTTGGAAGGATTCAAGCTATGTCTGGAGCGGCTCACACGTCTGCGCTTCAGCAGCGGTTCACTCGCTGGCTCGGCGAGGCGAGAAGGCGTATCGGTGTATCCCCCCCGCTTATGACCTGCAAGTATGGATGGAGTGGTGGGCGCGTCGTTGGGTGGTTTGGAAGGTTCGCTATGGTAGAAGGACGGAGGGCGAGAGGGGTGGGTATTAACGGGGGTTTGTAGAGTCCATGAGGGCGATGCGGATAAGGTGGGGCGCGGTTTCTGTGGATGAGCAGAGGGAGAGGGCGGTTGAGGGAAAGTAGTATTATATTCGGGCGTAGTAAGGCGGCGGTACTCCCGGGGGTGCGACTTGGTGTCTGGGGTGGTCGGGCTTCCTGTAAAGATGGACTTGGTGGACGAGGTCATGAATAGGTTAGGTAGTTAGTGAAGGCTCCTAGCGAGTGAAGGCCAGCCCGTGGACGAAGCTCGTGAGGCAGGCGGCGGGTGACGATTGAGAATCGTCGTGGGCGACGCGACGTGTCGGAGTGTCTCGACGTGTCGTGGGGTCACGGGTCAGGGCGTGGTGGGTGGTGAGGCCGAGATCTGGCGGCTTCAGTCCATTGATGCGTCCGCAGCGAGACCTGATCTGATCAGATCAGATGAGTGAGGCGCGCGCTAGTGCTAGCCAATGGCAATACGGTGGAAGGTTTTGAAAATTGCCGTCTATTTCTACGGATGCGGATGTGATCAAAGAAAGCACAACGATGAGGGCACTATGATGTGACGCTGGTGTTGTTTGGAGTCTATTCTGCCAGTCTGCGTGGGGTTGGCGATGGCTGCTGTCACGGCATGTCATACACCCTTACTGACACACAAAGCTGTAGCGAGACCAGTACGGCATGTAGAAGCGACCATCCATCTTATCTTGTCCATGTTTCTTGGCGACTCTCCCGTATTCTCCGCGGCTGGCCTGCGCCCAAGAGGTAACGCAAGTGGCTTAATTTGAAATGCCCTCTGGTCTCTTCCATGGTGTCGCGACTGATTCAAAACATCTCTGAATGTACGTCATTTCTGGGGTCGCCGTGAACCGCGTTCGTGCGCCCTCAAACCTCCGAATCCGGCTAGCGCCATCTCCCAGATCTATCTACATGTATCATCCCACCTCCTCTCCATACATACATACATGTAAATCTGCACATCGGATCCGACTGCTCATATCCAACGTACCCTCATCCGACACGCTGATACATTGTCTGCCGTTTGCAGCTGTCGCATCCTGAGATGACGATGAAGAGAACCACGCTCCCATCGACCAAAACAACCCACACACGTGGCGACGTTTGCATCGCGCCACGGAGAATCGAACGTGCAGTGTAGAATTTCAGATTCGACCAGTACGGCTCCTCGAGAGCGCTAACCGTGTACAGTAACGCATGATAACGAGTAGCCATATCTGTACCCACCTCTCCAAGCATCCACCTTGTTAGTGTCCCCACGCTGGTGCAATCCCGAGCTCGAACGCTCACGATATAGAGGGACGGCATCCATCTGAACAGTCCGCCCAATTTTGCACTGGATATTTCGAGTCTGAACAACATACTGAGCGTATTTCAACCGATTCTTAGACGGACCCCACTGCCAAGTCCGCCCTGGAGCCCATTTCTAGCCCTGCAAAAAGCTTCGCTTGGTTCGCCCCCAAAACCCACATCCATTCCACTCAGCCGTCGACATATTACATCGGTGTGTACTGCATGAGACGCAATCAATGCAATTTCAAGTGCTATACCCTAGGTGCGGGAATAGCCATACATGCCATGGTATAGTAATTGTAATACTTACTAAGTGCATGCAGGCAGTTTGTAACACCTACTTTTTCTTCTCCCCGGTGCGCGTATTCACTGCTCGAACTGGACTAGCCATGCAAATGCATTCTTTACTTGGTGCTGTTCCATCGACCGGGGCGTAGTCAAATCACCGTGCGCTCATTTGGCCCCTCCTTCCTCCCTGCGGCGGCTTACATGCATTCATGCTCAGCTAAACCTTTTACCCTTCTCACCGCTGCCTGGATCCTTGGCTTGTCCCCTTTCAAGGCTTCTCCAATGGCGAAATATGTGTCCCTTACTATACAGCCTTGTCAGAATCCGGTCAATGCCCCATATCCCTAAAGAAGGTAGAATGATCGAGCTGTTCAGACCCTATAAATAGAGGAACAGCCCCGCGTGTGTGCGGCTCTTTGAATTCTCCTAGTCGCGTCTTGTCCCTCAATGGCTTCTACAAATCCCTATCCTGCAGGCTCTTATGCCCAGCAGCAGCAGCAGCCATACCCCCAACAACAAAATGCAACTGGTTACCCGCCACAGCAAGGCTATTATCCACCCCAGCAGAACTACCCTCAGCAACCCCAGGGTCAACAGGCCTATCCACAATCTCAAGGATACCCGCAACACTCTCAGCCTGCATACGGATCGCCAGCTCCTCAAAGCCCGCCCGCTCCTGTGTGTTGGATCAGTACCATAAGATCAATTGATTTTAACACTAACATGTCGTGTAGCTGAGCCCGGCCCCTCCGGCACCGGCTGGGTATGAAACTCGATGGGACCAGAATTATAAGCAATGGTACTATGTAGATAAATCCACAGGTCGAAGCCAATGGGAAAAACCTGCCTCTGCACCTGCGCCCGCGCCTGTGAATGCATATGGTAACAGCCAACCCGGTGCACCGCAGTCCTATGCACAGAAACCTCTTTTGCAGCAAAAGCCATCGGAGACGACTATCTCAAAGCCCTCCCCGGTGCCGTCCAAGTCAACACCGATTCAAGCTCAGAAGGCTGTACCACCTCGAAAGGCTGTACCCTCTAAACCCGAGAAAAAGATGGCTTCCCAGCCCCCTAAATCATCTTCCGCTCAACCTCAGACTGGATATCCACCGCAGTCCCAAGGCCAGCCCCTGAAGCCATATCCTGCTCAACCCCAGTCTCAGAATCAGCCTCCAAAGCCACCTTCTGCTCAACCACAGACCAAATATCCGCAGCAGTCTCAGAATCAACCGCTGAAGCCAGTTTCTGCTCAACCGCAGTCCGGATATCCGCCGCAATCCCAAAGTCAACCCTCAAAGCCATATCCTGCTCAAGCTCAATCCGGATATCCACCACAGTTCCAAAACCAACCCCCAAAGCCATATCCTGCTCAATCCCAGACCGGATATCCACCACAGTCTCAAAGTCAGCCTCCAAAGCCATATCCGGCTCAGACATCCGCACCCGCAGCAAAGTCCGCTCCCTTGCCGTCTATTCTTCAAGCAAATACACCTGTGCAAGCAAAGACAGCGTTGACGGCTAAACCACCAACTTCTCAAGTTCCCTCTGCTCTTCAGACTAAAACTGGTCCACAGCCTTCTCAATTGCCCCCTAGTCTACAAGCGAAAACGGCACCGCAGAGTTCTCAATTACCCCCTAATCTACAAGCAAAAACTGCCCCGAAGCCCTCTCCATTGCCTCCTAACCTCCAAGCGAAACAAAGCTCGCAACCCTCCTCACTGCCCTCTAATCTGCAGGCGAAGACCGCTCCCCCGACTGCCCAAAAGGGTCCGGCAACGTCCCCAGCACCATCTACTGCAAGGAATGCAGCTCCCTCTACACAGCAGACTCCTGCCCGAGGTGCAGCTCCTCCTACACAGCAGCCTCCCGCCCGAGGTGCAGCTCCCCCTGCACAACAGTCTTCCACCCGGAGTGCAGCGCCTCCTGCACAGCAGTCTTCCAGCAAAGGTGCATCACAGTCCTATTACAGTGCCGCACCAGCATCTCAGAACGCGTATCCGCAGCAACAATCGTACACCACGACCACGTACTATCAGCAACAACCACCACCCCAGAGCTCGTACTCTTACGCAAGTCATCAAGAGTACCAGTATCCCCAACAGGTAAGCAAACCCCCATCCCCTCCGCTCTCGGATCCTCCAGTCACGACGCAACCTCAAACTGACAACACTCAATTTCACCATAATTACAGACATATACGCAATATGCCGCTCCCTCACAGGCATATACCTACTACGACAACAACCCTCCAACCTCGGACAAGAATGATAAGGACCATAAAGACAAAGACAAAGACAAGAAGAAAGACAAATCTGGACACTCCGGGGCCGCGATGGCGGCGGGTGTAGGCGTTGCTGGGATCGCAGGTATTGCTGGTGGGGCGTACCTGGCCCATGAGATCTGTAAGTTTCCTCCACACCTCCAAAAATCTCACTCACGTTCGATCGAACTCCCCAAAAGGATGAGAATCTTGTATTCTCAACTACAATGGATTGTATTCACGTAGCCATGATTTTGAACCTTTCTAATACGTCCTACTCAACAGCCGAGCATGAATGGACCTCCCCATCGGAGCACATCACACACACAACGAACTACATTAGCAACGCACCCGACGAGGCTACAACATATGTCACAAACACGGCAAATGACGCATACGGTTCCGCTGGACAGTACGTAGACAATGCAGAGAATTATGTTGATAACTCTACGACATATGTCTCCAACACTGCGAATGACGTCTACGACACCGCTGGACAGTACGCTGATAACGCAGAAAATTATGTGGATAATTCTACTGCGTACATCTCCAACAATGTCAACGAAGCCTATAATACAGCTGGGCAGTACGTAGATGAAACGGAAGGCTATGTGGACTATGCCAGTCAGGCGCCGTATGCCGCTGCTCAGGAGTATGCCGCCGAATCCGAGGAGGAGGAGGAGGAGGAGGAGGAGGAAGAAGAAGAAGAAGAAGAGGAAGAGGAAGAGGAAGAACAAGAACAGTACTACGGCGAGGATGCTGGAGATGCATACTACGGTTCTGACGATGGTGGCGGGTCTGACGGGGGATTCTTTGACTAGAACAACGTAGCAGTAAAACTATAGATTCGCACGTAATTCATCTTGATCATCTTTAACATGTCGGTCCATCCATCGCCCGATCCCCGTTGAGCTCCTCTCTTATAAAGTGACTGTCTGCTAACTCAGCAGCTGATAACACGCCTCACTGGAAGCTTGATAATAGCACGGCATCGTAATCGACATGATCCGGCACATATACGAGTACAACGCCACACACCGGGATATGCTCAAGGCGTTTCTAGGCGAGTGCAGCATGTTGTGTAGTATCACTTCATTTATTGTCCTGATTTTTATTACCTATCTCCATCATGTAAATACATAGCAGTCTAAATATGCAAGTACACGTAAAGAGTAGAGAAAAGCATAACCACGATCGAATCCCAAGAAACGAGTAACTATCTCTTCCTCCAACTCTAAAGTTTAGAGTTGATTGGTATTTAGACCTACATCTTGGAAGTTGACTAGCTAGCTGGAAAGATGGAAGGAGAGAGAGAGAGAGAGAGAGAGAGTAAGCCAGGCACCTAGATACTATCACGGATTTCGAGGACGAGGTGAGTGGAGAAATCAAACTGATAATAAGCAAGATGGCTTTCTAAGCATCATTTCGGTCAGGAATCATGTTTTCTCATCCTCTCCCCAAGTGAAAGAAATATGACGAATCAAATGTAAATTATCAAATATCCCATTCTCGAATAAACTCAATTGCATTGCAGGACAACTCAGCTAAACATGTCAACAACAAAGAAAAAATAATAAAATAAAGATATAACGAGAGGAAACCTTAGCCAGACAGACGTAGGAAAGCAAACAGAACTATGTGGCCCTTTCGTAAATGATGTCGAATAGACTGTCGTTCGTAGTGGTTTGCGAGGGGGGTATCCACGCATCCTCTTCTCCTCTTCTACCCCCAGATCACTCTTTTCGCATCCGATATCCCGTCACCACCCCTCCTCCGCCTTCATCTATCCATCTCCTTCTTCATTCCAGTTCCCAACCCTAGTATTGCCGAACCTCGAGGGCGTTCCATTTTCCAGAAGGTATATACGTTCCGCATCCGAGGAAAAATGTCGTCAAATTGTTGACCCATCCACTGTGCTCTTTTTTTAAGGTTTCGACGCCAAGCTCAACTCAACAAGCAGAGATGCGATGAGGGGGGAAGCGCTTAACAGCAATCGCAGCATTCTAGACAGCACTCGCATGATTCGCCGCAGAGCCAACAGCAGCACAGCGTAGCCAAGCTATGATGAAGTCAGCGCACTGATCCTTTCTTCTCGTCTTCAAGAGTAAGTTTGGGGGATGAGGGTGCTTACCAGGTATACAAGCATCCACGGTCTTTCTTCTCTTCCGGTGGAGGCGCTTGGTGGTAGTGCATCTAGATATCCCACGTGCGTTAGCATATCTACTTTGTGGGGGTCGATCGTCGTAGGCAGGCAGGTAGCGCGTATGTGGATGCGGATATGGGCGTGTGAAGGAACAGCGTAGCGCGTAGGAGCAAGTATGACGGCAAAGGACTTACCTGCGGCTGCTGTCCAGGCGGGTACATTCCATACGGGCCCGGCGGTTGCGGCTGCGGGTAGCCATGAGGTTGAGGTGGACCGTATCCCTGATTCATATCTTGTCCGTAGTATCCTTGCTGAGCCATATTGAAACCGAGTTCAAGTTATCCCGACACTGAGGTGTATTTTAATGATCCAAAGCAAGAAGTCGATCAATGTATATATATTTCCAAGAAAAGTGGCTGGTGTACGGAGTTTACGGTGGAAAAAACGGGGTGGGAGGAAAACGCAGGAGGGAAGTGTGGCTAGAGCATACGAAACCCTTCTTTATATAAACCTGTCTGTTTTCCAAGGCGGGTCCGGGACAGGGAGACGGGGAGGGGGGCAAGGCTTGTCACAGGGGAAATGGGTTTCCAGGGTTGGGGTGGATGGTGGTTATTTGTGGAGTCCAAGACAAGAGGCCGATCTAATATTTTTCTTCTCTCTCGCTTTGGATATGCTATGCATGTAGGATCCCTGGTTAGGCCGGCTTGAACCCTTCTTCTGTCTTCTCCTGATCAACCTTGTTTTATTCTTTTGGCTAGGAACCCAACATCTGTTGTGATTTGAGAGGATAATGGTTTTGCGAATTCGCTCGATGGGAAAACTTTGGGCGGATGACTCGGACGGCAAGTCGGCAGCGCTAATAACAAGAGTTGGGATATCGCACGGCGATATACTTGTGATAGGGCTGTTTGCGCACAGGCTGTCTACCAAAGGTCAAACAGGAGGTGGGTATTCTATCAATTTGTTTGGATGGGAACTTCAGAGGTCCCCTCAGGCTCACTCCCTTCCATGATTCATGAGACGATATGGTGATGAGTGGAGTAATGATCAACCCTTTCTTGACACTTGACAGACAGAATACTGGATGTGTATCAGCAAAGCTACCGAATGTAATACCAAGACGCTAGCATGGCTGTGTGACAGGTTTAGTCTACGGGGGACGCGTGTTCGAAGGGGAGATCTCGTTTAAGCACTTCGATGACGAGTGTTTGCATTTTCTTCCAAGAGATGTTCTCTGGTCGTGAACATGGCACTTGATCCGCAATCTCCTATAGACAACAATATCTTTGATGGCCATTATATTTCATCGTGTTACCAAAGAAGCAGCGCCGCTAACATGAAAGTCGACTTGCTGGGTACAATAGGCCCGTTTGAAGAACGTTGAGTTGGTGCCATGAAGTGTGGTTGATGGACGTGCCGATGCATCCGATTGACGTCTCTTGGCGCGCGCCTCATCTGCTCCGAGTGGCGGTGCTGCTTGCGACGCGGCATGACGGCATGTACGAGATTCCTACTGTGGCACGTTCATGCCCAATGGCTCATCGTCGCTCGTGATTTGGATTGTCAGCTCGTTGTGGCGTTTCCTGTCCATCAACATCCGAGTCGAGTTGGGGGTGTGGGGGTCCTTTCGGGGCCGCAACACTAAGCTTCCGCGCCCGAATCCATTCATGTTCGGAAGTTGGCCGGAGATTTCTGCTCTTCTGCTAATAAAGCCGTACATGAATCTTTCAAATCACCGAGTCTACGCTGGTATTGTGTCGTATCCAATTGGCCACGATACCCTCATATCACGAGTACGACCACCCAGCGACAAGACCAAGCACTCAAGACAGAGTCTATACTACTCCTCCTATTCTGGCCGGACTTCATCAGAATCTGAACACGCAGGGCAACCGCGATTTAGTACGCTATCTGAAAAGCGACAATTCGAATTGTTGTGGTCCTGAAGACACCATCGTTACTGAGTTGCTACACCGAGTCCATGAATAAACGAAAGGTGTGTCTTTGTGCTTGTTATTTGCCCAAGACCCTGCTGATCGCAGTATCCTCGGATCAACTAGTACAACGACACTACAATCCCCCTATGAAGCAGAACACACGTATCAATTCCCCACACCATCTCCATCCCCACCAACAACAAACCCTCTCTCTCTCCTCCTCCTCTCAACCCACTCCCCAAACGGTCTCCAAATCTCCTCCTTCTGCGCCATGCTCAACCCGGCAGCAAGCCCACTAGTACTAGTCGTAACAAACACCCTCGCCCCCTCCCACTTCCCATCTTCATCCCCTTCCACACTCTTTCCCATATTATGCTCAGCATCCTGCCACCCGTAGCGAAACTCGTCTTTAGTAGGATTCTTCCCGAACCGCCACCGCCAAATCGCCTCCCAGATCCCTTTCCCAACAATACACACCGCCTCCGGCCTGTACCTTTGAAACTTCTCCTCGAGGACCTGCGTGCCAGCAGCCATTTCGTGCTTTGAGAGCTCGGCGGCGTTGCTGGAAGGGCGCGCGACGATGTTGGTGTTGCCCATGCAGTATTTTGCTGGCAGGGTGTTGTCTTCTTCGGGGAGGAGACGTCGATCCGTGAGGCCGGAGGCGTGGAGCAGTTTCCAGAAATGGTTTGAGGGGTGTGCGTAGGCGTGGCCTTTTGTTGCGGTCTGGATGCCTGGGTTTGTACCGACGAAGATGCAGATTAGGTTGGGGGTGAGGATGTCGGTTAGAGGAGTGAGATGGGCGTATTTCGTTGGCGGAGCGTATTTGCTTGGTTGGCGGGTTGCTTTAGGCTTTGACTTTTGGTTTCTTTTGGGGGGTCGTGGTGATGTGGTCGGTGATGATGATGCTGATAAAGGTGTGGTGGTGGCGTCTGTGGTTTTGGTTATACGGATGCGTTTTGAGGTTCTTCGTGGGTTTGAATCGTCGGTTGGGAGGGATGATGATGTTGAGGTGTATTGGAATTTTGACAATTGATCTCTGAAAGAGGTGGTATTCCCATTGCTAATTGCAGACTCAGATATAGGATGCGTGGATGCTTCCTCCTCATCCTCCTCCTCCTCTTCTTCTTCGCTGACTATTGAACGTTTCGACGGCATTGTATTTTGACTAAAGTATTGAATTCACGACGTCAAACCGACCTGTTAATTCCTCAAATTGCTATGCCGTGTCGTGGACATAGATGGATGTGTGCATCCAAACAGCCAGAACTGCTGCAGATCAGGGCAGCGCCTGTTCCCGTGTTTTCGCGTATCGTGTAACGGTGACGTAAGTGGTTGTTTATTGGTCCATGGAGCATGAACACTCCGCTTCTCATCATCTCAGCCAAATATCTACATTCCCCTCTTATGCCTCGGAAAAGACCTCAATTGGACGAACGAGCTTCGAAACCAGCTCACCCCTGATCAATTCTTGCACGCATCCAACCAGAATATTTTTCCGGCCAATATTGGTGCCCCCCTCCATCATCCAACAATACCGCGGCTCGGCTGCCCTCGTATCCAACGTCCACACATATACACAATCTACGTCGCTTAGCTGATCGCATTTCCCTCTTCCCTGCTTCATAAGTCCATGAATATACCCCGCATACATGTACACGTATATGAGTAGTTCATCTACGCTATCACACCCTACGATATCAACAAGGTTGGCGAGATGGCTATCCGTAGAGTGGATATCAGATTCATATATCGAGCGTCTGTGTTTTGGGCTTCGCTCCTTCCATAAATAGAACCGACTGCAGGCCAGGGGGTGGAGACATTAATGTACCATTATTGTACCCCCCTTATCAGGAGGCAAACAATCATGTCATGGAGGCTATATGATGATGGTGGTGGTGGTGGTGGTGGTGAAGAAGACGGAAGTAGATTCGTGGCGGGTGGGGAAGGGAGTTTGATGACATGCGTTGCGCGGTTTCCAACGAAAACATCTGGCCCGACTGTTCGTTTGACGCTTGGGACCCAACAACTGCACGTCTTCAAAAGCAGCTGCATAGTTACATATGTATCGAGGTGACTGTGGTTCCCCTCCCTAGCGCAGGCCACTTTTTAACGCAACGTCCAACCGATGCGTCGTTTTGTGCTCGACCAGTTAATATGGGCTTGCACATGCGATGAGCAGGTTTTTTTCCAGCAAGGGGGTTTGTTGTAATGTGACATGGCGCTTGATATTGGGAAAACGGGAATCGCGGGATAATTCGACGCATCACACCGGAAACAGAAAAACCATATCGAGCACATGACTGCAAATGACTGATTGTTGAATGGTTGGCATTGCGTATCGCGCTAGTTGAGGGGATACAAATGGCGGGAAACGGGAAGGACTGCCATCGCGATAGCCTGTAACAAGCGGGCGGTTGCTTTTGACATGTCGGCTTGGTGGGTCCTGTAACAGGAATGCGGAAGCGAAAAATCCTTTTGTGGTATCCTACGGGCACATACCTTAGTTACGCGATCATATCCAGTCTTGTGTTGTTGGCAGCAGCTGTAACTGTGATCATTTGGAGCCGTCAAGATGTGCTTGTGTTTGCACGCCCGTATGGGTGGAGAGCAAAAACCAGCCCCACGTTTCTGTGTACCAGGAGCTGCATTGTTTTGTTGTGTTACACCATACCTAGGTATGCCTGCTCAGTCCATGCACTGTAACGTGACTTTTTCATGTCCCACCGCGTGTGTTACCCAAGAAATTTGACAGCAAGCACAGCGTTCGCGCACAGCATGAAGGTGACGGCAGTGACAGCTGTCAAAGCTGTCATTGTTCTGTAGTGGGGCGTTTCGCGCATATGTGACAAGAAGCATTCATACCTACCATGGGGAAGTTTTGTCTCGATTTGTAAAGGCTTGTGTAACCAGCGGATTTAGACAAGGAATGTCCAGAAGCTAGGATAGACGAACTCGTCTTCAAAGATGCGCCGAACTTGTTCCAGGACAAAAGATTCCACTTTGCCTACATTCTTCAAGACTTGCTTCCCGTTGCCCTGATCCCCAATCTCGCTCTCGACCTTGATATGCTCTAGGAGCCCACCGATTCTGATGCGTGGCTCTGGCTTTTGCGGGTCCGTCTGAATGGGGTCAAGATTGGACTCGCCGCCAACTAGTGCGTCCGCGTCATCGGGAGAGAGAAAGCAGAAGTGAGCTCGTCGTTTGATGTGGGCCAGGATGGCGACTCCGTCGAAGGTGATGCCGGTGATGTTGAGCTTCAATGGGATACCCACGAAACTGGGCATAGGGTAGTCCAGGAGAATCTCAGCGGTCAACGACATCTTGATATCGCCAGCATATTGGACATGTGTCACAACTTGGAGATCCTCCGGACTCTTTTCATGCATGCGGGGAGGCGATGCAGAAGGCGTACCGTCAGCCGAGCCGTCAGGGGAATCAGCCAGGGAAGCTCTTCTCTCTGCATCGGGCTGATGCTGCGATGGTGGTCGTGTATTGGGGTCGGGATTGGACTGGGGCGTCAATGTCAAGGAGTTCATGGAGGCGGCATGGCGGAGGCGCATGTCAGTAGGAGTGGATGGGCGGCCACCGTTATGATCAAGCCATCCTTGGATTTGAGCACCGGCTACAGCAGCCAGCGGCGTAGTGGTACCGGAAAGGCCCGCACCGAGCGGAAGGTGGAAGTAGTTGATGTTGGACGTGCCTCCAGGTATGCCGGGCGTCGAGGCTCTGGGAAGAAACGGGCTCCCCAGCTGTTCGGCGGGGGTAAGAGTAGTGCGGAGACCGGGAGCTCTCGAACTGACGTACGGCGGTGCTAGACGTGACGACTCGGTCTCATCCATCAGCGCTGTGCCTCTTTCCGCCCCTCTGCGGCGCTCTTTTGCCGTGCGCGATGGATTATCGTGATTGGGGCCGTCGGGCGTCCGGACACCGTCCTCGGGCTCTTCTGGGTAATCCTCATCATCCTCGTAAAAATCGGGGAGCGGATCGCAGATGTCCTTGATTTCGATTTCGGGCGATACACTTCCAAAATCGAACGAATGGACGTGGACCGAGCGGATGAAACGGGGCAACGTGACTTGCTGGAATTTGTCGTGGATGAAGGCGCGTATGGATTCGGCGCGTGCCAACCCGTCCGCGCCGCCTGTTAGGGTGTGCCAGTTGATATCGATTGACATTACGGGTCCATCATTGGGGGTTGGATCTGGTGGTGGTCGTGATGGTGGTGGTGGTGGTGGGTAAATGACGACAGGAAGACTATCCACATGTAATGCATAGGTATGTATGAGGACGACGACGATGATGATGCAGCAGGCATGGGGCCTGTGTTCTCAGGGCGAAGCGAGCCAACAGCTTCTAGCCCCGCCACGCCCCTCGGGGGCTCTCGTACAAGTCGACCAACACCACCACCACACGTATCCGACTGCCTACTTGCCTACTCTCTTGCCTTGATGCATTCTATTTGCATGTACGTCCAAACATATTGGTCCGCAATCATTTCCTCTTGCCAGCTTCCAATGGCACAAAGAGAGGCCTTGCAGAGCATGATGGCACATATCTCCATCTCTGTCTGCCTGCAGACATGGCATTCCCATGCACTGCCCTGACAAATGACGGTCGGTCCAATCTAAATCTCTACATGGCTACCTGCAAGCAGGCCATCGTAAGTGGGAGGTGGATCGATAAAGTATAATCAATACATGGACAAAAGCAAAGCAAAAAAGCAGCAACATGTAGAGCCGCACACCTTTCCATCTGCACCTGGCGCCTATGAAAGCCCCCTCAGGCGCGGCAAAAGCAGAACAGAGCCATACCTTCCATATCCACACAAGTCCGCACATGTATATATATACATGTACGTGGCTGGGGACATATGCAGCCAGGAAGCGAAAACGGTGTAGGGGTCAAAGGGCAGTTAAGGTAGAGGCAGGATGCATGCACCTCACATATATAGGTAGGGCAGATTGATTAAAAGCGCCAAGGCAGCCGTGGTGTGCTCGCCCCTTGACTGCGTCAAAGTCCGCTGCTGGTCCAGATTCTGCGCAAGATACGAGGGAAGATCACCTCATATGAAGCCATCAGCATGGGGCGGGGAGTTCCAAATCGCCCGTGCGCTGTCTTCTAGAAAAGCCGCCTGCCGAAGTACCATACGTCCTTGACTGTGTAGTCGATTCCGACCGCGACTCCACTCGCAAAGTACTATACACGCATGCATTATCGGTTATATGAAGATCCCTCCCGTGGCCATCCATCAATCTAGTTGTGGGCGGCCTCGCCGCAGCATGCTAACATCACATGCAATCGAAGCCAGCTAGCTTGTCCATTGAATCTGCAACTCAGTCACATCACGATTCCACCGACCCGCCTTCAGCTGGATGGATGTGAACGACTGCATATGCCTCTCGTAATATACCAACAGCATGCGCCTCGGCCTCGCTGACTGGCCAACGGCCCGAACCCTGAGCAGGCGGGAGAATCATGGGGTCGGTCTGACGAACATCTCGGGCTGACTGTACTGTGCATTCTCGCTTCCCAGGTTCACCGCAACGCCGTTGTTGGACTTCGGCAGAAGGTAGTCGAGGTATCCAACTTGGGCATGTATGTAGCATACATACACACCATCAAGCCCGTCACCAGCTCGGAACGTGTGTTGGGTAGATGATGTCAATTAAAATCGAGGGCCATGTATCTGTCACCGTGCCGCAAGGAGATGAGATGCCCTAGTAGGTACCTTCTCCACCACTGCTGTGAGCAGAGCTGAGCTGCCGGCTATGCCGCCAAAGGTGAGGTGGGTGTCGGTATGTCTCCAGCTCGCCTCGGACGTGCTCATCGCCGTTCAATTCCTTTGTGGACAAGACATCATGTAGAAGCGGTCTGGGCAGAAGAAGCGTGCAGATTGGCGAGCAACGGTGCTGCATGCCTGGTTGGTAGTGGTGTGACCGGTCAGCGCATCAGTCACGGTTGATTGGCTCACAAGCGGAGGTTAGGATTTGAAAAATGCGTGGGGTGTGTGAGGGGAGAAACTCAGGTGGGAAGAAGCTCGCCTATTGAGACAACATGCCCTATTGGGGACACGGTGCCGCGAGTGCCTGCGCATGAATTCAACTCGCTTTTCAGTCTGATGTAGCCATCCTCCCGCTTCCCCGCCTTAGCGTTGTAATATTCTTTCCAAAAATGCCGTCTTACTAACACTGTGAAGAAGGAGATGGTGAAGAGTGCAGGTGAAGGAGTGTGAGCAGGATAGCATGTCCAGCGGAGGTCCATTATCATCGTCATCGTCATCAACCGCACAAACAACATGTGCGGCGCAATTAATAGAAATATGTTCCATATCCATGTCACCGCGGAAGGGGGAAAGAATTGGTACGGGAGGGGGGAGGACCGGAGAAAGAGCTGAAGAGGAATGATGGAGGAAATAGAGAAGAACAAAGACGGGAGAAAAGAAGAAAAGGAGAACCAAGTAATACAAGCCCAGAACCTCGATGCAAGATCAGCCCAGAAATTAGTGGAAACGCCAGACTCGCGAGAGACCGCTTCCATGGCCCTCGTGAATCCCAATGCTCGCCCAACGCCCTTGCTTTTTGTGTCCCAGACGCCTTTGAAATGCAGCCTGTGGCAGCCGTGAGGCTCAATGTGCCCAGAATCTAATGAGGTTCAGAAGAGAGAGCAGCCAGCGGGCCGCGGGGAGCGGCAGCCGTTGTGGCCACTGAGAGCACCTCTGTGTATTTGCGTGCCACCGGTCGTCATGGTTGAGGTGTCGTCCGGATAAACTCTACGGTGGCACACACTGGAAACAGGGGAATGGTCAGATTGGCGTGTGATGAAGAAAGATGGGGAGGGAGGGGAAAGACAAGGTACCCACCTGTTAGTGATGATCGCAACTGTCACATTTGCTATCGTGCTTGACTTTGGTCGTCTTGTCCACGCCGCAGGGGCCGGCTCTCGACGGGGCGCAAGGAGCCTTCTCCCTGATTGTGTGGCCGCACTGGTATGTGTGTACGAAGGTATTGCACATGTTGGTGACAGTGACAGGTTGGTTACACGGCGTTTGGGTTCCACGGCGTGGGTATGGGTATGGGAAGGGGTGGGGTGGATGGTTGCAACGGCGGTTGTGGAACTGGCGATAACTTTTTTTTTTTGCTTCCTCTTCTCCCCTATCAGTTCTCTCTCGGAGCCGGCTGCTGGGGGGACAGAATCAGGATGGCGGCGGAGGCAGCTGGCAAGCTGGCAGGCAGGATAGGGCAGAACAAGGCGGGCAAGGCGGGGTGCCCGCGCGGCTCAGCGAGGTATTATTGGCGGGTGCGGGGTGGATGGAGTGCAGGCCTGCACTTTCCCTGTGGCCGACGCGAAGGGGCAGCCGCGAGACAACGGGGGTATGTGTGCGTGTGGGTGGGTGGGCACACGCCAACGACGAAAGGGGTCTTGAGGGCGAGAGAAGAAGGTTTTTGGGTGTGAGTATGCGTGTGCGTGAGTGAGGGAGTGGGTGGATGTGTGCGTGTGTGCGTGTATATATATGCTCAGAGCAAGAGAGAGCAAGAGCTGGGATCAAAGGCCCGCGGTGATGACGATTGCTGGTCGAGTACTCGAGGGAACGGCGGATGTGAGCAAGGCGAGAGACAATGGAGCGACTATGTCTTCGTCTTGGCTGGGTGCTCAGGGCAAGAGGTAGTTGGCTGAAAAGAATTGGTAGACGGCAGCAGGCAGCTGCTGGAGGAGGAGAGCTGGAAGACGAAGAGAGCCAAAGTGGTTACTGGTGATCGGGGCCGAGGTGAGTGGATTTTATAATGCAACAAGCAGAGAGACAGCTCCGAGCAGACGGTCCTCTGAAATGTCCAAGTTGGCTGGTTAGATTGCAAAACTGTAGCCAACGTATGTATGGGTAGCTACTTAGTGTACAGCCGTTTGGATTAGGCCGTGCGGGTACGCGACATGGGTGGCCCCAGCAGCCCACCAACTGCCCAGTGCCTGCCTGCCTGCCTGCCCGCCCGCCCGTCCGCCTGCTTGACCCCCCATCCCTCCCTTTGCTTTGCTGCCCCCCATCCATCCCATCCACCCCATCATCCACACCCACACTCCGCGCGCGCTCTTGATCTCTACTCTCCCTCCCTCTCTTTCTCCGTATTCCCTTTACCCCCCCCATGTACCTACCTCGGATCGTACCCTTCTCTGCTCCTCCTGGTCGACGTCGCTCATGGCCACAACGTGTAATAATGCTGATCCGCTGTCAGTGCTTGTGCTCTCCCCTTCTCGCATCGCACTCACCCACACACCACGGGAACGGAAAGGTTGGCGCGTGTGCTGCCGTGCCTATCAACGAGCTAGAAGACATGACTGGCCCCTTGGTCATGCCATCAGGGCCAATTGTCGTTGGACTGGCCTCATCATCACCATCACCACCAACACGACTGCTCGCGCAGTTACATGGCCGCCATCCTCCATCACCTCTGCCCATGTCCTGATTGCAGAAGAGCCTCGTCACATGGCAAGACCCCCCCTGCGGCCAACGCCATTCAGGCACCCCGTCCTCCCACTACCAATGTACACTCGATGCATCGATAAACCATTACAGCACAACACCGTACATGCAGTACAGTACATTAGCCGGTGCGATGCGCAGTCGCTTGCTGCCTGCTCACCGCGCCGGATGCTAGCGAAAGAGACGCACCACCCAGCCCAGGCACGGGAAATCAGGACATGTTTCCACTCCGTCAGCCTTGTGGTTGTTGGTGCAGCCCACCCTGCCCCCTTCCAATGCTCCTCTGCTTGCTTGCTTGCTTGCTTGTGTCCATTGATGTAACGGCCTTGCTCTGCCATTGATTGAGTCCCTACATAGACGTACTATTGACGGGCACCGTGCATGCATATCCGCAGCAACACCGAGACACCACCTCTATGCCTACTGCCCGCCCGCAGCCAGCTACTACTACTACAAGACATTGTCTCTGACCTATTTTGCGCCGTGTACATGGCATGCGTGAGGGATGGGGATGGGTCGAGTCAACCCCGTTGCTCGCAGAGAAGCAGTTGCCAATGCAAAAAGCCCAACGCGTCGGCCTGAATCGTGCGGCAGAATGCGCCGCCGGAAGGTGACGAGTTGACTCGGAATCGTGGCATCTGGCCATCCTGCAACGAAGCTTAAACATGCCCTTTTGGTCTTTTTTTCTTTTTTCCTTCTCCATCTGCTGCATCACCTTGACCTGCGACAGGGATGTCGAGCTCCCTCTGCGCCGCTAGTCTCTTCGGGGACTAGCCTTCTTGTCGGCCCGGCGTCCGACGTCGATCGCAGCACGCACCAAGATGCGACGCGACGGGGCTGCGCTGCTCAGCATGACAGCTCAATTCGAGCAAAGAACAAGAATGGGGCCATTCGGCACTTGCACATACCAGAGGGACTGCACAGGACAGCCTCGCACACTGCCGTTGGCGTGTCAAACTCAGTCAGTTCATCCGCTTCCTCGTCTAACTTTGGCTAGCTGTCTTAGCTATTGACCGTATCCACCTACCCCTCCATATACAGAAATTACCTTAAGCCTACAGTCTGCTGATAGCAGCCCTCGCCCGGTCCCACCCTGGCTGCTTCGGTTATTATCGTACGTCGAGGCGGACTTTGATTGCGGCGATAGATGCCCATGGGAAGATCGCCGTCGGCTGTGCGCGTAGGGCATGGCGAGTCTCAAGCATACGAACTCCCTGGATGTTCAGAATCGAGTCCAGACACCAGCTGCAAACTCGAACTACTGGGGGTCATGGCATGACTCGGATGCTTTCTGAGCGGAACACTAGCGAAAGCACGACTACCAAACTATGACCATGTCGGCTACCTCTAGCGAGTCCCTTGCCTGATATAAAGCTCGCAAGATGTGGATGTGCCTTCGTTCAAAGCTACGGGGCTCAGTCATCATCTGCTTATCCCCTGGCCGGACATTCTACCCTGGAGTAAAAGATCCTTCTATCATCCCCTGTGATTACAACGGATGCCGAAATGCCACGAATCACTCAAGGTTCAGAAGCTCTCCTTGTACAAGTCTCATTTGCCATTGATGATTGTCCTGCCGCTTCATTTACCAAGCCATTGACCACGTCTCTCGCCTTCGTCCCTCGACTTTGGGGCTGTGCCGGCGAAGAAAGCGTAGGTAATCCATCTCACCTAAACATCACGCAGTTTTGAGCAAGACGTCCTAAAATCTGCGCATAGTAAACAGCCGGTCACGAGCATGTTCATATTCCATCAACATCCTTTGACGTGACAAGTCCTTGGTTAATCTAAGTATACTCGTAATGGTGCGTCACGCGACAGTCGATCATTGATGGCTGTTAATTAACATGTCACAATGATACAATGCTACACCGATGTGGGTGTCGACAGTGCGCAAGGAGACCCGTTATCAGATCACAGATGGTTCAGTTGGTCGAGTCCCATCACAGCAGCTTCTCTGCATGACCAAGAAGAGATCGGCATCTGCCGCTCGCACCCTTGATTGAGATCTCTCCACAAATTTCTACCCTCAACACACGCAATGCTACAGCAGGCCGCTAGCTAGCAGCTTAGCTTACACGAATAACGCCTCCAGCATATGGCACCTCGGTCAATACCTAGGCGTATCTGATCGTGTCAAGCTGTCTGCATCTACATAGGCCACAGCACATGGCTACGGTTTCTTTTGTACATCTGGGTGCAAACCTCGTGCAGTAATAACGGTGCTGGAGCCGCAATATCAAAAGCGCAATACGCCGCCATTGAACATTAGCAGCTGAAAACACCAATAACCCGCATTGCCTAGACAGAAACTTTGCAGCGCGAAAGTGGATAGGCAACCTTTATTGGGGCAAATGACCGAATCATTCGAGCAACGATGAAACTGTTGACGCAGGCTGGTCGCTTCCCATCCCCACCACCAAGAAGTCGTTGCTCAGCCGGACAAGGAGAAAAACAAAGGCGAAGGCTAAACAATTTTCCCTTTGCAAAGCTGTCTGGGACGGGAGCGAGGATGAAAGGGGCAGGATATTGATGCTGGGACAATTTATTCTGGAGAATCCTCGAGGGTTTCAATAAACGCTGCAATGCTTGCTCGACATGGGAGCCATGAGTAATAAAAGCAAGCTTGCTTACCAGGTCGCAACGTTTATGCGCTCTCTAGGCCGAGGCAAATAGGCGCGCGTAGAGGACAGCCTCTCATTCAAACAGGGACAAGTACCATGTACCCAGGTACCCTGAGCGGGAAGGGACGGGATTGTAAGAGGCCAGTTTTGGCACAGCTGGCTTTCATGTGCGAATCTTGATTTGTTGCATTTCGAGTAAGATTGAACAGGTAAAGTGATGTCTTAGCCGCCGAACTATTGAATGGCTTCCGAAACCGCCCGCCGTGCAATCCGTCGGACGTACGTACGCACGCACGAATTGCCAGGGACGCGAAGAAGAAAAGCCGTTGGAAATTTCGGCTAAGAGCTAGCCCGTCAGCAGCAGAACGGCAGGAAGCGGCATGTCCTCTGTAGGCCAGACAGTTGTAACGGCCATGATGGAATACTACGAAGCAACAGCTCCGATCGAAGGTTTTGGTAGACCCCCCGCTACCTGCATGGAGGGGGCGACGTCGCTTAGGAAATTTGTGTCTGTGTGCGGTTTACATCAACATGACAGTGTGTGGAAAGTCATATCCACTGAGTTTTTGAATTGCCGAGATTCTCCGCCCGTCAGCTACCGAGTTGATGTGAATGATGACGAAGGGTGTAGACATGGATGGATGAATGGCAGACATGGACTTTGGGTGTCGTGTGGCGAGGGCGGCAGATGGCTGATTACACAACGACCTGGCATGGTGGAGGAGCAGAGATGCAAGGAGATGCAGAGGTTGTAAGGCGTCGACATCGTATTGTTAATCATGGGCTTCTCGATTGCGATCGGGGAATAAGAGAGCGGGATGGATATCTGAGACGTAAATGGCATGGCGTGCGACGCGATCTTAGCGCGCCTCGAGATTTCCCAGATGACGCCGTGTGTTTTCGATCATGCTTAACATCATCACCATGCTGATTGGCCAGGTCGCCCGTTCAGAGCATGTTGTCATGTCTAATGGCGCGGCAGTTGTGCCTGAACGGGGTACAACGTGGCGGTTCAACAGGCTTCAAACGGCGCGTCGACATGGGCCAGTACATACGTGATGCTCATGGTACGTCATGACAATTGAAATAGGTGGAACACCACGACCACGCCCCCGCAGAACAAACAACCATATAACAGTCCAGCACGCCCCTCGATTGCTGCCAGCCAAGCTCTCCGTTCCAATTCGTCTGCAAAACAAATTCGAATGGCTTCAAACATCCTCGCTTCAGCAACAGAAAAAGTCAAACAAATGGCCGGAGCTAGCAATCAAAAGGTCGCTGACCTGTCCGCCGTCACAAAGGACGTACACGATGAGAGCTGGAGAGCCACCACAGACTTCGGTGTCAAGATCAACACACACGATGACTGGCTGAGAGCGACGTCCGAGGACAAGATTGGCCCCGGTCTTCTCGAGGATAGCATTGGCCGTGAGAAGATCCACCGCTTCGACCACGAGCGTATCCCCGAACGTGTTGTCCATGCCCGTGGAAGCGGTGCTCATGGCAAGTTCACTCTCTTCGAATCGGCTGCCGATGTAACCACTGCCGGAGTCCTCACCGACACCTCAAGGGAGACTCCCATCTTCGTCCGATTCTCCACCGTCCTTGGAAGCCGAGGTTCTGCGGATACTGTGCGCGATGTACGCGGTTTCGCCGTCAAATTCTACACGGACGAAGGTAACTGGGATATCGTTGGCAACAACATTCCCGTCTTCTTCATCCAGGACGCCATGAAGTTCCCTGACGTCATCCATGCTGGAAAGCCGGAGCCTCACAACGAGATCCCTCAGGTATGTCACTTGCTGGTCCAAAATGGGGCGCAGTGCTAATGGTTTTTAGGCTCAATCTGCCCACAACAACTTCTGGGATTTCCAATATATGCACCCGGAAGCCACCCATATGTTCATGTGGGCCATGTCTGACCGAACCATTCCCCGTTCCTACCGAATGATGCAGGGTTTCGGTGTCAACACCTTCACCCTCACCAACGCCAAGGGCGAGAGGAACTTTGTCAAGTTTGTCTGGACACCTGAGCTTGGTGTGCACTCTTTTGTGTGGGATGAGGCTCTGAAGATTGCTGGACAGGATCCCGATTTCCATCGCAAGGATCTGTGGACAGCGATTGAGGCTGGCGCCTACCCCAAGTGGAAGTTCGGTATCCAAGTCATTCCTGAAGGCAAGGAGCACGACTTTGACTTTGACATCTTGGACGCTACCAAGGTTTGGCCCGAGGACTTGGTGCCCGTTCGGTACATTGGTCAGCTCGAGCTCAACAGGAACCCTGATGAGTTCTTCACCCAGACTGAGCAGGTTGCATTCGCCACCGGCCACGTTGTCCCGGGTATCGGCTTCAGTGACGACCCGCTGCTCCAAGGACGAAACTTTTCGTACCAGGACACCCAGCTCAGTCGCCTGGGTATCAACTGGGAAGAACTCCCCATCAACAAGCCCGTTTGCCCCGTCATGAACTTCAACCGTGATGGTGCGATGCGCCACACCATCACCAAGGGCACCGTCAACTACTTCCCCAATCGATTCCAAGTCGGACCTGCTGCCACTAAGGATGAAGGTGCTTACATGGATTATGCGCAGAAGGTCGCGGGCATGAAGGCTCGCCTCAAGAGCACCAAGTTCAAGGAGCACAAGAACCAGGCGGAGCTGTTCTACAACTCTCTCTCCGCCCCTGAGAAGAGCCATTTGACTGCTGCGCTAGGCTTCGAGCTGGATCACTGCGATGACCCCGTTGTGTACGAGCGTATGACCTCGCGTCTCTCCGAGATCGACCTTGGACTTGCCCAGAGTGTCGCTGAGTTGGTCGGCGGTGAGCAGCCCAAGGAGCAAACACGCCCCAAGCACAACAAAACCGCAAAGGGTCTCTCGCAAACCGAGTTCGCTCCCGAGAAGCCTACTATTGCCACCAGGATGGTAGCCATCATCATCGCCGACGGCTACGACCCGGTCGCATACAACGGCATCAAGGCCGCCCTATCAGCCGCCGGTGCCCTCCCCTTCACCATCAGCCCCCGACGCAACAAGATCTTCGCCGCGGGCGAAGACCCCAAGACCGGAAAGGGCGTAGTAGCTGACCACCACCTCGAGGGCATGCGCTCGACCATGTTCGACAGCGTCTTCGTCCCCGGCGGCGCCCAGTCCATCGAGACGCTCCGCAAGAGCGGCCGCGCCGTCCACTGGGTCCGCGAAGCGTTCGGCCACCTCAAGGCCATTGGCGCCACCGGCGAAGCCGTCCAGTTCGTCCGCGACGCCTGCGATGTCTCCGGCATGCAGTTCTCCACTTCGGCTGATGTTGTCGATTCCTATGGCGTTGTTACCGCGGCGCAGGTCCAGCCTCAGAGCTTCAAGGAGGTTGTTTCTATGGCCAAGGGCGCCAAGGACTTTGTCGATGCTTATACGTTTGCTATTTCGCAGCATAAGAACTTTGACCGTGAGTTGGACGGCTTGAGCGTCATGGTTGCGTACTAGGTTCGTCGTAGATGGGAAAAAAAAAAGGATGAAAGGTGGTTGTTGCGTGATGGAAAGAGGGCAGAGATAAATTAGGATACCAGAGGCCTTGGTCCTCACATCAATTTTTTAGTTACATAGTATATGAATTCATGACATTATTATTTTTTAAACATAAATTTGGTTTCGACTTCGACCGCACGATGTTCCAAAACAGCTATCTAAATTCTCTCCACTTCTTTCTCAACTAACCTACCACGGATAGCAAAAAAGAAGTTTGGGGCTGGCTTTTTTTTCTCCCATCATCGTGGGTCTCTGAGTGGATTGGTATACGGGTGGTGGTGCTTCAGCTGTCCTTGAGTCATTACTCTAACTACATTACGGGGAAGGGCCTACCTAAGGATAGAGTGTTAACTACTCTTTCTACTTTAATACCCTGTCAAACAACATTTTAATATGCGTTTAATAAAACGGTAATAAGATCTAGACAAAATATAAGCCCTCAATTGAATGTTGATAGCTGATCCTATGGTGGGCCCGCCCTTGTAATGTAGTCAAACGCTTTTGATTGATAATGGCTGGCGGCGTCATACACGCAACGTTATAACATTTGTTCATCTTTTATTCATTGCTGTCCCGTCTTTTGCTTGTTGATCTTCGAAAAAGGAAAATCACTTGTTTTGATAATCATGAATGTGTGCGAGCCAGAGTCACTGATGAATTGGTTTGCTTGCTTGTCACTCTCTCATCGGGAGCTACGAAGGAAACTGGAAAGGACTGCTGTCAATGCGGCAGTCGGGCTATATATGATGGAGAAACTGATACCGCTACTACTAATCTCCTAAACGGGAGATTGCTGAAGAGACACTGCCGCGTTGCCACTACTCGTAATAGTGTTCGTAGTGTTTGATCCTTGAGAAGGCACTGATGCGTTCCCAGTGCCCGTGATGGTAGTATTCACGGTCTCCGGTGCGCCAGACGAAGTAGGAGTACCCAACCCACCACCCACGCCCGTGCCACTACCACCAGAGACGCTACTCAGCTCCACATCAGACAAATCCTGCGCGACCTTCGTCTGCTTAGTCCGCTTCGTATCCCAACCATCTACAACAGGCTTCTCAATCAAGACGGGCCACTGATCCGGTATATCCTGGACTTGGTACAACACACCGTCATCGGCGCACTTTGCGACTGCTTCGCGCTGGCTCAGCGAGCCCGCGTCGTGGACTTTTGCGACGCTGTCTAGTACGCGTGGGGATTTGTTGGCAGTGCGTAGCATCCCGCCTGGCTCGAGCCAGGAGCCTGGTTGGATCCTGTACGCGAGGATTAGGAATAGGTGTTGAATTATCACGAGAAGCATGATGCAGAGCACGGCGATAGCGATCCACTGCCAATTCAGCCGCGGTCCAGAGCCGTAAACCTGCCACTGCACGGGCGCTGAAGCGATCGTTGTGGAGTCGTGCGTAGTGAACGTCCAGGTGGATGTGGAGAGTTGCTGCTGCGCGAGCGTGGCTATGACTGGGGTTAGACTAGCTGTGTCGGATATGAAGTCTGGATACTGTGTTTTTAGATTTCGGGCGATTAAAGCGAGGTGTGGTGTGATGCCAAAGGCGGGGACTTGGCCATTGAGCATTGGCGTGATGGATTTGAAGTGTGCGGCAAGTCTTGCGGCGATTAGAGAATCGGCTGGATTTGTGGATATTGGTAGGGTTCGGGGGATTGTGGGAGCTGCGATGTTGTTGATGGCCATGTATGGGTTATCGGCTTGTAGATCTACGATCCAGGTCTCGACGGGAACCAGTGCTTGAGAAAGCGTGAGTGTGCATTGTGCTCCGGCGAATCCCAGGACATTGCTAGTACCGACTAATATGGAAAACGTAGTTCTGTTGGGCTCGGGGGCCTGGACGTCAAGGCTATTGTCATCCACGTCTTTGTCTTTGAGTTCAGCACAAGTAGTAGCGAGGACAGGAGCCGTCATTCGAACAACCCCATGGAACCCTCTCGCAGTACGAGCAAGAGGATTTCCACTGGTTTTCTGGCTCTCAAAAAGCGTTTTGATGTGCTTCGATTGCAGTGAGATACTGCGGACCGTCGAGCCATTTATTTGTGTCTGAATGCCAGTCATATAGGCTGGTGCATCCCAAACGGACCCCCAATCAGGCGACTCTCGATAGTAAACACTCGATAACCCTGTGAGGGACATGAGTGCCCCCGATGCAGCAATGGCGCCTGCAATCTCATCCGCGGCTCCGCTCGTAAGAAGAGGGACACCGTCTTCGTCGGTTTGCGGCGTGCCACCGACGAGAGCAACTCCAGTGTGCATATCGTTTCCCCAGTCCACACGATCCAGCGTCATCAAGGGAGCGTGTATGCTGAAATCTGGCGACGCCTTTTCTGTCAATTTAATAATTGTGAGGTCGGGATACCAGCGTCTTTTGGGCCACGCGATCGTATTTAGGCCTGCACCAAGAAGCATAACTGAAATCGAAACGGCGAGCGTGAGCAAAAGGCGGAAGATGGATCGCCACTTCCAGAAGCCTAGAATGCGACCTCGCCTGTAGAATGCATAGAGCGCTTTCCATGGTTTGCTCATCTCGTTTTTTAGGAGCGTGTCTTGAATGGTAGAACCAACGCCAGGTTGTATCATCCACAACGTGTTGTCTTATTTCGTGAGTACAGAATTTCAACAACGTAAGCCGATGAGCTATACGTACATAGAAGAGCCATGTGCTCGAGTGCTGCTTGGATCAGCACATCGAGAGACTTATTCACCACGCCTATGATGACAAGCTGTAGCTCCTCATCGATCTCAATCTTTCCGACCATGACGTTCTTCAGACCCCAGTTTTGGCGAAGGAATCCAAGGAGAATGGCTCTGGATATATTGACTTAGTCTCTGCTACCGCACGAAGATGGGAATTGGCCTACGCTAATATGACTCCAAAGCATAGAAATGGAAGTACTGTATCGAACAGAACATTGCCCCAGCCCCGACTTTTCAAGCCCAGCCTTGCGATCGCATCGCACTCATTTGGGCGTGGGAGGTACAACCAATGGCACATAGTGTACCAAAAACCCGAGCCCGAAGGCCGTGAAGAGCGACCTACGCGCACCATACCTGGTGAACAGTGTTGCAGTGGTAAAGCAAAAGGAAGCGGAGCTTCAAGCAGCCTTGACTACATGCCGCGCATTCGGCCCCCACTCCCTATCGTATTCCTTGAAGGAGGATGCTTACTTCCGCAATTGAATGGGGGTTGTTGTAGTTGTAGTCGATGGTCCACTGTATAAGTCAGTAGGAATTACCCTGGTTTATACCTACATTTATATGGCATGCGGTTTTCCATCATCAAGGAAGAGCTGGAGAAAACGAATCACTCAGTTCAGCTCTTCTAGAATGCCATACTTGGACGACTGGAGCCCAGCGTCGCCTCTGGGAAAACCCCCTTTCACATCACGCAACTTCCATGACCTGTGAAATATAGATGACAGCTTTTTCTCAGCCATCGATATCAGTGTAAGGAAGTTAGAGTAAATACATATGTAGGCAGTATGAAGAACCTACCCAGCCAGATCTCTATGCAGGTCGGACTACTAGTCCCGATTAAGCTATTCCGTATCTCAATGTCGGCGTTGATTATGTAATCCCGGCTTATAGTGTATGCATACCCACAGCTCTCTAACCCTCGTTTTTCTGATCGACAATTTCTTCCATTATCGCTGAAAATACAAATATATGAGATCAGAGCTACAAGCGAAGCTACTATGGGTTCCAAAACACCAGAAGGCCATCACCAGAGCCCACATGGCGAGGCCAGAGCACACGTTGCTAATACTTCCAACCCGCCAAAATCCGCTGCAGCGGCTGGCCTCACCCACAGCACTCTCGAGGGTCAAGAAGAGGCAGATGACGACGAAGACGACGATGAGAAGAAGAGCGGAACCGGAATGAACAACGGCGTGAGCCCCGAATTGAAGAAAAAGAAGAGAAAAAGAAACAAGTCAAACAAGAAGAAGAAAGACGCATCCGCTCAACAGCAGACTGCACCTCCTAGAACTGCGCTTGCTACTCTTTTCAGGGATGGAAAATACCCAGAAGGAGAGATTGTAGACTATGTCGGCAGAGACGAGAACCTGCAACGCACCGGAGCAGGCGAGCTGCGCCACCTCGCCGCGGTAGCTAACATGGACGACGACTTTCTCAAGGACTATCGCAAAGCCGCCGAGATCCACCGCCAGGTACGCCAATATGTGCAAACGCTGATCAAGCCAGGAGTTGCTATGTCCGAACTTGCTCGAGAAATCGAGGAAGGGGTTCGTGCGTTGACTGGCCATCCAGGCGTGGAGACGGGAGACGCTCTCAAAGCCGGAATGGGGTTCCCAACCGGACTATGCTTGAATAACGTCGCTGCCCACTGGACTCCCAATCCAGGAGGTAAAGAGGTCTTCCTTCAACACGGCGATGTACTCAGTGTTGACTTCGGCGTCCATGTTAATGGACGAATCGTCGATAGCGCTTTTACAGTAGCACCTGATCCAGTCTTCGACAACCTGCTTGCGTCGGTACGAGCCGCTACCAACACCGGGCTGAAGGAAGCTGGAATCGACGCGCGCATCGAAGAGATCAGCGAGGCTATCCAGGAAGTCATGGAGAGCTACGAGGTACAACTCAAAGGCAAAACCATCCCTGTCAAGGCGGTCAAAAACATCAGCGGCCACAACATCCTCCGTTACAAGATTCACGGCGACAAGCAAGTCCCCTTCATCAAAACCAAAACTAGCCAGCGCATGGAAGAAGGCGATGTCTTCGCTATCGAAACCTTTGGGACTACTGGTAAAGGGTACATGCGCGATGATGTCGGCGTGTATGGCTACGGTCGCAACGAGCATGCGAATACCTCCGGTCTACACTATGCCTCGGCCAAGTCTCTACTCAAGACTATTGATGCCAATTTCGGCACCATTCCGTTCTCCAGGAGCTATTTGGAGCGGCTAGGTGTCAAGGGTTATCACTTGGGGATGAAGTCGCTGGTTTCGCATGGGATTGTGCAAGAGTACGCTCCGTTAGTCGATGTTCCTGGGTCCTATGTTGCGCAGTTTGAGCATGTGAGATTGATTCTACTATGAGGGAATGTACAGCTTCATTTACTAACATTGTCGTCATTAGACTGTTCTGCTCCGACCGAACTGTAAGGAAGTCATCTCCCGCGGGGATGACTATTAAGAGTTGTTGAGATGAAGCATGGACGTAGGATAGCAGGGGGAAGGCCTGCTTTATTCGCGAGTATTCGTTGACTCCAACAGTCATTTGGCTATGCAACTTGAACAAAAGCACTTCAACATGTTTAAACAAACCCATCATTCTCTAGAACATAAACTCGAATAAATACATTCATTTGACGTCTTTTCAGCATCCCATCAAGCCCTACGTAGAGACAAATCATAGACCCCACCTTCCCACTCGTCCAAATCTCCCCCATCAATCCTCCTCCGGCGGATAAACAACCAACCGATCCAAATCCGCCGCCTTGACATCAAACCCATTCCACAACCCCCCAACCGTAACCACATTCCCACCCCCCTCCTTCAGCTCCACCTTCAACGGCGCACTCAACACAATCCCTTTATGCGTATCCCTCTGATACAAACTCTGCACCTCGCCCCCATTTACAGAAACGCTCGCAATCCGCCTCAACTGCCACGCGCCGCCGACACGATCGGGCGTGCCGCCCGGTTGGTCGCCGAACCCCATGTCGTCGGTGTTTTGGTAGTAGAAGGATATCCACTGCGATTTCCCGGTGCCCGTGATGTTGGTGAAGGTTACCGTGGAGTGGTTTCCGGCGATGGAGGTTAGGATTTTGCCGGTAGAGGCGAAGGATGCTTCTTGTAGGTATGCGGAGCCTGTTGTGTGGGTTGTTGTTGTGTTCGCAGTGGGGAGGTATGTAGTTCCTTCTATTGGGGTCCAATCACCCGTTTCACTGTTCACGTTTCCGTTAATATATCGGTAACGCGAATACATGAGGGGGGGAGGGGGGTTTCCATACATGTTGAGATCGTATATATCATGCCAGACTACTTCGAGAGACTTCTTCTCTTCATCGATGGCGATGGGCAACCAGATGTATCTGCTTTCCCAGAGCGAGTTTGAATCCCACTGGTCGCCGAGGTAGAGGTACGTTGTTTGTTTTGTGCCGTTGATGCGGAGCGAGAAGCCGGATTGCGAGTTGAATGTGCGGGTGTTGAGGGGTGACACGATGAAGGGTTGGGACCAGGGCCCGCTTAGAGAGTCGGCGCGGAAGGCAACGACGTCTTTATATGATATATTAGCTTGATATCAGGAAATTTTACTCACTTGTAGATTGAAGGGAAAGGGAGGCGGGGGGGAACTCACTGTTAGGCCTATACCCTGTTTTATGGCTCATAAGCGCGTAGTAGCTCTTGTCCGTCTGCAGAATCGTCGGAGCTTCAAGATCGTATTTATCGAATCGATGAACTACCTCATCCAACTCGGTGATATCGTCGTTGTATCGGGTAATGTACACATCCCGCGCTTCTTTACGGTCGCCATTCGAATACAGCGCATACGACTTGCCGTCCTTGTAGTCGGTGAAAAGACCAAAATCCTGCGACCAGTTGCCGAGAGGGAGTGTGGCGTCTACGAAGCTGTAAGGTCCGGTGATGTTGTCCGCTTGGGCGAAGCCTTGAAGGAGCCAGCCGTAGGTAGAATTGTCGGCGTGCCACCACATCTGTCCAGATGTGTGTTAGCGAGTGATAGTCTTATGGGTATCTCCCCTTTGAATAGAAATGGGTAAATGAGAAAGGAGTTCATACATGATACTTCCCCGTTCCTTCGCTATACACCACTTTCGGTCGTTGAATGATATGCTCAGGTGATATATAAGGGTGCCCCTCAACCGGTTCTACACACCTCAAATTCATTAGCATTTATTCATCTCTCTCAAAGCTCACCTCAACTTCACAACTTGCCACTTCTTTACGCTCACTTCTAGCAAAAATATGAAAACAAGCAAAAGGAATTCAGGAAATACGCACCCAACGCCATCCCCTCCCTCTCCCACGTCGCCAAATCCTGCGAGCTATACACTGATATCCCACCACCTTCGACCTGCCCTTCAACCTTGTACTCTCCAAACAAGAAGAATTTCCCCGTCTCGCGGTCAACGGTGACGCACCCAGCATGCGCATTCACCAGCTCGCCTGCGGTATCGTACCATCGCGCGCCGGGGACGATCCATTTCGCTGTCGCGGAAGCTGCTAGAGCCAGGAGAAACGTCGAGAGGAACCGAGGTGTCATTTCTATCTTCCTTATCTCCAATCAGACAAAATGTAGAAAGCCTAATATCTTGAGGTCCTCCTCTTTCTGTTCTATCCGATTCGCGGCGGGAGAGGGATTAAGTGATGGAAAGGTAGCTCCAATTCTTAAAATTAACCATTGTACCCCGGGGTACTTTTTGTACCTTGTTCCTAAATTCTTTGCTTCTTTGCTGCGGTTCAATTGATAGGAGCCAAGGCGGCGAATTCCCAGGGTCCTTTTATCCCTCGGGTCAAAAGTCGACGACGGGGCCGGGGTATGAATGCGGGGGAAAGACGGGGCCTGCTTGGGGACCTCTTGATGCGGGCAGATCACCGGTGCAAAAGAGCACGGAAGAATTATGAGGTCATGTATTCCGTTCTTCCATTCTTTCTCCCTTGGAAGGGTGTACTAGAATCGTGGTGGTAAACTTATTTTGCAAATACTGCGCCTCTTGATCATATTCTGAACAGAGAGAATTGGTTCGTTTTCGGGTAAAAAGTCCCCGGGTTCGATCATACACCAAGAGTAGCATTGGACTTTTATTTTGATGTAGAGGGATACAGAAAGGGTTACCCAAGTACCTGGCAATGCAAGAACGCTGCTGAATAGCTATGTCGATTTATGTGTAGCGCAGCCACCGTATAGCTAATAATACCAGCTTGAATCGAGGGGGGGTTTAAACTAGACACGTCAAGAAGGGGCAGAATGGGGAACTGAGATTTAGTCGACAGTACAAAAGCGGTTGTATATGTATATAGGAAGAGGAGATGGTGAATCAAATAATTTGGATCTTTCACCGAAGGAAAACAGCATATCCCCGATAGCCGGCGAAACGTTGGGTAGAGAAACGAGTTCAACGTTGATGTTGACGCTACAAAAAAGCATGCAACAACAAGCTTCACAGAAACAAAGCACAACGAGGAAAGTGTGTGAAAGCACATATATAACCATCAAGCACAATATTCAAACAGAGAGAAGGAAAAAAAAAGCGGAAATTTTGTATATACCCTCACAGTTTACATGGTACTTCCCACCACGACATGGAAAACGGCAACGTCTACCTACACCTCAGCACACCATGCCCATCCCCCATCTACAACTTCGCCCCCGGCCCCCGAACCCCCTTCAAGACCGGCTCAAGCTTAGTAGCCTTCATGACATCCCCCTTGACCTTCAGCTTCCCGCTCATGAACAGCTTCTGCGCATTCGCCTTGCCCGCAACCAGCTCCCCAAAGTCCTTGTCGCTCAACACCAACGTGACAGTAGCCTTCTTAGGTGGAGCTCCCTTTCCAACTGTGCCAGTTTCTTTGAGGTCAATGTACCAGGACTCGGTTTCCTTTGCGGTGTTTTTGAGCTCGATGGCGAAGATGGCGCCGCCTTTTTTGATGGCGTCGGTGCGGGCGGCGGGGGTGGAGAGGGCGGTGCTGAGGGCGTCGAAGGCGGTGGAGGAGGGGAATGCGTCTGTGGCAGGGTGTTAGTTGTGTGTGTGGGTGTGAGGGTGGAGATGGGGGTGGGGGTGGGTTGGAATCGTACCTGATTTCAAAGACATGGTGATGGTTGGTTCGAGCTGAGTTGAGGATGCGATATATTTCAGGTATATGCTGTCGGCCTTGTACAAGTGTGTAGTCTATTCAGATACGTGAAGAAGCCCTTCAAAGCAATTCGCAGTCGTGAATGGGAAGTAGATTGGTGCGTATGACGTTGACCTATCCGTGAGAGCGTAGATCAGAGTAGAGGAAGGAAGGAAGGAAGGAAGAAAGAAACGAAAAGACGCACGAGCTGGGGGCGGCAAGACCAGAGGTACTTATTATGAAGCGGCCCGTTCGGCAAACTTGTGACAGACAGCCAGGATCAAATGACTTTGACGCAACGATGGTTCCCTTTGGCTGCGTTTTTGCTATTGCGCTCGGAGAATCCGGGGAAGGTTGGCTGGCATGTGAAGCTCGCGGTGAGGGCTGGAAACGGAGCTAGTTCCCTACGATGGGAATGCCGAGGTTGTGGGGAAGCACGTGCGCTTTGAGCTGCTTGGGGAAGGTGCAGAAGGGAGCGCAGTGATCAATTGGGTCATGTAGTAAGTGTGCGATTATTGATTAATGGTGACGAGATAGCTAGAAATAAACCAGAAAAAAGGAATCATGTAGAAACGAGAGGTAGGAGCGCAATTAGGTGTATAAGTATGGATTTTCTTTGGGTATATATAATTCGTTAAGGACAAAAGGAAATACATCTGTGCGTGTGTGTAGGGTCATGAGATATGATCGTATATACATAAAAGCATTCGTCAAAAAAAGAGAACGTGGCATAAAAAGGCTCATAGACATGAAAAGATGTAAGGAAATAAGAAGACAAAGGAGTGTAATCGTTAGCCAAGGTCAGAAGAAATGATTCGTGGCCGAGCTTAGGAAAAAAGAAGAAGGTAAAGCGAGAAAAAAGCACAAAGTCATAAGAAAAGAGAAGGAAAAGAGACGTGAAGACGTAACGTGGGATCGAGGAGGGATGGCCATCCCTTCTGATCCTCTCATCTGGCCCAGAGGAAGCTGGAGACTTTTGTAGCGAACGAGAATGAAAAAAAAAGAAGAGACTCGATCAATCGCTTACCACCAAGAAAAGAAGAAGAACAAAAAGAATAAGAAGAAAATGTCGTACCCCGTACCATACTAACCGACCATTGTACCAGACACCGAAAAAACCCAAACCACGTCGGGACCGACTGTCGATATGGGGGTATCGAATATTAAGAATGCGACAGTTCTGTTTTCCCTGGTCCCGACCGGATGCAACCCACCCAACCAGCCCTTTCGCATGTAATAAACTCCTAAAAACGTTTTCCTCCTCTTTTACCATTTTTTTAATAACTCCGTGTGTTTTCATAATTCAGTGGATATATTCGTGGATGATTGCTTCGCGCCCAAAACCCAGAAACCGCTAGGGAAGGGGGTATGTAATTGCGGTGTGATGAATAGACAAGAAAGGAAATGAAGACAAAGGAGTCTTCAAGATCACTTCCACGACGAAAACTTGAGCAAGCGCTTTACGTGATCGCCGCCACCGCCCCAGAAACTGTCCTTGTTGACATGGGGGCTCTTCTTCAGCGTCGTCTTGGGCTTGGCGAGCCACTTGCTCAAGCTATGCGAGTTCATAGTCGCTCTGTCTTCGCGGGAGATGTATTCGATAGCCTGATCGACTTCTTCGAGGAGGGGACCCATAATCATGGGCTCCATGCCCACGGGACTCAGGACAATAGGCACGTCCATGACTTCCTCTTGGGTGCGCCTCCAGCGATCGTTGCCCGCCATGAGGGTCAGGGGCTCGAGCGCCTCGTCCCAGTTGCCCTCGCGCAGCTTAACGTCTTCGAAGTTGAACTCGACGAGGCTGCGGCGGTGCTTGTGAATGAAGTCTGCGATTTGCGCGGAATCCATGACGGCGTTTTCGAGCTCCATGTGGCGCATACGGGAGAAGCGGAGGGGGCGCGGGCCGCGGACCTGGCCGCGCATGGAAGGATGCATGCATTCTTCTTCGACGGGGAGCATGCAGGGTTCCTTGTCGAGGGAGAGGGGGGAGGGTCCGCGCGCGCCTTTCCAGCGGAAGAAGAGTCGGGTGATGCCGCGAGAAAGAGTGCGAAGATAGGCGTGGAGGATGCGTAGGTGTTCGAGGGATTGCATGTTTGCCTTTTGGGTTGTGGCAATGGGGAGGGATTCCATGCAGATTGATAGGTTGCGGATCTGGCTCCATCTCTTGGCCGAGGAGGGCGTGCTGCCGAAGCCGTGCATGGGGTGGAGGTAGAGAAGACCGCCTGGGTGGATGGGGTGGAGCGATAGCGAGGAAAGGCTGTACATGGGAGCGCGCTCAACGGCGATTCGTAGAGAGATGAGCGCGTAGTCTACAACAGTGCGGCGGTGGCGCGGGGCGATGTCATATCCAGGGCAGGATATTTTGAGGTGGGTAAGGTTGATGAGCTCTGAGAAGGCGGAGACGAAGGCCGGGACATTGGTGGCAGCATGGAAAAGAGGAGGATATTGGGCAATGAGCAGGTTGGTCATTTTCCAGGTGCCGTACTTTGGCGTCTTCTCTTGACCGATGACATGCTGGGGGACCTGCAGCTGCGGCTCATACAGAAACTGCTTCTCTGCGCCAGTCTCCGGGTCAATGATGGGGGGGAGTAAGGTGTCCTGGCTATGGGGCATGTGAAAGGTGAAGGTCTTGACGTGTCGGCCAATCCTCTTGAGAGCTTCCACGCGAGCGGGCTTGGAGAAGCTGGATGGTTTGAATGTCACAGTCATGCTTTCGAACAAGAAAGGCGCGGCGCGGGCGGAGAAGTCATGGCAGACGAGACGCAAATCGGGCAAATCTTCGGTCTCGACGTGGGCAAGCAAATTGTCACGGCAGGCATCATTGAGCCAGAAGCGCAAGAAGGCGGAGCTGGTGGACAGAACCAAGTTACAGATGGAGCTGTTGGAGCGAGTCGCTGTTCACTCTTGGTTAACACGACTGTCCTTGGGTTGCTGGCTGCTCCAGGTCAAGAGTACGGGAAGTCTTACATCTTCCATCTATGGTGGTGGCGGGGCTCAAGGGAATCTCTCCAAACAGCAACTTTGAGCTGGAACGTGAAGAGGTGGTGGCTGCGCTCGCATAGCTGCTGTGGCTCTCTCCCGAGTAAGAGCGCTTCAGCGACGGCGGAGCTCGTCGTGATGGGGAAGACATTTCTGGAGTTTTCTCATTCAGAGTGGCGAAAGCGAGTTATGGAGGGGTCGGTGGAGTAACAAAGTAGAGGGAACGGTTAGATTGATTGACTGAATGATTCGTTAAGCAAGATGATGGTTGGCGGTCGTCGAGGTTCGTTGAGCACGTAGTAGCAATGTTTGGATGTTCGGTTTCTTCGAACCAGCGACTCCCTGACCAAGCAGAAAAGAGAAACAAAGGGAGAGACGGCGGTTCAAGGCTCGAAAACGAAAAGGCGGTGCATATATCGGCTCGCGGGTGGCAGCAGCATGGGCAAAGTGGGTTTACTGAGGATCCCCACTCGGTGTGCCGACACGTGAGATGCAGGTATGAGTCAAACAGCATGTTGGTCGGTCGCAAGCGTTCACGTCGAACTTCTTGTTTGGGAGTGGGAACAGAAGGCGAAAACGCGACCATATCGCGGTGGAAGAAGCGTGTCTTTATGTGTCGTCGACGTGTTGGACGTGATGACTGGCCGGTGGAGGGGGCGGGGTGGGGCGCGGGCGGCAGCGATTCGATGCGGCGGGCCACGGCGGGCAGAGGGGCCTGGACACAAGCAGGGCACAGCTGCAGTCGGCGGGCTCTGCACATGCGGTGTGCACGGCTGGGCGCAAAAGACCGGTGAAGGATTGGGTATCGAGCGCCTTTGGTCCCTCTGGCCCCCCGCCTAGCCCGCTGCACCCCTGCGTTAAACCCGCCCACCGTCGCGTCTACTGACTGACGCGCAGACCAAACAACAAACAAACAAACAACACTGATTCGATCAATTGCTGCTGATCGCCCTGTTCCCCCGATTATCGATATGCGCCCGTCGCGTGCGGGCCGGCGCGCGGGTCTCAAAGGTACCCAAGGTACCCCCATCCCAGCTGCACTCCTCTCCAATGCCTTCATCAACACCACAATTCTCCCATCGTCGAGTACCTGATCCGTCCAGCCATCCATCCCCACGAGCATTCATCATCGCCCACGAACTTCACTGCAACCCCAACACTCGTCCTTTTCGAGCATCCCCCAGCCCGTCCGCCCCAGGTAACCAGCAATCACTTTGTTGTTGTTATTGTTGTTGATGTGTACATGCATATCTATCTACACACACACCTACAGTCTACAGACGCGTCTGGTTGCCATCGCAATCGCAAACACCCCGGCCTTCCACAACCCCACCTCCCACTTATCCATCCATGCTGTTCTCCCAACCCCATCGCGAACCTCCTTGGCATTCTGCACAACACACTCACGGCCGACAAAAAATCCCTCAACCGCTTGCTCCATCTCTCCCGCCCCCTCCCGCCGCGGCCCAATCCACCTCCGCTGTCATTGAAACACGTCTGTGATTGGATATCCAAATCTACCGACATGCACTCACTTGAAACGCTCCTTCGACCGTTTCCCGCTTTCCCATCCTGCAGAATTCGAGAGAAACCCAAAGAAAACCATACTACTCCGCAGAATCTTCACGGCGGCAAACCTTTGATTGGTTCCCAGTGACTCCCCCATTCCCTTGTTTACCCCTCTCCTCTACCGTTTTCTGTCCTCTGAGAACCTGGGCGCACCCTCAGGCACAGGCGGGGGCATGTAGCTCCCTCTGTAACCGTTGATCGGCGGGAGGTTGGCACCAACAGCCTCTTCGTAGCTGGGTGGTGCATCCTCGGGTACTGCCTCCTGCTGCGTACCAGCCGCTCCTTGTGGTGGGAACGGGTCCGCGCCCGTTTTACCCTGCGAGGGCGAGGTTGCCATGGTTGGTCCCGCGTTTGGCTGCTGCGGCCTCAGGTTCGACCCAATGTACGGCTGTTGCATGAAGTTTGGTTTGCCCGCTGCAGCTGCAGTGGGCGTTCCTCCCGTCGACGAAGCTTCCAGCAACGCCTGGGGTGGTGCGATGCCAGAGTATAGTTTGACCGGCAGTCTGAGTGGGAGCACCACCAACTGGTCCTCGCCGTGATTGTATGATCCGTAACCAAGCCCAACGCGAACCTCAATCTCATACGAACGCGATAGGTTGCATGCTTGAAAGCTCGGTGCCACCGTGTTTGGAATCAACTTGTCAGACCAGTACTCTTGATTGATCGGCACTTCGGTGCCCACGGCGTCTGTCGGCGAACCAATAGGAATAGCCATGTTGCTCATACTTGCAAGTAGCCAGCTGTTGGATTCGGTGCGCGTCACTTCGTGCGCGCGTACTTTGGTGTAACCTATCAGCTCGATCTGCAGCATCTGGAGGTAAATGTTCTTGCTGCGCTCTCCCATGTTCTTCACAAGGATCTTCAGTGGCAAGGCTTGGTTGATTGTGAGGATGGCGGGATTGGGCAAACGTGCATCTACACTGACGCGGGGCGAATGGTTTGGATTGACATCGGGCGCTGTGGGGTCTTTGTGTCCAAAGAATCCCTTCTTTCCTCCTGATGAGCCCGGTGGTCCCTCCAAGAATTGATGTGATCTCCTTGCATACGCTTCACCATCGGTTTGCGCTGGCCTGGGTGGCTCTATGGGGAGGAACGTGAAGTTGGCCATATCTCGTGGATTTTCCTTGTAGAATTCCGGCCGATTCACCGTCACTTTTACAAAGTATCGGATTTCCGCTTCACCTAAATGCAGTGGTGGACAAAGTCAGTACAATCCGGAGAGCGATGTTTCAAGATACTATCAAAGTGGCAAAACCCTCCACACGGTAGGGTCTTGAAGTGTCACACCGTGGTGGTCGAGAACCTTGTGCACATACCTGGGAAACCACTGAGCGATGGTGGAAGAGTGGTCTTGACATGCTGTGTGGGGTTTTTGCCGTATTCCGGTATCATATTGGAGAAGGACACATTTGTACTGAGGCTGTTCTGTTGTTGGCAGCCCATGTTCAACGGCAGCTTGAATTGAAACGGGTATTCATGTTTGCCCGCGTCCAGGGGGAACGCTTGCTTGGTGTTTGTGAGCAGCTCATCTTGTTGCATACCCGCTGGCCAAACCACCTACAAGGGGAAAAGAAAAAGTCAGTATAAGAGAGCCAGAGACGGTCGAATTTGTAAAAGATCGCCCATCATGACATCGTGAGGTATACCGCATCCTCCATGTAGTGGACATAACATCACACGTCAGGGCATCTTGACACTCGATCGTATCCTTATGCAGCGTACGTACCTGCGTCTTGTACAAGAATTTGTGGACCTCCAACACAGGTCTCTGCTTGTCCGTTCGGCTAGGTTTGATCGCAGTCATGAGCCTCGTGCGCGCCTCGCCCTCCAGCTTGACAACGATGCTGGTGACATTGACAGGATTGGGAATCTGCAGCTGGACTCTGCCGTTCAAGACATCAAGATTCGTGTAGTGATCATGAGTGTGATCGAGATACAGTCTGGCATGCATCTTCCTGCTGCTTGAATCCTGTTGCCGTCTTCTTTCGGTAAGTGATGTTCGCTTTTAGTGCCAAATGGTAGGTGGATGGTTATTGCCGGTGTTTAAGGGCCTGGAGGAGTCGTACAGCTCGCGAGCAGTTGTTATATCCTTGACAAGTCCCGAGTAATGTGAACTATCCTTTTGTTTGTTTGTGAATGCTGGCGGGTTTGCTGCACTGCCGTGAACGCGTGTTCGATTTTGGTGGACTGTGGCTGAGATTTTTCAGGGCTGAGAGTCTGGAGGTCGTTGGCAACTTGGAGGGGCACCTTCCGCTCCTTCCCGCATGCGTCATAGGCCAAGCCCCCTTAGATACCAGTTGACAGGTATTTGATGTAGCAGCATGGGATGAGATTATTACCATAACTAATACGCGTATAGCCGCTAGTCATCACCGAATACAAGAGGAACCTAACCGTAGGGTGCATTGAGTATCTTACAGTCAAATGCATCTCCATGATAGTGACAGAAGAGCCCTTCATTTCCACTCGTGAATGTGCCTCACTATATTCTAGCCTTCACTCCTCCACGAAAAGACCGTGCAGTCCAAGCCTTTTTCGCAGCCTCACTTGGTCACTAGGTAAATCTATTTGAGACTTCGAAACGTATTCACGGTTTTTAGAATCAGTATACCAAGGCCTTGGCGCTCAATTGAATATCAACTAGGCACCTATACTTATAAGAGTATCTAATGAATACCATATTAACCATGGACTTGCAAAAGTTCTGGCTTATATCCCGGTGAATCTGACCTATCGTACCTGGGTAGCAATCTTCATGTCTCACTCCTCACCAAGGCCGCGCACCAAGCCGCCGCTTGTTCTTTCTGGTGATGTACACCCCGTTGTGCACAGCCCCACACGCATCGGGCCACCGTGTTTCTCTTGCCTGACCACAACGCATGAAAACCATGGCGTGCCGTACTCGAAGGAAGCGGCGACGTGAATGTCGACACCCTAACTCTAGTTCAACAACCAATCAGTACCGCATGCCAATCCCTTGCTCTATCAAAGCCCTTCTTTGGCCAGCATATCTATGAAAAGAACCATGTTAGCGAGAACGAGCTGAAGCTTGCTCCAGGGGGTGCCGAATACGCATGGTAGCGGAGATTGCTCCAGCATTGATATTTATACGTACCGGCGATGTCGAGGTAGAACGCAATCGCATTGAAGCTGTGTAGAGTTAGAGGATACGACAGGCATATATGGGTGCAGAGACAATGCCTACTTTCGTTTGCGGCCGGTCAGCTCCCAAAAATACCACTTGATTCGATTAGTCCAATTAATCAAGTCGAGGTGGCTGACGCCCATCAGTGTGCCCTTATATTCACCCCATTGGCTCGACGATACGCTGTGATAGTCAGTTGTAAGTAAGGCTGGCTACAGTAATCTAATCGCACCTGACGAGGCCATCGTTGGGACCACCTTCCATTTCCTTGATTATGGCGTGTGACATTGCGAAAACCGACCAAGATGATGGCTCGAGTGATGCGCCATAGGAGTAGTATCTACATTGATGTTGTCAACATATGTCAGTCCGTGTCGGCTGAGGTTTTTACTTAATCCCCTCGCAATCAGGAGTCTTCAGGTTGAACTCCTCTCGCATGAATTTCCGGGTCAGTTGTGAGAATGCGCCTATAGATGTTAGTAGTCTTCTCCATGTTTTCAGAGATCTGGTGGCACATTGCACCTGTTTCTAGACCGATGTATCCCATAATTTTATATAGCCTTTGGATTTGGTGCGCTGCTTCACGTCAGATTCGATGTCTACGTAGATTGACTAGTTCATGAGCACATACGTCCGATCGTGTCAAACATATAGTCGGCAAAAGCAGAGCCTTGGTGCGGCGTCGCAATAGTAGTTAGTGATAAGACCTTGACGTTATTCGGTTTGAGTCGACTGAGCATGTAGCGTGAATCAAGGCCGCTGTATACAACTTCATCAGTACGTATTTCTCTGGACGATGTGTGATATTTACCCCTAATCTCAAGTTAGCAACAAATTCTATGACGAACAGAGTACTGGATGTACCATGCTGTGCCTGTGTATATGTCAGCCATTAAACCCCACAACACGTGTAAATGACCTTACGCTATGATGTTCACTTCTTTGCCCTGCGCTTTATCGGCAATGCTGCGCGCCAACACTTGCGCCCGGTCCTCAATACTGCCAGACGGCGGAACAGACGCGACAATCACCTCGATGCCCTTTTCTGAAAGCGCATCTGTGATTCCGCGCCAGTACTGTATCCCAGGCAGGAACTGGCCGGCAAGGCGGATTTCATCGAAGCCCAGAAGACCATGGGCTAGGATCAAGGTATGTTTCTATCGAGGTGTCAGAATAAAAGGGGTTGCAGCGGCGGCGCTTAGGAGTGTGTACTGGTGTTTCTACAACTTGTCAGTACAGTGCGCACAGTTGCTGGAGAAGGTCCAATTACGATAGTCATCTCGTATTACTGCGTATTCATCCTCTATCACACGACCTAGATCGTGTATCCGAGGGTCTTTGGGCTTCCATTTCGTGCTGGAGAATCCTCTGCTTCCCTTGTTGGCAGTTTTTGCACGAGCGTTTCGACGGAGGAAGTTTGACTGTGGGCGATAGTGCGCCCTAAAACCAAATCGTATCATGAGGTGTACCGCATTCTTGTGTTGATGTATGTGATCGGCGTTGAAGTATTGGGGAGTTTCACGAGCAATGGTAACGCGTTACTACCGACTGGTGACGTAGGCGAGCCAGGGTCAGGGCTATCTCTTTCAGGAATAGACACCAATGGATACAGATGCTATCAAGCATGCACATGTGATTATTTCGCGTCGCTGCTGTCCAGAGCAATAGGTTGGATATGACGTTGAAGATTCCAAGGTCTGTCTAAGACTTCAATGGTTTTGTTCTACCAAGATACAGCCTGCCTAGTTAGAACTTGACACCATAGCCTAGAACATATAAGCAAACATGCGTCGCCTTCCTAGTAGTCGATACACAGAGACACAAACAGTGTACATTCAAAAGTTTATAATGCTCTATTCCTCTCTTCCATCCTGAAGCCGACCGACACCACACTCTCAAGCTCGTCCGCGAGGTGGTTCGGGCTTCGCGTTCGTAACCGCCGTAAGCAGTTGCTCTACAACCTTGGAACCTGACTTGCTGCCAATACCCTCAATCTCCTTGACCTTGACTTCCGTGTCTTTCTTCGCGTCGTCCTCAGCCTGCTTGTTTCCAGAGCTGTGCTGCGTAGTGTAAGCGAGATGTATGAGCGCTTTGCGGGGGCCGTTTCGTTCAATGCGAACGCACCTCCTTCTCGAACTTCTGGAACTCATTCTCCTTTCCTTTTTTGTAGTCCTCGATTTCCTTTTGCGCTTCGCTTCGGGCGTCCTTTACTCGCTTCGTGCGGTCTGGAGAGGGTCAGAGGAGTCCCGTAATAGGCACGGGTGGGTAAGTGTACATTCTCTTGCTGCAGACGGTTAGCTGAAGAGTTTCTATTACAGTGACTATGAAGGAATTATTTCACTCGCATACCTTGCTGCACAATCTTTTGGGCTTCTCGTTCGGCCTGGATGCTGGTGAGCTTTCAATACAGGTCGGAGTGGGCTGTGGACCTTACATCGAGCAGCGTTTGGATTCCCGCAGAGTTTTGGGCGGCCTGCATATTCAGTTAGTTGTAGACTGAGACCTCAGGAAGTTTGGTATCAATAGTACCATTTTGAAAGAGGACGGTCGGCGGATTGTGAGGAGAGATTTGTCTTGTCGAAGTTGGTCTTGAACGTTGGTTCATCCATGCGGGCGTCACAAGCCGCGGGCAGTGACTTGGCGGTGGCCCAAGCTCCTTGAATCCGCCGCATCCCTAGAAATGCAAAAAAGTCTCTCATGATGGGGAAGGACGACTGTCACTTGCGCCCAATTGCTCTCCATCTATTTGAAGCTGCCTTTTGTGCAGGAAACCCTCTGGCTCCAACTTTGACTACCATCGCTCTCGCTCGTCATGTCTCGCGCCTCTAAGGTTACACTTGCGTCCACACTTGCAGGCGCAATCGGTATTGTTGTATTCGTCCACTTTTCGCAACGCGCTGAAAAAGCTGTAAGTGTACCTCACTTTCGTACCGGACACATCCTTTGTTTGTCTCTTTCGAGACCACGCAGATCACTGCTTGCTTTCCTACTATGAATCTATGCAAATTCGCTGCAATCTCTAACATTCTTCCAGCAAATGCACGCTGGTGTGATTCGAGACTATGAACAGCAACGAGTGAAGCGCGAACGCCAAGCCGACTTCGAAATGCAACAAGCACTGGAGAAGGAATACCGAAAAGTGCAAACAGTTTCGGATGGTGGCGGACCTGAAGCGCAGCAAGGCAATGGCAGCAGAAGTCGATAACCATGCGTCCAGGACCAAACACCCACCGCACCGCCCCGGAAAATCCCCAGCTGAGACGGGAAAGCACCCTTTCGCACGGGAGCATTTGAAACTTACGAGCACGGGTCAAAGGGTAGCGCCTTGTCTGCGACAAAAGGGGGGGTGTAGCATTGGAATTCGCCGTGCACACATTTATTCAAGCCGTATTCATCATGGGTGAATGAGGGAACTCGAGATATGGTCTGCCATATCGAGAAAATGAGCAGTCATCGCCGAATCCCACGAGGCTCAGCCTCCAAATAACTGCAAGATGCAGCATCTATCACAAGAAGTTGCGTTATAACACGCACCTGTAAGAGTAGCAGATTTGTTGATTGTGTATCAAATACTTAATATGTACAATAGGAGTGCGATCTTCGATTCATTAGTTCCCCTAACCAGCACTGCCACAGTGCTGTGTCGGATAAACTGGATGCTCGGCGAAGAATAGCGTTCGACGAGTTGACTGGTTGATGTCATTGCACTGTCAGCTTACATTTTACAGAGGTTGGGGTACATCGCTAGACGTGATCTGATACCGTTGAACATAATTATGCGGCCCGCGCTTTATTCCTTTTGATTGTACATGTACATTCCCATGACGACACTGACAGTCATCGCACAAGTGTTTACCTCTGTAATTGACTGGTTCCGATTCTCTGATCGGAGCAATGCAGGGCATATACCAAGCATCGGCTTGTGATCGGGCTTCGTTTTCGAGAATGCTTGGCCTCATTTATCAACCCGCTTAGAGCGTATCTCGTAACCAGGTACCCCATTCAGAAGGTTCATTGCAGAATCCATCGAGAAATAACCTGCTTCCAGTGCACAATTGCATCTTTGGTCTTGAGACAGCACATCCGTCGCTGCCGGGTTCCGAGTTGGACCTCACATCATTTCCTTTTCTGGTGGCAACATAGCCAAGCTTCCTATGTCATTAGCCTGGAGCAGCTCACTGGACCCTCGATGATGCAAGTGAAGATCCCCCGGGCGTTTGGCAGTGCAAAAAATCAGAGACCCAGTCATGCGTTTTATGTATGAGATCATAGAGTCGGGGTAGTCTTGGTCGATGTGCACGGGAATATTGAATGGAAAATGCTTTGAGTAATGGATACGAGTTCCAAGGATGACGCGCTGGAGCATTAGTGCTGCTGTAATTGACTCGACGATGTCCCAAGAACCAGCACACACAGCTGCATGTGCTCGAGGGCCTGAGGCAGTCTGGAATGAAGACGATATGCAAATTGCGACCTGGGGCCGGTGAAACGAAGACGAGTATCACAACGAGGCTCTTCTCTCGTGCTTGGGAGACGGTTGGTGACATTTCAACAAGGCTTAGTGGCGCCAAGTCTTCTTCTTTGGGCTTAGACCACTCCGCCTGCATGGGCTGTGCTGTCTTATGACGGCTCGTTTGCCTCCCTGCCTCGCTTTGTTGCCCAAGGATTTATTATAAAGACATGACGGCCTTATTCCCAGCCCGCCGATACCCCTCTTGCATCACCTTTAAATTCACAACATCATCGGCTACGAAGGCACCCCAATAAGCCTTTTGTACACACATTTTCTTTACAGACAATTCATCTCTCGTCTCCTGTCGCCTAAAACAATCTCAATCCCTCGTACAACCTATCACACATCGCTATGAAGTTCTCAAGTTTGGCCACTTATCTAGCCATCGGCAGCAACTTGGTACACACAGCTTCGATACCGGATGCCAATGCTCTATCAATCGCGCAATCTGATGCCATCACCCCACGCTCGGAGATCCTTTCTCCCAACAATGCTTTGGAGAAACGCAAGGGTGGCGGTGGTGGTAAGGGAGGCGGTGGTGGATCATCAAGTCAGTCTTCCCTCCCTTGTACTATTAGTGAGAATACCATCTAACCTTCTTAGGCGGAGGCAAAACATCCGGCAGTTCAAGCGGAGGCTCTTCATCACGCCCGTCGAGTTCAAACAGTGGCTCAGGTGGAACTCGCGCAGGTGGACTCAATGGCGGCGTGACCGGAGCAGGCTCTGGACCAGCTCGTTCCTATGGCAAAGGTCACTATGGTGGTGGTGCGTCCGTTCCCTTCAAGGCAGGCAGCCCCAATGGCAAGAGCAGGACTCCCGGTCCTCTCCTCGGTGCCGGCGCAGCTGCAGCCATCATGCCGGGGATATGGGTAGCTGGCGCATATCCCTACGCCTTCAACAATCACTACCGCTTCCATAATTCGACGCGCCGGAACAATACGAGGAACAGCACAACTTCCCAGAATAAGGCCAGGTTCCTCACCCGTTTGATCCTGCGTCAGACTCAACAAGATGGCCAGGAAGAAGACCTGCCCGTTGTCTGCCTGTGCGCCAACAATGCCGTCTGCGGATGCGAAGAGAATGAGGAGCAGGAATACTTGAACGATCTCGTTGGCGATGGCAGTTACGACAAACTCAACAAGACGCTTGTCACTGTTGGCGACTACGAAAACGAAAAACACTTGATCATCAATGGCACGCTTCCAGAAGGTACGACGGCTCCTGGTGCTGATGATTCTGCTGCTGCTGCATTGATGCCTTTTGGCCCTTACTCCGGGTACTGGGCCATGATCCTCATTGTAGCATCCACAGTATCGCTCATGTAATAAGCCTTCACCTTCCTGCTTCCCTTTAATTCCGTCGCGGATACGACCTTTTTTCTTCACGAACCTGTACGATTACCTCTATGTGCCTTGGTAGGAAACCGGCGCATGTTATTTTGCTTGTTCTCCGTTATAGAATTCTGTACGGATTCGGGTGGTCTTTTTGTTTTTTATGATTGATTCGGATATACCCTCTTCAGATTTGGCAATGATGCCTTGTCACTCAGGATACAATACGTTCTGGTTAGAACCGCAGTCGGGTTGGCTTTTTGACGAGTAGCCTGGCTTTTATGTATTTTAAACAATTACGTTATTACTACTTTTTTGGGAATTTTGACATGGTGTGTTTTGTCTTGACACTACATCATGATGATGTTTATAACGCACTCTGTCTCAATCTCTCACTTGATCCTCTCACTAGGGACTTTTTGGAAAGTCTTGGACATCTTTTCCGCTGGGGTGGAATGCGAAGATATACTATCAGCATTGTGCACATGGCTGTGGTGCTCGCATACTTAGGTACATAGATGAATGCATAAGTAGTGATGTATCGTGCCGACATGAACAATGATCACAACCTTGTCCTCAAATCCGTAGTATATATCTTATACACTGTCTCTTGTACGTAAAGGTATATTGACATTTATTCTCATCTTACACCTATCTCTAGATGTCTCTGTAGCTTGATATAAGGGAAGTACAACGAACAAGGGCTTGAGCATTGAGAGAAAGCGGTGATCATGGGTTGAGGTGTTTGGAAGTGCGGGCATGTGTACCTCATAGCCTTACGGTGGTTCTTCGAGCCCAGGTACATTGTTTTTGTGTCGGATGGTGTTGTTCGCAATACCCTTCGAATCGCAGTTATGTACCTAGTACATGAGTCTATACATAGGTGTTGTGACGATGTTTCATGTTATTTTTGTCACATCGTGTGGGTCATTAAATATGGTGTATACCTAGGTATGCACTGAACATGATTGAAAATTTACCATATATACGGGGTGTGACTTGAAGCTGCCTCGCCATGTAGAAGTGGGAAATTACTGCGTAGTGATTGGATGTCATGCGAGAAACTTACCCTTACGGGGCATTGTGATAGGAAGTCAGGATTTGGGCATCCTTGATTGCTGAATACACACCTGGCCGTTGATTACTCACACCATTTGTTTTTCTTTTTGCAGTCTGTGTGGTTCGCCCACCATGCATCTCAGAGTCCGTCTTCGATGCTCAACTTTGGGGTTGCCAAGGCGTTGCTCTCCCTCCGCTGGTCTGGTAATTCCCTCCCTCCCTGCATCGTGTTCTAACTTGAGGATGATCAATGCTGCTACCATTCTTGCTAATCCAACCAACCCCCCCTGGCGTGTAAAGATGTGATGGCCGCGATCCCGCATCGCCCTGCGGAGCAGCAGGTAATGTGACAGCGCAGCAGGTCCACGCATGAGAGGACGGTGGAGCGTGCCTTTTCATCGCACGCAAGCAACCAGCGATGTGAGAGGGTGTTTTTTTTTGTTCTTTTCGTTCTGGCGCATGTGTAGATGTGTGCTCAGCCTCTTCACGCTATCCTGGTCTCCAGCTTCTGACATGTCCACATGTCCTCTTTTTGTTTTGGACCAGGGGCCTCCAGTCAGAAGGTCGCTGGGGAACGCCGCGCGTGCCGTTTTGCTTTCTTTGGGGAGAGACCAAGCCCATCGTACTAGCACTTTCCCCCCTCCACGCCCTCTCTATGAATTAGCACGTGGGCTATGATGGAGTTGAAGGTAGCAACGACGTCATGGTGCGCGTCTGAAAATTGATGGGGACCCCGTCAGCCCTGTGGTGTGGATACGCGATTGGACCCTCTGGCGATGCTGGCGTGAGACGTCGGCATCATGATACACGGTACACGACAGTCTTAATTAAGAAGATGGACGCAATCGTATAGGCAGGCTGTGTCACCCGCGATATGATGCTGCCATGATGGTGATCGCTTGCCTGTCTAGACAAAGGATAGCTTGCGTGTCCTCTTTTCCCTCTGTCGCCAGGGAAGAGGAAAAGGGGATGGGATCAACTCCGGACGGCGTGTAATCCACGGTGATGAGAGTTGTGCGTGGCTGCAGAGACGGCCGAGCAGACTGGATGTTGACTTGCTGGATTGTGCGATTGTGCGCGTGTGGTAATTGAGGGTCGGTCGCATCTGGGTGTCTGTGACGTGAGCTCGAGTTATTTTATTCGCTTCCTCTCGTCCTAACCATCGCTCTCGTCCGTAGTGGTACGGAGGAAAAGAGCGCCTTGGCTGATACTCGACGTTCGAATCGAGCACCACTGTAGCGACGGTTATTTTATTTTTGTCAATAGTGAGCGGACGTGCGACAGTTTATTAACATTGAAGCCTGCCGTCTCACCGAGACTAAGCCGCATGCGATGGCGATTGAGGCTCTTGTAACAAGCGCAGTCTGCCTTACTCGACCCGTTCTGTGGTCGCGTTGGGGCCGAATCGGTGGTGCGTGGGTTCTAGACACGGTTGTTTCCGAACCAACGAAGCCGTTGTGCTATCTGGGGGCCCTTTTCGCGAACCAAGTCGGTGACGATGGTGTTGGTGATGGCGACACGCCAGGTACTCGGCACACATCACCATTGCGAATTCAGGAACGTCAATCATGTATGACACTTACCATCCAGGCGGACCAGCTTCCACGTGGACGCAGGACCATTCGAAACGTGTGGATGCATAGGGCTGCAGCGCTTGCAAAACGTCAACGGCAGACTCAGCTTACTGGCGCTCCCAAAAGCACCGCTTTGGGTCATGTCACACCCGGCATCGAGGATATTACACCTCGCTCGCCACTCACAAAGTGCAAACACGCAGCGATGACAGAATTGGGTGCGGTGCGGACAGCCCACGGCCTGTGCGGGCTACAGCCCTCTCCAGTTGTCTATTCCAGGATGCTGATGGTTCCTGATCAGGCTCGATGGAAGCCGTATCACTCCCAGGAAGTGCCCTCACGCGCGCTCTGCGCAACGACGACAAGGACAGGCGGGACGGCAAGCGCAAGGGCAGAGGCTTGTACTCCCATCTGACAGAACACAGACAGCAAATCAGACGCATTGTCTGCGTTTCAAGTTCTTGGGGGTTGACCCCATTACCCCAAATGTGCTGCGACTGGGGGCGCATACATATAGAGGAAGCTCTCAGCTGACCACTGCAAAGCAGAATAGGCAAGGCAAAAGAAGGCGTTGTACGTGTGTGTGGGTGCAATTACCATGATTCCACCCAACGGTTGACTCGGTGTATACAATTATAGCAGAACTATCTTCATCGTGGGTTAGTGGGTGCGTGGGAAGGATGCGACGAGGACGTGCGAGGCGAGGACACAGAGTTTGGGGTCGAGATCACCCACAGGCTACAAGGGACTTCGGCCATAGACGTTCATTGCACGTTACCCGTTCCCACGGTACACACCACGCCCTCACATGTCCAATGCCGCAGCAGCAAGGCAGGATTATCCCTCATGATTCTCATACCTGCGCGGCGATCTCTTCCCAGATCTCCGGTCGCTCAAGGTCAAGCCCTCCGGAGAGATTGAGGAATGAGCAAGCATGGGCTGGTCAAATGGAGATTACACAAGATGAACATGACAATATCACGGCTATTGTTGCTCTAGATGGGTTTTAGTAGTAAATGCTGACTCGGATCATCTGCTGCGGCGTTTGCTGCCATGGTTTTTGGAAGACGTGCGTTGTGAGTCCAGATCTATACCCCAAATACCCCAACGAGTCCAACCGTGTTTTCCTGCTATGCGGATTGGGGCAAATCTCGTATCACAATGAGTCTGTCTCATTACGGCATAAAAGGCAAAGGCACGGCTTTGCACAAGTTTTATATGGTCAGTCGAGGTTAGGTCGTGTCCCAATGGTCGCTCCGGCCCAATCAAACCATTTCTTGGGACATGGGTCCATCGGCCCCCCCAGCTGAAGGGCTCCAAGCATTTCAACACCACCACACTCCCTGAGTCCTGCCGCACCCGATCCCGAAGCTACGCACGCAAGTGGCCCGTTCATCTCCCGTCGTGAGAATCAACGGTCATTGTCTCTGAAATGATGGCTGTGCGGCTCTCTATCCATCCTAGCATCGCTGACTGCGCACCTCTGGAGCGTCGTGCAGTAACCAGCAACCCTGACATATGCGCTATGCCTCTTGCCTCTCCACGCTTTCCATCTTGCTCTGGAATATATATACTACGTCTTCGCCACTGCATGTTGTTTCCTCATCGCCATACAAGCTCATTCCAAACTTGACTGTTTCCCTCTTCGTTCTTTCTGCTTGCATTTCCTAGCGTGTTTTACAACCTTCAACTTGACAGTCTCTTCAGCGTTTCTTCTCCGTCAAATTCCATCTTCTCTCTCAAATCTCATCTTATCATCTCGACACACGCCAGTCAACATGTGCTATCAAGTCGTCGAGCGTTACTCGGTGTGTCGATGCCTCTACTACAAGCATGCCGTCGACCCATGTGCAGCCTACGGACAAAGCGGACATACTGTGCAAGAGAAGACGGTACTCGTGGGATACACCTGCAACAGCCACAGTAGCCACCGAACGCAACTTGGGTACGGCATGGGGGTGCTCCCCGACTCTGGATACGAAAGTGGCGCATACCCACCCACTCGGTGAATCCACCGCACTGCACACCTCGAAAGAGCAGCATATCACCGGAATTCCAACCTACATTCGATTGATCCGCTCTTCTTGGATCCAGCCGAGTTATGATTCACTTCTTTTTACCCCGGCTCTTCAGCGCACCTGCGCGTTCACTTTCACTGAGCACCTTCTCTCGTTTCTTTTATCACATGGGCATTGCAACGGAGTATCTTCTATCACGACATTCTGGTTCAGAGCGGCTAGAACATGGAGCATCACGCACGGGCGTACTGGAGTAGAGGCTTTGATTTTACCGCCCTGTTTTTTTTTTCCTTGTTGTCTTGGGTTAGATTAAGGGAAGTGACGACGAAAGATAGACCACACGGCATGGCAACGGAGTCTTTGGATGCTTGCATGGTTCCCCTGTGTTTTCATTCCTTCAATGTCTCTTTTGTTCTTGCTTCTTCTACGATGTATTATTACGCCATCTCTTTCCACTGTTTGTTAGCACCTGTGGATGACCACACGGAGTTTAGTCGCCGAATGTTTACCTTCATGTATACGAATCTGCCTTGGCCCCAGCATTATACGTACGATGTGCAGCATGTCTGAGTATGGCGGAGAGTCCAAGACCTCCCCGCGATGAAGGATTAAAGCGTTACATGTCCGCACCGGCGATTAGATTGCACTGCAGTCACAGGCTCTCACACGATGCGGGACGATGTCTGTTTGCCCAAAGGGGGTGTTGAAGGCTACGTCACGTCTGTAAAGGTACTAGCACGTGCGCAGGGGGGTTTGTGCAACACCGCTGTTTCCCATGCTTTCCTCATCATCAAACACTGAGAACGGCGTACACTTGTCGGTGTGAGGGCAGTCATCGGACGACTTTTGCTGCAGATGGATTCCTACCATTATTAATCATATCGATACAGAATTCAGTCAGGATTACGGCACTGCTGCTCATCAGGGACCTTTTCAATAACTCATGGCAAAGGCTCAGCCCTGCAATCCATTGGCCACGCCGATGCAGCAACGTGGGTTCCCCGGTACCTATCCTACAACCCCCAAGTTCAAGACATCGTTAACCGTACCACATGCAGAGTGGAACCTATTAATGACCGGTTTCCCCATTAGGTGGCAGGAGGAGCTTGCTGCGTATGTTCTTTCACTCCGCAATTCTCGGCGATTTAGGGGCGGCGGAAGGGGTTCTCTCGTCTATTTTTGGTGGGAAATTCGCAAAATGCTTCTCTCTTTTCACCCTCTCCTTCGAGCAAGTGGTCGGGAAACGGGAATAACCACCGGCCAAGATCCCTAGCCTTCCCATCAATCTGATTCCCTTTCGCGAAGCAACAGTGTGCGGTATACCGTCTTGGGCTATAGGCCAAGGCACCCAAAAAGCGACCCCCGACCTCCGCCCATCCCCATGTGGCGTTCGCTTTTCTATTTCTGGGACCAAATGGACGTCCGTGCTCTCTCTACGATTCAGGAATCATCACCACCAAATTTCCTGAAGCTCGGTCCAACGCTTGTTCGCGATAACACTGCGTATGCACTACGTACACAGTATTGCTCAATTCGTTTGCGTGTCTCTTTGCGCCCTTACGATTGAATTGGTTCGGCTCGACGAAATGCCTCTTACTCGGCCCTTGACTGTCGTTATGAATCAGCTCAATTGACCCAATGTTTCTAAGCTTGCGAACGGGTTGCTGCTACAGTATAGCTACTCGTCGTCTTTACCATCTCTCGCTATGGTGTCACTTGCGAGAACATTCTGTTGCTCACAGGTTCTAGATCGCAGCTAACTTCAGACTGAGCTGCCGGTCGCAAAAATTACGCAAACAAGCCATCATCCATTTCGCTTGCTATTTCCTTCATCTACAATGCCCAAGGTGAATCGAAACAAAGGCCCAATTATTCATTAGCAAGCGTGATCCTACGGGAAGGGGGCCAGGCTAGGTACACACAGTACACGATGCGAGCATAGCTAAGACAAGCGAATACGAGCGAGACATCGCGGTGACATTCATTCAACAGCTCTGTTTTATGAATACCAGGGACGATAATTGTTCCATCGTCATACAATAAACGAGATGAATGTAACACCGGCACGATGCGCGACGCTACCAGCCTCTCCTAGCGTGGTATAGACTCGCGGCGCGCGCGGCGCGGACCCCATCCACTAAACACCAATGGCTGTTCTAAAGCTTAAGTGGCCCAATACGTTTTCTTCGGGGAAGAGGGATATCGAGAAGGCTCCACATCTCCGGTATTCGCGTGCTGATTTTAGCAGTGGGGGCCGTGATCTATAGCTGTGGCTTCCCGACATCGTCATACGACATGGCGGTAATGTGGATTCTTATACTGCTTATAGGCATTGCTATTACACCCGCGTGCGTTTTATTCTTGGCACTATGAATCTGATATGGCTGGATGCTTATCTGAATCATTAACACTTTGAAATTATGTGATCCTGGCCCCAAAGAGGCGCAATGGGGTCGTTGCTGGAAGTACCCTCCGGGCCTATTGTCTATCTTCGAGGACGACAATCACAGATCCACAAATTTCGGATTATCTACTTCATATCTTGTCCCTCTAGGGAATTGGGATCTGATGTATTCTCCATTTTGTGTAAACGACCTGCCAACAATGGGCTACGACCATATCACGAATCTCGCCGTCATTGCATCTTGTAAAGATGCGTGAATCTGTTCAGGCTGCCTCACGTTGCCCAGAATCGAAAGTGTCATCCTCATTATTAGGTACCGAGTATCTCTATTACGTATCGATGTTTAAGACCTCCGACATAGTTTCGCTGTTTTTTTGTCTTTTTTTTTTTTTTTTTCCGCGTTTTCGAGAAATCACTTCTCAAGTGATGTACAGCTCCGCATGGGTACACTATGACTGTACGGTGGTTAAACTACATCCGTATGTCTAAGATTGCGCGTGTTGAGTGCACCCTCTATAATTTTTCTCATTCAGTGCTGCCTTGTAAGTTCAGAACATACAGGTTTGATGGTGATGCTACGCGCAAATGCTTTATCGACAATCCGCTTTCTCTCTTCTTCTCCCTTCCTGTAAGCTTGTACGCAGATCTCCAGGATCGCTTCAACCCTTAAATTGCTGCGAAAAGCTTGCGATCATCGTGCCATATCGGATTGGGCGCTCTAGATCTGGTGGCATCTAACCAGTGATCCCCAGTGTCATTTTTCACTCGGTTCCCTCCCCGCTCCCTCGATCTCACCATGTGAGCTCTCAGCTCGATTCGTGTTTGCCAGCATACTCTCCAGATGCTACTTCACCCCTCCGTACATGCAGGTTTTGGGGCTGAGCAAGAATCCTGTTTCTAGTATACGCAATCCAATCAACGATATCAAAAACTCATCTCTTTTCCGTTCCTCTAAAGGCTGACCACTCGTGGTCTGGTATATCAGATCGTATTATACCTCCTGTCGCCACATCCATGATTTCCGAGATGACTTGGATTACGAAGGTCTTATTGACATGCGCGCCAGCAATCTCCAGTCCAAGCAATGCTACTATCGCGTCTTCAGCTAACCAAATACCGAGCGATAGGTCATGTGGCCCACGCACAGGCATCCAACTTTAACCTTCCTAATTTATGAAGTTGAAACAAATGCGCATATGCAAGGCTGTCAGGGAAGTTCCGACCTATTTTTTTTTGATAGCTTTGTATCGCCGGTCATATCCGATATGATTGAGTTGGAATGTTTTGATTGCATTCCGTAAACGGAATCGAATGGGTCCATCCACGTAGCATAAGGGGACCGGCACCGAATTTCAAGAACCCCGATCACAATGCATAACGATGGTCGAAATGCCATGTCGAACATGAATACTTAGGAACGCAGTAATTTCTATAAAGTTTGATGGCGCTCCACTCAGACTGGACACTAACATTGCTTCCACGTGCAGCCCACGGTGCCACTAACCACAACTGACAAGAATAGTAACTCGCCATCTCCTAATCCGTGCCGAATCTAACAAAGTTTCGACAACGACGAAAAATAAAAAATCTTTCTTGGTGAAACAGAGGCTGGTAGGGATAGTGGCAGCACGCGCCCAAACCTTCGCCGGTGAATTGGGTGGTTTCACGACACAAGACGGATCGTCGCATGGGGGTGCCTCGGGCCACCCGGAGCCATCGCAGCAGATCAAGTGGGCCCGCAGTCGCAAACCGTAACATTGCTCCCACCGAATCTGAGCGTGTTGTGCTAGCACGAATCGTCCAAGATGAGGCTTTGCTCCATATTCGTGAGGCTGGTGCCACTTGGTGGTTTTACGACGAACGGACGCAGATCATCCCTTGCTTCTCTTTTGTTTTCTTGCTCACGCCCTGTTTCGCGGACAGAGCGCTTCGTGATCCGGTATTAGGACCCTTAAACTCAAGTCGAAGGGCGAGAAATCGCTGTGAATGGGTAAAGGGGCTGGACGCCAGACGAGTGCATCGCGATGGGTCTGATTAGGTACACTTTTTTTTTGTGCCTGGTGCCCATGACAGCGATTCCCAAGCCCCTTTACCCATCCGTGACGACCGTCTCTTCTATATATTGTTGCAGACGACCGAGGATCTTTTGAGGATGAGGTTTCATTCTGTTCGATTTTGTTCATTTTCCTAGGTTTTTGCTCTTCGATCACGTTCTTTACTATTTTTTCTTTCTTGAGCTGGCCTCTTACTACAGGTACTACTACACCAGAGGTTCATACCATTACTGCTACTATCGGCTACTGGATCCGATACACCACATTCCTTTCACGACTTACAATTGCCTGGCCTTTCTGTCTGCAAGTTTCAGTATAGATATAGACCTGTGGAGGGAACGTACACGATGAAGTCTACGCCAGAGAGACTTACGCTCGGGACAACCACGCCCATAATTCATACATCATCGCCAGCTTCGACCGCTCGAGTGGCAAACTCGGCATCCTCTTTTACCGACGACACAACTGCTCGCCAGTCAGTGGATACCATCAAGACCGTACGATCGCAACATCCAGTCAGGAAGCCGGTGCCAAAACGCGCACACAGTCCGCAAATCCCAACGGACAACCATTCCGATGAAGCGGATAGAGAGAACTATTACGACAACAGCCCTGCGCCCACGCCGTCCCAGTTTCTAGGGGCACGCGGAAGGCCTCTATCATTCTACGACATGAAAACGCAGCAGAAGCAAGCCCGCCCAGCACCCGCACCCGCACCAATGAGCCTACGAAACTCCTGGCGCGCAAGTGGGGAGATGCCGTTCAATTACGCCGATATCATCGGGGATAGTAGGAACAGCGGCTACAACCCCCCCAGAATGGGCCGCTCGTCGACCCAACCGACTCTCAGTGGGCCAATGCCCGACGCGACGCAGATGTACTTGGGATTGCCGTGGACCATGTGGATGAACAGCGAGTTCAAGAACTTGTTCGTTGCATCGGTTGGCGAATGGGTTGGCACTACCCTGTTCCTGTTCTTTGCGTTTGCAGGGACGCAGGTTGCCAATGCGCATTCGAAGAATCCCGAAGAATCGACGACGACAAATGCCACGGCAGGGTTCAGTCCTATTGTTATGCTTTACATCTCGGTTGCTTTTGGGTTCAGCTTGATGGTCAACGTTTGGATCTTCTTTCGTATCTCGGGGGGTTTGTTCAATCCTGCAGTAAGTCTTCACTCCATACTGTTGATATATTTGAAGATTACATGAACGGTTGCTCACACATGTATATAGGCTACGCTCGGCTTATGGGCTGTAGGCGCCGTCGCGCCAGTCCGCGCCGTATGTCTCTGCATATCCCAAATCATAGGCAGCATAACCGCCTCCGCGCTCGTGCTAGCCATGTTCCCAACCCCCCTGAACGTCCGCACGACACTTTCCACAGGAACCTCGCTGGCGCAAGGCGTTTTCATCGAAGCGCTCATGACGGCCGAACTCGTCTTCACGATCCTGATGCTGGCCAAAGAAAAGCACAAATCCACCTTCATCGCACCCATTGGCATCGGGCTTGCGCTCTTCGTTGCCGAGCTCGTAGGCGTCTACTACACGGGGGGATCGCTCAACCCGGCCCGCAGCCTCGGCCCATGCATCGTCACCAACAAGTACGACTCGGAGCACTGGATCTACTGGGTGGGCCCCGGTCTGGGCAGCCTCCTCGCCGTCGGGTTCTACAAGTTCATCAAGATGCTCGAATACGAAATGGCGAACCCGGGACAGGACGGCGACGACGACAACGACCCGACCAAGAACCCAAACCACGAAGTCAGAGAGAAGCAGCGTCTCACCACGGCAAAAGTGCTGCAGTCGCTCGGGTATCCGCACCCGGGCGACGAGCAGGGCACTGACGCTTCGCTCGATACTATGCGCCAGGTCGAGGAGGGCGCCTTCTATGGGAACCGCACCGTGTCCGGGTTGAATATGGATGAGCCGGAGAGGAGAGGGCCGAGTCCTGGTCCCGCGCTGTCGACCGTTGCGTCCATGAGCGATTTGCAGAGTCCCGTTAGGACGGATATGCATTCGCCCACGAGGAGCGATATGCATAGCCAGCATAGTCCTATGAGGCCTGGGTATGCGAGGTCGGAGGCGACGGCGACGTCGTCGGAGAAAAAGGCCAGCGGGGCTATTGCGTAATAGTCGTGAAGGCGATATCTCCCCCCTTTTTTTTTTATGTATAGCTTTACTTTCTTCTTCGGACTTGTCGTTTGTTTAGATTTGCTTGATATCCGTAGCTTTCTTGTAATGCCATATGTTTTCCTTCGTGTGGTTAGATGTCAATCAGGACACCAACTCACGTTTTTCATCTTTACTCCGAACAGCACAGAAAGCAAAAGCAGCAAAGAGGTGTTAAATCATCGCACGAGCCATGCTCGGATTTCGTAGTATAATTGTTCCAGTGTGTTTGTCTACATACATGGGTGCGGATTGCCAAAAGGCGCAAAAAAGCCAACACTTTATTCTTCCTGCCTCTGGATGTTCGTCCATCCATCCATTTCAAATCCAAATATGTTTCATCTCCTCTGTGTGAGAGAGCGAGTGAGTGTGGTATCATAGTCATGACCGTCGTGGTAGTAGTTGTAACAAACACTAAAAAAGAGAAATAGGAAAATTTGAAAAAAATCGTCATCGTTGAAAATATAGACAGAAAGAAGCGAAAAAGAGAGTCTTTGGGTATTGAGCACAAAAAATTACAAATGACAGGGCAACGGTACTCAGTGGCGGATGACGACACCTTGGCGACGGGTGGTCTTCTCCTCGTAGATGTACTCGTCTTCGGAGGAGCATTCGGAAGAGTCGTCGCTGTAGCCGCATCTGGCGCCGCCGCAGTCGAGGCGGACGCGGTCGCCAGAGCGGGTGATGCCGTAGCGTTCGCACGTGCAGCAGCTACTGTTTGAGCTGACGGACGAGGGCGATGACGAGTTGGTGGAGCGAGACGTGAGGGACGGGACGTCTGAGCCAGAGTCATCGGAGTCGTAGTCGGACTCGTCGTCTTCGGAAATGCTGGTGGCGCTCGAGGCGGGGCTGATGGTGTGCCTGGCGAATCGCGTGGAGAGGGCTTCAAGGGTCGCTTTATCGTATTGCGTGTTGATGACCTGGCGGGTTTGGTGCGGGCGTTCCGGCTTGGGTGCGATGATCTTGGAAGGGGAGAGAGAGCGGCCCTTTGCAACGGAGGCGGAGCTGACGCGGCGCTCGTGGCGGTTGGAAGACGAGCGGGAGCTCGAGTGCGAGGAAGACTTGGATTTGCTGGGAATGTCGAGGATGTTGAGCTTGCGACCAGTCGTGGGTTCAGTGGTGTGGTCTTTGGCTGGGTCATGGGAGACGTGGTACCCGTCGATGATGTAATAGTACCAGTATCTTTGGCCTTGTTTCAACATGCTGCTCTGGAATTTGAAGCTTCCCAACCATCCGCCGCTCTTCTTGGGGTCCTTGGACAGAGGGAGTTGTCCGGCATAGTTGTCCCATGAGCCGAGGAGATGTACGGTCTTGCAGCCGCTGCTGGTTCGTAGCGAGAAGTTGAGCTGGATAGCTGCCATTGTGAAGTTTTGTGAAGGTGATTTCTCTTTTTGTTTATTCGTTCTGTCGAATCAAGATAATAGGCTTTCCTATTTCGTCCGGGCCAAGCTAATGGATAGACGCGTGTATGGTATGAGAATGGTTGATTGCTTGATTGAAGCGTTGCAGAGAGTGAGAAGTAAAGCGAAGTTGCGCAATATTGTCCTGTTCGGGCTGCCGAAAGGGGTGTGTTTGAAGCTTGGTTGTCGTTTCGAGCAAGAGAGTCTGTGAATTACGTTGTAGGATGTGGACCGGCCACAATGGGAATCAAAAATGGATCAAAAAATGAGCTGCTTCCAAGAAGAGGCAGTCGTATTACAGTAAAAGGGTAGTCGAAGTCGGTAGTATGAGGATGGTAATTAATGGCACCAGGCCTAAGTCGAGATTGTAGATGGGGAGAGAGAAAAGAAGTGAAGAGAAAAAAAAAAGGGTGAGGAGAAAACACAAGACACAGCTCAAAAGTTCACACGCTTGCTGAAGAAGAAGAAGAGAGATGGGCAGACCGTGGGCCTTTATTTATCGTGAGCGGCTCCAGCTGAGATGGATGGCTGGCCAGGCAGGCAGCGCACTCGATAGTGGGCTTACCGGTCGGCACATTGGCACAGCACAGGTTGCACTGCGTATAGTTCGGGGGGCAAGGTAGCTGGACCCGGGAGGCATTGATTGCCTCTGCAGGACGTCGCAGGGAGTGGGCATGGCGAGCGAGATGGATTGCAGTCTATCGATAATTGCCCAGCGCTTGATGGCGATGCGAGAGTGGTGGAGAGGTTGGTCAGCGTAGCCAGTGTAGCCCAACGTGGCTTCGGCGAGTTCTGATTGGCCGGGCCGAGCGGGGGAGACACATGTAGTGGATTGGACGCACGGGCCACGAGTGTAAACACTCAGCCAACCACAGCGGGGCGCCCACGATGGCTCTGTGACGACCTCGTTCGAGTTGCATTTGCTCCGTCACATTGCAGAAGCGAGCATGGAACTAATCGTCTTTCTGGCCGAACGTGGTCTTATTATGCGTCTTGCATGTGCTCCGCTCCCTGCCGCATCCGTCTCTTTTTGCAGCCATTCATCCTTTGCCCAGCATAATTTGCTCGTCTTGGCCAATCGCTTTACCCGTCAAGCCGTCATCTGAGCACAAAATTCACCACATGTGGGACTCGGCGCCTAATAGTCTGTTCTGGTGGCTTGAGCCATACGACCACTCGGGGACGACCTGCTGCTTTGGAAGAGAGGGTGCTATCGTCGTCGTTCACCATGAGATAGATACGGCAATCATCATCGTATCCGTCGTACCTTGTAGACGTGAAAGACAGGCCGGATAATGCTATGCACATTGCGGCAGGCCTGCGTGCATGAACGAGCACCCAAGGAAGTGTAGCTTCAAGCATCCAGAAAACACAGCGTCTCGAGAAGCCTCTTCATTTGAGAATCCCAAACATGTTGCATACGACATACTTTCCGGCTCCGACTTCTCCCCCACCTTTGACAATCTCCCGCTTGTCCTCTCATAGTGCTCGTCACCCGTGACCCGGCTGTCTACGCAACACAAGACCAAGGTTCCCTGTGTGCATGAGCTGATTCGCTGTTCAACATGAGTTTCCCAGCCCCCAAAATTACCTCCATGTGTGGTTGTCGGCAGTCGTCCTGCGAAGGAACTGTTGGGAAGATTCCCTCGCCTACGCGCCAGAACCCTGGCCGACTGAACACTGCCTGCATGGTCCTTCCGCTACCACGCCAACCAACCTTCTAGTCAACTTCACCACGGCATCGAGATCGGGGCGTTCCCTCAACAAAGGCGAATTAAACGATACATAATGCTAAGACAGACACCGGCCGTGAATCGTAATCAACTCCGCATAAACAAGTTTCTTCCTGCATCGTACAAGGTGGCCCATCTGACCACCACCGCCATCATTATCTGGTTAGTAACAGCGTGTCCAACTCTTCAGGTGTCAGCGTACTCTTTCTCCGTTTTGGTCGCCCACCCATGCGCGTCTTTCTCGGCGAGGACCGACTGGGACGCCGCTGTCTTTTCTCGCGCTCCACCGTCTCTTCCTCCTCCTCCTTTTGCTTGCTTCCATTCGCTTTGGTCTTCATTACCTCCACCACAGCGGCTGCTTCCGCTTCCACTTGGGCTGCCTTGAGTTTATCCTGTACAGTGAGTTTGGGTGATGGCTCATCCGGGTGAGCATGAGGGCTCGACACTCGTTTTTTAGTCTGCAGATCCTTGTTAGAGTCCCAGCATGTGGACAGGTAGAAATTGGGAGGAGAAATAGGAAAGTTGACATCGCTCGCCAGTTTGATGATCTGGTCCGCGATATTGTCACAACGTACATGTCGTGGAGTACGTTCGTCTTGGCTGGTTGCTCTAGACATGCGATCATGGGAGGAGGGTGTGGATTGAGCAGACTTCTCCGCACCAACTAGGTCCAGCCCAGACGCAGAAGCATTCTCAAGCTCTGGTGTGTTGGGAACAGAGGCGGAGAAAGCCACTTTCCGCGGAGACCTTGTGGGAGATCTCGTGGGAGATTGCGTGTTCCCATTACCCTCCCTCAAGGCCATCGGGTTTGGCTGCAACCTGACTTTGAACAAATCTGCGCCGCTAGTTTTGACCGGGACCTCATCAGCTTCGGGCGAAGGTAGTCTCTCTGAGTGATCTATGTCATCTGGCTCCTCGTCAAATACGGAGCTGTCGTCGTCGTCTTCTTCTTCCACCTCCCCGTCAGACATGATTGAGATGTCCTCGTTGTTCACCGTTTCTAACCCTACACCGAGTCCCAAGCCTAACTTGAGCTCTGCAAGGTTGATGGTGTCGCCGCCACTAGCCATACGTTTCCGCCATGTCTCCATCATGGCAAACGCTTCTCTGAGGCGCATCTCCATCTTCTCCCAACCCGCCCGGAGCCTCACTATCTCTTCTTCCCGCGATTCAACCTCCTCGAGCGGCACAAAGTTGGGGTTGGTCAGGAGATTCTTCAGATTGTCCAGTACAGTATCCAAGTCGCTTGCCAAAGTTTCGTAGTTGGTGGGGAGCGCCTGTAGCATGCTCTGTCGTGTGACTTCATCTTCCTCTCCAATGGTTGAGAGATCTTCGCCATGCTGTCTTGACTCTTCCGGCATGCCTTGCAGCTCTTTGAGTGTAGTGATGGTGGTTCGCACCAAGCCGATCAGATTGTCATTCTCGTCGCTTAAACTTTGACTTAGTTGCGTGAGAAACTCGGTCGTCTCCTGCTTCAAGGTGTATTCAGGATCCTCCACGTCTGGTCCTTCATCTCTACCCCCGTTGGTCAAATTTGCCACCGATGCGCCTGGGTTTATCGTGATGCTTGCGCCTACGACCCTTGTTTGATTGCCGCGTTGTTGACTAGTCAGATGGCCCTTCAACCTCTGTAGCTGCACGTCGCGCTTTCGTATGTCGTTGGCGCAGCTCGTCCGGACCTGTTGAACGGTTGACTTGAGTCTCACCATCTCTTCGCGCAAAGTTCGTGAGGTCGATTCAGCGGTGCGGAGGGCGGCGCGAGCGGAGCGTTCCTGGGACTGTGCGAGCGAAATTTGGCGAGAAAGGTCGTCATTGCGGGTTTGAAGTTTCTCAATGGCGAGTGTGAGACGAGTTGCTTCGGAGCGTGAGGCGCGGATGGTTGCTGCGACAGCTTCGCGATGTTCTTGGTCGCGCTACAGACTCGAATTAATTCTGGCAACGACTGAATCTGCTTCATTGCTTACATCGCGCTTCAGGATGAGGTCGTGAACTAAGTTGATAATCTGGGCCATGGTAACCTCTTTCCCGCCGGCCCCTCGCGACGGATGCGCAAACTCGATTGATTTTCCATCGCGCAGCAGCCCGCGTGCTAGCAGCAGATTGTTGATATATGTCGACGCCGTCTTCAAGTTGTACGATTCCATGATGCCCGGTGTCGTGTGAACGCAAGAGTGGAAGATACTAAAGGTTCGCGCTTGTCCCTGGTTCAAACAAAAACAAATGTCCCGATTCAGACTAGCACGGGTTGACCTGCCGGCTAGTACAACGCAACGCCGTTGAACCCTGGATTCAACCATCTCAACTTCTTCATGACATCGCAACCCCTTTTAATTGCCCAACATCGGAATTGAGTAAAGGATCTGATAACTTCTTTCTTGTCTTCATAGTTCATCGTTTCGCTCTAATGTCTCGTTTTCTTGTCTGCAAAGGTACCCATTCGAATCCTGGACACCGGCATCTAAGGGAAGACATTCAAACTATTCTTCTCTGTTTGGGATAGCACGATGCATTATCCGACGCACATAATCAGGTACCCAAGAAAAGTATTCATTCTTCGGGATCACCATTAAAAATTTCTGGCATGTCACCTAATGGTGCTGTTCCCCAAGAGAAATTATGCTCTTGATACGCAGATGTGACGTACCTTGAAGCTGGAAATGGCGAGGTTATCAGCACGGTCCACGGAACATCGAAGATACCCATTCATATACATAGAAAATTGGTAATGTGCCCTTCGTTGTTTTTTTCAACTGATTCATTTATTTCTATCGTCTTCACAAACGGGAATCTCCTCTTCTTCTCTCCAACTCCAAAACATGCCACCGTACGTCTCATTCCACACTGCCAGAATTTAGCCTGGAAGGCAAAGTAGCCATCGGTAGTACATCACTTGTCTTGAAATGATACACTGCTAACCTTGACAGTGACTGGGTACGTCTCTCGCAGAATGACCTCCACTCAACGGGATCTAGCTCAACTAATCAATCATTCAACGCATCTCAAGGTCTCGGCCAACAAATCCTTGCCGCCTTTGCTCTCTCGGGAGCCCATGGCGCTGTCGTCGATCTAAAACAATATTCTGCAGATCAATCTGTGAAGAGTCTACAGAGAGAAGTCACCTCCGCCAAGCTGCCACCCGCCAAGCTTCACGGATATGAATGCGACACTTCCTCCGAGGAATCCGTGAAATTCACGTGGTCCAGAATCGTCTCCGGGTTTGGTACCGTCAACATCCTAGTGACCAATGCTGGAATCACTGGCGGAGCACCTGCAGAAGACTACCCTTTCGAAGACTTTAAACAGATGATCGACGTGAATCTGAGCGGAACTTTTCTGTTCGCAGGACAGGCGGTGAAGTGGATGATTGATAGTGGTGTCAAGGGTAGAATATTGATGGTCAGTAGCATGAGTAGGACCATCGTCAATCGACCGCAAAAGCAAGCTGCGTACAACGCTGTAAGCCTCCACAGTTTCTGTTTTTATCGCCCAACGTTCCATACTAACATTGCCGGATCAAGTCCAAAGCAGCTTCGTCTCAGCTCATGAAGTCTCTAGCTGCGGAATCGGCGCCGCACGGAATTCGCGTGAACGCTTTATCTCCAGGGTACATTGAGACAGCTGCAAATGCGGGCGAAGAAATGGAGGAGCTGAGTAAAAAGTGGATAAAAGACAATCCCATGGGAAGAATTGCAAAGCCTGAAGAGTTCAGAGGGACTGCTGCATGGCTGTGCAGTGATGCAAGCAGCTATGTGACCGGGAGTGAAATCCTCGTGGATGGTGGTTATGTGGTGTGGTAATGCGACAGCTGTTATATTGAAAGCAACGTATTGATGTTGAAGGAATATCAACATGTGCCAATGTGTCAGCTTCTACGTCCATGTTTCTATGCAGGAGTCTTTAATTTTTGAACCACTAGACAGACCCTAAAGCTGGCGTTTTCTGCTGTCCGTAATAATGGTCAAACCTTGACCATAAAATACAGACCCGGAACAGTAATTCAAGAAGATGGAGAGGATGATGCATACGCTGAGTCGATCTTACTTAGGTCATGGGTAGGAATCCGCACATGAATCAGCCCCGCCCTCACATGTAAACATCAACTATGCTCGTCCATATGGTATATCCCTTCACACCCACAGTCTTATCTAAAGTGGAAATAAAGTCCTTAAATGCTCTTGAGTACAATATTGAAGCCCACTCAAGCCGGAAACGGGTTTATATCGGATTTTAAAAAGCTGACTATTCATTCGGCGTTCTGCACAACAGCGCGAGACCGAGCTTCCTCATAAACTCCGCCACGGCTTTGGTAGGACCGCGAGGCCGAAATTTGCTGATGGAATCGATGTGTTGAACCATGATCTAGAGCTGCATTGAAATTGTGTTTGAGATATAGTAGAACCAGATATGGTGAACCTGACGTCATTGTAGAAAATACGAGTGGCGTGAGCCTATGGAATTTATATATAGTGGGGGATGTCCATGATGATTGAGCAAATGCTATCACTAAGAAGGGTGTTCAACCGCTTGAGAAATATACCCAGAGACCAGCGTGTGTGCGGCTTCGACCTTTTCTCTCGCTCCAGAAACTCAATACAACGCAGAAACCACCTTTCACTACGACCAATGGCAGAGATGGCACCCAAGGGACTCTTGCTCAAGAACGGCATTGCTTTGATTCATGATGCGAACGACCATGTGAAGCCGTCTAGAACCGATATATTGGTTAATGATGGTAAAATCACGAAATTAGGGACTGATATCGAAACGCCAGAGAATGTTGAAATCGTCGATTGCACCGACAAAATCATCAGTCCCGGCTTTGTAGATACCCACCACCACGGGTGGCAGACGCAACTCAAAGGCCGACACGCAAATGAACAGCTCTTGGAGTATCTAATGACCGGTTCGCCTACTCCTCTGCATAACGACTTTGTAAAATAACTAACACAAGGCGCAGGCAACTACCAACACGCCCAGTACACCCCAGAAGATGTATTCTACGGCCAACTCTCCGGCATGCTAGAAACCCTCAGCGCAGGCACAACCACCGTGGTAGACCATGCACACATCACCGTCTCGCCCTCGCATCCAAAACTCGCAATCGCAGCGACAGCGTCATCGGGCGTGCGAGCAGTGTACTGCTACACACCCATGTACCGTTTAAAATCCTTCGACCCACTGACCGTCCACGACAACCCGCTCGAAGAATGGGTCATGCGGACTTTCTGCGAGCTAGCGGATGCAGCACCATTTGGCGATGGCAGAGTGAGCCTGGGATTTGCGTGGGATCTGTGGTTCATTGCGCCGGAGCTTTTACAAGAAACTTTCCAGACTGTGCGTGGGAAAGGCGTGAAGGTGGTTACGTCGCATGGGACGAATTTTTTTAATGTTGTACAGTTGGCGAAGAATGCTGGCGTGCTTGATTCGCGATTCCTTGTATCGCATGGAGGAGACTTGTCGAAAGAAGATGTGGAGGATTTGAGAAATGCGGGTGCGCACCTGTCTGCGACACCCAGTACCGAACTGCAGATGGCTATGGGCCGACCATTGTGTTTCGACGCTGCGTTCTCGGATGGAGACACGGAAAATGATCAGAGATACCCTATACAGGACCATTCGAGTCTCGGCATCGACTGTCATTCGAACAATGCAGGGTCGATCATCTCGGAAGCTAGGATAGGATTACAGGACGCGCGGAACCACTTCAACGAATCCATCGTCAAGAGAGGGCCGAGACAGCCCCTACCGGAGAGTTTGAGTGTGGAGGCTGCGTTCAATCTAGCGACTATCAAGGGTGCTCAGGCGGCGAAGATGGGCGAGGAGATTGGGGCGATTGCGGAGGGGTATAAAGCTGATCTTGTGGTGTTCGATGCGCTCAGCCCCAGTATGGTTGGTGCTGCGCAGCATGATCCTGTTGCTGCAATTATACTGCATTCTAGCCCTGCCGATATTGAGATGGTGATTGTGGATGGTATTGTGAGGAAGAGGGATGGGAGATTGTTGCCCGTTGATGTTGGAGATGTCGGAAAGGAAGCCAGGCAGATTGTAGGCAAAGAAACTTTGGAGTGGAATGAGATTGCGAAGAGGTTGGTGAGTAGCAGAAAGGTGATTGATAGCAAGACGAAGGACGTCGATGTCGAGGCTGGTATTAGAACTCTGAGGAAGATGTGGCATATCAGCGACCGCTTCTAACATGCCGTCCATCATGGCGATCTTGTAGCATTGCCATCTCGATTGGAAATCAAACCAGAAAATAAAGCAGCAATTTTTGTATGTTGCTGAATTTAGATTTAAGGTGTATGTATTCTATCTTTTCCGTTATATTCGCTTTATGTTCTTTTAGGGCCATCTTTATCAATCCCACTCATCGATCTCACCTATTTGGTATGAACAGAAGGCAGCATCCTCATGACAGATATTTTCTCGTCCATCATCACCGCGATGGATGGGGTGACAAGCTATCCGCCGATTCTGGATCGGGCTCGTTTTTCCTCTCTTCCTCCTTCTTCCGCTCCATTGCCTCCTTCTCGGCCGCGGCCACAGGAGGGATGGCCTTAATCCAAAACCTCGGATACACCCTTTGTATGTTGTTGACCAGAAGCGCCGTAAATAGAATCAGCGAGGACGACAACAACACAACAGGCAGAAAGTACCACCGCAGTGCCCATATATGAGGGTCGATACATGGGATCAGTGCGGTTGCGCCAGCGGGCGGGTGCGTGGTGCGCGTGAGATGCATAACAACGAGGGCGATTGCGGTGGATAAGCTCGCAGCGACCCATTGCAGCCGTGGCGTGGGGTCATGTTCAAGATTGAACTGGAAAATGGTGGCGATGATTACGCCGATTAGGGCACTGAAGAAGTGGCCAAAAACGAGGGAGCGTGGTTGGGCAAGGGGCGCGTCGATGGAGCCATAACAGAGAATAGCCGATGCGCCCTGATGCCAATATCAGTATCATGTCCTTGACAGTGCATACTAGTCTGTATGTTTGCAAGGGAAGGTGAAACCCACAAATGAAGCAACGATGGGGGGGACAAGTCGGCTGGTGAAGTATTCAGTGTGACCGAAGACAGCAAAGATGACGCTCAGCCCGCAAAATGCACCGATAAAACCCCAAATACAGACAAGATAGTCGGGTGAAGGAGCGACGGTTTCGTCGCGATGACCGAGAAAGCGACTTATTGGTCGTGGCAGACGAGCAAGACCTCTCTTGATGTAGCGTTCGGCCTGGACGGAGAAATCTGGCATGGGCGCCATTGTTGACAAAGGAAAACGATGGATCAGATTTGTATATGAAAAGAGAATGAAGCTGGGAAGTTAGAGCAGAAGGACGGTTCTGTCGCGACGCGTGCAGAGCAAACAGCTGTGGAGAAACAACGGAGCAAATGGCCCATCACATATTCATGTAATGGTCAAGAATACGTAGCTGGCCTACTAGCAAAGCTTGTTTGCCAGAGCTGGGGCTCTTCCCCAGGAAATGAGATGCTGCGCATCGTCATGACGAGTTGCGTTGTAGCTGCTGCTCCAGAAGCAGTTTTTATGTGTCATATTCCGAGTCCGAAACGAGGCCGCGCCGAATGCCGAGGTCCAGCTTCATCTTTCTTTGCGGCCTTTTCTCTATTGCAACCCCCATTTCCAAAGTCTGCAAAAGAGACAATTATATCAAGAACGAGGTACAGACCTGGGTTTCGTCAGCTACGTGAGGTTTTCCGGACGGAACATCCACTGGAGCCAACTTTCGAACATTCTGCAACTCAATAGCAGAGCAGAGGAGATAAGAGATTGGTTATTCAATTTCAGCCTATGAAACTTCAACTTGAACGACTGAAGGCTGACCAGGTTGCAACTGCGATCAGAAAGATAGCAGCCAGAGGTCTGCCAATCTCTCATTGTCCTCACCGAGACCACCATGTAATACCACGCGGTCGTTCCCGCCGTCCTGTGATAGAACAACATCGGCATCGAACCAGCCTCGTGGTGCGGGTGGGTTGCCGTTGACACTCGGCTCCAATTTGGTCCACCAGTCTTCGTCGATGTCGTATACCCATACATCATTCAGCATCTTGCCTGCTCCAGCATGACCAAGAGATGATGGATCTCGTTCGCCGAATAATGTGATCAGCTTTTCTTTTCTCTGCAGCTTGACAGGCAGCAGCACGCAGACGCTCCGAGGCTCTGGCCCATCGCGTCCGTTAGCATCGAAAGTCTTGGTTGTCCATGTATTGGCGGCCACATCAAAGATATCAAGACTACCGCCCTGCTCTACTTTCCCGTCAAATCCATGCATCCTGTATATTTTACCCTTGCTAAATGCTATTGAAGTGCCGCCGCGCTCCGGGGGTGGAGCATCAGAGAGTTGGGTCCAGACCTGGGATGTCAAATCGAATTTCCAGAGGTCAGAGAGACGGCCACTTGCAGGGCAACCAGCATGAACAAACAAGTGAGAATCTCCAGCAGCAGCCATACAGTGATAGCTGCGGGCAGGTGGATAAGGCTTGCTGGAATCGGAGGGTTTGATCAAGGACCACGTTCCTGGCGTGGGGTCATAACACCAAAGCGCGCCGTACTCTTCTACGGGTGCCATATCGACACCGCCGCGCCCTGAAAATATGAAGAGGCAACCGTTAAGCGCAACAGAGGAGCTGCCCACACGGGGGCTGGGAGCCTGACCCAATTGTTTCGTATCAAGTTGAGGGGTACCTATTATGTGAGATCGCCTCCACGAAGTAACGGTAACGGAAGATGCGCAACCTACCTGCTACAAGGTCGATGATATCTATATGATTATCCATTGGCTGTCGGGGTTGTACTTCGCCCCCAAAAAGATATGCTGTACTGCCGATTACGGACAGTGTCTGCGAAGACCGACGTAAACGCTCAGAATGGTTGAGCAGAATAGGTGCCCAGGTACCATTCTTGTGCCATATAGGCATGATTATTTGCACTTGAAGATCAACTGGTGTTTTGAAAAGCTCTCCGTTCGTAGATATCAGGCGAGAATTTGTACGATGACGAGGTTGTACATCGCAACTTAATATGTGAAGGGCGGGTGTTGATGCACCCTCTCCTCTACCCACCTTCACATGAAGAGAGTACGTCATTGACGCTAACTCCGTCCAGACAAGCCCCAAACGCCTGTTCACGTGCCATCAGCACTTTCATTGGTTGGGGCAGATCCATGGAAAGAGTCAAAGCTTCTTGCTCAATTCGCAATTAATGTCCTGAACTCTTTACACACACTTCTGCCTGCGCTTCAGACAACGACCACACAGCCGTGGAGCTAACACGCGTCCAACATGCGGCTTCGGCTTTCCGTGCAGCGCAACAATCTTCCGACAAGTAATATCCTGTGGAACGTCCCGGATAACAACAGCCCCCAGGCATATACCATCGCGCGACTACTGGACGATGTCAACTTGGTATTTCCGTTAGAGTCTGAGCAATGGGGTCTCGAAGACTACACGGTCGAGGTTGGCGGGTTCGAATGCCTGCACTTTGCACCTGTTTTCCAGACGCTCAAGGACGACGACATGGTCTCGTACGTAACCTTCCTAATTCGACTGTTTTTCACTAACTGAGTACGTCCTGCAGCATCCGACCTCTTCTCACCGCCGAAGTTCGCTCCCGCACACTTTGTGGTCGCCTTCAGATCTCTAACGATGGCCGTCACCTCCTTGATGGCGTATCGTTCGGCCGACCTCTTCTCAGACAGCCTAGTCGTCCCGCCGTTAAAATCCCACCCCGCAAGCGCCGCCGCATAGAAGACGATACTCTTACTGGAGCAGATGAGGACAATAATATTGATGTCGACAATCCCATGTTACAAATCTCCGATCGCGAGCACGACGACCAACCCCATCCGAACAAAAGCAATGCGGCAAAGAAGGTCCACTTCAGTGAACTGAGTGCAGTGGACTCAGAAAGTAGTGAAGAAGATGAGGACTTCGCACCGTCTGATGAGGACAGCGATCCGGACTCTTCAGTAGACGAGGCATCCGATGCAGAGTCCGTTAACTCGGAAGCTTCATCCGATGCCTCTTCTACAGATGAATCCGACTCCGAGTCGAGCTCTTCAGATAGCGACTCTGATGAAGAAAGCTTGATCGCGTCCACCGAAACTGCTACTCGTGGAGGCGGACAACCTAGCCGAGAAGACGTACCCCCGGGAAAAGGTTCGAAAGAAACTAAGAAGAGGAATGCTCGACGTCTAGCAGTGTCCAAGCTTAAAAAGTTGAGGGAAACAGGTGAACTGTCTCAAAATGCAACACTAAAGGATTTGCGGGTGTTTCTGTCAAAGAGTGGAAACAACAGTGCCGAACATGTCCAGCTACATCCTGCTCATCCCATGGCTTCATTCGAAGGAACAAGACAGCTATTGGACGATAGCACAGACGAGGTTGCAGAGCTTGAGGAACGCAAACGAGCAATATTGGCGAAGTTCGATGAGGTGTCAAAGCCCGAATCATCACAAACCGTCAATCCAGACACGAACGGTGCATCGGAGTCAGCTGTATCTAGATCGGATACTGTAGATGCGATCGATACTGTAGAAATACCGGTCACCAGGCCGGATACCCCACCCGATGTCCTGCCTTCAAACCTCAACCCAGTGGAGCCCCGACCCACGAAGCGCGTACGGCCAGACACTGCTGCTATAGGCCGGATACTTGCTCGGCAGACCAAAGTGAGTGCCTTTTTGCAACGCGAAGACAATGTCTAACCAATCACGCAGAATCCCGAGAAGAAGAAGGCCACACGCGCTAAAGAGGTGACACCGGAGCCCGAGGGTGCAAATGAGCCTGACTTTTGGAAATCGCGCGTGAGCCTCTCTGCATTTGAGTGCTGGGAGGAGGCTCATGAACTCAGCGCACCACCCTTCCCTTTCGAGCAACATTGGGATCCAGCGAGCCAGCTTATGCGAGAACAAATGAATAAGAACAAGAAGAAGGGCAGGAAGAGGAAGCGTTCACCGGTGATTGAGGAACATCAAGAAGTAGAGGAGGAGGATGAAGACGAGGTGGAACGTATTCTTAACTACGACGATTCGGCCGACACCAGCAAGCAGGACTCGGATCAGACGGCTGTTGTTGAATCTCAGATTTTGCTCGATGTTGAAGTAGCAGCGCAGTCAGATTTGCCTCCCCTCCCGGTTGACCCTGAATCACTGCCTCCGCTTCAGAAATCTGATATACAGGTGGGAGCCGTAGTTGCTTTCAAACTATGGGTTATTGATCCCGAAACCATCACGCCAGAGATAACGGGTTACAAGACGGCCAAGGTTGAGAAAGAAGGAGACTCTGGTAGTGGTGCTGGCCAATTCCGACTGAAGTTGGCTGCACGTGATGTTCTCCGGCAGGGGAAGAAGGAGAACAAATCGGGAGATAGGGAAGAGACGGCCCGCAACCCTTTCAAAAATTTCCAGACGGTAGAGACTGATGAAGGGGAAGAGGACGTTAGCGTGTGGGAGGGCACGTTCAGTGAGTTGGTGGAGCCCAGGCTCGTTCGAGCGGCAGAATTGTAGGCGAACACATAGCCGTAGATTCGAAGAATTGATACCCAACCTTCTTACTTGGACCGTTTTCACCGTTTGTGTACGAGCACAAAGTGCTATCTGCCAACTAGCTAGTGCGGGACGGAGATAAAGAGAGTTCCGGGTAGGGGAACCTGGATGACCTGGATTGCACTAGAGTTTCCCCGCCATCGTATCCTTCTTTCCCCTCCATCTTGTTTACCAACCCGAGATCCCCTTTGGGCCAGGGAACGGGTTCGCAAAGCGTGGCATACTGTATATGCGGCCCGGCAGTTTTGCCTTTTGACAGATCCCAATCGTCCCTGCAGAATCAAACTTGACGTGACGTCTTGGCTTGCGCTATGCAGCGGCACACCGTCATGCGTCGTCTGTTGACTTGCGTCTTCGCTCGGCCCCCTACCTCTAGACGGATCTTAGCCTGTCCATCTCAACTGCCGGGTGGGGTACTGCTCTTATGACACGATCCTAGCCAAGAGAATTTTTCCATGGTATTAGAGGTTCAATGCCCTCGGGCAATCTCATGATGCTCAATTTCCCATCAATTGACTTTCTCTGCGCAGTATAGCTGAATTTGCGACCACAGAAGACCCTCCAGCAACGCCACAAAGACACGATCATCCTGTAAGAGACGACCCGCGCTCTTATCTATCCATTCCCCGAGACAATCACTAACAATAAACAGCACAGTAATCTTACAATGCCTCTCCCTTTCGGCGTGTATAGAGCGGATCACGTAGGATCGTTCCTACGCCCCAAAACCGTCCTGGATGCCCGCGAGGCGGTTGCCAACGAAACCTCCGATCTCGCTGAACTCCGTAAAGTCGAAGACAAGGCGGTTGCCGATGTGGCTGCCAAACAGATCCAGAATGGAATCCGCTCCATTACCGACGGCGAGTTCAGGCGAGCCTACTTCCACCTCGACTTCCTGCAACATCTGTCGGGTATCGAGATCAAGGGCCAAACCGGACTCATCCGACCTCACGGTTTCTCGCCTCCAGTCCTTGCTGTGACAGGCAAGCTGGGCCACCCAAAATCCATTCAAGTCGACGACTTCAAGTTCCTCGAGCAAGTCATCAAGGACAACGGCGGCGCGGCTACCACGAAAGTGTGTATTCCCAGCCCCACCATGGTGCACTTCCGCGGAGGGCGCGCTAGCATAGACATCGACGCATACCCAGACCTAGACCCTTTCTTTGAGGATCTTGCACGCGTTTACCAAGAAGAGCTGGACTCTTTGTACCAAGCCGGCTGCCGCTTCGTTCAGCTCGATGACACAAATTTGGCATACCTGTGCGATCCAGATATGCGGAAACAGGCCGAGGACCGCAACGAGAACCTCTCCACGCTTCCCCGAAAATACGTTGAGCTCATCAACGCCGCCATCTCAAAGAGACCTTCGGACATGAAGATCGGTATCCATCTATGTAGGGGCAACTACCGTAGCAAGTGGTTTGCATCCGGTGGCTACGAGCCCGTCGCCGAGGTCCTATTCAAGGAACTCAACGTTGACGCATACTTCCTAGAGTACGACGACGCGAGGAGTGGGGATTTCAAGCCCCTTCGCCATCTGCCAGACCACAAAGTCGTCGTGTTGGGACTAATGTCTAGCAAGAAGAACACACTCGATGACAAGAGCGAGATTATCGAGAGACTGAAGCAGGCGGCAGAGGTTGCCCCCAAGGGTTTGGAGCAGCTGGCTTTGAGCCACCAGTGCGGTTTCAGTTCGACGGTGGAAGGTAACGAGTTGACCGAGGAAGAGCAGTGGGCTAAGGTCAGGCTTAATGTAGAAATTGCAAAGGAGATCTGGGGTGATGATCTCAGCAAATAGACAACTGGTCTGCGGATCGTAGGCAGTTCATGTAGTAGGTAGGGGCTTCAACAGCGAGGCTGAAATTCTCCTTTTTCAGCACGATACCATTTCGCAGAAATCAATTATTTCAACATTACACGCAATCTGGTAATTGTAAATAATCTAGTCCGTGAAATGCCATCCGTATAGTACACGCAAAACTTGTATACTACCATGCGAGTAGCGCACAGCGCATGTATCGACTTTCACTGTACTCATTCCAAAGACTCTTGAATGAGCTCAGCGGCAACCCCCCAAAACCCTCTCGCCAAACAACCCTTCATCTGCCTCCCATCAAAGTAGAGATCCACATAATTATGCTCCCCCTCCAAATTCACCTTCTCAACCCCAACATCCTCCGTTAGCCTATGCACATAAATCGTACGCATCCCCGCCTTCTTTGCAGCTTCCAAATCATACAAATGCGAAGCAAGCATATAACAATTCTCCCGCTTCACGCCAACAAGCTCCATAGCCTTCTCATAAGCCTTCAGATCCGGCTTCGCAGCCCCTAGCAGCTCCGACGAAAGCAGCGCATGGAACGGAATCCCAGAAGCCTGCGCGATATCCAACTGCAACCGCATGGTTCCATTCGCAAGCACCACAAAAAACCAATCACCACGTGCCCTCAGCGTTTCCAGCGCCGGAATCACATCCTGCCACGCTTTTTGGGAATGCCATTTCGCTACCAGTGTGTTGCGCACGCTTTCGTCCCATGCGTCGAGCCCGATGCCGCGTGCCGCCAGCAGACGGTCCAGAATGCGGCGATGCGTGGTGTCGATGTCTTCAAAGGGTGCGTTTGCAGCATTGCGCGCGTGGATTTCGGTGAAGAAGTCGGCGCGCCAGGTGAGGGCGAGAGAGCGTAGTGCTTGGTCGGGTGGGGTTAGTGAGGGGTGCGGTGGGGCGTGCGAGAGGGCTTCGAGGATCGAGGTGAGCCAGTCGCTGCATGTGCCCATCAAGTCGAAGAAGATGACTTTTTGATCTGGGGTTGTTGCCATGGTGGGTTCGTTTTGTGGTGGGGAAATGGAGGGAAGGGTTTTTTTTTCTTCTCTGGGCATGGGGTAGAGGCTGTTTGGAGGTTTGGGGATGTTGGGTAGTGGCAAGGACCAGAATAGGTAGGTAGATAGAAATGCGTGGATAAGACATGTACGTCATCTGTCCCTGCATGTTGCTGATCGCCTCAAATGAATGTTGATTGGTATTAAATCGGCGGATTGACTTTGGGGTCAACGCATTGTAGCCCTCAAAGAATCTATGATAAACTCCCTTAGAACGGCATGTCACAATAACAGGCGTGAAAGTCTAATCGTTTACATAGAGAATTCATGTGATCCTGGCACACATGGACAATCTTGCATTTGTAGAGATATACATATGCAGACACGAAAAGATGGGCAATAGCAAAGAATGACAACCGAAAGGGGGCTCCTGACCATTCCAGCTAGAATCTCTCTGTGTACAAAGGCATGATAGAGATACATCGCTCAGACGGAGAGAATTCAGAATGCAAAGCCTCAAGAGCTTTATTCGCAAATTGATTTGCGTGAACCCTGTCCATCAGTGCCCCAACCATGGTTTGTGGAAATTACGCAACCACATTGTTTGCGATGAACAATTTTGCTGGATGTCTAATTTTGGCATAGAGAGGCTGATACAGGCACGGCGATGCTATAGAAACTAGGAATGTTAGTGTGCTTCAGCAACTGCACAAAACAGTGACTAGTACAAACGTTTATCGATTTTCGAGAAGCGAGGGATTTTGAATTGCTGGCTCATTTTCTAGTCATTTCCAGTGCCCGCGGAGTCCATGGCGTTTCGCTCGTTGCCACTCTATGTGGAGATTGCGTCGGATTCAGCGATCTTCGTAGACTGACACACTTTAACAGTGAATGTCACCCCAGCCAACCCTTCAGAACATATGCAGATATACAATTCAGCGATAGCTAGACTTCGTGTCCTCGGTACCCCTTGAATCCGCAAGTTCACCCCCGCGGTGTCCAGTTCAGTTGTTAAAGTTTTTCATCGCTGCCATTATGCAACACCGGTACCGTGCTTGATGGTTTTGCTGGTAGTGTACCAGTTCCACCCGCCATTTTCCAGCTATTTTCTCACGATCTATCTTCATGCAACAGTGGATACATGGCTTGATTTCCCTTTCGTAGTCGACCACAATACCATCACTGTAATTGACACTTTTGACGCAAAACTGCTCCTTTGAGTAAACAGCCCAGTTTCACCAATTTAATCTCTGACTCGCGAGTTTTGAACGTCGCAAGAGCCGCGAAATACAGACTTGGAGGGCTGTTGGCGAAGTCCGATCTTGCGGTCGATTAATATTGACGAGAAGAAGTCTGACTGTGTATTGAAGTCTCCGTTTCCCCTTTTAGATAATCCATGCGACCTGAATTGCGTTCCTGATGAAGCGAAAGTACACATGCGCGCACAACCAAACGGCGCAAGCAACGCGGAACAAAATCGCTAATTGCGATGCCTTGAAAACCGATGTATTGCGAGAACATGGTTGACAATATTGTAGTTGACCATGCAAAGGACACTGTGATCGATGGGTTTCGGAGCAGTTTGCCTTGAACGGAAGGTTGCCATGCGATGACGAGGCGAAGCGTGGTGTTCGCGCGCCCGTCGCCGACCAGAACCATAGTTGGATAATTGCTTTAGGTGGCGGTCGCGATTCAGGGATTTAACACTAAGATATTCAGGGAAAGAATAGTTATTGTGTTTCATATATGTCGGTTTGCGTCCTTGATTTTGCGTGTGACGGCCGAAGTTGAATGGCGTGTTGCGATACCCGTTGAGAGGAAAGGATTGGCTATAATTTAGGAAGGGAAAAGATTGATGGAAGTTACACATATATTTGATTAAGAAGGACTTGCCAGCAGTATAAAAAGGATATCCTCAATAGTAATGCGTTCGTTTTGAAACAGTATACAGAGAACGAATATTTAACCGCTATGCAGAAAGAATACAAAACCAACCAGAGCCTTTCCCAAAATGCAAATAGCTACTTCTTAGATAACCCTTAGATGGGTTTGATTATCTTAAACATATTGCTGTGCACCGCCCTCTTTATCGCCTTGTCGAGACTGTGTGTGCAAGTGCATGGCATCCGTAGCATCTTGACCGGGATTGACCTGTTCGTAGTTGAAGTATTTGACGGCGCGGTAGAAGCCAGCGGCGAGGAGGCCTCCCAAGTATGGGCCAACCCAGTATATCCAGTGATAGCCAGTGAAAGAAGTACTAGCCACGGCGGGACCGAAGCTGCGTGCCGGGTTGAGAGAGCCACTGGTGAAGTTGACCGCTACGAAAAGAATCAGTATTGTATCTACATAAGGGGAAATTTTGACAAGTGAAGAACGTACAGGCCATCAATAGCACAAACAGCGCGAGTCCAATACCAATGGGTGCGATAAAGGTATCTTTGCTCTTCTCGGCCGCCAGCATAAGGGCGACGAATACCAGTTCAGCCGTCATGAACATCTCGATAAAGACGCCCTGAACAATGCTGGTCTTCGGCCCGAGAACCGTGTTTACGCTCGAGATGTCGCCGGGAATCATGCATGACACCAGACCAGCTGCACACATAGCGGCGATCAATTGGGTCGGCATCAGAAAGACACTGCGGATGGCTGACATCTGTCCGGCCAGAACCATAGCAAAAGTGACAGCAGGATTGACTATGCAAGGGACACAATTAGTTTTTGGTACAATAAAGTGAGGATATAGAAATACACTTACACAAGCCTCCACTGATTCGGAAGAACGCCCACACATTTACTAGCAGACTGAATCCATACACCAGTGATGCAAAGATATTGGTCTGATCGCTTTTGCCGCCGACTGGCGCAAATTCAGAGCTCTGGTCTGTGAGCATGACCTGGCCCATGAACCCAATGTAGAGAAACATGAATGTGCCAACGAATTCACTCGCTGCAGCGATCAAATGCCCTTCTAGCACGGTTATATTTCGAGGAACATTGCTCTTGGGATGCTTCGGATGTTTGCTGTGATCCTGGCTATCACGGTCCGAGCTGTCACGGTCACGGCTTTCATGGTCTTCACCCATGTCGAATGATGTCGAAAGAAGATGTCAAGGCAAGATTTGTATTGCTTGCGTATCTCTGTCGTGATTCGGCGACGGCTAAGGATCCTGGATAGAGGGACGTAGAAGGGAAACCAGTGCAGGGAATTTCCTGGAGAGCAAGATGAGTGAAGAGATCATACGACCCATGGCACAGGGGTTTTTTAAATAATATACCTTTGAGATGGCTCAAACATTTTTTCTTCACTTCAATATAGAAGCCATCACGGAAATAATAGTGGGTTGGTGGAGTTATTACTACGGTATGACGACTAACCACCTCGCGTTTCGGTGGGTCGTTCGACTAGTGGCCCAGCCCAAGAGCCGCATCGAAGATTTCAAAGCTGGATGTGCAGATCGGAGAAATCCGATGGTGCCCAAATATCGAGATCTGTGAAAACTCGATAGATAGAAAAGATGGGAAAGCTGTGATTCACTGGTCAAATGCGCATGTTTTTGCGCAAGACCCATATGCCGCTATCATTGACAGAACCACATTTGTTTGAAAGATGATGATCGTTGATAAGGAGACCGTTTTTTGTCAGATATTTCTCATGATGAGGTGGTGGTAGCGTTTGTGACGAAACAGATATACAGAGAATAAGATTTGCATTCAATTAACTTCGCAGTCTATGAACCAGGCAGCGGAAAGGTGGCGGTTCAAAGGAGGCTCGGAGAGCACAGTCCTTTCACAAATGCCTGTAGAGCATGTGAGTCGTCGGCTTTCATAGGCGAAGATTAAGGTTGCGATTCTCCACTGTGAACACCAGGCACTATTCATGGTCGGGATGTTTGCGAAGTGCAAATGTCAAATGTTTTCCGTGAGACCGGAAGACAGGGCCGGACTTCAGCTGAGGAAGGCCTCCCGGTGGCATTCTGGTGCTAGATCTAGTGCGTGTCTACTTTGTAACTCTGAAGGACTCGTTGTTAGGTGAAAGCATGAACAATCTCCTTGGCTACGTAACATTTGACAGGTCTGCAAGTGTCTTTCCCACAATGCAATGGTCCCAAACCCTGAAAAATGAGTAAATCGGGATCGAAAGTCTGCACGTAGAGACATGATGTATCGGAAGCCACTTCAAAGTACATGTACACGTACTAAGATATCCAAAGAAAAAAGACCTTACATCTTACTTGCGTGGGTAGTGAGGCGATGGATGTTGAGAAGTGCACCAGTTACCAGCACTTGAGTTGAACGACGCCACAGCTGTGGCTCAGCAACCCTTCGCCGCTACCCCCTGGAGACCCCTCTTTCCATCTCAAGTCCTGTCCCTGCCTTGGCAGCTGGATTGCCCCTCCATCCCAACTGAAACGAGACTTGCGTCAACTGATCGACAACAGACACAACAACCGGTTTCTCCAAGCACAACAAAATCAACCTCTTCTCCTACACCTACACACAAGTGCACCTCTTTCTCCTCTTCAAGTTCTATTACTAGCGACGCATATCACAAAACCCTTCATCTAAACTGCAACCTCGCAGCTAGGAGGTAACCTGATCATGCCTCCCAATCTCTTCTCATCAAGCTCCATTTGGCTACCTTGCTTGGTGTTGCTGGTGCTGTGGGCACGCCCAACCGCAGCGTTTGGTGCAGGCAACATCGCTAGTCTGAGCAAAATCGAGGGTCAGAATTGGCGTCATGGAGACATCGAAGACACTCTTCTTACGCTGTTGATCAGCTCCCAAACTGGCAAAAAGTTCTCCAAGATGGATGTCAAGAGAGTTTACTTTGGTAACTGGCTCCGTGATTACTCTCAGGCCGTCGATGTTGGCACCGTCAAGATGGTATCTGCCGAAGCTATTCGAATCTTACTGTGGGTTCTCGGTTTCCTGAGCTTCGGATATGGAACCAAGGAATTCGAAGTTACTAGGGAGAGACTTGGTTGCTATCTTCCCGAGGAACACATTGATAACCCCAAGGTAAATTGGCCTCCATCTTTTGTATACCTCGTGTACTTACAGTTGCGATTCAGGATTACGCAGACAACATCGATGCACGACAATACGACCGCCGTCTCCGAGGCCCGGTTGATGAAGCCCGTGAGCTAAGCGTTGACGAGCGCACCGGCCTGAAGAACTATATTGCTTCGGAGGATCTGGGTATCACAACATCAGCAGGCATGGTCCGCGATCTACTTCGCCGCTGCATTGACTTGGGACAACGCTCCGGCGGTCAAGGCCCAGACTTTTATGAGGCTCTGCGTCTGCTTGGAACTGCAACGCACTGTCTTGAGGATTACTCTGCCCACTCAAACTATACCGAGCTTGCTCTGATTGAACTGGGTGAACGCGATGTATTTCCACACGTCGGCCAGAACGCCATGTTCAACATTGAAGGAGTTAGGGAGCCAAAGTATCCTATTGTCACCGGTACCTTCGGTGGTGTGGACTTTTTGCACTCAGTGTGCGGTGAGCTTTCTGACAAAAGCACACAATCTGAACTACAGGAACTCGAGGGCGCTATCAACGATGCTGACCGAAAGGAGAACAAGAGCGCGATCAAAGATCTCTTGAGCCAGCTACCAGATGGAATCTTTGGAGGCAAAGATCAGGCAGGCAAGGCAGATGAGCTCGAGCAGAACGCTCAAGCCGCTCAAATGGGCAATATGCGCATCTCACCTAAAGAGCCCGAGGAGTTCACTCAACAGATCGGCGACCTCGTCAAGCAGATCTATCCTATCATGGAATTCCACGATGAGATTATGCAGTCCATTTCGGAGTTCATTGAAAAGGTCCCCATCCTCCCTGAGCTCATTGAGCAGGTACAAGATCAGATCAGCATTTTCGTGTTCAGTCTCTTGGCGCCGTTCGTTCTTCCCATCCTTGACCAAGTCAAAACGGAGCTCGAGACCGGTTCCAGCGAAGTCATCGCTAGCTCACGCGAGAAACAACACATCGTCTTCAATGATGACAACTCCACCGACCCTACTCACAGCATGCTCTCCAAGGATCATTTCAGCAACGTCCTGAATGAGCCTGCGGGACGTGTCGCATCCGCTACGATTGCGTGGGCTGTCCCCCAGATCGTTGCTTGCTGGGATGGTCAAGCAGACCCAGAGCAGACAATTGATACAATCATTCGGGGTGTATTCCATCACCCTGCCCAACTCCAATCAGGTAACAGAGATTCTGACAGAGGGCGATCTGTTATGTTCAATACTGTTCGTGAGTGGTGGGAATCACAAGGCGGGGGAAGGCAACAAGAATTGAGAGACCAGCTCAGTCGACATGGAGTACAGAGCGGGAAGAACCACAAAGAAGGCCAGCATGATTCGGGACATGGATGCGGCAAGCCTATCAAGATGGCAAACAACGTTGGTAACAACCACAGTGGCAGCAAAAGTAGCGGGAACAATCAGTTCGATGACGTCAGCAACCAGGCTGGCAAACTTGCTAGCGAAGCTGTCGGGGGTGGTGCTCTGGGGAGCGTCGTTGGGGGGCTTGTAGGCGGACTTGGAGGCTCTCTGCTTGGAGGCGCTTTTGGTGGCGATGACGAAAAGAAAAGCAAGAAAAGCGACAAGCATTATGATGACGGTTCTTACACTCAGTCATACTCCGAATCAGGTCACCACAAGAAGAAGTCTCACGATGACTCCGAGCGCTATGGACAGGCACAATATAGTCAGACTCAGTACTCTGATGGAGGGCGCCGTGAAGATTATTCTCGACAAGAACAGAATGAATACGGTTCCTCTGGTTACCAACAGCGTGTTGAGACGTCCAATTATAGCAGCTCGGGTGGCTACGAACGCAGGGAGGAAAGCCGCTATGAGAGTCAGTCTCAGTGGCAATCTGATGAGCGTCGTGAAGGAGGTTACGACAGCCATGGAGGACACTATGAAAAGGAGAAGAAGTAAGATCATTTTTGAAGTTTCGTATGAATCTACTAACGTGAATATAGAAAGCACAGCAAGAAGTATGGATCTGGAGACGAAAGGTCCGAAGATGAAGATGACGATAGGCGTCACCACAAAGAGAAGAAGGAGAAGAAGCACAAGAATCATGGCAGCGAGGATGAAGGGTCTGATGAGGATCGTGACAGGCGTCGTCGCTCGAAAGAGCACAAGCGCAAGAGTCAAAGCCCGAAGCGACGCTCCGGTGACTACTCTTCAGGGGGCGGTTACGGAGGCGAGAGCCGCTACGAGCAGGAAAGCTCTGGATATGGCGGTCGTCAAGAAAGCTCTGGGTATGGCGGAGACTCCTACAGCTCTGGTGGTGGTGGCGGTTATGGCCGGCAAGAGAACTCTGGATATGGGCGTCAAGAAACTTCTGGATACGGCGGTGATTCTTACAGCTCTGGAGGTGGTGGTAGCTATGGTCGTCAAGAAACCTCCGGATACGGTGGGGATTCTTATAGCTCAGGCGGCGGCTATGGACAATCTCAGGGACGGTCTGACTACGGTGGTCGCCAGGAGCAGTCTGATTATGGGAACAGTCGTCGTGATGAGGATGAATATGGCGAACGCAGACAACAGTATGGTGAAGGCAACAGCGGATATGGTGGGGGCTATGGGGGTGATGAGGGCTACGGCCGCAGGTACTAACAAGTTATATACGTAATTTGGACGTGTTAATCCCTAGGATTCATTAGCTATGGGATCGGCACATGTTCCTGAATCATTGATCTTCGTTTATATCGTCCTCTGTCCCAATACTCCTATTCCAACACCGCAAATACAACCAGTTATTGATGAAAACGTAAACAGGTATAGGATGACTGGTTGCACCGTGTATACATACTCTGGGAGTTTTCAGAATGGTGTAAGACAGTCAAGAGCAGTAGCCCTTTCATGCTACTAGTGCTCTGGCTTTTAACTACGGATGAAATACACTGTTCTAAAGCCTAGAGCCTTGACCACTAAGATAGAAAAAACTCGAATTCGTAAATATAATGTGGTATAGCTGCCATGTTCTGCCCGTGGGTCTATATGAGTCAAACTTTTAGGCACCCGTAAGAGAAACAGATCGAATACGCAGAGCCGCATGTAGTATATTCTTACCATACTCAGATGATTTGCGTACGCAATGGGCATTCCTCCGTAGTAACTTGGTTGTGATTCGTACTGCAAGCGAGCGGAATGCCTGAATGCCTGTCGCCTGCTACGCCGTATTACATGGAGGGCGCTTAGGGAGTGAACAGCAAGAGGGGTACTGGAGACGCGTACTTCAACTACTCAAAAACATCTTCTAGCCGGCTCATAACCCTGTGTACACTGTCTGGCTCGGTGTGAATACTATCTATATCAGCTTATGGTAGCCATCGATGGATCCTCACTCCTGTAGCCTCGCTGCCAGTAGCACTGACACAAGCGCTGTACATCACCGAGTTTTCGACCAAGAGACCTTTTGTCAGGCCTGCAAAGAGGCATTATCGCAGAAAATTAGTTTCACGATGATGGAGAAACATGGGACGTTCAGGGATATAGTGCAGTCTGGGGTCTATTGCAAGTTCTGCAGTTTCATCTACGAGTCTTTCGCGGCAGATATAGCGAGCAAAACGACAGAGGAGAAAGAGCAGGTTATTGAGTTAGGCGTCAGTATTTTAACTGCAAATTGTACTACTGGAATCGATGATGCAGTTGACAGGATCGACTTGAGGGTGGCTATTGGAGATGGACGGGATGCTCTTCATCTAAGGCGCACATTCGTAGTCGTTATGAATCGATGTGAGTGTTTTGGTTTACTATGTTAGTCCTGCACTTAACGCCTTGTGAGAAGTCAAAGAAAACTGAAAAATGAAAATTTAGTCAGAGGCTTGAATCGAGCAATTTGGAGCCAGTCAAGCCCCATAATGTTCAAGCAAAGAGAAGCAACTATCCACGGTTGGCTTGAAGATTGCCGGAAAAACCACACGAGATGTCGCAGGGCCTCAAAAGCTAATGTAGAGTTGGCAGTACGTATGCTAGAGGTTCGCCCTCATAAGGGCACAATTGCGCTTCGGCTCGTGTCGACGCGTGAACTTGATTTCTCGAAAACGCCTTATGCTGTGCTGAGCCATTGCTGGGGAAAGCCTGCAATTACGTGTATAACCACCCAAAGGAATGTGGAAAGATACTATGAAAAAATTGAATTATCCACGCTGGCTAAGACTTTCCGAGAAGCAGTCGAAATAACATGCGGCATTAACATACGATACCTATGGATTGATAGCCTCTGCATTGTGCAAGACGATAAAGACGAGTGGGAACAAGAAGCTGCGAAGATGGCTAGAATTTACGAGGATGCCACCATTACTATCTCAGCAACCAGCGCGGGGAATTCGCAAGATGGCTGCGGTATTACGACAGTTTTCCCACCCGCCGTGCAACTCTCCTCGAAAGTACCATCTGATACCAATACAACTCTCATTGCTATCCGTGACTCAACTTCCGGGCCTCTGGAACAAGAAGTGAAGAGTATACTTCTCAATTCTCCTATGAATTCTCGAGCATGGATTCTCCAAGAGAGGCTACTTTCACGCCGCATTTTACACGCCACCACCTCGCTTTTCGTCTGGCAATGCGCAACAGTTATTGAGACTGAAGATGGTCTAATCCACGAAACAAAAGCTACTCACGGCCCTTGGGATATTCTCGAGAGCCATATTCCCCAACACGTTCTGACTCCACATCCCCTTCAATACAACATTCGCAATCGCTGGTGGAGCTGGGTCAAGCAGTATATGGAGCGAGATCTCTCACGTCCCGAGAAAGACCATTATGCAGCTTTCGCTGGGATAACAAATCATTATCGCAACCTAACCGGCGACGAACCCGTCCTCGGTCTTTGGAAAAGAGATCTTCCCATTCATTTGAGTTGGGAGTCTTCTAAAGTGTCCAGATATGAGTGGACTGTTTCTCCCCGCAAACCTCGGTGTCCGTCTTGGACTTGGATTACATATCCACATGGTAGCGTCCATCTCGAACGCCGCCAAGATTTAAATCTTTTCGAATGTATTGACAGCCCTCAAGGCTTCAAAATATACTACGAAGCCCAGGTAATAATGATCGAGACAGACAGTACTCCCGCGGCGCTTGTTGCAGAACCACAATATGGCATCTTAACTTTAAGAGGGCTTCACCATCGCACGCTACTTTCCAGAAGGTTAAATGGGTGGAGATATCGTGCATGTATGGATGTGGGGCAGGATGAACTTGACGAGGAAGAACGCGAGTTTGAAACTTTTGCGCTCTTTGCATATGTGGAAGAAGGGCGGCTCACTGTAGATCCACCAGGATTACGTATTGTTGGTCTGATTTTGGAAGCTACAGGGAAGAACCAGAATGAGTACAGACGAATTGGATTGACTAATCGACGAGTCGACATGTTGCCAGGGACGAAGATAGAAGACTTACTCGTGGGAATCACGAAGGAAATACATTTGACTTAAGTAGACCAGTCGCGATTGGAATGAAGGCTTAGATACGACTGAACGGAGCCTGAAATTTCATCAAGAATATCGTTACTACATGTCATGAGCTGGAATCAAATTGATTATTGTGCGCATTGTCACCAACAAGATTGGCAGCCTAGTCATGCTATGTGGAAAGTATTTTTTTCCCTTACGCACGAACTTCAGTCAAAGCTCATGAAGATCAACATTCGACCCTGCATTGCGCATGTTTGAGCGATGCTCTTACAGCCGTATTAGAAAAACACACAACCACTCAAAGTTATCAAGTCTTTTCCATGGTCAAAATTTTTCTTGGGTATATTTATTTGGTCCTCATCCATGAGAATTCCGCAATGCTATGTCCGGAGAGTAGTACTTGTGGCAGTGTTCTGAAGGACCTGGCAAGTTGTACCTCGTGCCCAAATGTTTTAGACATAATTAGATCGTGTCGTAGGCAGGAGTTCATGACTACGGCCGTGCTTTTCATTGTTCATCTGATCAGATGAGAAAATTGCGTCAGCAGAGCCCAAGAGTTTATATAAATCAAGTGCAGCCTCTTCGGCTTTAGATTCGTCGCATCACCACCTGTCATTTGAAGTTATCATCGCTTTCATTGAGCATCCTTTGAACTCAAAAGTTATCACCATACTAAGCAATCCCCAAGAAATCTTTTGTGTTTAATATTGTATAATCGAGATGAATCTACAGTTTCTTTCTGCTATATTCACATTATTTATACTTTCTGCGGCATCAAGCGCAGAAGTACCCTGTCCGAGACCGAACTCGACACTACCCACTAGTAATTACGCAGACTTGCATCGTCCGAAGCATTTTGAAGTGAAGTCTGGTCTGAATTACAGTTATATCTACGCAGAAGCGCAAGTGAATCGACCAACCTTTTTACTTCTCCATGGTTTCCCAAGTTCAGTTTTCGACTGGCGATATCAGATAAACGACCTCACGGATGCTGGCTACGGTGTCATTGCGCCAGATTTATTGGGCTACGGCCACACCGACAAACCCACCGATGTGAATGATTGTAAGTCATGGAATTGTTGCTGCCATTTGAATTGCTACCGTCTCTAACACCTGGGGCAATTTAGACAATTCCTTCAAAATGAGCACATCACCGAAATTCTCAACCACGAAAACCTGAAGGGAGTGATTGGAGTAGGCTGTGACTGGGGCTCAGGACTTCCGAATAAGCTCGCAATGTTCTACCCTAACTTCTTTTCTTCGTACGTGTTCGTCTCTGTGCCGTACTCACCGGGTGCATTCGATCTCGACGCCATCAACCAGCAGACGGAAGCTATATTTGGCTATCCCGCATTCGGCTACATGAAGTTCTTCAATGAGACGAAAGCGGCAGAAGTCTTGGATCAGAACATCGAATCTTCACTGTCCCTGGTCTATCCTCGTGTGCCTGAGCGTTGGCAAACTGATTTGTGTCCATATGGAACGGCGGAGGAGTGGATACGGAAGGAAAGGTTTGACCCTCTTCCGCCATGGGAATCTGAGCACGATCGCGAGTATCGTGTTCGGATGTTTAGGGAAGGAGGTTTTGCAGCTCCTCTGAACTGGTACAAATCTAATATTCGAAACATCGATGCAGAGGATGTCGCGAAGGTACCACCCGAGAACATTGTTCTGAACAAGCCAGTGCTGTTCATTGGGGGAGATCAGGATTACGCTACACGTATTGAGATCATGCAGCAAGTAGCGAAGGCCGGGAAGGAGAGCTTCTTGCCTGATGTAGAGGTCAAAACTGTTGAAGGTACTAGTCATTGGCTGCTTTTGGAGAAACCGCGAGAGGTCTTTGTTCTTTTGGATGGGTTTGCGCGAAAGCTGGGGCAGAATGTTACGGATTACAAGATGCCCTGAACTCAAAGTACATCTCTCGTGTACGTGTCTAGTAATAACTGGACAGGAAATGCATACCATACTATGGGAGCACGATTGATCTTTCGGTTTGGAATATGCACTTGGAAAGGCGAGTCATGAATGTATAGAGGGTACATTATCCTGACTCGCGCAGGTCGGGTAATCACTACAGTAACATCCCAACTAGGTAGCTTAGACGTCAAGTCATTCGAACGATTCTTGACACTGGCATGGCAAGTATGCAGTACTGAAGTATCGAAAGGCCTCGAGATCAAGGCTCCCATCAAGCAGAAAGAGCTTAGGCCCGAAATGCTTCCCCGCACCCCACAGTGTACAGATACGATTCGTGTACCGCTATCGCTCGTGTCTGGCATTTCGCCGTGAAAAGTTATCCGTGATCAGGTCTCAGGTCCTTCGGGTTACTATGACGCTAACTTTGAAGCGGCTTCTATTGGATACTAATCCACGCTCCGAACGGTTCCTGTGACAATAGTCGCGGCTAGCAAGATGCCGCCTGCGGAGATGTGCGTTGCGATATTTAGGATGGCATAGCCGCTGCGAGATTTGACATCTTCTCGACTTAGTTGTTTCTCCTCATTCAACCAAAAGCACCGCAGTGTGCTATGTCTCCATCAACTGACCGGAAGCGCGCCGTGCGCATTGCAGGATGCTCAGGTGGCTTCACAGACAGATCGATGGCCATCACGCGGATGGCCGGTGATCCTGAAGTCGATGTGGTTATGGGTAAGTAATGCTTCTCGTTGACACATTGAGTGATCTGATTTGATTCAGGGGATTGGCTTTCTGAAATGACAATGACCGTTCATGGCAGTGGCAAAGTAAAAAGATTAGCATCTGCCGAAGACCAAGCCAAACTTCCGCTAGAAGAACGGAAGAAGTCCGCCATGTACGCCGATACCTTCATCCAATGCTTTGAGCCTGCAATTCCAAATCTTGTCAGAAACAAGACTAAACTCGCGGTCAATGCGGGTGCGTCAGACACGGAATTGCTGGCTGAAGTTGTCATCGATATGTTGAAGAAGCAGGATGCGGGCCACCTCAAAGTAGCCTGGATTGAGGGCGACGACGTAACAGGGCAAGTGAATAGTTTAATTGAAAAGGGCGAGAAGTTCGAGAGCTTGATGCACGGCAAGAAATTAGAAGAGTGGGGAATGGACCCGATATGTGCGCAAGCGTATCTGGGAGGCCTTTGCATTGCGGAAGCGTTCAAGCAGGGTGCCGATATTGTGATAGCAGGAAGAGTAGCCGACGCTGCACCAGTTATAGGCGCTGCGGCGTGAGTATAGTGAGAAAGCATCTGATATGGCTCGATTAACTAACTCCTCTAGATGGTGGCATGACTGGCAGAACGACCAGTTCGATCAACTCGCTGGAGCACTTGTTGCTGGTCATTTGATTGAATGCTCATCTTACGTCTGCGGTGGTTACTACTCCATGTTCAAAGACCTGATCAAGACCGGAAAACATGTAAATATGGGGTTTCCGATCGCCGAGGTCGAATTCGACGGAACTTTCAATATCGCGAAAGAAAAGGATAGTGGCGGTGAGTTCAAACGAGACGAAAACAACGAGGGCATTCGCTGACGATGACTCTAGGCTGTGTGACTGTCGCATCATGTGCTTCCCAGTTACTCTATGAGATCCAGGGTCCTTTATACTACAATTGCGATGTTACTGCAGATCTCACAGGTATCAAGATGGTACAGATAGGAGAAGACCTTGTGCGCGTCACAAATGTCAAGGGCCTTCCACCACCCCCAACAACAAAAGTTGGAATCACGGCCCCTGCGGGATTCCAATGTGAATGGCATTTCTTCATGTGTGGACTTGACATCGAGGAGAAGTGTAGGATTACCGAAGATCAGATTCGATATGGTAAGCTTCACCTTCTCGTGCCGACCCAGAGATCTTCACTTTCGTTGACGCCTAACGTTTTTAGCCATGGGAGAGAACATCAATCGATTCAGCACACTCAAATTCCACCAGAACGGATCATCCCCCATCGACGCCTACAACCAGGATGTGGCAACCGTCGACTTCCGCTGCTTCGCGCAGACATCTGATCCTGAGGTTGTGCGTCCAGATATCCCCAACGGCTTCAATCGCTGGTGTCTTGAAGTTTTTCTGCAATCTGCGCCTGGCCTTTCGCTCTCAAATGATCTGCGCCAGATTGTGCCGAAGCCGTATTATGAATACTGGGTGACGCTGCTGCCCCAAACAGAGCTTCCTCTGAAGGTACACTTCGAATGGGACAACAAGAAGTCGCTTGAGCTTCCTGCGCCCAGAGTTACAAAGCAATATAGTAGACAACAGGAAAGTTACGATACCGCTTCGCCGGCTGACTTGTGTTCCTTTGGAGAAACGGTTCGGGCGCCTCTTGGATACATAGTCGCAGGGCGATCTGGTGACAAAGCATCAGATTGCAACTGTGGATTTTTCGTTCGTGACGATGACGAGTGGGACTGGTTGAGGAGTTTCATGACAATTGAGCGCGTAAAGCAATTGCTAGGGCCCGAGGAGTACAAAGGCAAGCCGATCGATCGATTTGAGATACCAGGTATCCGGGCTGTGCACTTCCTCCTCCACGATCACCTGGACCGGGGCTACAATGCCTGTAGTAATTACGATACGCTGGGAAAAAGTAAGTGCCGTGACATCGCGTTCAAGGTTGGAGATTGAATTGCTAACACATGATAGATGCTATGGAATACATACGCGCAAAGACCGTCGATCTTCCCAAGAAATTTCTCGATCGCGGCAAGATATGAGGTGAAGAATCGCATGACGCCGCACATATTACTTTTTGACACTTCTTGAACATGTGCATGGAAAGTTAGTAGATTGGCGCTGCTTGTGACCGTATATAGATTATTGTGGTATCACTCCTTGCGAATTCATCTTTGGCTATGCAGAGTGAAGTTTGCGATTGTCCGACACATCTATTTGATTTGAGTACACAAATGGGAGGGGATGAGGTGTGCTGGCATTTGGCGGTGGTGCTTGCAGTGTTCCTCACGGTTGGTTCCCTTCCAGACCAAGCGCGCCAAGCCCACGGAGAAATCGTTTTTCCTAGCGTCCCTGGAGCTATATAATAAATAGGCTTGTGCCCCAGAACTTTTCCTCCGCAACGGTCTGTCTGCCCAAAGCTGCGTTTCTTTGCTTACAAACAGACGCTCGAACTTCGGTTCTTGCTGTCTTTTCATGCAAATGAGAAATTCGGAGTAATCTTCAAATTCTTCTGCTGCCTCGCTTCGCGAGTGCGGCACTACTGCCCGTAAGGGCCTGGCGTGACTCACGTCTGCATTCGGCATCAGAAATCTCAGGGCCCAGGAAGTCGACCGCTGGAAACGGTGGTCGTGCGGACTGGTGTCTCTATGGAAGTCGGTGCGAAGATTGTGTGCTCTACGGAGTGACACTGTAGTGCAATACGTAGCGTGCTTGACTCCAAGTAGCTTCGGTGAAAGGATGATAGTATAATTCGATTCTGATTACTCTGGGGAGACAGGCCGTTCAACTCCATTCTTCTATTGTAAGTCCATACGATCTCCTTCGTCCAAGCTTTAGGATACTACTAATCAAATTTATACGTCATTCACAATACTCGCTTGACAACAGCCGTGCATGTCCTCTATTCCTTCTCCGCCTCATCCTCTTTCGTAAACATGATATCTGTTCGTACAGTATATTTTACACCACTCCGAACATCCTCACCGGAATGGAGGAGATCACGATGCTGAAACAGCAGTACACGACCGGCCTTTGGATCGACCCGCGTTTCCTTATTCATGAACCAGTTGTGAAAAAGAGTTGCGCCACCATCTAGCTGGTCCGCAGCATCGTTGAGGTATAAATGCAGGGTGAAATATGAACGCTCCTTGCCATCAGGTGTCTCATAACACCCATCACAGTGAGCTTCTTGAAGGTTAGCGTATCTGACTTGTGTTGATTCGGGGTTCAACTCACCTCGAAAATACTCGCCTCCCACGTACTTGAGAAACCGCATTCTTTCGTTCAAGCGTGTCAATTTCCACGTCTCTTTTCGTTTCCAAGGACCCAGACCAGTGACTCGTTCCCAGTCATGTAAACGATGGATCTCGGGGACTGCAGCCGCCATCCTGGCCCACAGCTTCTCTGCAAGCTCCTCACTGTCGTATATGATGCGACCGCATTTTCGAGTGTCTTCGTACAAAGCCTGCATTCCTCCTCCTATGTTCACCATGGCTCTCTCCCACGTGCCATTGGTAGTTGATTCGGCGACAGACAATAATGCGTCGCATTCTTCCTGAGAGAGAACGCCGTCTAGAACTATTGCGTAATCTTTGTTGTATTCTATCAGTCCGTCTTCCTCGAAATCTACCTTGGTTATGGTTAGATTCGGGGCCGGTCCATCAAGGAAACCCTGGGGCAGAGGTGTGATGGTGGCCGTCATGTTTTTGGTATTCTCGAATATTTTGGTAGTTTCGGACGCCGCTTGGAACACACAGAACAATTGATGGATGGATGGCGTATGATTGCTATCAGAACGAGGATAATATATGTCGACTGGATGGCTGTTGCCTAGCACAGCACGGCGTAGACACTGAGGGAAAAGCACTAGCTAGCTAAAGTAACCCTGCGACAGAACGAATTGATTTAGTAAACGGCAAGCAGAGATTTTTCTACATACTTGCGTGTGAGATCATCTTCGATGAACGTACAATTTGATGCCGAGTAATATATCCTGCTATCTTGACTTACACTGGAGTATACAGGGTGAATCTATTCTGTTGCCAGGCTGGGAGCCGGGGCAACAACTTACTTATGTAAGCACACAGCGCGTACGCGCGCGAGGCGTCCCATCACGTGATGATTCCAGAGCGCGCGAGTGCTGTTTCAGAGTCCCGCTCGTGGCTGCTCGCCCTGCACGACACCGCCATCCACACAGCCTCTTACTCTCATTATACCTATCAGCATTGACAAACATACACCATTTGCAGCGGCCTGTCGCGGTCGCAGGTTTGTAAAAGCAAACTTGGTCCAGACCCAGGACTTGTTCCGTCGCGCGTCCCACGCTACTACTGGTGCGCCGTTTGAAAAGCCACCCGTTGCTCGTTCCCCAGTGACCGCGCCAAGACCAGGAGGGCCTCATTTCCCGACTTCACTCTCCATCCGCCGCCCGCCTCACCTACTGCCACCTCACACTGCCTACAACCACACACTCTGCCGCGCAGCGAGCCCATCGCCATCATGTCGCAAACCTCGCTGCCGTCGGATCTCAACCGCCATCGGTTCCCGAATCTCTTCGAGCTGCTGAGTCGCAAGACGGTTGCGCCGCTTGATCTCTTCTCCTTCTACATCTACATGCGCGATCAGCAACGATCAGTGGATTACCTTGACTTCTGGTTTGTCTCTCTTACCTACAAAGGAATAGGTGCACGTATGTTCTAATTCATTCTAGGCTCGATGTATCCCAGCACCTTCAGCTCTGTCGTCTCTATGTGCGCCGATTGCACAGGTCCGTGATTGAGGATACCCCGGAGGCGGATAGGAACAGCAAACGCTCCTCATACATGTTCGATAATGCAGGCGAAGGATCTGCATATCCGATTGGGGAGAAAGGCAACGTATCAGACCAACGCCTGTCGGCATTCCTCAGATCGGACAACGGCAGTCGCCAACACTCGCCGCAGAACAGTTTGGGAACCAACGGGTCAGGCGAGCGACCCCCCCGACCGAGCTTCATGACACTGGACACCAATTCGCCCGGCGACTCTAGCTCTCCTCACCAGAACTCGTCAGGCGGCGACAACCAGCCTCGCAGGGAAGACTTGCGTGCCTCCGCTGAAAAGATTCTATACACCTTTCTTCTGCCTGGTTCGGAGAGGGAGATCATTATCCCACAAAGCATTCTACACGAAGTTCAGGACGCTATAGAGGGACCCGACCAGCGTAGCGACCCCGAGTTGTTCGACGCTGCAAAAGACTATGTGTTTCAGGCTATGGAGCGAGATGCATTCCCAGGATTTCTCCAAAGCAAAGGATTGGGCAACCTCGTACCTCAGAGCATGATGATCCGACTCATCATTGGCTTGATCAGCTTCTTTGGCGCGGTTTGGACTGCATTCATTCTGATCTTCCTCAATGAGTCTAGGGCGACTCGATGCTGGGTACGTAGATTGCCGCATAATATTCTTGTAATTACTAACAGTAAAAGATCATCCTCCCGTTCACAATCGCCCTCTACCTCATCTTCACTCACCAATACATGCTGGATCCACTTCTTGCCATTGCTGGTTACAGTGAGTTGACACTGATGAATTTCACCCGGATACGAGAACCTTTCGTCAAGAAGACACTCACCACGAGGTCACTCTCCTTGCTTGGGCTCTTCGTCGTCATCGACGCAGCAATCTGCTGTCTGTTCATCTTCGTGCCTGGTAAACGTCTATAAGGTAGGCAGGCCTTCTTCCATTTCCTTACTTAATGCCAATTCCCACAATTCCCCCACTTCCAATTTTCTTTTGTTTTGCCTTTTTTTTTGCGGCGCTCGGTCATTAGGGATCTCAGGCATGGTGGACCCGAAGTGGATATGGTAATAGCGTGGTAGTGAGGGCCAAGTGCAGAGGCCGATTCGGGCGCCTACAGCGATACCTGAAGCGGGAGACGTCCAGCCCTGGGGTCTTCTTTCCTCTTCAATTTCTTATAACTAGGGCATGGGAACTTCAGAACTTGACATTATCTGAATTCAGGGATTTCCTGGGCGAGACACATTCAGTCTCTTGGAGGAACATTATATTTGTTGCTCGCTGGTGCTTTCAAGTCACAGAAAAATACTAGCAGGTTCATTGAGAAATATTGTGTGTATGCGTGCACTGTTGAGGAGACATTGAGTGAAGTGGTCCGAGCTTTTAATGACGTGAACCTTGAACCTGAACTGCGGAGCTTTCAATCTTATCGCAAGAAACCATTGATTCCACCGCCCAATGGTCTTCACCATACCTACAACCTTTCTCGCCACCTCCCACTTGATTGCGCAACCCAAATTATCATTTCGCTGGCAAAAATGAGCGGCGCAACGACAGCGAAGAGCAAAAGAGGACCCACCGTGCTCATGACGGATTCTCGAGACCCGAATGTTCGACCGCAAGTACTGCAACGGCAAAATACTGGGCAACGCCCACTAGGTGGTGGCGGAGGAGGCGCAAAATTAATCTCGGTCGACAATATACTGCAATATGCCTCCGATATACCATCGCAGCAGCGTCGCGGTCCTCCCGGGCATCGGCCGTTGATGCACACCCGTACACCCAGCGGAAGGCACCCCCTCGACCCCAAGCTCTCAGGCAGATTAGTACCGCAACACATGCCCGCGCGCACGAGTAAACTCAGCGAAAAACTTGTTCTTCTTCCCGAGACACAGGATGATGAAGATGAGAAGGGGGAGTTTGATGAAGACGAGTATGAAGGTCCGCCCACGGATAGTGACCTGGCGAGACGAAGCATACAGGGCGGACCCAGGGACAAAAGCTACGCCGAGAGATTACCCAAGGCGAAGAGGGAAGAGAAACTGTCCCGAGCTACGGCATACTGCACAGCTCAGGCATACAAGATGAAAGGACTGGCCCAGTTTGTCAAGACTCAACATAATGCCCGAACCAAGTTGTACGACGATTGCTTGTATTGCGTTTATCACCTTCCGCTCCTCCCAGGAAATGATGGCTATCGTGTTAGAAGCAGCCCTGCTCTCAAGAGCCCAGGCGGGAAAACGGTTCTCGATGAAGAAATCGAGCGCAATGAGCGCAGGGAGCACAGCGAAGGGTATTTTGAGGATACCGAAGAATACAGTGTTCCCCACGAGGAGGGACCGAGTCCTAGCCGGAGTCCCGATCGACGATCTCCAGGTTCAGGATCGCGCACCGATTCTACCGACGAGTTTGCATCGCGAGTCGCTCCCGATGCCCTCGCGTTCGGCGAATTATTCGTTTTCTCATATGGCGTCGCTGTTTTCTGGAACTTCACAGCAAAGCAGGAACGCGATATTCTCGCCGATCTCACCTTCTCCACCTTGTCAACCGGCATCACGCTCGCGACACGCCCACTCGACGAAGATGACTTCGAGACGGAAGAGTTTCACTTTGAGTACAATCCGGACATTCAACGACCGCGCGTGTACAATGACATGATTACGTTGAAGAGTGGAGATCATATGATCAAGTTAGCCATGAGCCACGCCATCGCGCAGAGCACCAAACTCAGTCTATTCGAAGAAGGAATGGCACGCACTATGCTAGCAGCGCAATACGTCCCCAGGCGTCTAGCCTTGACAGGCAAACTCGGCATGAGGCGAACAGATGTAGTCAAGATGATAGGCCAACTCTTTACAAGTCGTGTAGATGTAAATCTCTGTAAGTTATCCGTCTATCTTCGTCTCTCTCCGTCTCCCTCCCTTACCCGCTAAACCACAACTCACCCCAAACTAACCAAAAATATCACCAGCCTCAAACATGCTCGACACCCCAAACTTCTTCTGGGACTCGGAACCCACTCTGCACCCCCTCTACACGGCCGTGCGCGAGTACCTCGAGATCAAACCACGCATCCAAGTCCTCAACGAGCGCTGCCGCGTCTTCCTCGACCTGGGCGAAATCCTGTCCGACAGCATCTCGGATAAGAAGATGACGCGCATTACCATGATCATCATCTTCCTCATCGTCATCAGCATCTGTGTGACTTGTCTCGAGGTTATCTTGAGGTTTGCGATTTTAAGTAAGAGGGGCAAGGTTGGTGTTGGTGCTGGTGATGGGGAGATGGCGTATGCGGATGGGAACGGTGGGATGGGCGGGATGGGCGTGGACATGGTTATGAGACGGAGTGCGGTTGCGGGGCCTACTCTGCTGTTTGGGAGGATGGTTGGGTGGGGGTTTGGCAGGGTTAAGGGGGCTGTTTTGGGGTGAGGAGTTGGAGTTACCTAGTGGGTGGGAACTCTGCTGTTGCTAGAAGAAGAAAAAGGACTAGGGAGGGGAGGTTATCTGTGAAGAGGAGGGATGTCTGGTTGTGGGAAATGGATGCATAGCGCTATGGTGTTTACCGGCTGGGATTTTCCGAATATTCTGTACTGTTTTCCCTTGTATATATCCCTTATATACATATAGGTACATGTTTCTTTTACTCGTCTTGCGAATCAATCAGTTATTCAATCAATCATGCAGGTTCCATACAATCAGAAAGGCACGAAGCTATCAGATATCAAAGGTACCCAATGTCAATTCATAGGCTAGGGAGAGACGAAGTGAACGAATGAGTAAGCGGTAGCAATGAGTTGAAGTGGTTGCTATCAGACCATCATCCAATCTGACCACTGTTGCGAGTAACTAGCCACTTGCAAACTACATTCGCCAGAAGAAAACATTAGCACCATGCAACAAACGCATGCGTGTTATCTTTGCCCAATCCAAAAAAAAAAAAACAACTCCGTCTTCCCGCAGACTGACTCCGATCCCATGCCCATCCGATCGCCATGCCACGCCATGCAAGAATATCAATTGCAGTAGGGGAAAAGAAGAGAAAGAAGAAGTGAAGCCACCACGACTTTCCCGTTAAGGCCGAGAACAATAAAAGGTGGGCGAGCGAGAACTCCACATCACGGGAAGGATTAAGATGGTGATCGACTCCCACCGAAACTCTCCATCATGTGTAAGCCCATCCTCAAAGCGGTGGGTCGCGGATTTACCAAGAATAGTGAAGTGTAGGTTACAGCTGTTTGTTATCTCGTGAGTTCAAGCGGCATCCAACTCCTCGGGGGTCTTGTGGCGAGCAGCAACCTTGCGCTTGTACTCGAGCATATCATTATCCCACAGCTCAGCGGCTTCGCCGTTTAGCGGGCTTGAGCTAGATATCAAACCATGCGTTAGCAAAAAAGCATATACAATCCACTTGAACGATTCCCGTGTTGCTCGAAACATGTGGAGGGAGGTTGAGACTCACTTATTAGGCTCTCCCAACAAACTCTGCAGACTCAACAGCACGGTGCCAATGTTGTACACAGCGCTCCACTTATCTTTCAAGATATCCAGGCAGATGCGTCCCGAGAAGTCGACGTTGGGGTGGTAGATTGGGGTCTTGAAGAGGACGTTTGGAGGGCTGTAAGGGTAGGTGGCTGGGAACTCGAAGGACAGCTTGAAGACGAGGGCTTCGTAGGGGGTGCCTGAGGGGCCTTCGATGGTGGCGGTCCAGATGGTGAGATTCTCGGAGGAAGGAAAGGCGGTTATGCCTGGGGTTGGGTTTGTCATGATGTCCATGAGTTCTTTTTGTAGGCTGCGCGGAGTGAATCTGTTAGCGATGCGGGCTGTAGGAGTGGAAAAAAAGGAGGCGTACCGCGCTGCGACGTTGGTCGCGCCGTTGTTTGCATTGGAGAGCGCCATGTTGTGTGCGATGTTGACTTTGTGATTTGTGCTCCCAGGCTTGCTTTTTGTGGATTGGGGTATACTGATGGGCTTGACTGTCGCAAAAAGAGGATTGAGGAAGGCGTATCAAGTTGAAGATGAGATAGCAGAGGTAATCTGGGAGTATGTACGTGGGGGGGATGGATTGCGATAATATCGTCGTGGTGGTTTTTTGATGTTGTGTTTACAGCCCGCTAAGTTGGACGACTCACCGGGGAAACCGTCGCGCGTGGCTAGCTCATGCTATGTAAGTGAGCGGGCCGAGAGCCAATAGATGCGCGTCAGCCTGGCGAGATCTGATACGCGCAGCGCGTTGCCCCATTGTGAATGAGCGTTTGTCGAAACTGCGAACATGTTTCATACCCACATTGCATAGTTGCATTGGTGATTAGACCAATTGAACGGTCTCAGTGTGGGCCAGTGGAGTAGAAAATAGATGCAGTTTGTTACGAATCAAAGGTTCGCAGGAGGATTGTATGGGATTCTACAGACAACGCGACTACGGACTAGGGTATCTGGAGGAATCCCATCATGAACGCGTCCATGGGGAGAAAATAGCACATGATGCAAAACTGGTGTTCCTTGGTGGAATCTCCTTGGAGCATAAACATGGACAAGAAACAAGTGACCAATGTAACTTGGGGAGATCGTCGGTCCATCATGTATCATGGCCGATCCTTTTCACGCCACTGCCGGGGATGCAAACTGGTCCCTTGAAAGACGGGCGGGCCTGCACATCAATCATCCCGCTCGGAAACGGTGGTGGGTGTTGATCCACCCCACTTTCTGTCACTCTCCAGCCTTCAAGAGTGCAATGTCACAGCTACACAGAACAGCGCCTGTGACGGTCAAGCGGGCAGAGGAAAAGGTTGGTAAGCACCGCCTCTCAGCTCAGCAGCGCAGCCATGGCTCGATTGCGTCCCGGAGGCTGCCAAATATAGACTAGAGTACCTTGCCGAGTTCGGATCTACGTGCAGCGTTGGCTATATTGTTCCTGCTCTTGTGACAATCATGGACTAAAGGGCTCCGAGAGATGACTGACTGTACGATAAGCAGCTCTAGGGCAGCGAACAATATCCGAACCGGCCGTTGTTATATTATCTGGCAATGTAGATTGCAGCATGGGGGAATGGGAAGCTCGGGCGGGTAGAGTCCAGATGCAGGGTCACACGGTTGGTCATCTCGATGAAGCCAGCGAACAATCTATCCATGGCCATCAGGCAATCTATCACATCAGCACCGAGGCTCTCGAGGGAGACTCTGCGCGTGGTTCCTGCATGGTTAGAGCGGCGTAGCAATCAATGGTGGAGTCAAACTCAAGGCTTCTATAGCCGGGCAATCTCCAAGGTGGCAGTCTGGTGATTTGGGGTGATATGTACCCCGCGAAAAGTCCACGTCAAGGTTGACATGGCGAGGATGGGGTCCGGGATGTCGATATTGCCATTACGAAGGTACCTGGGAATAAAAGCCGGATGCAGAGAGACTGTGGCAAAAAATAGAATATACGAAAAACGACAACGATGATGACGATAGCGATGATGGAAGAGGCGCTTGCTGGTCGTATGTATGTATGTATGTATGCGTGTTTGCCAGAGACTTGCACTTGACCAGTGCGTGAATTGGGCACGCACACAGGCAATCATTCGGTTGCTGGACTGGGTGATGATTGATGATTGAATGGGGTTCTTGAATTCATGCACGTCTCGTTCGGGTTTCCCCCCCCCCTCGCGTATGCCTACCTGACAGAGCGCATGCACAATGGCTAGCCATGCTGTCTCTTTGTAGCTTTTCCCTCCCAGTGGTTCATGCGGAGTGGTACCTCGTGGGAGGGGGATGAGTTAACCTTATGTAGCGGAGGCTTTGTTGGTACCGTGTGCATTGGGCAGTAGAATCACACAGGCACACGCACACACAGCCAAAGTTTGCTCGGGGCGTTTGCACGGCAGACGTAGCGGAGTGGTGAGGGAGAGAGATGCAGCGGTCGGTTAGTGTTTCCGGAGCAGTGCGGGGCTGGTTCGGCGCGGGCAGCAGCAGTGGGTGGGTTGCATGTGTGGGCAGGGCTAGATGCCTTTTGGGAACGGATAGCCGAATCCATGTCGCGCGCAGCGAATGGGCCATGCGTGGCGCTTCGGGCGACGCTGGCCTAACTCTGTCTAACCACCGCTCCGGGTACTTGCTCGAGGCAGCGAAGAGGCGGCGCATGTGCGAGCGTGACGGCGGCGTGTGTGTGTGTGTGTGGGCAACGAGTTGTTGGCCCGAGTCAAGAGAGACTGACGGTGGGCGGTACCAACGACAAGAGAGCATGACGGCATGCACTCGTCAGCCCTCGCTCACAGCACAGCACAGCAGAGCACAGTAAAGTAGGCAGGCAGGCAGACAGGCAAGACGGGCTTGACGGGCAGAGTGGTCAAACGCGGTGGGTAATGGCCATTTCGAAACAGGTACGCCGGAAATGCTGGCATCATATCATTTGGCCGCATGGCCCCCCGGCACCCGCATTCCGCTGCCCACCACCCACTACCGCCCGTCTGCCCAGTACCTGATGCCATTGGACCCTAAGCAGCTCAGTCAGCCACGGGTTGGAGGCATGCTGTGCACTCGGCATTCCGTCAGCTACCTCTTTATTGCCTACCTCTGTACTCTACTGTACTGTATGTACGCATATGACTAAACCACTCAGCTAATGTACGTAGCACGAGGTGCCCTGGGAGGCGGCCCGCCGTGGACAGTCCAGATGGAACTGGATACCTGGGCGCATTTGGCTCCCCTCCACCGCCTGACGTGAAAGAATCAGAGCCGTGTGGATGGATATGCACGCCTCCACGGTCGTGTTGGGCCAGCCTGCATTGTTTAGTTGCAGTCCAGTCCAGCACAGTACAGCACAGCACAGAGCAGGGCTGCTGCTGCTGCTGCCACCACATACGCACGCCCTCTCCCGATCCTTCTTCCATTCTTCCTTCCTTCTGTCTGCTTGCTTGCTTGCTCCTTCCCGATCCCTCCCTCTTCCTCCGACAACCCCATCTTCATCTTCATCCTCAATCAATCAATCCGCATAAACCCCCATCTCTTCTGTGGGAAATTGCTCCCGCTTGCTTCGTCGTCCCCTCAGCCTGCTGAATGCGCAAACCCCCATCATTCCCTACGTGACGGCCAATCGTTTCAGCGCTGTACCTTAGCAGCACCCGTGCGCTGCACTGCACCCTTCCATCCCGGGCCCCATCGCGCTATGACTTACTGAGACCGACCGCCCTTGTCTGACCGTCGTCGTCCGAGCTGCAGTGCCAGCCCTTCTTCCTCGCCTCCGTCCTCGACTTGTTGCTTGCCTGCTTGCTTGCTTGCTCGCTCGCTCGCCGCTTGCTCGTCGACGCCTGAACAACTCGCCTTCTTCACAGAAGCTCCTCCCCGAGCTTCTCGTCACGCTTCCTCCGAGAGTGCCTGGGTGCTCTCTCCATGCATCACATCCCTTGACCACTCTTTGGGTGCGCGAGACCGACGCCTCGTTCCACCGTTCAATCCCACTTCATCCCAACATACTCTCGCACTTCGACATGGCCACCGCCGCCTTGCTCCCACCGGGGGGCATTGCCCTCCTCGATGCTCCCGACACCGACATCGGCTCCAGGGTCGCCAAACAAACCCCAACTCAAGCAATGCACGTCGAGATGACCCAGGATATCGTCGACGAGCTGCTCGAAAGCGTCCGCAACGGCCAGCCTCCCCAGCTTCTCTTTGGACGTACTCCTGTAGGTCGCACCTTGCTTTCCAAAGCTTCCGCTGCTCCGTGGTGCATGGCAGCATCTGCATGGCCCAAGGGCAGAACACAGAGGAGATCATGGCTAACCGTACTGTCTGTAGCAACTCAAATACGGCCACAAGACACATACTCTGCAGACCACCCCCGAGAACGGCCGGTACGAGTTATACCATACCAGCGGGGCTGGTAGCAGCGATGACGACCTTCAATTCTCCAGTTTGGTCAACCATACCTTGGTGGTGGAAAGGGCAGATGCCGTGACAGCAAGCGTGGATACTGCTCTGGAGCAGCTCAAGAACAGCATGGCAGCCATATCGGAGCTCAAACAGGCCAACAAGTATGCCTCCCTGGCACTTTCTGCCTGCTCTTTTGGCATCCAACCAGACGCCCGACTTCTGCCATACCGTGCTCCTTGATGATCTATGCACTAACAATTGCGCTTCTGTAGGACTGTTGTTGGCAACACAACCCCCATGCGCACTCCTGTCCACCGCCGTGTTCCTTCCAAAAACCTTGCCCAGCATCTTGCTCCTTCCTCTATTGGTTCTCCCTTGCTGAGCGTTCCTTCCTCACCCATGACCAAGAAACCTCCCACCTCACAGCCCAACACCGCCCATGACGCTATTGTGAATGCACTTCGCATACCTCTCCTTCACCTTCTCGCTGTGCAACCATCCAAAGAAGTGCAGCTAGCCGAGACCTGCCGCAGCTCTTCAACTGTCTTGCGGGACGTTCTCCCCAAGATTGCGAAGCGCTGCGCAGATGATGCCGAGAAGTGGCAACTGACGGACAAGTCCTTCCGTGAGATCAACCCGTACAAGTTTCCCTACAAGACCGCAGAGGACCGTGAGCAAGCCATTGGCAACGCAATCAAGGCGTTTGATCGCCTGCGGCTACCCAAGGACGACAAACTTTGGCAAATTCTATTACCTCGAGAAGAGCGGGGCCAAGGTAAATGCCTCTCGCGTCTCAACGTCAAAGCACCAGATCCAAAAGCCACCAAATCCTCAACACCACTCCACAAGATGCCAAAAATAGGCGATAAGAAGCCCGCTGCCAAGAAGGCCGAATCGAAGGACGGCGAGAAGAAGGTGAAGGATGCCAAGGAAGTGGAGGTGAAGCCGAAAAAACAGGTCAAGGAAAAGGTGGTGAAGCAGCTGAGGAACGTGAAGGAAGTCACGATGAAGCCAGCAAAATCAACACCCAAAGCAGCCGCCGCGCCACCACCCACCAACCGCTATGTTCCCTCCGAGAACACCAAGATCCGCAAACAAAAACCCGCTCCCGCAGCTACCGCAGACGCACCTTCCAACGGGTCCCCACGTGTCACCCCCAAGAAAACCGCTCGCGAGCTTCAGCGCGAACGAGCTATCCGCCCAGCCAAGTCAGCCATGTCGCTCAACACCAAACCAAAGAACCCATCTCCACTCTCCGCGTCTCCACCAGTCAATGCGAGCGACTTCGAAGACAACCATCCCGTTCACAAGGCTCTTGCTGCTGCGCCTTCTCCCGCCAAGACACCTGCTGGCAGCTCCGATCGTGCGTTGAAGCGCAAGGCGAATGACGTTGACAGCGATATTCACAATCACAATCAGAACCTGGCTAGCAAGAGGCAGCACGTCGACCGGAGCACACCGAGCAATACACCAGCAAGCTCTAATGGCAGGTTCAGCGGCAGCACCCCCTCGACCAACAGTTCTCTGAAACGCAAGTCCGACGAATCCTCTACCAACAACACCCCAACCACCAAAATTCGCAAAGTCAACAACATCAACACCGCTCTTGCCTCCCGCTACCCGAACAACTCCCAAATATCTCCAAGCGATTCGTCATCATCGCAAACCTCGCCGTCCATTGCAAATCTAAGCTTCCGTCAGACGGTCGAGTTGAGCCAGAAGTTTCAACGGTACTACAAAAAGTATGAAGACCTCTATTGGCAATTGAGCGAATCAGAGGTTGCTCCGACTGATGCACAGAGGAACGAGCTGCTGAAAATGCACAAGAAGTTGGAGGAAATGAAGCGAGAAATAAAGGCTGGGGCCAATTTACGACGGTAGAAGAGCTGGCAGAGAGGCCAGGGCTATTAACTACACCCGACGACGAAATCATCACATCATACGGCCTACCACCTTCTTTGAGAGTTAGACTGCATTGCCACTTGGGGTCGGTGCATATTGGGATACCTTTTCTTTCTGGCGGTTAATCGATGCTTGGGAAAATTTCTGGAGCTTTACTATCACGTCTTTGTGATTGCATTTGGTCTACGGCAGAAAGCATTTCGGATCATGGCGTTTTTATTTTCTTTGCTTGGGCCCTTCTCTCATTTTTCTCACAACCACATTCTGCCCGGTATTGTTGGCTATTGGCGACACCTTGGGCAGTTTGACGATTTCATGATGCATAATGGATTGAATACAAAACTGGTTCTGCAGTCATCTGCGCAGTTTTCACGGTGACATACCCAGAGGGCGGGAGATGGATTTGAGTGCTCATTCGATTATTCTGAGAATGAAATAAATATTCAAACATACATGATGGCATCGTTCCCATCTATTGCCACAACCACGTTCACAAATCGCACCGTACCATATGATGTATCTGATATCCCTTGGTTATGCAAGCTTGTTAATTCGGTACACGGATGTCGAACATGACTCGTCACCCTACTCCGAAAGAGAAGGGGGGGAGGGGAGGGTCAGGATGCTTTCCGAGTTTGCCGGGCCAAGGGTCTTTGTTACCGGCTGCCGGTGTTTTATTTTGCCTTCCTCTCGTGCTTGGTGTGGTATGTGGAACATAACGAAACAATACTCTGGTTGTTCTTCTTTGCCAGTGGTTGCTGCTCATCCATGAATCAGACATGGTAGTTGCCTCTTTTTCCCCTCTCGCTTTCTTGTTTTCTTTTCGTCGGTGGTTTGGAGACCACAAGAAAAGAAAATGAATGACTGATTCCTGCTCCCCACATAACTTGTTAATGCCATCCCAACTCATAGCCGCATTCCCACACTCACTCGTCAGGCGAGGGAAAACGAAGAACAAGGCAAAAGCACAGTAAGCAAGGCAAGCAAATAGGCAAGCAGGCATAGGTAACGCGATTTCATCTGGTTTCATCCCCTCCCCTCCCCATATCCGCTCCTTTTGCCCCCCAAACCTGTGTTTCATGTTTTAGATTACCTTACCTACCGGGGACCGGGGAAAGGGGACAAGAGTATGTCATCATCATCCTCGGGAAAGGAGGACGATGGGGAGGGCAACCAAAGAACTTGACGACAATGTTTTGGGGGGAAAGGAAAGAAGGGGGGATCGTTAAGGCCGGCCATGGCCCATTTGGAGATAGCTTGGATTGGAATGGCTAAAGGGTCATTTTGGTTGGAGGATTGGCCAGGCAAGCAGTGGGAGGGAGAGAAAGCGGGTTTCAAGGATCAGTAGGTCTATTTCGGTTGGTCGAATCGATATTGCATGGGATTTTATGCTTCATTCCAGCGGCTGATGCGATAAAAGTGGTTTTCTTCCTTTTTTTTTTCCCCCAATCTTGTGCCATTGAATAAGTATTTTTTAGGGATGATTTGATGATGAGACTTTTTTGAAGAGTTTGAAAGAATTACATTTCACTTATTTTTCTTTTTTTTTTTCTACAAGAGGTTGAGGTCAAGAAGGCGCTTTGAAGGTGTGTGATTTGTTCGGCATTTCGATGTTCTTACTCTTCCTTGTCTCGTCTGGTGGTTCTCTCTTTGTCTTCTTTTCTGGGGAATGTACATATGTAGTAGAGACTCGATCCTCGCGAAGCAATATACATCAAACTGATTCAACTGCATATGCGATGTACAATACATAGTAGCATATTTTCACTACAGTCCAGCTCTTCTTGATCTATTGTCTCACATCCACTCACATCCATTGTATTTTTCTCTCTTCCACACGTGGCTCTCACACCGCTACCCTACATAACTTGAGCTGCCCGCATACTTGCTTACCCATTTCCCTTCTGACATGACTGTACACCGCATCGCCGAAAACCAAACCAAACCCCCCTCCCCCTTTCTTTCCCATTCCTCTCGTTTCATATCCCGAATAAAACCCTGTCCTCTTGCAAGAAAAGAAAGTGGAACAAGACGCACGCAGACCCGCCTGCATAACAACACACCGGTGGAGCAGACAACGACTGCGTGCGAGGATTCAAATTCTACGCACGGCGCACACGGCCCTCTGTGTCAGAGTGCGTGAGCCGTCAGCTTATTCACCGAGGTAAGGCGTGCTGGGTACGTGCTGTAGGGCTGAAGGGGGGCCGGAAAGGCAAAGAAGGCGTTGTGTGACGGGTTGTCGGATGATGAGCACGGATGCATGCCGTTTGAGCTTGTCCGATGTCTCGCGGGCAGGTTTCTCGGGTCTAGGGGCCGGCATTCGGGAGTAATAGATGGGGGGGAAAACTGTTGAAGGGGGTTTCGGGATATGTTTCGAGTGCAGTAATGTGGGACTTTGGGTATTTGGTGAGGAGGGTTATGAGTTGGCAACGAAAAAGCAATCTTGTATGAAGATGACGAGATATATCAGACATGGTTCTGCCTCCAAGATGGACTTGCCGAATTATTTCCATCGTACAGCATGTTCACCCATCACTCTACTTCAATCGCTGTCCTCCCTCCTTTCACAAATCTTCTCTCCAAACTACACCTCAACACCCTCCTTTCCTTCTCCATTCCCACCCCTTTCAGTCGATCGTCCTCACGATCCCAATATACTGCCCAGCCGTAGCCCCCCGTTTCCTCTTCAACGGCGACTAGGCATTCCTCCCCGTCCAATGTCAAGCCCTGCTCATCATCTTCCGTCCAGTCCCACGGACCGACAACGTGATACCGTGCCTCAGCGCGGGGACCGTAGCGTAGTTCACGCGTCTCTTCATCCGCGTATATCCAATTCAACTTTGGTTTCCTGGACCTAGACGAAGGCTTCGAGAAGGAGGGCGAATGCGGGGTGGGAACGGTGCTGACAAGGCCGAGGATCGGTCGATGGGGGATGGGACGGTTGGGGAGGTCACTAGCTGGGAACGGTAGGTAGAACCCAGTGAACGGATGTGGAGGAGGTGAATCGTCATTTTCGTATTCTTTCGGGAGGTTTGTATCGGTATCTTTAGGCCAGAGCTTAAGCTAGATGGTTGTGTGTTTGGTTGGCATTGATGTGTTTTCGAGGATGGGGATTTTCTAGGGTTTCCCAGCTTACTTTTCCGTCTTCAAGGACTATCATCGCTCCGTGTACTTCATCACGCTTGCTGGATTTTGCGCTACAGTATACGTCAAGGTAGAAAGGCGCTTGGCGCTCTTCCGATTCCGCTTCATCGTCGAGTATGTGTTGTTGGTGGACGGCCTCTGAGGCGCCGACGGCGGTGGAGATGGCGGTGGGGATTGCGGCCAGGGTCAGTAATTCTAGAACCATGCTTTGCAGTTTCTGCAATGAATTGCAGGTTTTGCGATCATGTTGGGAGGATGCCTCGAGGCTGCATGTTCTGTCGTGTTCGAATGTCAAAAGTTGGCTATGCTGCTACGCACGATGTTGTCATAGGTCATGCCATCTGTCGCAAAAACTGTCTAATTGGAATTCAGGGTCCAACATCTGACACGCGCACAATCTTCTATACCACAGCAATAACAATCTCATGCGGAAATCGGAAATAGACCGCGAAGCCGTCTGAGAGAGTGCGTGGGTGGAGGCCGTTCGAATGCGCAATCAACCTCTACAGCAATCTTGGTTCTTATTCTTTTATCCAATCCATCAACTCCAACGCTACTTCACGTCTTCCCTTCCAAGTACCTCTGTGCCACTATGGGTGCATGATACTTCTTGCCACCATGAATAAACCACCATATTGCCGTCAGAGTAACGACGCCAGCCAAGATCACGCTATTGTAATTCATCAATTCAACCGTCGTTGGTAAGCCGAATGCTTCATGCAACATTAGCTCGCGAACTTCCCCAGCAGAGAGGGTAAGGTACTTACGAAAACAGTACATGACATCGAAAAAGACGATCAAAAGCACCGCTGCGGCATTTACTACATACCCCGCGGAGCCCATATGAAACGGCCCCTTTGGCATGTTCCTCCGCCGAGTGAACAGGTTGGGGGCGATTGCAATCACATACGATGTCGATGTCAATATAATGAAAGAGCCTGCCAAGTCTGTAAAAGCGGTTTCACTTCCCAACGGAATAGCACCTAGACCCAGGACGATGACGCTACACAAGAGTGTGGCCGGAATTGGGCAGCTTAGGTGCTCATTTACCGATGTGAAGAAGAGAGGGAACGGGGTGGCATTGTCGCGAGCAAGAGTCCACCATATTCGACCACAAGTTACGAGTGTCCCGACAAGGCAGATCAGGAGTGAGAGCAGGACGACCAACAGTAGGCAGAATGTCCCGCCTTTTGTACCAGTTGCCTGGGCATAGATTGTGGCGAGAGGGAAATTACCATTACTGTTGACGACTGCATCGAGATCGGTTATTGAGTAGAAAAGAGCAATGCCAAAGAAAAACGCGGCTACAGTGTTGTCAGGATCCACGCTCCCTTCGTTGGATTTCGCACTCACCTAAAAATCCTAGTCCGACTTGAGCGAATATGCCTCGAGGTAAATCACGCTCCGGCTTGGGCAATTCTTCTGCCAAGTGCGTGATGGCGTCTACGGTACCAATCGTAAAAGCACCATTCAGCACGCCAGTCAGGAAAGCAACACCATCGCCCCAGCCTGTAACATTTTCAAAGTCCCTCCAGACGAATGCGCTGCTCGCATGGCGATCTGGCATAGCAGCCAGTACAATGATTGTAACCAGTCCACCGCCGATCACCAACACCATTCCCACGTCCTGCAGTAAGGGTATCAAGCGGTTTGCAAAGATACACGTGAGTGTTACCAGGATGGTGATGAGAACATAAGCGATGTAAACGTGCCAGGCCTCGACAGCGAAGTCGGGGTGGAATATAGCGTAAATTTGAACGGCGACGTTGGAGCAGATTTGCATGATGGAAGCGAGGTCGAAAAGCCAGCCAAAGAAGTTGATGCTGCCAGCGAAGAATCCGAGGACACGACCATACTTGAGGCCTGGGGTTACGGAGGCATAGTGGTAAACACCACCTGAAGATGGAATAGCAGAAGCCAGCTAAAGAAGGAAAAATGTCAATTATACGTACAGGTTCAGCATAACCAAGTTACAAGAATGGACTGACCTCTGCGATGCATGCTCCAACAACGGCATAGTAAGAGCATGCCACTATTAGCTCGTACAAAACGCCCGGAGGTCCACCGTTTGCTACAGAAAGCCATTAGCCGCAAGTCCATGCATGGAGCCGTAGGATTCTCCATCTCCTTTCGCGTACCGATGGAAATGTCAACGGAGCCACCCAGTGCAATCCATGCATTGTCCACAGTCAATGCCAGTGCGCAAATTGCTACCAAGCCATACTGCCGCTTCAATTGATCCTTATGACCTGATGCGTTGACAAGATTCGCAACCTCGCCTGCAACCAGATCTGAAGCCCGGTCATCTAGAGGTTTCTTGTCGCCCACAGAGCTCGACTCTTTCATGATGGCTTCAAGCTCTGCGGATACTTGGTGTATGAATTGGCGTCAATGGCCGAGGAGCGACGGGGGAATGTTATGTGCTGCTAGAAGAAATCAAGGAAGAAGCCAAGGACAGTAGCTCCTGGAGATGTACGCATATTCAGATAAGTCAACCAAGTGCGACAATGTCTATTAATCATACATAATACAAGGTATGTCTAAAGAAGCCCTGGAAGCCAAGTAATCCCTGCTTGGCCGAACGAAGATGCATCCCAAAGTGATCTGTCGTGGGGTCATGGAAGAGGGGGGGGGGGGGGGGGCAATAAAACGGGATACCATGACCCTGGAGATTCTGCCCCCCCACACACTGGCACGACACGAGTGAAGTGTGTAGATGTGTACTGATAAGCCGTACTGGGGTCCTTGAAAACGTCCTCTGATAGGTTGGAGTGACCAACGTTATCAGCAGGCACATGGTATGTTCGATAAGCAGTATGCTTACCCCTCAACACCATGCTTTTTCTTGAGTTTGAATATCTCCGAGCGAGACTCTCGGGCCTAGAAGCTTTCTATGCGGTTTGATCTTGTTCATACCAACATCTGGTCCTGCAGCTTGTCGCTTGTAGTGTGGTCAGACCTCATTCCAACCATCCTTCTATCCACTCCATTTCGGTCATTCTAGGCAAGGCAGGGATATAACATTCAAGACCGTACGCTTGGAAATCGATAGGCTGCGGAACAACGACAGAGCTTGAAGACCGGCCACATGGCACGGGTGGAGCGATGGGCAGCTCGCCAGCACACACAAGTGCGATCTTGCTATCGTGAAGGCGATCGTTGACCGCGTGGAGATCAGCCCCAAGTGCCCAGTGACGACCGATACCTGAGACATCGGAAGTATATTTCACCATCTCTATCCATTTGAAGCCGCTAAATCTGAGCTTGGGACTGAGGTGGTTCCGTGGATCACCGTAACGGAGTTGATGACCAGCTTGATGGATGAATTTGGCGAGGAACCGGCTGGTGCGCTTGCTTTCGAGAGTATGGCGCAAGCGACCTTCGAACAGCTGTGCGATGGTCAAACATGGTCCATCGCCAAGCTCATGTTGTTCCAAACTATCATATTGCTTGGTGGCTCCCCTCACAATAGCATCGAGCATGCGACCTTGCCTACGCCCACTTATACCGTCGAGAAGTCGCGAGGGAGAATCCAGGATGAAACTCTTCGCCAAAGCTTCAACAATAGCCCGAGCTTCGCAGTGGATCTTCCAGCAGGTTGCAAGGACGGCGATGGGGATCGATCTAACAATGAAGGTCACGCGACGCGATGGCTCGTCCGGATGCCGAACTTGATGATGTTTGATCTTTCGTGGTAATCGCTCATATACCATGACTAGAAGTGCTCCGTCAGCATTGACTCCTTCGCGAAGGGGTGGCGTCTATTGATCGCAACACTTACGCCGTATTTCCTTGGGGAGGTCTAGGAACCGGAACGGTTCAGACGGCACAGAGCTTCTCATCGCCGTAGAATGATACTGTGCTTCGCAGAGCAAACCTCGATTTACAAGCTGCAGCCTAGAGCCACTTTATAAGGAACGGGATCCTGTGACTGTGGTGGGGCGAAGCGCAGGGCGGAGCGCGTATTCTCCTTACGCTATTCCCATCATGGCGCAACGGCCTTACACATTCTATTTTGGTACCTCGTAGTAATCCGAGATGACATTTGCTGTCTACATGTAAACACTTCCATGATACCCTATAAGCGCACACAATGGCATCATCAAATAAGGTGCTGAGCCCGTACAACAGCCCGCTACTTGGCATACACGCTCCCGAACTAGAGATGAAGCGCCAAAATTGCGCCACCTTCGGTATATGTTCCGTTGACAGGGCTTCCCAACGCTCCTTCCGAACTGATGTACAAGATGCCACGATCCCCTTGGGTCCGTCCGAATACCGCGCTGGTCGGTCCAGCCAACTTTTTCCAGTGCATTTCCATTAGGTCTAGCCACGTACAAAGTGTCGTCCTCGGCAATAGCAAAGTCATCTGGGAAATCCACAAATGAGGCAATTGTTTCAAAAGGCCCAGTCGCCTCACCAGTGGACAAGGAGATGGCGACACGGTGAAGAGTAGCCCGGGCAGATGATGTATAGTAAAGATAACCCCGATGCACTTTCAAGCCATTTACGCCGAAGGGTACAGAGGATGTGGGTGCTTGGTCCTCGTGGTGAAGGATAGTCGAGTACACTCCGGTGCGCATGTCCAGTCTGACTATATTTCCAGCGTAGGAATCTGCCAGAAGAACAACATGATCATTGATGGCAGCAGCACCGTTGAGAAGTTGTGCAGATTTAATGTCTGACATTTTTCGTGCTTGCATGTTTGCGTCTGTCGAATTGCCAAGTGGAAAGTCGACTCTCCATACGCTCGAGGAGCCAAAGGCTGGACCGGTTGCCAGTGAGTAATTGGCCGTGATGACTGCAAAACTGTTGGGTGCGAGTTCGGTGATCCCAAGGACAGACTCTGCGCCAGGGAAGGTGTATACCTTTGACGCTGTCACTGGATTGTTGCGAGGGTGGATGAAGTGAAGCTCGGGTCGATTGAGCAAGCTGACTAGAAGCGATCCATTATGTGTTGCTGCAATATTTTCCACCCAGGTCGGATTGGAAAATTGGTAGATCTTTCGCAGACTTTTGTGGACTGTACATGTAGGTTTTGCAAGCCCAATATGGTAACCTGAGAGAAACAAGGTGGAAAAAATAGTTGCAAGCTGCATGATGAGAACTGATAACTTGTAGGTCTGCAGGGAGAAGATGGGTTTTAATAGAACGGAGGGAAACTCTTAACGTTTGAGAAAGCTGCGAGTTGATATACCTCATCTTTTGAATGTTGACAAATGGTGGTTGGCGTTGGTCGTGCTTTGTACTAGCAATTATTTCCTGTTAGGGAGAAGAACGGCCACAAACGAGGAGGATTCTCCCTGAGGTAGCATTAGTCATGTGAATGTAGGATTCAGCCACATATCCATTTCTAGGGCAAGTGTCTTGTGAAGCTAAACCAATTTCAGTCCTTTTATTGTCATGATAGTACCAACTGGGGGTATTGAGGAAGTTGAATCAGCTGGAAGTGCAAGATTACAGGCTGGTAAGAGTCAGGCTTGATTGAATCAGTATTAAGCAACGAATGGAGTGCCTGTGAAGTCGTAGGGTCTTGAGAAGTCGACTAACGAGTAGCTCAGTTTGATACTTCACCAGCACGTGTATCGAGGCTGAGCGAACATGCGCATGTTCAGCTTCATGTCGAACGGATGCATATTCAGCCTTGGCGCAGAGAACGCTAGCGGCTCGAATTCGAGGTATTCGAGATTACGTGTTTCTTTTCTTTTTTTTTTAAGCTCTATGGCGCACAGGTTGCTGTTCGATTGGTTTGAGGCTCCAAGCTATGCGTGCTACAAATCTGACATGGGCGGGTGGTGGGTGGGGGGAAGGGGAAGCGAGAACCTACTAAACTCTGGGCCCTGACCAAAGAAGTGTGCCAAACTCTATGGCTCGTTATCAGACTGTTCTGGATCACTATTTCAGCGGTTCCAAGGCTTGCATAGTTTCTTGTTCGACTTCCAGTGTTGAGTGCGCGCGCACCCAATCGACCGACGCCACCCTGCTACTTGAGAACCTTGGGCAAGAATTTCCTCAAGAGTGTGGTGCAACCCAATGATGTGTCGGTGATTTGGTGTCGTGTACTCAAAATTGAATCATACCTGGACAGATGTGCCTATTCAACTATCATCACTGGGACCATTAAACTTGCAAAGCTACCAATGAAGCCGAGTGTTGGACATGTACTTTGCCCCGCTAAGACGGAGCTGCATTCCACAACCCCTCAGCCGCTCCGCTTGCTTGGCTCAACACCTTAAATGGTCAAGATATAGTCAGGTGCACGCCGCTGCCGACATGTGGTCGTCACACCACCGAAACCTGCTCTGCCACGACTTGACGTTGTTTTGCTTGATTGTACATATATTGTTTGCCTGCGTAGACTTTTCGCGATTAGCACGCCGCGCCATTCTCGACATATACGAAAACGAGAGCCACTTTGAGACTCCTGGGTGGTCGCTCGTATATCCGGGTTCCAAGAGCAGCATATCATCGTAGGTGCCACCGGCACGACCAGTTCACAAGAACATCACATCGGATCCGTCTTGGCCGCGTCTCGTCAACATCTCGCTGATTCTCAATCACTCGGCAGCACGCTGTCACTGCAAGACATATAATTTGATGAAATAAATCATGGGCACCGGAGGAGACCCACCGAAGAAAGTTTTGGGGGAACGAACAAGCAGTGCTATCATAATCATACTGCCTTGCATCTTCGCTATCGTTCTGATCACCGCACTGACAACGTATGTCTACGTTGCAATCCTCGCCCTAACCCGTACTAAGCGTAACACCGTTCAGAGCATACCTTTCCTCGCAGCGCAGACGACGCGCGAACGATGTCGATGGCAAAGAACAGAAGAAACGACTAGAGAAGCTGGAAAGCCACATCAAAGCGGAACCGTTTCTTGACTGGACCAGTAAAGAGAAGAAACTGGAAAGCGAATGCTCTTACTCGGTAAATCTATGGTGACTGCCCCCAAACGACAATAGCAATCGAGAAACATGTTGATCGTTGGAGCAGTGTAATATGTCTGGACGATTTCACCGATGATTCTCAAGTCCGAGCACTCGACTGTCATCACGTGTTTCATCAAGAGTGTCTTGATACATGGTTTGCGCGTTGGAATGAGTATTGTCCACTCTGTCACAAGCCCATTATACCCGGCGCCAAACCCGCACGAGAAAGAAGACGCACGTGGGATGAACCAGCTCCGGTGGCGTTCATAATTTAGTTGGAATTCAATTTCGATATGTTTGCATTCATGACCTGCGCTTGATGCGATTGCCAATTGTCACGAGCCAACTGCTTTCTTGAATCCTGTACCTTGACTTGCATCGTTCCACGTACGGGCAGGCGGAAGTAACTCTAGTATATTGGACTCTAATCTTTGTAGTGTTTTATGTGGCATGCCCTGCACTGCGCGTGATCTATTCGCTCTTGACGTTCATAGTTGAGCAGTGGTATATCGAGGAGTAAGCTCTTGTTGGTCATGTGCTCTCCCTTTGTTGGGTTAGGATCAGGGATGAAGGCATAATCTTCCGCATGTGACGGCCCGCACCGTCCTGCACCTCTTGATGTGATGAACCCCTCATCGTCGATAGTGGCGGATATAGGAAGCTTCCGCGGAGTGAATGCAAGTGGGCGTGGAGGTTGTGACAATGGAACTTGGGTTGTTGAGACCCACGTCCAAGTCAATCCCGAGAGGAGATGAATTGAGAGTGCGTTTGTATCGTCTGATGATGGCACGAGATTTTTACTATGTTTGAGCCTGAGCCCATGCAGTGTAGACAAGTATGAGGGATAGTAGTAGTTGTAGTAGTACATTTAGACTGTGGAGTCAAAGAATTCGGCACGAGCCCCACACAACGGTTTCCTCTTGATACTACCGAGTTTTCCCACTGGTTGTAGGGTTTGGGCTTACCGGATCTGTACCTATATACAAAGAATCAAGGGGACGGGAGAACCTGGAGATCCCTGTCATGATGCATAACGGCTCGGGTAGTTGCCGATGCCATAGCCGCCGCCATGCAGGGCGATAGTGCAGGGCGGGTAGGAGTAGCATGGAAGAGAGAGCAGCTCACACTAGCATGGCGTCTGCTGTCATTTTGATACCAAAAAAGCTTTGGCTGGTCCCAAGACCGACCAGATTGTTGGTGCTTGGAGTGATGGAGGCATCACGGCCAGAAACGGAGACTTGGGGATTCACGGCAGGAGTCTCTTCTCTCGAGGTGGTGGCATCTGGTGACTAGACGAAATGTATCTGTCTCGTGCCTTTTTCTTTTTTGTTACAAAGTGAGACGACACTTCTCCATCGGTCGGGTATAGAATCAATGGTACTGTGAGAGGAATTGGAACCTCGCTTCACGGCCCGGCCATTTCCGAGCGACCCCGGTTACATAAGGCAAGGCTAGTGCAGGTCACGTGGGGGCAGATGGATGCTGCAACACCGAGGTTGGCTTACCCAAGACGTTCTAGGCACGGAAAAGGCCCTCGATTGTCACGCCATCATGGCCTGATGCTCCTCGCAGCCTCCCATGGACCGGCAGTTTCCACCTCGCCTGCCCTCCGAGTTCCGAAAAGACGTCGAGAGGATGCATCCGTTTACTTCTCGTCCCTGTGTCTTCGTCCAAGGAAAAAAGAAGAAGAGGAAAAAAAATTGATGCGTTGCAGTTGACTGGAAGTTATCATTGGCACGGGGCAATCAGACTGCTCAACGCGACTAGATATTCTACCTTCAACAGCTTCTTGCGTGTAACGGCCCACAATACCTTTTAAAGAACCCAGTTCCCAGGATTGCTCTCTACCTACTTCGCTTGCTCCCACTCTTCCCTAGACACACACACACACACACCTCTTCTTCGTCGACACCTTTGTCTGCACTCGAGTTGCATATCCTCTCCAGGCCCCTTCATCATATACAGACCACATCCGTCAGAAGCTAGATCGTTCCCGTCGTAAAAGTAACCTGTCCCCAGTTTCACACCAGCGTCTTGGCAACCCCGGCGCCACCATCTGCTGAGTGTCTCCTGATCCTCGCGTGAGCACTCGCGTCTCTCCCACAATCTTCCAAACCCACAATATGGCTGTCGATTGGAATGCTTTTCTGAACGGCCCATGGCCAGACATGACCGATCCATCATCTACAGACCTTTCGATTGAAATGCCAAAAACAACTTCTGCCCGCCCTCTCGGCTCAACACCAGTCGATGATCTTGCTGCGTTCGATTCTGTCCTCAACGCCAACCAGCCTGATGCTTACTTTGACGACAACCTTTTTGGAAACAGCGACTACTTCCTGAGCGACTTCGAGGGCCTCCAAAGTTCTGCGAGCGGTATCGCCGGCGGGGACTCGACTTCGGAGTCATCCCCAGAGCCATCCAACAGCATCGGTCTCTCCAGGAACGGCCTTTCAGTCTCGGAAACCCTAGCATTACTTTCCGGCAATCCAGATCAATCACCGAACATGCAGTCTTCCCGTAGGCCCACCATCATGAGGGCAAGTACCTTTCCGAACCTCCAATACGAGTCCATGTTCCCCAACAACCTCGAATCAGGCTTCGTGGAAGACCTCACCTTTCCTGATGGACCTAGCGGGCCTTCATCGACGTCCAAAACCACCGGAGACAACAATGGAAACAACCCAAATGGCAACAACAGGAACCTGTCGTCAACATCTACTACAGGCAAACGTGCCCACAAGGCCAAACCCGATATTCTTTCCGCATGCTGGACATCGCCGCTCTGCCCCAATCACGACCAAGATGGTCCACCGCCCAACCCTTCGAATTGCGGAGGAGGATGTGCCCCATTCCTGTTCGCCAACGACGACACTCTCCCCACGCCCACTACCACCAACCTCCTGAACGAGGCCCAAGAGGTAATACCGGAGGACGGGGTGGTCGAAATCAAATCATATAGTAAGAAACGCTCCGAGAGCGCCATATCGACTAACGAGTCTTCCGGTCGACGTTTCTCCACCAAGACAACACCCGACTCAAACGACATCAAGAGTGAGTCGGAAGACTCGCCTCAGGCCCCCTTGGATGACAAGCCCAAACCACGACGACGTCTACCGCACAATCAAGTAGAGCGGAAATACCGCGAGTCGCTCAACACCCAGCTCGAATCCTTGCGTCGTGTAGTCCCCTCGCTGCAACAAAATCGCGCTTGCGACGGCGCCGATATCGAGGACCTCCCCGCCCCGTCCAAACCTTCCAAGGCTGTCATTCTCGCGTCGGCCACCGCACACATCAAGCAGATCGAGAAGGACCGGAAAAGCTTACAAGACGAAAACCAGTTGCTCAAGACCAGAGTCAAGGCTCTGCAGGCGCTGGTCAAGTGCGACGACTGCTCTTTGATGCAGTACGTAATGGACCTGAAGATCAACCAGGCCAAGTAAAAGGAGAAACGCAGAACTACTCTCCTCTAAACAATGCACCCGCGGAATCTTGCTGTGCATGCACGCATGCCTTCGCTCACTGTGTCAATCTACTAATGCAGCCACTCTTCTCTTGTCGGCTGAGCCATCTGACAAAAAGTTACTCGTGCATCTTTTATCCACGGTCGAGCATCAGCATCGACATGGCGTTCACCGGCGTACTACGAAATGTATGAGTACAAGCGTCGCAGAAATAACCCAAAATAACTATTCCTCGACGTCTTCGACCATCCTGTTTTCGGATCAACCCCTTTACTCCTCTCATGCACCGTATCGGACTACTGGCTGAGCGTCTTCTCATGAATTGGGAAGAGGGAATGAATTATCGGCGTTATCAAAGGTTCGGGGTTTTAAAGGGGTTTCTCTCGGGTGTGCATGCACATGCCACCACGGCGTTATATCATGTACAATGGGCAATAACTCGTTTTATTTCTTTGTGGATGTTATATGGGAAACATGATTGACTATCGTTATGTCCTCATCTATCTCAACGAGGACGGAGAAAATATCTGCAGTGTTCACTAGATCCGATATAGTCCAACACACGAACCCTCTATCGTAGCAGAGGATGAATGATACTGTATATCAGATGATCATGGCGTGACTGTGGGAAATCCGCTCCTTATTCTAGTATAGAGACGTATACATCATGCGCTTCGTTTTCCTAGTGTAATGTTACATCTTCACGTGTGAAGAAAGAATGCACAAAGCTAGTGGTAGATTGGTTTGGGTCCCGATCCTGCCTTGAAACTTCAACCCTGCCTTCGCTGATCAGGCTCAATTTCTCTGAAACTTAGAGGTCATTGTTTCATCAAGCGATCGAGCTTTGCACTGTTCCACTGCTTTGAATACCCTACAAGGATTCGATGGCAAAAGAGTCGACACCACCATGTTCGAATAAACCCATGCCTCTTGATTCTGCTGTTGATCGACCACATATGATGGATTGTAAGATAGCAAAGTATATCATCTCTTCATTCGAAGTAGAGGGCAGTGAGTGGCATAGTCTGTGTTATGGGGCCGTCTTTGCATTCGCTGCGATTTAGCATCATGGCAATCGTTCCTTCCCACGCGGGATCCTTCGTGATACGATCCCCAATAATGCCCGCCGTTGAAGGCCAACTCGAGAGAGTCGGCGGAAGTAGCAATGAGGGGTTTGCTACTTCGGATCTGTTCGCGTACATGGAATCGGTTCGTTCCCACTCCGCAATTGCTAATGTCAACTGCCACTGCTGCTGCTGCAACTCAGGTCTGTCTAGCGAGATATGCAACCACCTCAAAGTCAAAACCAACGAGACGCTGCATAAGCACACAGCATATTTCGGAACGCAGTGCAGTGCAGTGCAGGAAGAAGAAAAGAAAAGAAAAAAAAATATACATGTCGTGGAAACATAGCTCCAGCCGGGTCCGCGGGCCCGTTGATATTGGCTTCCAATGTTTGCAACGGAAAAATGAATTTTCCGTGAGGATTGAAGACACGAATTCGAATACGAACACTGGAAGGGCGGATATGATGACCAGAGAGACCCTTTCCAGTTCATACATAGTGCGGGAGAAGGCATGTGTGGCCTGCATTAGCCACCCTCGACGGGGCATGCATGTTTCTCTTATGATGTGTGGTTGCCCGGCGTCCGGATTGGCCGTCGCTGGAAACGCAGCATGTGCATTTGATGCTGGAGAATGGGTTCTTGGTGCAGTGATTATTAGTGTGAATTCACTCTCGTCCTGCAAAGGTGGGGGAAATGAATTGCATGCTCACGGTTCGGCACCACAGTCCGGCCAATAGGAACGATATTTCGAAAAGGGGGGGAACCTGTTCGGCGACAGTTGCATCATACCCCGTCGCCACGTTGAGCTTCGTCTGTAGCCTTTTGTGTTTTCCCACCAAGCACAACCGATTGCCGGAAGCAATCCAACAGAAGCCGTCGGAAACTGGCGGGCGACGGACACCTTTGGCTGGGCGGCGCTTTGAAAATCTGGAAAACTTACCTGTTCGTTCCACCCCTGCGTGCCAGAATCTTGACCCAAAGTCGTGGACCGCCACGTGCTGTCGCTTTTGAGACGCAATCCTCACGATTTACGGTTTTCGAACGAGCAAATCTATTGCGCGTGCACGAATGCGGGCGGATGCTCGTGTCCGGGAACATGCACGAGCCCTTGCCTGCCCACCTGAGCTGAATGAAACTTTGAACTACGTGACATGGACTTGTCAAGTGCCTCAAGTCGAGCATGAGACGTCGTATTCCCTTCTCGTATTGGCTCCGCCATGCATACCGTGTGTCGTCTGTTCTGCACGCAGCCATCGATTCTCCGTCACCGCCATGTGTTGAGGTGCGTACCTGTTTAGCCATGTCGCTGGAGCGTGTAGAATCGGTGCCGTGGCGGCGACTGGTTGATCTGATCATATCGCATTTCCAAAGCCGTCGGAATTGGCTTGTTACGGAAGAGGCAGGAATATGAAAATAGCGTAATTGTAGCGCACGGTGGAATTGAGCATAAAGTGTTTGATACGGGCGGTGTTGTACGCCGAGTGGTGATGCATTGAGGTTGAGCAGAGGATTTACCATCTCCGATATTCTGCTGGTATCTCGGGCAATGAAGAGTCAAGACAGTGGAACCGTGAGCGGAAATTAGAGGAGAACATGACGAAATAACTTTGCTATGGCTCCGGAGGCAAACCATGAATCTACCGTACCAAGATTTGTGGACCCTTCAATGTGTTTGACGGGAGACCAATGTGCCTGCTGATTTGGTGAAGCTTGTGGATGCTGAAAACTTTCATCTCCAATGTTTTCTACCGGGTAAGGATATGTATATATATCCAGAGTGCACATTCCGATAGCAGGATCGGCGTAAAGTAAGAGGACATACCATGTCACTGGTACCGCAATTGCAGTTCTAGATCGAATGACGATGGTGCATTTGCCTTCATGGGTCTCTCGGAACAACTCAGGCTGTTTCCAGCCAACGGAAACATGTGTGTGGTGGATGCAAAGATTTGGCAATCACCATGAAAATCTTTAGGTAGGAACCGGGCCGCCTACTCTGCACTTCTTCAGGACTGCAGATGTAGTGACGCGAGGATCTAGTTGCTCATCTATTGTTGAGCACCATGCTTGTAACTTGGCAGCGCGACGGTCATGCAAGACATCGATGTGCTAAGTATACGGCCCGGGGTGCGAGCTGACTAGAATGGTGTCGATCCGAAAACCCGGTGATCGGAGCTCCAAGAATCGCCGCTTGCCTTTATCTCATTTATTGTGGCAGGTGTGTGGGCGCTGATCGAACTCGATGGACTCCATGGTTGCTTTGATAGACACTGGAAAATTGATCAGACAAGTAATCAGAGACTGGGGATCCGCATCGCCCTGCTGTTGTTTGTCATGGGCTTAGGTTTGCCATTGGTTCTTGAGCGTAGCCGAGGCAGCAATTCTGATCATGGCCTGAATGCTAGCCATGCTTTCGTCTCCATTGTTGGATCATCTCCCAGAGATTGATGTTGGTGTCAAGGCCGACAGGGATCTGCATGTCGTAGTCGAGGATCTGTAAACATGTCAGAACCACAATCTATCCATGACATGCACGAGCACCCATATTCCGAATTATTTGGGGAACAGGCATGAACAAACTTTAAAGGTGTTGAGCGTCACTAGACCGGGGCTGTACTCTTTGTAGCATTCAAACATTGACTTGTGTGGTACCAAAACGGAAGGCGCGTACGACCCTCACACAGACTAGCGCTCCCAATGTTGTCGAAGACGAACAGAGTCTTGGCATACAAAAGCCCCAGCACCCGAGTGCCAATTCGAGTGGAACTTTGCCTGTGCTGGCTGATTTTTGGGGATCGCATACGCTCCACAGAGTTTATTAGCAGTCAAACCACCTGGGATGGCGGTGAAGAGTTCACGCACCTGTTCCGTCGTGGTATTTCTTCGGTACGGCAATTCGGGCCCCTAGGCTGTTGGCTAGCAGAGCAGAAAAGCCCGGGGTAAGGGCCGTGCGTCTGTACGTGCAAATACGATTGTGTAGCCGCAAAGGCGTAGTCGCAGCACCCGGATATCTTGATTGTGCATGCAGGCAGGAGATCAAGTTGGAAGGTGAATATCCGAGCGCAGGAATTGAGAATGGTGGTGGGGGCTCTTGAGATGGCCAGAGTAGGCAGATGACAACCGGGATCAGTGTGTCGATCCCCGGCGCCATGCTTTCCCCTTTGGCCCGTTTGGGCAGTGTGCCATAACAATCCACAGCAAGCAACTGCCTGTTTTGGAGCAGAGGGATCCTCATATGGGTGTATACCGTGAGACACAGTGTGCGACGCCGTGGCTAGGTGCGAGGAATGAAAACAGAAACAGACGGTACAACAGCGGGAGAAGTCACCTCGCTGGACGACAATGTACGATGACCCTGTAGGTGGGTGGCGACCTGTGTCATGCATCTGGGATTGCAAGTTCCGAACAAGACCACGAGTGCGGAACCGATGGTTGCTGGCGTGGTTCGCTGCGGGAAGGTTGTATGGCCAACGACGCTGGATCTGAGGATGGGGGGTGTACGGGTACCCAGGTTTTGGTCGCTGTCTTGCTAATTCATCACATGCCGTGCAGACCAGAGATTGACTAGGAGTGCGGCATTGGCAGGTGGATGAATCATGAAGTGCAGTGGGTGGAGTGGGCGACCAAGAGTGCCGCGGCTCCTCCCAAGCTGGCGGATCAGGATGACATACTGGCTGGTTTGATTTCGCAGCTGGGCCGAAACGCTGTACCGACGGGTGTGTGGTGGTGGAGAGTAAGACGGCAGCTTGTACTAAAGCGCGGTGTGAGCGCATTGTCCAGCAGCAGCAGCAGCAGCAGCAGCAGTAGGACGACCCGGATTGCTGGGTCAGCTTCGCTCCGCTCCTCGCTCGCCCTCGATTGCTTTGCGCATTCTGCTCAGCATGTGCAAATGCTCTCGTTTATGCACCATGCTTGCCTGAGAGCGCGCCATGATGATGATGATGATGACTGGCCACTCCTCCAGTCCTGCATGGCTTGCAGGCTGTCTTGGTATGACGAGAGGTGCCGTGGTTTGCTTTTGTGCATGCCCCGGGCCCGTGGGGTACGGCCGGCCAGCCCATGCTCCCACACTCGTGATATTCCAGTTGCGGGACGGTACGGCGTAGACTGTCTGCAATCTGCTGTTGGCAGCCTGGATGCTGGAATCGGCTGCAACGAGTTTGTCGAGTGGGTGGGCGGAAGAGAGACGGAGGGGTGGCAGGCTAGCTAGTGCTATAGTAGCAGATGGCATGCTATGCTATAAAGTAGCGGAAGCGCATATAGGAGAGTCCGGCCCCTCTGGATACGATAGCACGCCAGTTGATTTGGGAAGGCGACGAGGAACAGTCACCGTTCAGTCTCGAAAGCCTTGCTGCTTGCGGACGAGGCCAAGCGGCAAAGGAGTGGGATCGAGGAATCGAGAACAAGGCGTGCACATGTCCGGTGCATACATATATTGTATGCTGCGCACATAGCAGTAGATGCAGTGCAGAGGGGGGGGTTCGTGGACAGCCTGAGGCAGTGGGCAACACCAACACTCGCTCCACAGGCACCGCTTTGCTCGGAGAATTTCACAAAGGTTTTAGACACCCATGGTAACCCAGCAAGTCATAGCAAACACGCCACCCACCACTGACTGTAGCAGCAGACAGGGAGAGAGTTTGCTGGGGGTGAGATGGGATGAGCGAGACTGACGACGGCAGGCACACAAATCTCAAATATGCACGCACTGGGCGGGCGGGAGATTGGGCGGGCACGATGCGACATGAGCGGCGGCTGGGGTGGTGTGCGTGTGGGATCGCATCGGTTGGGGTGATGGCGGCGGCCAGGCCGGTAAGGAGAAAGGTAGAACACATGTAGCATTACACGCTCCGAGATGATGAGCCAAGAGCGTTCAGAATCGGTCACCTAAGCGAGACACATGACTGTTCATCACTCTTCATCAGGTGTATCATGCAGGTTGGAAACTGATTGTGTTTGCAGTGTTTTACAAGTACATACCTAGGTATGTAGGTATCGCATCTGGTGTAAGAAGAGCGGATGCAACACATAGGGTGCCCAGTTCATTAGGGCAGGGCAGGGCAAGGGAAGGGAAGGGAAGGTAGGGTAGCAGCCAACATTAGGCTACCAGCGTTGCTCCCCCCTCCTCCATCCATGTGTGCGCTATGCGATGCTATACAAAGGCATACAATTCACTCCTTCAGTCGTCCAGTCCCACATTGCTGGGTAAGCAAGCAAGCAAGCAAGAGGAGCCCCCCGTTGGGCCGTCGACAGCTCATTGGCCGTTGAGCGACGCGACTCCGAGCAAACGGTAGGCGGGTCAAAGCGTCCGGCGCCGGGGCGTGGACAGCAATCATGGTCAATGGCGGCGGCCAATACCTCCTTGCCCAGCTAGCCCAGGGAGCCCAGGGAGCTGATGGGTGGACCTGGGCCGGGCAGCCAGACATGTTCGTCAGTCCGCCAGCTTGCAAGGTTACGCTCGTTCGACCGCACGCTTGCCTCTGCTGCTGCTGCTGCTGCTGCAGGGCCGCCCGACAAGGGGGCTTCCACAGCTTGCTGCTGCTGGCGTGGGCCTGCCTGTCCGTCTGCCGTCTTAAATATGAGGGCCATCGCCGTGGATCTCGTCCCGCTGAACCTGGGATCCCAAACCGGTCCATCCATCCATCCACCCATTAATAAAACCCGCTTCCCCCCACTCCCGCCTCAATCAACACCATCCCTTCCTTTCCTTCCACTCCCCTCTCCATCCGCCCACTGCGCAAATCACCTTCCGAGGGAGAAAAAGGGGGACTGCATCCACCGCCACACCACCGCACCCAAGACAGCGTTCCACCAGAGAGGAACGCCTGCCAGAACCCCAGAGTTGCTTTACCCGCCCGTCTACCCGCCCGCCCGCTCGCCTCGCCTCGTCTTTCCTTTCTTTTGCCTCATCACTCCGCATACTTGCTTTGGTCCTTCGCCTGCCCGCTCATCGCCCCCGCAATCGCCGCCTCGTCTCATGATCAGCACCGCCGACAGCTCTCTTCGCCCTCTGCCTCCCTCTCCCGCTGCCTGAGGCGCTCAGATGGTTACTATGGCCGCTTCAAATGGGTACGTTCCCCGCCTCGTGCAACGTGCCCGACCGACCCCTCTCCAATTCGTCGAACCAGAGACGGCCCAAATGCTCATCGCTGACCCTGTGTTGCCCAGATTGGCTGTTGCTGCTTCAAGCAATTATCTCGAAAATGGCCGCTACTACCACGGCTTTCGGCGCGGAATCTACCTGTACCCATGCGACGAGGTCAGTACCACCCGCCGCGAAACCCAACACATGCCGCCTACTAACCTCGCATTGCCCTCCCTTAGCCCGAAAAAGACCGCATGGATATCTATCACAAACTGTTCCTTGTCGCACGGAGGGATCAGCTACACCACGCTCCTGTTCCCCAGCACGGAGTGCCCCGCATTCTAGACTTGGGCTGCGGTACCGGCATTTGGGCTATCGACATGGCTGAGTGAGTGGCGCCCCTCCCCTAGAGCATTCTTTGCGCGCCGTGGTACCGGTAGCTAACGTTATTGTTTTCTTCTTCTTCTACAGCCGTTATCTGAATTCTGAGGTGCGCCTTTCCCGCTCCGTCATTTCGTACCACAGAATCCTTCCCACAGATGGCTGACTATTGTTCCACAGGTCGTAGGAATCGACCTCGTAAACATCCAACCCGAAAAGTAAGACAGTCTCACACGCCTTGCAACGCGTCCCTCGCTAACATGTAGCGCTCTCAGAATTCCACCCAACCTACGGTTTTTCCTTCCCCGCGATTATGAGAGCCCCTGGACTCTGGGCGAGGATTCATGGGATATGATTCATATTCGAATGGCTTGTGGTAGCGTTTCAAGCTGGCCGTACATGTATCAGAAAGCCTTCACGTACGCTGCCCCTTCCGTGCCATTCCTACGCACATCACTAACCTAGTCAGCCATTTGAAGCCAGGTTCTGGATGGATCGAGCACGTCGAGATTGATCTGCAGCCGCGCTGCGATGACCACACGCTCTCGCCCGAAAGTCAGGTTACAAAGTGGTACAATTACCTAGCCGATGCCACTGCAAGGGGAGGTCGTCCCATTGCTTACGAGCACAACACACGCCAGTTGCTGCAGGCCGCTGGCTTCATCGATATCCAGGAGACCATCATTCGTGCACCTTTTAATTCCTGGCCCAATGACCCACATCAGAAAGAAATCGGCCGTTGGTACAACCTGGGCCTAACCGAGGGCCTAGAAGCTCTCAGTTTTGCTCCTTTTACCAGAGTGAACCGGTGGGATTTGAACGAGCATGTCAAGCCTCTGGTTGAAACCGTCCGTCGCGAAGTCTGCAATAGGAAAATTCACGGCTACAACAACATGTGAGTCTACTCCGCTGCATCATCCGCACCCTTTCTGTTTCCATGATGGATCAAATACTGATGTCGCCTGTTAGTCATATATGGATTGCACGGAGACCACAGCAATGATGGTCGACGACTGGTTCAAAAAGATACACATACCATGGACTGCCCCCTTACGAGTCCCACTCAACCTGTTTAATAAACAACGACCACCTCCTTTCGAACATTTGGCCCCCTGTCCCCCTCGGTACCTGTCTGCTCGGATAATGTCCTGTTCCCGGTACATTCTATCTTGCTTCCTTTAGTGGCATTGGTTTCTACTAGGCATGGTCCCCTTGGGTGATGGGAATCGATACTTCGACCTGACTTGCTACTCGGTGGATATTTGAAGCGTGGGACATGGCCGGGCAGGCTAATGCTACGAATGACGAAAAGTATCACGACATCCACGCTCTCGGTCCCCTCTCCTCGGCTTCCGCCACCGCCTCGCGCATGAGTGCTGCATCTTTTGGTTCACAACAAAATCGGAGTTTATTTGGCGACTGCACAGATTCGGCGTTTCCATGGGTTTGGCGGCAAGCATTTTCGGAATATTGATACCTTCGGCTTTTCTTGACTTGATTGATCTTGTTGCATCTTCTGCCCGGCAATGCCTTGTTTTATACACCTGGTCCCCCACCCAGTACAATGTAATTAATTCACGGGTGAATACGGTTTCACGTTTGAAGCAGACTTGGGCTCGATTGTACAGTGGATTCTTCTTCATTCTCAGCCTGTTTGTTCTGGAGCGGGTTGTGGTCTCAGCGTTGAAAAGCATTTTTTTTTGTTTGCGAGTCAATTAGCAAGCGGCGGCACTTGGGATGTGAGGGCTTGAAGGATGCTTGATTGCAGTGAGGCAATTTTGTGCCTTGGCGGCGAAGGTGTTTCATGTCCCTTGAGTGGGGAATTTGGCAGCAACGTCAGAGTGGGATGGTAGGGGGACCTGATTGCATTGAGAAAACCGGAGTCGAAGGGAGTCGTATTATTGAAGCAAACTTGTTTTTATCATTTGAATTGTCATTGACATGTTTGTCCCAGTTGCAGCAGACGGGGAAGAAGGCTGCCTCATGGGTGGCATGGCATGCAGCGGAAAGCGTGATAGCGTCAGCGCTGTTGGTTGGCACCCGGAGAGACGGGTGTCACGAATGACATGACGGCTGTGGCCGGACGAGGCGTTTGGGCGGGCCCATGATGATCCAGGCCAGGCAGTCAGGCAGTCAGGCCGCTGTTGCATACGCTACAGGATATAGTACAGTGCAGTGTAGTATAGCAGAGGAAGAGGAGGAGGAGGAGGAGGAGGAGGAGGTTGAATGTGCGACCCCTTGTGTCGGGACTAGTAGGGGCTGTCACGTATAGCAAATGGGCGGTCAGCAAAAGCAAATGGGAAGCAAGCAAAAAGACGTAGGCGAGGTGTTTTGGTGCGGGGGTGGGCGAGTCGCAGCTGGTCGTGTTTTCTCCGGAATTGCGAATCAGCGATGACACGGCCTACAGGGGCTGCCCGCAGCGTCGGGTATTGCGTGGGCAGCCTCTGATGAGTCGGTGTAGATGTGGGTATGCGAGGGGCCACGTGTACTCTGAGAGAGCATTCATGGCATAGCTGCACATCCAGCCAGACGCAGCAAGCAACAAAGTCAATCAAGATGCAGACAGAACCTGAGCACTGTACGTAGATAGATAGGTAGCTATGTGCATGTATACTTGTTGCTATCGTGTCATGCCACCGCCAACTAACTTGTAGTAGCGGCAATATGCCATGGCTGTCCGTGACGGTACCCGACGGTTTGGATCCGTAGCCTCGTGCCCAGCGAATCAAACATGTGCCAGCCCGCTTTGCCCAAAAGCGGGCCTCTCCATGTGAAACGGACGAAGCCATCAATCTCTCTCTCTCTCTCTCTCTCTCTCTCTCTCTCTCTCTCTCTCTCTCTCTCTCTCTATCTCTCTCTGGTACTTCCGACATCCAGCAAGAAACAGGTTTATTGCCCTCATCCTCCCCTCTTCTTTCGAGCAAAGAAACCATGTCCCTGTCCATCCATGCAAGCCACAAACACTCGCTCCTTCCGGACCTCGATAGGAGCGAGTGACTGATTCTTGTACCTTGGCTCCCGCGCATACAGAACGCACAACACCAGCCGTGTGTATGCATATGCAGCTATGGTTTACCTTGCCGTCTTGCCCTCTCAGCAGCTGTCTGTTCCACCCACCATCAGCACCAGCGGCAGCAGCGCAAGCCGCGAGCGCGACGCCGCGCGGTAATCCAGAGCGAGTAAGCGTATCATCAGAAGCGTAAGCTCACAATCAACCCCTCTCCGAGCATATACCATGTACAAACTGCACTGTCAACTGCACGGTACAGTCAGCGCCGATTACACACCCGCAGACGGAGCACCCGGGAGATTGGGATAGGAAGGTTGGAGGCAAAGGGAAATCATGGGAAACGGGATTGAATCAATGCCGCCGCCTCCTTCCCTCCTTTTCCTGTCCTTTCACCAGCTACCTTCCATTCGCACGTCCTGCCGTCACTGTTTCCTTGGTGCTGTTTGGATACGGGACCTGCGCGCGCTTCAGGCTTTGCTTGGGTCGGCGTGCTGACGAGATTTTTTCGAGCTTCGCTCACATGCCTTCGGGGAATCCCTGGACTTGTTTGCAATTTGGCCACTTGGAGGCCAACACGATACGCCTGCTTGGTTTCTATTTTCCCGTTCAATCAATTCGATTGTGTATCCTGGTCGGGGACACCGGTCGGAGAATGAGAAAGAGGCGGGGAAACAGTTATGGGCGCCTAGTTGCGTCTCGAACCATTAATGTATCCCGGTAAGCCCTACTAACTGCATGCGTCTGGATCCGATATATACGAGCATCCTGCGCCGCTCAGACCTCAGCTTGTTGGGTATATGCTTGCAATGCTGGTAAAAGTGAATGCCTCATCACCCTTGAGCTTTTATCGAAGCAATAATTCATATGTACAGACTCCATAATAAGATAGCAATTTTCGCCGTGGAGGACAATAACCACATGGTAGAGACTCGGGCGAGAGGAGAAACAGTCGAGTAAGCCCCAGTAATCACGGTTGATTCTTCACCGTTGACCTTGACGGCCTCCTCTTCTACATCATCATCATCCCCATAATCAAACATCATCGCCATCGCCATCATCATCCTAATCTATTCATTCGCCTATTTCTTCACGCTTCCATCGTGGGCGAGCAAGTTGAGCAGTTGCTCGTTTCGGCGGACTGTCCGGATGCGGATAGTCCGCCTTCCTGCGGGAATCAAATCCACGCGAGACCAGCTACTCGGTAGATGGTATAGCTGAAAGAGAAAAAGCAAAGAAAAAAGAAACCTGAGCCTGGAGGAGGCGGAATGGATTGGTGGCTTTCGGATAATGTGACAGGGAGAAAGCCGGCGCGTAAGGCGAGTAGAAACACATCAACTGCCTGTTTTCTTTCTTCCATCATCAATCGTTCTCCACTTATCAGGTGGTCTGCGTTGTGCCCCTACGTGCGTGCGTGTCTGCGAACGGTGTGAGGACGGACGGGTGGTTCGATGACGGAGGCCGATCTTTGCTACATCAGATGAAACAATTGCAGGCAAGAAAAATGAATGTCAGAACGTGATTGTCTACTAACGTACACAAGAGGCAATTGAATTGAAGAAGTAGAATTGATTATAGACCCAATGGGAGGGCTGTGGCATGCAATGCACGACAAACGACATGTGGTAAGACCAGCAGTCTAGTAGCTTTGCTACAAAAATAAACGAGCGATTAATCAGCTCTGCTCCTCTTATTTACCTGCTCTTAACAATAAGAAATATCTATTGCCTCTTCTCTTTATTGTTAGCTACCTACTTCTATGCCTTGTATTTGTCCCTCTCTATATAAGAGTTAAGAATGCTAGAAGAAGGTCTAGGCAATTAAAGATAGAGAACTATTACTATAATTTAGTAATAAACTTATTAAGATAGTAATAAAATAATAACTTAAACTTTATACTTTACTTATTCTTTATTAAAAATAATAATATTTTATTTTATTTTTATATAGTATAAGTTATTTTTTTAGTTATTACTTATTTGTAACATTACTACATAAAAGTTAGTATTAAAAAAGATTAATATTGCTAAAGCACTACTAGTTAGTATAGGCAGCTTAGCAAGAGCGCATAAAAGGCGCACTTAAAGTACTAAAAAAAATAAGTATTATTTTAAATTATTAAAAAAAAATCCTTTTTAAAAAAAACTATTTTTTACTATTACTAGTAGTGTAAAGCAAGTACTATTACCTATAACTATACTTTATATAATAATACTTTTTAGTAAATAGCTAAAAATAGCTTTTTTAACTTAATTTTAGTAGCAAGCTTTTAACTATAAAAGCTTAAAGCTTAAAAAAAGAAACTTTATAATAGTTACTACTACTATAGATACTTTTAACTCTATAGGCGCACTTACTATAATAAAGCAGCGCATTTAGGCTACTAAAAAAAAAATGCTTTTTTAGTAGCTTATTACTTTTAAAAGCTAAAAAATAAAATTATTCTTTTAAAAGGTACTATGCTAGCCTTATTTATAATAAACTTTACTATAAAAAAATACTTAAAGTAGAAGTAATAAGTTAGTATAAGTAAAATATAAGCAGCCTATCACGCTACGCGCTAGTAAAGTAAAGTTTAAAAATAAAAAACTTTATAAACTATAAAAAAAATATTATAAAAAATATTAAAAGTTTTTTTACTTTTATAAACTAGTATTTAAACTTACTTATTATAAATTTGTGTAAAAAAGTAATTAAATTACTTAAGCTATATAGTACTTATAAAAAGACTTAAAAAAGCTTTAGTACATATATTATAAGTGTATATTAAAAAAAAATAAAGTAGTATTAACTTAGAAGTACTTTTAAATATTTATACTAAATATACTTTTAAACTTTATTAACTAAAGTTTAAAAGTATTTATAGCGCACGCGTAAGCTATGTAATATAAAAACTAAAGTATTTACTCTTTTATAATTTACTTTAGTATTTTAGAAAAATAACTTACTTTTTATATAAAAGCTTAAAGAGTATAATATTTATTTATAAAACTAAAACTAGAGTTGCAGCGCTCTATTACTAACTATTACTAAATTTTTCTAATATAAAAAAGCTTTATTTTATTAAATTTAATGCTAAAATAAAATAACTAGCGCGTAAGTAACGCGCACTTATAAAATAACTATAATAAAAAAAAAAGTATAAAAAAAAATAAAGAAAAAGAAGCTCTATTACCTAATATTAGCTTTAAAAAATAAGTTCTAAATTACCTGCTATAAGTGTAAGAAGCAAGGTTATTATACTAATAAGTATTAGAATAGTAATTTAAACTATAAGCTTATAAAAATTAATTAAGTAAAAATAAAGCACGCTTTACTAAAACTTTAGCTATAGTAAAGCATGTACTACTAAATATCTTACTAGGTATAAAGTATAAGTATTATGTAATAAAGGCAACATTAAAAAAATAAAAACTACTTTTTATTTTAGACTTTTAAGCTAATGTTAGCCTTCTTAGTTAATAAGTAGCTATTAAAATAAAACTACAACTAATAAAGAAGGCAAATTTTTTATAGTTGAGCTAGATTAAGTTATAGCGTTAAAGTACTTACGCTACTTATATACTTTAGTTATAACTTTTAAATAACTAGTAAGTAGAATACTAAACTTATACTATAGTTTATAAAGTTAATAAAAAAAAAGTACCTTTTCTTTTAAGTAATTTATTTTTTAAAAAAAAGTAATTAGCTTTAACTACAGCACTTAAACATAAAAGTAAAAGTATATAGCTAAAAATATTTACCTTATTTTTATTAAAAAATATTTAAAAGACGTTAAGCAGGCTAGCATAGAGCTATATTTACTAAAAGTATTATAAATAATAGTTATATATATAAAGTATACTACTAATATTTGCACTATAAGTATAGCACATATTTTTTATATTTTTAAGCTACTTTAAAACTACGCAGACATTTTTAATAAAGTTAAAGTATTAAAGCTTCTATTATTTAAAAGCTTTAATTATAAGATTTTTATTATAAAAGAAAAAAAGCCTTTTTATAGCCTGCTATATAGCTTATTAAAATGTAAGCTTTAAGTGCTCTATAAATACTTAAAAACTACTTTATAAAAAAAAATCTAGTATAGTACTAGCCTAGTAGAGGCACCTATTTTTTTTATTTTAAAAAAAAACAGAAAATTACAGCTGTGTGTAAACTACTAAAGTTTTAATATAGTAATAGTAAAAGATTATTACCTACTACTACTTATTAAAAAAATATTAAACTGCTTATTAAGCGCATATTACTATATAACTTTAAATTTTAAAAACGCTTACTATTAATTGCAGATTAAAGTAAAGAATAAGTAAAAGATAGCGTTTTAAATAAAATATAGCTATTTTAAATATTTTATAATGCTTTTTATCTTTACTAACGCTTCTGCTAGTTTTTAAGCTTATATTAATAATGCTTTAAAAAAATATTTAAACTATATTTATATAGTATATTTTAATAATATACTTATTTATACTTATAATATAAGTATTATAATTTACTAGCGCGTAGTATACGCTATACTTTAATTTTTTAAAAAAGTAAAATTATTTATAAATTTAGATAAGTATACTTTTACTATAAATAAAGTTTATTTTTTAAGTTTTATAGTTACTACGCGTAGTATATGCGCTAATTTTAAGTGCGTATAAATAATTACTAAATAGCTACTGCTAATAAATATTAAGCAGCTATAGTTATTTTTTAGCTTTACTAACTTTTATAAAAAGTTTATTATAAAGTATATAGCAAGAATAATACCCTTTATAAAACTATTAAAAAAAAGCTAAAAATTTAAATAAAGTAAAGAAGCTTAACAGTATTTTAAATTACTTAAAACTCTTTTTATAAGTGCGCCTATTTTATACTATTTTAAATTAAAGCGCTAAATACGCATTAAAATAAATGCTTTAAATTTTACTATATTAAGTATTCTTTTTTAACTTTTTAAAAATGCTAAGTAGCATTTAGTTACTTTTACTTTTAGAAAGCTTCAAAAAGTAAAGCTTAACTATAAAGTTTATAACTAAAAACTTTTAGCAATTATATTTAGCTTTAAATAATAGTAATATTACTGAGAAAGTATATAGTATACTATTAAAGTTTTATTTAATTATAATAACTTGCGCAGCATGCGCGCTATAAAAAAGCTAAACTTTTATTAAGTATACTAAATAATATACTTAAATACTTTTAACTTTAAAGTTAAATATTAGTAAAAAAAAATAACTTTACTAATAGCTTATTATAAAGAGCAAACTATAAGTAGTAAAATAAGTTTTTAACTTGCTTGCTCTTAACACTTTAAAATAAAATACTTATAAAAGTAAATTAAAGTAAAGTTACTAAAATTATATATAAGTAGAGCTTAAAAAGCGTAAGTATAAAGTATATACTTTAAAGTAGTATTATAAAACGTAAATATATTATTAGTATTATAAAAGGCCTTTTATACGTGCTACACTTACTAGCTAAAGTTTTAGTTAGTAATAAACTTATAATAGTAAAAAAAAATTTAATATTTAAAGTACTATATTAGCTTTAATAAGGGGACGCTTTTATATAAGAGCAGATAGCAGCTTTAAAGTAAAAAAAAATACTTAAAGCTGTAGAGAGGCGCAAGCGTAGCGCTTTAATAAAAATAAAGTTCTAAAGTATAATAGTAAAATATATATTTTAAAAAATATAGCTATTAAGTAAAAAATTATAATATAGTATTATAATACGTATATAGCTAGCTGTAACGCAACGCTACATACTTAGGCTACACCTAAAAGCACTTTAGGTTATTATAATAATAGCTTAACCTGCTACTAGCTATATTTAAGTTAAGCTTTAACTTAGCTATACTCTACTTAAGTACTATTTAGTAACAGCTTAGCTTTTTAATAAAAGCACTTTATATACTACTTTTAAATATATATATAAAGAATTAATTTATTTTTTACTTATATCTAAAACACTACAAATACTTATAATAACTAGAAAACGCTACTTAGATGCTTACTAGCAACTACAGGTATAAGAACTATAGATAGTTTAACTCTAGTTAAATAGTTTTAATTATTCTACTATATAAGACTGTTAAAGTTTTAGAGATCTCTAGTTAAGTTTTATAAATAGCTAGCAAGTAACACTAAAGTAATAAAGGTAAAAGTATAAAGTAACAACTAGATAGTATTTTTAAAAAGTAGGTTGTAACTTAAAGTAAATATAAAAAGCTATAAGGGCTTTTTGCCTACTAATTATATACATGTAGTTAAAATAGTTAATTACTTTAATTAGTTTAATTAGTACTACTAATTAAGCTAATTACTAATTATATTACATAGTCTTTTATTATATAATAACTAATACAGCGTAGCTCTATAACTTCTAAAATACTTATAGTAAGTAAGAGTAATTTACCTTAGTATTATAAGAAGCTTATTTCTAACACTTAAAGTATCTATGTTATAATCTTAATATTATCTCTTTTCTTTTAGCTTAGTCTTATCTCTAAGGCTTATTTAATAACGTAAGGCCTTACTCTTTTTTTAGTTTAGTTTCTTACTATACCTAAACTTCTACAACCTTCTAGTACTAAACATTATTACTATTTATTTAAATTTATAAAATTCTTTAGCAAAGTTATAGTTAAGAAATGTTTAATATGCAAGAA